AAAAAAAAAACACTCACACAATACGCGACCCAAGCCCTAGCCCAAGCCCTCCTCCCCCCTCCTCCACCCTCAGCACCGCTCCCCCTCTCCCTGCCCCAACCGCCCTCATCCAGCGCCTCAAGCTCCCTCGCCAGCACGCCCGGCTCATCAGCCAGCAGCGCGTGGTCCGAGACGTCGAGCGGCAGGCCGACGGCGCAGTAGCGGTGGCTGAGGCGGGGCGGGCGCCCGAGATACGCAGCCTGCCATTTGTCGTGGGCGTAGGCGGCGGCGAAGAGGCGGGTGCGCTGCTCGGCGAGGAAGAAGGCGGGTTGCTGGTAGGTTTGTTTTTGTTTTTCGCCTTGGTTGTTGTGCTGGTTGGGTTGGTGCCAGCCCAGCGCTATCAGCGCGTTGAAGACGTGCCCGCTGCGTTGGTAGCTCGTGTAGCCTGGGTGGGGTGCGTGCGTGTTAGTATTTAGTAGTAGTATGCAGTAGTGGTGGTGGGTGAAAGGGGAGGAGGGAGAGCGACTCACTGGCCTCGCCGTGCAGGTACACAAACAGCGCGTGCGCCTCAAACATCAACCACACGCCAACATCGTTCAGCAAGCACAAGGACTCGCAAAACGCCAAGCACGAGTCCGCCGCCCACGACAGCTTCTTAATCAGCCCCCGTCTGCCACCATAGCGATACGCGACGCCGCCGAGCAACGGGTCCCAGTCCGGCAAGACAGAGCACGAGAGGCCGACAACGGCCATCGTCACGCCGACGACCTCCCACCGGAGTTTCCAGCCCGACGTGCTGGCCGCCCACTCCCGCACCGAGCGCGCGCTCCTGCCCGTGAGCCGCCCGCGCGAGTTCCACCACACGCGCGCCGAGAGCTCACCTAGCCGTGCGGATGCCGCCCCCGCCTCCGAACCCGTCTGCTGCTGCTGCAGAAGCACGTCCCCGTGCGCCGCCCATAGCGCTTCCGTCCACTGCTTGAGCAGCGGCGCGCTCGTTATGATGCCCCCGCCGCTGACGCTGTACCAGCGGTCGATGAAGCGCTCGAAGACGGGCAGGTCTTGCAGCAGCGCGAGGACTTCGGCGCCTTGCGCTATGCGGTCGTTGGGGGCGGGTGGTGCTGGTGGTGCTGGTGGTCGTGTTGCTGCTGCTTCGCCGCTGTGGAAGAAGCTGTCGTTGTTGCTGTTATTGGAGGCAGGGGTGGAGATTGCCTGCCCGTCTTCCTCGTCTTCCTCGTCTTCTCGTCCTTCTTCTCCCTCTTGATGCCCATCCTCTTCATGCTCAGCTAACACAGCCGCATAGCTCGTCGAGCCCAGAAACCCCGTCGCGGCAAGCGGCTGCGGCTGGGGTTGGGGTTGGGGTTGGGATTGCGACAGCAACTGCGGCGGCGAAGGCGACGGTGTCGCAGGCGCAGCAGCACCCCTCCTCGTCCCAGCAGCCTCAACGCCCCTCACGCCCCTCACCCTCGTCAGCGGCGCAGGGTGATAAACGCACTTAGCAGCGGTGCCGCGACGCACGCAGCGCGCACACGTCGGGAGCACGTGGTCGCAGCGCAGTTTGCCGCGGCGACAGGGCTCGCACGAGGGGGGCTTGCCGTTGCGGCGGCGGGCGGGGTTGACGCGGGGACCGTCGTTGACGCGGGGATCGTGGTTGTTGTTGAGGTTGGGGGTGGTGCTGTTGGGGTTGGAAGGGGAGCGGGAGTTGGGCGCTTGTTGTTGTTGCTGGTGCTGTGGGGTGCGGAGTTGGGAGGGGAGTGAGAAGCGCGTCATTTTGATGTGCTGCCGGTGGTGGTGGTGGTGGTGGTGGAGCGGAGTAAGGTGAGCGGCCTAGCTCACGGAGTTCTTGCGGGTAAGTACTGCGCCCAGCGTAGCCGAAATCCTCAGTACCTATCGGCTCAAGCGTCCCAGCGTGTCGGCTCCAGCAGCACAGATATTGTTGTTTGCCGGTGCAGTAGAGTACTCGTAGAGTGGCGTGCGGGCGTGAGAAGTCAGGCTTAGGCATCGGCATCGGCGTTGGGACAAAGTGCGGAGTTCGTCGGCGTTGGCGATGGTGGCGTAAGCGAACTCCGTACTAGGTGGTACGAGTGGTACGAGTACGAGCTAGCTAGCTAACTTGGTGTCTGGCCAATGGGAGCGAGGAGCTAGTCCGTGCCGGGTGGGAGTGTGGTGGTGGTGGTGGTGGTGGTGGTGGTGTTTGGTTGCTGGTTGATGCGGTATGGTACGTCTTGGGCTGGGGCTGGAAGCTGTGTTTTAGACCGGTGCAGGACAATGCGTGCGTGGGTGAGTGGGTGTGAGTTCGGCGGGTCAAGAGGCCTCGACCTGTATGCCTAGGAAAAGAGGGGAGATGCAGGATATACCTATCGCGCAGCATTTCCAGAATACAGAAAGTAGATCGAGACGGAATGTGACAAGGCTAAATGAAACGAGAAGAGAAGAAGAAGAAACAAGACCACGCGCCTCAGCGAGGAAAAAGGCGCAGATGCTTTGGGAGTGTGCTTTGTGGTACTGTATGTACACACCTAACACAACAACGGCACTTCAAGGCAGCCATACTAGCCATGCGCCAGACGCGACGGGTATAACAGCATTCTGCGCTACGCCAACAGAATTTTGGCGGACTTGTTTCTTTTCCCGCAGTGTGTATGGGAGGAGAGACCAGACGGCCACCTCGCGCAGCACACCAACGAGCCAGCCTGTGCACCATCTCTCAGTGCTGGCGGGCATATAGTTCCATGCCTGCCCGTGTCAGGCAAAAGCCTCGCAAGGCAAGACAAGGGCGAGGGAGCCGCGCCACGCAGTGGGCCTTCAGACATGCAGCCCCTTTACGCCCTCCACCAGCTGCTCCCCAGCATCCGCATCCTCTTTCCTTTCGCTCTCCCCCTTTTCCCTTTCGTCGTCGTCGTCGTCGTCGTCATCGTCATCTTCCCGCTTCACCCACGACACCACCATCGGGTTCAACGCGCCATCCAGCAAGTCGAACAGCGGAAAGGGCGCTGTGTCGCGGTTCTGTGCCAGAGAAGCGCGCGCAGCAAGCACGCTGACGTGGTCGAGGGGCGTGGCGTCATGTCTGCGTGTGTTAGCGCGCGGGTGCAACTGAGGGCGTGACAGAGACAAGGGCCAGAGGAGAAAAAAAGTAGTGCAAAGAAGGGTAAGCGGACTAGACACTTACCCGTCAGCCCGCCTCTGCGCCGCCTCCAGCATGTCCGCCACATCGCTGCCAATATACAGCGCGGGATGCCGATCGCGCAGAAAATGCGGCAGCATCACGAACCACGGCATAAACGGCGCAAACACCATGCAGTCGGGCGCGATATGCTGCGCTGAAGCCGCGACCTCGCCCTCTGCAGCTCTGAGCACCACGACGCCAACATCTCTTAAGACTTCCTCATCCAGCGCATTAAACACCGGGTCCTCAGCATAGACCTGCACGTCCACCTTCTCCCCCTCCACGTCCTCCCCACTCGCCTCGTCTCGCCCCGTTACAAGCTTCACCAGCTCCAGAAACGCCACCAGCTGCCACACGCTGCGCGCACACAGCGCGGCGTTTTCCCCGCTCAGGCTCCCCAGCCCCAGACACACTGCGCGGCGGAGCCTGCTGCCGCGCTTCCTCGCCTGCCCCGCCCGCGCAACCAGCTTCCGCACTTCGGCCGCGCATGCGCTCTCTGCCCAGCGTGTCCGGCACGTGTTCACGCGGTGCAGGACCCGCGCTTTCGTCGTGCCGGGCGCAATGGGCATGGGGCCAGTGGGCACATGGGCCGTGAGCATGTCGTGCGGATCTTGCGAGCCATGAAGATCCAACTCCTCATCCGCAGCCGCAAGCGTAGTTCTCGTGCTGCCATTCGGCGTCGTCGTCGTCGTCGTGGTACTAGAAGGCGGGCCGCGGCGACGAGGACGGGCGCGCGCGCTCTTGGTCGTAGTGACGACGCTCCAGCCGTCGTCGAGGGGGAGGGTGGCGCGTTTGGTGCGGGAGGAGAAGGGAGGGGGCGCGGGGGCGCGGCGCGCTGTGTGTGGCATTGTGCGGGCGGGCGGGCGTCGTGTGGTGGTGGGTTGCGCTGAGGTTTTTGGCGCTGGTTTGGTGGTGTGGTGGTGTTGTGGGGTCGAGGGTGGTTGGTGGTTGGTTGGAAGGGGTGTTAGGAACGCGGTTGGGCCATTGCTGGTGGTGCGTCGAGGGCGAGAATCGTGGGTTGCGGTGGCGTTGTGGGTTGTATGTAGGTGTTGGAGCTGTGGTGTGCTGGTGCTGCTGCGCGATGATGTTTGGTGAGCGGGGTGGGTGCGCCGGGTAGAGCCGTGGCGTGGCGGCGGGTGTGGCGTGCGCTACGTAGACGTCGATATATACATGTATTAAAATAAATAAACAAATAAATAAATAAATAAATAAATAAAGTTACTGTTGCAATTCGGGCTGTTAACTAGATAGAAACAAACTTTCGATCTTCCAGAATTGCAGGGCTGTTCATTACGAAGGAGCGGTCATGGTCAAGGACAGCAATATGTCTGCAACTCCAGACATCAGCAAATTTATATACCTGCTCAGAAACACTGATCGCCGAGCTTAAATACTCCCCGCCCCATGGCCTCGTCCCCAATCTAACAAATATTGCCGGTGAGCATTTAAAGTTTTGAACAACCCAGTCCAATTCACCAAAAAACATATGCCCGGTTCTTGCCCGCCCTCTCCAAATGCCTTTCGTCAACCAGTCTTTTCCCTTCTGCCTTTGCCTTTGCCTGTGTAGCTCCATTGCGATAACAAAAACGCAAGGCAGACCGCCATCAAAACTAGCTTGCTCGCAACCTAGCAGGCTCGCGCAGACGACCCTCAGGAATCGGAGTTTTCGCCCGAGACGATTAAACGTAAGCTACGGAAAATCCGACAGGGATTGCTCGACCTCCATGACTCCACAGCAGCAACAGGTGATGCTCGTCCCACACATAACACAATGACGACCCGCACCGCGACCAAACGATGACGACGTCGAATATCCTCGCGGGCCTAGATATCACAACCCACAACCACGATCCCACTCACCTGCGTGTCGTAACTGACGCCCGATTTTCTTTTCGGGGTATTTTGGTACCCGGCAAGGTATTTTCTGTCAGGATATGCCGTGGTCCCTCCATGGCGCACTGTCAGAGGCGGCTGGGTATTCAACACATGAAGCCAGCAAACCGCAAGGACAGCTATATATACAAACTATTTTCAGAGCGTCTCAGCACGTAAGACCAGACACAGAAAAACACCTAATACGAAAACCAACCAGGTCCAGTGACTCCGGCACCTACATATAAAACTAGTCTTCGCAATAACGCACCCAGCCCAACACCACCCTCACGATTCAGTGTTTCTTGCAGAAGCAGCACTCACTCACTCACAAACGCACCACGTCTTCCAAATATGAACAACACATGGATGGAAAAGATCAAAAGCCTCATCCTCATCGTCGTCGTCGTCGTCGTCGTCATATACCACTACAACTGCATTAACCTAATCTATCCACTCCATCCGCGCATCCCGCAGCTTCCCAGAAGCGTCCTACGGAATGGAATCCTGTATATAAAAAAAGAAAAAGAAAAAATTAACGTGGGGAATCAACTAAGAAAAAGGTCCAAAAACAAGAAAAAGCGGCCGTGACGCGCCGGTCCATCCGTCCGTCCATCCATCAAAAATGCAAGCGCAAGCGCAGGCGCAATCGCATATCTACAACAAGTGGGTATTCCGCGCCCCGACGAGCCGTGGTTCAGCGAGCGATCGAGAGGCGGTATTTCCAGCAGCGCGCTCAACCAGCCCAGTCTTCACATCCAATGCATCGCACCTCCAAAGCTTCACTGTCCACTAGCCTCTGCTTCTCTCCGCTCCGCTGCGCTGCGCTCAGCATCACAGCAAAGCCAGCGCAGCACCCAGAGCCGCAAGCACGGGCAGCGCGCCCGCGAGCACCGACCCCGGCGCGGCAGCGTTCTGGTTCTCGGTCGCGTAGATCAGGTCGAACGTGATGTGCTGGTCGGGGTCGGTTGTGTTCTTGCAGTTATCCGGCGTGACTTCTGCCACGTCGTGGGGTTCTGCGAACGTGATGTCGACGCACTGGAAGAATAGGGGGATGGACGTCAGCAAACAGTGTTATAGTGTTGTGAAAGCAGTTTAGAAGGAGAGGAAGATGAAGAGGAAAATGAAGAAGAGGAAGAGGAAAAGGAAGAGCAACATACGCTATAAAGCGCAGCGCCATGCTGGGCGGCCTCAATAACCTGAATAGTCGCGTTGTCGCCGACCTTGACTTCAGGGATATCATTTGGCAGCGGGACCTGCGGGAGGCAGAACTGGCCGCCGTACATGTCGTTGGAGGGCCCGTTGATCTGGAACACGGGCACCATGACGTGGCTCATGTTGACGGGCTCGGTGCCGACGCCCAAGTTGATGTAGAAAAACGCCTTGCTGTGCCCCGAGAACCAGCCCGGCTGCACGCCGATCGCGCCGCCGCTGATGGGCCATTTGGTGCGGTTTTGGGAGGTTGGGAGCCCGCCACCTGTGCAGAGATAACGTACATTAGCCTTCTTTCATCGTTGTATTTTTCCTCGCATTTCCTTGCTGTTTATATCTTTTTTCTTTCTTCTTGATGGGGTCCGTATTGAGGAAGGGAAAGGCCAACACGTACAAGGATACATCCACTGCATGCCGTACGGAAACGTGTAGCTCCCGTTCTCGTAGTTGATCCCCAGCGACCCCGGCTTGATCGTCTCGTCCTCATTCGTCCCGTTCGTGTGCAAATTGTTGCCGCGCCAGCCCGGGTACGTGATGACCGTGTGCGCGGCCACGAGCGCGCTCCACCAACTCGCGATTAGCGCAAACGCGAGCATGCGCGAGAGAGGCGAGCTCGAGAGAGTTGATATCGTTGTCCGTGCCATTGTGTAAGGTATGTGTAGGAGCTGTTCTTCGGCGGCGGCAGTCCGTCTACTGTCTACCAGCTAGACCGGGGATCGTATGTCGGTATCGTTGTCGATGTTGTCCAAACCAAACCGGCTGGATGGGGAAGAGGTCCGAGAGAGAAGAAGAAGAAGAAGAAGAAGAAGAAGAGACAAGAGATCCAAGAGTCCTACCAAGCCTTTACTACGCTTGACCAGACAGTCAAATAGGCAAGTCGGGATCCCAGCGGCTAAGAGTATGTCGGTCGTCGGATCAGTCCAGCACGTCGGCACGGTCGGTCGTCTTTCTTGAGTATCTTCCTTGTCCTCAGAGAATCAAGTGCAAAGCAGTAAGCAACCAAGAAGAAGCACGCCGCAGCGCAGCGGCGCCCCCGCGCCTTAAACGCCAGTCCACTCGCCTCTCCATCACGCATCTTCGCAGATCCGCTGCACGCCAACCAATCGCCATTAGCGGTCGTTGCTAGCGCTCCCGCGCTCAGCACGCCTTTGCCCTCCCATTGGCTGCCCGTGTGCGCGTCCGTGCAGCTGCTGTAAGCGCCCGGCGCTTTTTTTCCCTGTTGCCTCCACTCACCACTGGCTGCTCTCGTCTCACTGCTCTTGCGCTCGCTCGCCCACGGGCCGTGCTCCACGTTCGCGTTCGGCAGACGTGACGGCAAGCTTGGCGCGCGCGCCTATATCGTGCGTCGTCATGGATGCGAGTGATTGAGGGTGTGAGGTCGCGCGTGTGTCACGGTAGCCTGGTGTGATGGAGCGTTTGGCGTTGGGTTTGGGTTTGGGGTTCGGTCTGCCTGGCTATGCTCACTATCGTACGCAGTGGGAAGCAAAGCAAGTCTCGGGCGGCGATGGGGAAGCTTTCGCCTTCCTTCCTTCCCCCTTCCACGCTGAGCTAAGTGACGTGAGTGTGCAGCGGCAATGAGGGCGGCGGTTGGTGTGTGTCGAGGGACTTGGTAGATACATAGATATGTAGCTAACGTGATAGGTGGAATAGTTAGTTGCAGACGACAACGTTGTGTAGCTACCCAGTCAAGCAACAGAACTATAATCTCACTCATCACCATCACTATAAGCTGACACCAACGCACACGCATACCCAAGACGCTGCCTATCAAGTACCGCTACATAGCCAACTACCTAACTAGCTAACCAACGATAGCACCACCATAAGTCGTACAGAGCGAAGTACACAACCACACCTCACCCACCAGCCCACCTATCCACCCATCCATCCATCCGTTGTCGTCATCGCCACCACCACGGTCGGCTCTCCACGCTGACACCAAAAGCCTATCTATCTTTAGCACGCACCCTCTCGCCAAGGCCCTCGTTCCAGGAGCCCACCCACTCCCACCCGCCGCCACCACCACCACCACCTACGCAGCATTAACCTGCATCCTCCGTAGCTTCTTCGTCGCCGCCTCCACCATCGCAGTCTCCCTCTCCAAAAGCGCCATAACTTGGCGAACCTTTTCCTTCCTAAACTCGCTCGGCACGACCACCCCAGCAGCAGTGGCTTCCTCCTCCTCGAGCCCCTCGGCCTTCTTCTCCGCCTCCTTCTGCGCCTCCGCCAGCTCGCGCGCCTGTGCAACCAGATCGTCGCGCAAGCGCCTGACTTCGTCGATCCGGCGGCCCGGCGCAGCTGCATCTTCGCCCTCCTCCTCCCGCGCAAGCTGTTCCTTCATCTTGTCCACCTCTCCGAACCATGCCCTCTCCCTGTCGCTCAAGGCCCGGGTGCCTGTCCGTCCCAGCTTCGCGCGCAGCCGCTCCGTCCGTTCCAAGAGCTCCCGCTGCCTGTCCCGCACATCCTGGATGCGCTTCTCGATCTTGGCGCTGCCGACCACGCGCTCGCCGTTAGCGTCGTCGTTGCCGGCGTAGTCGTCCTCGTCCTCGCCCGTGATGCTCTCAATCTGCCCCGCCGCGTCGTTCGCCTTGCGGATCTGGTCGCGCAGCTCGTCCTGCAGCCGCTGGCAGCGCGTGAAGAGGCTCGACGCCGCCTGGCCCAGCTGCTGCGTCTCCTTGACCAGGACGCGGTGCGCCTTGGTCAGTATGTCGAGCGTCGCCGTCGAGAGGCGGATCTCCTGCTTCAGGAGGTGCTTGTGCCGTGAGGGCACGACTTCCTCCAGGAAAGGCGGCAGGCGTGACTGTGCCCATAGCGATTGCGGCGGCTGGTATGCCGGCCATGGCTCTGGGATATGGATTTTGTCCGGCTCGTGCTCGTAGGTGATTAACGCGTATCTGTCATCGTAGTCTGCGTCGGGCGAGTCGAGTGACGCGGCGTAGGGCTGGGAGCCTTCTGCCGTGAGGATGAAGTAACCGAGCTCGGGGTTGGACAGGACGACACACGCACTCTTCAAGTGTTGTGCCTCCTGGTATTGGTCTTGCCGGTAGGTGATAATGCTCTCGACAAGGCTACCGGGGCCTCTCATGAGTGCATCAATTCTCATGCCCGTGCCTTCAGTTTCGGTATTGGTGAGCTCGTCTTGCAGTGGTTGAAGCCAGGAACTCATTCCGACAAAGTAAGCTCCAGCCTCGGTCGAAACAAACAGGGCCGAGCCGCTCTTTGCATCTGCCGTAAACAGTGGATGATACAATTTTCCTGCAGGCTTCTCCGTCAGCAGTTCGACAGTTTCAAACAACATCAGACATGGAGTCTCGTGATAGATATCGGTCGTAAAGGCCTGAATTGGCGCATGTCAGCAGCAATTACAACTAAGCTTTTCGTACAACTCACTCTCTCCTTCGGGAGCCACTGCCCCTCGACGCCGTCAAAATCAAGGCAAATGTGCAGCTTGCCCATGTTAGTAAGGAAGCAGATCACGGCAACGTTCGGGTCCTCCTTGTCGCTCGCTGCATCTCTGACCTCTTCGATGTCAGGGAGGGCACTTCCGTCACCAGAAGTCACGACCGCAATGTCGGTGATTTTGAAATCTTCGTCGATATCGACGTCGAGGAGGAAGGGTCCCTGCAGCCTAGGAATGGGCCCGGGGGTGGCAGGCCTCGAGTAAATCTCTAGAACATCGCCCGTGTTCTCGTCCTCCTCGAGCTCGTATCTTATTCCCTCTAGCCATTCGTTTTGCTGGTCACAAGTTTGGATGAAGGTGTCGTCCGATTCTTCATCGAGCTCGGTGGCTTTCGCCTGGATCGGGAGGGCCAGACTGCGTAGATATTGTGGGGCTACGTGCTGGGTAGCATATTGCCATCTCTTCGGCAACAGGGGGCAGAGCGCGTAGATATCACCCCTCTTCATGGCAACCCAAAGAGTCATGGGGCCCCAACCACGCTCACCCTTGTTCTTGCCAGAGGCACCAAAGCAGGCCGAGGCGACCTCGAGTTCGAACGAATCGGGAGTATAACCCGTCTTGTCGTTGATCCTAGCGGCTCTGAAATCCTCCATGGAGTCGATGCCACTGGCGAGCTTCTTCAAGTCCACGGCGAGCTCCGGTTCGCTGAAAGATATGCGGTTCTCCCTGTTGATCTCCCAGAGACGCACATTGGCGTCCGTAGTGACGGTTACCAAACAGCGGCCGTGACGGCCGAGAGGATGCCACAAGACAGATGCTAGTGGCGCCTGGTCGAGTACGTGGGCCGTGGGGCCGAGCTGGAACGTCTTGAGCCTGATGGGTCCATTGTCTTCGGAAGAAAGATGCGACGGGTCGGGCAGGACGGCGATGTGGACGGTGTGCGAAGTGCAGATGGCCATATAATCGTCATTGGGAGAAACGACAAGCTGGGTGATTTGACCAGAGACATTCGTCTTGAGGACCTGTGGTACATGTTAGCAAACAGTCGTCTCCATCCGCACGTGCAGACATACTCTGTAAGCTTGCTCCGGTTCCTCCACGCTCTCCAAGACTTCGCGCGGGCCGCGACTGCTTCTGAGGCTCTGCGCGAACTCACTGTGGCCATTTGGAGAGCCAAACTCCCTAAGCTGTATTAGGTCTGCCCAGCGCAATTCGCTGCCGGCTACCACAAACACCTCATTCCCGCGGTACGCGATAGTGCGGTTGGGGCCAGCCTGGGATTCCTTGGTCGCGCCATTCGTGGCCTTGGGCGACTTGCCTTTCACAGAGGTCTGGTTGAAGACCTCGAAGCCAGGCGAGCCGCGCGACAGCCACGCGGGCGTGTAGCTGAGAACTCTGGGCATCTGGATGTTGTCGCAAGTCCTTTGGGTTCAATGTCGAAAGGCGGAAATTGTTCTGCGGAGTTGTTTATGAGTGGCTGCGCGCCAGAGCCCACAAACCGGCGGCGGGGGTGGATAGGGCGAGATGTTTCGGGCAATGGAATGCGCGACGCGAGGGCGGGTGTGTTTGTGCTGGAGAAGCTCCAGACCGGGATGCGATGCGGGCGCCGCCTTTTCTTCGGCCGACCAATCACAGCCCTATGAGCTTCATCAAATCCGCAAGCTGCCCGTCGCCCATGCAACCTCCGTCCCGACAACAACAAAATGCCTCCCCCGACCACGCGCAACACCGTCGACCGCCTCGACAAGCCGAGCTCCTACGCCGCTAGCAAGGCATGCAACCGCCCGCATGCGATTGACCCTTCGGCGCAGACGTGCTGACGCCAATGACAGAACCGCAAGCGCAGATATGTGCGCGAGGGAGATGAGCCTGACGAGTACCGCGGCCGCGAGAAGACGCCCGACTTCGAGGACAAGCTGAAGGATGCGACGACCCTCTACGTCGGCAACCTGTGCGCCTCCAGACTTGGCATAGCGTGAATTAAGCATAAAACTAACGAGCTACCTAGGTCCTTCTACACCACCGAGGAGCAGATCCACGAGCTCTTTGCCAAGTGCGGTGAGATCAAGCGCCTGGTCATGGGCCTCGACCGCTACCAAAAGACGCCCTGCGGTTTCTGTTTCGTCGAGTACTACACCCACCAGGATGCGCTTGACTGCATGAAGTACATTGGCGGCACCAAGCTGGACGAGCGCATCATCCGTACCGACTTGGACGAGGGCTTCGCGGAGGGAAGGCAGTACGGGTACGTATCACAGGCGGAGCATCCATGGGCAGCAAACGCTAATGCATCGACGCAGACGTGGCAAGTCCGGTGGCCAAGTGCGCGACGAGTACCGCGACGAGTACGATCCCGGCCGCGGTGGATATGGCAGAGCCGTGGACGCCGACAAGGACGACTTTTACAGATAAGCGTAGACAAGTCTCCGGATATCATTGGGAGCATTGCGGTCGGGGAAATAAGGCGTTTCGGGGCTATACCTGCTCTTCGAGCTTCTTGCGGCATTGGTGCGACGCGCTACAAAAAGGTCAAGTCTGCTGAGTTGACAGCGGGTTGCATATCCTGCGCCATCAATCTATCTCTTTTCTATCATGTACAGATGCCAGCACTCCAAAATTGTCTATCCTTAGATGGTTCATCTTACGCGCTGCTTCAGGCGCTGGCAGCGTGTTGCCTCCGCAGTGCCTCGAGAACCTGCTCCAACCACCACACATGGATCCTTGCGTCGCCCGTCAACTCTGGGTGGAAACTGGTCCCGAAAACATTCCCCTGCCTCACGGCAATGATGTCACCCTCCTCTCCCTCGTCCTTGGCTGTGGTCGTGCCATCACTTAAAGCCTTCGCCCTCCCCGGCAACCTCGCCATAACTTCGACGCTTGCCTCAAACTCTTGCCGGGCAACATCGCCCTGTGGAACCTTACTTGGCGCGACAATCGTGCCGTCCACGTCCTGAGCCTCCTCTTCCTGAATGCCTTCGACGTGGGGCAAAAGTTTCTCGACGACTGGCGCGCGGATGAACACGCTGGGGAAGGGACGTTCGGAGGTAGGCGCTGCGACGCCCTGCGTGTGTGCGAGGAACGGCAGGTCGAGGTTCGCTTGGAAGGACTCGGTTTGGCGGCCAAAGTGGTTGCGGGAGACGCGCACGTCCAGGCCGCCAATGAGCTCCTGTCCACCTTTCTTGGTGCGGTTGGCGGATTCGGCGAGCAGGATCAGGCCGGCACAAGTGCCCCAGGTGGGATTGCGTTGGACTCTGGTTGCGTAGTCAGCTTTCTGCTCAGCAATGCATGCTGTCTCTGGTCATGGAAGCCTTACTTGACAAACTCCCTCAGCGGCTCCAGCAGCCCCGACCGCTGCGCCACCAGCGACATGGTGGTGCTCTCGCCGCCCGGCAGAATCAGGGCATTGCAGCGGGCGAGCTCGTCGGGCGTGCGCACCTCCAGCAGCGTCCACTGTGAGTCATCGTCGACGCGCTTGGCCTTGAGCTCGCCAACGGCCTGGCGCAGCAGCTGGACGTGCTCGCTGAAGGCGCCCTGCAGGGCGAGCACGCCGACCGTGACCGTCTGGGGGGCGCTCGTCTTGGTCATCTTCGTCTTGGTCGTTTGAAAAGGTGTCGTCGAGTCATCGTTGCGGAGGGTGGCTGCGGCGCCAGAAAAGTGCCCGCCGATGACGCCCTAAATTCGATCAGCCGCTAGGGTCCAGCGGTACCTATCGATAAGGCGGGCGGCGGGCGGCTTTGCGCCGAAGCCCCGCGTAGGCGCGGGCTTCCAGCTCCGACCTCTCGCGGCCCCACTACAGCTAGATCCTCAGCTGTGCTTACTACATAAGACGGCCATGCCCGCGTCGCGAGTCACTGCACCACCGACGTCGCAGCCATGGAGGAGACGACTGGCCTAGTCTGCTGGCTCCTAGACACGCGCTCCCTCTGGGACGACGGGGAGCGAATCGAGCAGACCTCTGTGCGTCCACACCAGCACCCACCAGCATAACCTCCAACCCACCCTCCTCTCTCCTCTCTCCACTAACACCCTCGCCCACAGGCCTCGTCGCTCCTCTCCCTCCTCTCCTCCGACGAGCGCGACACCGTCACGCGCAAGCACTTCCTGCGCGACGCGCGCATGAGCCTCGCCTCCGCGCTGCTCAAACGCGCCTTCATCGCGCACCGCCTGCACGCCCCATGGCGCGATATCGCCTTCGCGCGCGCCCCGGACCCCGTCCACGGCAAGCCCTGCTACGTCGCCCCGGACGGGACGCCCGTCCCTGATGTCACGTTCAACGTGTCGCACCAGGCGGGGCTGGTTGCGCTGGTGGGGTGGGGGAGGAGGCCTGCTTTTGGTTCTACCGCCAATGCTACTGCCGGTAGCGGTAGTGGTGGTGCTGGTGGGAGTAAGGGTAGGGTCACTGATGTGGAACTAGGCGTCGACGTCGTCTGCGTCAACGAGCGCAACGACTACCGCACCATCGACGGCTCGCCCACCGGCTTCGCCGCCTGGCTAGACATCTACGCGGACTTCTTCTCGCCCGCAGACCTCGCGGCCATGAACACGCTCCCGGGGTCCACGGTTCTGCAGCTCCCGGACGGGACGACCATTCTCACGTCTGAGGTTGGGGCGGAGGCGCTGGAGAGCTGCTGTTCGAGGGGAGTGACGCTCCGCGCGAGGCGTGGGGGTAGTGATGGGGAAGGGGGGACAGAAGTGCACTTCCTATCCGACGTCATCGTAGAGGAGAAATTGCGCCTCTTCTACACGTTCTGGTGCCTTAAGGAGGCGTATATCAAGTTGACTGGGGAGGCGATGCTGGCGGGCTGGTTAAGGGAGGTCGAGTTTAGGAATGTGAGGGCTCCTAGGGCGGCCGCGGCGCCCAACTCCCCCTGGGGCGAAAAAGTACAAGACATACACGTCTACCGGCAGGGCGCGCTAGTCGCAGACGTCAAGCTCTCGATCCAGGCGTTCGAGGCGGACTACATGGTTGCGGTGGCGGTGCGGGGCGTGCCTGAGGCTGAGATGCCGGCGGAGGCGGTGCAGAGGGTCGCGCTGGAGGATGTGCTGCGTTTTGTGGGTGGGGCGTAGGTAGTGTGTTGATGTGTTGGTGGGTGGGTTGGTGGGTTGGGCTTTTCTTGGTTTCTTTTTGTCTTTCTTTCTTTTTTTTTTTTTTTTTTTTTTTTTTTTTTTTTTGGTATTGATCACTCGTGTATATATGTATGTTTGTTTATATATATATGTATATGTACAGTACACCCACCCATAAAACCGACCTAGCCTCTTTCTTTCTCTCTGTTAGTCGGTTTGTATCTGCGTGTGTGGGCAAGCGCGGGTGGTGGGGTTTGATTTGCTTGGTGTGGTTTGATTTGATGTGCTATGGCATTGGTATGTCCAACCGACAAAGAAAAGAAAGAGATCTCTAGCTGTCGTTTAGATCGTCATTCATCCATCCCTCTCCACCATTTTCCACCCCATGCCCATTCGTAAAGTTACTCCCGTCTCCTTCATTCCTTTCACGCACACGCCCGCCCCGCCACTCACTCACTTGGTTGCGCGAGCGGGCCGGCGTCCTGCTATCGCACACACATCTCCTCCCCATCATCGTCCTCATCGTCTTCCCATCCCCCAGCTCTCTTCAGTTCCGCAATAAATCCGTCCCAGGTATTTCCCTCGTCTGCCTCATCCATCTCGTCCTCCAGTATAACCAGCGGCGCCACCGCACCCTTAGCAGCTTCTTTGACAGTGCTGGCAGGCGCGGCTGGAGTAAAGGCAGCGGTTCGCCGCGTCTGTTGCGCGCTTGCACTGGGAAATGTGTCCGGGTCTGGGTTTGAGTCTGAGTCGGAGCTTTCGCCCATTGGGAAGCCTCCGATCCAGTGACCTGTACGCTCGGGAGCGCGCTTCTGTGCTGGCAGTGCAGATGCGGACGGAGGCGCGGGAGATGGGGATGGGTGTGCAGCTGCTGAAGCCACTGCGTCGTACGCTAGGTCCACACTCGCACTCTTCTCTCTAGGCGCGTACAGCGGCGCAGATGTGGTCCATCGTCTCAGCAGAGCGCCGTTCTTTGAACTTGAGACTGAGGTAAGTGGTGTGGTGGGGTTGGACGGTGGGCGAGCTTGTGACGGGCTGTTTGAGGTCCTGGACCGCGGGTGCTGGTCGTCCAGTGTCTGAACGGAGGTGAGATCAGGCCCGCCGAGCTCGACGAGGCGCCGTGCGTGGAGTTCGCGGAGGGTGTGCAGCCGCGCTTTAACTGGACGGAGAGGCATAGTTTGTTCTGGTGAGGTTGCCGGTGCGGGCTGAGGATGGGATTGTTGTCGCTGGCGCTTTGTGTTGGGTTGTGTCACAGTTTGTTCTGAAGCGGACCCGAGAGGAGAGGGAGAACGAGCGCCAGCGTTGCAGCTGCTAATATGTGCATGGAGGACAGGTGCCATGCTTGTGCTCTCATTCTCGCGTTTTCGTTTGCGTTCCTTGGGGTGTGGCGCCGTTATGTCTTGCTCCTGAAGGCTGTCCACAAGAGCGTGGTGTCGTAGATTTGCGAGTGAAGTGTGAAAGATTTGGGCATGATGGTCGCCCAATGGCGTCGGAGGTGGGCGCGGTCTCGCCATTTTGGCGCTGTGAAGTGGTGGTGACTGCTGGTGTGGAAGCGTGCTACTCTGCCCTTCACTCCCCCCTTCCTCCCCCACACCTTCCTCTTCGGAGAAGTCTTTTCGTTCGTGGATACTCCCTTCGACACAAATGACGTCTTTGCCGCCCCGTAACCTCACCATGTCAAAAAGAGTGCGGAGGTTGTCCATCCTGAGTTCTGCGCTCAGTAGCTTGGATTTACGGTCCAAGAGCAGGGTGAGTTTTAGGTCTTTCTGGGCAGACCAGACCACGCAATAAGGTGGGCGAAGGAGTATGTCATGCCCATTGGTGGTGGGGTGAGCGGTGATGTGACGCGCAATGGCGATCTCAAAAGAAGATATGTTGAGAGGATCGGGGAGGGGAATGGTTGTGGGAATATAAATGGTTTGTGTTTTAGAGTGGCGTTTGTCAGTGAGACCGTAAAGTAGATTGACAGTGTTAGGATTAGGAGTGTTATTAATAGAAGTAGTGTGATTATTGATTTGCTCCATGTTTTGAAAGATGTTTAGTAAAAGGAAGAAGTGTTTAGGAAGACCTCTATTTAAGCTAAATAAAATAGGGGATCTTTAGGAGGGAGTTGCTACTTCCTTCTAGACTGTTTAGTATAGATAGAAGGAGGGTTAGACAGCTCCTTCTAAATAGGTTCTATGACTCAACTAATCTTTATATAAAAGTAGCGGTTAACGACTTGAAGTGAAGTTACCCTGTTTAGCTTTAGTTCTTAGTTATTATATTATTATATATAGATATATGTTCTCCCTCTATAACTTTATAGCTATACAAGGCTCTTGTAATGACAGGTTAAAAGAACATTACAACTATATAAACGAACGTAATATCTTCCTAAAGTAGCCGGGAGATAGCTGTTATTGATACGGTGCTACTTACTACTTGACACGCTTCTCTCCTCTGTAACAGACCAGCCAGGTGCTAGTATATAAACAGCGAAACCAATACTCTCTTCAACAAGATCCTGGTTAGCGTGGTGGTGTGAAGCTCCCCCAATCCACCAGCACTAAACGAAGCATCCATGTGTGTGAGGATCAAGGTGCTTCCCTTTTTGTTTTAAACCCATGAGGGCCCGTGTTCGATTCCCGAACGTGGTAAGCGTTAGCTTCTTTTTTTACCTTCTATATTAGCATGTTGTTTTATAACTGGGAGTTTAGTGATTGTATCTACCGTATGTACTTCTCTACGACTATTCTCAAGTATATAGTTAAGAATAGATGGAGTACTTAGGCGGCTATAAGCTTGCGAGTTGTAATCTAATTAATAGAATGTGATTAATCGTCCTTCACTTTACTTCGATAGTGACATAAATGCCCGTATGTCCGACCTAAAGAAGTAACGTACGATCCGTTTAAAGACTACTGTCTCTATTTACTGTTATCTACTGAGGGATTAGTCTGTGAATTTCCTATTTCCTACTTACGGCTGTGCTATCCAATGCTGAAGCTAGCTATGTATTTGTATAATAGTCTCGTCCGTAGTAAACTAAATACCAAATGAACCCATCCCTCATCCCCTCGCTTCCAAGTAATGCTAATAAAGCCTCACGCTCATACTACTGCCCTTTCACCAACTACGCACTCCTTCACAAGCTTAGCATGCGCGGCCTTTCCCCCTGAAACCCGCTTTCACTATCACGGCCACGGTCCGCATCCTCCTCCACCGAGAATTTCCGCTTCGATTCCTTGCCCCCCAACAGCGAAGCCCGCGACAAGGCGCCCACGCTCGGAGAGACCTCCTGGCCAGGCAAAGTGCGCTCGTCATCCGAGCTGTCGTCGTCGGTCAAGAAGGGCATGTTTCCCCTCCGTCGAGCCACAAGGCCGACGTGGTTCTTGACTTCCCGCTCAGCCGCCTGCGTTGCGCTCGTCCCCGTCCCGCTGGCCGCCTCGTCGCCTGCTCCGTCTTCGTCGTCTCCGCCCTCAGTAGACCGATCCTCCACTTCGCCATGCACATACCCCCACCGGCCCACCAGCTTGACCTTGTCCTCCACGCGCGCCATGCTCGACAACTCCCTAGCCACGGCGTCCCGCTCCCGCGCCCGCTTCATGTAAGCATCGTAATCGACGCCGCGGCTCTTCATCTCCGCTTCCTCGGCGCGCGCTATGATGCTGAACTCGCCGTGCTTGTCTAGTCGCTTCCAGCGCCGTAGGATTGGGCGGCCTTTCGGGTGCGGCTCGGTGACGAACTTGTAGTTCGTGAGAGCGGTGTAGCGCGGGTCAGCGGGGTCGTCGCCGTAGATAAGCGGGTTGAGGTTCGGAAATGTGGGCTTGGGGCGGTGCAGCTTGGTGGCGCTGCTGGGGCGGGAGCCGGATGTGCGGTTTGCGCGCGCTTTTGGTTTGATTGGTGAGAGGCTGTGGCCGCGGCTGTTGCGGCGTGTGTCTTTCTTGGGAGGCTGGGGTGTTGGGACGGAGGGTTGTTGTTGTGGGTTAATGCTTGGTGTCTGCTTTGTTTGCTGTCTGTAAGCACTGTCTTGAAGACTTTTGGTCCCGTTTGGTCCATCTCTGCCAGACGCCGTCTGCTCCGTTTTCTGGCTCCTGGGGATGGTAGCATTGGTCCTGTCAACCTCGTCAAAGGCCTCATGCACTTTCTGCGCCTCTACCCAAATGACGTCTTTGCCGCCTCGCTTTTCGATCATCTGCAGCAGGCTCCTAAAGTTATCTTCCCGGATTATGGCCTGAAAGACGGTCGCCGGCAGTGAACCTGCTTCACCACGTTCGAACTCTTTGTCGATGCTTTCCTCATCCAGGTCCCACAGGACCCGGAGTGGCCATTGTAGCTGCCATCCTCGGGCAGCAGTGATGTTGTTGGCTAGGGCGAGGCGTCCGATGGCCTTGTTAAAGTCAGGGAAGGTCAACGTTTTGGCCACCTCGATAACGTCTGTTCGGCGCCTGGTTTTGTCTTCCCGGTTGAAGACGACGAGGGCAAGGAGAGGCTTGGCATCTGGTGTTTCATCCTCTTCCATGGTGATGGTGGTGTTTTTCGCTGGAGTGTTGAGGTCTTCTTTCCACGGTGATGGCGATGTTCTCCGCACGACAGCTTTCCGCGAAACCCCTGGGAGAGCGTTGACTGCTGCGTGAAAAGATCGAGGAAGCTAACGTGTTGAGAGCTGGGAAGGAGTGAAGCTGCTGTAAAAAGCTGATAGAAAAAGGAAGTAACGACCGAGCAAGATGCTGGGAAAAAGGATGCTTGAAGCATAAGCTGCCTTCATCTCTCAAGGCAAGATTGATCAACAGCTTTTGATTTTGTATATGTTCATGTTTTCCCGACGATAGAATCGTTTTTGTCGCTTTTCATATCCGATGACTGTCTCTAAAATCTGTATCAGGGTGTTCAACCGTCCAATCCAATCCGTCAAGTCCATGTCTTGGTGGCGGACGGTAATCCGTAATCCCTTACAATTCAACCAGTAAGTTGGACTAGGGACGGGCGTCTTAGGTTCAATCCGATAAGAACTTACCTTATAGAAGGCATAGTATAGGGAAAGGCGCGGGCACATACTATGGGACGTATTAGGTATACCTTCTTAGGCCTAATTCGGCATATTACCCCTCAATACCATCCGTATTCAATTGTCCTGCCCCGTACTGTTTCAAATCCATCCCTATACCACCTTCGATCCGCCACCGTCCCTGTAAAACATGAATGGGATGGACGGAATGGTACCCTTATTAACAGGGCCCCGTCTGATCTGTTCCGTTCTGCTTACAAAAATGGACGGGACGGATCAGATTGAACATGGATTGGAAGGATGAACCTCATCCTCATCGGATGCAATAACAACCCTCAATCGAGTATACCCTCCCCAGTATATTCCGTTCTCCATCTAGGCCTCGCTGCATCCACAAACTCCCTAAACTCTATCCCCTCCCGTCTTAGATTTCTTCTAAAGTCCATCTTCCTTTTCCAGCTCTCTGGTGCCCTTGGCCCTTCACGGGTGGGAGGTATATAAGATTGAACCCATGCATGAAAGACGCGGATGCCCACCACCGCAACAAGCCATACGAGCATGACAAGTCCGATGAGCGCAAATGATATCACAACAAACCACCATATGTTCTTTCCCGTACCGTTGATTTCTTGTATGTTCATACCGAAAATCGAAGATGCAAGACTGATGGGCAAGAAAATAAAGGCAAGAACGGTCACTGGGGTTTGAGGCAGATTAGCTCAAGTCTACAAAAGGAGGATACTGAATTTTTACTTACACAATCTGACCCGCTTGCTTCCTGCAATCTGTTCGCTTGCCATGGCCATACTTCTGATCGAACTTTCCGTGGAAATCAAGTTCGATAGAAGCTCAATTCTGTCCTTCAATGAAGAGATTGATGTTTCAAGAACTTCAAATAAGACTTGACGCTCGCTCTGAATTTCTAGAATCAGAGACTTGGTGTTTGGGTCGGTAGTGTCGAGTGTGCGTTCTGTAAAATCCTGTATATGTCGTGTTGCATGTTTGCCATGGCCGAGAAGGCCTCGTTGACTACGTAATCCTTTGTATACCCTCTCCGGTGTGTCTCCAAATTGTTCTTTGTGATGATAGACAAGTTCTTCCCACTTTTCAATTTTATTTTCGGCGTATACCAAACTGTATCTCTCTGATCTCATTTGTATCTTGGATAGACAGTGGATGCAAGCGAGCAGAGCTGGCTGTTTTCTGGATCTCGAATGTTGACGGAAACAAGTCATAAAAACTTTTTGAAGCTGAAAAGCCTCACGATCTGCTGGATTCATTGATAGGGTCGACTGGGCGCCTTTAATTTTATAAGCATTACTCTTCACACTGATTTTATTTTCAACACAATTTAAAGCCGTTAATATATTACAAAAGGGAGGGTGCGAACTATGTAAAGGCTGTTAAAACACTTGCACTTACTCCTATCATGTGGCCTAGAAGGTCTCGCGGATGAATCGAAAATGCTTGGCCGCCCATTTGTCATCGGAATAGCTTGAACTTCATCATCCATCCTGATTAGCGTTACCGGATACATATGTTGGAAGGGGAAAAATATAATAGCTAAAAATCACCAGTCGTTAGCAAACAAAACTGCGATGGGAAAGCGAACATAGGATACTTACTAGTATCGACATCTTGTCCGTCCCAACTTTTTCGGCCGAGATACAGTAGATGGCGACTAGCCAAGAACAACTGACCGTCGGTAGGCCATGATTTCCCAAATTCGCCAAAATGGGACTCCGGGAATAGCACATGATCGAAAACAATTGGATCAATACCCAACGTCATCCCCAGGTAATCAATGATGAAGTAGTCAGGATGAATTTTAGTAATCACGAAAACGATCCGGTGGACTGCTGTCTTGGCAGATTCATCCAGTTCTTGCTTGAAAGACTTGAGTTTCTCTTTTAACTGATCAGTAGGTTCTGAGCCTCTGTATGCAACATATGCTGCAACGGAAGCATTCCACTGCTGAACGTCGCCAGTTACATCAATAGCGCTTATTGAGCTGTTGCCAAACTGGTTGAAATATGGCTCAATGGAATTTTCGAGGTATTCTCGCAGACGCTTGCATTCGGGCTAATCCTTTTCGATATGGCGTAGGTACTCGAGGTATGAGTTGAACTTGTGTCCGTCAGGTTGTTGAGATGGTGGATTTGTGGTTGGTGTTGGTGACGAGGGGCCTGGCATGGTAACTGAGCCTTGTGATGCGCGATGAGAAGGTTGATTGGTTGAGTGTGGTGGTGACGACGGAGCGGACATTCAGACTTGATCTTTTAAAGCGCGATGAGGAAGTTCCTGTCCTGTATGTAGGTAAAACGTGTTAAAATTAATACGAAGCCGAATAAGAAGAGACAAAAAATCAACGTCGCATGAGTAGGTATTTCGCGGGAGCCTGCCTTTAAGCCAACCATTTTGCCACAGATCTATTTAAACATTTCCATACTTCGTATGTGCAATCAGCCGTGTGTATGTACGTAGAACCCAAAGATGCCATAGCTGGTGAGTATATGCAGCCTACACCGCGTCCGATCGATAATTCAAAAGCCGGCTTCCAAATACGCCACGTTCATTTGCTTTTTTGCCTGGCTGTGCACGAGGTATTGACGGCCTTGAGGTGCTGGCTGTCGGAAGCTTAAAGGTGGTGTAGGGCGTAAGACTCGCCTGGGACGCTATCGCTGCCCTGGATATTCGTCAATACAACTGCGCACTGTCAATTAGACATCTTTTCTGGCTTCTGGGTCCCAAGTCTCTGGAAAACCGCTTGCGCAGAGGTCCTGATCATTGCCCAACAGGATGCTCAAGGCTGTGCTTATCGTTTCAGCTGTTCTGCCGTGTGACGGGCTGTTTCGCCGGCCTTTTGCCGGTCACGGGTTAACTGGGAGCGATCTCTTGTGAGGCGCTCGCGCTACGCGATCAGCCAATGTCAAGCAGATGCCAGGATGCGCAATTGACCTCTCAAAACACGGAATTCCAAGCTCTTTTGCATGAGACTTATCCTATCGGAAGGTGAGCGTTCGGCGTTCATGTGCCAAATTGATTTATCTCGTGAAAGCGCGGCGCAATGGCCAAGAGAGATCTGACAGCTCACCAACGCAGCAACGAGCAGCGCAGCGCAGCGCAGGCTCAACCCCATTGACGTTCCAGAATGCGTCAGAACTAATATAAGGGCGGAGATGAGCAGCGTGCAGCCGGGGCGAAAGCCATTGGCGCGCGCAATGGGTGGTAAACATATGCAAGTGGCTGCGTTTGATTGATGTCTCGACGGGCGGCACAGGGGGCTAGGCCACCGAGGTTTCGTGAGCCAGCATAGTGTTCCAGGAAGTAAGGAAAGAGTGACGGGCTCGTTCCCCAAATTTCTCCAACGGCGCATCCATCGGGGCCAAAAAAGAAAAGGTGAGGTTGGCGTCCCCAGCCATCGCAGCCACCGGCCCAATTGGAAACGCGCGGTGCGGAGGACGTGGGCAGGTGGGACCGAAAGCGGACGTGTGCATGATGGGCGCGCCGGACACGAGGAGAATCCAATGGCCGGAGCCCACGACGAGGGAAGGTGGAGACGCGCGATCAGGCGGCGGCAGCAATGGCTGTTGTGCAGAGAGAGGGTTATGCGGACCTCGGGTGTTGGCCCTTCAACAGGGTAACGGTGTGCGATGATTTGCAGTGGCCTGGGGAGAGCTGCCTTAGCGCGTCGTGGGCGATCGAGGGCGAGCTTGGGCCCCAAACAACAGCAACCGCCCAGCCGCCCACTTCGTCTCCACCACCTGGCCTCCGACTCGCCAGCCTACTTGTATTCCTCGTCATCCTACCCTTCTTTCATCCTCTTCCCCCCTTTCCTCCATCCCTTCTGCAGCCAATTGCGCGTGCACCCACCCGCAACACCTCTCCGCGACATAAGATTGTGACGCTGGCCCCGACCACGCTTCACTCTCTTCCACCGCCCGCTTCTTCCCAGATAAGGAGCCAAGAAGTTCTTTCTTGACTTCCTTTCGAATTGTTCTTGTAACGGTTCGAGAGGGCTTCAAGAAGAACGCCGCGACTCCGTCAATCTGGACTTTGACGCCCGCGTCCCGATCCCCTTCAGTGTCTTCCCGTCCTCGTACCGGAGCGACGCTGTCACAGCAGAAACAACAAAAGTCAAGGTAGAGAGCGAAGTCAATCTACCTGATCAGTCTTCGCGCGTTGGACGGGAAGGTCACCTCGAAGGACATCCGCCCAAGGAACGCCACTTCGAAGAAGAGGTACGCGTCTACGAAAGAGACCGTCATCGACCCGCCGTCCGCCGTGAGGAGGAGTTCCACGTCTACGAGAGAGAGCAGACCCCCCGCTACCCGCCTCCGCCTCCACGTTCCTCTCGTTTTGAGCTCGACGTCGACCGGCAGTCTCGGTAAGTCTCACGCCGCTTCCGGCAATCCCCATGCACAAATCGCGCACACGAGCCGCTCCCAGCCTCCAAGACCCCTGTGGCTCCCCTCTAGCCGGCGCCAATAGCGTCATTCTACCCCGTTTGTTGCCAGGGCGACTGGTCACCGACTTTCTTAACCGCCGCCCCATCCCGGCCTCCCCTGCCATTGATCATTTCCCTCCGCTGACTTGATTCCTTCGTTCCCCATAGCTACCAAGCGCCTTACCAACGCTACGACGAGGCCCAGATCAACGTCCAGGATCGCACCTACGACCGTGAGTTCCAAACCGTTCACGGCCCTCCCACCACCTACGGCGACTCTCAGATCGACCTCACCGAGAGGGAGTATCGTCAACGCAACTCGGTCCCCATCGCCGAAGACTTCACCCAGGCGTCCCGTTACGCCGCCGGCTCCTTTGACCAGCAACCCCGTTACGGTCAGCGTGCCGAGTCGTTCGACGGCCGGTACTCGCAGGCCCACTCGGATCGAGTAGACGCTACCGCTACTCGTTCCACCGTCGACCCACCCAAGCACAAACGTGACATGGGATATTACGACGACGAAGGCCACTATCATAGCTTCCGTCACGGTCTCCACAAAGCCGCCGATCGCATCTTGCACCCCATCCACGGCCACAGCCACTCCGCCCACCACCACCAGGAGCACGAGCCTCACCCTGACCGCGAGGAAGTCTTCGTCAAGGAAACTTACACTGCTCCCTCGCCCGCCCCAGTCTCTGCTCCTGCCCCCGCTCCCTCCAGCTACTACCCCGAACCTCGCTCATCCCGTCGCTACTCAGAGCCTAGCGCCATGTCTTCTCCCAACTCCATTACCATTCCCTGCCATCACGTCCGCATTGGCGATCTCCTGATCCTTCAGGGCCGCCCTTGCCAGGTGATTCGCATCACGACTTCCTCCCAGACTGGTCAGCACCGCTACTTGGGTGTCGACCTCTTCACCAAGCAGCTTCATGAGGAGTCTAGCTTCATCTCCAACCCGGCCCCGTCGGTCGTCGTCCAGAACATGCTGGGCCCCGTCTTCAAGCAGTACCGCGTGCTCGACATCCGTGAGGATGGCCGCATCGTCGCCATGACCGAGACGGGTGACGTCAAGCAGGGCCTGCCTGTTCTCGACCAGTCCAGCCTGTCCAAGCGCCTTGCTGACGCCTTCGACAACGGCCGTGGCTCCATCCGTGTCCTCATTGTCAACGACGCTGGCAACGAGATGGTCGTCGACTACAAGGTCATCCACGGCTCCAGGTTGTAGATGCAGCTTAACGGTAAGTTTGGTCTTGATCTACATTGACAAGCGACAGCACTGACATTGCGCTAGCACATCACTTTCCTTTGGTTATGACAACCCCTCACGACATCTTGGCTTCTTCGGGACCGAGACATCAACGTGTTCATAAAATTTTTCATTTTTCCACTGCATCTGCCAAGCGACTGGCTGACAACGTCACGTGCTGATAACCACGCCGGTCTCTTGGCTAGTTGACTTCACACCTTCCTTTTTCTACCCCCTTCTGACGATTTATGCTTGCTTCCGTAACGCGTATGACATTCTGGCGCAGTCAAAAAACAGTACTTGAGCCACATTCTTGTGTGCCCAGGTGACACTGGCGTCTTGATGGCAGGTTAATGAAGGCACACGCGATGGATGATTGGGATGAGGGAAATTCTGGAGCTGGTATGGATAGTTAATGAGACAATGTGTTTGCTGGACTTTTCTGTTTGCTCCGAGCTCCGTGCTTGTACCCGTGCGTACTCTACGCCCCTGCGTGCGATAAGGTGAAAAAATTCAAAGCACGAGCGGCATGTCTGATCCAACGAACAAGAAGGCAACGATGCCTTGTCTGCTCTGGCTCTGGGAGCACAACAGCACGCAAGGCTCGCGCAACCACCCGTCTCTGTATCGCGACCTGCATGCCTATTCTGCTGTCATTGGTCGCGCTGGTGTTGCTGCCCTTGTCAATTAGCGGCATGAGCTGAGACACGGCTTTGCTTGCGTTTTGGCCTGCTACATACATGGCGTACCTATCTAATTCCAGGTCCAGGGTCCACGCAGACAGAGACGTCTGAAGAAGGACGTGCGAGGCTTGATCTTAGGGTCTCGGGACCGAATTCGCATTGTCGATCTCCGCCAATCTAGCCGCAGCTGTGAGATCTTCAGACGCCGGCCCCGGATTTGTCTTGGAGATTGATGCGTCTGGGGCCTAGTGGGTGTTGTGAGTTGGCCGCAAACGTGGAAGGGCTCGTGGGGGGGCACGTCAGCATGCAGCAGAGCGGATCGCGGGTGGCTTGCAGTGGAACTGGCCGAGCACGAGGGAGACCTTAGTTTAGCTACAAAAAATATGTCCAAGGCTGAAAGAAATTAAAAGCGATGACGATGGGGTGAGAGCGAGGCCTGTGCTCTTTTTGGCTTCCCTGTGCAAATCTCTCCAAGGGAGCTGGCATCCAGACTTTCCGTGCCGCTCCTCCACATCAGCTTGAGTAAATCACTGCTCTCTTGCTTCTCCAGTCTCCACCCCTTGCCTTGCCGCCGCCGCTGCATGCTCGAGGCTGTTGCTCCTGCGTGCCATAGCGCTTCGGCCCAGTAGCGTCTCGCTCCTTTTGTCATCACCGTCGCCTCCCGCGCCGCCGCCATCGACCCATTGGCGTTTGTCCAGCGCATCCACAACCCCGAAGTCCATGACATCAACCCGGTACACTTGTCCGCGCTGCCGCACTTTTCGCCTTCGACTCGCCTCTCTACGCCCACGCCCTGCTATGAAGCCGCTGCGCGCTCTCATCGCATCAAGATAACATGTTCAGCAGGCGACGCCGCGCGGCGTCCAACCCAGTACGTCCTCACCGCCGCATCCGCGTCCGCATCGCCGACTAACAGTAGCATCGCAGCCTCCGAACCGGGGTGTGGTCACCGCGAATCCCACCGCTGCTCTCGCCGCAAGTCAGGCCTTTCTCAAGAATGCCAACTCTAACGCATCCCTCTCTTCCGCAGCCGCAGCGGCGGCTCTGCGGTCGCATCAGTCCTCTCCCGCCCCGGTCCATACCATCCAGACAAAGCGCATGCAGCGGAGGGCCTCGGTCGCATCTGGCGCAAGCGCTGCGACAGCCCCTACGATGCAGCGTCGCATGAGCAACGGCTCCATGAGCGACCGGACCTTCCGCTCTCCGTCGCCGGCCCGCTCCAGTGACAACGGTGTAGCCGCGGACACGGATGCTCCACCGGTCCCAGCGATACCGAGAGATATGTCGCCCATGCCGAAAGGCAAGCGTGCAGCGAGCGCCGACCTACCTCCCATGCGCGTGGCTTCCCCGAACCCGAGGAAGCCAGGGGCTAGACCTATGAGCGTGGATGCAGGCAATAGGAAACCGGCCTCGAACGTGCCTCAAAGAAATCGTGCTTCTACGTTGTCGCAAGTGACAGAAATGGATGATTCAGGTAGCCAAAAGTCTATCAATTTCTCCCGGCCCATGTCCCCGCGGGTCACGCCCACGCCCCCAGCAACTCCTTCACCCATCAAGACGAGCCATAGCGGCTGGTACACTACTCCAGTGGTAAACGACGTGAAGCCGAGGGAAGAAATTGATACCAAGACACCTTTTACCGGTAAGAAGTCAGCTTCCGGAACCACCGGCTTAGAAACGTCGATACACAACGCCGCGAACCAGCCCGTGAAAAAGAGGAAAAAGAAAGTGACATCTGGTGGGGAAGGAAGTCATTTGGCTGGTGGGACAATGGGTGCCAAGCCTACTGGAACCGCCGTGGATACCACTGCCTCAACGCCTAATCGTCCAAGAACCCCTTCGTCCACAGTGGCCGCCCCAGCTGTTCCCGACAGTCCGCAGAGCTCCGAGCTTTCCGACTCTTCCGACTCGGAAGGTGTCATTTCAGCAAAGCCGGCGGCGCTTGTCAGACAACCTTCAACAGTTATGGAGCAACCGGAAGCAGAAGAGCAAGCAGAAAACCGGAAGGTCGTAAACAAAGCAAAGAAAGTTCGACCGAAAGGGACACCCGCGGCATCGAGGGTTGCACCGGCAAAGGCGCATGTTGCAGAAATTCAAAAGGCCAAGGACCCAGTGAGATCCTCGAAACAAAGCCTAGTTGTAGGAACGGATGCCGCAACACTGCGTGGTGCAGGCCGAGGCACGGGCCATGAAAGACAATCATCTTTAAGCCCAGGACGTCAAGCACATTTCGTCAATGGTTTGGTGGAACCAGCTAGCGGTATCAAACATCAGCCGCCACCGCGCTCTGTATCGCCAGCAAAATCAGCTCTCAAGCACTCACCATCATCTGCAAGGACAGGCTCGCCCATTCCCTTACGCATGACCCAAACGCCATCTGACGTCGGGTCAGATACGGGGTCAGAAAGAGGGCCGAGTCAAAAAAGGAAAAAGAACGTTCGTGTCAGTTTTGATGACGGTGCCGTTGCCGATGATGAATCGCCTTCCGCGCAACCCACTGGCCTTGAGTCCTCTCGCTGGAGTGGCAGGACCTTACGAGGTGAAGAGGAAGACCTGGACGAAATCATGAAGCCAAGGCCAGCATTGCCAATGTTCGGTAGTGTTCGGAGAGAGCGCAGAGATCGAGTTGAAGAATTTCCTCAGAAGGTTACTGAGACTGTAACACCATCAATGTCTAATTCTGTTAGCACGGTCGTCGAGCCTATGGAAGCATCGACTGACCAGGTAGTAGGTGGAGTTCTTGCGGAGAACTTTGCTTCGGGGAAGAATAATGAAAGTACTGTAGCACCGGAGGTCGCCCCTACTGAGGCTGTTAATAAGGCCTCCGGTGCGGACTACAGCGCAGATGAAAAAGAGATGGACTCTCTGAGGAAGAACGATACGGACCCCGTTGCTAAGGCTCTTGAAGGCGAAAACTCGAGATCCGTTGACGTCTCGGAAGAGAAGCCTGACGGATCAGCATATGGAGATTTGATGGATGTGCCTAGTATTGCGGTGCAACCAGCCACTCCCGGAACGGAAGTCGAGACTGGAGAGCTGCCATTCGAAATTCCTGGCTCATGGTCTGGTGACGAGGAGCCAAAGTCTCGCAAAGGAGCCCCGTCAGATGGCGGCCCTGGTCCAATTGAGCCGGGAGTTACGCTCGAGCAGTACCTTGAAAGCGACGGTGAGGAGAAAGACGAAGAGGAGGAGGAAGAGGACGGCACCGACGACAACACCGATGATGGCAGCGTTTACAGTGATGCCGCAGAGTCTCTGGTGGAAGGAGAAGAAGCCGGTTTTGCTTCACTCAATGCCATTGTCGAGAGCCCATCTATTGGTACGACTGCTTCTCCTCCCGAAAGCCCGGAGGCTGCCCAAACAAATAAGGCAGGGCGCGGAGACCAGATCCGGCCACCTCAGAACGAAGCGAATTGGGACCAAGCAAAGTCATACTGGAGCGGCCTCAACGCACAGCGCAAGTCTGGCACAGAGGATATGACAAGGCATGAGCCCTTCGAATCGGAGAATGGGCGCGACCTGGAATCGGAACCTGCGCTGAAAGAGAAAAAACCGAAGAAAAAGAAGAAGGCAACGGTTTTTGTCGAGCCAAACAACGCGACATCGCCTGCGGCGGCTCGACAAATGGCTCCGAGGCAGCCCCCGAACCAGTCAGCTCAGCCGAAGAAGTCGGCGCTCAAGTCGAGTATGCGCGCCCCGAGGCCCGCAGAACCTGTCGAAGAGGCTCGGCCTGTCCGCATGCGTGCGTCTATGAGGGATGCACCTCCTGCGAGAGAGGGCAGTATGCGGACGACTATGAGACAAGGGCCTGCGAGAGAGGGAGGTATGAGGTCTTCTATGAGAAGTCCGCCTCCCTCCAGAGAGGGTGGCATGCGGACGAGTATGAGAAGCCCTCCCACTGGTCTTGCCGCTTCCCGATACAGCGACACTGCTATGGAGTCGCGTGAACAGAAGGGTGCCCTGCAAAAGCGGAACATCCCTATGTCTGCTCAGAAGCCCGTGCCAGCGCCCACTCGGCGGAGTGCAGCCAATGTAGTGGTGCCCCAGCAGAGGATGTCTGCGACGATGCCCGCCTTGGGTCGGACGCTCTCTAACGACTCCGATGCATCAGTGAGCAGCTTCAAGAGGGCGCGTCGCCCTTCTGCTGTGAACGATGAGGGCCGCTACAGCATGCGTCGCAGCATGCGCAACTCTGTGTCTGAGGCACCTACGATGCGGTCCAGGTCCCCCGTTAAGTCTCCCGTCCCTGGAGCTTCTCGATCTTCTCGTCTTAGCATCCGCTCTCTCTCTCCCACAAGCAACCTCTTTGGTCGCCGTCCACTCGCTGCCCAGAACCAAGACTCATCCTTTCCCACCCTCCGCTCCTCGCAGCCACCGCCCGCCAAGTCCGCACGCTTTTCCATGCCTGCCAAGTCTAGCAAACAAAGCAAACCCGCCAAGAACACATCCACGCGTTTCAAGTCCCGCTTTGCCGACTCGGACGATTCAGATGACGACGTCCCAGCGCTGCCACGCTTCCGCTCCCGCTTCGCCGATTCGGACGACGAGTCGGATGATGAGGCTATGCATGCAAACCTCAGACCAGTGCGCGGTATCCCGCGAGCCGCCGGCCAGGAAGACGGCGACTCAACAGACCTGGAGGAGGAAATGGAAGAGTCCGGTACATCGCGGCCGCCGACCTCAGGTACGGCCCCGCCGCCACCACCACCCGTGCCCTCGAGCCAGGACATTGAGCGCGCGCTGCCGAAGGGCGGTCTGCGCGATAGCAAGTACGCCCCCAAGAACGACGCTGCCACGCCTCGCAAGGAGAAGCGCGGCTTCTTCGGGCTGGGCAAGAAGCGCCAGCAGCAGCGGCCCAGCACGCCTACGGGCACGGCTCCCGCCACTGCATCATCATCCTCGCCGCAAACAACAAATGGCAAGCTCCAGCGCCGCGCAGCGTCGCAGCCGCCAGCTCCGAACGACCACTGGCCGCTCACGTCGCTGCCACCGCCGGTGCCGCCAATCCCGGTCGACGAGTCGGAGGCGAGTGAGGCCCGGCCGGAGACTTCGGATGGGCTTGGGTTCCGGCCGAAGCTGGCGAAGCGGTTGAGTGCTGCTGGGGGCAGTGAGAGGGGTGTCAAGTCTAAGGAGGTGTTGGGAAGGAGTGGCAAGAAGAAGAAGTTCGGTGCGTTGAGGAGGGTGTTTGGGTTGACTGACTGATTGATTGGTGGTAGTGGGGTAATGGTTGGTAATGTTTAGTGTCTGTCTGACTGTGCTTGTCTGACTTTGTCTTGTCGTGTTTGATGACCGACGAGATGAGCGAGACGGACAAAGCAGGCGAGGCAGGACGGGGCTTGTCGCCATCGCTGTCTGTATACCTGCCTGTTTACCTGCCTCTATCATGACAGGCTGACAGGTTTCTCTCTCTATTTTTCTTTTTCTTTCATCTCTCTTCCTCTCACTTTACTTTCCTTTTCCTCATCGGACATCTTCCCTCCTACCGACTTACCTGACTACGCATGTCTTCACGCTTTCATATTTCTGTTTCTTTCTTATACTACACCTAATGCCTTCTACTACCTACTACATAATCACTCTTTAATGGCATGGTATCTATGGGGTGGGAGGGGGTTGTACGTCTTTTGCTCTTCTTGTTTTTCTGTTTTATAGAAGGACAGATGGTTGGACGGGTGGGTGGACGGTACACGAGTAGTGCAGCCGCTACGGCGGGACTCGGGGAGGAGTTCAGCGCGCTTGCTGGCTGCTGGTTAGTGGTGGCGGTGGTATTGTTGTTGTTTTTACTTACTTGATATACCCTCACTAGCGTTCTTCAACGTTCGCTGAGGCTTCTGGGGCTTTGGCTTGCTTGCTATATACCACGACACCCCCTCTCTTGCTGCGCCGCCGTTGGTGGTGTGCTGGGGTGGAAGAGGGGTGTTTTTGCGTTTTTGTTGGCTTGGTGGCTTTTACGCTCGTTTGATTGGTGGATTCTATTTGATTCTGTATACGAGTGTAGGATTTATTGATACTACTATACCACGCATATACATGGATTTTTCTGTTGCTAGAGTTTCTTTTGAGGGTTTGTTCTTGACTCTTGACGTGGATCACTTCTTTTGTTTCTTCCCGCCCCTCTTGCCATGGATGTAGGAGTTGAGGGTTATGTCTAGCTTCACTGAATGATATGTTTTGTGCTAGCGCAGTGAAAATAAAGATGGCTTTTATATGTTTTATTACTATTTATCGCTGATCATACTTTAGGTTTCAGATATAGCTAAGGCAGCAGCAGGAGCTTCAGATAGCTACATCCGGAAAACAAAGCTACCCTCGATAAATTCAGAAGTACAGACAAAAAAGACGGCATGTTCCAAGAATACTCGGGCATTGGTGCTCTATCCGTTTGAAAGAGAAGCAGGTTATAGAAATAAACGAGGCTCTGACCATAGACGTAGCAGCGTCACACAAATACCAGTTAAAATTCCAAAGAAGCAAGGACTTAGGACCGACAAACAAGTCAACATCAACAACCAACTCAGAAAGGAGCTAACCATACTCGACAACACGATAACTCGTACGACGCAAAGCTCGACACAAGCGTGTGCACGCTTTCGCCAAGAGTTCTCCACCTGCTTCTAGCAGCGATGATGATGATGGCGCCCATTGCCATCGGCGCGCGGTGCTGGTCAGCGGCGCCGGATGGTGATGACGGTGGAGGATATTGTGTGCGGCGCGGCGAGGTGATGGGGGAGGGGACAGAGGGAAAAAGCAGCGTGAAACAGGCAAAGGAAACTGAGCATGCGCATGTACTCGGGGCTTGTATGATGGTATTGATGCGCGCATTGGATGGGCGGGTAGGCAGTCAACATGGGTGTTAAGATTACCCTTTTGGGTAGGTTTACTTTTTGCCACATTCGCTGCAGCTAAAAAGCACACACAAACACAGAAGAAAGAAAGCGAGCAGACGCGCAGGGAATCCCCAATCTATAATTACCTACCAACGTATCAACACACAACCACCAACCACCAACCTTTGCTCCAAGTCCACGGCCCGCTTCCTCCACGCCTGCTTCCAGCAAGCAGCAAAAGAGCAAAAAGACATAAACATACGGCAGCTGGGATTCGCTAGTGGTCACCCACCTAACTACTAATCAGCCGGTTCGCGGCTTGTGTATGGCAGAGCGGACGGGATGCCCAATTCTCCGCGACCTATGGTCGTATGTGCTAGAAAGAAATGGACCATTTGAATATATACCGGGAGTTGCTGATAATGATGCTTAGTTGGCATTTTTGTTGCCTAAACTTTTCCTAATACTGTTGCGTGGTTGAGTGGGAAGGAGCGTAGAGTGAGAAATGGATAAAGGTTTAGAGGATTTGTTGTATGCTGTTTATATCTATAACGTTGTAGCCACAATTGTGTTGTATCGCGTATAGGATATGCCTAGTACATCGGTTCATGAACTCCGAAACGTAGTAGTTCGGGTATTCCCGCTGCATTTAAATGTCTACAGTTATCCGATGGTATAGCCAGCCGGGGATAGAGAGAAAGATAGTAGAGGAGCCAACTACATCTTATGCTTTCAAAACAAGCTCCGCTCGAGCATACATTTCACCGACTGGGTCAGGTCTAAGCAGTGCTTCCACAGAAGAAACATTTCCGAAAGAGAGATCGAAGACAAACAACTTCCTCACAGGCCCAGACAAGCCGAGCACAGCAATGAAGAAAAAGAAAACCAAGCCAACCAGCAGCAAAGAAGGCATTTGTTCGCGTCAGCCCGCAACAGTGCAATACAAGCGACACAGTGGCGACGACGTCGCAGCAAAAAGCCGCGCAGCCGCCGCGCGAGGTCCAAAAACTAGTTAATCACGAATGCACCTCCGTAGAGGGCTTTTAGCGATTAAACTAAAAAGAACAGATTAGCCAACATCCTACAATAATGGCTGGAACGGCCGCAAGAACGCTTACCTAAAAAGAACAGATACTGCATTTAGATCTAAGCCAAGAGGCAAAGAGAACTGGAGAAAAAAGACGGAGGGAGGGAGGGGGGAGGGGGTTTATATACACTGGGGGTTGGGGCCGTGCGTGCGTGGTGAGGTCACTGGCGAGCATTCTGGAAAGGTATGGAAGGTTGTGGAAGGTTCTGCGTGTTTGAAGCGGCTTTGTGTGTTATTGTGATTGTTTGGGGAGCGTGGCTCACCCTTGGAGCTTCTCTTTCGCCGTACGGTTAGCAAGCTATTCTTCCCGCTGCAGGTCGCGATTACTCCATATCCACATGAACAGGATCGATATCATGAAAATTGGACAAAGGAGTTGCAAAAGTGTAAGAAAGAGCGAGTATAAGCGCGCAACGTCTCCTTCTTTCTCGAACTGAAACCAGTGAAATCAAACACACTACTACCTACCCGCATCTACAGCCTTGCTACTGCTATAACTCCGCAGTGAACGCAAAGGGCATGTCAGTAGAATCTTAAGGACCTCTACTTCCAGATACTGCATACATCATTTCAAACCAACTTCGTATCTACCCATCCCCATCTCCCAACATTCTCCTACACACCCCTTATTCCCTTACCACCCACGCCCCCAAAAACTCCTCACAACTACAACCACGACAACCCCATGCGCGGCCCAACACAATAGCGGCGGCGCAGGCAGGAAATTCCCGCCTGGAGTGCTGGCGACGTAGATGGCGAGGTGAAGTGCCAGTGCGAAAAGGAGGCCTAGGGCTGTGTGGGGGGTGTTTGGTTGAGGTGTTTGTATCTGTCGCGGTGGTGGTGGAGGGGGAAGCGATGGTTTGGTGCGGGACATTGCTTGGGTTTGTGTGTTTGTTGTTGTTGATGTTGTTATTGTGGTTTGGTGTTTGCGGTCGTCGTCCTTGTTGTGCTTTGCGCTTGCGCCAGGATGGCTGAATAGATGGATGGATAACTGAGGTGTAGGAGGTAGCGGCAGTGTTCGTGCGAGTGTGAGTGCGTGTGCCTAGATAACTAATGCGCAGTGAGCAAGCCAAGCAACCAAAAAGCAAGCCAACAAACAAACAAACTGAGGAAGGGGAACAAACCACAAGTCTTAAACAAGCAACTCACCAAGCCAAGGCAGGCTCAAATCCCCAACAGTCCTGCAAAAGAACCAGTATACAGTATGTAGGATGTGCCCCGACACAACCGCAGCAGCCACCCAGTCCTTTATACCAGCGCCCAGCCACCCCATAACGCACAACCCCGCCCAAAAACCCCAACAACCATAAAAAGCCCTTCTGGCCACGTACACCTCACTCCAGCAGTAGCAGCAGCAACAGAAGCACCACCGTATCCATATCCATATACGAGGCGCGTCCGTGCCTGCAGGCAGCAACAATTGCCAGAGTGCAGGATAAACCATAAACCAATCCACCCAATCCATTAGTTTAACTGTAAGGAATATAGCCTAATTAGGCATGATTTAGACTGTCTAGTTATACGGTTAAATAGACTCTAATCGGTTTAATCATACCATACTAAAGTATTTTCGCTTCCGGCTTCGTACCTTCGTACCCGCATTCTTACCAATTTATAGACAGGTAAGCGCCAAGTTAAATCCGATAAGGTCTCTACGCGTCTATAACTATACAACTAATACTATACGCAATATCCCGCCCTAATATAGAGCTACTCGCTTTTGATTATGAATAAGTTGGGTTAAATGTAAATTAGTCTGTGTGGGTAGGCGATGACCGTGTTTCTTTCGGCACAATTAATTTAGTATAGTTTGAAAGGAGTATTAAATTAATTCGACTATACTGGGATTGGCCTGTTCCGCACACTGATAATTCAACTGCACCTCCTACACACACACACAGCCAACCACAGCGCCCCAAAAGCCTTTCCCAAGCCCTATCATCCACTTACGCCGTACTGTGTCTTCTCTTCTTTTGGTTTTGCGTAGGCAGGTTAGTATGCTGAGGTTTGTTGTTGGGTTGGGGTGGGGGTTGTCTGCGGTTTAGGGAGTAAAGCTTTCTCCTACTCGCCCCGTCTGTTTTCTCTACCACTGCATCAGAAACCACTACACCATCGCCTATCTGTCCCGCTACTCGACTATCACCAAACGCCCTTATCATACAAAAAACCTTGTTCGGTTAGCTTCCTACATAACCCTTTCTTAACTTTCAATCGCTGACGCTTCACTTCACACACACACACACCTCATTCATCGAGACAAACAAACAAACAAACAAACAAACAAACAACAAGCAAGTCATAACCGCAATCATTTAATTATCTATCCTCGCAAGCACGCTATCCGTAGAAATCGTATACAAAAGCCGCAGCCCAGTTAGCAGCAACACACCAGCGCCACCCCACCCCTAGAACAACCACGAGACATAGCGATCATAAAACGTCGGGCCATGGACTCTCTTCCGCGCCGCCTCGGCCGCCAAAAACTCCTGCTCCTCACGATCGATCTCCGCCTTCCCCGACCAAAGATCCGCCGTCTCAGGGCGCACCATCTCGGTATGATGCCAGAGCTTCCAACCCAGAACCATGAGCGGAAACAGCGGAACACCCAGATACCCCGTGATGAAGTTCTTGTAGTCGAAGTCGCCGTAGTCGTCGCTGTGCGTGAAGACGCTGAAGTTCTTCGTCAGCGCGATGAGCACGCAGAAGAAGAGCGCGACGTAGCTGCCCGCAGCGCCGAGGGGCGAGACGTAAGCCAGGGATTCGCGGGGCACGTTTTGCGCTTTGCGCGCGCGCACGAAGAAGATGTGCGTCACCAGGATCGAGATCCAGGTTAGGATGCCGAAGATCGTGACCAGGTTCACAAAGTACCCGAACACGACTTTGCTGTCGTCGGCGACGTTCATGTATGCGAGCAGGCAGAAGCAGCTGCTTAGTCCTAGCGCGTACACTGGCACTCCGCGGTTGTCTGTGCGTGCCAGTATCGCTGGCGCTTTGCCCTGCGATGCGAGCCCGTAGATCGTGCGCGACGCGATGTAGAGGTCCGAGTTGCTGGCGCTGAAGACAAAGATCAGGATACAAGCGTTGACGATGCCGGGAAGCGCCTTGATTTTTGCGAGTTTGATGGCGACGACGAAGGGCGAGGCGGCGGCCGAGTTGGACTTGTCGTTCGCGAAGGCGAGGTCGTCGGAGTTGTAGGGGACAATCATCCCGAGCAGGAAGACGGAAAGGCAATAGAAGAAGATGATGCGGAAGAAGGTTAGTTTGATCGCTTTGGGGATCGTGCGTCGTGGGTTTTGCGCTTCGCCAACTGTGACGCCCACGAGTTCGGTGCCGAGGTAGGCGAAGACGGCGTTGATCATGCTGGCCCAGAAGCCGAGGAACTTGCCTGAGGAGCCGTCTGCATTGGAAGTTAGTGGTTTGCGTTGCTTTTTGCGAACGGAGGGGGAAAGCTTTACCCATGATGTAGGGCGCGAAGGCGCCGGGGTCCTTGTAGTATCGGAACCCGGTGCGGTCATGGGTAGGGCCGCCACCGAGTGCGAGGACGAGAGATAGCAGGATGATGCCGACGATGACAACCACTTTGAGACTGCTGAGCCAGAACTCGAACTCGCCGAAAAAGCGGACGCCGAAGTAGTTGATGGCCACGATGACGACGAAAAAGACGGTGATGAAGACGCCTGGATTTACTTTTTCGGGCGGACACCAGTACTGTATCACCAGCGCGGCGGCAGTGAGCTGATTTGGCGTGACGATGATGTACTTGAACCAGTAGGTCTGTAATGTAGTGTCAGTTAGCTGCTCGAAACTACTTGTTGTCTCCGTTAACACCGAAGTCTACTTACGTAGCCGAGGGCAAATCCGAGAGCAGGGTCGACGAATCTCGTAGCATAGCCAGCGAAACCGCTACCCAGAGGCAGCCAAGCAGCCATCTCGCCCAGGGCAGCCATGACGATGAAAACGAGAGTGCCGACAAAGGTGTAGGATATCAAGATCGAGGCCGGGCCGGATTGCGCCAAGGCCTTTCCGGTTCCAATAATCAGACCAGTTCCTAGTGATTGTTAGCAAGGAATTCCTACGCCGGTTTGCTTATTCAACCCAAATCTCACCTAGAGCTCCTCCTATTGCTATCATCGTAATGTGCCTAGCTTCCAATCCACGATGAAGCTTCGTATGACTGTGCGGTTCTTCCACGGATCCCTCCACCGCGGGCGCATAGCTTGTATGCGCCTGGTACTCCTCCTTCCCCAGCTCATGATCATGATGGACGCCAGGCTCGTCGCTGCCGGACGAGCTGCGCCGATTCCAGGCAGCCATTATTGTGGAGATTCTGGGTGATTTGCGCCAAATGCTCGGGAGACGCGGGTGCGCGTGTAGTCGTTCTTATGTCTCGGACCAGGGCCCTTAAGCGCAATGGCGCGTGACGATGAGGTCGGTGGTTGCGCTTCCCAAAGCGGCAGGCAGCCACAAAGCGCTAGCCCGTAGCGGAGCCGGTAGACTTTGCCCTAACAACAACCTGGCCGGGTCAGGAAAACCAGAGGGCACAACTCGTGTCTCTTGGTTCTTGGAATGGATGCACGTGAGGTGAGTGCTGCAGCAGCTGCGCGCATGCGTCGTCTCAGAGGAATCTCTCGTCAGCACGGCGCACCAAAAAGCCGGTAGCTGGTGATAGGCGTGGACTCGGAAAGGCCGAGGAACGTGACCGGATGAGACGAGGTAAACAAGACGGAAACAAGGCTGGCAGGCTCACTCACGAGCTGAGCGGCGGGAAGCACGTCAACTCTTATAGTGAGCGGCCCAGCCCGGCGGCGGCGGCCGCCATGTCCAGCATAACTGCAGCAGCGTTGCCGCCTTCTCGTGCTCAGCCAACCTTCCAGAAGCAGATAAGTGGCGGCGGCGCCCTGTGTCACGGTTACATATCCCCCATTACTGACAGGCGGAATTTACACTGAGATTTCTCGCACGCCAAGCCGCGATACCAAGCCCGCTCCGACAATCCGTTTGGCGTGATTTGCTGATAAGGGCGGATATTCGTTAGCTGGCTGCTGCAGTCACGATAGATAGCCGAGCGGGCTGGGGTGGTTTTTGTCCGGGGAGGACAGACAGACGGCTAGGCACGGACGGACTCGCCCGCCCCAGCGTGACCGGCGTGAACATGGTGAGCGGCGGGCAGCAGCAGCCTCAGGGTGGTGGTGGCACCCGGGCTAGAGGACTAGGTCTAGCCACCAGGCGGCCTGGCGGGACGTTGCGCGCGTTGGGCATTTTGCTTTTCAGCCGGTGTCGAGGTAGAGATAAGCCCCAAAAGGCGGGGTTGACGGCTAACCCTCTTTCGGCTTTGAGCCGCCGGAAGCCGCGCGTATCTTTCCATCTCACGCCTTGACGTTGACTCTCGTTGGATTCCTTAATATTTGGTGTTGTGCCATGTCAGGCGCTCGCCACGCCATCTTTCGTGGCGGTCGCGGCGGGCGCGGCGGGCGCGGCGGGGAGTCATCACTGGACGACATTCGATGGCTTGGAGATGCTGGTCTGTCTTACCGCCGACTTCTTCCGTTGAGGCTGATAACAGTAGAAATTTCGAGATGGATTCGTTTTCATTGACATCTCTTATGGTTTGACGGAAGCCATTTTCCTTAGTAGTAGGAATAGGCCCTGCTCGAACAATTTCCTTTCCTTTCACGCGTCGACCCTCTTGTTTCCATCGACGACTCAAAATCCAGCATGTAAATGAAACTCTGTCTCTCTTATTTTAGCATGTAAAACCTATCTCTGTGTTCATTTCTCTATCAAAAACATCAAAAACACCAAGCGCCACTCGGCAAGTCTTTTAAGTCAAAAGAACACACCACCAAAAAAACAAAAAAGCCAGTGACGCCCGTTCAGCACTTACGAGTAATCCTTTCCGTTGCGAGAAACTAGAAAGTCTACCAAGGACTAATAAGGGAATCGAACGCACAAAGGCGAGCAGTAATAACTCAGGGTTATTTAATTAAACCGCTGGGCCAGGGACGCTGGCTTTGTTTTAAGGTTCGCCGGATGGGTATTTATGCTACCCTTCAGAGTAGCTTTCACCGACGGTGGGCATTGTTCTTAATTGGTAAGGATGGAACCTCGTAGAGGCATCTACTACTGCGAAGCTCATTATACATCTCACATGCTATTCTCTTTCAGTCTCTTCACGACGTCTAAACACAAGCAAGCATCACGCATCGCGACTTCCCGATTTCACCTCCACTCAACCACCACGAAACCACCATTTCCCTCCCATCCCCACTAAGCATTGAATCACCACCACCCAACTCAATCACCTTTCGCCCATAAGAACAACCCACCTCAACCCATCAACCTAACAATAAGTCATGCCGCCACCATCACCGCCACCATGGACAAAGCGCTCCAGCATCTGGAACCAACCCTCCACGCCTCCACATCCTCACTCAACAACGCCTTTAACGAGCACGACGCAGCGCGACATCATGGCCGAAGACTCCGCCACTACCGCCACCGTCTCAGCTCTCTCTCCCTTGCCTCTACAGCAGGACCAACAGCAAGACCTACCCCACCAGCAGCAGCAAGAGCAGCAACAGTGCATAGCCTGCCACGTCTACTTGTCCTGGCTCCCCTGCGGCATCCCCATGCTCCGCGGCGTCGCCGAAGTGCAGTGAGTAGCGCGAGCCCACCCGAGCTGACTTCACTGACTGCACTGCAACACGCACTCCACACTTACCACTTACCACTTTCCGTCTATTGCATTCCACTTCACTTTGCTTCGCAGGCCCGCTCGCTACCTACACTCCTCTACACTGACATCGCATAGACAACTCACCGACAGAGACGAGGCCGAAGACACTGAAGCACAGCACGAGAACAAGGACAATGACAATGACAAGCCCAACAACAACACCACTCACACCCCAACCCCACCGCACCAAATCGGCCACCTCGTCGCCACACTCATCGACCCAGCTGCGGGGCACCTAAAGCACGAAGAGCAGCTGCCCGCGCAAGTGCGCGAGTTCGCCAGCGCCGTGTTCACCGAGTGCGTCTTCCCCTCCCTTCCCTTCCTTTCCATTCCCTCCCCTCTTCCCCGCCAACACAAGAACCAGCACTAACGCACCACAACCCCAAAAGCGCACAAGCAAGCGCCCTGACACCAGCATTCAGTTCCTACGGCAGCCCACACACAGCGCTGAGCACAGGCACACCGTTCCTGTACCTCGAGACGATTAGCGTAGACACGGCGTACAGGCGCAAAGGCATCGCGCGCGCGCTGCTGGGCGCTGTGGTTAGGGAGGCGGGTGTGTTGTGCATGGAGATGGGGCATGGTGTAGACCCGGTGCTGGGACTAGAGCCTGTGCTGGGAATGGGGCTGGGGGTTGCTGCTTCTGGAGCTGGAACAGAAGAGACACACAGCGAGCACAGGGCCCTCGGCTTCATAGCCTCCTGGCCCTGCATGCACGACGCGGATCTCGGCGACTTGGGCGTGCGGCCTGGGAGTGGGATGAGTGGCGCGGGGCTTGGACAGTGGCGGGCCGAGGCGTGGCATGCGGGGGTGGGGTTCTGGCGCGTGGGGAAGGGGAAGTGGTGGGTTAGGGGGGTGTGAGGGGTGAGGTGTGAGGGCGGGAGAGGAAGAAGAAGAAGGCTTGAACGTGCTGTGGTGTTGTAGTTGGTGGGCTCCGGGTAGCTTGGGCGGGAGGGTTTGCGTGGTTTGGTATTTGATAGCATAGAGCAGTGGGCCGTGCGCGAAACTCCGTCATGCACGGCTCTCGCGCGCGACACCTAACCTTCACGATACCTCACTGTGCGCTTCAATCCATTGCACCTCACCTCACCTCCCGCGCACCGCCCGTCCTCGCGCCACATACCCATACCGGGCCCCGCGCCCACCACACACCACACACAGCGACGATGAACACGATCCGGCAAATCCAAGAGCTCAACAAGCGCGAGCTGGAGCAAGGCATCACACCAGAAGGGTCCTGGCACGCCGACTACCGGGACACAGCCTACATCTACATCGGGGGGCTATCATTCGACCTCTCCGAAGGCGACATCCTGACCATCTTCTCGCAGTACGGGGAGCCGGTATTCGTGAACCTGGTGCGCGACAAGGAGACGGGCAAGAGCAAAGGCTTCGCGTTCCTCAAGTACGAGGACCAGCGCAGCTGCGACTTGGCAGTCGACAACCTGGGGGGCGCGACGGTGCTGGGCCGTGTGCTGAGGGTTGATCATACGCGGTATAAGAAGAAAGAAGGCGAGGAGGAGAAGGGCATTGATGTTGGGGCGCTGGAGGCTGCGGCTGCGGGCAAGGGGGGGAGGGGGCAGAGCCCCGGCGCCAGCGACAGTGAAGGCGATAACGAACCCCCCCGTCCCCTCCTGAAAGAGGAGCGCGACCTCGCGGCCCTGCTCCGCGACCACGACGACGACGACCCCATGAAGGCGTACCTGGTGCAGCAGAAGCGAGACGAGGTCGCCGAGGCCATTGCCGCGTACAAAGCGCAAGCGTCCGCTTCTACGGCTGGAAGCAAGAAGAAATCCCGCAGGCACCACGCCGACGACGACGACGACGACGACGACCGCAAGCGCCGCCACCACCATCGCTCTTCCCGTAGAGACAGAGACAGGGACAGGGACCGCGACGACGAGGACCGCAGCCGCCGGCACCGCGACCGCTCGCGCGAACGCCACAGCCACAGCCGCCGGCACCGCACGCGCTCGCCGGACGAGAAGCGCGAGCGTGAGCGTGAGCGGGATCGGGAAGGCTCGCGCTCGCGCAAAGACCGCGACCGCGACCGCGCGCGCCAAAGAAGCAGTTCGCGGCAACGGCAGCATCGGCAGGCGCGGTCGCGGTCGCCTTCGTGAGGCGCGTCCTACCTAGTACCTAGTAGGTAGACGGGGGCAGCGCAGACACATCTAGCGCACGCACGCGCGAGGAGAGCGAGAGAGCGAGGGTGCGCGCGCGTGCGCGCCACTACTTACGGACGTACGGCACCGAGGCACGGAATGAGGCGCAGCGCGGCGCAGCGCGGAGATGGCCGGGCACCTGCCATCATGACCAAGCAAGCCGCGCACGGACGGACGGACAGTGACAATGACGGTGGCACAGCCACTGCCACAAGCACAGGCATAAGATACGGGCACGGGCTTGGGACGGAGGCGAAATGAAGTTGGACTGGGATGGGATGGATAGGGTGTGGATAGAGGGCAGGAAGAAGACAGAATAGACGGAGAATACGTTAGTTAGTTAGGACTTGGGATTAAGAGACGAGGCAGTGCTCTACTTAGCTACCTATAAGCACTAAGCAGTACACACGTCTTCCCCCAATCCGCTACTGTATAGTCGCACTCAAATGTTTAAACACACAAACAAGCCCACCCATTCAATCAATCACCCATTCAATTCCAGTAACCAGTAACTAACCAAGTAACCAACCAATATATATTTAATACACACCACGAATCGAATCGAATCGAACAAGCAAGTAAGGTAGGTAGAAACTCTCTCTCTCTCTCTCTCATACACATACACACATCTTCTCTCTCTCTCTCTCTCTCAGAAGAAATTCAAAGGAAGGTTGGATGGAACCAACTCAATCCAACTCAATCCAACCACCACCACCAAAAGCTCATTACCACCTCAAACCTCAAATCATCCTAAACCACAGCCATCAATCCCATCAAACCGACCACAACCCCCAAAACCCCAGTATCGACGCTCTTCCCACCAGCGGCAGCGCCAGCAAAAGCGCTGGGCGCCGCGCCCGTCGCGCGCGTCGACGTCGGCTCATTAGGCAGCGGCGTGAACGTCGACGAGCCATGGTGCGACGTCGTCGAAGTCTCGCTCTCGGTGCTCGACGTCTCGCTCGAGGTAGTAGCAGCAGACGAGGTCAGCGACGGCGACGCCGACAGCGTCATCGTGCCGTCGACCTCCGTGGCTGGGACCGCCGTCGTAACGTCCGTGGATGCTGCGTCAGTGGGTGCGGGCGCAGAAGTCTCGGGCGCCTGGGTTGTGGGCGCGGGTGCAGACGTCTCAGCGGGAGCAGAAGTCTCAGCGGGCGCAGAAGTCTCCGCCGGAGCAGAGGTTTCGGGCACGGGCGCCGCGGCCGTCGTCTCGCCCAGGATAGAGAAGGACGAGGCAGGGATTTCAGCCGGGGCGGACGTCTCAGCTGGAGGAGCCGACGTCTCGGCCGGGGCGGTGGTGGCCGCGGGAGCGGGCTCCGAGGGAGCGGGAGCAGAAGTCAGAGCCGCGGCGGAAGACTCGGGCGCGGGCGCAGGAGCAGAAGGCTGCGCTGCCGGGGCAGAGGTCTCAGGGACGGGAGCGGGCGTCTCGGCGGGCGCGGAAGGAGCAGGCGCAGACGCTGCGGGAGCAGACGGGGCCGGTGCAGAGGCTGCGGGAGCCGAGGGAGCGGGAGCAGAAGCCGCAGGAGCCGAAGGAGCCGGCGCAGAAGCCGCAGGAGCCGAGGGAGCGGGAGCGGAAGCCGCAGGAGCCGAAGGAGCGGGAGCGGGCGCAGACGGCGCAGGCGCCGAAGTCAGAGCAGCAGCCGAGCTCTCAGGAGCCGCGGTCGTAGGAACGACAGCAACGGGCGTAGTCGAATCAGGCAGGGTCACGGCCTCGGTCTCAGTGCTGACGTACACCGAGCAAGGAGTGCTGGTGCTGGGGGTGGTGGCAGCCTCGGGAGTCGCGGTCGTAGGAGCGACAGGAACGGGTGTAGTCGTAGGAGCGACAGGAACAGGCGTGGTCGTAGGAGCGACAACAACCGGCGTAGTCGAGTCTGGCAGAGTCACGGCCTCGGTCTCAGTGCTGACGTACACCGAGCAAGGAGTGCTGGTGCTGGCGGTGGTGGCAGCCTGGGGATTCGCGGTAGTCGAGGCAGCAACCGCGGTCGTGTGCACGGTGTTCGGGACCTGCTGGCCCGCGGACAGGGTCAGAACTTCGGTGCTGTAGTACACCGAGCACGAGGCGCTGCTGGTGGCGAGCTGGGGAGTCGTAGCGGGAGAAGTCGCGGGCGTGGAAACCGCGGGCGTGGAGGCGGCCTGCGAGGTCTGGCTCGCGGCACCGGAGCCAACGGGGACGGATGCGCCCTCGCTGCCGAAGATGAGAGGCGCCGTGGCCGTCGAGGCGAAGGGCGCAGGAGTCTCGCCGGAGCCGGTGCCAGCGGAGTGGGCGGGAATAGGGGTGGTGGCGAGAGGGGGAAGGTTGGCGCCAGAGTCCTGAGTGTTGGCCGCGTTGCCAGAGCCCTCGGGGACAGCTACATTGCCAACCGCGTTGACAGGCGAAGAACCAGAGGAACCAGAGGAACCAGCCGCGGCAGTAGTCGTGGCTTCGGTCACAGCGCCAGTCGGGGAGCCAGCGTCGGCGCCGATGCCCGCGCCAGCAGAGGTCGTGGGAATGAGAGCTTCGGTCGTGGAGCTAGCGGGCGGGGCAGTGTCGATGATCTTGATGCTGTCGCTCGAGCCCGACGTGTCGGTGTAGTTGTAGGAACCGCCAGGGTTGTAGTTGGTGATCTTGACCTTCTGCACGTACATGGTCCAGGGCATGCCGGCCTCGGCGCTGTAGGTGGTGTCGCCGCCGGCCCACTGGCGGGTCCAGTAGCCGTTGTCCTTGTCACCACCGGCCCAGATGCCGAGGCGAATGTTCATGGGAGCCTGGGGGAAGCGCGAGCCGCCCTGCGCGTCGGCGTAGTTAAGCGTGCGCACGACATTGCTGTCAATCGACCACGTGATCTTTTCCTTGGTCCAGTCGACCGTGTACGTGTGAACCGTGTCTTGCGGCGTAGCGATGTTGTGCTCAATCATGCGGTCGTACGTCGTCGTGTCACCCTTGCCAAAGTAGTTGCTCTGGACAATGGCGTTGTTGCCGCCGAGGAATTCCTGTAACCGGTTAGCGCCGTCTGCACGCGACCGTCTGCTTTGGGCCAACGCACCCAGTCGACCTCGTCGAGGTCCTCGGACTGCATGACGATACTGCTGATGATGCCCTGGCCGGGCGCGGCCTTCATCGTCACTTCGACCTTGCCATAGAAGATGTAAAAGTCCGTCTTGATGGTCGGGGCCTCGCCGCGCTTGGAGACGGTGAACTCGGCGCCGTTGGGGCCATAGTTAACCGAGGGGGCAATGTAGCTCCAGGTCTTGTTGGCCGAGGCACCCTGGGTGAAGTCGACTTCGTAGGTGGCCGAGTTCAAGCCGGCATTGGCGGGACACGGGAACTGAGAGGCGTTGGTAGGATTACAGTCGGAGTAGGTCTGAGCGTAGGAAAGAGGCAGGCCAAGGGCAGCCAGGCCCGCGGCGGCGGTTAGAGTGAGACGCATGCTTGGTTAGGGGAATCAGGGAGAAGAACGAAGGAATCGATTCGAACGAGGGACCGAGGGAGCAGGTTGAATAAGAAGCGCTGGCGTCGACAAAGAAAACGAAGGTTATATGCACAGCACAAGGAAAAAGAGTCAAAGAAGGTGGGAGGCGCGATAAGCCAGCCGACGAGCGTCGTCAGGGCACAGGGACGGGCGGGCGCCCCCAAGCATTTTGTAGCATCTTGACCGGGTGGCCCGCGCCGCAATGAAGGCCGTTTCAGAGCAAAGCTGTTTCGGATCACGGCCGCTGCAAGGCCACCGTGCGTCACAAGCGTCGGCCCAGTCGCCGCACCATGTCCGGCCTGGGCAACCCGAGGCCAATCGTGTGGCTCGTGTCCTTGTAGCCGCTCCTCTTGGCACGGCCTGGCCGCCGTGCCCGTTAGTGTGTTGGCGTTCGAATCCTCATCTCGTAGTTACTACTCTAGAGTATACACCTGTCAGCCCTTCCTCCACGAGCCGCAAAAGCGCTGCAGGGCCGCCCACGTGACATGCGCGCTGATGTCACTCGGCTGCGATCGTCAGGCTTTTCATTTTGCTGCTCGCATGCGGCCATCAGCCAAGCAACGGCCAAGCCCAAGCCTCAGGAGAACGCCAACCTCAATAATAAAACCCGCGGGGAAAACACAAAGCACAATAAAATAACTACAATCCACGCAACCAGTCAAGAAATCCATTGCTTTTTGCTATTAATACCCGGGCAAGCTTCAAGCCCACCACCAACCGCGCGCCCTCTACGCCCGGGCCCCCGCCCCCTCTTTCACCACAGACTCCTTGCTCGAAAACGCGCTGTGCTTGCGCTTGTTGCGACCTTCGCCCTCGTCGCACTCGGCAAGCGTTGACGCCGTGCCCGGCGGCCGCGTCGCATCCTCCTCCTCTTCCGCATTGTCATTGTTGTCTGTCCGCCCGCGCATGTATTCGTCGTATGATAGGCCAACGCGCTTGGCCGCGGCGCGGACGTGGCGCTTGCGGTACATCCAGATGAGATGCGAGCTGAAAATGCCGATTTCGAGAAACATGCTGTGCGTGCGTGGGGCGTTAGCGTGTGGCGTCGGGAAGGATTGCGCAATCATGAAGCGTCGTGTTGGGGATTGGGGGCGGAGATTGGGGGCGGGGGTGGGCAAGGGGAAATCAAAAAGTGGGTGTGTGGCGCAACATACCAGACAATGTATAGCGTGCCGCCGAGGACGTCAAACGTCTGCTGGACAACTGTGGGCGACGTGTTAGTGCCGAAGAAACTTCACGCTCCGGCGGGGACGACGCTTACCCAGAGCCATCAGGGACAGCAACGCGCCCATGAAGTCTGTCGAGAGGAAGAGAAAGTCTGGAATTGCGTCAGCGTCCGACAGTGTTGGTGGAAGCAAGACCACATACTGAGACCAACCACTCTTCCGCCGCGCTTCCACATCTCGCCATACGGCGGGAGCAGCCCGACAGCGAGAAGGACGTCAGCGAAGATTCCAATCACGAGGATCGGCCAGCCGCGCTCAATTTCGTGTTCATCCTGCGCATTGGTCAGTCAGGTTCATCGACGGCTATAAGGTAGAGTGTCGCCTACCCGCAAGAGGAAGATGAAGAAAGCTTCGATGCCACCAAAGGCAATTCCCGTACTGACAGCCGCGAGCGTGGCCTTCCATATCGGCCAGCGGTCTTGGTATATTAATGTTTGCGCCCAGCATACTAACGCCAGGGCGCAGAATATTTGCGGTTGTACTTGTAAAGGTATGTTGAAGTTCTGCAGGCTGGTGTTAGATGACGAGAGCAGAAAAGCTGGAAAGTTGCGTGGAGACGGACCTGGACGATGTCGTACACGCCAAATGGTACAGCGGCTGTTCAAATTAGCTCCAGAGCTGCTATAAGCTTCGACCTGTGATAGGCTTACCTGCTGCCCAAAGGAAGAGCATCAGTCCCGGCACGCCATCTGTTTGCTTGCGTCGCCAATTGGACCAGATTCTGTGCACTGTTAGGTCGATCTCCATTTCAGGAAAGCGAGGATGTGCATACTGTGGTATGATCTAGCATGGGTTGTCAGTCCCGGGGACATCCGAGCTCTTAATATCAACAGTGACTTACCTGAACGCACCAACAACTGTCAAGGAAGTGAACGTCAGTCTTATTTCATTGACTCTTTCTCTAAAATGCTTACACTGCAGATCGTTAGCCGACTGTGGACACTGGACGCCCTGCGCACGGTACTCACCTGTGCCCAAAGTCTGTGGGCAGAAGGCTAAAGTTAGAATAACGATCGAACCACTGATGCCATCAGAGCACGTACCCCTAGTATGCTCGCCGCCTGTCATGTCGACATCAGTATCAGGAATAAGCCGACTCCCGCCTGCAGACTGGACTCACCTTGGGGATATGCTCTTGGGGAGCCATGACTCGTTGGTCTACTATATGGATGTCTCAAAGGAGGAAAATATACACGAGTGTCAAGCGAATGGAGAGAAAGAGAAGAGCTTATTGCAGCCAAAGAGCTTGGTATTCAGAAGTAAGTCGAACTAGAGAGATGGAGGCGGACGCCAGGCATTCTTTAAAAGTTGGCTATGACCCACCGGTGATAGTACATCAGCCATAGTCAACCGCCCTCAGCAGAGCATCTGGACGCCACCGATCCATAATTCTGAGCAGCGATTGACCGGCGTGCTTCTTGGTGGCAGGCGGACCTAGAGGCGACAGAGCCGATCGCGACATGGCTACACGTAAGCAGGGGGCCCCGGACGCCGGACGGGCTTGAGTGCATTTGTCGCCGGGGCGGAAGGTTGCCGAAGAGGGTTTTTTGGCAAGAAGCGCAGTTGACGCAGGAAACCATTAGGGTTCGCAACTAGACGCGGCGGATACGATAGTGCTCGGACTGCCATGAGGCAGCTTTTAGACCCCGGTCCCCTGCGCCCTGGTGGCCGGAGCGCGCGATTGGCGAGGCCGCGCAACGCCACAGCCTCATCTTCGACCAGTGACCTTCAGGCCTTCTCATGGACGTCTTTCGAGGGCGTGCGACGTCTTGCTTCCTACTCGTAACCCGCCCATCAGCTGATCGAGCGCCATGGCCGAGGCAGGGCAGACGAGCGAGATTGCGACGATGATGGTGGCCTGCTTTCCCCAGGCGCCTCCGTTTCGATAGTTAGTGGGGAATGAGCGGAAGCAGCGCCCGCTTTGGCGGCGATGCGGCTGTTGCGCCGCAGACCGGGGTGATGGCGGGAGGGAGAGGGCTTACCCAGCTGCACGTCATGCAGCCCATCAAGCGCCAAGGAGCGGTGGATGTACGGGGAAGCACATGGCGTGGTGGATGGCGTAGGTTGTGGATGCGACGAGAGAGAGCGTGGGACGGTCTGGATCCTGACACGCGCCTTCCGCTACGCAAGTACCCGTCACCCTTAGCAGATCTACGAACGCCTGTTCGCCAGCAGCCAGTCACTCGCCCCGGTACCTACATAACCGACGATGCTTTGGGATAGCTTCATCGCAGCGGAGACGGGGAACTACTTCCGCGACGACATGGTCCCGTCTCCATCTCACCTTTCTTCTTCCAACAATAGCCCACCGGGCCCACGTCCGCCTTGCTCATTGCTGCCTCGAGACGCGCGCTGATGTCGACTCCCAGGGATCAATCCGCATTGCACATTTCGATCGAGCACGCAGATCAACGGCCTTGCTTCCGCTCCTGGCTCATGTACCCAAGGAAAAGGATGACGGCGCCCTCTTTGTACGACTTCAGTCGCAGACGCCACCACCTCTGTTCTTCTTCTCATCCACACGGTAGCTCGTGCTGTCTTCCCGATTCCGCGCGCGGGGCGCCCTCGCCAAGGATCGTCTGCTTTGCATCTCCTGAGTTTACCACGCCACGATCGTCTTCGCCAGGACCTCTGCCCCCCCGATTATTTTTCCACCTTCGCTTACCCGTCTGGTCAACCCTTTTGCGCCCAGCGGAAGCGAGCCCGTTCCTTAATGAATTCTGGCCCCCCGAAATCACCGTTGGCGGATCCCAAGGACCAGCACTTGTGGCCGTCTGGACGATCTGAGCCTTGTTCGTGAGCTTAACGCAAGGTTAATCGTGGCAAAGGCAGGGGGTTTCTCTAAAAGGCACCACTTTACACCCACAAAGGCATCTATTGCGTACGTACGTACCGCGACGGGAAGCAAAAGCCGTGTTCACAGAACGACTCACGTACCCGCGCATCGAGTACCACGTTGCAGCTTTGGTCGGCCCCGCAATCGTGGGTACGGTCTGGACCTCCCAACCCCATAGGGTGAATCTGCGCTCAACGGGTCCTGCTGCGCACCCTTGACACCCATCAATCACCAACGAGAGGTTTCGATGGCTAAGCACCATGCACTCCACACTGGCACACCAGGCTGCGGTCCGCCCGGAAGTGGACCATGTCCCATGGCCCCGCATGGCGCACTATTAACTTGCCTGGGTCCTACAGCATTTGCCCAAAAAGAACACGTCAATGGCTACTAGCAGCTCTCGACATGCAGTGACGCTGCTGGGGGTGGCATTGTGACATGACGCATTCATGTCCTCGAGCTGTATCACACAACCGTTGCCCTCCCGTGCTACCGCTACCGCAAACTTCAGGTAGCTATGCAGTAGGACGATGTCAGGGCTTGGTGGATGCGGTTTGAGTGGACGGCGCCAGCAACCATGCGCGGATTATCGGGATCTACAACGGTTGTCGCAACCGCACTCGTCCGCAAAGTTTGTCTGCCCCCACTCACTTCATTTGCTTTGGATACCCGTTGGACCTTCCGGCGGACCTGTAAAGTTGTCAGAACGATATGCAGCACGGGAAACTCTAACCCGACTCGGACGGCATTCTAGGATGCTGAAGTCTACCGTTGTCTAGACTCGCAGACCGGTTCCACTCATCCAGGAACCTCCCAGGGCGCTCTCGGATTTTACGTTTGCCGCAGCTGCCGACATCCCCAGGCAGCACACTCTCCAAACGGGCGCTTCCAAGCCCATCGGGTCACTTCATCTCCGTCGCTGGTCTACTATTGCCAAGACAATAATGCAGCGGCATTTTCCACGTTCCCCTCACACGCTTTTGCTCGCTGATTTTCCTCAACATCGAGAATAGTATGCCAAGTCCTGTTCCACTTAAGTATTACCATGTACGTCAGCCAGTCAGGGACGTTTACTGCATTACTTTACAGCCTCACCGCCAATCTCGTTCGTTGCGTGCTCACATCCTGGGCGTAGAAGCCTGTACATAGCTACAAGTCACTAACACGCTATACGGCTTACACGGATACGAATCCTTGGGGTCTAGCGACTTTGGGACCATTGTACGCGCAATCACACAATGATCCCTCTGGAACCTGTTCCTACTGGCGAGTTCAATCGATCAAGGATCTCAAAGGGAAACGGCACGATCACTCCAGCACTATCACGGCCTCGTGTGCTCTAGACACGCTCAACACCTGACGTTTCTCGACTTATTGATTCCACAACCTCGCATATTGGCTGGCTAGCTCAACGCACAATTCAAAGACCTCCAATACATATTATTATTCAGTCAAAGCCGGCTGCTCGACATAGTTCAAATACTCAGCATCCGCCAACTCATCCACCCCCTCAATGCCCAACGCATCAGCGAGCTTCCTCACAAAAACGCCCGCCACCTCCCTCACACTCACGCCCTTGACCCCCACATCCTCAAAGCTCGTCGCCCTTTTCCCCTCCAGCCCACACGCAACAATGCGATCAAACCACCACAAATCCGTGCCCACATTCAGCCCAACGCCATGACTCGTAACATTGCGGCGCATATGCAGCCCCAGCGCCGCAATCTTGGTGTCCGGCCCCGTCCAGACGCCCGTATGCTCGGTCGTCATGGCCTTGATCCCGTACGCCGCACACGTCGCGATGACGGTCTTCTCGAGCAAGCACACGTACTCGCGCGCCGTCAGCCCGTGCCGCTTCAAGTCCAGCACCGGGTACGCGACCAGCTGCCCCGGCCCGTGGAACGTCGTCTGCCCGCCGCGCAGCGCTTCGACGAACTCGGCCCGTCCGTTGCAGCGTAGGTGCGCTTGTTGCGCGGCGCTGACGGTGCCGACTTCGCGGCGGCCGCACGTGTAGACGGGCGTGAATTCGGCGGTTATGACTGTGGGGTTGGGGGTTTTGATGGGAGCGTTGATGGGGGGGTTGGGGAGTGTTTGTGGTGAGCTTGTTGTTGGTGTGGATTTGGTGGGTGTTGCTTGCGCTTTTGCGGCCAGGTACCGCGATACGGCGCGGTCTTGGATGAGGGAGACGGCGCTGTAGGAGCATAGCTTGTGCGCGCTGCTGAGGTGCACGTGACCTAGGCGCATGGTGGTGGTGGGTTGGGCGCTGTGGCGGCGCGGCGCGGGTTGTCCTGTTTGCGTGCTGTTTGTGCTGCTGGTGGTTGGTTGGTTGGTTGGTTGAGTGGGTGAGCACGTGCGTGCTTTGCCTGCCAGGCCGCCGACTTTTGTGTGTTTTTGTGTTTGCTTTTGCTCGTTCTGGGGTGAGGGCGTCCGGTAAGTAAGTCGGTTAGGTGTTATAGGTAGAGTATGTAAGTAGACCAGGGACGAACGGAGTGGACGGGAATTGATAGGAGTAGCGCGGTCATTATTCAGCCCACGCTGCCGCCGCGCCTCCGAGTCGTCTAGAGTACGCTACCTAGGTAAGCTTAGCTTCACACCGAGCTGCCCGAGCACCCCCGCGGGCGTTCGGGCCCGAAGTTTGTGTGTGTAGGTAGGTAGGTACGCGCGAGGACCACGCTGAGTGTCGTTGCTTCCCGCCGTGCATATATGTTTGTATCTCACAATGGCGTATGAGTGGTTATGAGCAGAGCGAGCTCTCCCGACCGCAGGCAGGTATACAAATACCTAGGCACACGAGTACTCGTTTTCTACAAAGTTCCATATTTGCCAACACCACCACCAACAACGGGAGCAGAGCAAACGCGTCTACAGCAGCGAGACCTAGGTAGCGTTTTTATTTTCGTGGTGCTGTACCGAATCTACGTCGCCTTCCCCCCTCCATTTTCCTATTCCTACAACAACAAAGAAGAAGGCCACATGGCCTACGCGGCCTGCCTCGGCGGCTCCGACCGCTGCTCCTTCTCCTTCTCCTTCTCGGCCTCGGCCTCGGCAATCTGCTCACCACCCGTGACCTTGACGCCCTCCTCGCCCGCCACCATCTCCGCCGTCTTCGCCGCCGTCGCGGCCTCTATCGCTTCGGTCTCGGGTTCGTCTTCCTGTGGCACGGAAAAAGAAGTCAGCATCAACAGCGCGGCGTGATAGTTATATTTTCTTTTTCTTTTTCTCTTTCCAGGTTTTCTCGGGGCCTCGTTTCTCTCGGGGGCACGTTTCTCTTGGGGGCACGTTTCTCTCGGGGGCACGCACCTCGAAAGTCGGGTTGTAGCTAGGCTTGTACGCCTGCCCGGAGCCGGAGAGGTCGACCTCGGCGTCCGAGAGCGCGTCTTGCCGCGCGTTCTCCCATGCGTACCACCGCTCTGTTAGCGTGTGCTTGATGTTTTTCATCGTTTTCCAGATCTAGAGGCGGGGGTGGGCGTTAGCTGTGTTCTGGTGGGTTGTGCGTGGGGGTAGTGCGTAGGCAGGTGGGTAGGTGGGTGGGTATAGGCTCAGGCGAGAACTGGCGCGACGCTCCGTCTGAGAGGAAACGGAAACGCCCCCAGGCAGGTCCCACACGCCGCCGCCGTTGCTCAAGCCCTCCTCATGCAGCAAAGCCCAATGCCAATGCCAATGCCAATGTATGCGTCGCCGCCGCCGCCGCCGTCGTCGTTGTAGTCTCCCACGCGCAGCGCGCAGCCGCAGCCCCACGTACCGTCTCGTCGCGGCCCTGGGCCTCGTAGTCGCCGTAGCCGGCATCGATGCGCTTGCGCTCATACGCCTCGGTCGCGAGCCTATTGCGCTCTTTGACGCACACCCACCACAGGCCGTGCAGGTCCTCCCAGGATTTGGAGCGCAGCTCCTGCACTGTCCACGAGCGGCCTACAACGAGGGACAGAAACACGAGTCAGCAAAACCGGTCTTTCCTTCTTCTCTTTCCACAAACCACAAACAAACAACAGCAGTCTCGCAAACGCAAACGTGCGGGCTTGAATGTCGTGCTTTGTGTACTGCTGCTGCGGACGCAACTACGCACCGTGCGCCGAGTCCTCCTCAGGCGTATGCAGCAGCTTCTTCTCCGGGTGGAAGAACTGCCACAGGCCATGGTCGTCGTCGACCTTGACCTTTGGTCTGCGAGCCGGGTCCAGAACCGGGCGGGGCAGTTCATCAACGGAGACGGCGAAAGTCTGGCGGGGGCGGAAGCCCGTCCGGCGGATGACGGAGACGCCGCGGTTGCGGGAGCGGTCGTGCTTGCTGCGGCGCTGTTGGTGGTGCGAACCGGTCGAGGTGGTTGCGGCGATGAAGCTCGGCGTAGTCGATGCGATTGGAGTGCTGCTGCCGCGCGCGTGCAGCGCCAGCCGTGTCAGTGGGCGGAGGGCCATGCCGGGCTTGTGATCTTGGGTGCGGAGGTCCCAATTGCTGGCGTGGGTGCGCTGAGGTCCTGGGAGCCGCCGTCGCGTTGCCCGTAGGTTAGGTTGTTCGGCGTGCCGCTGCCGCGGTAAAAGATCGGCGCGGTGAACTTTTTTGTCGCTCCGGGTCTGTCGTCTGCACTGTGAGGTGCAACCCACTGCCCCAGACACCGACAGCGAACCCGCGTCCACCACGACAGACACCAGCACCACCCGCCACCTGCCTTCATGCCTGCATGTTCGTACATACATACACATGCACATGCGCGCCCACCCGTTTGCCTACTTACTGAGATGGCATGACGCGATGCAGCTCGACTGTACTGTAGGTAGCCTGGTAGGTACTGTACTCCGTACTCGCCATGGGTAGGTACATCGTTCTTCCAGAGCAACCTGGTCATTGTTATTGGATCTATGTGTTCGATGTGATATACACCCACCCACCCAACCAAGCCAAACCAAACCAAACCAGCCAATCAATCATCAAACCCATTAAACTCCTCCTCGGCCTCCCTCTCCTCCTTCTCCCTCGCCTTCGTCTCGGCCCTCACCTTCTCAATCATGCCCAGCAACTGCTCTTCCTTTTCCCTCTCCTCACCCGTAAGTTTCTTCTTGCGCTCGCCCTCCTTCTTGCGATGTCTCTTCTCGCGCCTGACCTCCCTCTCAGCCTTCGCCTCGCGCTGCCCGCTCCACGCCGCCGTCTTCTCATTCTTCCTCCGCTTCGCCGCGCGCTCCTCCTCGATCTCGCTCGCCGGCTTCGCCAACCACGCCGCCGTCTCCTCCCGCCGCCGCTTCTCCCTGACCGCGTCCGCGTAGCCGTACGCATTCCAGTCGATCGCGTCCGAGAGGCCCAGCCGCTTGTCCCCGTCCCACGCCTTCAGCTCCGGCATCTTGGGCAGCCGCAGCAGGCCCCATGACTCGGCTTGCGCTTGCCAGTCGATCTCCTTGACCCGGAAGATGCTGCTCGCCGCGTGCTTGCTGTACGACTGCACCCAGCTGACAAAGGCGCGCTGCGCCTTGTCGTGCACGGCGCGGTCTTTCAGCACGAGGTCGCGGATCGTCTGCGTCGCGGCTGAGGCTTCCTCGTCCGTCGTCTCTATGCGTGGTGTCGTGAGCGGCGCGACCGGGGTTTGCCGCACCGAGAGGAACGGGATGTAGTCCTCCTCGTGCGTGCCTTGCGTGAGGAAGGTCACGGCAAGGCCGCGGCGTCCGGCACGGCCGGCTCGACCGCAGCGGTGGATGAACGTCTTGGGGTCGCTGGGAGGGTCCAATTGGATGACGAGGTCCACCGAAGGGATATCGAGGCCGCGAGCAGCCACGTCCGTCGTCAGGAGAAGAGTGGGCGTGACACTCTCAGAAAAGCGCTTGAAGTTCTTCTCGCGAACATTAGGGGGATGCTTGCCGTGAAGCGGTACGACAGTGCAGGAGGATAGAAGAGTAGGCAGAATGTGCTGGAAATAGTCCACGCTAGCGCAGGTAGAAAGAAAAATGATAGACTTTTGTGGGACAGGTGAGAGAGTTTCGAGGAGTTTAGCAACGGCGGGAATCTTGTGCGTAGGTGGCGTGAGGACATAGGTCATTTGTAACGACGCAGGGGTTCTCTTATCCAGAGCGCCCGAGGCCGATTTGACCTTTACGGCAATACGGACAGGGTTGCGCAAGCCGACGCGGACGAGCTGCGAGACGGCCTCGCTGACACTGGCACTAAACAAGCCGGTGCGCCGCTGCTTGGGCAGGCGCTGCAGGATCTTCTGCAGGTCGTCCTTGAAACCGAGATCTAACAGTCTGTCCGCCTCGTCCATGACCAACACTTCGAACGACGTCTGCGGACAATGTACATGCGGGGACGAGAGGAGCTCGAGCAGGCGGCCGGGCGTCGCGATGAGGAGGTTCGGCGATGTTTTAAGGAACGTGCTGAGGTCTTGGGCGGGGGTGGTGTTGCCTCCGAGCAGCAACTGGGGTATAACTTTAAGGGTTGAAGAAGGGAACGTGGGCTGCGGCTCCGCGTCGCCCGCGTCGGAGCCATCGTGTTTCCTGATAGCTGCAGCCGAGGGCGCATGGAACTGGAGGAGAGAGAGCAGCACGGTGTGGATTTGCGACGCAAGTTCTCTAGACAGTAGTGTTAGCCATGTTTCAAAGCGCGCGCGCGGACTAAGGCATACCTCGTAGGAGAAATAATGATCGCGCCGACATGGTGCCTCCGAATGGGCTCTTCAAGTCGTAGTAGGCGCTCGACGACCGGGATCAAGAACGACAGCGTCTTGCCGCTACCAGTGACAGCCTCAACGACGACATCCTTGTAGCCGATGAAGAGCGGGATAGTGCTAGCCTGGACGGGGGTCATGCGGGCAAAGCCCATGGAGGACACGGCGTCGAGGACCCATGGCGAGAGCGCGGGGGTCAGGTTCTCCCACGCACGGGGATTCGAGGGAGTGGGAGCCATGGGGAAGAGGAAGCGGAGGCGCGAGAGCAAAGTCCGATGTTGCGATCGCGCGCAAAAATCCCAGCCCTATCGGTATCGATAAGCCGCCCGTGGGTGGCCCTAGCGCATCGGCCGGGTATGCACGCGCGCCGCTCCGCGTCCTGCCGCGTTCTGAATCACTGGTTGCCGGTTGCTGGCATGCTGGCTGCATGCATGCGTGTCGTGGCGCGCTGAGAGGGGCCGGAGGGTGTGGCCATCGTGCCGCGTGCATGGTTGGCGGTTCTGTAGTTACCGCTTGGCGGCCGGACGGCATGGCTAGAGTAGGTGGGAAGCCGTCAGGCTGCGCTGCCGGCTGCGTGCTGCTGCGTACCTAGGCGGAGAGGTCTCCGCGGGTAGCGGCCTGGCGGGTGGGTAGGTGGTTGGGGCTGCTATGGCGGTAAGTAAAAATGGAGGACCGGGGATGGGGCACGGATGAGATTTCGGGATTGAGGACGGGAGGGTGGTGGTGAGGTCGAGAGGACAAAAGAGGCTGGATGGTTGGACAGGTTGGTTGGTTGTCTGTCTGATTATAGACGTACTATTTGATATACCCGTATTATTCTACTACCATTCAGTAACTCCACATACCTATACCTTCACGCTTGACGCAGTGAGCAAGAGCAAATCGAGTAAGAGATTCGGACCAGGTTAAGACGTATGCATAAGTCAGTAGGCGAGTAATCTATGTAGTCCGTGTATAAACATATGCAAAGTCCAACTTGCGGAGAAGACAAGAGAGAAAAGGGGAGAAAGCTTCAGTAAGAAACAGCTAACGGGCTGGATGGGTGATATTCCAGCTTTAGTCAAACAACCAAGTACCAAATCCAACACTGGATCCCCTCACCAAACACACGAACACACACACTTCGATCACAAAATCCCATTCATCTGCCGCAGCTGTACAAGTACCTAAGGTAAATAAATGCCTAATCCAGCGCGCGAGCGCCCGTATATACGTCGAGCCGAGCATGTACAAGTGCTTGCCTGCTAGCCAGCCTGTACGCCAATACCCCCATCGCCCATCCATGAAGAAAGAAGAAGTAAAAACCCACCCAGTAGGCTCATCTCCCGAACCCAAACGCCGGTCATAAACGATGCCGTTGGACCAACTCCAAAAGAAAGCCGCTTGTGTAATCAAAAAGACAAAAAGAAAAAGAAGAAGAAGAGAAACCACTCACTATGCCTCGTCCGCTTTGGGGCTCATTGAACAAGATGCAGCAGCAGCAGCAGCACCGCCTTCTACTCCAAAATAGGCTTCCACCCCTCCCGCCTCACGCATCTCCTCCCATCTTCCGCCACCCCAACCGTGAATTTCTCCCAACGCGAGTCGCGCCCGGCACCAATAACCAACAACTCGACATCGTTAAGCCAGCCAATCACGCCCTTCGGCGGCCTGCCCCCCGCCACGCCCTGGATCGGCGTGTTCCAGTTAAGGCAGCTGCCCGAGCCCGGCGCGACGCTGTTGCCGATGCCGATGCCGCTGCCGCTCGTCTTGTCGCGCCGCGCGTTCGCCGCCCACAGCTCCGGCTCCTCGCCCATTTCGAAGCGCGCCGTCGCTGTTGAGTATGTGTCTGAGAAGACGCGCGGCATCAGGGGGAGCTTGGCCAGAATACCCCATTTGGAGACGGGCTCGGGCGAGGCGGGCGTCATGGCCGCGCCGTTGGGGACTTCGAGCGCGCCGGCCCACTCGTTGTAGCCTCGTGAACTATGCGACTGGGGAGCGCTGCGCTCGGGCGGCGGCTCGTGGGTCGCGGCGTTGGGCAGGTCGAAGATGTGGAGGGTGCCTTTGTCGCTCGTCGCGGCGAGGAAGGTGTTGGATGGGGACAGCGCCAGCGAGAAGATGGTCGCGGCATCTACGCCGCGACGGAACTCTGCGATCTTGGCGCCGCTGCCCACAGACCACAGGCGGATGAGGGTGCCCTGCTCGCTAGCGGTGGCGATGACGGTGCCGTCGGAACTGAGCGAGAGGGCACGCAGGGCGCTCGTGTGCGCGGGTATGATGCTGACGTTGTGGGTGGCGAGCTCGAGCACCTGGACCTGGCCCGGGGTGCGGCCGGGAAAGATGACTATGTCATTACCCAGACAGCACAGGCCGAAAGGGTTGTTGGTCGTCTCAAACTCCTTGACCTTCTCGGGCGGGGCTGAGAACTTGTACAGGTGTATGCTGTTGAGGAGGGCGGCGACGATGTGCGACTTGGTCAGGCGGATGCGCTGGACGGGCGTGCGAAGCTCGAGCGTGATGATGGCCCGCTGCTTGGACTCATCCCATATGATGATCTGAGAGGCGCTGGATTTAGTCAATATAGACAGACGGCGGAACTCAGGCGCGGGGCGATACCTTGTTCTGGGCGAACTTGGGGTTGCTGCCGCCGCCGACGAGGGCGAGGTAGCTGGTGCGGCCCAGCATCTCGGCGCAACCCAGGCCGCCGCCGAGCTCTCGCGACTTTTCGCGGTGACAGTCAGGCGAGGTGTAGACGCGGAAGCCGGTCAGGAGGGCGGCAGAGAAGCAGGAAAAGTCCTGGTTGTAGGCGACGGAGAGGACGGGCGGAGGGGGCTCCGTGTCGATGGCGGGACGGGTATTCATGGTGGTGGTGGTGGTGGTGGTGGTGGTGGGTTGTGGTTGTGCAGCAGTGGGCGGGTGGATGCTGATGAGGGAGCTTGCGCACGGCCCGGTTGAGCCCTCCGCGCCGCGGCCCGGAGCATCGTTGACCCGGCGCCATGGCGGACCCTTGGTCTGGAAATTAGGGGGAAGGGGCCGCCGACTACTGCGTCGCTGGCCTTCCTCCATCACGCCCAAGCACCTCCACCTCCTCCCGCTAGCTACTACCACCCACCAATACCTGCCGACAGTCACTCGCTCTCCCAGGCAGTCCTCGGCTCAATCTTCCCCTACACTCCCTTGCCAATTCCCCAGGGCCACGATTATGTCTTCGCCCAGCATGAACGCCGTACGTCCGCCCTGGCTCATGATCCTGCCGCGCCCGCCGACCGCGCCGCTCCGCAATCCTAGGTCCACCTTAGGCTAACCTCTGTGCAGATTCGCAGAAAGAAGAATGTCAAGAAGGGAATCCAGTTTTGCCTCATGGTCTGCGGTGCATCGGGCACTGGTACGTTGGCGCCGCCCGCCTGCCCTCTCACGAGCCCTTCCTGACAAGACGCGCACCTCCCAGGCCGTACCACCTTCGTCAACACCCTCTGCGGCAAGAAGGTTCTCGAGCACAAGGACTCCGACGACCCGACCAATGCACACATCGAAGAGGGCGTCCGGATAAAGCCCGTCACCGTCGGTACAGTGTCCCCTGCTGCCGCTATGCCCCATCGAACCGGCTAACTCAGATTGGTAGAATTAGAACTCGACGAGGAGGGCACCCGCATTTCTCTCACCATTGTCGACACGCCCGGCTTCGGTGACCAGATCGACAACGAGGCCAGGTAAGCCACGATGCCACGATGGAGCTCTATGCCGCCTGCTAACATCGTCGACCCAGCTTTGGAGAGATTGTCGGCTACCTCGAGCGCCAGTATGACGACATCCTGGCTGAGGAGTCCCGTATCAAGCGTAACCCTCGTTTCCGCGACAACCGTGTCCACGTCCTTCTTTACTTCATCACTCCCACCGGTCACGGGTAATGCTCGCCGACCCCACTTGCTCGCTGGATCCCGCAGTCTTGCTAACGGCTTCGCAGTCTCCGTGAGCTCGATATCGAGCTGATGAAGCGCCTTTCCCCTCGTGTCAACGTCATCCCCGTCATCGGCAAGGCCGATTCGCTCACCCCTGTCGAACTTGCCGAATCCAAGAAGCTCGTCATGGAGGACATTGAGCACTACCGCATCCCCGTCTACAACTTCCCCTACGACATCGAGGAGGACGACGAGGACACCGTGGAGGAGAACGCCGAGCTGAGGAGCCTCATGCCTTTTGCCATCGTCGGCTCGGAGGACGTCGTCGAGGAGAACGGTCGCACGATCCGCGCGCGGCAATACCCCTGGGGTCTGGTGGAGGTTGACAACCCAAGGCACTCCGATTTCCTGGCCGTGAGGAGTGCGCTGCTCCACAGCCACTTGGCGGATCTCAAGGAAATCACGCACGACTTCCTCTACGAAAACTACCGTACCGAGAAGCTGTCCAAGAGCGTGGAGGGTGGTGCTGCTGCGTAAGTTTCCCGTTTTATCCGTCATACTGTGTTTAAAGATGCTAACTGAGCTTCCAGCGATTCGTCGATGAACCCCGAAGACCTGGCCTCGCAATCCGTGCGCCTGAAGGAGGAGCAGCTGCGCCGCGAAGAAGAGAAGCTTCGTGAGATCGAGCTCAAGGTGCAGCGCGAGATCCAAGAGAAGCGCCAGGAGCTGCTGGCGCGCGAAAGCCAGCTCAAGGAGATCGAGGCGCGGATGCACCGGGAGCAGAGCCAGCCGCTCGGCGCGGACGGCGAGAGCGAGGAGGTTTGAGCAGCGGCAGCAAACGACGAACAGTCGGCAAGATGACACGCGATGGGTGTACCAGTACGGCCTTTTTTCTCTTTTTCTCTATTCGGTTGCAGCATGTCTTTCGAAGCCTTGGTATCCTGGTCCACGCGCGAGAAGGTGGGGTGGGGACAGACAGGACAGGACCAAAAAACGTTACGCAGCAGGTGCTGGGGAGTGCAGAGCTTTTTGCAGGATTGTCTCTTGTTTTGTCGTTTTTTGGGGCTGAAAAGTAATTCCGCCAAGGGCAAACCCTAAGCCGTCGTCGTCATCATTCACGCGTTCTTGCGACTTTAGTAGTTTTTCACTGCCCCTCCCTCTCACCCCGATTACCCTCCTCGTCGTCTTTTTCCTTCTCTTTTTTCTGTTTCATAAGTCACTAAGCCGAACAACAACAACCCCCAGCTTTATATTTCCTGCTTTTTGGCTTCTCGAGTATTCCCCGACTTTTTTTCGTTGTTTTTTACAAGTTCAAGCTATTGTAGTAGTTTAGTAATCAATCGATGGATGTTACTGAGCGAGCGGGATGTGTGAGGCGTGTGTGTGTTTGTGTGGGGTGATTGGGAGTGAGTTGAGCGGGTTGGGAAGATGGTGGTAGCAGGCTATGATGGCGATGGTGATAGTGCTGGAAACAGGTAGGAAGAGCGGAGTCCGTTGTGATATCATTCATTTTACCATTTATCCACCCATCTATCCATCCACCCATCCAGCCATTATTACTCCCGCTATCATCACCTTCGTCCCTCTGCGTGCTGCATAACATATAACATAACATCTTGCACCTGCACCTGCACTTCAGAGCCCTAGTCCAACAATCAACCAACAACTAAAATCCACTAAAGACGACCAACGACGGACGTATAAAAACCAAAACCAAATAGCAAGAAACACAAACGCCGCGGATGCCCTCATCGTCCTTCCATCCATCCCCCCTCCCTTCTTACAACCACCCCCCAACCCCCCACCACGCCTCCCACACAACCAACCCCATGCACCCTACTGCTGCAGCACAATCCCGCGATCCACAAGATAGACGCACTGCTCCCACTGCGTGGCATCGAGCATCTCCATGCGCGTGGCCGCGGCTCCTTCTTCCTCGGCATGGTCCGTGAAGAGCATGCGCTGGGGGAGCCACGTCGTCGCTGCTGTCGAGGAGCCGGCTGCTGGGGCTGGTCCTGTGCCGATGGGCGGTAGGGAGGGGGTGTCGTCGTCGTTGTTGTTGTTGTCGTTGTTGTCTTCCGGAACCTCTGCCTCGCCCGCTTCTTGCACCACGGCTGCTGCTTCGACTTCTTCGCTCCCGGCTACTACTGTCGTGTCTTCTGGTGCTGGTGCTGCGGCTTCTGCTGCGCCTGCTTCGCCTGTTGCTTCTGTACCGCCAACTGCCCCCGTCCCCACCCCCGCCTCCACCTCCTCAACCACGACCTCCAAAACCAGCGCGCGCTTCTGCGCCCCATCCTCCCCCCTGCCCACCTCATCCCCTCCCGTAGCGCCCCACAGCGGGGCCCCAGCCGCCCTTCCCGGATTCGGATCCAAGAAGCGCACAAAACTAACGAAATACGCCTGGATATTAGCGGCGGCCTCGATGGCAGCAACGTCGCCCCCCGCCGCCCCCGCCCCGCGGAACACTGCGCCCTGCTCGGCGACGTGCCCCGCGGCGCCGACGTCCCAGCGGTACAGCCAGACGGCGGGACTGTGCGCGCGCGAGGGCACCGCCCACGCGACGAAGAGCGCGGGGCAGGCGTAGCGGAGGGAGCCGAAGGCGCGGGCCGCAAAGGCGCGGAAATTGCTGCTTTGGATCAGCGGCGCGTAGTAGGGGTGTGCGTGCAGCCAGGCGAGGTCGGTGGCGCTCAGCCGTGGGAACTGCGACGTTATGAATGCGTCGGCCGCGTAGAGCGCCGTGCCTGCGGATGCCGGCGCGAAGGTCGCCCCGTCGTGGCTTGTCGCGCCGAGGAGGAGGGGCGGCAGCGTGTGCCCTCGTGAGCGGTGCGCTTGCCATAGTGCTTCGTACGTGTATTCTCGCACCAGGTCGCCGTCGAGCGTGGGCGCGTACGCGAAGAGCGGCGTCTCTGGCGCGCCGGGCAAGCGGAATCGCTGGCCGCGGATGAGTTGCTGGAGGGCTGAGGCGGGGAGGGCGCGCAGGCAGGCGAGCGCGTTGACGGACGCCGAGCACGAGGTTAGCGCGCTGATGTTGCTGAAAATGTAGTCACCTTCTTCCGGGGTGAGGAGGGGCGGCCACGAGGCTGACTCGGCCGTTGCGCCTGCGAGAAGCGCGCTCGTTTCTGGGTTCGAGACGTGCAGGACGACGGAGCCTGCGCCTGCGCTGGCGCCACCGATGACGAGATGAGAGGGATTGCCGCCGAACTGAGGGGCGTTAGAGAGCGATTGCGGTGACGGGACGTGTGTTTATGGGTGGAGAATGCTCACTGATTGAATGTTCTCCTTGACCCAGTGCAGCGCTTTCAGTTGGTCCTTGAGCCCGTTGTTGTAACTGAACTGTGGGGTCCCCGCCTCCGCGACGAGGTCGCTGCTGTCACCAGTCAGGAAACCGTATGGGCCGACGCGGTACGTCAGCGAGACGTAGATGATCTCGTGTCCACTGTTGTGCACGAGCGTCGAGCCGTTGGGCGGCAGGCCCGACACGCTGAAGCCGCCGCCAGGAATGTACAAGTACACAGGCAGCTGTGACTCGGCCGTCGCCGACGCCGGCGCGTAAATGTCGAGCGTCAGGCAGTCTTCCGAGACCTGGCTGCTGCTGTCGCCGAGACTGTTCGAGCTGGAGTCGACGCCAATGCAGGCCGGACCGTGCTGCTGGGATGTTAACGCTGGATCGTCTTGCTTCTGACGTGATTCTTGCTGCTACTTGCCGTGTATGCCTGGTACTCTCTATTTTCAATAGTGATGTCTGCTGGGGCAGCAAATCTCAGCGGGCCTAGCGGCGGCGCTGCATACGGCAATCCGAGCCATTGGGTGACGCCGTTGCCCAACTCAACTCCATTGTATCTGGCATAGCCCAATTCCACGAGCGGGCCGACAGCAACTGCATACTCGGCAAAGATGCTGAGCAAGCAGGCAACTAGGAGTATCATAATTAAAAAGTGCGTCGCAGTCGTTTTCTTCTCAGTGAATCTGTCAAAAAAAACCTTTAAAGGAAAGCAAAAAGGGTTGACGTGACGTTGAAGCAAGGAGTTTTCGATCACGGGCAAGACATTACGCCAAACCCAGGCTAAGTTTCTGCAGCGGGGGAACGATTGTGAGCTGTGGGTCTCGGCAGTGGCTTGAAATGATGAAAGAAGTATAGAGTGCCTAGACAGGATAAGACAACGGTAGACTATCAGAGCAAAGAGGTTAGCGGAGAAGAGCCAATGGACCATAACTTGGCGCACCTAGGCCCGAATAAGAACGGGAATAATTTATATCGCGTATATAAAAGAGGGTGGCGAGGGATAAAAGAGATGGATATGAAGGATGAGATTTGGCCCTTGTATTGTATATAAGTCCCCTCTCTACGTTGACAGAAGTCAGTCTCCGCACACAACATGAACTTTGTGCAGACAATGACTGAAGTATCTAAATACTCACATGGCTTTTGGTGATTCAGATACGAAACCCCAGACGAGAATGGGCACTAACGAATATGAATAAGAATCGAGAGCTCTACTGCCAAACGGATTGAAATCGCACAGGGCGACGCGATAAAACCGTAGGTGAAAGGGTGGAGCAAGGGCACAGGGGGTTGAAGAACAAGAAAGCTTGACTTAAAAGTAACGACGGAAAAAGTGAGAGCGGTTCTAACAATGCAAGGGACGATTCGGCTGTTTATATCGAAAGTTGCGCCTCACTTTTCGGGAAGGCAGGAGCAGATTCGCGGCCTTGGGGCCTCCGACTCCGACGGATAAGACGGTAAGAACAAAGATGAAATATGAACTAAACCAACCTAAATGACACTCTGGCCATGATCTTACGTGGCGGACATACCTTCCGTCAGGCACCTTCTCGTAGTAGTCATATTAGGTTTTGAAGTGACAGCCCTACGACTGCATTTGCCCGGGAGCGGACAGGTGCCAAGCTGTACACGTACGCGGCTCTTTGTTTTGTCCTGTTCAACCTTGGAGAAAGCGAAGGTTGAACTTGTTCAGATCCATTTGAGAGCGATATGCCGAAGGGCCGTCGGCATTCACATCCTCTCGACGTCATCCCGAAAGTCGCCGGCAAACCACCGGGAATGGCTTCGGGAATGTCATCGAGTGATTTATCTAGTTGTCGAGAGAATTCTTCTGCGTCCGTAGCATGCAAATTGCGCACGCTTTTTAACCATGAGTGGGCGCTCTGAGAAAAAGTCGAGACCGACAATGTCCGAGGCCAGGGGACCGTACTCCGTACCAGGAGATGGCGTGCGTGACCATGGAAATGAGGAAAAGTAACTTTGTCGTGCGTGACCAGAGACCTCCTGTGAACGGGTGTACTCGTATGCACTCTAGGCCTTCAACAAGATCTGAGGTCAGAGTTCAGTCGACGAGCTTGCGCAAATACCCGAGACAAAAAAGGACTCTCCGGGTTGGTCGTGTGCGGCACGCGGGGAGATGACTAAACGACCCCATCAACGCGTTGGTCTCCGCGACGCGTTCACCCATCTCTCACCGTCGCTCATTAGCCTCGCGACTCACTCCTACTCCGCGCGAAGGCGGCAATGAAAGCCTAGGCGAACCGCGCGCACACTCGACAACAGCGCCTTATTGCGACAACGCGTCTATTCTAGCGCATCGCGCACCACGCCTCAACCATGTATATCAAGCAGATCATCATCCAGGGCTTCAAGAGGTGAGCTTCACTGTCGCAACCCTCGGACTCGACTGACATGTGCTCGCAGCTACAAGGACCAGACGGTCATCGAGCCCTTCTCGCCCAAGCACAATGTCATCGTCGGTCGCAATGGTTCGGGCAAAAGTAACTTTTTCGCCGCAATTCGCTTCGTCCTCAGCGATGCCTACACCCAAATGGGCCGCGAAGAGAGACAGGCCTTGCTTCATGTATGCGCAATTGATGGATACGAATTGAGGTGGGGCTGATGTACACATAGGAAGGTTCAGGCTCGGCGGTCATGTCTGCCTATGTCGAGATCATCTTCGACAACAGCGACGACCGCTTCCCCACCGGCAAACCGGAGGCCATTTTACGCCGGACAATTGGTCTCAAGAAGGACGAATACTCGCTGGACCGGAAGAACACCACGAAGTCCGAAGTCATGAACTTCCTAGAGTCCGCGGGTTTTTCGCGCTCCAATCCTTACTATATCGTCCCGCAAGGCCGTGTCACTGCTTTGACGAACATGAAGGACGGTGAGCGATTGAACCTGTTGAAAGAAGTGGCGGGTACGCAAGTCTACGAGGCGAGGAGGACCGAGAGTTTAAAGATTATGCAGGAGACGGACAACAAGCGCTCTAAAATCGACGACCTGCTGGCATATATCCGTGAGCGTCTAGGCGAGCTCGAGGAAGAGAAGGAAGAACTCAGGGCGTATCAAGATAAAGACCGCGAACGGAAGTGCCTGGAGTATACCATCTACAACCGCGAGCAGCAAGAGATCAACAGGGTTTTAGAAAGCATTGATGAGATGCGGCAGACCGGAGTCGACGAAACTGACGAGAACCGAGAACAGTTTGTTCAAAATGAGCAAGCTATATCCCAAATCGACAGCGAAATTACCGAACTGAAGCAGCAAATAGAGTTTCTGAAGGTCGACAAGCGTCAACTTGAAGATGAGAGGCGGGAAGCTGCTCGCGACAAAGCCAAAGTTGAACTGGACGTCAATACTCTGACGGAGGGCCAATCTGCTGCTAAGCAATCCAAGATCCGCCATGATACCGAACTGCGGCAGGTCCAGGATCAAATTAGACAGCGCGAGGAGGAGCTCACTCAGCTCATGCCCGAGTACAACCGGATGAAAGAACAAGAGTCCACCATCCGTACGCAGCTCGCAGAAGCCGAAGGAACCAGGCAACGGCTCTATGCCAAACAAGGCAGACAAGCGCAGTTCAGGACCAAGCGCGAGAGAGACGACTGGCTCCGCAAAGAAATCGACGAAGTTAACGTTGCTCTCGCGACGCGCAAAGCTGTTGCAATGCAAACCATGGAAGACATATCCGAGCTTGAAACCGAGATCGGACGGCTGGAGACGGACATTGCAGAGCTCCGCACACGCATCGAGAACCGCGGAGACAGCATGCAAAGTATTTCAGAAGAAGTCCAAAAAGCAAAAGAGGACCGAGAACGTCTTATGGACCAGCGGAAGGAGCTATGGCGCGAGGAAGCCAAGCTCGATTCTGTCATCAGCAACGCCCAACAAGAGCTAAGCCGTGCAGAGAGATTTTTATCTCACATGATGGACCAAAACACCAGCCGTGGCATTGCTGCGGTCCGCCGTATCAAGCGCCAGCACAACCTTGAGGGCGTTTACGGTACGCTAGCGGAGCTCTTTGAAGTTAGCGACAGGTACAAAACAGCCGTTGAAGTGACTGCGGGAGCCAGTCTTTTCCATTATGTTGTCGACAATGAGGAAACCGCCACAAAAGTTCTCGAGATACTCCAAAGGGAAAAGGCGGGTCGTGTTACTTTTATGCCGCTCAACCGCCTCAGAGCCAAGCCAGTCAACATTCCCAAGGCCAGCGACGCTCTTCATATGATCACCAAGCTCCAGTACGACCCAGCGTATGAAAACGCCTTCCACCACGTCTTTGGTAAAACGATTATCTGCCCCAACCTGCAAGTTGCTGCACAATATGCTCGCAGCCATGCCGTTAGTGCCATTACGCCAGAAGGAGACCGTGCGGACAAGAAGGGTGCGTTGACAGGTGGTTTCCATGACCCCCGTCAGTCGCGCATTGATTCTGTGCGCAACGTCAGCAAATGGCGGGCAGAATTCGAAGCTCAAAGAGAACGCCAAAACGAAATAAAACGCTCTCTCGAAGACAAGGACCAAGAAATCACCAGGGCAGTTGGCGAGCTTCAGAAAACCGAGCAACGACGACAGCAGCTTGAGGGCAGCTACGGTCCGCTTCAACTAGAACTCCGCGGCAAGACCATTGATCTGCAGTCCAGGAGGGAGCGTTTGGATTCGAAGCAAGCATCGCGCGAAAATATCGAGCGAACGGTCCGTGAGCTCGGAGAGCAACAAGAAGCTTATGAGGCCGAGCTTGCCTCCGACTTCAAGAAGGCATTGTCGCGCGAGGAAGAGCAGCAGCTTGAATCCTTGACCGGTCCTATTCAGGATCTTCGTAAGCAGCTTTCAGAGCTCAGCACGGAGCGGTCGGAGCTCGAAGCGCGTAAAACCACGCTGGAGTCTGAGTTGCGTGATAATCTGCGCCTCCGACTGGATCAACTCAATGCGCAAGATGCGGAGAATGGCGGTGTAGCAGGTGGAAGCAGTTCCTCTAGACTCAAAGATCGCCAACAGGAGCTTAAGCGCATCAACAAGGCTCTTGATGTCGTTGAAAAGAAGCTACGGGAGACTGACCAGAGTATCGAGCAGGCTAATGTTCAGCTGGCTGAGATAGAACAGAACAAGGCCGAGAAGCAACAACAGCAAGAGGAGGTGGCGCGCGCAATCGAGCGCCATCAGAAGCGGATGGAAAAGAGCATGGCAAAGAAAGCTTTGTTGATCAGCAAAGCACAAGAATGCCAGAGGAACATCCGCGATCTCGGTGTGCTGCCCGAAGAAGCGTTTGAAAAGTATCAGAACATGGAGTCGAACAAGGCCCTCAAGCGTCTCCATAAAATCAACGATGCTCTCAAGAAATACTCACACGTCAACAAAAAGGCGTTCGAGCAATACGCCAACTTCACAAAGCAGCGCGACACGCTCACGAAGCGCCGCTCCGAACTCAATTCCAGCCAAAGGTCGATCGAAGAGCTCATCGAAGTGCTTGATCAGCGCAAAGACGAAGCCATCGAGCGGACGTTCAAGCAGGCCAGTCGCGAGTTCTCCAACATCTTTGGAAAACTGGTACCGGCGGGCAAGGGTGTCTTGGTCATCCAGCGTAAGAGCGACAGCCAAGCCAGGGCCGAGCAAGAGGAGGACAGTGACGAGGAACGGAGGCAGAGCATTGAGAACTACACGGGCGTGGGTATTAGCGTTAGCTTCAACTCGAAGCACGACGATCAACAGAGGATTCAGCAACTCAGTGGTGGACAGAAGAGTAAGCCGCAAGCCTGGGTCACGTCTTCGACGATGGTAATACTAACAGAAATTAGGTTTGTGCGCGCTTGCCCTGGTGTTTGCGATCCAGCGGTGCGACCCGGCACCCTTCTACCTGTTCGACGAGATCGATGCCAACCTCGACGCGCAGTACCGCACCGCCGTCGCCAACATGATTCAGACGCTTTGCGAGAATACCGAGGGCGGTGCGCAATTCATCTGCACGACGTTCCGGCCGGAAATGCTGCTCGTGGCCGAGAAGTGCTACGGTGTCAGCTACTCGAACAAGACCAGCAGCATCGACGTTGTCAGCCGAGACGATGCACTGGACTTTATCGAGGGGCAGCAGAAGCACTAGGTCTGTGCGTGGTTGTGGGTAAGTGTGTGGTCGTCAGTGGGTGGGAGGTATTGTGGGCAGGAAGAGGGAGGCACAGTCTGTTTCACTGTGGCTATCTTTTGGCATTTACGTGGCGTTTGATGCGTGTGGGGCAGTTGCTCGGTGCGGACACGTCGGGAGATACAGCTGGGATGTACCGTACAGGGTTTCGACCAGGCAGGTACATAGCAGGATGTTGCGTATGGTAATGTACGACATGCTCGGGGCTGTGATGGTTGGGACGTGAATCTGGTTGTCGTTCCGCCTGCGCGGTACCGTGATTGGAGCCATGATCAACATTGCTTGCCGGAGTCTTGGGACCGGCTGTGGGGTGTCCGAAGTGGGCCGTGGGGGTGGTTGGTTGCCTTGTGCTCAAAAGTGCAGATGTTGGGTGCCAGAAGCAATATTATGGGTTACAAGAGATACCGAGCTCTACAGTTGGAATCATTAGTTTCTCGCGCGGATTAAGAGAAAGAATCACAGGAGAGGAGTGGACGGTGCAAACACTGAATGATTACTAGAGAATCATGAGAGCTTTCGCAAAGATAGCTAGATATTGCGGTGAAACAGGCATGCGCGCGTCGTACTTGAGGGGAACTGTCTCAAAATAGTGCCTTGCATGGGTGTGTCGTACATGGTTGACGTGCTTGCCCGGTTAGTCGTGTCCGCACGGGAGGTTGTTGCGTTAGTGTGGATAGGCCACGACTAGTTTGGCACAATGACCGGGGTTTCAAGTAAACTGATTTAATGCAGATCCATACAGCTTTCTCGGCAGAATAGTAAAATAAGCAATGAGTCACAGAGGTAACAGGCAGCAGTCGCTTTCAGGTGTGAGTGTCTCTAGGTTTTGGCGGTTTTGGCGTTCCTAGGTCGGAACAAGGTTCAGCCGGGGCCGACAGGGCCGAGCGGAAGCGCGGGCGGCAGCAGGCGCAGGGCGGGAGGTAAATCTGAGTTATCAACGCTCGCTTTCCGAACAGTCTTTTGGGCGCGTGAAAGAGGGCCAGCTCGCAGGTTGATGTTCCTGCCGTCCGCTTGGCCACCCCCCGCCCAATCCAGTTTAGCTTGACTCACAACGAAAGAAGGCCGCAACCTAATCACTCGCCCCTCCTATTTAAAGCCTATCGTCCGGCCCTTCCACTCCGCTCCCTTTCCTTTCCTTTCCCACCCGCGACAACACCACCCCGTGACGCCATCAACTCCACGCGCGTCTATCATCAACACACTTTCAACCAAACCACTAGTCAACTAACTCACAATGACTGGACGTAAGTGCATACCCTTTCTGTCGCGTTTGCAGCCCTCGCCGCCCGTGTTGTCGCGTTGCATCGCCTTCGCGACTCGGCTCACGATACGCGTCGCGATGCCGCCGCCGCCGTCCTTGGCGCTGCACGTGGACCCTTCAACACCACGACACCTCGCCTCGCACTCCATGATCACGTCGCTAACTGTGCTCCTCTAGGCGGCAAGGGCGGCAAGGGTCTCGGCAAGGGTGGCGCCAAGCGTCACCGCAAGATCTTGCGCGACAACATCCAGGGTATCACCAAGCCCGCCATCCGTCGTCTGGCCCGTCGTGGCGGTGTCAAGCGTATCTCTGCCAGTAAGTAGTGTCCTTTTGGACGCGTCGCGTCGCGTTGTTCGCCTGTAGGCGTCGCGCTAACCCTTCGCCCAGTGATCTACGAGGAGACCCGTGGTGTCCTTAAGACCTTCCTTGAGGGTGTCATCCGTGACGCTGTCACCTACACCGAGCACGCCAAGCGCAAGACCGTCACTTCGCTCGACGTCGTCTACGCCCTCAAGCGCCAGGGCCGTACCCTGTACGGTTTCGGCGGTTAAGCGCGTCCAGCGTCGGTTCTGTCGTCAAGGTCCTTTTTCCACCGGCTTTTCGCCTGGCACGTCATCGGCTCATCTGGTTTCGGCGCACATCACTGCACGGGTCGGCGGACTGGGTTGAAGGCGCGATGCGACTGCTGCGACTCATCATCTCTGGGGAAAGGTCTGTTTTGCGTGCTTCTGGGAACAACGGGTGGAGTTTGGGTTTCTGTTCTGCTTGCTTCATGGATATGGTCTCATGATGAACAGATGGCGCGTCTGCCATAGGACTATGCTCAATTGAACGGTGGCTTCTGCCTCTACAATGCTCTTTCGAAAAATATCTGCCCAGTGACGTGTTGTGTACGCGCATCTCGCCCGCGTGGTGGTGCGGGGCTTACATGCATGTGGATGGATGCGCGCTCATCCACCGCGAATCGGGCCTGGGGCGCTTCGATGCACCCACCCCCACTCCAGGAACAGGGCCGCGACCGCACCGGAGCTTCAAGCGGCAAGCCGTGCGAAGGCCATACATACATGGCAAGGGCGTATCTCAAAGCAGCAGCAGCAACAGCACATGCGCGATGGCGCAATCCGTCTCCAAAACGACAGCATAAAAAAGCGGCCCTGCCTGCAAGCAAGCACCCCGCCATCCAACTCAAACACCAAACAAACCCTCCACCTACCTACCACCACCACCAACAACAGCAGACACGACAAAAACAATGACGACCCCCCAAGCCGACCGCATCCTGCTCTTCGGCGCGACCGGCCTCATCGGGAAATACATCACCGCGGCGATCGTGGGCGCGCAGCCGCCGTTCCCTCGCGTCGGGATCTTCACGTCTAAGCACACGGTTGAGGCTAAGAAGGACGAGATTGCCGAGTTGAAGGCGAAGGGGGTTGAGGTTTTCGTAGGCGATGTGGGTGATGTGGGGGTCGTGAAGGGCGCCTTGGAGGGTGAGTAACCTTACTTGAGGTGTTTCTGTTTGGGTGCTGGGGCGGGACCCGGAAAGCCACTTCACGTTGCTATAGGTATCAAACATACATGCGGGCTGACTCCATCTAGGCTTCACGACGGTAATCAGCGCGCTCGGCCGCAACGCGCTAACACAGCAGTCCACGCTCCTACGCGCCGCGGCCGACTCGCCCAATATCACGCGCTTTTTCCCCAGCGAGTACGGCACCGACGTCGCCTATGATGCGAGCTCTGCGGGCGAAAAGACGCATCAGGCGAAGCTGGCGGTGAGGAGGGCGATTGAAGATGAGGGGGCTGTGAGGGAGGGCAGGTTGCAATACACGTATTTGGTCACGGGGCCGTATCCGGAGCTCTTTTTTGCGGCGCCCGCTGGTGGGGAGGGACGGGTGGGCGGGTTTGATAGGGTGGGGAGGAGGGCGTGGGTCGTGGGTGATGGGGCGGGAGGGGTAGCATTTACGACAATGCCGGAGTAAGTGGCCTCGCCCGCTTAACACACTGACGAACAACAGCTGACTGACTGGTGGCTGCGATACAGCGTGGGCAAGTTCCTCGTCGCGGCTCTCCGCAACCCTGACGCCGCGCGCAACCGCGCGCTCAGAGTGCACTCCTTCACGAGCACGCCCAACGACGTCGTGAAGGAGTTTGAGCGCCAGACCGGCGAGAAATGGGAGGTGGAGTTCGTGCCGCTGGCGGAGCTGGAAAGGTTTGAGCAAGAGGCGTGGGAGAAGGGGGATCCGCTTGCGGCATTGGCGACTTTGAGGCGTATTTGGGCGAGCGGGAAGACGCTGTATGAAGGGGGTTGGGATGACGGGGCTTTGGGGGTGGAGGTGGAGGGGTTGGAGGGGACTGTGAGGAGGGTGCTTAGGGGGGAGTGAGGGGGTTAGGCATTGAGATGTGAGAATTATACGGTAACTTAGGTAGGTAGATAGAGAGGGCGAGAAGTTATACGAAGCTTGAAAACACACGAGGGTGCGAAGTGCTTCTAAAAGGTATGTGAAAAATGTAAGTACAAGGGTGCAAGAGCATCCCGAGAGGGTTCGAGGGTACGAAGATGAAAAGGTAAAGAGTAAGTCATATGCCTTTGCAGATGTTGTAGCACGTGGGGCCTGAAAGTTATGTGGAGCCTTTGGAGACGATTCTAATGCAATCTACCATAACTTTGAATGAGAAAACAATATCAGATGCCAAAAACGCCTACTATTTCCCTAACACCCCCTTGGTTCCGCGACATCTACTGAACGCTAACAACGACAAACGAATTCAATTCCAAATACAACTTTTACGGAAAAAGTACAACGGAAATCCAAAAGAAGGCAGTCAATCCTATGGCCATAATTGCAAAAAGTTCGTGCAAATGAAGGAGATGGTGATGTCCCGGTTCTATGATGCTAGCCCTGGTCGGAGCCTTCAGGGCTCAAAGAAAAGGTGTCCAGTCCGGCTTCCACCTCCGCCATGCTGCTTGTTGTGCTGGCTGCTTGACGCTGCTCTACTTTTTCCATCGCTTTTCGATATTTGATCAATTCTTCTTTTTTCCAATCTTCCCAGTTTTGTTCAGTCTGCAATGGATAGGGCCATTCCTTCGCTGGTACCAGAACTCTACCATCCCACTCATCTAAATCTGTAATTGCAGGATTCAACCGGATGCCCAACGTTTTGAAATTCGAAGATGGGTTTTACCACACAAAACTGTTTTTGTCTCCTTTTAAAAAACCTTTGAGTAGAGTTTTCAGTATGCTTTCCGTTTGCTCTATAACCAAATCTCGCAGGCTCGTTAGATGTTGTCGAATTCCTCCAAGCTCAACACAAGATATCTTTTCCAAGGCACTGTGCGTCATCCGTAGAAATGAGTAATCCTCCCACGTATCATCCTCTTGGTAAATCGCCCAATGATATGCTAGACATAGCGGAATGTCTAGAATGGAGTTTGTGTAGAAACTTTTGACCAGCAAAGGAAAATCACTAAACCATGATGTGCCCATGAGCAACAGGAGAAAAGTAGTGCTAGACACATGCTTTTGACCTTGGATTTGTTGTTTTTGTGTATATTCTGGGTCGTACTTCAACTCTAAGGCACTCAGAAGGAGCTGCACCTTATTAGTCGTTGGTATATCTTCTGAAGACAGAAGTATCGTCGAGATGTACAGTTCCAACTCTTTTAGGTCCATTCGCTTTCTTACTTCATCCAAGATGATGCGAACGGCGCCTGTATCACAATGGCTGATGCTATTCAACGCGACTTCAGGTGAGATCAAGTTGTTCAAAAGTAGGTGTGCCAAGTATGATCTCAGAAAGCCATAATGGGCCACCCTGCCAGTGAATTGGAGAAGCAATCCCGCTACTGTCGTTGGTATCCAGGAATATCTGTATCGATTGGTGAAGAGTTCGTCGCGATAGAATTGGGTGGGTATACACTCCATAACCACTCCCAACATAGCTTTGTTTCCAGAGTCGATAAATGTTGACTTGAAGCTATAATCCAGCATTTTGAGCCGGTCTTCTAGATTCCGGCGCTTGAAAAGTATCCTCAGGGTATCTGCGTCACTTTGCCGGATGACAGCTTCCAGAAATTCCGAGTCATGCGGGTTGAAACCTAGATTATTATCCATGAAATCCATAAGCGCCAAACGGCTTTCCGATGACGGTGATAGCCAGAAAAGCAAAGCCTGTACGGAAGGTTTTCTCTTGAATTTCCGTCGATCGGGTGCTGTAAGAGCTAAGCGCTCATACTCCTGGACAGCGGACAGACCGAATTGCCACCAGTCTATCAGGTGACTTTGTTCATCGTTTGCTACGGCACCTCCTCGACGAGCCTTGTAGATAATGGTCTCGATGTCGGCTCGAAACATCTGGGTGGAGTCCTTCCAGTTGTATCTGAAAGACTGATGTGATGCAACACCCAATCTTTGCAATAAAGCGAGTCCATAGAGAGATCTTGAAGTAAACGTGCCGCACGGAGAATAGAAAGGAAGCCCGCGTGCTGCCTCACAAATGATGGCGAAGAATCGAGCATCTTGAAATACTTAGTGACAGTAGCTTTAAGGAGCGGCAAAACCTTACCTATAAGATCGACGAACGTGAAACTCTCTCCGTTCACTCTCACAGTTCCTTCTGACTTTAATTTCCTCACGTCCGAAGGGCCCACACCGCGCACCTTAGACACTAGTGATTGTGTTAGATGGACAAGCTTTTCGGCGCTGTATCGAACATGAAATCGAGAGCAACAAGTCCATTCACTGTCTATTCGGAGGATATCTTGGCCATCAGAAGTTTGAACAAGGAGGTCCAGTTCTCGACTCTGTGCCTTCAGTTCCAAGAGTATGAGTGATTCTACTTTTTGGTCTAGGTTCTTCAATGTGTAGAATGCAAATCTGCACTATCTTAGAGCTGAAAATTTTATGTGTGTAGTTGAAAACGTACTCTTGGTATACAATCTCTCCCGCTCCAGTTCTCCAACGATATACGGGGCCGTCTGCTGCCGAGAAAGCGCTTGACACCAGTAGAGTTTTCGAAGCTGACGTCCATATGTTCAAACTGCAGTTGCGTAATCGGTCGACACCAGGCCCCAATAGTGCAAGGTTTTCAATTCGTTGATGCTCGGCTTTGACAATCTAAAGTGAACTTGTTAAAAATTTTCAAATTGACACATTGATAACCATCACCTACATCCGCGAGATCAAGGATAGACCAGTTCTGGGATCCAGTCGAGAAGAAGGTTCTTTGTGGATGCTGCGGGATTCTATCTGTGAGTATCCAAGAGGCCTTGAAGAGATCTGCATGAGCTTGATAATAGTTTTGTGTGTTGGTTGGTGTAGTGTAAAGGTAAGCTTGAGCCTACATTAAAGAATGTGTTAGTGCCAAAAACTGAAAATATATACGATGGACTTGGAACATGGAACAGCCTACTTTCATTAGCCACCATTTCCCTGCTTGAATCCAGTTGTCAATGCCAATTGATGTCCATAGTTGGCCAGCCATCTCGGATTTCTCTTCAATGATACGTGCCAGCTCACGATAGGAAGCATTTCCATACCACTTTGTGGCCGCTTGGTAGGAATCTCCTAGGTTTTTTCCTTGAGATTGAAGAGAGAAGGGTCCCGGTATGTTCATGGACCGCTTTATTTCTTCGATCGAGTCTATGACCTTTTGGTTCTGGGCCTGTATCCGCTCTAAAGATGAGCTATAGATCGTCAGCATCCTGTAAGATAAATGGAAGAGATCTTAGCGGTAAACTTACTTGTTGATAGAAAGTAGGAGCAAATTCATCTGAGAGTTTTGATAGTTGAGCTGATAAATGTCAGAGCTGGGCATAGATGATAACTTGAAAATATAACTACCTTTGCCCGCAAATCATTGAGCTTTGGTAATTCTTTCGCATATTTTATTTTATCCCAAGCCACTTTCGGAAATCTCTTCCGCGTATTTCCATCGGTAGGAGGCCGCAGAATACTATGTTTTTCCGAGAACTCTTGTAGCTGACCCAGAACTTCACCAGTCCTTTTCAGTATATTGTTTGCAGTGTTGACACAGTCGGGTCCAGATTGGACAAGCGGCGAATTTGGGTTTTTAGCATCTTCGACTAGAACTTGGACGGTGTTGGCCATATCGCCGAGCTCTTCCTTAATCGATCGGAGTTCATCTGGCGCATCGCGCGACACTTCGTATACTTGTCGATAAAGCTTCCAACAGAGTTCTCCCACTGCGATCGCGTCGCCGATACCAATGCCAAACGACATGATGTGAGATTTTTGGTGAGTAAGGCTGGCGGCGATAGAGAGAGGGGAAGTCGGCTTATGAGCAAGCTCGCAGGGGGCTGTGCAGCTGCATGGTTGGCGCCTATGGGCTTCTCATTCCTGCATTGCTGCCTTTGGGTCAGCATGGGAGATCTTCTTTAATTGGCGAACATCAGCATTTTACATGCATATGCAATCCAGTCAAAACGATCAGGCTGGATTTTCAGTGTATTGCAGGGATGAAAGCCCAAAAGCAAAAAAAGTCAGAGAAGGTCGGCTGACGCCCTTGACTGAACGATTAATGTTCCTCGCGCCTTATGTGTAACCGTACAACAGACAGGTTTGTTAATATCCTTTTGTTTATTAGTGGTAGTCCTTTCACGCTCTAATACTTAGAAGCGTCTCGAAGAAAGGATTAGATCTACCTATCAGACGTTACCTCCCACTGGAGAAAAGTAGGATAGGGCATCAACCGACTAAAGATAAACTGTAATCATTAAGAACTCTGCAGCTTTGAAGAGCATGTGGGTTGAGGTATAAAATTACGGAAGAATATTGGAGAGCGAAGAAGTGAGTACGTAGAAAGTAATAGGGGGTGAAGTGTAATAATGAGGGTTTAGTGAAGGTGGAGGGATGAAGTGTTAGAAATTTTAAGAAATGAGATAGATGGTTTAACGTCGTTCACCTACGAACGAGTTTCACCGTTCCGCGAGCGTACCAGTCAAAGCGCGTCCTTGTTTAGTGGGTTACCCCCCTCGGTGACATCAAAACACGTAAATCACCGCCAAATCACTGCCTTTCAGGAGCCCATCTGGTTGGTGCGCTCGCTGAACGGTGAAACTCGTTCGTAGTTGAACGACGGTAAAGACTATGCGGACGCTAGGATACGGAGTAAGTTATTGAAATTAGCGGCCTCCATGTGTACCTTGCCCAGTTAGCAATGTCTCAAGAACCAAAACAAGCCGCACTTACCAATCTCTCTGCTCCCTTCCACTTGATCCCAAGCTCAGCCACCTTGATCACACCTCTTCTTCTTTCTCTACTCTCATACACTGCCATCCACCACACCACTCCAAAAGCACAATAATCACCAACAACCATACAACAGAAGACGACAATGATGTATTGCGAATAAATCAATCAATCCGAGATAAAAGAGACCAACATAACCATGACAACATAACCTTTAAAAAAGAAAGAAATTCATGACCATTTTGTGTTTCCCTACCGAAAAAAAAGAAAAAGAAAGCCCATCCGTCCGCCTACCCACCTACCAGCCGACCAACCAACCCACCTACATATGCCCCCACCCTATCCATTCACCCATTTACCTTGCTACCTCCCCTCAATCCACCCCCTTCTCCACCCCTCATCCTCATTGCGCTCTATATGCTTGTATAAGGGGTATGGTGATTTTCTAGACAGACAGCTTCAATGGACCAGACGTGCGCGCGTGTCCCAAATCATCGCAATCATGCCTTTTCTGCAGAGAAAGAAGAAGTCGAAGAAGTCGAAGAAAAAAAAGAAAACGGCGACAACGACAGCGACGTGGAAGATGACAGGTAAAGATGGTGATGGGGGGAAGAGATAGCATGATAAAGAAAAATTGAAAGAGAACATCCTTATATACGCCCCATCAAAAGCAAAAAACGAAATCCCGCAACGGACTGTCCGCAGCGAGGAAAGGGCGCGTGATGGATGCCGCCTTTGACGGATAACAGCAGCGTCCAGCCCTCCGTCGTGCTCGTCCTGGTATTGCCTTGTAGCTGTGCAGCTGGGTGCCCGTCCGCATACACCAGCCGACTTTGCTCCCAATCCGTTCGTGTCTATCTCTACGATGCGTAATTGCGTCACTGCGCCCTTCTCCTCTACGACGGCTTGTCGCAGCCGATCCGGCCCAGAAGCTCCTTCCGGTCTCCGTGACCCGGGATCGAGATGCCGCTCGCGATGCCCGAGCCCCGCTTGGAGCTCAGGCGCTCGCTCCTCCGCTTTGACGTCGGAGTCGCAGTGCCCTTGACAAAGTGCAGGCCCTCAACGCCGACTTCCTCTTCCAGCGGCCGCGGCTCTTGACCTAGCGCCATCGGGCTCTTGCTCTCGCCCTTCTCGTTCTGCGGGTTTTGGCGCTCGTAGTCATCGTCGAGGTCCTCATCTTCTTCCTCGTCCTCGCCTTCGTCATCGGACCGTGTGTCGTCGGCGCCTTGGCCCGAGAGCACCTTCCACGCGACCTTCACGATCATCCAGAACCACACAAGCGTAATTACCTGCAGCCCTCCGAGGAGTCCCAAGAATGACCAGCGGATGTTCTCGTTGAAGCAGACGACACCGCCCGGCTCACGGAAAGCTTCAAGGACATGGCGCATGATATCGTTCCCTCCATCAGCAGGCGTCGAAGGGGAGTCAGGCAGCAGCTCGCCATTGGCAGAGTTGTAGCATCCATAGGGCATGACGATTGGAACAGTGTAATAGATGGAGTAGCAGACGGCGATGTAGAAGACGTGGCGGCAAACAGTCCAGGTAAGGATAAAGATACCGAAGGCGAAGTCGCAGGCGGTCTGGTAACCAAGGTACTTGAGGATCTTGGCGGTCTAAATTCGCGGCCGATTAGCTCTGACAAGTTCATTCTGTGGTCGCAGAAAACAATCCAGAGTATACTCACGGAAAGGAAGATATCCACAGCATCCATGATGCACAAGATCACGTTCCCAACCTTCGTCTGATAATATCCGTAGCTCATGAAAATCAGAGCGCTCGTGACAATATGATGCGAGAACATTTGCCAGTGATCTTTGCGCCTTTCCTCCATGTTGATGACGAAGATCTGCTGCAGCCAGAAAGCGAACTGCGCGAGATAGTACCACTTCATCGTGCCACTCATTCCGCGCGTCGGGAAATTGGTCCACATCTCGGAGAGGTTGAACCAGTAGGAAGAGTTGTAATAAATGTACTGAATTGACGTTAGCTGATCGCTCGAAATGGTATGTCGCCAGATCGCAGAACAATTGCGCGAAATCGGATTCAACAAAACACAATTGCCTTACCATTCCAAGTGGCCAGAATACAAGATAGTACACCAGAAGCCAACCTTGCTCGGCGAACCGAACAGTTGCCTTCTTCTGCTGGATGCCACCTCTGCGCGCCAGCGGCTTGAGCACATAATCCATGGTAGCGGCCCGCAGCGCCGTGAAAGCGACAATCCAAAACGCGACAAGCGGAAGGTCGTCCCAGCCCTGGGTGTAGGTACCACTGGAAGCATCGTAGTAGGAAAGTTCAAAGAACTTGCGTGTGAGGGTGCGAAGAGGTGGGAAGCAGACGTGGGTAAGAGAGAGGAGGAGCATCAGGTTTATCGAGAGGCCTGAATACGACTATAGTTAGCTTGTGGCATTTTCAAATGAGACGCCAATGAATAGGCAATGGTGTTGACTTACCGATCTGGTGGGCCTCAACCCAGGCGCAGAAGGTGCCCAGCAAGCTGTCGTCAACATTCTTCCTGCGCGCCTTCTGTGCGGTGAGGTAACGGTCATTGCCCGCACGACTGACGAGCAAAGGCGTCTTCTCGTCAACGGGAGAGGGAGTATAGGGGTCTGCGGCACCTATGGCGGCGGCGTTGAGGTCCTTGTCCAGCAGGACGCGGGCCTCGGTTGCCGGGGATACAGGCTGGTGCTCCATTGCTCGACTCGGCAAGTCAACGTGATTGAATCGTTTTTGGTGTGCTTAAACGGGCATCGAGGACTGGCAGAGGGGTTGGCAATGAGGTGGCATGCGTGGAGCAGCACGCTTGGTAGTTTTGTGTGGGGAGCTGGTTGTTTCAGTGTTGAGGCGGTGTACGTGCGAGCTTGCGCAGCTGTGACGAGCGAAGAGGGGCCCGAAAAGAGGGTCAATGGCACAGCAAAGCGAATGACGAGCACCGAAATGACCGGCGCGCGCTGGGGGAAATTTTTCTGATCCCAGGTGCGAGCGTTGCGGGGAAGCTAGTGAGGGTGTCTTTGCGCGCGGTGGACTGAGACTTTGTTGCTGTCCGTGTGCAATCGCCAACCAAGGGTCTGCCGCCCGGCAGCAAATCAGCGCCGCCGCATCACCACCGTGCTGCTCGTTTCGAATAGGGGGTCTTCGCATGGATCTTTGCGTGCCATCGACCACGCGGGAGCTACACCAACGGTGGCAGATCATTCACTAGCGAAAAAGAATGTCTTTGCTCGCTTGCTACCTACCCTCCAAAAGCCCAATGCCTCCAAAGAAAGAGGGTATCAAATAACAATGGTCAAGAAAAAAAAAGCCCCGCCCAAGGGAATCGCTCCCCAAACTTTTGTAGGTAGAAAGAAAAGAAAGGAAATGCAAAACAAGCCGCCCGCTACACGCTTAGTGCACACTAGAAATACAAACGAAAGACTACAGTAAAGCAATCGTAACCTCGTGAAAATGGACAATTTTGATCCAACTGGGGTTTGCTTACGCAGCGTAGGCCGGAGGCGCGTCCATATCCTCCTCCTGCCTGTCCCAGAAACTAGCCGCCGAAGCGCCTGCCACGCCGCTGTTGCGCCGGCTCTCACGCTCCTTCTCGTCTTGGACCTTCCTGGCAATCTCCGTCGCCATCTTCCTCATCCACGCCTTCTCGAGTATGCCACCGGACGACGCCGCCTCATTGTACGGAAGCGGCGAGCCCGCCAGGCGGTGGCCCGAGGGGGATGCGGTTTGATGAGCAAAGGACATCTTGTCCATGGAATAGGTGCGGAAAGGCGGGGCGGAACTTGTGGCGGCGTGGTTGAAATATGAATTATCACCAAAAGATGTTTTTGTAGGAGAGCGGGAAGATTCCTTAGAATCACGGAGTTGATGGATGGCCGCCGAAGGTGACATTGCTGATTTCCTCGACACCTCGATAGGTGTAACTGCCGGACGTTCGTCAACGCTGCTGCGGCGTCCACGCATCTCAATTTTCACGCCACGAGGAGACATCGGCGGTGTCGCGAGCTCCTCTTCCTTCGCCTCGTGAAGGATGGATGAAGTCTCCGAGGGCTGAACACTCGGTTCAGGCGTCGTAGTGTCCGTAGTGACACTCGCCGCATCAGATTCAGTCTTGTCCTTGCGCAGGTTGACTACTCTTCGCTTGGGTCTCCGCTGAGCGCCTGTGCGAGACCTGCCAGCTCCCAAGTTCATTCCATATGTGGAGCTGGAACTAGCGAAAGTGGGTCTCGACAAAGTGCTGCCATTGTCCGTGCCATCTGAAACGCTGTATGTCGCTGGCGTTGCAAGACCCGAGGATGAATGAATGCGAGAAAGAGTCGACAGGGTAAGCGGAGAGGTGTGTGTACCGGTAGTTTCAACACGGTCGGCAGCCCCAGCCCAGGCACGGAATACCGCATCGCGAATCGACGGAGTGAAGAGGGAAAGGGTGCGGTGCGAGTCTGTCAATGCAGCAAGACGCAATAGGTTCTTCTGCGAGAACGATGCGTGGTTTTCGGAAGGGGGGTCCAAGGAGAAGGAGGAGATCTGATTATCGTCAAGAAGGTTGCCGAACGCATCGACCGGATCCTGCGGTGGACTTGCGAATGGGTCCACCGGCGCAGGGGAATCTGTTCCACTCCTTGTCGCGTTTGCGACAACCTTTTCGTCCATCTCCTGGTATTCTGGTGACCAAAGTCGAAGTGAGAGGCGATGAAGGATCGCCGGAAGATCCTCCATGAATAACACTCGCAATTGCTTCTCGATTTCCTTTTGCAGATAGTCCCGAACGAACGGTATCGAATCAAATGTAGATGAAACCTTCAACGACTCCAGCGGATCGTTCCGGAAGACCAGGGTAAGACCCTTGTTCTTCGAGAAAACCAGTATGACGAAACCGGACAAACGAATATCGGAAAGTGTTATTTGTAACGGAATCGTCAGGCCGGCGGAGGCAGCGAGAGGTTGCGGTGATGCGAAGGAAGGTTTGGTGGAAAGAAGGGTGTTTAGAGGATTTGCTTGCACGCGGGTTTTCAGCGTTAGGAAGGCGTCTCCGGAGTATTGCATCTTGAAGATGCCACGGAATCGGTCCTCGGCGAGGTCTCCAATCTCCAGTATCTCGAGCTCCGGGGGCACGGCGCCCAGGTTCAGTTCGGTGACGATGATGTCGTCAACAATGATCGGAGGTTTCGGCGATTTGTTCAGCGCCGCCGTCAGCATCTCGCGGGCACGCGAGGTGTCTGCTATCAACGGCGACCAGTTGAAGTTGAAAGCCATGGCTGGTATGACGATTGGGGATGCGAGGTTGAAGAATCCTTGTCGGCAGATGCGCCGGCTGGCGTGCGTGTTATCTGGAGAAGGTCGCGTGCCGCGGCGGCAACGAGCATGCCATCAGCCGGACAGGGAACGGTGCGCGCGCGCAGGATGGGGTCGTGTGGAGTGAAAAGCCGGAGTGTAGCTAGGGCTGAAGGAATCTATAAAGCGCGGCTCGGTCTGCAGATGAACCGTGACGGAGGGATACGGCTGGGGGAACGGTGTTGTGGTGTGACGAAAGACTGTAATTAGGACGGGAAGGGACTTTTCTTGGTCAAGAAGCCTTTCGCACCGACCTGGTCCGAGCTGCCGAGCCTCCGCTCGTCCAATGCGCCCGCCGCTAGCTACAACAACATCACCCCACGAAATTACAGGTCCCGGGACCGCGCCTGACCAATTAAATGGGCAGATCAAACTGCTCTGCATTACTGCTTCGGTCTTGGTGAGTCACGGGCTACGTGTCCGTGGGCCCGCCCCGAATCCTGGGGTTACAGGGAAGAGGGAGAGGGTGTTCACGGGATGGAGGCCTTCCATCAAACCCGGTCCTTCCGGTCATCCTCGTGTGCACTGTGTGGCGTCCATTCAGATCTCAGTGCAAACCTCCCTCCCTCAAGCGAGACATGCCCAGCTCAACCCCTCCTCCCTCAAGCTCCCGACATTGCACTCACAGAGTCACCGAGTCCCGTAAGAACGCTACTCCTACTGTTATCACGCTAAATGGGGCTGTCGTTTTGGCTAGGACAACCAAAGCAATAACGACCCCCAAATAAGCATGCTATCAGGCAATGACTGATCCACATTGGTGGTCGGTGCGGGTTCCGTGAGCCTGCCCTGACCAGTCATATGCCGGTTTGGGTGTTCGACAGGGCTAATCTGATGGTAGATCGCCAACTTGAGTCCTGGCAGTTCCAAGAAATGACCGTTATGACGTGTCTTTCATGAGGCGGGAAAAATCCCTCTGAGATTATTACAGCATTTAGCCTGTTGAAGGCGTCAAACGTGCGCTCGGTTTCAGGCGGACTCCGGGGATTGTATGCTGGCTGGCCCGTAAGTGTTCTTATAACTTCTCGATTCTGCTGTGGAGCGGTTTCATGGAACGGTTTCACTTGGCTGTTCTGCGAGTATGTACACTCGCCTTACTTCAGCTTGAGACAGGGGACTCATGGGCCGTCGGCACTAATCATTTGAGAGATGTCATTGAATTAGTCAATTTTGTTCCTGTAGTGGAAACCCGTTAACGCCTTATGCGAGGTCACAGAAGATGAATTCCTCAGGCACGCTGGTACAACAAGAGTACAAACAGGACCACCATACAAAATTGGGAAAGAGGACTAGCTAATGTTCTCTTCTCACTTTTCTCAAGAAAACCCACAAGAAAACCGAGACAACTAAACCAAGATAACTCCTGGTTCCGATCAGTGCAATTATAACGGCAAATACGATTTCCCTATTCTCAGCCGTGGACATGGTGATCAGGCCCTCTTTGTCAAGATTGGATCTTCCTGGAAGGTTGTGCCGGGCGTCCTCGGAGGAAGAAAATAAACTTCGGGGCAGCTCAATGGCTTCGGCTATATCATCGCCATTCGCGATGGTGATGTGAACGTCGTCTACCTTCTCGATATTGATACTCTCCAGGTTATTGACAACCGCCGTAGGGAGATGTTGAGAAGGCGATGTATGAACGTGGTTCCGTTCGTCTGGCTTGGAGTGGATCAAACTCTTCCAATGCGGTAATGCACGGTGCATCCATCTGCTCGCATAGTTGATGGCTACCACAGTCCTTTCTGTGCTCCCATGTTCGGCTCAGTCGACTCTTCCCAATTTTGGATGGTATTAGCAGGATGAGGGCCTACCACCAAGCCCGGTCCGTCCGGTCCATCCATTTAGATCAACGAGAAACTCCATTTCTCAAGCGAGACATCACTACGAAAAACCATGAGAACCCCGACCAAACCCAGAATACAACCTTCCCAGCAACGTATTCACAGTTTGCCATAAGAATGCCGCTGCCACAAAACCAACAGGGTCTCCTTTTATAACTAGGACGGTCAAGGCTATAACAACACCGAAATATACCATTTTATCAGACAGTGGCCGATTCACGTCAGTAGGCGGTATGGCTTTCATGAGCCCGTCCGGGCCAGTCACGTGCTGGCTTTCTGGTTCCGCCAGACTATTCTGACGTGTTGACCGTTGACTGGAGGAGTTTGCGGCACTGTTTCGACGAGCTGACTGCTTGTTGAAAGGGTCCGCCGTGTGGTTGATGATCTTGTCGCAGGGTCCCTCAAGACTGATTTCCGCGTGAAATAAATGGCGATCATGGTCGTGGAGTCCGGTTCCATCATTCTCCTTCTCTTTGAGTAAATCTTGCGCTGCCTCTTCCATTATTACAGTCCTCTCATCGGCCTGGTTGACAGGGCTTCCAAATGTCAATGGCTTTTGGCTGGCGCGTGACAAGGTCTGTCGGCGCCATTTTCCCAATAGCATGGCAGGTCCTACTGTCTGACTCAACGTCCTCCGGGGCCTGTAGCCCAACCAGCGAATATTCTGAGTTCCTAGCTTAGATGTCTTGTATGCGTCTGTAAGGTGTTTAACCGTGGCCTCGATCTCTTTTCCATCTAAATACTTCTTTTCGAGACCAAACTCCAACACTAGGAATGCGGCACTGGGGCGCTGATTGATCCTTTTCTTTTCTTCTTCCCGTTTCGTCTTGTCTTTTGCGAGTGGAGTCAGAAATATTTGTCGATCATAGTGTTTCATACGGTCGTAGAAGTGTGACGGCTCATTCCGCCTTTCGGGTCTCCGGTTGATACGGTTACAAATTCCCCATAAGCTGAAGGTACCTTTTTCTTCCAGGCATTCTTTGGCTGACTGGATGAATGCTGTGGTGAATGACTTCGGCCCTGGAGCATTTGTCTGCTTGTCCAAACCAGTTGCGGCAAGTAGCTGATATGCTCTGCCGCCTAAATTATCACCTTTACTGTCGGCATTACTTGCATAACAAGTATCCAGAATAGCCAATGCGTCAGCTTCCAAAGGTCCGTCCAGAATACCCTTTTCCGCGCTTGTCCATTTGGCTCGGGCTTTGATTTCTGCTGCATCTTCGATAAAATCTTTCTCTGAGTCCGAGCTAAAGCCTAACGTCAACTCTCGTGCACCTGCGGAGTAGTAAATGCTTTTTTGACTTACGCAAAAAACTCGAGTTCGCGTGAGTCTTCATTGTAAGCAGCATGTCCGGTGTAGTAAATGATCAAAAGATTATTTGCGCCGTCGAACTCTTCAATGAACAGACTCATTGCACTGTGAAGCTGATGGTCGGGTTTTCTTTTGATATCCAATTCGACGATTTTGGTTTCGAAATTAAAGCTGTCGCGAAAGAGCCCGTTGATTCTCACAACCTGCGGAGTCGTCAGTAACTTACGATATCAAGATACAGCACAAATCCAACATACCTCATCTTTGCAATTCAGGTTATCCAGATGGTCGGCCCACTTGACAATCAAAACAGCAACCTGCGCGTAACCGCTCGAAGCGTCTTGATATTTGCGCGTGGATTTCTCCCATTGCTCTCGCATTTGAACAACTCGCTCATCAACTTTCTCGGTAAGTGTAGTCTGCTGTCGGTTGTTTTCGAGCGTGCCATTGAAGTATTTGTCATAGGATATAGGGGAAGTTGCCACCAAATGTGGCCCTTGGTGGTCGTTCGTCATGTCTTTGGTTTTCGAAGCGAGTCAATCAGTCCGCGAAACAGTGAACGAACTATAGTTCGCAGAATCACTATGCCAGTAATCTTAATTCTTATTCGACATCTCTGAAGAAATGCCAATGGTTGCTTATGGTGACAGCCTTGTCTAAGAAAAGAACATAAGCAAGTGAATTTCAGCTTTGTTGCCTTGTTGCCTTGTTGCTACCTCCGTCCAACTTGCGAATCAGCCATATTCACAGCCCTCGAAGCCACCGGAAGTGGGCGTTATTCGCTTAGAGGGCTGTGGTGTGTACGTGAAAGGCAGTAGGCACACAATATGTGTTGGCGCAGTTTTTATTTCGGTCAGCGCTCACGTGAAGCGAGAACGGGTGGTGCGGAGATAGATATTGCTTTTTCTACCCCGCTATCATCGGGTCACAATGATCACGCGGGCTTTCAGCTCTGCGAGGCAGTGCAAGCCTTGTTTGCCTTCTTTTTTCCAGCCTTGACGCGAAGTGGGGATCCGCCAATTGAAACCATAGCACTATCATCGCGTGGCAACCATTCGCTATTTCGGGGCTCCGCTGTGTATCCATAATGCGGGAATTAGCCCAAGGCAACAATGGCTGCTTAGTCTCTCCGTGCTCTGCTTATGTCTCACTCTGACGAATTAGGGTGGTCTTCTTAAGCCGCAGAGCATATCTTCATATGATAAAACAGTGGGAAGGCTATCCAATCTGAACGCAGACGAACAAATTCCTACTAAAGTTTAGCAAGCCTGTCTAGAGGTTGTTCGAAATCCGCCTTGTATTCATACTCACAAGGCTCACTCAATTAAGAGCCATCATGTCGGGACCCGTAGGCCCCCGGTCCCGTTCATGTACCCAGTCTCGTTAACTGATCGTGGCAAAGGTCGATCAACCATTCGCTAGTAGCCCAGAGGAACGCAAGAAGTCTGGCGTTAAGTTATCCACTAATCCCAATGCTGTAAGTGCTCAAAAATCAACCAATAAGCGTGCGCTTACAAGAGTGCTTGGTAGCTCCCGTCAGAATTCAAAGAAGGCACCCGTGTCAGAATGTCAGTAGTCATTGGCGGGACCATGGCTCCAAGGATATTTAAAATCCTGAAGATATCTTACAACGAACAGAGAAAGGTTTGGCAGTACCAATTAGAGTTTAGGGAGGCCATCTATTCTGAGGAGGGGAAGGAGTGGTTCGATGAATCTGATTTGAAGAGGGTTAAGAACCGCTAGCTTCGGAATACACTGCAGTCACATTCATGCACGTTTTGCCGAGTGGGTATAACGTGGCTGACTTGAGGGGAGCCGGTGAGCCTGCGCAGACCAGTTATAAGCTCAAGGAATCACCATCAGTGCTCTTATGGCGAGCCAGAAGTCCAACCTAGTTCTGTTCAAAATTACTTGCCAAGCTATGTCCAACCAACTATTGTCTGCAGATGAGAAAGTCAGCTGCGGGCCTTCTGCATACCCCTCAACCAATCCAGGTCGTCCTCGAGATTGCGTCATCCATATCGACAGTGGAACGGCGACGGCGGTTGGATCACCTACTAGAAGCAGTATGTTGCCATTGATTTTTGCGATTTCTCTAACCAAAATAGAGTCATGGTCGTCTTCTATGCGGACTTATTCCCAATTACACATCTCAAAAATAAAAGCAAAACGATGGAAGTTGCCTTCATTCAAGCGGAAATCGAAGGATGCGTCACTGTGTTTGAGACCCCAAACTAAGAAAGGTGAGACGAGGTGAAGTTATGTCGTAGAAAGTCCATTCTTATACTTTTTTGTTAGTGGAGGACTACCCTTTGGGCTATCCACGACTCGCAGCATTCCAAACCAGCGATCCTTCTTTCAGCATATATCGCGGATTTGGTTACCTACACTCAAGAGTCCTCCTGGACTTACAGTATGAGTTGTCAGAATTAGAAGAAGAACTTGAGGAGAGGGATTCATATGACGGCCAAATCGAAGACACAGCACGTCGACTTCGATCACGGAAGACAGACGATCTTGAATCAGAAAACTCCGAACCAAGGGAAGACATTGACGAAGATGAATATGAACTCAGACCTCGCAGAGTTATATTGAAAGACATTCGAGAGACGCTTGTGCAATACGGTTAGTCCGTGCAGCAAACCCCCAATAAGTCACAATTTTCTAACATTTCTTAAAGATGAGGTGCTTAACAAAGCACGAAGAATAGGCACTCTCCAAAAGCCTAATAAACGCGACTTCAACAGTGTCGCAAACTGGTTCCATAACCAGAAACCTCTAGTGCAAAGAGAATGGTACACCATCAAGAGACAAGAGGACATGCTCACTCTCCGACAAGGGCGCGAATGGGCAGGTTTCGACGGTATAGTCGAAGCCGCTCTTAGGAAGTGCGATTGTCGCCTTCTACAGGTATGTATAAATTAGCATGATAGGGTTGTCTCGATCTACGACTGTGACTGATAGCTAGTGACAGATGATATTCCGACCACGTGCTCTTACTGAGAAAACAGAAGACAAGTGCGTCTTCTATTACGCTTCTAACCGCGTTGAAACCCTCTGCGCGGTGATCATCACATCCGTAATTTTCGTGTTGCTTGTTTTACCAGTGTTCGCTATGTATAAGCTCACCAGCTTCGGAGACCGATCATCCACCTTCGACGCAATCGGAGTGCTCGTCGTCTTCACACTCCTTTTCTCAGCCGCTATGTCGCTACTTACGAAGGCTAAGCGCCATGAACTCTTCGCAGCTTCCGCCGCGTACTGCGCAGTACTGGTTGTGTTCATCTCAAACTTCGGAAGCAACGATCAAAACCAATTCCAGACTCAAAACTAGCAGCTATAAAACAGACCAAGCTGTATCGGGAGCAATGAACACAGTCGAACATCTCCATTGGTACAATACGTAACACTCGAGGCCGTTCATCAATCATCAAAAATAGTACAACATTGGTCGCAATACCAAATGAGAAACGATGTACCAAGGGAATAGCCTTTCCGCGGAGGAAGCATGTTTAGCACCGTCCAATTCCTTGTTGTAAAAAGTCTCAAAGCTTAGAAAGGAAACCAAATGGCTATATCGTGAACTTTTTAAGAATTTGAAGGGCACCAAATCAATTGAAAATTTTGGTATAGTCAAAGAAACCGAGAATTTGTGGAGTGCTGTTTTGGAGGCCAATCGCATAAACGCTGACCATCAGTTCACGCTTGCCGTGACCTGTGTTAAATGAGCTGTCGGATAATGTAAACTATTACGAAGAAAGTGGGGGCTTACGGCCATGCTTATACTGATGAGCCCGCCAAGAGCCAGCCGATAAAGAGTGTTGGAATGTATTGTGAATGTATTGTGGCTCTATAGTAAAGGCGATAAATTCAAGAATTAAAGGTAAGTCACCGGAAATGTTACTGTAGACTTATAGAAAGGTTCAATAGCGATTCTCTGGGAGAATCATATGGATCCGCAGCTGGTGCTGATGGTGTTGCGGTACTATCTGTCAGTGTTCTCTGTCGAGTTTTAGTCGTAAGGCAGTAAACATAACCGGGTTATAGTCGCATCTCTCGCCGGTAGTAACAGGTATTGTAGAAGACTTTGCGGAATATCATAGAACTTACCATTAACATAGTAAACAGAATAGATGCTGGATTCTAGAAAAGATGTAGCATACAGCCCAAATATAGCCGGGATTACCACGACGTACCAGAGCTAAGACAGTTTTTATAGTCACTGGTTATGTTAAGTCGTTACTTAGTCTAGACAGTATTCGGTTTACTTTGAGAATCCTAACGTAGTTTTTGAGTATGTTGATTAGCCAACAGTAATCTCAAATAAGTTGAACAAACATGTCTTTATGTTCTGGAGCTATACATGTTCTACCGAGAATATTGGGAACGTCACTTAGAGCCTTCCATAGCATACTGTTTTGTTTAGGTACTACTTCGCCAATGCTTCAACTCTGCCAGGAGTGGTATGACAATTTTGTCTATCACTCCTTGCCGAACTGAAGGATTACCCAAGTCCGTACAAGGATCTGCAGGGCAAAAAAGGCAATGCGAGATGGCACCCTTCGAGGCTAATGAGAGGTTTCCCTCTCGCTCAAGGTCATTGACCCATCGACGAAGTACTCTACGATGAGAGATTTTTTTTTTTTTTTTTTTTTTTTTTTTTTTTTTTTTTTTTTTTTTTTTTTTTTTTATAATTTTTGACGAGGAAAATTCTTCTTGAATCCGTTCTTCAAAGGTTTGGCCGCAGAAAATTTCAGCAAGCATCGTTCCAAGTTCGAGGAATATGTCTCCATCATCCTTAGGAATGCAGGTAACTATCACCAGCTTTAGCGTCCAACACTATAGTGTGATAGATCCTTAGTACTTACCGGATGATCCTTGAGAGAATTGGCGGTTTGATAAAAATGGTTGTTGAAAATCAACATTGCAATCGCGAAACCGATCCTTCATGGGGAACATAATGTCCTGTCTTCTCCATCCGTACTTCATCCAGGGTGTGGCATGAAGTTGAATTAAAGAAGAAGCTATTGTAGCAGCTAATGTATATCTGTCGGCTATAGATATCCTGACAGGTTTTCCGTTCCTCGTAGGCGGCTGTGTCAATATCTCCTCAAGAGATGCAACATCGTCAAGGACAAACGGATGCTTGTCCACTGGGAAGATACCTCGAAGCTTCCTTTCAGAGTCTAAAGAAAGTCCCAGGCGCCCTGTTTTCGGTTGGTTTGCTTGCAATATTCTGCAGATGTCTGTGATTTCGCTGAGTGTTGAAGTCTTCCTGCCTGGTACGGAAACTGGAGAATTATCCGACGGAGTAAACAAAAACTGCACCTTTCCTGTAGGCCTGCAGAGTGTATTAGCTTGTAATTCGGTCTTTCCTCCTTAGTGTTACTCACTTTGAAGGCTGCCTCGCCTGTGCTACACTCACGTCAGCATACTGCCACCCCGCAGCAGAAGAACAATTCGGGAAACAGATAGTGAAGTGAGTCGCATTGTCATCATCCAATTCCTTATTCGGCTTTTGTATGCGCTGTTCCAATAGCAGATTTGCGTGGTGGGTTGTGTGTGCAATGCGGCACCAGGACCGTGTAAGCACATCGTGAAGTTCTTTCGCATTTGTTTGAACCTGCCTCACGGTTAAAGACAGGTTTGATCTTGATTTTGTTCCAGTGGTAGTCCCCTCTCCAAGTTTTTCTGCTCTTTGAAGGTATTCATATAGCTGATCATTGCAGTATTTTAAACGTTCCAGCGTCCGGGCTAGTTCTCGCCGCTTCATGGTGAAGTCCACCCTTCTCCTGAACTGAAATTTTTGTTGTTTTCCGGGTAGGCCAGAATTGGGTGGGTTTGCAATAACAAATGCTTCGAGTTCGTTTCTAGTTGCCTACACCACCAGTTTGAAACTCGTCAGCAACTGTTGAAAATCAAATGTTTCGAGAACCACGAACCTTGCTTGATTTGTTGAGATTTAAGTGCTTACAGAGGTCTTTCATAATATCTTCAATTTCCTTGACGGTATCAAAATACCCCATATACGCTACACCCAATTTTTCTCTAATCTTCTCCTTTATATCACCATCTTTCCACAGATCAGCCCCAATATTGTTTATCATTTCATCCAACTGTTTATTATCCGCTATGCCCTGCAAAAGATGCCTCAACGCCATCTCATAGAAGTTATGTTGATGCCAAAGTTTGCGCAGCATATCAGAGAGCTTCCCTTTCCACAATATGAAGCATTTGAGAGGTTCAAGTCCATCGTTATAGTGTTCGATTGCTGAGATGAGAAGCGGAATGCCTCCGAGCACGAGGCCTGCAATTTCGATTCCGGACATGTTGTCTCGATGTTTGGGACTTGGGAGGCTAAAAGTTGGAAGTTTGCCACGCGTGAAGTCTTCCAGGAAAAGATTTACCCCGCATTTCGTACAACCTATCTATTTATAGATATTTGGTCTTATTTCGTTCCTCTGTGATCATTCCACTAACATAATCATCATCAAATCCATTTACTCGACCTTGGAGGCCTAACTCATCATGGCAGATATCGCTCGAGATAGTTGTAGCTGTAGGGAGAGCTTTGCTCTGCTCCATTGCAAAGTGGTTGATGCCAAAGCGGAATACCAGGAATTTATGCCTCCTGGCGATATAAGAGAACAAGCTGGTCGTTTTACTGGTGAGTAATGCGAGGCTGGAACCTAAATAATATTAGTCTGACTTGGTATTGAGTGTGGTGCGGTAACTTGGGCGCATTTCAAAAGGGCCGAGTTTCTTTAGACTTTCGATTACGGGATTCCCCGATAATGCAAGACCACGTCTTGAAGCTCTTGAAGCAACTAAATGACGAGCTGCGCGAAAGTAAGTCAAGTTTGCTCAGGCCTTTAATACTACTGGTGGACTATTGTACTTTCAGACTAAAGTCCTGATATGACTACAGGTATTTCTGTGGTTATCGAAAAGAGACCACCATTTGAGCAGCAAATTCCACAGAATGACTCCGACTCTGGAGATGAAGAGAGTGGCGAAGACGGACGCATAACTGAACTGGGAATGCGCCTATGCAGCATCCGCGACATTTTGAGTAAACTGAACAAGCTTGCGTTCAAGATTCGCAATTCTAATCTGCGGTCCATCTCACTCAAACCACTTCTATACCGAGAATTTGTCTCGGTGGCTGGAGACGAAAGTGGTGTCCTGACCAATGCTCCATTTGAAGAAGAAACATGAGTTAGAATCACGAAGTGGTTAACTCATGTTGATAATACAGGCATGAATCAACACAAAGATATGGAGGCAACTCAAGAGCTGCGTGGTGTTGGGGACCACCTCTCAACAGAATCAGGAGAGTTGAATCTAACGGAAGGTCAAACGGACATATTCGACCGTTATGCGGAGTTCGATTGCCGGTATATGACTGAGCTCTTTGAAAGCATCTGTGAGGTCTCAGATGTGCCTCAAAACAGAATCCTGTTTGAACGATTGACAAAAGCAATCACGACCAGGCGAAGAATCATAAGATATTGGAGCAGACACGCTGACAAACTAGCGACTGGAACGCAGAACTTCCTTGGCCCACCGATGGGTTTTGGCGGTACAAAGTTGAGTTCACAATCTCACGTTGGAGAGGAAGAAGCTCCTAAGCTGCATGCTTCTGGCAAGCCAGAATCAGTTGCTCAAACAGCGACAAGCTATGCTGATACGGAACTAACCACGGCTTATAATGAGAAAAAAAGAGGAAATATCGACTCTACGCCAGTCATCTCGTACATAAGCACCACTTGGAATATTCACGGCAATGTGGTTGAAGTCCCACTGCTACCACTGCCAGCAAATAAAGGCAGTGATTTTGTAAGTAAATACCTCCATCAGTCCTTATAGATTAGCACTCTAACTATTCACAGGTTTGTCCTTATTGCTCTGTGCTATCTCCAGCAGCCTACGGCAAGGGACAAGTCTGGAAGTAAGTCTAGGCACACAACGTTTCTGGTTTAGGAGAACAGCTAACAAATTATAGAAACCATCTATTCCGAGATCTTCAGCCGTATATGTGCACTTACGACGAGTGTAATGAAGCGGATCGGATGTATGGGAGGAGGAGTCAGTGGGCCGAACATGAAGCATCCAGCAGCAGTTTTTGAAACTCCCAGGCAGCTAGCAGATCATTTGTGTACTGAACACACGGATAACTTGCCGGAGACCCAGATTCCGGATCTTGTCGAACTCGGCGAAGCCAGCCTTGAAGATGAACGCGAAAGGTGTCCCATCTGTCTTGACAAGGATACGTTTATAAAGAGCCGGACAACCCATTTGGCCAATCATCTTGAACGGGTTGCGTTGTTTGCCCTTTCCCGTGGAGAAACCGAGGAATCTGGTCTTTCCAATGCTGCCAAAGGAGCAAAAACTGCGGAATCACGGGGCTCGCTATCTTCAATATCCCTCGTTTTCACCGACCGTGGATTTATCAGCATGACACTAGCTCACAAATATGGGAAGAGGTGGATGAACCGCACAACATCCCTTCGTACCAAAGAAAACAGTACATCAAACGCTCCAAGACCTCCAATAGCAAATCAGCAGGTTAGACCCCTAGGCCATAGATAGGTTTCATACGGTTGATATTGACACGTTTTAGGGGATGCTACCTCCTATGTTTCAGAAAGGTAGTGGTGTCCTACTAACACCTATGGGCGGTCGATATCTTCGAATTTTAAACATGCGGTATAATACTGTGAGGGAGGGGTGGGAGTACCAGATGGTTTATATGTCAAAACAGGGAAGGCGTTTGTACGAGAAAGGGCGCCGGTTTCCAGAGACAGATCTATGTCAGGCACCGTCTCCTGCGGATAATTTCTTCTTTCATGATTTCTTTGCGGGTAGTAGCAGTGGTCCAAGTCTGGCCGAATTCACCGCCCGCGGCGGTAGCGGGCGTAGCTAGTCTCGTCGAGTCTAGGTAAGGCGTTTTTAGCGGTAGCTCTTAATCTACAGCCTAGCCTACTAGGCGGACTACTAGATCAAATACTATAATAGATTTTTTATATGAACTATAGTATTAAATTAGCTACTATCTAGTGTTATCTTATATTTTATTCTTACCTATACTACGCCTTCTCTAAAGCCTATAACTTATCTAGCGTAGTATAGAAAGACTTAGTATACTCTAGAAAACTATACAAAAATTACCTAGCCCTTTATATTTTTAATTTATATCTTTAGAATAACCTTAATACCTAGATAGATATTTCTAGTAGATACAACCCTAACCTCCTTTGATTCACCTCGCCCCCAAACCCCCCTCTCGAAACACAACCAGACACAACAATACACCACCATCGACATCGACACATTCGTATCTCACTTCAAACTCTAAATCAAGAATCTAATCCTCATCCCACGACACTTTCCTTTTAAACCCCCCTAAATCTTCCCCCAGACCTTCCCCCCGCCCTCCAGCTCCCTACCCGGCTCCCCCTCCTGCCGGGCATGGTTCCCAATGGCCTCGTCCCGATCCGCCTGCTCGACAGACGGCAGCCTGCGCGCCTTAGCAATGCGCTCCTCAGTGATGAGGTAGCTGCGTGGGAGTGGGACAGCGCTTATGACGCGCTCGTGGGCCGCAGAGGAGGCGATTCCTTCGTCGGAGGCGAGGAGCAGCTCTGTGACCGCTTTGCCGCAGAGGCTGCCGTTGGGCATGCCGTGGCCTACGTATCACGCGGGCTTAATACTGCGCCAAGCACGGAGCAGAGCAAACGAAGAAGGAAACATACCGGTGTAGCCGCCTGCTAACCATACGCCCTTTTGTCCCGGCACGCCCCCAACCCACGGCACGTTGTCCCGCGAATACCCCATCACGCCGGACCACTCATTCGCGGCGCGCAGCTCCCCCTGCACTTCATCTCCACCCAAATCCACAGCCTGCGCCAGCCGTCCCCGCAACCACCCCGCCATCCCCTCGTCCACGACCCCGTCGTCCCACGCCCCGATCCGCCGCTTCACGGCCGCGCCGTCGCCCCCGCCGAACATGTAGTGCCCCGCGGGGTTCGGCACGCCCTCGTACGGCCGCTGATTCAGGTAGTCGTCTGAGTTCGCGGGCTGACCCTTCTGGCCGCACAGGCCGTAAGAGCTCGTTAGACGGGGCGCGTTTGCGGGCGGTAGGAGCGCGGACATCTCGCCCCGGACGGGAACGATTAGGTCGGCGAGTGTGGGGAGGAGGTGCGACGTCCAGCCATTGGTCGCAAGGATGACGTGTTTGGCGCGGAGGGTGCCGCGCGGGGTGTGCAGAATCGTGGGGTATGTCGCGTCGCCGTCGGAGGAAGGCGTGATGCGCTCGACAGGCGTGTGAGTCTGTAGGTTGAGCTTCCCGTCTTTGACCAGCTTCTCCAGCATGAACGTGATCAACTTGTACGGCCACAGGCTGGCCGCCGCGGCGCAAGTCGTCGCGCCCGCGGCGGCCGGGACGCGGAGTTTAGCCAAGCTGTCCTTGTCCGAGAACGCGGCGACGAGCTTCCCCAGCTCGGGGTCCTTCTCCTTCAGGCCCGCGATCTCGGCCTCCGCGACGTCGAACATCTCGCGCGAGAAGTAGGCGCGGCAGGCCGTGAGGCTGCGCCATTCGCACGCGACGTTATGGGCCTCGATGTACGCTTTCACGGTGTTGTAGTTTGCGACTTCGAACTGGGTTACGTCGAGGGCGCGCGCGATGGGCAGGACCTGGCAGTGGCCTGGTGGGCTATAGCATTAGCGCCTCAAATTCCTACTGTGCAACAGAAATGTCGTTTAGACGGTGATGACGACCTCCATTGCGGCCCGTTGCGCCCCAGCACGCTTCTCTAGCTTCGAGCATCACGACGCTGCGGCCTTTTGCGCGTGGGTCTTCGGCTAGGAAGCGCGCTGCCGAGGTACCGGTGATGCCGCTGCCAACAATGACGATATCGGCTTCGGCGGGCAGGTCGGGCGTCGTGCGGTGCCCAAGGAGGAACTCATTGGGCTCGCTGTGCCAGAAAGACTTTGTTGGGTTGGGAACGGGCAGGCCGGCGGGCTGGTGGTCTGAATCAGAGGACATGGCGGATTGCGACGAAGTGGGGTTGTGTGCGGAAGTTGTTCAATGGATGCAATGGACTGCAGATGCTGTGTAAATAGGACGCCTGCGGTGTTGCAGACAGGTTCCAGTCCACATTGACATGTGCGATAACATCACTCGCAATGCAGGTCGATTCAGGAAGGTGTGTAGGCAACAAGGCGACAAGGCGACAAGGCATCGACTGTGGTGTAGGTTACATCATCGGTCAGGCACGTCAGGGTTCGGCAGAATTGCGGGGGGCCGAAAGCGGTCGCCGGTGCGGCAAGTCGGCAGGAGCGGCCCACCGGGATCTTATCTCGCGCCTAAGAACTCTAAATTTATATCTCCGGAATCCTGCATCTTGAAGTCACAAGGTCAATGCAGTACGCGCGTACCAGTCACCGATACATCACATGTGCATGTTCAAGAGAACTAGTGGTGATAGTTGAAAAAACTTCAAAATTGCGGGTTCTTCGTAGAGAACCGAGGAAAAAGCTAATGATACATGAAAGAACAACTTGAGGGGGTATTGAAGAAGTTGTCTATAAAAAATCCACTGTGAGAAAAGAGCCCGTGGTATCGGATCCTCCACATTACTGTCGTCAAAGCCAGCCTTTTGTCTGGCTGGCAGACGTCCCATCCATTACATTGCGGCATCGTCTCGTAATCTCGTGCCAGATGCCCGCTGGAATAATCGATTCAATCGAGAAAAGCTAGAGGATCAACCTCTGCGGCGGCAGTGTCCCGGCACTTGCGTCGAAGGTACTACTCGTAGTCGGACCGGCCGCTGCGCACTTAGTCGTGGCGCGGCTTGAAGTGGTGGTAGGCGTCCTTGATCGAGTCCGTGACACTGAAGTTGTTGAACAGCCACTCATTCGAGTGACGGCCGTAGTAGGAGAATTGGCTGTTGCTGCTGGCCGTGCTGCTGCGCTTGTCCTTGAGCGAGGTCGTTTGGCTGCCGTTGGAGACGTTGCGCGAGCCCTGCGGCCGCGAGGGCGACGGAGATTGCGAAGAGGGCATCGAGGTGGGAGGCAGCGGAGAGCGGGAGCGAGACCGGCTCCTGGAGTGGTCCCTGATCTTCTCGCGAATCGCGCCAAGGAACTTGTTCTCGGGACGAGTGGAGGAGGAGAAGCTCGATGTGGTCATGGCCCTGTCCGGAGACATGGGCGAGGAAGAAGCAGTAGAGGAGGTCGAAGATCGAGTAAGCGTCTGAGAGTCCATCTTGTTGTTGTTGTTGTTGTTGTTGTTGGTGGTGGTGGTAGTGGAGGAAGTAGGCATTTAATGTGTTTGTGGTTTGGTTTGGATGCTCTTGGGTTCGAGATGCTGTGAAAGCTGATGCTGGTCAAGGGCGGGGAGGATGCGGCGCATTTATAAGGAAGAGGATGGGGAGCATTTTGGCGGGTTGCACGGGAATAGCGGGAAGCTTGGCCTGGCTTGTGCAAAAAGGATACGGTCTGTTTGGAGGAGAGAATGAAAGGAAGGACCACTCAGGCGGAGGAGCTTGGCCTGTTCGGCGCAAGTTAGGGCTGACAAGCAGCTTCAGGGCTGACGCTCGGGCAGCGACTCACCGTCGCACCTCCCAATGACTTGACCGGCCAGTGCTCCTTCAGCAAGGGTCATGCATGGCCAACGCATCCCACGCTGCTTCCCCAGCCAATCGATGGAGCTGCCGACCCGCAGGCCCAAGACTTTCCGCTCCTCGGTCACCCCGTCGCTCTCGCCGGTCAAAGGCGCCAAGCTGCTCCCTGGATCGCCATGCGCCCTTGCACTCGGCTCCCCGGCATTGCCTTCGTCATTCCGAAGTCCTGTGATTCTTTCTCTTTTCCCCAAACGGCAGCTGCTTACCAGTCAACAGTCATCGGTCCCGCTGCCACGGCTCGGTCGGACCGTGCGGGAGGGAAAAAGCTGCCTGCAGGCACCAGCGCCAGAGCAGACAGCTCCCACGGCTCCAAACTCTGCGCACTACTGAAAAAGCAAAGGCCTTCGCGGTCCAGGCTCGCCAGCTCTCCCCGCGCTCCACCCGCTTCCCCTCGAGCCGCTTCTGGCCATTACGATCTACTGCAAATACACTTCAGACGCTTGTCTGACCGGCCAATTCGTTCGCTGGGACGTGCTGCACAAACGCGTCCTCTGCTCCTTCGCCTATCGTTATGCGCCAGACCATGGGGGCTCCCTCCTTCTCCCCGCTCATCCGCGGCCCGCCTGACGACTCCAACAAAGAAATATCGAAAGGGTCGGCGATCGGGGCGAAAGCTCATGCCTATCCGCATTGAAAACGTAAGCCACCATGTTTCGATTGTTTCTGCTAGATCACCCTTGTTAGAGGTGTGTCAAACGATGAAACGGGGATCTGGCCTTTCTCTCTCCTCGCGTCGTCCATAAAACAGCCCACCCGTCTCCCTCGTCCCATCGACTGCGACTGCGTGGTCGCCGCTGCAGCGCGCGTCGTTGCGCAAGCGAAACATCTAGCCGAAGCAGATGTCGTGCTCTGTCGCACCCGACGATCAACGCAACGGGTAGGACAGCACGAGCATCTTCGAAAATCTCACTCCATCTTATGTGGCTGCTAATTATAGCGGCGATGTAAGAGGAGGGGGGACGTACTCCTACTAAGTGTCGGTGGGTAGTAAGCGACTCCGCCCGTCGAGGAGAGGAGAGGGGAAGTAAGCCGCTCCGCTCAGCCTGGCGGAGGCTGCGGAGGCTGCGGAGCGGAACCCCTCTCGTGTCGTTCAGGCGCAAATTGACCAAGGACGGTCTTGAGTTCGATCGCGACGATCAGACACACTCTAATACCAGACGCGACCATGCCCGGCTCACGATTCGTTGCTATTCGAGCGGTTTGGCGGGCCTTCGCTCCTCATCTCCGTTAATTAAACGTTTCAACCGCTGTTTTGTAGGCGAGCGCGCCCCTCTTCGCCGCCAGGCCGGCGCTGTCGTCTACAGCAACGGCCTTAACGAGTTCGCACTATGCTCATGCGGATCTTTCTATTGGTCGATTCTTCTGTTTTTCCGCCATGAACGCCGTGCCGTCGGCTGTCGCAACCGTCTTTCAATGCGGAACCCCCGGCCGTCATGAACATCCCAGGATCTGACCACTGGCGGATAGGAGTGGTATATAGGCGCCAGGCTGTCACTCTCATAGATTTTCGTTCTTCACAGCCTGTCATCGCTGCTACATTTTCCATTCTTTCTGAGTGCCCGCCTTCAACATGTCTTTCTTTACTACCGCTCTGACTTCTCTTCTTGCCGTGTCGGCTGTTCAAGCCGCCCCTCATGTGTATGCAATATAATCTTCATGACACTTGTCCAGAAACTGACAGACGCAGGCGCCGTGCTGAAGCTGGTCTGAACACGGCTGCCAAGGCGGCTGGCCTCGAGTACTTTGGCTCCGCAACGGACAACCCTGAGCTTACGGACACGGACTACGTGGCTGGACTCTCCAACACGTCCGATTTTGGCCAGATCACGCCCGGCAACAGTATGAAGTGGGACACCATTGAGCCCTCTCGTAACACATTCTCGTATGACAAGGGTGATGTTATTGCCGACCTCGCGGAGAAGAATGGCCAGAAGCTTCGCTGCCACAACCTGGTCTGGTACCAGCAGCTGCCCAGCTGGGTTTCCAGCGGCAACTTCGACAATGCCACGCTCGTCGAAATTCTGCAGAACCACATTACCAATGAGGTCAAGCACTACAAGGGCCGCTGCGCACACTGGGACGTCGTCAACGAGGCGCTGGCCGACGACGGCACCTTCCGTGACTCGGTCTTCTACAAGACCATTGGCGAGGCCTACATCCCCATTGCCTTCGCTGCGGCCGCGGCTGCCGACCCTGATGTCAAGCTGTACTACAACGACTACAGCATCGAGTGGAGCGGCGACAAGTTCAAGGCCGCCAAGAAGATTGTCGAGCTTGTGCAGTCTTACGGCGTCAAGATTGACGGTGTTGGTCTCCAGGCTCACTTCACTGTTGGCAACACGGTCTCTCAGGATGCCATTGAGGGCGTCATGAAGGAGTTCACGGCCATGGGCGTCGAGGTTGCCATCACGGAGCTCGACATCCGCACCGAGACCCCCGCCTCGGAGGATACGCTGAAGCAGCAGTCGACCGACTACGCCTCTATTGTCAGCGCCTGCGTCAACGTCGAGGGCTGCGTCGGTATCACCATTTGGGACTACACGGACAAGTACTCCTGGGTGTAAGTGACCCCTCACCCACCCCGCCCCACCCCTCACACCACCCCACGCAAAGCTCAGACGCGCTAACGCATCCCCTCTCCCCACGCAGTCCCAACACCTTCTCCGGATACGGCGAGGCTCTTCCTTGGGACGAGAACTTGGAGAAGAAGCCGGCCTACGACGGCATCCTGAACGCGCTTCAAAGTGGGTCTTCATCTTCTAACACCTCCCCCTCTGCCTCTGCTTCGTCATCCACAGCCACCGGCGCCGTCGCGGACGCTGCGGCATCTTCTTCCAACTCTGCTGCCATTGCCACTACTGCCGCCTCATCCGCGACAGCTGCTAAGGCCTCATCCGCCGCGCAGGTACAAACTAGCTCGACCGCTGCTGCTGAGGCGGCCACGACGAAGGCGACGTCCGCGCCTGCGGCTCCCAAAGCCACTAATTTGACGACTTCTGCTGTTGCTGCTTCTTCTGTTTCTTCTGCTTCTTCTGCTTCTGCCGCTAAGCCGGCGGCTTCTAGCCCCGCTGCTGCTGCTGGTTCTGCTGCCGGTGCAGCGGGAACGGTGGCCAAGTGGGGCCAGTGCGGTGGTGCGAACCACAAGGGCGCGACGGCTTGTGTTTCCGGGGCGAAGTGCACCAAGTTCAACGAGTGGTACTCGCAGTGCTTGTAAGTGCTTGCTTGTTGGGCTGGGGGCGTGCTCGTGCGTCGTGAGCCGCACAGGGGATTACAGTATGTTTTACACAATGGGCACTAGTAAATAATTTGAAAAAATGCTTTTTCTTGCACTATCTACCTACGTCCAGTGTTCTGGGTTTTGCTTGTCCGGGTTGTGCTGTGTTGGGTTGTGTTGCTTTGCGTCGTTTTTGTTTTTGCTTTGAGTTGCTTTGCTTTGCTTTGCTTTGCTTTGCTTTGCTTCACTTTACTTTGCATGGGTTTGCCCAGAGGGTCTGCTCTGGTCTGGCCCAGATCCGATCAGACGAGACGAAGACGAAACGGGCTTTTCGGCGCAGCGTTCTAGAAGCGCGGTGCCTGCGTGTCGCGCGCCGCATGTGTACATGTGCATGCATACATGCATGCGGGCGTGCGTACCACGCCAAGCCAAGCTCAGGGTCGGGGTCGGGTCGGGGGCGCGGGTGCTGCTGCCGTTGTGGCCGCGCGTTTGCTGCGCTGGGATGCGCTGGGATGGGGTGTGCTGGGGTGTGCTGCGTTTGCTGTCTATTGTCTATTGTCTGTTGTCTATTGTCTATGCTATTCTCGTCTCGTCTGTCTGTTCGTTTGGCTTCTTCGCATTCTGGGTGATTGCTCTAGCAAGGGTATGGATCAGGATCAGGGTCAGGGACAGGGTGTAGGGACAGGGCAGGGGCAGAAGTGGTGATACTGCTGCTGTGCGAGAAGATTGATATCGTATCGTGTTGTAAGGGTGTATAGGGGCGGGATGGGACGATGATGCGACGAGACGTGGTGCCTATGCGAAGAGGTTGCGTTACGTTGCGCTGCGGTGGTGAGAGAGTGGCGCGTTTGTTCCTGCGTCTGCTTCTGCTTCTTCTATATGCAGTGTTGGGTGCTCGTGCTTAGATTGATGTATGGATAGATGCATGCGCGTGTGTAACAGTAGGTAACCGTAGCAGCAGTAAGAATACTTCTAGAACTTTAGACCTTCTTTCTTCACGAGTGCTAGCATGCAAGAGATTATTATACTTCTCGATAGCTTTCGAAGTTTAGAGGCGTCAAAAACTTCTAGTCTTAGTCTTTATATTAGATAGTACTACTTATACTAGAGAAAAAGAAAAGCGAAGAAAAGATAAAATAAGTAAAAATACTAGCTACGATCATCATCTTCGTTTTTAAGGCAGCTGTGGTGATGGTAATCATCATCACCAAAATCGCAAAATACAGATTTGAACCTCGGGATGGAGTTGGGTTGGGATCTAGGCGGGAGGGAGCTGGGTGGTTGGGTACATTATACCATACTCTTTCGCAACACTGTAGTGGAAGGTGATGATTTGTCCCTCCTTTTCCTAAATTTGGTATATAAACGTGATTGGATATGTAGAAGTAGATGTAAACGAATATATAAGGGAATAAGACAAGACAAGACAAGACAAGGCGAAGGAACTAACCAGCCAGCCAGTGCAGTAGAAGTGTATAGTAGGTATATATCCATTGCAATTGATATCCATATCGAGACGACTCGACTCGGTCTTTCTTTACGTCCATGTCCATGCATGCACACATACACACACTCTCTGTCGTCACCTGTACCTGACCTGTGCTGTGCTGTGCTGTACTCGTCCACTGCTTCCATCCATACCCACACTTTCGAACCGCATCAAGCTTTTGCTTCAAGCTTTGCCTTGCTTTACTCCCCAGTCCCATAAGACCCAGCAAATCTGACCGGCCCAACTCGCCCCTCTCAACCTCCTCAATACCTTGCCCACCAACCATCTCACCTCTCACCCTTCATCTGCGCGCCTCAACACCCCGCCACGCCAACCCCCCACCGCCCCAAAAGCAGGCAGTGCACCACCTATCTGTCCTCCCTCCCATCACTCCCCACCCGCCCATCACCACAGCGCACAGGCAACGCAACGCAACGCAACGCAGCGCACCAACCCAACCAACCAACAACCCGATCCGTCCATTGCGGGCGAAACTCCCCGTCCCGTATCCACGCCCACTACGCCACGCACGCCACGCCATGCCATGCCACACCAAGCGAAGCCAACCCAAACCAAACCAAATCAAAGCCATCAAGAAGCCCACAGCCAGGTCCCCCAACCACCATCGTTGGCACCGACAACAGGGGACCTGCTCTAGCCACGGCACCGCCGCTCAGCGCATAGATGCCGTACTTATTGCGTCGAAAGGGCTTCGTCTTGCCAGAAATTGCTGCGGCTCTGTACTCAAACTCAAAAGAGTACAAGAGAACAGGCTAAGTGGAGTGCCAACCAGCCCCCATTGCGAATAAGAAAAGAAAAAGAAAAGCAGCAGCCCAAAATCCTGCCTGATGAAGAGAGCCAAAGCCCCCAAGCCGAAAAGAAAGGAGGACATGCTTTACCCTTGCAAGCGTGCTCTCAGGCTTGCCATGCATACGTATGACGACGCAACGGCACAAGCGCACGAGCAGACACGTAAACAAACAAGCCAAAGAAAAGGACGAAAAAAGCAGGATTCAAAAACGCTCAGAAATGCTAAACACACTGACCGACAACAACCAGAAGGGGAGAGTTTCAGTACATACAAGCTCGCTAGCGCCATGGCGCTAACAGAAGCAGCAAGCAAGCCAGAAAAGAAAAAAAAAAAAAAAAAAAAAAAGAAAAAAAAAATACAGACCAAAAAACTACTACTACTAGTAACTACTAAAACCAAGCGCAAGAGCAATGGTGCAGCAAAGAAGAGGGACAGCCACGGCTTGCGGTTACCGAGACAAGCCGACCAAACGGCATCGTCATCGTGACCAAAACCAGAGGAACAGCAGCGCTAGCAGCGTCTCTGGCGTCAAAAGCAGCAAGTCCGCAAAGCCAAAGCAGCAGTAGAAGGAGAAGAAGCAGAAGAAGCAGAAGGCGGCCCACCCCGCCTCCTCGAGCCATCAAGCACCCGTGTCGGCAACGGCTGGCGGCGCGTCGGGATCGTCCCGCACAGCTCCGCCGTCCCTCAACACGCCAGCCGGATCGCCGTGGTCATGTGGTGTTGTATCCGGTGGCTCAGAGGGCGCAGGCGAGGGTATATGGCCGTCGCCGTGCTCCTCATCCTGCGAAGCGGGAGGCGCGGTGGGATCGTCGTAGTCGTCCTCGAAGTATTCTTCTTCTTGGCCTGTGCCGTGGTCGAAGCTGCCCTGGTCGTAGTGCTGGTCACCCTCGACGTGACCATGCTGTTGATTGTGATGGTTGTTGGCCGCCGCCGCGCCCTTGCCTGCGCCCTTGACCGCTGCCTTCTTGCCCTTGCGTCCCTTCATCTTAGCCTTCTCGAGAAGGCGCTTCTTCTCCTCCATGCGCTTCCGCTCCTGCCGGTCCTTGATCTCGTATTGCCGGATCAAAGCCAATGGCGGCTCTCCAAAGATATCCTCGTATTCGCAGAACTCGCATATCCAGATGTCTTCGCGCGCGGGCGGCGAGTGGTAGTTCGTGTACTCCTGCTGCAGGCGGCGGCGACGCGCCGCGATAGTGTAGGTCCGCGAAGGGCGACGGCGTGGCTTCTTCGGCGGGGCTTGTTGTTGTGCGCCACCTGGTGGAGGAGGCTGCCCGTTGGCAATGACGGGAGGAGCGGGTTGTTGTCCGGCGACGTTGGGTTGAGGAGTGCCGTTCATCTGAGGACTGGTCTGGGTGGCGTGGGTGGCGACAGCACGCGAAGACTGTGATGGAAGAGGTATTCGCGATGTTGACGGTGGGCCTGCAGAAGGCGCCGACGGAGGCGCACGAGGATCCGTGCCCCCCGGGTAAGGTCCGTTCTGACTCGGCCAGTTGATCTGGTTGGGCGAGTCGCAAGTGAACGTAAATTGCGTCTTCTGCGGCGTTGTTTTGGCCGCTTCTTGCTGCAGCAGGCTGACATTCTCCTTGCCCGCCGTCGGCGACGCGTTGCTGGCCGCGTGGGCGTTAGCTATGGCGGCTGAGATGATGCCGTGATCTTGCGCGTTCGAAGCTACGGAATCGTTAGCGGAGCGGCCGTCTTGACTCCCAAATGCGAACATGCCTTTGCCATTCGTCCCGTTCGCGCGTGCTCTGCTAGTATTGCCGTTAGCGTAGGCATTCAGACCGGCCGTGGAAGCGCCCAAGGGACGCCGCTCGCCCGAGCATCTCGCCATTGGTCTGCTGCCATACCGTCCTCTGCCCGCCCCCGAGATGCCCGTGCCCGAGCCCGGGGCCGGCGCCGCGGACGATCCGCTTCCGTAGTATTGGCCGACGTTGCTCTCGCCGTCGTCTTGCGCGGGGTGGCCACCGTGGGTGGAAATGCCCATGCTCGCCATCTCCGCCGTCAGGTTGCCGTGGTGGCCAGCGCTGCCCGACACGGGTATCTTCCGCTTCTTCTTGTTGTTCGTGTTCTCAAAAGATTCGTAACCGTCTGCTGATGAAGTGGAGCCGGGCGGCATCGGCCTCGAGGCGCTGGTGGTGGTGGCACCGCCCGCCGCTGCTCCATGAGTCAGACCAGTGTCAGATCTTTTGCGCGAAAGACGTGACAAACCAAGTCGCTCGTCCTCTTCCTCCTCGCTCTCGGGATCCGAGTGATCGGCGCCGCAGCTGCACTTGTGTTCGCGTTCACTGCGCTGTTGGCGCGTCGGGACACCGGAAGCCTTGTCGGAGTGGGTGTAGGGAAAATCGAAGACGGGCGGCGAGCTCACGGGCGGGCTGGGGTAGGTCATGGATTCGGCCTGTTCGGGGGACAAACGGGCGCGCAAACGGCGCTTGGGGAGGGCTGTGCAAGAGTCTGTTAGCAATCAGCAGTTCGTGCGAAAAGAGTCGCGTGGAGCGCCTCACGTCGGATGGGGCGGTCTGGGTAGAGCGGAGAAACGGTGTCTGGGGAAGAGTGTCGTGGACGCCAATCGTAGCCTGCCCATGAAAGTAAGGTGATTAGCGGAAGCGTGGCCAGGCGAAAGAGCGTTTGCAACATTGTGGTGCTAAGAAGGGTGGCGGCGGCGGACGGGCTCGTGCTGCTGCTGCTGCTACTACTGCTGCCGCTGCTACTGCTACTACAGTCGGATTTGGGGAGCAAACGCACCGGCACCTCGATATCCATCAGTAGCCGCTGCCATGACGAACGATGCGCTCCTTCCGAATGCAAAGAAAAGAAAGGCCTTGGCTCTCTGCGCCGACGCCCGCGTTAGCCACTTTGCTCGCCCTCATGCCTGGCTCTTTGCTCGCGCGGCTTTTTGGCTCTCTGGGGGCACGGCGGGGCAACGAGTGGGGGCAGGGAAGGGCGGTGCACTCACAGCTTGCGGTCGACGATGCGGATGGGCGGACTGTACAACGGCGAGAGTCTGGCGCGGCCACGGTCCTGTTGCAGGGCATGGTCCGGACGAGCGTCGACGTCCTGGATGAAGGTCACAGCCCCGCTAAGCCGCATCGGGACAAGGGCTTAGAAATTCCACCTTTCGTCAACGCCTCCATCTGCCAGACCCTGGCTTGCTAGCCCTTTCCAGGGTCCCTTCTCTCAAATCCTCTAGTCGTGCCATCATCTGTACCATTTTTGCCTACCTATCGACATCTACTCTGCCTTGCCTCGAGTGCCCACAATGCCCGCCGACACCTGCTCCTAACGCCTCTGCCCACAAGCATGCTCCCAGCCCAATGTGCAATCCTAGAAACTCCAAAGCAAACAACCACATGCCCTTCGCGTGATCATGATGCGCCGACGCCCCCGCCAGAGCAAAAAGACAACCTACTCCAGACAAAACCGACGGCGCTGACGTCACTTGTCTCCGTTCTCCCCGAAACTCTGCTGCCACAGCACCAGGTTTCTCGTCAAAACATCCATCATCTCCAGGCTATTCAGCCCTTCGTAGTTCTCCTCCTTTCCATCAACCACCGCGTCCTTGAGCGCGCTCGTGCCGTTGACTGGCGCCGACGCGTCCTTTTCTCTGCTGTGGCCGTTGACTACGTGGAGCGTCGTCTTTACCATCGCCATCGCCGACGTCGTCGTCGCCGTGTTTGCGTTGTTGGACTTTTCGCTCGCCATCTCCATTTGTACGCGGGTAATGTATTCCAACATGTGCGCGGCTGTGCCGTTCATGTCCTTCCAGCTCAGCTTGTCGAGCTTTGACGATGCGCTCGTCCTTTTGCCGTTTCTGCCGCCCTTCCCCACGGGGACAGCCGCGTCACTGGAGCTTCCATTCGCAACCGCCTCAACGCCGTTGCCGGTGGGTGACTCGGCATCGTCTTTGGTATTGTTGCGCCCCCCCACGGGACGGTGTGGAGACGCCGGAGGCCTATCTGTGGAAGCGTTGTCCCGATCTCGGGTGTACTGGTTGCGTCCAACGCGGCTGCCTCGTTTCTGGCTAGACTTGCTTGATTTCTTGGTGGAAGCAGGAGCAGGAGCGGTAGGGGTATCGCGAGACGGCGCTGCAGGCGTCTCAGCTTCCGCTTGCTCCACCTCTGCCACGGGTTCAGCTGCAGGCTCGGGAGTAGGCTCTGGTGAAGCCTCGTCAGTAACGTCCTTGGCTTGCGTCCGGCCTTTCGGCGTATCCGTACCCTCGGCCCGCCTTCGTTCGGCGCGTCCTTTGCGTTTTCCCGCGGCTTCGGCGCGCTCCTTTTCCCGTTCCTTTTGTTCGCGTTGGATGCGTTCTTGCTGACTTCTTGCCGCAGCACCTCGCGGCTTCTGTTTTTGGCTTGTGGAATTTGTCTTTGCCTGCTCGTCTTCGTCTGACTCGAGGACCTCCGACGAGCTGGACGATCCGGATCCGGTACGCTGACGCTTGATGCCTGGTTTGACACTGTCCACAAATAACAGTTAACCACCGCATAGAAGACAGCCGGGCGACCCATCACAGTCGATGCGATGACGTGGTTCGACTTACTCCTCGCTTTCATCGCGGCCTCGCTTGCCCTTGCGGGTGCCAGTTTCCGAGTCGGCCTTGCTGCCTTCGCCTTTACTCTCCTCCAGGACTTTCCGCAAGACTTCATCGTCATCGTATGCAGCACGGCTGTTCATGGTCGAGCGACGCTTGGTAGAAGCCTCCACACTGGCTCGCGACGGTTTATCTTTGTCCTTTTTCGACTCGGGCTCCTTCGGTAGCGAATTCTTTCGCGTCGATGACTTGGATGGCATGGCGCCAACGACGGGGATATAGTGGGAGTATTTTTGGCTGGTCGTCCATCGCGTCAGCTAACGTTCGTTTATATGAAGCAGCCCTGCGTTGGTGAGCTTCCATTGGCGCCTGTGGCGTTTCCAGACACGTCTCTCGGGGGCCGGCAGCATCCCGTGCCCACGAGGCTGTCATTGGCCGCCGCACATCGCCATGGTATGGAAAGCTCTCCAGGACGGATTTCGGATTGTGGGAATCATGACATACCCCTTCGGACTTGCCAAGAGCCTGTGCAAGTCCTTTCTGCACTTCTCGCAAAAGTAGTTCTCAGGAACCGCAGATTCTTCCAAGATGCCCACACAGCCACCGTGTTGCCAGACCTTGCACTCGTCGCACTGGATGAAGAGGCCGCCCACATCGTCGGCTGACAGGTCTCCGATCGCCAGATCTTCGTCGTCTGACGGTGGCCCAGGGTAGTCCTGATGGCCGCAGATGCAGCGTGTAATCTCCGACTCCTCGTCGTCGTCGCCTGCAGGCTGCGCGTCTCCGTTGCTCATTTTGGCTGCCTCTTCTTCTTCAATGTCTTGAGCGCGCGTCCGGCGGCGGGTGGGCTCTTCGCTGCGGAGGGTGCGGCCCTGGTCGTCGGCGTCGTCAGAGGACAGCGAGCCAGGCGACGACGACTTCCTCGGTGATGTGGCTTTATTGTGGGAGCGGGTGTTGCGATCGCGAGAGGAGAGCGAGGACGAGTTGCTGTGTGCTGGCGGCGGAGCGCGCGACGAGCGGCGGAGCGACATGGCACAATTCGGAGGGTGGAGGACGGGCGTGCGAAGGATGGTGATGCAATGAGCTGGCAGGCGTGAGTGCAGCTCGTGGTCGCGAGCAGGACGAGCAGTCGGGCGTGGAAACGAGCGGAGAGCAGTGTGCGGAGAGGAGAGTCTTGCGGGCGGCGAAGCTTTAGAGGACGCAGACGATTGAACAGCAGCAGAGGGAGAAGCGGCGAGCAAGAAGCATTCTCCCGGCGGGCGAGCAGCTGGACGAGCGGCGGGGCTTGCGGCAGTTGGCGGACAGCTGGAGGGTTGGATGAGTTCGAGTACTCTCTGGGTGCGGGCAACCTCGCAAGCAGCGCGGCCGCGAAGAAGGCATGCCGACGGCCGCGCTAGCCCGCTTTCGGCCGGCACCAGAGGAAGCGCGTCACAGCGGAACCACCGCCTGTCCGCCTGCCCTCATGCCGCGACGGGCGCCAAAAGGCTGGCCTTGCGAGTCTTCGACGACCGACGACCGCGAGCCATCTGCGCTTTCCCGATGGCACCAAAGCCGGAGTTTTCGTGGGGGTGCGAGAGCCGTTGCGGTGCGAGCCGGCTGGGCTCCATGTCGTTCTTCGACCCTTCCCTCTCACGCGCCAAAGTAAGCGAGAGCCTGCAAGCCTTGGCGTCAAACGGGATGCCTGACGACGGCCTTGGGTGTGGTGAAACGAAACATGCACTCCATGGAACACGCTGTTTTATAAAATCCTCAGTCGAGCAATCTCCTCCTCCTCTCCCCGCGCCGCCGAGCCCGTGACAGCCCCCGGACAGCCCCCGGACAGCCCTCGAACCAGGGCGACACAGACTGACGTGCACTGATGCACTCCCCTTCCAACGGCATAAACCACTTCTCATTAAACTAAATACGCCACGCTTTGCTGACGTCACTGCTACGCTCTGGTTCCCATCATCATCATGCCTACTTCCCTCGGATCACAAAAGCATATTCTGACAAAAAGCGAGGAGAGAGCACGCTGTTTGTGCGTCAATCAAAAGAAAGATTCCATTTCGCTCCATTCAAATCAAGAGTATACACAGGCTATCATCAACGCGTAAAAAAAAACAATATCCGACCAGTCATGTCCTCATAAGGAGCGCGGCCTCTACTGCTTGAGCAGCTCAAGGTTGTGCGTACCCTTGCGCGGCGCGCCATTGTTGTCCGTAGCCGAGAAGCCGGCCTTGGGCTCCTGGCCGTTAGCGGCGCGCAAGTCAGCACTGCGCGCCATGCCGTTGTGGGAGCCGTTGAAGCGCAGGCCCGAGATGCCGTCGTAGCCCTTGACGCCCGTCGCCTTCTCCAGCCGCGAGGCCATGTCCTCGCTGACCTCGCGGAAGATGGCAATTTGCCGCTTGATAATCTCCTTCTCGCGGCAGGTGCTCATGTGGCCCGACACGTTGCTGATGAAGCGCTCCTTGGCGCCGTCGTCGAAGACGCGCTCCCACAGCGCGCGCGGCGCGTTGAAGTCCTCCGGCCGGATCTCCGACAGGAAGGTCGTGGCCTCGCCGATGAAGTGGCTGTGCGTCTTGTTCAGGTCAATGGTGCGGTTGCGGAAGCTGATGGGCTGGATCGACGACAGGTAGTTGGGGCGCGAGCCTTGGTTGTAGAAGGCCATGCTGCCGTCACGCTGGAAGTTGGCCATGCGGTACGGCACGCGCGGCGCGTTGACGGGCAGCTGCTGGTAGTTGACACCAACACGGTGGCGGTGAGTGTCCGGGTAAGAGAAGAGACGAGACTGCAGGACGGGGTCGGCTGAAGGCTCGATACCCGGGGGCATGTGCGCCGGGTTGTAGGTGGCCTGCTCGACCTCGGCGAAGTAGTTCTTCGCGTTCTCGTTGAGGAAGAACTCGCCAACCTTGCGCAGCGGGAACTGCTTCTGCGGCCAGATGTGCGTCAAGTCAAAGACGTTGATGCGCTGCTTCTCCCACAGCTCCTCGGCCTCAGTAGGCGTCATGGTCTGCACCGCCACATCCCAGCCAGGGTAGTCGCCGTTCTCAATGGCGAAATACAGATCCTTCTGCGAGTGGTCGGGCGACTTGGTGCCGGCCTCCTGCTGCGTGAGGAAGCGGGTGCCCTGCTTCGACTTGAAGTGGAACTGAGCGTAGACCCAGTCGCCCTTCTTGTTGACCAACTTCATTGTGTGTCCGCTGTAGCCGTGCATGAAGCGGTAGCCATCGGGGATACCACGGTCACCCATGAGGACCATGACCTGGTGGACCGACTCGGGGTTCTGCGACAGGTAGTCCCAGAACATGGTCGAGTCGTCCGCACCCGACAGGTGCGTCGCCGGGTCGCGCTTCTGTGTGTGGATAAAGTGGGGGAACTTGGCGGGGTCGCGGAGGAAGAAGACGGGCGTGTTGTTGGCAACCATATCCCAGTTGCCCTCGTCAGTGCGGAACTTGACAGCGAAGCCACGGGGATCGCGAGCGCAGTCGTGGGAGCCACTCTCGCCACCGACGGTAGAGAAACGGACAGTGATGGGGCACATCTTGCCGGCCTGGAAGATATCGGCGACGCAGAGGTCGTCGAGCGGGTCCGTCGTGCGGTAGAAACCGTGAGCACCGGAGCCCTTGGCGTGCACGACACGCTCGGGGATACGCTCGCGGTCGAAGTGCGACAGCAGGTCCACCAGGTGGAAATCCTGCAGCAGCAGCGGTCCGTTCTCGCCCATGCGCTGAGTCTCATACGGGTGCGGGTAGGGAGCCCCGTTGCTCATGGTATACAGAGTGTCCTGCGACGTGGCATGGCGGTCGTCATTGTAGTCGCGGTAGAGGTCGCCGTTCTTGCGGCCGTCGGGGGCGTGGGCCTGAAAAGGGTGGGGAGGAGCCATGGTGGTGGTTGGTTGTTGTTATTGGGAAAGACGGCAAGTCAATGTGTCTAACCGAGAAACAAGAATGAGGGTTGACAGACAGGCGTCAAAGTGAAGGAAGAAAAATTGCAAAGCGGGAGCGTTGAGCAAGGCGCCGCGGCCCCGCCGATTCTTATACTCAACCACTGTGGCATCGGGCATTGTGCATGACGCCCGCGAACCGCCACCTCCCCTGCTTCTTCCCCGCTTTCTTGGCTACGCATCAGGTCAGCAGCAGCGTCTAGACACGCCAATCGGCAGCGTCCATTACTCACCATGTTGCGCCGTCATCGACGAGTTGCGGCGGATTCATCAGCTGCCGCGCCGAGACTCGACCGGCATCTATTTCGACGGCTGACAGACCCTGTTGCCTCTACTCGTCCCGCCGCTGCCATGTGCCTGGCGGCCCGCACGCCCGCCTCCGCCGCCAGATCTCTAGGTCCTCTGCGAATCTCATTCACCAAAAAACATCTGCCCTGCGAGGCTCGAGCCAGTCGCATCGCGACCTTAGTCATCTACCGTGGGACCCGCGCTGATTGGCCGTTTCGCACGCACGGCCCCCGTCGCACCAGCGATGCCGATCCCGCGGGGAAGTCACCCCCGCCAGCCACCACCTCCGCACGCCTTCCCGCTCTACCTTCGGCACAAGTATACACAAACCGGCCGCAACGACGCGGAACCCTCACGCTGCACCTCAACACAGTGTGATTGCGACTTCTTACCTCTCTTAGTAGATTAGTACCTACCCATACCATCAGCGCCCGCCCCTCCATACATGCTAGGTATGACGTGCATGCCCGCCCCCGCGCTGCTGCTGCTGCACGACGACCAGGTCCCCGCCGATCCTTCCCACCCCGGGCTCCCCTCACGTCTCCAAGCTCGGGACGCCCCGTCCCCGGCACGCACCACGCCCCAGCCGACCTGCCCTCTCCGCAAGCAGTTGCGTACCCACGCGCCGCTGTTATTGCCCCTCGCCGCGCTCGTAGAAGCACGCTTGCGCATGCGTGCGAAGCCCACTTGTACGTATGTACTCTATGTACCTGTGGAACGCACGAGTGCATTCGTGTGCGCTACGCTACATACCTAGCTGCCGCGCTGTTTGCTGCGTGCGTACAGCCAGCGCGCGTCGCCCTGCCCATCCTAACCCCACGCGTCCTCCCACAATGCCGTTCCCCCGCCGCGACTGGGACCATGGATACGTGGCTCTCGTTCTCTGCTGCATGTGTTGCGCTCACATGCTGCGTTGGGTAGGTTTCCCAGATCTCAGCTCCCGGTTTCCGGCTTCCGGCTTCCGGAGCAGGAGAACAGGGCGCAGTGGCTAGCTGCGCGTAGTTCGCATTACATTACTGTGCGGGTGGTGGTGATGGCGTTGCCTACCTAGTGAGCTGCACGCGTCTCACATGCCATGTCATCCCCCACCAATTGTGCTTCTCAGCACTAATGCCCGTGCTCCAGGACGGCGTCCGTAAGTTCGCGTTCGTGCCCGCATCCGTACCAGCTCATCCTCGTCACTACATCAAAACATCATACCCAGCCCCTCGCCTGCACCACCGCTACCGCCACCGCTACCACCACTCCCGCTGCTTCCCGCCCCTCCATTCATGTCAAACTGGCCAACGTCCCACACGCCGCCCACCTCAAGCGGCAGGAAGCCGCCCCATAGCGCATCCTGGTCCAGGCCCTGCCCATTGTACCCATTTACTGCAAACTCTCCGACCGCGCTCAGATCTGTCCAGCTAAAGTCGCCGATCTGCTCTACGCCCGCGGGGGCGTTCCCGCTATGGCCACCGCCAGCAAGTGGGCTGCTGTTATCAGGGACGCCGTATTCCCTACCGCCGGTGCTGCCGACCTGAGACGAGGCGGAAGGCGTGGCGTGCGAGACAGGCGCCGTGGCAGGGTTGAAGGCCGCACCGACGCGGCCGGAGCGCGAGGCCGCAGCACCAGCCCTGAGCGCCGCGCCACCAATACTGCTGCTGTCGGCTTTCATCCACAGCAGCCGCAGTAGCTGACTGTACCGCGATCCGAGGTGCGTGCCGCCGACCGCGCTGCGCTGTAGCCGCTCGACCGTCTCGCCTACCATGCGGCGCACGCCGCGCTCTTCCTCCGCGCCCACGACGCCCACGCACTTGGCACGGAACAGGAACACCCCCGCGTACACGAGGTACAGGTAGAAGCGCAATGGCATAAAGCGCAAAGCCTTCTCCGGGTCGACGAAGTTGTTGGCGGTCGTGAGAATTGCTTTGGCAGCGTCGAGACCTTCGTAGATGAAGCGCGCATCGCCAACCGCGCCGACATTGTTGTAGAAGACGCGGGATGGCGACTGCGGGAACGCGGGGCTCGTGGTTGTGGAAGCGGGATTTTCGGACGTATTGAGCGATGCCTGTACGCGTCGAACGGTGGCCTGGAAGGCAAAAGCGTTGACATATAAGCGCAGGTAGTCGTAGCTCATCAGCAGCATGGCTTTGAGGTGAGGCGAGCACGTCAGTGTGCCCCAAACGGCTTTCCAGCCGTATGTTGCGGCGCGGAAGTCGTCGATGAATTTGATGTAGCTTCCGGATAGATGCGAGCGGAAGCTGGTTCCAACATTGGAATACAGCACGTCGTGTACGTTGCTAAACAACGATGTCAATTCCAACGTGGCTTGGAAGATGCTGGCGTAATCTTCGTCATTCGGGTTTTTGGGGAGCAAGGACGGATAGTTTTCTCGTCGGAGGGTGGTCAAGGGGCCCGGTCTGGAAACTGTTAGGATGTTCAAAGGAGGTATATGTTTTGGTAAGTGTCTTACCCTCTTGACCAAAATGCTTTGCCGATACGGATAGATATTTGCCTGTCAGCTATATAACACGCTGCAAAGCAACATCAGTACGTGGTTTGCTTATGGAGTATCGCAGAGAAAATAGATATGGATAAGGAGCGAAGAACAGCGGGCTTGAGTGAAGCACTCACCTGTCCACACCAACAGCTTCCTACTAAATTGCGGATCTTTACCATCATCATCAACTTTGAAAGAGTATTTCTCAAGCCCCAGATAATAGGCAAGCCGAAGTGCTACTCCACTCGAGTTCCATGCCTCACGGTCTTCCTCCCCTTTGCCTACCTTTCCGGAGTGTGCCCTTTGCGTATATGGGGTCCACTCCGCAAGCAGAAGCAAAGCCTCGACGGCTTCAACGTCACCAGGCCCGCCAGCAGCCAGATCGGCGACCAAACTTTTCATGTGTGCGGAACAAACCTCATATGTGTGGGTTTCTTCAATGAGATCTTTCGATGCAATAACCAAAATGGCCGTGAGTAGGTGTGGTTCCCGCTGCGCCGTTTCATACAGCCTTGTGGTATCAAACGTTTGAGGCGGCACCAGCGGGAAGTATGGATGATAATAGGTTTTGTAGCGTTGCAGCAGCTGAAATACCTGTCCCCATGTGAGCTTGCCTTCTGCCAACAGCCGGTACGAGGTGTGCAGCCGTTCTGGGTTACCCGGCTGTGCAAAGCTCGACCGGTGCTGCGCATTTGCCGGTGTTCCCTCTTCGGCGACACGGGCCAGAATCCCCAGCGCGTCGGAAGGATTCTGCAAGTTTGCAAACTCCATCGACGGGGACCCTGCGGTCTGCTGTGCCGGTTCCACGGGGTGTGGGCGTGCATTGCTGGGTTCAAGACCGCTGAAGTTGAGACGGCTCTCTACCGGCGAAGTGGCAGTTGCCGTACCCATATTACCAAGCCCATGGAAAGAAACATTATCACCGCCCACGCCAACAGAGGAAAAGGGCCCGGATGGCGTTTGAGCGCTGCCACTGGGGGCGATGTTGCTGGGTGCATTGTCGGGAAGGGTTTTCCTTCTCACGCGCCTACCACCTCTGTTTGACCCACCCAGTACACACTCGAGACTCTCGCGCTTGCAACGGGCGCACGGGAGCTTGGCTCGGCCGTTTTCATAGTCGCTGTTGGGTGGTTAGCCTGGGTGGTGATGGTAATGGTGCGACATGCGCCAACACGTCGCGAAAAGTGCGACGTCAGACTAAGTGATGAAACACAGCGCAGACAAGCAGCAAGGAAAGTAAACGGTCTCTCTTGTCTAACCGCGGCTAAGAGAAAAATGCAGGGACGAAACAGATGAAACAACAAAAAGCAAACATGAAGTCTGATGAAAATGCATCGGCTTTTGCCCTCTCGCCCGCCATCAATCCCCGAAATGCGACGACGTGCGGGGATCACTCACAGGTGGCACCTGGACTTGCGCTTCCTGCACAGGATACATGCCTGGTTGACACGCTTGTTCTTTGGGTCATCCGGAACACTCTTTGTCGGCGATGCAGGTTGGGCGGGCTGCTGCGGTGGAGGCGCTGCCATGTCCATTTTGGCTGGGTGTGGGGTGATTGACTGGAGGAGCAGACGCCGAACACGAGAGTCGGGAAATGAGGCGGAGACGGGCTCGAGTTGCCGAAAGCCGAAGACCCTGGCCGGGGTACCCCGCAAACAGTTTCCCAACTATCACTATTATCTCTCTCTCTCTCTTCTTCCTCGGCTTACAAGCAAAGAACCTCCCTGCTCTTCTCCTACACCGAAGCCCCCGCCAATGCCAGCCGACAACGAACTCAATGGCCGCCTGGCCTTGATTACCGGAGCATCAGGAGGGTATTCCTCCGCTTTACAACTCGAGCAATCTTGACGGTTCCTAAGTTGAATCTCAGTATTGGCGGCGCATGCGCCAGGAAATTGGTCTCCTACGGTTGCGATCTCGCCCTTACCTACTCCAGCAACAAGCAATCCGTGGATGATCTCGTAATTCAACTCCGTAAAGACTACGACTGCGGAATCCTGCGCATCACAACGCATCAATGCGATTTGTCCGACGCAACTGCTACGCTATCTCTCTGCAATGATGTCCGCCGAGTACACTCCAAGCCAGTATCTATATTGATCAGCAATGCCGGCCGAGGCAAAAGATACCCACAGATATGGGATATTCCTGTAGATGAGTTCGACTTGACAATCGCTACGAACCTGCGAGCCTCTTTCCTTCTTGTCAAGGGCACAGTCGAGGACATGAAGGCTCAACACTGGGGGCGCATTGTCTTTATTTCTAGCATTGCGGCCTACGGAGCAGGCGTAAACGGGGCACACTATGCTGCCAGCAAGGGCGGACAAGTGGGCATGATGAAGAACCTGAGCACCCGCTTGGCTGAGTTCGGCATAACGGTTAATGATGTTGCGCCGGCGATGATAGGGGATACAGGAATGATCCCTACCGCAGATACTATACCGGGTATCGTAGATACGATCCCGGTTGGCAGACTGGGTGCGCCTGATGAGGTTGCAAATGCGGTGGAAATGTTCTGCAAAACGGGCTACTGTACAGGGCAAAGTGTGGTTGTTGCAGGCGGTTTGAATCATAAGTAGGAGACGAACGCTATGGTTTATACGGTAATCGGTTTCCAAAAAGCTATCAGAGACCCTCCTTCCTCTACAGGGTTACACGTATAATTCCCGCCGATTTTGCCGGAAGAGTTCAGATTGGAGAACATTGGCTACAGAGAGAAACATCTGATGCTAAGAACTTTTTAGAGATCGTCCTCGCCATCTACGAGACAGACCCTGAATTACGAAGATCAAGATCTCTGGGCAAAGTTTATTCACAGGGGCAGAGAGGCAGTCCACATATTTCAGTATGACCCCTCTTGCCTAATCGGGAAAAAGATCACAGCAATCATTCCCGGCCAAACATTGTTCTCCGTGGCATCGCTCCCAATTTCTCCGGAAAATAAATTCTCATCGAAAGACGCATCACTCGGTCTCCAGTGGCCGTGGGGCGAGGCAAATGAAAGTCAGACGGGAGCGCCAGTTTTGCTTCGGCCTTTGAGCTCGGCTTTGGCTTTGGGGCGCCCCACCAGACGTCATCCTTGCCCCGCGCTTGAGTTCCCGCCGTGAACCCCCGCAAGGGAACTACGCCAACGCGTCGGGACTTTAAAAAGGACGGCTCGCCCAGAAAAATCACGGCCACGAGCGCAGATACCCCTTTCAAATCCACATTTCGTCTTTAATCGCTATCATGTCCTCTTCCGGCAAACAGGCGCTTCTCATCGGCGACATCACGCACGCGCGCAAGGAATGGGAAGAATGCGGATCATTCATCGGACTGCAGGTATGGTGAAGACTGGCTTCCTCTGGAATCAATCGGTTGGCAAATGCTGAGATCGAGTACAGGAATTTCCTAGTGGGACCAGAGATGAATTCCTGTCCAACTGCAAAAACGGGAAGTACGACAATGTGCAGGTCATTTACCGCAGCAACGATTCGACAAAGGTGCGTTAAAAGCATCATTTAAAATGGCGGGAACACTTCTCGCCCGTACACCAGCGTCCACTGACAAGCCTTCCAGCACACCGGCCCCTTCAATGCCGGGCTCATCTCCGCACTCCCCAGCAGCCTGAAATACATATGCCACAACGGCGCCGGATACGACAATATCGACGTGGGAGCATGTACATCGCGCGGGATCAACGTTGCAAACACGCCCACAGCCGTTAATGACGCCACGGCTGACGTCGCGCTGTTCCTGATGCTGGGCGCGTTGCGGCGCGTGACGATCCCCTTCACGGCAGTTCGGCAGGGCCAGTGGCGCGGCTCGCGTTTCACTCTCGGACACGACCCTCGCTGCCTCACGCTCGGTATCCTGGGCATGGGTGGAATTGGGCGTGCGGTCGCGGTGCGTGCTGCCGCCTTTGGCATGCGTGTGCAGTACCACAACCGGTCGCGGCTGGATGAGGAGACAGAGGCGCAGGCAGGCCGCGCCAAGTATGTCTCCTTCGAAGACCTGTTGAAGACATCGGACGTTATCAGCTTGAACCTTGGCTTGAGCGAGAAAACGAGGCATATTATTGGCAAGGATGAGTTTGCTAAGATGAAGGACGGCGTCGTGATTGTGAACACGGCAAGAGGTCCGGTCATGGATGAAGCGGCACTGGTCGAGGCTCTCGGCAATGGAAAGGTGTGGAGTGCGGGCTTGGATGTGTATGAAGAGGAGCCAAAGATTCATCCCGGGTTGCTGGACAACGAGAATGTGGTGCTACTGCCACATATCGGTACTGCGACGCTAGAGACGCAAGTAAGTCTTATCTCCTGTTTTAGAACGATTCATCGAGCAGCGCTAATGTATGATGTGTACAGCGCGATATGGAACTTCTGGTGCTGGAGAACTTGAAGCAAGCAGTTCAACAGGGTACACTGAAAACGCAGGTGCCAGAGCAGCGGAAGTAATGCAAAGGCTCCACAGGATCTGAATCTCATACATCATGGTATAGAAGGGTATACCAACCCTTCAATTCCCAACGGAAGGACTGCGTCAGTCATTGGTATTATCCACGACCGTCTTCGGCATAGACTGGCAAAGGGTAGAGTCAACGGATGGGAACTGTATATTCATATAAATTAATATGTTAAACTGTAAGATCTTCTCAATAATTGGAGACTAGTCTTTTGTAACTTTACATATACTTTTCTATCATCTGTTGCCATCATCCCAAAAATTCGTGTTGACTGAAGTTTTTCTAAAAAGATGTACCATGAAACAAGAGTGTGGTCTACTCTAAGCAGAAAGCATCACAGAAATTGTTCAACAAGTTCCAATCTGCCAACCAACCCACTCCAAGTTGGTAGCAGCACTTAACCCGTCTTTACATCCTCCCTGACAAGGCTAGCACGCGGCAAGATACCCGCGTTCTCAAACGACCTAAAAGTGTCAATCCAGCAGTCATACGTGTTATCCATGCGGGACCAGCCCATCTTCCTCGCCTTGGCTACAGAGCCAATGGTAAGCCACGACTTGCCCATTGCCCAATTGAAGAAATTCCAAGTGCCCCAATCGAACGCCTCGACCTTACCACCATACTTCTGCACAATCTTCTCCCATACGGGACGCTTGCCTTCCGCCCACTTAGCCATATCAAACTCATTGGCCATCGTCTGCGCGCGCTCCTTCGTCTTCTCGAACTTCGGCTCAGGCACCTATACTCGGTCGTCAGCAACACGGTTCCACCTTTCTTCTTCATATACTCTATCAGTCTCGCAAGCAGGGCAGCTTACCTCAAGCCCGAAGTACCGCGCGATTTCCGGCCAGAAGAAGCGCCACACGAAGACGTCGCCGTTGCAGTGGTTGAATGCCTCGTCTCGGCAGTGCTCTTGCGTCGTCGCCCAGACGCTGAGATCCGCGATGCTGGGCGCGTAGGAGCTGTCGTCGATGGAATCGTAGAAGAATTGGTTGCCGGGGAACATGCCGCTCTCGCCGAGCTCGCAGCAGATGAGGAAGTAGAGGGCGATGGTTAGGGCTTCGGACATGCCGTTTGCTGTGCAGGTAAAAAAGGTGGTTAGGTCTTTTCTTTCGTGATTGCATTTGGGGGTTTGGTGCAGGCCTTGGCTTACAGTGCGGCGTGAAGCCGATGATACCGTTGGGGCGGATGATGTTGTACGACCACTGGTTGCGCCGCTTTTGCACTGAGAACATGTGGTCTTCTTGGTTGTAGTAGAAGTTCTCGCCTCCGTCTTCGTAGCGGGGGATCTCTTCGTCGATTGGCACCTTCGTCGGTCCAAGGTGGGCTCCATAATGCTGCACAACGACATATATGAGCTTAAGAATGATGATCAGTATGGATTGTATCCTACCTTTCCACCTGTTTGCAAGCACACACGCTGGAGCTTTGGGCAAACCTCATCAATGATGTCGATGAAGTTCTTGAATAAGGGAACGTTATTGTCCTTGAGCTTCTTGAAGTCGTCATCGTGCACATAAGACGTATAGTAGGCGTGTGTAACATCGGTGCAGACGGGCCTGAGTTTATTTTCCACCTCTTCGCGCGGCGCCAGGAAATCGACCGCAACGAACTCGATGCGCGGATCGATCCAGTAATTGGGCAACTGCCGACGAGAAGAGATGACGATCTTGCGCCTAATGGTTGTGGAGATCAGTCGATCATTCTTCGGGCGTACAAGATATCGAGCAATCTAGAAAAGGAGGTTGTACCATTCCGACTTGGGAGTGCGAATCAAATGCTCCACGATAGCATGTCCAGAGATGCCATTGGCGCCGCTGACGAAAGCAACTTTGGCGGTGTCGGGGACGTAGAGAGACATGATGCTCGCTTAGGAAGTTCGAACTGCCTGAACAGGAAATTTGTCGGTTCGCGGTCGGGTAAGCAAATAGATGTCTGGTAGCATCTGGACACTCATTTAAACACACAGTTTGACGCGGAAATAGGAGATATCAGCAGCCGAAACCGGTGCCGCTGACTCGTCATATGTGGGCCGAAAGCCGGGATTATAGCCGACCTTGTATATCCGATGGCAGATGTTTATTGTGAATTGAAAGACATTGAAACTGAAAAACAGCTAGACCTGTAGCTATAGGTGAACAAACCCATGAGGTACCGAATTAATATCAGCTTGTCGTGGAGCTGAGTTTGCAGTGGTCTCTAGCCTATATGTGCATGTGGATTAACATTATCCAGTCAGAACCAGTTGATTAAATGTTTGACCAACCAGACCTCTCAAAGATGTTCCGAGAATACAAGTGATTCTGTGTCTCTTTGTCTTCTTACTTTTGTTCAGTGATGGCTTTCGTCGTGCTGTGATTACCAATTCGGATATACGGAAATAGCCCTCGGCAGCCTTGAGGAATGAATAGATCCACGCCTCCAGCATAAACAACGCACCCAATGCTGATTATACTGCTTGATAATGCACGCTTGATCAGTGTTGGTATCACTGTGGCGAGTGGCGCCTAAAAAGAGACTTTGTTCCTGCTGGGGGCTGCATAAAAGGGCCACCACAGGGAACTGGGCCAATCTGAGAGACATTACGGATACAATGCAAAACTGCGTCAGAAGCAGATCTTTCTCTGTGATACCTCTCTAGTATCCTGTTTTGCTGTCTTACCTTCCAATGATATCGCATCCTGAACATGAACTTTGCATAGCAGGAGAGGAAAAACTCAATTTGAATTGAAGGGTAACGTTGTATCAATATCTCCAATGTCCTATCGCACAACCATCTTCTCAGGACTTCGAGTTTTTATTGCTTTTACAGTCATGGAGAGCCTGAACCCAGACATTTTCCCAAAAGAACCAACCTTTTCAGGCCCGCTGGAAGTATCGGAACAATCTGATGGTGTTTGAGGAAACAGTCTTTCCGTCGGCTGTGACAATCCTGGTGGTTCAGGCAATATACCCGGCTGATGCTCCTCCGTCTTATCAGCCGATTGCATATCTTTTGTCTCCGTATGTTCTTGCTCAGTAGTAGAGTCGTCGACTGTTTCAGGAAGCCTATAGACAGGACACTTTCCCTTCTCGTACAGCTCTGAACCATACCGATCGTTAATGTCAGAATTTACGGAAGTGCTTTCGTCTTTGAATGTCGAATTCCAATTCTGTGAAGAGTTGCTTTGTTCCCAATCAGGAAAGGTTCTCTCGAGTCCAACTGGAGAGTTTTCCAGTACGAGTGATACTCTAGGAGGTGCAGTAGCCTCACTACCTTCCGCCACTGGTGACGAAGGCTCGCTATCAGAAACTGTACATTGGTCTTCTTCTGGTTCTTCTGGTATGCCAAAAGTTTCCCCCGGTCCGAGGCTGATATTTGGCTGACTGTATAGAGTGGTTTCGCATGGCTGTTGGGCTAATGCCAATTCAGAGAGAAGGTTTCCGTCCCGTCCGAAGATTACTGCACCTTCATCCTGTAGCAGCCCTGGTGGAACAACCCTTCCAACGCTGACTGGGCCTACTATTTGTTGCAAGCGGTTGCATGAGCAACGGTACGAGTTTGGGGTTTTGCAAGGCTCGAACAAGATCGAGCTGCCTCGATGCCACTGCAAGTGGGTATATGTCAAGAACTCCTTACTCAAACGACAGCCAGCAACATCGTAGAGGTCTTGCAGTGACTTGACACTGGCCGCAAGATAGTCTCGAGACTTTGGCACACTTTGCCAGTAGTGGCAAAGTCCTCGAATTTCAGGTGTAGGTCTGATAATGTCCTCAAACCCACTGGCGAAGAGTACAAGAGCATCAATATCTCTGACAAGGTTTGTCCAACCGCTGCTGGACTTCTGGATGTATGCGTGCTTCCGATGAAATGGCGATCGCTCCTCTGAAATGGCTTTGAATTCGAAACCTTGAATGACATCTCGAGTGGTGCCTCTGATCGGTGCCCCTCGTGTGCAATCGCTTTGCACGTTTTGGTCCAAAAGGAACTCAAGCAAAGACCATATGTTCAGAACTAAGTCTTTGAAGGTATATTCCTCATCATCTGAGAGTTGATTTTTGGCATTTTGTAATAGGATCTCACGAGCAGATCCGTGAGATGTGGTCGCTGAGAAGAGCTTGACCCTCTTTCCACGGAACTCATATGGTTCTAACCAATGCCGGTGCTGTGCAAGATGGAGGATGACATTTGCTGCGGGAACAAGCCAAGCTCTTCGCTCAAATGTGTCGTATAAGACAACAGGCGTCTTCTCGGCCGCTGAGATGATGTTCTTGTAGGGCCCGTTCCTCTGGAAGTGGCATTTGCCATCCTTAGCTCCCAGGGCAAAATCGGCTTGTCCTACTCCAAATTGCTGGAATCCCAAGGTTGCACCAGTAAAATTTATCCTTTAGTGTTGATCGGCATTATCAGCTCCGGAATAGTCGATGTTGTCATAGCTGGCCGTCTCACTCCCGAGAAGTATACTTGCGCTGCTACACCAGCCAACAATAGCTCGAGTGGTGCGTATTGCATCCAATCCGACCACATCTCTCATAAGACGATCTTTACAACGACGAAGACCATCTTGATATGATAGGCGTATGTCAGGGCTCTCATTAGTTATGAGGTGCCACTGGATAGTCCTATCGTTCTTTGCGACAGGAACTAGGAGCGAGGAAAACCCCTTCATGACAACACCACCATTGTACTCAACAGCATGTTGGATGCCCAATATGCCAGCAATGGTATCTACTGATACTTCCAACCCTATCTCACCTTGTCGTGGAGGGATTGGGAATCCGGCTGCGATGACAGCGTTTCCGAACAACGGCAGCCAGCAACAGTTTTCATCCGGGCGTAGTGGTTTTGTATCGAACCATATAGCAAACACTGAAGAACGTTCAAAGTAGGCGATAGAACTTTCGGCATAATGGATTTGTTCCTCTGGTCCAGAAGCTCCTAGCGCTGCTCCGAGCCAGCAAAATTGCTGAGCTATCTCAACGAGTCTTGCTTTTGATCCACAAGCGGTTACCATACGATGGTGAAGTCCATCAGGTGAGGAATCCAAAGGTAGCCTGACATAAACTTCAACATCATCTTGTCGGACAGTTGCATGGTACGGGGTTTTGGGTGCGGACTTGTTGTTGGCCATTTTTAATGCCTCTTCTAAAGCGGCTAACAGGATTGGTCCACTCGAGGGCCAGACGGTCCGGATGTAGTCCTGACAAGTGGTTGCATGAGCGCAAATGGCAGATCCAGTCAGAGTTACTACTTTTCCAAGTAAGGTTCTGATCGAGCCATATTGAGAGTCCATGAACTTTAAGGGATCCCAGTCGACACTGAACGATGTACGGTGATGGCATTTGAAGCGAGCTCCGTCAGTCTCTTTAGTCGATTCGAAAGGATCGGGAGATCCCTCAGAGACAGAACAACTTAGGCAATTGCTCGAATCGCTCGCCAGCCCACGACAAACTACACGGTCTATGTTTTGCATCTGAGATTGACCATCGTAGAAGAAGCGCCGTCGTAAATCAGCAACCATATCCTTGAAACGTATCTCAGAGACGAGATAATCTTTAATGACATCAGGATTTGCAAGATGGCTTTTGTCGGCATATCCATTATGATCCACGGATTCCGTTATGCCAGCCGATTGTTCGTCAAGTGGCCCCGATCTCATGACCAACAAGAGTTTTCTGCCGAGTTCTTGAAAGCAGCAAGGCTTGATTTTTGGTTCCTCAGATCGTGTGCGAGCATTGGCAATGAATATTTGAGCAATCTTATAGCGGAAGTTTCTCATGAGCCACATAACACCAATCATTGTCTCGAAGCGGTAGTACATATCGTCTACTATCGAACTGTCGACACCGTTAATCACCGGCTTTGGAGATGATACTCATATTTGGCTTCGACTCACGATGAATAAAGCAAACTCATTTGAAGTCTTCTTGCGTTGTAGTAAAGTTTATCCGAGTATTTCAACTGTGCATTTTCAAGGCACCTTTCGATTGTTCCAGGTCCATGACGAGACAATGCGTGCCCTATCCAACCCTGAGCACCAGAATCTTTGATTAGGAGGTTTCCGAAGGATGTAGTTGCTTCCTCCAAGATGTCGTTGGAAAAACTGACAGAGCTATCGCTGAAACCTGAGGGGTAAACAAAGCTAGTGCCTGTACCCTCAGTGTTGTGATACTTTGAAAAATGATTTAATTGGTTGAACCAATAATCGAAATCCACGGCGCAGATCTCTTTTGTTTTCAAGTGAACGGTGGTTTCTCTGTCCAGGTTCATGTACGTTGTTGGGAGGTAGCTTCGGGTGTTCGTTCCGGTGATTGTTGCACGATGGCTGACTGGCTGTTCAGTCATAGGATTGTGTCCACGTTTCCCGGGGAGAGGTGTTATTTTGGGTGATAGTGGTGCTGGTATCAATGAAGTTAGCCAAATAAGCTGGAGTGTTGTAAAAATTTAAACATATACGTTCAATATCGCTTGGTGCAAAGTTTGTTTCTTCATGATTTTTATTTCGATTTTTGTTTCGAGACAATGGAGTTACGTGAAGCTTTGAAGGTATCTCGGTCAGATCCTTGAAAAGGCGTCCAAGGCCCATCATGAAGGTTGTCGCATGACGTTTGTTGGATGAATTGTAAAAGTCTCAATCTCAAAAGGCGGACTGCTAAACTTGATGAACAAGATTACTTGCGTACGAATGCAAGACTGGATGATCACAGAATGGTTGAAGGACGATAATATTTGAAAACTCACTTCGATCTTTGAAGCGCGATGGCGGACGACGCCCTTTATCGCACAGAGTTTTGCACAGCCCCAAGCCATGCATTCACTTTTCGTCGGGCTGGCTGCGTCTTGCCACTCCTTGAAATTCTGCCTCGCCAAACATGCGTCCGACAACGGATCCTGACCCCCGATTGAAACTGCTTTCTTCCAATGGGATCTCTCTGCTTACGATTCAGCCTGACCTGCCTGACGCCCAAACGAACGATGACAGCCATTGTGCGACCACACGAACAGGTTTCGACCGAGCTAGTGGGCGTGGGATAATTCCACCAACCTCTCCATATCAGCAAGTGTAGATAGAACCTGGCAGAATATCGTCGCGTGACCCATAATTAGGGACATGAACTCGTGCAAGACTTTTCTCGCCTCTGAATCTTTTCTCAGCTTGCTCTATCAAGTAGAAAATAAGCCCGCACCTGCTACTAACTTATTAGCTATCAACACAGCTCTAAAAAATACTCTACGCACCTCCGCGAGAACGCCTAGGCACCCACGATATATATCACGTGAGCTGGTGAAACCATCCTGCGCCGAGCTAGCTAGAATCATTTACTAAAACAGCATTGTCTCCTTCTCTTACTGCGACTAAAAAATACCTTTATAGGGTTCAAAGGAATTTCTATCCGATGGAAATCTATCGCTTACCGAAAGCCCAGGAATTTATAACCACTCACGTCACCTGCAAGCCTCAGGCAGCAGTCACGAACAAGCTCCGCAGCCTCTGACCAAAGCAGCCAGAGTACGTGCAACAACGACAAGCGGCGACTGGAGCGTTCGTTACTCGGGCAGCGGAAGAATGAACCAAAGCATACTCTTCGCACAGGCACCAACAAGGCCCGGACCAGTAGCAAGGCGGAGAGCTGCGCGCGTAGGCCGTGGCACCATGCCAATAGCCGCACGACGGGTATGTAGACCCTGATGGCGGCGGAAGTGTGCAGAAAGAGTGATCGTTTGCGGCTTGGAGGGAAAGCATGTGTCGTCGACGCGCGATTCTACTAGGCTCGATCGAGTTCGGTGTGTGCGAGTGTGCCTGGCCCCGGTGCCCAACCCCACCCGTTGGTTTACCACACATTGGCCGGCCAACGGCCCAACGTGCTGTGGGAATCCGCGAGAGCTCGTCAGGTGCAACGGCGGCGGGCGTCGAAACTTTAACCGCCCTTGGGTTGCGCCGCCTCTCAGGAACGGCGGCGCCCTTATAAAGATCGCCCTTCTGTCTGTATCGTTGCTTTTTTATTTTTTTCTTTCTCATTCCCCTTCTTCTTCTTCTCCACAACTCCCTGGGTTGTTGTGCATCTCCTCCACGCTCCGAGCTTTTCCCGCGCGCTGACTGACTCGATCGCTTCCCCGCTTTCGTCATAAGTCTCGGGCTTGGTTTTGTCTTCTCTCACGATCACGATCCCCGCTCAGCCCACTTCCACGTATTCTCTACCTATTGTTATCCCCAGTCTCTCTCCTCTCTTCTCCCGCAACTTCTCTTCAAGATTCCCCTCCGCGCCAGACTCAACACCGCCAAAATGCCCCAGGTGAGCGCGCGACCCCCCCGCCCTTTGCCGGCGACAGGCCGGAGAAGGAGACCAGGCTACCTAGGCAAGGCATGCTGACCGATCTCGCGCGTGGCCCAGATCAAGGAGATCCTCTTCGACTGCGACAACACGCTGGTGCTGTCGGAAGAGCTGGCCTTCAAGGCGTGCGCCGAGCTGGCCAACGAGATCCTCGAGAAGAACAACATCTCGGACCGGTACACGGGGCCGGCGCTGCTGAAGGACTTTGTGGGCCAGAACTTCCGGGGCATGATGGTGTCGCTGCAGAAGAAGTACGGCTTCACCATGGGCGAGGACGAGTTCCAGACGTACGTCGACCGCGAGCTGGGCAAGGTGGTCGAGACGCTGGAGAAGGAGGCGCGGCCGTGCGACGGCGCCATCCCCGTCATCGAGAAGCTGCACAAGGACAAGAACTACGGCCTCGCCGTCGTGTCTTCGTCTGCTCTTTCCCGTGTCCAGGCCTCCATCCGCAAGGTCGGCATGGACCAGTTCTTCCCCCACGAGCACGTCTACAGCGCCGCTACCTCGTTGCCCAAGCCCACCTCGAAGCCCGACCCCGCTATCTACTTGCATGCGTGCAAGGAGATCGGCGTCCAGCCCGGCGAGTGTGTCGCTGTTGAGGACAGCAAGAGCGGCGCCACCGCCGCCAAGAACGCAAAGATCCCGCTTATTGGCTACGTTGGCCCGTACGAGGATGAGGAGGAGCAGCAGAGGATGGCCAAGATGCTGAAGGAGGAGTGTGGTGCCATTGTCATCATGTACCACTGGAACGAGTTCTTCGACTGCCTGAAGAAGGTCGAGAGCTCGTAGTGCCGAGGCGTTTGGGCCTTGTTGTTGGAAAAGGAGGAAGGTGTTGGTGCGATCTAGAGCGAAGAGCTTGCCTAGACGAGTGATATGCCCCCATTTGGAAATTAGCAACGATGATACTCAGGAATATACTCCCAAAAATTTCCTTGTCTATTGCCATTAAAGGATTTAAAAGAGCTTCCAACGTCTTGCGCCGTTGAGTAGCTTGATATACTTGCATGGAATGCATGTGGCACGCAGCAGGCGACCTTTGGGTTGGCTAACATTGGCAGGTTCCCAAAAGCTAGTCGCCTACTCCATCGTGTCACGTGCCAGTTCAACTATACCTTACCCATCCTCTGTTCTTATTCACCACCATTAAACCAAAAGGAAACTCCTAAAAAATGTTCGCCAGTATTCCCCACAAGGTTTTATATGATTAAAACCTGCTTGCAGTAACCGCGTAAACCACCCACAATGGCATAGCTGCACCGCGTAGAGCACGCCTAAAGCTTCAGTAAAGAATCCTTCAAGGATAAGTGTCGGCATGGCGAAAGGCAGAGGACACAATGCCACGTCACCGCCTGGCAGCATACCAAGATCTCACAAACAATCCACCCAAGAACACACAGCCCAAACCATGCATCAGACAGAAGTAATATTCCTACCACGAAACCCGCTATAGCAGATACCGGCCGACTGACTGACTGACTGACTCTGCCCCAACAACAACGATTCCTCCCGCGCGCCAAAGAAAGGAAACAAAAACGACAAAAAAATCTCAACAGCCAACAACACCCCTTCATGCTCATGCTCCCCCAACAACATCGTTCTAGCATGCCTGCGCCCTGAAATGCTCTTTTATCTCAGCTGCTCGCCTCTACCCACCTGCCCTCCTATGATCCGCTATGCCGCTGTACGCAATCCCACTCGTACTGCAGACGTCTGTTAGTTGTTGTCCGTAGTATTTCGTGTTGTGGAAGAGCGGGTTCCCCCGAGCGTGCTTGAAGGAAAGATCTTGTCCGCTGGGAGTTTTTGTGGGAGAGACTTACAACTTTGCCGTCGTCGTCGCCTGTGTACACCGTCTGTGCTAAGGGAAGGATGTATGTAATAGCCGTGGGGATGTTGCTGCCGTCCTCGCGGTTGCTGTCGATGTGGTTGAGGCGTTTGACGAGGTCGAGTCGCCATTCGCCGGATGATGTGAGAGCCTTGTTCCAGATCTGCAATAGGGTTGTGTTAGCAAAATTTTTGACTCGCCCTACAGGCAGTGGGTTTGCCGGGGAAGGGGAAACTTACGTTGACAACACCCTTGCGGTGTCCGGTGAAGATTAGTTCACGCTCCAGCCATTCGTTACCAACGCCCTCGTAGAAAGCACATGAATGGATGACGTCCTCCGCGTCACTGGTGTCGCAAACCTCCTGGTTGACCAAAAGGCGCCCGTTCAGTGTGAACAGCATCAATCTCGACCTTGCGCAGAGCAAGACATGGCCGTTGACATTGTTGATACGCGCACATCGTACGGGTTCAGGGCCGGCGTCAATCCTGCGTACGAACTCTGACCTATTGAGATCCCACAGGAAGACGGACCCATCTGCTGACGCCGAGAGGAATGTACTGAACGCTCGAGATGTCGCTAGCACAGTGACTGGCTTCCGGTGACCAAAGAAGCAGACCTTGGGGATAAGGTCAATCGACTTGGAAGTGGAGACGAGGTTCCACACCGAGACCGTGCAGTCTGTGCCAGCAGTGATCAAGGTCTTGCTGTCAACAAACGTGGCACAGGAGATCTGGCCTTGGTGGAGGTGCTCCCAGAGGCCGATCAGTTTTTTGTTGTCCGTACCATAGAATCGGACGCTGCCATCTGTGAAACCCCATTCCATGTACCTTTCGTAGGTCGGTGGGATGTTGAGCCTGAAGGCGGCCGAGCAAAGGATACGGTCCTGCTTAGTGTTGTACGTCAAGGCTGCCACGCGATCACGGGAGTCGAGAAGAGTGAACGGTAGGCGCGTCAATCCCTCCGCCGAGTTGTCAAGCTTCTTGTGTTTAGACGTTTCGCCGCGGGCCGGGTGAGATTTCTGGAACACCTGATGAGGTGTCTGGCCAAAGTTGTGAATAATTCCAATCGTGGCAAGACGCTCAACAGGGTCCTCGATGTTATCAACGTCCTTGGCTCCGTGATAGGACAAATAATGGAAAACATTAGTGGCCTCAATTGCCGCCTCACCCTGCTGCTTGTACCCAAACACGAGGTCGATCCATTGGTGGAGGTGCTGGGTGACGTACGGGCTTTCCAAAGCCTCCCGGTGCTTCGTAACAAAAATTTCCGGATCGCCCTTCGCCCAGGGAGGAAGGACAACGTCGTTAATCTTTTCGCCCGACCCTTGCTTTGTGCCGAAATTGTAGCCGTTCATATTCTTCAGGAACTCCGGGAGGTAGTAAAACTCTGGAATCAACTCGCGAACATCGGTCATGTTGTCCTTTGATGCTGAGTTCCAGGCCTTCTCGATGGAGTCGAACAACCGGTCGGCATGGTCGAAATTGCCACCCTGAAGCAGGAGATATGACTGGACAAATGGCTGCAGACGGATGAGATAAGAAGTAACAATCATGGCAGATGAGTAGTGAGTGCCGTAATGGAAAGCCGGGCTCGTACCATCGCTCATTTCAGCGAAGGTCTGATAGCGGTCCTTGAACTCGGCCTCTCGCGAGAGTGACTGAGCACCCATGGGCTTTGATAGATCCCTGAAAGTCTTGGGATTATCGAGGTCCAACTCTTCGCTAGTGTAGTCGGCCAGCACCCACGGGAATACTGGATACTGCGTGAGGTCATTGAACGTCCTGCCGGCCATGGTGTTCACAAGCATGAGGTAGTGGAAGTTGGAGATTTCGCCTTTCATCCACCTCTTGGTCGCAGGATTAGAGGTCATGGTGTTGAAGACACTTGCCCACTTCGACCCCAGGGTTGGTTGTGCCTCTTCCGGAGTACGTAAAGACTCTAGCCGCCAAGCATCTTCTGATTGCAGAGCCGCCGACGGACTGCTGACATGAGGTGCTCTAGACAAAAGCTTCGCATGCAGCTCATTTCGCAGCCTTGGTGCTATTGCCGTGAGGAGATAGCTTCGCCCGTCCGTGAAGAAGATCTCGATAGCAACGTCGCGGAACAGGAAACGTCTTTTCGAGATACTGATCACTTCAGCCCATTGCCAGTGCCGCGTTGTCTGTTCACCGTCTGCGGCCTGTGGTCTCCGTTCTGTAGCCTTCTTGCCAGAGATCATCTGCACATACGTGTCACGCTCTTCTGGAGGCGCTTGCCAGACGCGGATGATTTCTCCGTCAGACCTTTGGAAGAAGTTGTCCAGGAGGTAAAGTGAATCTTTCCCCAGAATGAGCAGACCTTCACAAGCTTCCAGACCAACAATACGGGAGACGTTGAAGACATGTTGCACCTGATCGCCTTGCTGTAGCGAGCGCATTACTTTTCGGTTCTTGTCCTCGAAGCCGTCTTCACCCTCGTTGGGGTCGGCAACCATTTCAAAGTCGTCATCGCCGTTTGATGTTACAGACGACTGGCTGACAGAACGATTCCTGCCATCTGGGTGTGCTGATGATGGAGTGGCATTACCGGACATCGGAGACGGAGCCTGTGGAACATTTGTGAAGACTTTGAGCTTTGACGCAGTCTCAGAGTCTTTTCGTTTCGGTTGATAGTCCTGCTGGCCAGTGGAGTTGTCGGGCAAGATTCGCAATCTCATGCGGTTCCGCCCCTCAGTCTCATCAAGTTGCCATTTTCTGGTAACGTTAGAGCTGAAGAGGGCGCAAGGCTCGCGCAGGGTGTGGTCAAGTTTTTCCAATGTTGCTGCAAGGAAGGCCAAATTGTCTTGCTGGTCTTGAAGGGACCTTTGATGCTTCAAACGCTCGGCAGCGAAGATGTTGGCTCTCCAATGCGTGGTAGAGATTTCGTGGCGGTGCCATGTGTTGTCTGCCGTGGATTCATCGGAGTGCCATTGCTTCAGTCTTTCTCTCCTCTTATTGACCCGATTCTTGGCGCTGTCTTCAGTTTTGCGATTTTCTTCGGTGACAAAATCCTCCCAAGATTTTGACATGGCGCCGAAAAAGAAGTAATCAAGCTCGCCGCGATGTTCGGTAACCCATTCAAGGAAAGCTTCATTATCCAGTTCTGTCAGCCTCATAAAGTCTGTGAAAAGCTTTCGGTGACTGCTGGTGCTAGACGGATTGAGGATAAGAGACGTCTCCTCGGGCTTCTGTACGAGCATTAGGCGCCAAAAGTCTGCAGCAGCTGATCGAACTCGTTGATCCGAAGAGATGAGCTTGTTGTAGAGTAGATAACAAACAAGACGAAGGTAGTTGCCTTCCAGATTTTCTGGTGACAGGATGATGGTCTGCCAGTAGGCCATTTTCTGTAGAAACATTGCGGCTTCCAATTCAGTGTCCGGCTCGTCTAACTCAGATAAGCGGAGCAGCGCAACGCGGAAAAACACGGTACGAATGGTTGATATGGCCTGTGTGCAGAGTCTCACGCTCTTCAGCTGAGCAATATCTGGACGATGTAGGTGGTCCAGAACTGTGCCGATAAAATCAAGCAAAGCCTCAGCTCCATTCATAAACCAGCCTTCAAAGACAGCCTCAGCCATATGCAGGACATAACGCGCGAGGTTAGTAAGTACTCTTGGCTCAGCAAGCAGATCTTGGTGAAGTCGCAACTCATTTGTAGCCGCTGTCATGGCGTGCAGAAGCACATAGGACTCAAAGTATGCTTGGTGCTCTTGGAAGCCCGGAGGTACTTTCAAGAAGAGTCCGAAACCTGTGAAGTCTTTCCTGTAAAGGAGCTGATCGAGAAAAACGCCTATGACGAGCTCTAATAAAGCCTCGACAACAGCATTACCGACCTTCAGTTCTACCTTTGTGGCTTTCTTAGGCGACATGATGGTATGCAGTCGAGCGGCAGCAGCAGGATACTTGGCTTTATCAGAACTTATCAGTACGAATGAGGAACCCCGACGTAATGGTGTGGCCTTCTTTGTTGTCGGACTGCGAGGCGCTTCAACAGGTGTCGTGCGCACAATAGAGGGTCTTTGGTCACCGGATGATGAGTGCGGGTTGATTAGCACGTCTTGTCCCTCGAAAGTGAGGCCAGAACCCCGTGAGTGCAACTCAGTCTCTGCAGAGACGCTGTCAGATGTAACGATTACCGGATACAGGACGAAGAGAAGCTCCTGTGCATAGTTCGAAACAACCTCGAAATCCCGGAAGTGCGCAGATTTCATGTGCAGGTCGGCACAGAATTGGATGGCACTGTTGAGGACTGCCGCATAATCTGCAAGTCTCTCCCGTGATGGCTGCTTCTTTGGTTCTGCTATTTGGGACCATGTTAGACTTGAACCCTGAATGGATTTCATTTTCTTACCTCTTGAAGCAAGCTCGCTCTCCAAGGACATTGATCTCTTTCTGCCAATGTTTGGCGTTAAGGACCTAGCCTCCTTTGACTCCGCACCGTTTTCACCTTTGCTTGCGCGGGGACTATCTACCGATTCTTGTTGCTGAACAATAGTTCTGAGACCAGTCTCCAGCATGGTCACCATAACCGGAAAAACATCCGGATAGATGACGTTGACTTGGCCTTGACCCCCGAATGCATCGGTCAAATTATAAAGGTCAAAGTCACGCTCAAAATTTATCTTGCCAACATCCGCCCCGAATAAGATGGCGAAGCATATGGTCCAAATTTGGGGGACGTTCCACCATGCTTTTAATCGATGTTTGAGGTTGATGAATCCTCCTTCTCGAGCGAATTTCTTAACAAAGTGCGGACCTTGAACCACTAGGAGGCGGGCAAGAATTTTGAGCGTCGGTACAATAACCCGCGGTTCGTTTTCGGCGAAGAGATACACAAGCCACTGAAAACACAGTCAGAATTTCAATGCATAGACTGAGGTGTACCCGTACCTTGTTCGTAACAGTTTTGGCGAAGCGCTTGATTTCCGTGGAGCTGGCGTCGTCACAAAGGAACGTTGCGTATGCTTCCAAAACCTTGACAGCCAAATCTTGACGCGGAAGCTTTCCAGCTTGAGCGAACAAATTGGGACTTGCGGGACGCAGAGACGGGGCGCGGGAACGTGTGATGAGTGGGGGGGTGGAGTCTTGTCGCATCTGCTGGACACTGCTGCTGGAGCGCAATGGCCTAGTAGCAAGAGTGCGGCCTTCTTGAAGAGCATAGGTGATGAAAAGAGCGGTTGAACGAAGAATATCAGACGAAACGCTGCATTTTAACAAGGCTTTGAATGCGTTGATAAAGTGTGGAAACACCTCATATGTGAAAGATTCTCCTTTGAGGGCGTCGAGTAATCTTTTGATGATGCCTGACGTCGCTGTTAATTTGTTTGCTCATACCTCGTGTATAAAGACCAACTTACGCATTCTCGTGAGCCGTTTTGCGTTGAAAACATGATATTTACTGTCTTTTGCGAAAACTTCAAACTGACGGTAGTAAAGGGTTTGTGTGTCTGTCGAGCATTTTCTCCATAAATCGAAATCGATTAGAAGCGCCCTGTAAGCGAGAGGGTTGATTATCTTCGACTCCTGGGGCCTGACCTCGTGGTAACCCACAAAGCGCAAGACAATTTGTAAAAGTTCGTAAGATAGCGTCTCGAGATCCGGATCATTGATGGGCCCTGTTGTTGATTTCGCAAAGACTGATCCCAAGCCCATTTTGTCACGGAGCAAGCCAGTCAAGACAGCAAATCCATGTTCTCTTTCCATGGCTTCACTGTTTCTCCAGTTGTCTTGGACAGATTCAAAGATAATCTGTACAGCTGCCACCAAAGCGGCTCTGGTCTGGGCAAGCTCAACAAGCTTGAGACCTACGGCAGCGCAACCACCAACTCTCCAGATTGCGTCGTCAAAGGACTGCGGCACAACCACTGTAGGGTTTCCGGTGAGAATTGCAACGCCATTGGCTTGACAGAGGGCACCGTTAATGGAGGGAACGGCTGCGTTGATAGCAATCGCATTCCCGCCAGCTCGTGTGTAGTAGCGCAGGTTCTTTGCTGCATCTTTGGAAAGAGACTTGGTCAATTCCGACTCGTCGATGTGATTGCGGTCGTCATCGTCCATCACAGATGTTGGAGAGATACCGAACAAGATTTTACTTTCCGGAAGGATGTCGCCTGCTTTGTGACGCATTGCTGATAAAATCTCCGATCTTTCTTCCTTACCTGGATGTAGAAGCTCGTTGTACAAATTCAGCTCTGCAGAGGCGTGATAGGTCAAGAAAGACCCCAGACAATCCTGGAAATTGCCGCTGTACCGTGGACCGAGTTTATGATGCACGGCAACCAGCTCATCCGATAGAATATCTCGAAACAAATGGAACGAGGCCAATGACAGCTTTGTTGAAATGATGTTCCTTCCAAGCCGGGATGCGAAGGTCTGTGGGGTACCAAGAAAGGCCTCGATAGGGGTATGCTTGATGATTGCAGACGAGAACGAAGCAAAAGTATCTGCGCTGTTGTTGAAAACTGGAGGATTCGAAGGGAAAGAGCATTTGACTTGCTCAGCGAATTCGCCATTGACGAAAAGATTTGCGACGCTGAGGCCGACTACCTTTGGCCGTCGGTGCACTATGGCGACATGATACCAAACTCCTTCTTTGAAAGCAGTGGACTTGAAACGGACGCTAGGTCTAGATGCCGTCATAGACGTCTGTAATATCAAGTTATGCGATCCCTTTTCCAGGTAGACAAGGACAAAGCATGTCTGACTCGAGTCGTATGCCCCGAAAATTGTAGTATGATGGTCCTCATCAAACTTATCCACACGCAGCCAACAGCTGATAGTATAACCACTATTTGGCGTGGTGGGTGGGAACGTTCTTCCAAGGTCTCGCAGCTCTACCGAACTGTATCCGTGTAATGACATATCAAGTTGTATGAATGGAGGCTGCCGCGATGATTTGATGCCTTTCAGGACGAAATTGGCGGCATCTTCGGATTCAGCTGCCAAACGAAGGAGATAGCGGGCGTCCTCAAGCTCGTTGATACCATAAGCAATCAATTTTTCAGCGAGTGTCTGAAGAATGCTTCTCTCCGGTGATTGTTCTCCTCCATCGAAGAGCAAAGGCAGCATTGTTTGGAGAACAGCTGTACTGTGAGCGGCCAGTCTGTTGTGTGCAGACATACTGATGATGTTGTTCCATACTAACAGTACTGCCTGCGTAAGAGGCGGTGATCGGGAACCAGTTATTCCCTCCCTGAATAGCATCAGCCACATGTTGATGACTGTAGGAAGAATCTCAGGATTCTGCAGAACTTCGTTCCCACTGAAGAAGCCATTCAGATGCTTGCGCAGTATGTCAATTTGGACATCCTCTGCGGGCCGGCCTGTTGTAATTGCGTCCTTGCTGCGATCTTCAACAGCACAGCTGTCTTCCTGGCGCGAATCCTCCTTTGTGGCCTTCTCCGGTATACTGGTAATATCACGGAAGACCCGCGTCATGTTTTCCTCGCCCAAAGCAAATGCAACCAAGCATCCGAAGAGCTGCTCCTGCCCCGCATCATCAAAGGCGCTGTTATCCTGGTCACCGCCCCCCACGCCGGTACTAGCAAGAGCTTGTTCCAATGCCCTCCACCCATTTTCGTCCACCTTCCGCAAAAAGTACCTGCGATTTCCGGCATGGCCATCTAGAGCCTCGGAGAGCACTGCGAGGACGGTCTTGAGCAACTCGAAGAACTCAGTCCGGTCGTCTTTGGAGAAATTCGTGGGGTCGTAAAAGCCGGACACCGAGCGCAGCGTATCTATTAAGACATGGAAGCCCCTGGCTTGGCGGAAGGCATCTTTCGCCTGGCGGGAATCGGCGGAATCTATGAGGAGCTGGCGTATTCGACGAAGGCAATTGCACTGAGTTTGTATGGCGTCGGCGTTGGTGGGCGTGGGACTCTGCGGCAGAGCATCGACCAGGTCGCCAATGAGCGCATAGAGCTCCTTAAGCACGGGGCTGTCGGCCCTCAGGGTCGAGGAGGCGACGGAAGGGGAGCTTCGGCGGAGCGTGGGATCATCCATGTTGTGCGGTGCCTCCGGTGGGATTCGAGGGAATGGTACATGCGAAGCAGGGCTGGCATTTCACCCAGCGGCGCGGGTCCGGCAAAGGTGAGGAGTCAGGGCAGGCTTGATGAAGTGAGCCTCTCATCTGAAAGCGATGGCCGTCGTGGAATCGGTGGTTGCGGCCCTCGAGGCTGCGGCGTAACCTACGGGCAGTGTTGTGCCCCGAAACCGCGCTAGGCTCAGGTGTAGGCGGCGAGTCATGCGCGCCTGCCGTTGCGGCTTACAGCATCATGGGTGTGGTATCGATAAGACACCACCTAACAGAAGGCACGTTTGATTCTTGTTCTTGTTCTTGCACGGCAACTGGAGCGATGAGCCTAGGTACCTAGGTAGGTAGAGAGTACCTAGGTAGTTACTTCCGCGGTCGAGTCACCGAGCTCTGCGTCTGGAAAGGGCAACGCAGCCACAACGCGCCGCTCCCAGTCCCAGCGTACCAGCCTCGGTCGACTTCGGACTTCCCTCCACCTTTCCCAGGGTTTCCTGGAGATAGCTCAAGCCGTGTTCCCTGTTCTAGCGTGCCGACATTGGGGCTTGTCTTCTGCCTGCCTGCCTGAAGCTGCTGTTGGCTGCCTCGAATGTTTTGCTCTCCCCAACCATCGCAGTATGCCAGTAATATGCCGGGATGCACGGCCAAGGGTCCGCCTCTCGTTGTGATCGTCTCTATGCAGCTCTCTTTCAGTCGTCGTATTGCGTCGGTCCAAGGGGCTTGTGGTCGGGCGGCCCAGGCAGGAAGGAACTGGCGCGGCGACGGTGGACGGGACATGCTGCGGCCTGCCTGTGCATGTCATAGACAGCTCCCCCGTGGATGCGCAGGTACAGAGCTTATCAAAAGGGCAGGATCGGCCCCGCCGCTCTCTCCGCGTGATCATGGTTGCCTACCATGACAGATGACCCACTTGGGGTGGCTGGTCTCGCCAAGCCTGCCCTATCGGGCTCCGAGCTCTGACGCGCTGATAAGTAGAGCTCCCTCCAGCTTCCCCGTCCCCCAATCTACATCACCCTCCCTCTCCTCCCTCTCTCTTCCATCTGACCCATCTTACACCGTCCATCTCTTACTTCACCACTCTCTTCACATTCTCTTTGTCCCCGCTTCACAGAAACCACCATGAAAGCTGGTGTCGCGGCCTTGCTGCCGCTGCTTGCGGCCGCGTCGCCCGTCTTCAACGTCGGCACCGTCCACAACGATGCAGCTCCCATCATCTCCTCGGTTGACTCCAAGGCTGTTCCTGACTCGTATATTGTCGTCTTCAAGAAGCACGTCAAGCACGCTGATACGGCGGCCCACCACTCCTGGGTCCAAGACATCCACACTGCGAGCGAGCAGCAGAAGACGGAGCTGCGGAAGCGTTCGCAGTTCCCCATGACCGACTCTGTCTTTGAGGGTCTGAAGCACACATACAACGTTGCCGGCGGTCTGCTGGGCTACTCCGGCCACTTCGATGAGGATGTCATCGAGCAAATCCGGAGACACCCTGATGTAAGTCTATCCTGCCCAGCACTCATTCGCCACCAGCTCTACCAAAGCTCCGCCTAGGGCGGCTTTGAGTGGACGCTGACGTTTCCTACCCCTGTCGCCGAGTCCGAGCTACAACAGCCGCCGAGAGCTTCGGTCGCGTCCCGTATCACCATGAAGCACGTGATGTCAGCCACGCCTTATCACGCCATACTGACGACCTCGGTTTGACAGGTTGACTACGTCGAGAAGGACTCTGAAGTCCACACCCTGAAGGAGGACCACGAGACCGAGAATGGCGCCCCCTGGGGTCTGGCTCGTATCTCCCACCGCGACAGCCTCGGCTTCGGCGATTTCAGCAAGTACCTCTACACGGCCGACGGCGGCGAGGGCGTTGACGTCTACGTTATCGACACTGGTACCAACACTGAACATAAGGACTTCGAGGGCCGTGCCCACTGGGGCAAGACTATCCCCGTTGGTGATGCCGACGAGGATGGCAACGGCCACGGCACCCACTGCTCCGGCACGGTTGCTGGTAAGAAGTATGGTGTTGCCAAGAAGGCCAACGTCTACGCTGTCAAGGTTCTTCGCTCCAACGGCTCTGGTACCATGTCCGATGTTGTCAAGGGTGTCGAGTACGCCGCTGAGCAACATGCCGCCACTGTTGAGGCTGCCAAGAACGGCAAGAAGAAGGGCTTCAAGGGCTCTACTGCCAACATGAGCTTGGGCGGTGGCAAGTCCACCACCCTTGATCTGGCTGTCAATGCTGCTGTCGACGTCGGACTGCACTTCGCTGTGGCTGCTGGTAATGACAACGCCGATTCCTGCAGATACTCCCCTGCCGGTGCGGAGAAGGCCGTCACCGTCGGTGCCTCTACCCTAGCTGACGAACGTGCTTACTTCTCCAACTACGGCAAGTGCAACGACATCTTTGCACCTGGTCTCAACATCCTGTCTACTTGGATCGGCAGCCCCTATGCCACCAACACGATCTCTGGTACCTCGATGGCCTCGCCTCACATTGCTGGTCTCCTGGCCTATCTGCTTTCTCTCCAGCCTGCTTCTGACTCCGCCTACGCTGTTGCGGACATCACTCCCGCTAAGTTGAAGAAGCACTTGATCTCTATCGCCACCAAGGGTGCTCTCTCCGATGTCCCCAGTGACACCACCAACGTAAGTAGAATGTGCGCCCTGTAACTTATTACATTTTGCTAACCACGACTACTACAGCTCCTTGCGTGGAACGGTGGCGGATCCGGCAACTACAGTGACATCATCCAGAAGGGTGGCTACACCGTCAAGTCTGCTAAGAAGATTGATGTCTCTCTTCCCTCCATCGACGAGGTCGAGGAGGACATCAAGGGAGAGTTTGAGACAATTGGCCGCAAGGCTCAGGCTGGCTCTGCCAAGCTTGAAAGCAAGGTCGAGAAGCTCGCCGAGAAGTTCGAGGACTTCGTCGCTGACGAGATGGAGGAGTTCTTCGAGGAGTTCAAGCACCGCATGGAGGCCGACCGCGCCTCTGCGTAAGTTGTTGTGTCTTACGTAGCGCCAACATAGCTTGCGTTTGTTATTGACAGGCGCCTTATACGGGATACAGTGTGGGTTCACGGTTAGGATAATCATGTTTCGTACTTTAGTTCAGGTCGTTTAGGCACTAGTTTGGGTAGGATGGATTCACGGCTTCAGTGATGCATAGACTGAGTATTTGCATGTCCGATGCAGTCTCCATAGGTTCCAGAATGCAATGCAAATGGACAACATGCAATCTACGAGAGGTGACACAATCGCCGGAAGCTGATGGACCCCTGATCTTCAGATGTACACGTCGGTCAAAGAGCTGCACAGCATGTCCCTTTGGTCCATGCACTTGCCGGAATAGGAATGTAGTCACGTGGATGACAGGTCATGAGGTGGACCTAGTGATGTTTGCGGCAACCACCATCCTCTCGACCGCGCGTCCCCGAGCGGCTCATTCCATAACCCCTTGCGCGCATTTCAGCTCTCAGCCGATAGCAGACATCGCGTGTGACCTGCCGCTTGGGGGTGGGTAGAGTGACGTGCAAGAAAGGCAGCTGTGGCTGCCAAGTTAAGCGTTTCTGTCACGATGGCAGCCAGCACGTTATCTCTGCTCTACCTACCATGTTGACAGGCTCACCTGGTACGCACCTTCTTCTTTCCTTGTCTGCTTCGGCATCCCTTCCGTACGTTGAGGGTTTCCTTTCCGTGTAGTCTTCTCTGCCCATGTGTGTGCTACGAGCACCCTTCTTCCATCGGACGTGTCGGTTTGAATCAGTTTGGATCGGCTTGGATATCATCGAAATTTCATTGAGCCCAGTCCCAGTCCGTCGCTCTTTGATTGCTCATAGCACATGCTGTCCCGCGCTTCGAGCGACGCCGGTACGCGGTTACGCCATGCCAAATCAACATCATCAGTTCAGTCGCGAGTACGAAGTGGCAAAGTCGAGCCTCTCGACCCCTTCGTTGCGCGAGAACATGCTATGGCGGCGGCTGTATCGGCCTACGAGAGGGCACATGCAATAGAGCGGGCTGCATCACAGCGACGGCTGGAGCTACAGCGGCAAAGGACTAACGCCAGCAAAAAGTCCCAGGGCTCTCATTTTCCACCTAGGGAATCGAGTGCTCGACATAGCGGCGAAAACAATTGCTACAAAAGGCGAGCGTCACCTACGTCTCAGAAAGTCGGCCATGAAAGATATCCAAAGAGACCCGTTGACATTCCTACACCTCGAACGTCGGTAAATGAGAGTGGACGACCATTGATGCCTTCAGCTCCAGCACCTTCCACACAACTTACACCGGCTCGGAAAGAAGTCCGCAAGTCCCGTTCCCTCTATAGCTCTTGGAGTTTAGGTTTTGGCCAACATACGTCTCTAGAAATAGATCGGCAGGCCAGTCAATCAATTAAGGAGCGCCCTGTACCGGGAACATTGACTCTCAGTAGTCCGCTCGGAAGTGCTCGTACGCAATCCAGCAAAGGGAACCCTGCAGAAATAGCTGCCGCTCGGGACAAGTTTCTTCAAGAATTCCAACAGAGGAGCAAGCTGCGCGGTCGGCCCTCCTTTATCATGCAATCCTTCAAAAAAAGACAAGACAAGAACCAAGTTTCGGCCGCAGCCGCTTTTGAGGATACGCCCCCCTCAGTGCCGGTGGCTAAAACAAATGTCTCGGCACCAAGAGTCCTCTCGAAGCCAGAAGAAAGGTCCAGATCTATCTCAAACTCCTTCAAAAAGAGGATCAAACGCGTCTTCCGGAAAGACTCGGACCCAAAATCTACCAACACTCTTCCCGTACAACAAGTCGATGCCACTCGTCTCTATTTTGGAAATCCCAACTCAATGACCGCTACAAATGTTCCCGTTAGCCAACGGATCCCCACCCCAGCTTCTAATAGCCTGAACCTTGTCCATTCTAGACGTTCATCCCATCGGAGCCAGCCATCTGGTGCATCGCAGGGAAATTCCCGAGCTTCTAGTGGTGATCATAGCGAAGGAGACCTTAGCAAATCCCGTGTCACAAGCTGGACAAACTCCTCGACGACCGGTAGTACAGTGACTCGCGATGCAAAGAGACTGACAATCATACCAGAAGATAGCGGAACACAAAGTGGATCCAAGCGCGAATCTGAAGGGCCTTCTTCATCCCTCAGACGGAAGGCCTCTTCAATCTTGCACCATGCCCCTTTCAAAAAGCCTTTGCATCCATCGCCGAGTGACGCCGCGAAAGGCGTGGACAGTTTTGATGTGTTTTCAGCACTGAAATCGCGACTCGAAAAGGCAGGTCTAGACAGTGACTTGGAAGTCAGATTGTTGGATCCAGAGGCGGTACCGCAAGAACGGACGGGACGTGATACGTTGCCTTCACAAAGGGTGGGCTCAGTCACTTCGAAGCTTCGTCGTGGAACTAGGGCGACAATACGTCCAGTTACTCCTGAACCTGACAGGCTACCTCGAACCGCGAAGGGTCGATCTACTCCCCATACACATGGCGGGTTTTCTGAACATCTGGAACATAGTCATGGACGTGCCATCAAAAGGGAAGGCTCACCAGAAAGCGAAGAGCTCTGTCTACACCTTCCTCGCATCCGACTCCAAAGGTCGCCAAAATCACCAGTGCCTACCACTAGGCAAATGGCAACCCGGAAGGGAAAAGAGGACACTCGGTGGCGGATGCCGCTGGAGCAGGGCACTTCTGAGATATCTTCAACGAACCTCCGAGGGACCATGGTAGGTGTAAACCCTTATGAACTTACGCCGCTGGATAAGCTGAGTGCTCCGCTCAAGGCTGTTGTGACGCCGGAGCGCACGTCTAGCCGCCGCAATTTTGAACAACAGAGCAACATGTTCATATCAACCCGAACTACTTTAACAGATGTACCTCTTTCGCCCAGCATCTATTCAAGAAACTCTAATGGAGAGTCACCAGTTCGTAAAGAGAGTCATGGATCTAATACTGGGTCTGAAGGAAGACTGGCTGGTACGGCGGTCATCATCTCCAGCCGCCCGGTGAAAAGCTATGTTCTGGGTTCTCCTCCAAAGCCCAAGACAGGCGCTACCTCCACACATTCGAGCAAGGATTGGAAGGCATGGTTATCCAAGGAAGTCTCTGAACTTTCGCTGGTGCAACAGGCGAACTTTACCATCAGCGATGAGTTTCCGGTCAAGCCTCGAGGGCATTATCGTGAGCATGCGCAAATTGTGGATGGTGAAGACGTCGAAATCGGAGGCGATGGTTCAGGTAAAGTTTCTGTATCCCACACCAAACCTGGTAAGGCGAATATGGATGGATCAAAACAGACAGAGCGTCCTTCAAGCCGGATGGAAGAACGCCCCTCGAGTCGCATGAACGAGCGCTACCCTATGGTCCAGACGGGAAGAAACACGAGCGAACATAGCCATGGGTCAGCTCGCAGTCTTAAATCGGCTCGCAGTACCGAAGGGACTAAGTCGCTGGCGGCGAGTTCTCTAGCTACAGCACCCAGGAGTGCCTCTAGGAGAGACCCGAGCCCTAGAGAAGGAAATGTGCACTCAGCTCGCAGTCTATTACCGGGCCGTCCACTTAATCGCCCGCAGTCGCTTCAAACCATGAATTTAAGGAACACAAACTCTTCCATTCGCAGCAATTCAAGTTTCGCGCAGTATATCACCACTGCCGAAGAGACGGGCTTTCAAGGCGCGGGTCCAGGTCCAACACTTACCACTCCAGCAACTACAACACCACCTGTAAGCCACCCCATCCGCTACCGCATTGGCACAATCAACACAGGGACGTACCGTCCACGATCTGCTTTTGATCTTCGCAACCAGTACACTCCACGCACTAGCACTCTGCAGAAAGCACCTGGAAACGGAAGTGATAGGGCATTCAGCATTACGCGCAAACCAGTCACCGGCCCCGCGCTCGAGGGCGAAACGCTGCAGATGATCTTACAAGGGCCATATTCCCCGCCAAAGCTGTCGCCGTCTCTCGAGCGACTGAGCCAGGTCCCGCCGCTTGGCAGAAAGGAAAACACACCGACGCCGACGTCTACGAGACTATGGCTCGCTGAGGAGAAAGAGGGAGAAAGCCCGGCACGCAGTCTCGACACGCCGACTGGCGGACAGCTGCTCGCCGAGCGGTGGCTGAGTGCAAGGCAGCGCGGCGAGATGCTGGCGAAGACAGAGAGGGGAGCAAGCGAGGACCCAGCATTTCTATGAAGTGGGCAGTGTCGGGTTGAAAAGAGCGCGGGCATTGGGATTGTAATAGGGCTGTTCTTGGGTTGTTCCCTGTGGTTTTCTTGCCCGCACGAGGTATGTCTACGTCTGCGCATCTTTCTCAAGCATTCACAAAGGCGCATTGAGAGCCTTCGATTCTCTTTTTGGCACTTTGCAGCATAGCAGAACGGTTGGGCTTGGAATTTGGGTATGCTTTGTTAGCTTGGTATTTGCTTTGCTACCCGGTTGCTCGGTGGCAGTCACTCAAAAGCAGTAAGTGGGTTACGGGACAGACGATAGGAACAGGTAATTAGCGCAAGCAGTATAGTGTAGCGTATGAACAGCATTGCATAAAACGAGGCGTTGTGCTGTGCGTGCCACGGACGTCGCGGTTGAGAGCACAAAGGAGACAGGGGTCGTAAGTAGCTAGTTCGCCTACAGTGAGATTGCACGCGTGTGTGGTATAGCTCTTCATCTCCCTACCTATATCGACGACACACCGTCTATTCCGTGTCGTACCACCCCTACTCTTCCCCCCTGTTGTACACAACCCCTTTCCCTTTGCAAAAATTGAGGAAATAAGCAGATACATACATAGTAGGTAAACGGCTGCGTAAGTCCGTCACCGCGGACCGAGATGCACCGTCTAGCGAGACAGGGGACGACATTGTACAAGCAGTCCCTACAGAGTACATACATACTCCATGTCTAGCTCACAGCCCGCGTCCTGGGTATGAATGCAACGAAAGGTCTTAGCGCACACATACACAGCGTAGCTAGGCCTCTTGGTCTACGCCGTACAAGTAGCAAGCAAGCAAAGACACCACATCCAGCAAGCAGCGTTTGGCGTTTGCAGTGAACGAACGGTAGCAAGCAGCACCCATATCTATCTACCCGGCAAGCCCAACAACCTAACCAACACGCCGGCAGTCAGCCGGCCATTGAAGCGCGCAACTAGGTAACTCACGCCTCGCGCTCCGCAAAACGACAGCAGGCGCTTCCTCTGCCTGTTCCAACTTTCGGCAGTAGGGGCAGCGGCTCGGGAGCCTTACGGAGTAGGCCGGTAGCCATTAGCAGCTGGCGCGGCAGAGGACCGAGGCCTGAGGCGGCAAGACGGCTTGCGGCGGCAATTCACTTCGCGAGTTCGTAGCCTGTACTCGAGGCTACAGCGGCAATGAATCGGCGGGGCCCGCTTTCGGGCGCTTTATGACATTGGCTTGGTAGATCGTATCGTGCAATAGTGAGTGGGCTGGGAAAGGTGGATGTTCTGTCTAGGCGCTGATTGGGGGGCTGTGGGTTGTATTGTAGGGGAGCGTTGGGCAGGGCTGAGGGCGGAGCGAGTGAGGCAGGCAGGCAGGCAGGCAGGCTGAGTGGGATGCAATGGAGGGCTTGAACGCTTGCTTGTCTGTCTATCTGCCAGCCAGCCAGCCAGCCAGCCAGCCAGCCACGCACGCACGCACGCAGCATCTCATCTCATCCCCATGCCCATCCCATCCTCCAACAGCAGTCAGCACCAACAGCGCCAGCCAGTCAGCCAGCCGCCAGCTCGGCCGGCCGGCCCTACCCGAGCAACCGGCAGTAGCGCAGCGCACTAGCACGAGCCCAGCAAGCAAGCCCAGCCCAAAGCCCACCGCGCACGGCCAGTGCCGTGCGTTGCGTGCAGGCAGGGGCAGTGCCGGTGCGTGTGTGTGTGCGTGCGTGCGTGCATCGATCCTCAGCCAAGCCGCGCCAGCTTGCTGCGAATCGAGCAAGGATCGCTGCGGTGAACGGCGCGCGCAATTGCTACGAGTAGGTAGCTATCGCGGTGCGCGCCTTTCTTGCTGTCTGGCTGGCTGGTATGGCGGGCGCAGCGAGTCGGCCTTAGCCGGGCCGAAGCCTGTCTGAGGTCTGTCCGTCTGTCTGTTTGTCTGTCCGCGGTGCTTCATCCGAGCGGAGGAGGAGGAAGAGGCAAAGATTCAAGCAAGCAAGCAAGCAAGTAAGCTCGCTCGCACCACACGCTCGCGTGGGCGCCACCGCCACCGCCAACCAACAGCCAAAGCCTCAGCCGCTGACCTACAATGCTTTAGCCGAGCAAGCGTGCAAGCGTAGGGCGGAGCGGGGCACCCCGTTTCAGCATCAGCAGCGGCAGCAGCGTGGGCGGGCGCGCGCCTGCGAGTGGTGGGTGGAGCGGAAGACCGAGAAGCAAAAGCCCAGCAAGCACTCCAGGGCCGCGACGGGACGGCAACGGGGGGCGTGGCGGTGAGTTTGAGGTTTTTGGCGCGCCCTGGCCGCCCAAGGTGCGTGGAGGGAGGAAGCTTTGGGCAACGCTTTCAATGAACTGCGATATGCCTTAGGTTGTGTCTGGATGTCATTGTCTCTCTCTTTGATTTAATTGTTTTTTGCCGTGCCCATTTGCCATTGCTTGCTTGCGAGTGGGCGGGTGTGTGGGCAGCGCGCTCCCTCCCGCAGGATCGCGCCTAGTGGCCATGCGGTAACGGGTGGACGTTGGTGCCCGGGCATGCCCATCCATGCGAAGGGGGGGAGGGGGTGCGAGTCGTGACGTACAGCCCGGCGCGGACGCAGGACGACGGACGTCTTGCCTGCTTGACCTCGTCTTGCGCTGGGCTGGTCTGGTCTGGCTTGCCTGCCACCCGAATTGATTTGCTTGCGTTCGTTTCCTTGGCCAGCTGATTGCTTTGTGAGCGAGCTTGCCGGAGCTAGAGTAAGTAGGTAGGTAGCTCTACATGTCATTGTCTATCGTCAGTGTCGCGAAAAGCACGCGACGGGCAAAGCGAGGCCCGCCCAGACGAGGCGAAAAGGCGCACGGGAGAGCGGGGCCCGCTCGTCGTGAGCTTTGTCCTGAGCCGCGACTTAGCGCCATCCATGTCAAACAGGGGGAGGGAACGAGGGAGAGAAGGAGGCGGGCAAGATGCGGGAAGGGAAGGGGAGGCAGGTTGCAGCCGCAGCGAGGGAAAAAAAAAGAAGCGTCATCAGCTACTGCGCTACGTCCACTTAAGGCCGTAAACTAGCTCCTTCTCTCGGGCCGTGCCTGGTTAGTTGGAGATATTCCAGCATAGATTAGCACTCCAACCAACTACAGTCGCGCAGAGGCGCCGTTGTGAGCCGTTTGCAACACGTAACAGGACCTAGTCATGGACAAGCACAATCATGGACAGACTCGGTAGATGCTGGGTGGGGTGGACATGTCAAACAGGCAAACAATAGTGTAAAGCTAGGCAGTCCAAACTCGCAAGCTATGCACGCAGAAAAGCAGTGGCCGTCGAAAAGCTAGTGATGATGATGGAGGGCCGTGAGAAAAACGACGTTCCGAGCTGTGTGGGTGTGAAAGTAGCAGCAGCAGTAGTAATCTGCCTAAGGTGAAACAGAGCAAAAGCATGACGGCGTGGCTAAATATGTACAGTTTGCTTCGTAGGTTGGCATTGCGCAGTCATTCTTTTTCGCTGTTTGGTCGGAAAATTCTGAAAGCTATGGATTGCTCCGGCCGCCCTCCACCCTGGGAGAGAACTGTGGCATGGGTGGGATCCCCTGCGAGGGTGCAAAAGCGAGGATAACACCTCGTGGGCCGATGCAAGCAGGTTTCCTGCAATGCACCGCATTCCAATGGCTTTTGTTTTCCTTTTTGTTCAGCGGACTGAGCAAGCAATAATAGTCGCCGAAAGTGGGAAGAGGCAAGCAAAAAGCGCAATAGCCGGAAGGTAGATGTCCTGGACAGAGCAAAGGCGGTTCTCCCGCGCACGACGCCGGACGCTAAAACCGCCGTAAATAGACGAAGAAAGCAACTTGAAAGTAGAGGAAAAAGAAAAGAGCCACGACCTAAAGATGCCCAAGGAAAAGCATTAGTCATATTGTGCCATCACTCCATTCCCGCACACGCGCCATGACGGAAAGCAAGATCAGATCCACGGAACCGGCAAACGGTTACGGGGACTGATGGAAAGACAAAGCATTCCAGATGCGGGCTGAACATTTCCATTAATCCGGCTTCTTTGCGGCTCCCAAAGGGAAATGACCAACGAGGACTTCGGAGAAGGTAAAAGGAGAGGTCGGCAGAGCAAGCAGCGGCCGTTTTTTTTCGTCTCTCCAGCCAGGCTTTGGCGAAGGGCATCCAGGATTGATGACCAGTGAAAGGACCAGACTGGGCGAATCAGGATTCGACCGTAGAATCCTCGGAATCCCTAGGCCAGGCAAGGCGACCGGAAAAACGGAAGAGAACGCTCTACAACAAACACGCCAACAACATGTGGTATTCAAACATCATGAAGGAGGGGGTCCGAGACTGGGCTTCAGGACTACTGACGACGCCGGCGGTCGTTAGCTTGAGGCGGAGGTTGCGTTGTTGCTGCGTTTAATGGCGTTAGTTTGAGGTGGTCTTGGTTGCGCCCAGCGAGGCACAATCAGCACGACTTACCACTTCTGCTGTCGGCGTAGTAGTACTGTTGCGATGAACTATAGGAAACTTAGCTCAAATCCAACAAGTCCGCGGCATGTGACCAAAAAAGTACCTTGGTTGAGGCGGAGCGTAGACGCGTTCCGGCGGCGCCGACGTGGAAGGAGGGTAAGCATATCTGGGCGAGTCCTGGTGCCCCGGGTGGTGCGAGGGGTATGGCTCCGCTTCCCTGCCGGACGGCTGGCTGTAGGCACCATAGGTCGGTGCTGTCCTTACTTGGCCTCCTCCGTATCCCGGTGCTGGCACATAGTGGGCTCCTTGCTGGGCATATCCTGTTTGCGGCTGCGCATAGGTATAATCTCCTCCATAGGCCGCCTGGGGCGGTGCCCCGCGGTATCCTGCCGCCGACGGGTGGTCCGGGTACACCTGGGCGGCGGCAGGCGGTGCATAAGATTGTTCCGGAGCGGGCGTACTTGGTCCATAGTACTGCCTCGACTGGTGTGTCCTTGAGTCTTGGTAGGCAACTACAACTTTGTCAGGTGGTTTAGACAGCTTGGTGTCTCTCGCGTGTGGGCTACCTCGTCCCTGCTGAACTTCAGCGCGCCACCGCTGAGAGTCCAGTCTTAAATCTTGAACCATTTGCTGCAAGGAGGGAAGAAGAAGTTAGCAGGCGGGCCTTTTTTTTTTTTTTTCGTTTCGTTTGACATACCGAAGTAAGGGTGCGATAAGCAGTTATCCAATATCCTTCGACGCCCTTTACAGCAGGTTAGCGACAGCGCGACGACAGTGGAACCATGGAGCAGCTGACCTCATACTCGCCAGTGCCAATACCGGGCTTGACGAGCGCGTCGGGGCCCAGGTAGCGCTGGATATCGGCGGTGATGACCTCGCGGGCGATGCCCTCTCCTGGCTGGAACCACTGCCTCGTCGGGGTAGCGCGAGACATGGCGGCGGGCTTAAGAGGGGAAGAAAAAGAAAAGGCGGCACTGGAGGGGCAGTGCCTGGGAAGAGAGAGCAGAGCTGCGGAGGAATCCAGTCCGGCGGCCAAGAAGGGAGGATCCAGGGAGAGAAGAGAGAGGAAGTCCACACGGGCGGGCTGGGAAAGGTGCGGGGCTGCGCCCAGGTAATATCGCGACTCAGCACACACTTCGCTCTGAGGCTCTTGGGGCCGTGCAGTGCAACTTTCGACACAACTACGGGCAGCGGGCGGAGGAATAGTGGAAAAGGATGGAAGGGCGTGTAGGGCCCGGCGGATTTTGCTTTATCATTCCACGCTGTCCAGTCCGGCCCGTCCATTCACAAGTGGATCTTTTGCGCGTTGGGCATCGAGGCAGCGCCAGGGCCCAACACGCACAAACACCGTGACGAAATGGACGCCTTTTGGTCCGCCAGCCACAGCGGTGAGCGTGAGTCGCCCGTCGCACTATATACCACGCCCTTGGGCACTCACGCAGCCCCCCTTTGCACGTGTCGCCACCTTCAGAGCCGGGCCGCCGCAGGAGCAGCAGCCTTAGACACCCTGAACCCCCATCGCGGGAAATGAATGCGCACGCCAGTCTCAAGCTCAAGCACCACCTCGTCGAACGTCAGGCTGACCAGCCTACCCCGGTCGCGGTGGCTAAACCCGCTCTCGATCGGCCAGACCTCCACTTCCTCGCCCTGCTGCACGCCCGACGGCTCTGCCGAGTCGAACCTCCCCTCCGTGTCTTCTCCGTCGCCTCCCCGGCCGCCTGTCACAGCCTTAACCGCCGCCGGCCCGTCCAGTGTCACGCCCTTGAAGCCCGACGACTTGGCTGCCTTAAGCGCGTCGCGGAACCTCTTGATCCAAGCGAACACCTTGGGGAAGCTACTTTCTGAGATCAGCGCTGGCGGAAGCGCTCCTTTCATCTCCACCAGCCAGTCCAGTGGCCAAATTGCTAACCTACGTCAGTGTCCATGCCCGAGCCCATCCAAAGTACATACCTTCAATGTCCGCCAGGCTGGGCCTCTCCGTCTTCAGTATCCAGTCACGCCCGTCGGCTAGCAGCGTCGATTCCAATAGTGCAAATGCATCTCTGATGTGCACCATGCTCTCGGGCCTCCCGCGCCGCAGGTCTTCCTTGTCCCAGCTCCTGCCCGAGAAGCTCTTCCTGTCCTCGAGGAACTTTGGATCCTGCAGCACAGGCATGTCCGGCGGAATCAATGACGCGGCCCTCGCGAAGATGCCTCCGTCTATGGTCCATCTCGACAGCAGGCTTTCAATGGCCTTCTGATCGCCGCCCGAGGCTCCGATGGCACCATCGGGGAAGCGTTGCTCGAGCTTGCGCAGGATCAGCCGCGTGTCGCAGTAGACATGGCCGCCGATAGCCATGAGCGGGATGCGACGGTACGATACCCCTAGGGCTTGGAGATCGGGGCGCGGCATGATTGGCGGTTGGATCTGCCTCGTGTCACACATAGTCAGCGCTCAGCCGTTCTGGCCACGCCGCCATGATGCGGGACGTAAGCGGGATCAACATACACATTGTGCATATGCGATGCCGCGGAGCTGCAAATACCAGATTACACGGCGTGCATAAGGAGAGAAGGGATAGTGGAAGAGGATGAGATCGTTTGGCACTGAAGACATGACTAGGCGAACTGGCGTGCAGGCACGTTGTCGGAGGGAGTGTTGACGTGGACTGTCACATTGCTTTTTGTTGACACTGTGACGGCGCGGGCGGTTGCAACAGCTCTTCCCGAGAAGTTGCCTCGGCTCTCCCCACGACTTGGCAACAACCCCATTCTCGCCATTCTACAAACACCTGCTGATGGATGCCACATGCTCAAGTCTAGTAAGGGCTGCTAATCCATTGTACCTTGAACCAGGCAATTTTCGCATGAAGATATGCGGCCCCACGAAGCGACTTGCAGCGGTACGATAAGCCGCCGCGGCAGCACACTGGCCCGACGATCTTCTGCTTCACTGCTTGCCCTTGTCATCGCGGCCTCGTTTGCTGTAGTACATCCAGGTCCAAAAAAGCAATCAAGGTCCTTACGTCTTCTTTCCCCTGTCGGACTCTGAGGCCTTGCCCTCTAAGCGATCCAATGCTTCTTCGATTAGCCCGATGTGGCCTCGGAGCGTACCCTCCAGCTCATCCATGCGTGTTTCGTGTTCTTCAAGGTTTTGTATGTGGTGGGAACGTAGATACAGAGTGGCACTGCCAATCGCTGACAGATTGAGCACGCCGAAGAGCGCAGAAGGGTTGCGAAGGAAAGACATGGCAAAAAGGATAACGACCGCTGAATCGAGAAATTATTTTTTAATATCACTTTGACCTTCAATCTGCGATACATGTTGGAAGTCGATGATGACATTGATCTCTCGTTCGCGTTAGCAGTGCCCTCGGACTTGGGTACCGTGCCAGACGTCCTAAGCGTGTAAATGTCACTGAACAGGATCTATGTAGACATGTGCAATGACATGGTTAGTTGAGCTAGGTTGTCATTGTTGAAGTGCAAGTTTTCTAGGCATTCGCGACTTTACGCGTAAAGTGGGAAGACGCGCCGCAGACCGGCCGCTGACATGACAACGACAACAACGCGTCGACGGCACAGCCAGTCTTACCTACACCCCGCCATGCCGGTCACGAGCTAAGGCCGCTCCGCCCTCCCGCCCACGATGTCGATGTCGTCGTCGACCGGTTTCCAGTCGTCCGCGTCCACGACGGGCGCCGGCGGCCGCCGCAAGAAGTCCGCGTTTACGTTCAAGCACCTCGCGCAGCTCGGCGCGTCCGCGCCCGGCAGCCCCTTGCGCGTGATCGCTCACATCGACCTCGATGCCTTCTACGCGCAGTGCGAGATGGTGCGACTGGGCGTGCCGACGGACCGCCCGCTCGCCGTCCAGCAGTGGCAGGGCCTCATCGCGATCAACTACCCCGCGCGCGCGTTTGGCCTGAACCGCCATATCACGAGCACGGAGGCGCTGAAGCTGTGCCCGGATCTGATTCTGCAGCATGTAGCGACGTGGAAGGAGGGCGATGAGAACTGGGCGTACCATGAGGACGCGTTCAAGAACATGGCTACCCACAAGGTCTCTCTGGATCCGTACCGTCTGGAGTCTAGGAAGATCTTGGCCGTAATCAAGGAGTCCCTACCGAAAGAGTTCCAGAAGGTGGAAAAGGCGAGCATTGATGAGGTGTTCATTGACCTGTCAGCGCAGATACATGCCGTAATGCTGGAACGCTATCCGGAACTACAGGGCCCGCCGCCGTATGATGATCTTTCTGAGAATCTGCCACCACCACCTACGACAGCGCTCGATTGGCAGACGGACCACCTGATTGACCTGGACCCCAGTGAAACTGAGGATGATGATCCAGACTGGGACGACATTGCTATCCTGGTTGGATCCGAGATCGTACGTGACGTCCGCGCGAAGATATATGAAGTGTTGAAGTACACTTGCTCCGGCGGGATATCACGTAACAAGATGCTCGCGAAGCTCGGATCTGGATACAAGAAGCCTAACCAGCAGACTATCATTCGTAACCGTGCAGTACAGCACTTCCTCAGCGATATAAAGTTTACCAAAATTCGCAATCTGGGTGGAAAACTAGGAGACGAAATTGTCACCATGTTTAACACGGAGCTCGTCAAGGAGCTACTGGAGGCACCCCTGGAGCAGCTGCAAAAACTAGGCGATGACGTCGGATTATGGCTTTACAGCATTATCCGTGGAGAAGATCACAGCGAAATCAACCCAAGGACACAGATCAAGAGCATGCTGTCAGCCAAATCATTTCGACCACCTATCAATACGTTGGACCAAGCCGTCCGTTGGCTGCGTATTTTTGCTGCTGATATATTCTCGCGATGTGTTGAAGAAGGCGTGCTGGAGCACAAGCGGAGACCCAAAACAATCAACTTACATCACCGAAATGGAGCTCAAACTCGATCGAAGTCGGCCCAAATTCCGCAGGGCAAAACCCTGAGCGAGGTCATCCTATTCGACTTGGCAAAAACACTTCTTGCCCAAGTCGTCGCAGACGGACGTGCCTGGCCTTGCTCGAACCTATCCCTCAGCGTTGGTGGATTTGAAGAAGGGATCACGGGGAACAAAGGCATTGGGGGGTTCCTAGTCCGCGGAGAAGAGGCAAAGGCACTGATTTCCAGTGACCGAGAGGTCCCGGTTATTAAGCACGACAACGTTCAGACGGGGAACAAGAGAAGGAAGCTCGACAATGGTGGGATACAAAGATTTTTCGGTGCGCGGCAAACCAGTCGCGGAGAGTCAGAGAGCGACCAGGCACATTACATGAGCAGGAGCAGTAGCAGAGGAGATGCCGATCAGCCCGAGACAGACACTCATCCAGAAGCTCCAAGCAGGGACGAAACCGTTCCCCAAGCGGACCACGAAGACTACACTGATCCAACAGAAGACATCCCATCAGACATCCCGCCACCGTCCGCGCAGCCACAGACGCCCTCTCACCACGCCCAGGTCCGCGTCCCAGCTACTGAACAGACGCATCGCCAACAGACACTGGACACGTACTTCTGCGAGCGCTGCAATGCGCAGCTACCCGTCCCCGAGAAAGGCGAGCACGCAGACTGGCATTTCGCCAAAGATCTAGCGAAAGAGCTACGCGAGCAAGAACGCGCCAACAGCTCTTCAGCGCCCGCTGCTTCGAACGCGCCTCCCCGGACCGCGACGCCCAAAGCGACGGCCAAGGGCAGAGGCAGGCCACCCGGCAGCGCGACCAAAGGCCCGGAAAAGGGGCAGCTGAAGCTGGCATTCGGCAAGGGGTGACAGGAGCGACGGCGCTGTAATACGTACATACGCGCCCACATCTTTCTTTCTCGGACGCGTCTGCGCGGAAGGCGTGCCCGTCGCCGAGGCAAGAGGTGTGATGGCGGTTGGGCGCCAACGCCACATCACCCGGGCATGCCCCATGTCTCTGGGCCGCCAGCCAGCCAGCCCACCGGGACTTGTTGGGTTGCGTTTTTTGCCTCGACCCGCCTATTTTGCGGCCATGTGCTCCTCGCTGCTGGGGCCTGGTGTTACACCTGTCTTGGGCCGGCGTGATCGAGGAAAGAAACCCGGCCATACACGCAGAGGCTCGGGCTCTGGGCCTACGAAGCGGGCTGACGCCCCGAGAGTCGCTGGCTGCCTGGACCTGCGCATTGATTCTGCGATCCTTTCTGTCGGGATGGCCGCGTCCCATGATTTTTTTTTTTTTTTTTTGGAGTTGCTGTCGTAGTCGCATTTGCGCCCTTGGCAGCCACATACGAAGGTGCGCGAAGGCGCAGATGAAAAAGGAACTTTTTTCCTTTGTGATGACGGTAGTGCGACAACCGACACAAGCTGAGCTGGTCGTGTCTCGCTTTGCGGAACCGCGCAAGGGGGCCCGGATCGGGGGACAAAGGGCGACATTGGGCCTCGCTATGATGCCTACCTATCTACAAATAGCAACGCTCTGGAGTACACAACACAAAGCCGAGACGGGCGCTGGGCAACGGCGGGCAGCCATGTGCGGCGGCGGGAGCCTTGGCGCAGTCGTCGTGCAGAGCACGTTAGCCGTTCTCGCGGCCGGAGTGGTGGCTGGATATGTGGCTAGGTAAGGATCGGGAGCTTCTTTCTTGGTATGTGTGTGTGTGGTACACTGGCGGAACAGGCTGTAGGTGGAATTTGGGTTCCTCCGACAGGTCAGGCTCTATTTTAATTTTTCTGCCGTTGGGGGTTGTGGTGGGTTGCGCTGCAGCGTGTGCGCTTCGGACTTGCGATAGCTAGATAGCGTTTCTTCCTTCCATAGGCATGTATGTATGTGTGTACTCGCGGCACCGTACCTCTGTCGTCAGCGTATGTATGGTCGAAAACATAAACATGGCGATCTTCAATAGGGCTTCGTAGTTGAGAGAAGGCATTTCTGAGATGGAGCATTTGGCAGTGACAGGACCAAGCTCAGCCGGGACGGTGGCGTGGAGGAGATGAGTGCGAGGGAGGAGGAGATGAACCAAATCATGATGGATCGCTGCTGGGGGGCGTGAGATGAGGCTGAAGACCGGGCTCGCTAGCGGGGATCCTGGAGGCGCGGAAGCGCATGTTGTCGTTCCGACTTCCGAAAGGGGTTGGTAATGATAGGTTGGTAATGATTGCTCAGTAAGCCGTGTGTCAGGAGGGAGCGATTCCGCGCCGGACTTAGGGAGCTCCGTCGGATTTATCGCGCGCGACGTCAATTCCGAACCCCTCGCGGGCAGTCGCACGCGACGCGACCGATCGAAGCTTCGTTTGCTCGCGCTCTCGGCCTCCGCGTGCCATTGAGGCTCACTAATTGCAGCAGCAGCATCCGGAGAGCTATAACAACCCGCGGCTTTGGCGTCTTGCCGGAGCCGTTCTCCTTTTTTTGCTTATGCGCTGTACGGCTCTTCTAGTTGGTCTTTTAGCTTTTGTTCTAGGCATCTTCCTTCACGCTCAGTTTCCTACCATGGCGGCCCCACATGTGCTGAAGAATCCCTTACCAATCCTGACACGCCTGAGCACGCGATGGCTCCAGGCAGGGCCCTACAAAAGCGGCGCGCTCCCCGCAGTGTCGATGAGCCTCCTCAGCACCAGCAGTACCCCGTCCATCTCTCCACTACCCCACCACCACCACCTCCACCGCGCCTTCAGCACCACCTCGCCCACCATGGCCGCCAGCAAGACCTTCATGGACGCCGTCAAGGAGCGCCGCACCTACTACGCCCTCAACGACAAGGCGCCCGTGTCTGACGACCGCATCGTCGAGATTGTCAACGACGCCGTGCTGCACGTGCCCTCGTCGTTCAACAGCCAGAGCACCCGCGTCGTCCTGCTGCTCAAGGAGGAGCACAAGAAGTTCTGGGAGATGGCCAAGGAGGTGCTGAAGACGATGGTGCCGGCCGAGGCCTTCCCGGCCACGGAGCAGAAGCTCGACAGCTTCAAGGCCGGCTACGGCTCTGTAAGCATTGCCCCATCATTGACGAAGAAAAAGAGAGAAGAAAAAAAAGGGAAAAACAGCCAGCTAACCCCACAACCCCCACCGCAGGTCCTCTTCTTCGAAAACCCCGTCCCCGTCAACGACCTCCAGACCCGCTTCCCCATGTACGCGCAGCACTTCCCCACCTGGTCCGAGCACACGTCGGCCATGCACCAGTTCGTGCTGTGGGCGGGCCTCGAGGCCGAGGGCTTCGGCGCCAGCCTCCAGCACTACAACCCCATTGTCGACCAGAAGGTCCAGAACGAGTGGAACGTGCCGCAGGAGTGGGCTCTGCGCGCGCAGCTCGTCTTTGGTGGCCGCGCCGGCGAGCCCGGCGACAAGGCCTACCAGCCCCTCGAGCAGCGCGTCTTTGTCCACGGTAAATAGATGCGAGATGTGCGGTGAGGGGGTTGGGTTTGGTTGTACATACATAGAGAGAGAGAGAGAGCGCGCGATAGAGAGAGATGGGACATAGAAGACTCGACCACCACGGTCGAGAGCAACGATACAATGCATATACATATACATATACATAACATATACATACCCACCTACACCATACAAAGCACGCCCCAGGCGCCAGTTCCCATGCACTGAACCCAAAACGCAAACCCCAAAACCAAACCCAAAACGCAAACTCAAAACTCGCCCGTCCCAACCCGACTAAGTAGGTACCTACTGTAGGGCGTCAGGGTCCACGCATCACATCATCCCCGCGTGCGCGCACCGTCGACCAAAAGCCGGGGCCTTCCCGTCCCGTCCCGCGCTGCCCTTGCATCATCCCGGGTCGGGAGTCGGCCTCGCGGCCTTAATCCAACCACTAACCCCAACCGCGCACCCACGCACCTACGCATCTACGCACCACGCACGACGAACCACGCGCCTTCTATTGCGCACGCGCTCTATATCACTCACCCTCTCACGATCAGATACAGATACAGCTCGCATGATCGGTCTTGTACGTTTCAGTCTCCATATTACGACTACCGATTACCCCTTCCGCCCGCCCACACCACTCGCTGTCTGTCTCTATCGTGCGCATGCGCATACGCGTTATACATACGTACGACCGTCGTAGAAAGCCAATGCCGCCATTGCTGCCGTAGCGCAGTGTTGCTGCTCGCAAAAAAAGAAAAGAGAGAGAGATAAACGCAACAACGCCCGCCCGCCCGTCTGTGAGACTGAGACTGAGGGGATATAGCGACGCAACGCTCACAACGCTTGCAACGCAGTACAGCTCGCAGCTCGCAAAGGGGGAATAAGGAAATGAGTCGAACGAGAAGAAAAAAGAAAAAGAAAAGTGGAAAAAGAGGAAAAAAGAAAGAAAAAGAAGAAAATGCGGAACCACTCAGATCCCACACCGACGGTCCCGTCCCATCCGGTCCCATCCTATACCCATCCCACCCATCCATACTATACCATACCATTCGCCCAAACCCCATCTAAGACGTAAAACAAAGCCAGTCAAAGCCAGCCAGGCTGCGTGCAAACCCTGACTTATCAACGACAGCACAAAAAACGCAAACAACCACCCCCAACGAATAACAACCTCACATCAGCCCGCCCCTCACCAGCCCCAAACTCTCCTCGACGCCCACGAGCCACCGCCCCAACCACGAGCTGCCACCGAAGCCCCACCCGGAGCTCCAGCCCACAGGCACCACGCCCGCGATATGCGCGCCGTAGCCGAACTCGCCGCCGCCGCCGGGCACCCTGCGCCCCTGCGCGCCGTACGGCTCGTCGCTGTTGTTGTGCGTGTACAGCTTGTACAGCACGAAGAAGGTGCACACGACGATGACTATGTACGCCGGCGTGGTGATCAAGTGGCGGCTTCTTCCGCCGCCCGAGGGCGCGCTGCCGTTGCTCCTGGCGTTGGTGTCTGCGGTGCCGTTCTTGTTGTTCGCTGTCGTTGTCGTCTTCCTTGATTGTTGCGTCTGCGGCTCGCCGCGCCGCCGCAGTCCCTGGTCCTGCTGCTGCGGCTGCTGCTGTTGCCGCTGCGCGGGCTCTGACCGCTCCGAGCGCTCCGACGCGCTGCCCGGCGAGTCCAGGTAGCGCGAGATGTCGGTGCCAGGGGAGTCGTCGGAGGAGGAGGACGGGCCAGCACGGTGGCGGGGATGGTTGCGGCGCGGGCTGGGCGTGCGCAGACGGTTCGCGCTGCCGCCGTTGGTTTTGGCCGTGGCTCTGGCGGCTCTGCGGTCTGCTTGAGCGATAGCTTCTTCGGCGTCGGCCAGGCGCAAGCGGAAGGCCTGGATCTCGCCATCTTTGCTCGTGAGGGCGGAGCGCAGGCTTGCCAGCTCGTTGCTGTTGGTGTTGCTTGTGGTGGTGTGCGCTGCCGCGGCTGCTTCTGCGGCGTCCAGCCGACTGCGCAGGTCGTTGATCTCGCTGTCTTTGGTTGCGAGGGCGCTGCGCAGCTCGTCCAGCTCCTTGCTGCTGTTGCTGGTGATGGCGGCTGTGTGCTCTGCTGCCGATGCCTCTGCGGCATCCAGGCGTTTGCGGAGGTCGTCGAGCTCGCTGTCCTTGGCCGTGAGGGTGGAGTGCAGGCCTGCGAGCTGCGCGTCCGTGGCCGTTTGGAGGCCGTCCATCTCGCTGTCCTTGGTTGCGATTGCGGCGCGCAGCTCTTCCAGCTGCGTGTTCGTGGCTTGTTGAATGTCTGCCAGCGCGGCGGCGTGCGTCTCGGTGGCGGCGGCCAAGGAGGAAGAAGATTCTGTGAGCTGCTGCTCCAGGTTCGTGGTCCGGGATTGCAGGGCCTCGAGGTTCCTTTGCAGCTGGTCGCGCTGGTCGGTCAGGTCGTTGATGGAGAGGTCCTTCTGGAGTATGGTGCCGTTTCTGGTAGAGATCAGCTGGTTGAGCTCGATCCTTTCCTTTTCGAGCCTTTGCTTCTCGTCGTTGAGAATGTCAATGTCGCCTTGCATTTCTTCGAATTGCTGGTCATAGCCGTGGTCTTCATCGTCTTCGTCGTCGTCGCCGCAGGCGGAGAGCTCTTCGCTGAGACTTGCGACGCTTGTGACGCTGTTGAGGCTCGTGCGGAACGGGTTTGGTCGATCCCCCTCCTCGTCGGCTTCCTCTGCTCGCTGCTGCTGCAGCATGTCGTTCTTTTCCTTGAGGGCCTCGTTCTCGGTGCGCAATTCGGAGTTTTCGTAGTTTGCGAAATCCAGGTCGCGCTTCAGGTTTTGGACGTCTTCTGCCAACTGCGAGATTTCGACGTCGTAGTCGCGTTGCTGGTGTTTATCTTGGGCTTCGCGCTCAACGCTGTCGCGCAATGCGTGGAAGCTGGCAGCCAAGTCATTGAAATCCTTCTCCACGCGGACCCGTGCTCTCTCCATGTTGTCGGCCCTTTCGTCGGCAGCCTGCTTTCCGGCATTCGCGTCCTGGCAGCTCTTCTGGGCAGCGTGGAGCTCGTGCTTCAGCCTTTCGTTCTCCTTCTCCAACTTGATGTGCGCCTCGGCCTGCTCATTGAGTTGGTTCGAGTGGGCCGCGTCTTGCTGGTCGCGGAATACCAAGGTCTTCCGCAGGTCTTCAATCGTGCCCTCGAGCTCTTTCTTGTCGCGGGTGATTGTCTCGATGGTGTCAAGGTGGCCCTTTACGTCTTCCTCCAGCGCATCTCGGTCGTTTGACAGGGACTGGTTCCTGCCCTGCAATTCATGGAGCTTATCAATGCACCCCTCATTGCTGCACGCCATGGTGGCAGCGGTGGTGTCGGTGTCGGTAGTATAAGTGGTAGTGGTAGCAGTAGTGTTGGTCGAATGAGGAAGAGACAGCAGCGAGGCGACGCCGGAGAGGCGCGACGGGCTGCTTTTGCCTCGGCGCGCTTGGTCATGTTGGTCCGGGCCAGGCATCCCCCTATTGACGACGCGCGGGCCGCCATCGGGCCGGCCGGCGCCCGTGTTGCTTGCACCATCGGCTCCTGCCCCGAGCGAGTCCGCCGCTCCTTCCGTTGCCGAGATGGCGGCCCTGGTGGTAGGTGCGTCCACGTCTCCTTCCTCTTCCACTTCCCCTTGTTCTTCGTCCCCGCTTTCCGCGTCCCCACTTTCCCCCGCTGTTGCTCCCTGATCGTCGTCGTTGCCCTGCTTGGCCCGCTTGTGGCGCTTTTTACCGCCCCGGGGCCGCTGACCGCTCTTGCCCGCCCTGCCCTCCACGTACAGCTTCTCGCCCTCCGTCATTGCTGGCAGGTCGTGCACCGTCGTGAACTGTGGGTGCTTCGCGCTCTTGATCCAGTGGTCGCGCCGTGACGCTACCCCGTTGGCCGTCTCCGACTTGGACCACCATGTGCAGTCGCCGAGCTCGCATGACCATCTGCGCTTGCGTTAGCTTGTGAACATCACTGACGTCTACCTAGGCGGCTAGCCACACTTACTGTCGATACTTCGTCTCTTCGTCGTACATGGGCAGCCCATCCGATGCCAGCTCCGAGAGGTCGTGTGCTTTGTCCATTTCGTCTGCTTCTTCCTCGAGTTGCTGCTGTTCTGGCTGCTCGTCAGTCTTGTCTGCTTCTACCTCAGGCTGTTGTTCTGTCGACGTAGTGTCGTTTGTGGTATTCTTTTTATCGTCGGGTTTCACTTTACCTAATGGTGCTTCACTTGTCTTCGCTTCCTCTTCGTCTTCGGCTTGACGGCCCCGTGGTGCTTGGTTGTCCTTGCTGTCTTCAGAATCCTCGGCCAGCGAAGCGCTTTCCGCTGCCTTGTCGTCTTGAACTTCGTCAGTTTTCTGGTGTTTACCGCTCTCTTCGAGCTTATCACCAGGTTCAGCCGCCTTCTCTGGCGACTTGCTGTCCTTGGTCTTTTCCGCCTCTCCGACAGACAACTCTTCCTCTACCGACTTGCCTTTTTGGACTCTGTCGGTTCCTTGAGGCTTATCGTCTACTTCTTGACTGACAATCAGTTCAGCCTTGTCTGACGGCGTCTCGTCAGCTTGTTCGGCCTTTCTATTGCTATCAAGCTTGGCACTTTGAGCTTTGTTGGCTTCCTGGGGTCCTTCTCTCCCTTCAGGATCGACACTACGACCGTTGTTTCCCGGGTTCCATTTGCTGCCCATTAAACCACCAGAGCGTGCCTTGGTCTGCTTAGGAGGCTGTGGTTGTTCGGGTTCCTGGGATGCGTCAATCTTTTCTTGATCACTGGCACGTCTAGGCTCATTCTTGTCGTCCGATGGCACGGTGGCAGTGTCTTGGGCCTGCTTGTCGCCAGCAGGGTTATCGCTTTGAGACGGAGTTTGAACTTTGTCAGTCTCCTGGAGGTTTCCACCCTCTCCATCGCCCTTGGTCTCAACCGTGTTATCATCTAACGACGGGCTGTCAGCTTCCTGCCCTTGCTTATCACTAGCAGGGGCATTGGCCTGGTCAGCCACGTCATCCTTGGGCGATGGGCTTGGGCTCTTTCCATGGGAGGAAGAGCGTCTGCTACTCGAGAGACTGCTATTCGAACCACCGCCACTCTTTGAAGTCTGTTTATGGAAAGTGTTGGGGCCCGGGTGACGCCAATCCGCTTTCTCGCTGTAGGCTGAAGATGGCGATGACGCAGCACTATGACTGGCCGGCTTGGTTGAGTACAGAGACAAGGGCGAAGGATCGATAGACCGCCGACGCGTGTTCATGTTGAGGGGTTGTAAGTCTGCACCGCGACGCAAGCCGTCAGATGTGTATGGTCGCGGTCTCTCCGGAGTAGTGTCTGGATGGGACGTGAAGGAGGATCCCGGGCCACTTGGGAGAGAAGCGCTCCTGCCTTTCGCTTTTCCTTCTCCGTCAACAACATCAGCGAAGAGGGAGGAGGTGGTGGAAGCCGGCCGGCGCGGCATCTTCGAGTCCGTGTTTGCGCCAGCAGAGCCCAGCGCTTGAGCGAAAGAGCTAGGAGCAGGGTTAGGGGTAGGGGAGTCAGGCTCCGGCGACTCGAGCGGCGCCTCCTTTTCGCCGCTCGGGGCGGTGGAGGTGTTGATGGCGCTTTCATTGGAGGAAGAAGGGCTGCCGGGCGTCGGCGTGGAAACTCCAGGGCCGGCTGGCGGCGAGGAGTTGAATGTTGCCAGGCGCGGGCTGCTGCCGGCGCTGGACGCGAAGAAGGACGGGCTGTTCGGCAGCGGTATCGGGCTCGATTTGCGCCACCGAGGACTGTTGTTAGGCGGGCCGGCGCGTCCCATTTCGATATCGCGTTCGGGTGTTTCGAGCGAGGATGTGTCGAGCGAGGATGTTTGATCGGGTGGTGTGCGAGGCTCTTCTTGACCTTGACCACTACTGCCGCTTTCGAGAGCGGGTGGTGGGAGGTCGAGTGGCGGAAGCTGTGGTTTTGATTGTTTTGAGGATGGGGTCATTGATGCTGTTGCTTCTTCTGTGGAAGAGTGGGGTTGGGGTTGAGTGGAAGAGCTTGGTTGTGGTGGAGGTGGAAGAGGAGGAGACGCGTCGTTGTTGTTGTTGTTTGTGGCTTGCTCGTCAGAGTCTCCCGTAGCAAGAGCGTGGTAAGCGGCGGCAGCATCGGCATCTTCTTCTCCTTCTGACGTAGCGGCGCTGCCACTCTTAACACGGCTTCCAGTGTTAACATGCTCGTTGGCGGTGGCGGAACCGTCGGCGGCGTCATCGTCCGTAGAGCCCGCCGTGTTAACAGGCGTGTCGGTATCAGCTGTTATGGCATCCGATGCCGTGACTGCGGGGGGGCTTGCGGCCGTGACGTGCTGGTCTTTGCCGGTGGTGGGGTCCTCGTCTGCATCCATTGCACCCTTAGTCTTGCTCCTAACGTCGTCTTCTTTGCCTGTGATAGCGGCCCCGGAAGCTGCGCTGTCGCCGTCGGTTTTGATGTCTCTCTCTGCTTCTGTCATATCCGTATCCGTATCCCCCGCCCCTGTACCCGCCTCTACCTCCGTCCCCGTCCCCGTCGGCGCAGCACGATCAGTTGGCGTACCTGCTTCAGCTCTATCCCCATCCTTGACTTCTTCTTCTTTGTCGTTGCTGTTGCTGTTGCTAGCGCTGGTGCTATCACCGTCTTTCGACGTAGGCCGAGACGCGGGAAGAGATACGTTAGCAGCTTCGACGGCGTTGTTGTTGTTGTTGTTGTTGTTGTTGTTGCTGCCTTTGATGTCTTTTGGTATAGGTCGAGAAGGGGGGAGCGGGGGTGGAGGGGGGTTGGTGGAGGGGTCGGTGTTGTCGTTGTCGTTGGAAGAGGAGGAAGCCATCTTGACAGACAGACAGACAGACAATGGCTGTGTACACCGGTACAGACGTGTCGGGGTTAAGACGCTACACTGTGGTGTGCCACTGCTCTGCTCTCCGGAAATCGAGGACAGCGAAAGACGAGAGACGAAAGGCGAAAGGCGGACGGATGGATGGATGGACAGGACACTCGGTGTAAGGGAGGAGGGTTCTGAAAGAAATGGCGGATCCGACTCGATCGACAGACGGCGCCGGTATCTCTCTTTCCTACCAAGAAGCAAGCAAGTAAAAAGCAAGCACGCGCGCGAACCGAGTGGCCGTTTTCGGCAGTAGTTGGATGCGATGGCTGCGTTGTGGGACAATTGGACAATTGGATTGCTGCGCTCATTGGGGGTTCTTTGTTTGTTCGGCTGGGGTGTGCGTGTGGTGGTCTGACTGATTGCGTGCGCGCGGGAGGGTTATAAAAGAGGGGGGTGCGGAGGGGGTTAGGGAGGGAGGGAGGGTGTGGGTTTTGGGCGTGCGAGGTTGGGAGGTTTGGGAAGTTTGACTCTTTGGTGTATGTACGTCGTTTATGGTGGAGATTTGACTTGTTCGTTGGATAGTGCATGTATGTGTAGGTTTGGATGGATGACTACAGTATAGGGGGGGGGGCTGGACTGTACGATATGGATTACCTTGCAGATAGATAGAAAGGACATATGGGCAGGGAGGCGTTGCATAGCATGTACGGAGGACAACTGGGCCAGTCTCTAGATGGTGTTGCAGCAAATCACAACAAGAACGAACGCATGAAGCAAGAAGAAGAAGAAGAAGAAGAAGCAACGAGCAGAGACGGCAAAAAAAATCGAAGAAGAAGCAAAACTGTATAATAACCATCATAACCAACTTTTTTTTCTGCACCACAAAGCACACACCATACTACATACCTCCTGTTGGTGTCGCAAACACTGTCTTCCATTGCTTGGTCGCGACAGTGAGCGTTGAGCCCCGAGAGTTCCTAAAGGAAAACACCGCGAACCACGGACCCGAGACAAACAAAGAAGCACACAAACAAAGAACGCCGGATCAGGTCGCTCGTCCGTTCCGGCGATATAGATAGCGAGGCTGAAGAGGCGAGACAAAGAAACTGGAATGGACGGATGCTGGGAGACAAAGAAATTGAAGTACTCGATTGAGAAGAGAGATGAGGAATGAGAGGGGAGAATTTTTCTTTCTTTGGATTGTTTTTCTTAGCTTTTTTTATTAGCCCCCGCGCAGCTGGCTGGAAACGGCGAGGCGACATTGCAAAGGGAGACGGTTGCGCGTGCTGTGGTGGTTGAAGAGATGCTGCAGTGCAGTGCGCGATGGATAGATACAGGGACAGATGGAGGGTGGTTGAACTTGGCTGCTTACCTGCTTACCTGCTTGCATGCATACCAAGCATACGAACGCCTGCCTGTCCATTCTTACTCACCAACCTCTTACCTACCATCACCTCAATAAAGCTTTACTTCCATCCATCCATCCCACCACCTTCTCACCCCCTCTAAGGCACCACCACAACCCCCTACCCCCTACCCCCCACAACTCCAGCCACCTGCCACAACACACCAAAACCCAGCACCACCACCAGCCACCCACCCACCACAGCTCAGCCGCGTACCCCCTGCCCCGAGCGTGAGACACTACAGTGGGGACATGGCGCGCGCGGACACGCGGGTGGCGGGAAGCAACAGCGGCTACCGACAACCCAGACACCCAGGGTAGGCAGCACCTAGCGTGATGAGCTGGCCTCGCCTCCCTGCCCTTACATAGTATTGTACAGCTGGCCCGGCTGGCCAGAACACATGCGATCAGCAATACAATAGGGGAGAGAGAGAACGAAAGACAGACAGAGAGCGCAGGGGGGCTGTGTTGTGCAGCGCAGCGTGCTATTGGCTTTAGCGCGAGCAGCAGCGGGTGATGCGTGCGTGCGTGCATGTAGGTGTTGGGTCGTGCGACCGGGCGACGGGGCGCGCGAGCTCCGACTTCGTCTCCGAGGTCCGGGTTGTGGATTGCATGGGTGAGTGGCGAGGCGCGTGTGATGTTATTGTTATAGGTGACAATGACGATGATGTTGATGATGACGATAGCGACGATAGCAGTGTTGTTTTGTTGGTCCTTGTTGATCGTCGCATGTAAAATATTGTTGATATAGGTTTTGGTATTCGGACAAACGCATGGTGAGAGCAGGAAAAGTAGTTCATCATTTGGACATGGCCAGAAAAAAGTGCGTGAACAAAAAGAAAAAACGAAGAGGCCTATCTAGCTATACCACAAAGTATAAACGTCCTCTCGTGCGCCCCTGCTGGTTCTTCAAGGGAAAAGAAAAAGGATGCGTATTGGTAGTTGGTGGGGTTGTTTTTGTAACGCCGCTTTCGCTCATTGTAAACTCCTGTTGAACGCCGTCAAGACCATTTGTGACCCCCAACCCCATCCTGGCAGTCTGATAATTTTTGTACCGTGCCGTGTAGCGCTCATATTGACGAAAAAGAAAAGAAAAAGGACAGTAGTGGCGAAACATGCAGGCGGGCACGTTTAGTGCTGCTCGCGCTGCTCAGCCTCGGCCTCGGGCTCGGGGACAACCTCTTTCTCCGAGTAGAGCGGAGGCTCCTCGGCCGGAATCTCGACAGCTCCGACCTCCTTGGCCAGGACCTCCTCCTCGTCAAGAGCGATACGGTTGTAGCCGCCGTTGCGGCGAGCCTGCACGCGCAGCCAGATGTAGGCGACAACGCAGCCGACGAGCCAGCCCGTGGCGTAGGTAAGAGCGCCAAAGGCAATACCGATGAAGATGGGCACCATGATGCGTCCGAGCACGCCGAAGAAGTGTGCGATCGGGCCATCGCGGTGGTGGCGCATGATGCCGTGGGGGCCGTGGTGCGGGCCGTGGTGGTGGTCGTGCGGGCGCTCGTCGTCGGCAGCCGGCTCCATGTCTTCCGGAGCAGGAGGGTGGTGCGGCATGTCGCCGTGGTGGTGGCCCTTCATGCAGCCCTTGGGAATACCCTTCTCGATCGAGGTCTTCATGTCCTGGATGCGGTCGGAGATTATCGAGCGCCACTTGCAGAGGACAGGCCAGTCCCTGCAGGCCTCGTCGTCCTGCTGGGGCGGTTCGATCGAGGTAAGAGGAGCGGCGGCGGTGACGGGCAGGATCTGGATCTCGCCATCCGGCAGCTTCATGAGCTTAACGTCGAGGGCCGAGACGTCGACGGGGCGGCCCTCAAGCGAGGCGATTTGGAAGGTCATGGGGATAAGCTCAGCGCCTTCGGACGAGCTGACCGAGGGATCGATCTCCAGAGCATAGCCGGAGATGCGGAGAGGGTGCTCGCCATACTTCGCAGCGTTCGCACGGATGTCGGTCAAGGAAACGTCGGAGCGGACCTGGGTGACAGGAATGGGCTGCGGCAGGTCGGTGGGAGGGTAGAGGCGGGCGCCGTTCAGCTCGACCGAGTAGCCGTCGACGACGGAGAAGTTGAGCAGCAGAGCATTCTCGATGCCCTGGACCCAGACCGAGTCGTCGTCCTCGTCAGCCGAGCCGGCAAAGGCACAGTTGTTGCAGTCCAGCGTCAAGAGCTGGTTCTGAGGATCGACGAGGCTGAGCTCCTGGTCGGCAAAAGGACCGGTGACGCCATCGGCGGTCGAAGGAATGAGGAAGGCGGACGAGGGCGCGATCAACGCGGCGGCCCCCAGGCCGAGAGCGGAGTACTTCATGGTGGAGAGAAGAAGTATGGATGTGTTTGGTGGGGGTGGTGGTGGTGAGAAGAAGGAAAGAGATAGTTAGGAAGAAGAAAGCGAGTGCTATTCGTGGAGTGACGGACAAGTCCGCCATACTTAAGCCAGCCGCGGCCCCCCGGGTCACGTGCGTCAGACGCGTCATGTGCGATCGGCTCATTGATGCGCGCCACAACCCCAAGCCTGCTGTTTCACCTCCGGGCCCAAAGTGTTTCAGCGACACTGCTCTCCTGCAACTCCACGGCCGCCCATAGCCAGCCGATCGCGTCCATCCAAATCCCAGTCCTTCTCCTGTCCTCTCCGCCCACCCGCTTCCCCCAACCGCGCGCCCGCAGCTCCCGACGCTCGCTTTTGCCCAGCAACGCCAGCCTCGCCTGGCGCTCAGGCATCCCTCCGTCAGCTCCTCACGCTCCGTGCACCCGTGGATTGCGTACGCTTATCACCATCCCCGGCTGCCTCGACCGCTTATCGCCTGTGCCTCGAGCTGCGGTATTACTCTAGAACAGCGTACGTACCTCCTCATTTGCTTTGCTGGCGCCCTAAAAATGACTAAAATGACGGGAGCGGGTTGCGTGCGCCTCCCGCCTACGGGCCTCTCTCGTCAGGAGAAGGAATGCCACGAGGGTGGTCGCGCTGCTCCGGATTGGTTGCCCCCCTTCCCTTCCCGTCTGGTTTCATACGACTTCAAGCTTCAAGGCATCCTACCGGACACCCCTCCTTAGCCCGCTTGCAGCTTGCTTCAGATACGCTTAACACTCGATGACGCTCAAGTGGGCCTGAGTGTTCGAGCGTGCTGGCATCTCCTTGTCCTTGTTTCCGCACGACCCACCATCACCACCATCACCATCCCAGCGGCCTGCCCGCCTTGCCCATGCAAGCATGCACATCACCACCCTCAACGCTGCCAATCCACCATAAACACAGTACACAAGCAAAACAAACCTCCCCCCATCCCCAACGCCAATCCCACGGCGTCCCCTGCACGAAAAAAACCCCACCCCCGCCCGCGCAAAAAACACATAATCACCCTAGCGCGCACTCGCGTCGTCATCTCGTCTGTGCCGCTCTCTTTTTTCTTTCTCCTCCGCGCCACCACCAACCACGACGACCACGACGCGTCCCAGCAAAATCTCGCTCGCTCGCCTCCACCGCGTGGAGCCAGGGTCCTTCATGGCGCTTGGCTATGGCCAATGCCATCAATTTACAGTACCTAGCTAGCTAGCCCGTCAACCCGCTCTGCGGACCCAGCCCGGGATCAGGGTCTCCTCCGCGCCCGCGAGCACGTAGCGCCGGGCGTCGCGCTCGCGAGTGGGCAAGCGGGCCGCGCGGTCGGTCGGTCCATTGCGGCTGAGGTTCCTGCCGGCTGGGTTTTGTGGCCTGGTGGGTGGGGCTGGTGGCGAGGCAGCTAGCCTCTAGATGGGGGGTTTGCTCGTGGCTGCTGTGGTGTCTGTGTTTCACCTTGGTAGTGATGCTAGATGCTTCCATTGTAACTAGATATTGTAGGTGTGGGCGTTCGGCTCCTTCGGCTCCTTCGGCAGTGCGTGCGTGCGTGTATGCTCGGTAGGTGTAGGCGTGGTGGGGGTGTCTTACCCTTCTTCTTTCCGTGTCTCTCCTTGCTTTTTAAGAGTCGAGGCTCAAGACTCACAAGATTGGGGGTCGAATCGGGATACCTGTTATCCTGAAGACAGCTACACCCGCTTCCAACGTCCAGCTGCTAGCAAAAGGTCTTAGCAGAGTAAGTCCCGTCTTTAATGGAATCTCTGCTTGGAGTTTTCAACATGAGTAGTTTCCTTTGTTTGCTATCAGTCCTCCACTTTATCTTCTCCAAAACACACAACTCTCGATAGGGCTGCGCGGTGGCGAGACACGGTCTCAGAGTGGAACAAAGAGAAATAGGCATAAATCCGACTGCATGTCCGAGCCGCTGTTGCCTGGTCAAAGAGGCCACGGGAGCGGATCCGGCTGGTGCGCTCGCGGGTGGCTTGGTTACGCCATGCTATGCCAGGCGCTTCGTCGTCTTCATGCCGTGAGCTTGGACGGGGTCGTGTGGCGTGGCGTCGCTTGGCGTCGCTTGTAGGCGGCTGTTGTACTGTACCTACAATGGTGGGGTTGGTGTGCTGCGTTGAGACACGCTGGTGCTGTGGCGTGCTGTGCCGAGGTCGTTGTTGTTGGTGAAGGGTCGCGTGGTTTGGTGGGGGCTGAAACTGGTGTGAGGGTGGTGTCTTGCGTCGAGGGTGTCTTGTCTTGAGGTTGTTTGCGCTTTGACGGGTCTGAGGGGTGGGGGTTGTGTTTGGACGAGAGGTCTGGGAGGGGGAGGGGCTGTGAGGGGTCGTTTGTTCCTTGGCATGAGTTTAAGAGGTTGGTTTGTTTTGGCTGGTTTGTAGGGTCTTTTTGGAGCTTTTGACGCTTGTTTGGGAACTGAGCTGACTTGTTGGGAATTTTAGGGTTAATGTCAGTTGGCAGAATCCGAGTGAACTGTCAAGAAACGGTCTTCACAATCTTTCGTTGAGTAACCTTGCAAAGGAAAATCTGAGCGCTCTGTTGCGTAAATGCTTGGATCACGAAACACTTGAATTGACAGTACTATTGCAAAGCATTGTACCACCCCAACACCCATAATGTTCACTAGCTAACATTGAGAAAAGGTGCAAAAATGCCCACCAAATATATGCAACAAATGAATGAACAAGAGTTTGTAAAGAAGGTGTGCCAAGTTATGGTCTCTGCCAGAACCCATGCATGAGAAAAGCCAGTGTTACCCCGGATAGTATACCTCCCAGGACTCCGGCAACCCGATCCCTCAATGGTATACCCATTTGAACGTGCAAGTTGGGCCTCTACTTGGTAGGCGACTCTGTCTGCACATTCCGACGCTTTGATGATCTCCCTGACGAACGAACAGTGCCCGTGTTCTTTGCACCGACTAGCGTGTTTTTGCTGTCGATATGCGTATCCCCGCTCGTGATATTGAGATGGTCGGTATAAATACCCCCCATGGGCGTCGGCGGCGCAGTCATGGCATTTTCCTGCTGTGCAGCAGGAGTGCTTGATTGGCGCGAACGTGCGAACGATCCCATTCGAGCAATAAAATGGGAACTTCTCGCCACTTGCTTAAAGGTATTTCGCTGCTTGAAATCAATCCACTTGACGTTGCGTGTCTTGACTTTAGCCGTTTTACAAGCTCTGGCAACGTGTCGGGCCAGTTCCTTCACTTCGGTTTCTGAAAGCGATCTTTGTCCCAGGACAAATTCCAACGTCAGAGATGTTAGGTTCCCGGTTCCAGTTGAATTTCGGTGAGCCTTTGCACGCTCTTTTTGGTCCAATGGGCTGAGTGTGATCCAATCTTTGTGCATTTTGAGACGATCATACACAAAGGCTGGATTCTTGCGCCTGTACTCTTTCGTGTTGATTCTCTCTACAAGCTTCCATATGTTGAACGACATTTGCTCATCCAGTAAGTCGCTGAGTGAATCTATCATAGCGGCTGTGAAAGATTTTGGCCCAGGACCAGATGTCGTTCGATCTAACCCGCTTGCTGCCAGCATTTGGTACGCGCGATTTGTGGAAGCTCCTCCTTTGTGTGAGTTGCTGGCGAAGCAGGTATCCAAGATCGTCAAAGCATCGGCGTCAAGAGGCCCCAAAAGAACACTCTCCGCATCCGGCCAGAAAGCGCAGGGTGGGTAAGAGCATCCCTCGGAGCAGACTTCATGGTTGGCGATGCATTTTGCAGACCTTTATGATTTCATCAATGTCAGCTAGCATATAAGTGAGTAAAAGTTTTCCACTCACCCTCCAAACACAAGAGCATCCAAGTCCTTATTGTATTCTGAATGTCCGGTATAGTAGACAATCACCAAATTGCTTGGGCCGTCATACTCCCTAGCAAATTCTACCACAGCACTCATGAGTTGCAGTGAAGGATTAGTTTTTGCGGTCAGTTCTGCGATCCGTGTCTCATAATGGAAGCGGTTTTTGAATAGTGCATCCAGTTGTTTGACCTGTATAATTGTTAGCATGACTCTGACATATTACGGTATGTTTTTGCATTTCACCTCTTGCTCACAGTCCAATTGGTCCAAATGGTTGATCCATTTGATGATAAGAACCCCGACACGCTCATATCCATCTACGACTGCCATATTCTTGCAAATTTCATCGTGCCACAACATTTGTTTGTCGGAGGCTTCTCTCTCTGTTCTGGCTTGGTAGAAGCTAATAGGTGAGTCTACAAGATCCATTGACGCGGTCATCTGTTGCCCTTGAATTAGGCCGGATTCCGGTTCCACATGATGTCTTTGGGTAGACGTGTCCACTGCAGCAGGCCCGTCCCGATTGCTCGCCTTCTTCGTTCCATTCATGTTTGTACAAAAAAGGTGTGAGATGGTTGGTGAGAAATTTGGCGCCTGGTCAAGACTTTATGATTTGATGCCTTTATGTTTAGGGCAGACGGTGGGTGTCCCGGTTTGCAGATGCTTTTGCCGCAGACAACGCCACAAAACGGGGACTAGAGCAACAGCCACCCACCCACCACTATGTCTTAGCTTCCTAACAATAAGAGTGCCTTCTTTGACTCCGCCTCTCTGACAGGGTATAGCGATGCTACCTCGGCAACTGCCAGCGAATTGGCATAAATGATAGCAACCCGGCCCCGCACTCAGCCTCACTGACTGAAGCTCTACCCTGAAGATGCATGTAAGCGAACTCGAGCTGAACATACCTCGTGCCTCTGTTTTACCTTTTTAAAGCCTTTTGCTTATATTCATGACTTCCGAACACAAGGTCATAATGCAACCATCACGAGAAAGGCACTAAGCCATGGCTTGGAGCTGAGTTTGCCTACAGCCTCGTTTAGCCTTCCTCCTAAAAAACTTCTTCTTAGCCCTCATCTGAGATTGATCAGCTCGACCGTTATGTCCACTTAACACTGAACCAGTAATCCTAAAACCCCACAAGGTGCGGAACAATCTGCCCACTCCAACCGCCTATCAGGCCCTTTGGGCCTTTACATGTTATCTGCCTATTTAGGTAATCTCTAGCAGGGAATAGCGACATTTGTAGGACTGTACATACGCATTTACATGAGCGGATTAGCAACCAGCCATTCCTCTTCTGATGTGCTACACGAGAAGTACATTTAAAGTAAGATGTCAAATTAGGATGCAAAGAAAAGTAAATGTAACACATCCCAAATTTTGCTCCCCAGAGGGAAAAATTACGGTAGGTGGACGAAAGAATCATTGATCGACATGCATGTTGTTATGTCGCGCGCCATTCTGCAAATATAGCCACCGTCAGCAAATTAGGCAGATGTAGCCACGAGCTGATTGCGCCCCGTCGTATATTGTTTGCCTGCTTTCTGCCTCTTTGGCTGAGCAAAATCGCCAGGTTGCTCGAATTAGCCCCGCAGCAGATCTACCAATAGCTGTAGCTGCCGGTATTACCCGTCATGCAGCCACGCGAAGCCCATGGGAGCATTTCCGAACCGTCTGAGGGATCGACGATCATACAGGACGAGCTGTTGTACGCTAGGAGAAGCAATTCTGCCCACATTGGTATGCGGTTATGGCTTGCCTCAGCCTCATGGAAGGGCTCTGGACCTCTTATAAATTCAGCCTGAAGCAATTGGATATGGGAGATGAGAGCCCTGCACTTAGCTGCGAACCTCTCACCTACTTCCATCACTATCATGGCCACAGCCCACTTGGCCGAGGATTCTGCCTTGCTCACTAGAGCTGAATCAGGTCACCTACCAATGGGAGCTCTGAACCACCATGTACGTTGTGATACGCGTTCAATGGCGCATGACCTGTAGAGCTAACGCACCTCTTTCCTGGTTTAGATGTCGGGTGATGACCCTCAGAAATCTAACGTGGAATTGAAACCACCAAAGGACCGGAAGGTGGGGCATTTGTCTCTGATGTAAGCTTTGGCGTTGATTCTGACCGAATTATTCCAGAAACCTACTTCCATGTTCCCAAAAGACACCAAAGTTACTTACGGAGTAACTGAGAACAAAAAATTGGTTTCTAGGGTTTTCATAGTTGTGAAAGTCGAATACGACGAGAACATCAAGGAACACAAACATCAGCTGAAGCTGGATTCCAATAACAAGGATGAGCCATTGTTCGAGAATGGCAGATGGTTTACGGAGTCGGAACTGGAAGTAGAGTAGTGTGTCACCTCATGCGGATGGAACGTAGCCTAGCAAGCATTAGCAGCCACTCGTACGAAAATGACTGACCGGTCGGAAGGCTCCTGAACCTGGTGGAGAAATTCTATTCTGTGTGATTGATTAAAGTTATCTATATAACAATGCATCTTGCATTCACTTCACCCGAAAATCAGCATTCAGTTTTCATACAATGGATATTCCAAACGGCGGAAGCCCCACAACTCTCCAATCGCCAACGGATACCGGCCTTACTGCAGTTTCTACCTCAGGAAATTTTGTCGCACCTGACAGAAACAGTCCCACGGAAAAAGTTGACTCAACTTCAGACAGTAGTTTGCACCCCTATTATCAATTAGGTACACGGTTCGATACTGACTGGAGATAGACACGAGGGCCTGCAATGGCAGGTTTTCAAAAATCAAATGGCCATCGCACAGTATCCCAAAACTAAATGGACTCTTCTCAAGCCTATCAGCGAAGCTGGAAATTCCCTGGGAGTTAAGCCAAACAAAGGCTGACATATTTCCCTCGAAAACACGCGATTGTAGGTTATATTTTTTGGTATCTCAGATAACCGTTTTCCTAAAATTAATGCAGTAGAGTCCTGCGGAACCGGGTACCCACTGGTTGCCGCATTTCTGGCTAGCGAGTCTAGCTTTAGTCTTTACCGCGGCTTCAACTATCTTCATTCTCGTGTCCTTCTAGACATGCAAGCTGAGTTGCAGTCTCTGGAAAAGGAGCTTGATCGGGTAGATAAGCGTGACCGCACAAGCGAAGACAATACTGTCAGCGTACGGCTAGAATGGTGGAAAAAGGACGTTGAGGCTGGTGTGATGGAGGCGAAAGGGAACATACGAGGCCGTCGAGATATCTTGAGAGATATCAAAAAAACACTCATGGAATACGGTTAGACCCAACTCTCAGACTATAACACGCAAAACTAACATTGTTGCCCCAGACGAGGTTCTGGTCAAGGCTAGGGAAACAGGTGCCTTCCAAAGACCATCAGACCGAGATTACTATAGCGTCAGGGCATTCTTCAACAACGAAGAGCCTTTGGTGAGCCATGACCGGCTCCCGTTCCATTGTAAAGAGGATATAATTACGCTCCGTCAAGGACGCGAATGGGCTGTTTTTGACGGATGGGTGGAGTCTCTACTGAAGAAATGCGATTCTAAGCTGGTACGGGTATGTGGAACGGCTACTCCAACTATACCTCTCTTCGGTATTGACAATCCTGATAGAAGATATTCCGGTCACCGGAGCTGGATGCAAAGACAAAAGATAGTAGTATCTTTTACTACGATACCCACCGTGTGGAGAGATTAGTCGCGCTCATCATCACGAGCATAATCTTCGTCCTACTCGTTCTTCCAGTTTTCGCCATGTACAAACTCACCAGCTTCGGAGACCGCTCCTCTACCTTTGATGCTATTGGCGTCTTGGTCGTTTTCACCTTGCTCTTCTCCGCCGCCATGTCATCACTGACAAAGGCCAAACGCCACGAACTCTTTGCCGCATCAGCTGCGTATTGTGCCGTGCTTGTGGTATTTATTTCCAATTTTGGCGAACCGAACCAGGCAGCATGACAACGAAACGTACAACGAAGTGACTTTAGGAGTTATGGCGTTGGATCCTGTTATATATCTTTTGTTAACTCATTTCTTCATATCGAAATTTTACTTCAAATACTGACCGTATTTCGCACCCAATCAACGAGCGCAGCATAGCCCGAAGACACCGCTGCATTTCTCCCGCATATACCGGCGAACAATACTGATGACGATCAATGCCACTTCAAGAAGTTGGTGATCGACAGGTCGGAGAAGAAGACCCGTTCATTGGATATTGTGCAAACGGACTGTTTGTAAGTCGGCACTGAGGATATGCAGGCAGCAGGAGAACGACTGTTGTCGCGGAAGTAGACGCAGGGCTTGTCCATGGTTTGCAGGCTGAGGTCATTGAACATGTTGACTTCAGCATTAGTCTTGTAGATGCGGATGGAATCAGCAAATGTGACGTTTTCGGGGCCCAGTTGACCCCGGGTGCGGTTCGACCATGGCTTCTCAGTGTTACTCGTGGCCTTGTCTTTGACCTTCTGTTTGAAAGCCGAAATTCAATGGTCTTGAAACTGGCTCCCATGGCTCAGACGGTTCGTGCACTAAAATGGCCTAGACATTGATGCTTGTTATGCATGCGTGAGCACATGGCTGCTGAACATTGACAACCGGTAGCAAATATTCCCAAAAAGCGTATAGGGAGCAGTGACCTACCAGCTCTCGTAACTGTAGCGGTTGAAGTCTTTGTTAAAGTACTCGCGCTCTGTCTGCACCAGTGGCAGTGGCCCAAGTCTCGCCATAGGTCTTGTCAGAAGGACTGGCAGTGAGGTGCTAGAACTCCTCTGAAAGCTGGTTCTGATAGCCCGTCTACACGCCTGCTCTGAACCTAACCGCACCTCCGCAGAAAAAAAGCACTAAACACAAGTAGTCTTCCCCATCCATCTCACAGCGAGTTTGCAACCCCTGCGCGTTTACGTCAACCCGCAATTGCTCTGTTCAATAAAAAGGCCTCGCCGACTTCATACAGAAGGCTGTCAACGACATCAACTCCAAGAGCACCGCCAGCTCGTGGACAAACAAAATGGTTGGAATGCCTTAGGAGACGGCGGCATACGCAAAATGACTGTCTCGCTTTTTTGGCGAATTTGCGGAACCGGCTTACTATCTAACACACTCTATATGAAAGCATTAAAAAACAAAGAATGATACAGGTTAATAACTTCTAATGAAGTTGTCAAGCATCACTAGTCAAATACATCAGCGATCAAAAACATTCGACCATCTTAGAGACCTACATCGCCAAGCCATACACAGCTTTCGAAAGCAGGGCCAAACAGGACCTAGCGCGAGGTACAAAACTTGCTCTCCGCAAGACTTGGCACGTTTATTTGTTCCTCAGTCGGGATCTCTCCGAATCAGAAAAGGTAAAACCGGCACGAGCAACCTTGTCGCGGAGGTGCTGGCATTGCTGGACCTTGTAAAAATACGGCGGCATACGTGGCACCCACAGGCTTACGTAGGTCAACTTTCGGGTTCATGTACAATTGGATCGATTTTAGGCTTTTGAGATTGCGGAGCGCCAAAGCCAGAAGATGGACGTGATCGTCATCGTTGTGTTTTTGTGAGTTGTCGGATGCCGCTTCTCGCAGGGCATTAAGGCCACGGTGCGTATTCAGGTGTGGCATTTTGTCGACCCCTTCGCCGTTCAAGGCTCGTTCTAATTGTTGTAGCTCGTCATTGCTGTAGAAGACAGTAGAGAGTAAAACGGTCTTCACAGCAGGAGCAAAAGCGCTATGTGAAATCCTGACTAGCCGCGGAATGAGGCTGCAGTGTGGGGACGCGCTCGATCTTCAATGATGTCGTCCTTAATGGAACTCAGCCAGGCTCTCTTGAATTTCTTCGGTGCATTCTTCGAAGGGTTCCACTCCGGGTCTCCTTTGGTTTTCGTCTGTCGCTGGGAGAAAACGCCCAAAACAGCAAAGGCTCAAGAAAGGAAACAGATCAAGCATGTTGCTCTTCACAGCACACAGAGACTCTGGTTGATTAGATGTTGTTATTCATGAAACTGTCGTAACTAGGATATCAGAGAATCATTACAGCTTCTGGCCCTCTACGGACACCTCGGCAATTTGGTCAAGGCCCTCATACTTGGGCACATCAAGACTGTACTTCTCCGCAATAGTCTTGTTCATAAACCTGAATGCACTCGCACGTCAGCACAAAAATCACGAACAAGGCAAAAGACCCTGCAAAACGTACCGTCCACCAACAAAGTGCCGGCCCTTGAAGTGCTTAACCAGCGGCTTCGGGGCCGTCAAACTAATCAGAGCCGGGGGCTGGAAGCCCTTGCCCGGGCCATCGCTCGGGGGGCCGTTCTCAATATCCCAGGACGAGGGCGCGTCGACAGCGAGCACGGGCACCTTGGTGTCCCGCAGCGCCTGGATGACCTTAGGGAAGGGCTCGCGGACCTCGCCCGAGAAGCTGAAGCCGAAGATGGCGTCGACGATGTGGTCGGCTGCACCGACTGCGGCGTCAAAGTCGTCCGTAAAGGGGACGTCGAGGTCTTCGAGCTGCTTCTTGAGCCGCTGGTATAGCTCGTTCTTGCTCTGCTTGGGATAGTAGATGGTGGGCTCGTAGCCGTAGTGCCAGAGGTGGCGGGCTGCTACGAGTCCGTCGCCACCTGGTGTTTGTCAGTATATTTTAGTAGTAGCGTAGATGTTTCTGAGGATAGTTACCGTTGTTTCCTGGGCCGCATGCTACGAGGATACGCTTCCCCTTCTCCAGCGGCTGCAGCTTGAAGACTGCGAGAGGTTAGACACTTTGAAGAAACGAAAAGATAAGGCTAGAGACACACCAGCCTGAGAGACGGAGAGGCCGGCCAACTCCATCAGCTGATCGATGGAGAAGGCCCCGCTGGACATGAGCTCCTCGTCGAGCTTCTGGGCATTCTTGGCGGAAAGAGTCTAGTAGGGTTAGGAACAGTGCGTATGAGAGGAAAATGGAGGCTTACTCTCAATGCCATTTTCAATGTTCTTGTGGCTTTGAGCATTTGCAGTGGGGAGTCGTTTGATGGATGGTGGTGAGTTTTGAGAGCGCAAGGGCAGACAATTACATCATATCGCGTGCATCATGCAGGGCCCCGTTTGGGAAGCAGCGCACGCCTCAATTCTCGGGAAGATCGAGGGACCCTGACAGCACGGAGCTAGGAGCAAAAATGTCACTGGTTTCGGACAGCCACATCAGACGAAAGCATCCATGGATGAGAGACAAGAGACGGAGGTTGTTGACATGACCGTTGACCACGCGCGGATCCCTGTCAGTGGAACAACGTTTCGCCGCGTGGTCCCAGAAAACATTCGGAGTCTGATAGAGAGCTGGACGCCGAGCAGCCCGCACCGCGCAGACTCCCCGCGTCCCACTGCCACCATGGTCCTCAAGATCCGCCTGGCGCGCTTCGGCAAGCGCCACAGCCCCTTCTACAACATCGTCGTCGCCCACGCCCGGTACGCCCTCCACTGGCGCACGCCCGAAAACGCCCGCTTAAACTGACGTCTCATCTCCGTAGCACGGCACGCAACAGCAAGCCCCTCGAGGTTCTCGGTACGCCCCCCCCCCCCCCCCCCCCCCCCCCCCCCCCCCCCTGCTGGATTGGTATAGGAAGCTTGCGAGGAGCAAAAGAGCCGGGAATGCGCTTGACGCCTTGGGCCATAGCTGACTTGACATCGCGAAAAGGCACATACGACCCCATCCCGAAGGCGCCGAGGCCAGGTGACCCGGAGGCCCGTCCTTTCAAGGACATTAAGCTCGACCGGACGCGCGCGCAATACTGGCTCGGTGTTGGTGCACAGCCAAGCGACACCGCGTGGAGGCTGCTGTCCATGGTACGTTTCGCTGCACCGCACATTTTTCTCACGGCGAGAGAGCGCACCCGCGCGGGGAATACATTGGTGTTGGCGATGTTGGACGGAAGCTTGGAATGGCCGGAAAGTCCAATGGCTGACGGGGAATCGACAGGTTGGCCTCCTCGAGCCCAGGTACCGTGTGGAGCAAGTTTTGGAGGAGGTCGAGAAGGCGGACAAGAGGCGAAAGTAGCCAATGCAATCGAGGGTGACACGAATGAGTTCTGCATGAAGGCGCGGGAGCGCGTGCATTGGGCTTTGGCGTTTGGGGAAATCAATGCTCAGGCTTGGGCAATTTGTGGCATTGTGTCGAAAGATATAGCGCTTCGAGGGTTTACGGACGCGCTTGTAACATCACCGTATAGCGAGTTAAACGACATGGCTCTTCGCGTATACGCTGCTTCTTCTTTTCTGCTCGATGCCGACGGCTCGGCGAGCTCGAGACCGATTTACTGCCCTGACGTGCCTGCACCACTATCTGCAGAGCAGCGCATCGTCTCCCTGCCTAACTGCCTATCAAGCGGAACACTCCTTCATCTGCAGCCACAGACAGGCAGGCCCACTCTCCCTGCACGCACATCAAAAACGCCATATCATGAGCGAAGAGATGGACATTCCCCACTCACAGCGACCCACAGGAGCAAACACTGACTGGCCCTGCCCGCGCTCCCCAACAATTCTTCTTTCCCCATTCATCACCACCAACATACGTATCCCCACACCTCTCGCAACCCCCACAAATATCACCTACCGGCCACGACTGACCGCGCAAACAATCACACGGAGCAAGCTCATCACGTAATTAGGGAGAAAGCAAGAGATGGGGAGAGAGAGGAAAAGAGAAGAGAGAGGCCACAAATTCTTTCATTCCGCCTACCGACGCCAAAAAGGAGGGAGGGCCAGCTAGCTAGCTAGGGCTATCTACTAACCAACCAACCAACCAGACCACTCAGTCCATCGCCTTCATTCCCATATGCATGCAAGCTCACTCGCACGCATGCTCAAATGTTTTAGCTTCCAAGCACGTAACAAAAGGGGAATTGTGCATTCAAATCAAGCCAGGAGGAGGGATGAAGCAGCAGCAAGAGGACATAGTAAAGGAAGCATGAGAAGGAAAAGGACTACTAGCAGATAATAAGAAACCAAGGAAACATAAGGGAAATAGTAAAATGCCATCAATAGTCCGCTTAATCGATTCGAGTTCTCCGTTGAAGCCACGCATGATCTCTCTCTTCCCCGCCTCGCCGCTTGTGAGCTAGGCAACTAATTGCCTATCTCCAGCATATCGGCGGGGAAGATGAAGAGAGAAAGAGCCTAGGAAATAGTAGTCAAAATCAATCAAATCAATCAATCAGTATCACGATAACGCCTCGCAGATGAGTTTGGTGAAGTCCCCAGAAAAACGCGCATATCAAAAGAGAAAGAGCCCAAAAACGGTAAGCACTGGTCGGAGCAGCCAAAAAAAGGAGTAAAGACCCGATTGTTGTAGTACCCGTGGACAATTCACATCTTCAGGGGCAGGAAGAAGGAGAGAAACAAGGAAAATCACAAAGCAAGCAAGCTAGACTCAATCCGAAGCCCTTTTTGTCTTTTCTCGCTTTCTGCGGCACCAAACACCTTGCAACCATAAAAATCCCCAAATAGACGGGGCTGATGTCGATCACCAAACGCGCGCGCGTGGCTCAGGCTTTTTTTTAAAACGATTCGCAAATGCGTTCCGGATTGACCAAGAGATTACGATCTGTGCAGAGAGCGCCCGCTGTGCCTTCGCGCTGGCTTCATCGCCGAGATGCGATGAAAAAGTCGGAGTTAAAAGAGTGTGGGTGTAAAATTACGGTAAGGACCGAGTTTGCCAATAAAAAGCCCAAGCCGGTGGGAACTGAGAAGGTAGGGAAGGGTATCTAGCGGCGAAAGAGCACGATCGCAACAAGCTCTCTTTTCCAAGAACGATCAGCCTTGCGTGAAGATCTTGTCGCAAATAGTTCGTTCGAGCCAGCGCGCGTGTGCGACATCTTTAGAAAGGAAAGCCCGGTCGATTATGTCCGGAAGTGGTCGACCCCGGAGCTGGTATCCATGCAACAAAAAGAAAAGGCAGTCGTGGCGGCATCAGCGGAGAACTGTCCTTGCTGTCTATAGCAAAATCAGGTAGTTGCTAGGCGCAATACCAGTCTCGCCAGTGGCCTTCTTGGCTTGCCACCAGCGTCCGCTGACGTCGGAGACCTCCAGAATCTCGTGCTTTGAGAAACTGATCTCGTTCGCGTCATCCGGGTTGGCCTCGTAGCTGTAGATTGCCTTGGCGTGGTAGGGATACTCCATAGTTGCAGGCATTTCCGGTTCGTTCGAGTTGCCGGCTCCATTGAAGCCGTTGTTACCGAAGCGAGGCTGCGAAGAAGCGCGCTGATCGTGTCCGGCCGGTCCACCGGGGTAGCCCGAGACGGGAGAGGAAGTCTCGAAGCCCGTGAGCTGAGCGGAGGTGTACATCGGAGGCGCAGGGTTAGTGGACGTCTGGGGGCGCGCACTGTATGAGTTTGACATGGGTCTGGGGCTCCTCGCAGCAGCCGAATGTCTATCTTTGTGCAGGGCGAAAGAGTCTACGAAGGTGCGGTGGGCAGCGCTGGGCTGGGATCCGTAGTAGAAGATCCAAATGATCTAGAGCTGGCGTTAGGGTCAAGGAGACATAATCCCTTGTTTCTGGGAAGACTTACCGCTACCATGGACAGAAGAATGAAGCCAGCAGCAGCAGCTTCCTTGGCGCCATCATTCCTGTAGACCAGGGAGTTGACGGCGGAAGTGGTGAAGACCAAGCCAGCCGCAAGGTAGCTCGAAATCTAGACAACCGTAAGCCCTTGTTTCGCATCCCAGGTGGTATCCAACAATAAAAGGCTCACCGAGACATGGTAGGTGCCCTCGGTACCGGAGCCGACGGTGGCCGCGACACCGAGGATGCAGAAGAAGAAGTAGACCAGAGCCCACCAGGAGTAGTTGGGGTAGTCACCGTGCATGCTCCCGATGATGGAGCCGACGAGAGTAATGATCCATGCGAGCTGTGGGAAGTCCGAGTTAGCAGGTGCACGCGGCGGCCAAGCGCATGGGGCTCGACTCACTATGGAGATGGAGATGGTTGCGAGGGCAAACGGGTCGCCAATGATGTTGCCAAAACTGAAGCGGGCGCGGCCGCCGTAGCTCTGTCGGTGTTCCATTTTCTGAAGACTGGGCGAATCGAGCGAGCCGTACGAGGGCATGAAGGTCGCGCAAAGGGACGAGGCGAGGCGGAGGGGCAGTCGAAGGAGCGGACGGAGACGGCGCGCTGGTCGAGGCTAGCGAGCAGGCGACGAGGTCGAGAGAGGGAAAAAGAGTGGCGGCGGCGGAGCAAATGAGGGTCAGTCAAAGAGCGTGAGGGAGGACGTGTCAGCGCCTGGCCAACGACGATTCGAGGAGGAGCAACTGCGGCAAGCGGGCGAGTGGAGACGGCCGAACAAAGCGACTTCTCGTCGTCTTGTGCTGGAGGAGCGAAGAAAGAGGGCACGGGGAGGATTGACGTTCGGCGGCCTTTTTTCGCTGCGTCAGCCGCTGAAGCTGGCTGCTGCTGCAGTGGAAGGGTGTGGGAGCGGGTTGGACGGCCTCCGGATCGTCGGGGACGCTGGTGGACTGGACTGACTGGAGCGAGCCAACGTTCAGGAGCGAGGCGGTTTCGACGCGCCGGGACCCATGCGGGAAGCTGTCTGTCAAAGCCAACCATTCAGCGTTCCCCATCAACCTGCGACACGCTCTATAATACCTTTTCCATCGACTTTCTCCCTCCCCCAATCCCCAATCCCCAATCCCCATCTTCTTCCCGCCCTTTGCTTCCCTGCCTCCATCTCCACATTCGGCCTACGTATGCACCGCCACGCGGCCACGACTGGCCCAAAAAGCCACACATTACCACCGCGCGAAAAATCTCCTTGATCGTCACCCGCAGCTCATCTCCCAGACTCACCATCTCTAGTTCCCGTTAGCCTTCTGGCCCGTGCCGTATCCGTGCTGATCTCTCGCCCCATGCGGCATCATGTTCGTCGATGAAACTCACTGAGAACCAACCCATCAGTCGAGAGCCTCTTCTCTTTCCCATCGTCTCCTCCCTGCGCCCATCGTCGACGTTCCGTCCCGCCAGCCCGCCAGCCGCCGCCGCCCCAATTCTTCTTCAGCCCCCTGCCGCAACCAGCAAACGCCCTGGCTTGGCGCCCCATTCCACCCCGTCTTCAGGGTCAGGCCCACGTTCCCTCTGCTTAGCTAAAACTTATGCTTGAAGCATGCGCCATCTGACGCAGCGGAGACGAGTTCTATTCTGGGCCCAGGCCACGACTACATGAGTTTGCTCTCGCCGACGTGCACCTGATATGCGTGTAATTTCGCTCTCTGCTATATCGATGCGGAATCTCCTGCATGCTGCTTCTGCGCTTATCCTTTGCCCAATTTCCCACCCTCTCCCCTCCCCACAAGGGAAACACGCTCGAAGCCGCCTCCGGTTCGAGCAATCCCTGTACAGCTCTTCCCTTGCCCTCTGCCAAGACGCGTGTTTGTCCTGCGGGCGATAGGTATCTCGAATAAGGCTCTCGCGCAACAGATCTTTCCTGATAAATCGTCCGCGGCCTGAACCGGCCTCTGATGTTCTGCGCTCAATCCACTCCGTCCTCCTGCGCCCGCTTGACTTCCTCCCTCCTGACGTCCCTCTCGGCCTGCCTAACCCGCGTGTCCCACTCCGCCCAGCACCTTCCCTGTCCCAACACCATGACTTCGTGCCACCTCAGCACCGCCTGTCCGCTCCTCTTCCTCAGATCCGAGATTTGGAGCGCCTGGTCCACCTGTCGCTCCTCGAGCTGGGTGATGCGCGGCTGCAACGCGACAAGGGACGTAAAGGATCCGGTGGGAGGGAGCGGCAGATCATTGAGCGACGTCAGTTGTGAGGCTGTGGCCGGGAAGGCGGGCGCATCGGTAAGAACAGTGGACAGCTTAATCTCTGGCGGCGGTGTATCGTCTTGTGGCTTTGTCTTGGGCTCTTGCGGGGAGAAAAGATCCGCGTGTTTGGACTCTGTGCGGTGTCAGATTGGCTGAGGAATGTGCGGGGAAGAGCAGCGTACGGAGATGCAGCACGTCGGAAATGGCCCGAGATTTGGAGGCCAGACTTGCGAGGGTGCTCTCGAGCTTCTGCATACGAGCCGCGACCGTCGCTTCGGACTGGTGTGCGTCTGGGGGCACGTTGCCGTTCAGGACGAACTCGATACGGCGGAGGCGCCACTCGAGCATGTCCAGTGTCTGCAGCAGCACGTCGTCCATAGCGTTGGCTAAGTGCGATACGCGCTGACGTGCGGGATCGGTATTTCGCGTTGTTGATGCAAAAGGCTCCACGTGAACGAGATTGGAGGAGCGATCGCGGTCGGCCGTCGATGCCGATGACCCCGTCATCTGTCACCACGCCCAGTGACGACTAACACCTCCGCTCGCACCTCATACCTGCGTGTTCCCGTCCGCTCGTTGGTAAAAAGATCCCGCGTCCCATAATATTATAACTAGCCGCTGGCGAGGTGTGCAAGTGCAACGCGACCAGCCGCTCGTGACACGCAACCATTGTACAAATTGCTAACCCTGCCCCCGCCAGGATATACAGAGGTAGGTATTGTGGTAATCATGGCTAGCAGTAGCTATGCGGCCATAGACGCGCATGACCCATCCGAGCGTCCCCCCAGGTCGACGAGCTCTGCTTCCTCTGGGGGGCGACTGTCAGTACCTTGACTACCTAGATGCTACTCAGACCTCCGCTGATCCATGTATAGGCCGCGTCGCGGGAAGAAAGATGTAGGCGTCGGAGAGGCCTCGTGGGTAAGCAGTGTCATCAACTTGGTCAACACCAGTAGGTGTCTCTCGCATTGAACCTCTTCGCGTTTGAGATTCTAACGACATGTGCAGTCCTCGGTGCCGGCCTCCTGGCCATGCCACATGCCTTGTCGCAACTAGGCGTCCTCCTCGGCGTCTGCATAATCATCTGGTCCGGCTTGACGGCAGGCTTCGGCTTGTACCTCCAAACACGATGCGCCAAATACCTCGATCGCGGCTCCGCATCATTCGCTTCGCTGTCCAAGATCACCTATCCCAACGCGGCCGTCGTATTTGACGGCGCAATTGCGATAAAATGCTTTGGTGTGGGTGTCAGCTATCTGATTATCATAGGCGACTTGATGCCTGGTGTCGTAAGAGGCTTCAGCGAGGCTGGTTCCCAGGTCGGCTTCCTTGTGGACCGCCAGTTTTGGATTACGGCGTTCATGTAAGTGCCGTGGGTGCTGCTGTCGTGTATTTGGTAACTGATATTTTCTATACAGGCTTATCGTTATTCCTTTGGCCTACCTTCGCCGCCTTGATTCGCTCAAGTACACGAGTATGGTAGCCCTCGTCTCCATCACGTATCTTGTAGTCCTTGTTGTTGCGCACTTCATTAAGGGCGACACGCTGCAGGACCGTGGAGATGTGCGTGTCATTGGGTGGGCCGGGCCTGTTGCGGCCCTCTCAGTCTTCCCCGTTATTGTCTTTGCCTATACATGCCACCAGAACATGTTTTCCATCCTTAACGAGATCTTCGACAACTCTCACTTCCGTACGACTTCTGTCGTAGGCGCTTCTATCGGCCTTGCCTGCTCCCTTTACATTCTTGTCGGCATTACGGGCTATCTCTCGTATGGCGAGAACGTGGGCGGCAACATTGTTAGCATGTACACCCCCTCGGCCTTTTCCACGATCGGACGCCTCGCCATCGTAATCCTCGTCATGTTCTCCTATCCTCTGCAGGTCCATCCCTGCCGCGCCTCTATTGATGCTGTCGTCAACTGGCGCCCCATTCGTAAAGATCGCGACCAATCTCCACAACAGCAGCAACATAGCGCACCATTGCTTGGCTCGGCCGCGAGCAAGCCCAACGCACTTCAGCCCAAGGTGGAACCCATGAGTGAACTGCGCTTCGCAGTCATCACTACTGCTATCATCGTGCTGAGCTACATTGTTGCTATGACAGTCTCCAGTTTGGAGAAGGTTCTTGCCTATGTTGGCAGCACAGGTAGCACGGCAATCAGCTTCATCCTTCCTGGCCTCTTCTACTACAAGATCTCTTCGCCGGACAGCCCCCATCATCAACGGCTGATGAAGGAGGACGACGATGAAGAAGAGTATGATTCCGGCGATGAGGGTACGGCTAGCGAGGGCTGGGTGGCGAAGACGAGGAGCTGGAGAAGGGGCTTGCTGCGGAAGATGTCTCTAGCTCTGGCTATCTATGGCTTCGTCGTCATGGTGGTGTGCTTGGGTACGAACACTTTCTTGATTGCGGCTCATTGATTCTCATGTAGAAAACCTTCTACTTCTTCTACTCTTTTTCGTAAGGTTTGGTTCTACTGTCGTGTTTGTGATTTAGCGTTCATATGTACAACTTTCATCAATATATTAAATGAAGACGTATATGAGCACATTGTGAGGCTCAGCAACTGGTTTGCAGGAGAGCTAAAACGGAATAAGAACAGTCTGTAAACTTGTGCCTTGAGGAGGAAATAAATTCTTCTGAATTTCCTCACCATTTACTACGATGAACTTACGATGCCAACAAGTCAGAATCTGGGCGTCAAACCATATGCGCGGCATATGATTGATCAACGTAAAGAATCCTGATTGGAGGCATAGGTTGTCTGACAGGAGCATAGAATTGGTCTATATCTTCAAGGAATATACAAAAAACAATTCAGCACAAGATATTGAGGTCTTCCGGCAAAGTACACATTGAATGGTATTGCATTAAGCTAAGCTCATGATTCATACTTCGGACAACCAAAGAATTCGTTGTAGGTCATCATACATTCCGTCGTGCAGGACCGACTCGGGATTACTTAGTGCGGTCTGGGAGACTGGAGCAGACCATGGGTTAGCATGCGCTCCTTATACCGGTAAACAAATTTCCGCGAAGCTTACAACCTACGCTTTCTCCTTCTTTTCCTCTTCCTTGGGCGGCGCAGCCTGCAGCTTGACCTCCAGAACGTCCTTGCCCACGCCTGACTTCTCAATGAGCGCCAGCGCCGCACCGATGTTGTCGTTGGTCAAGATCGTCGAGCCGGGGAACGTCTTGTGGTCCCGACCTGCGGTGGCCCAGCGCACCTTAATCTGTTCCACCTTGCCCGTGTTCTCTTTCTTCGCGTACTTGGCCATGAACTCCTCGCAGTTGACGGAGTTGGAGGCGGTGCTCTCGATTTTGGAGGCCAGGTCGGAAAGGGAGGTCGAGGGCGAGATGAGGAGCAGCTCGTGGCGGCTGGAGCCGTCGATGTTGAAAATGATGGGAAATTCGGACATTGTGAGGTAGCTTGAGGGATTGATTTGCTAGAATTGGAGGAAAGCTTTGATGGATGAGTTCTCAGCTGTTGATGTTAAGTATTTTTTCAAGCAATCGAGGCTGCCAGCCTCGTGGCGTTTTGTCCGTCATCTCATCCAAGTTTTTGGCCTCGTCAGACACCTCGGACGAGCAAAAAGCATCGACGTCACTATGCAGATTTCATGGATGCGCATGCGCATCCGGGGTTTGCCCAGGGTCTCAAAACGTTCTCGCGTGGAGTTTCCTCGGCATCCCCGACGACAAACGCAACACCTACCTAGTCCGTATTTCTGTTCTGATGTCGTGATAGAGAAACTAGAGACTGAGATGCAAAAAGGTATGAATGCTTTTCGGGTTAACCAAGCATAGTAGATCAATCCTCACCAACTTCCATGCTGATCAATCGTACCTAGAAGGCTCAAGTCGATATGACAAGCGTGACGTTGACAAGGACCCCTTACAAAAGGTTACGGACGCATCTTTGGAACAGCTCAACGAAGAGATTTCATCATCATCCCAGCTTTCGCTAACATAACAGGATTTTTGTGTCGCGTTTTTTTCAGCATAGCCGGCTCCATTTACGATACCATATGCATCCATCAATTGGACGGATCTACAGAAATATTGACACTAAATTACGATCAGAAGCCAAAGGATGCGGCCTTGCAGTAGGACTTTTTGAGTTGACTTGGATTCCCAAGTGCGACAACCATCCTCGATTGTGTGTAGGTTTCTCGGCCTCTAGCACTTCGCAATCCACTACCACCAGGAATCGCATGCTAGGTTCCTCTCTGTTATGGAGACAAGGGAAGTGTCGTCATGCCTCTAGTGCCACACGATCCCCAAATAAATCGTGATCAACAGCTTTGCGGGTATATTTTTGCCAATCCGGAGTCGCCGGAACCGGGGGTTATGGAACGGGATCCAGGACTGAGAAACGGCCTCCGGGGTTTTTGTAAGGCGAAAAGAACGTGGCGGGATCATGAAGCGAGCTTCTTGCTGGCACACCGCTGCAAAGCGCGTTAAAGTCGACCGTCGTGGTTGTGGCAACGCCGCATCGACCTCAGAGAGGCCCCGACGATGCCTGAAGACCGATCATTGATCATCAGGCACCACGCCGCTGGATGTCATCAGACGGGCTGTTTCATGCATCAGCCCTGCGGAACACCTTACGGTGCTTGCACCTTTTGAGTTATGGACCGTTTTTCGGACCGAAGTGGGCATCTGGTGCCTGGATCTGTTTGGGCAGTCCCCGGCTAAGGCCACCGTACGTGCGGCCTACGTGTGCTGTCACCACCGTCTAAGAGCAAGCCTTCCCGGGCACAAGATGGCTTCTCCACGCACTACATTCCTTCGCCTCACTGGTTTAGACTTTGGCTGCCGTTTGCAACCCTTTCTTTGCTTAGTCTTACGCAGTGTTGACGTGAGGTGTGGGCCTTGAAACGGCTCAACGCCTTCTGGACTCTTCCCAAAAGAGTATGATGGCAAGCGTTGTCAGACGAAACAGTAAGAGAAGAGTAGTGTCTGGCAGACCCATGGTTGCCATGTCTGTGCGTCTACGTCCTTGACACACCCTCGTTCGGGCAAGCCATCGAGGACCCCCATGCTTTCCTTGTGCTGGATGCCTTCACGATTTACTACGTACGATGGGACAACAGAAATTTCATCACTACCCGGTCGATCATTCGCCTCTCCGAGCACGACGTCCGAGATTCGAATCGATGTAGTGCGTGAAAAGTTGAACCGCTGTTGCGTCAACGAAGAGGATGGCCCAACCTCGATGTTGCTATAAGATCCTCCTGAAGCTGACCCATTAGTCGAAACACTGATTGAAACTTCAGCTGCCATTGCGCTACCGCCACCTCGAACTTGAACTGCAAGTGGCACTTGCACACAACATCTAGGCTAATCCGCAATTGGATACCCTTTTGGTTGTTCATACATAAACCCTCCTTCGTTCCACCACTATGGCACCAGGTTATCGACAGTTCGGACAAGACGCTTACGAGCCTTTACGTGTACGACAACGTAACGACGCCTTGAGCTCACATCAAATTACGCCTACCCTACCTGACAACGAGTTTCAACCCCACAGGAACACGGGGCGTATCTCGCTCGACAAACCGGACGCCATGCAACCACCACTGGAACGGCCCACCATTGGGACACCTATGTCTTCGAATCAGCAAATACCAAAAGACAGCACACCCTCTACCGCACGAGCATCACTTCATGCACCTTCATTCGAGTCGACAAGAGAACCGGACTCGGCTGCGATCCGCAATTCTGTAGAATCTAGGAGCGCTCTCCTTAACGCCAAGCGCATATCCCACCGTCCAGGCAGCTTCCGTGGCCAACATTTCCCCGAAGAAGAGGCGGAAGATGCAGAAAGGGCACAAGGCTCCTATTTCGACAGGGGCATGCAACAACAAGAGCACGATGTCTACTCACCTGGAAGAACGAGATCGAACTCGGCCTTGACAGCAGTGCCTCCTTCCCTGAGCCAGTCCAACTTCCGTTATGATCCAGTAACAGGCAGAGACTTGTGGCGAAGCTCGCTGCGTGCCAATGATTACCACGAGTATCGCCAGCACACTCAAGGCCGTGATTATTCGCCAGAGCCGAACTTCAACCAATTCGTACAGAACAGAGGCCGGCCAATGTCTTTCTACGAGGCCAAGCAACAAAACAAGCTGTCTGTGGAAAAGCCCAAGCACCGGAACAGGAACTCATGGGTCAGCAACAGCGATATGCCCTATACTTACCCCGATATGATTGGGGGTAACAGATATCAATATTCTCCCCCCATCATGGGTCGGGCAGCTCCCAACCGCCGTAGCAGGGAACCTGAGCTGCTTCCTATGAGACTGCCCTGGACGATGTGGATGAATAGCGAGATCAAGAACCACTTTGTCGCTACAATTGGAGAATGGGCGGGCACTACCATGTTCCTCTTCTTTGCCTTTGCTGGAACCCAGGTAGCCAACGCGAAAAGCAGGACTCCGGCTCAGGCAACTACTACCAATGCGACGGCGGGCTTTGATCCTATCGTCATGTTGTACGTGGCGGTATCATTTGGTTTCAGTCTCATGGTCAATGTTTGGATCTTCTTCCGGATATCAGGTGGTCTCTTCAACCCAGCCGTAAGCATCGCCCTTTTTAAACATTCTTGAATTTTACTAACCCCGAAACAGGTAACTTTGGCGCTTTGGGCTACTCAGGCAATTGACGCTTGGCGCGCTATCTGTCTTTTCGTGGCCCAAATTGTTGGCAGTATCACCGCCTCTGCTTTAGTCCTGGCTATCTTCCCGAGTCCGCTCAACGTCCGCACCACTCTTAGTGATGGTACCTCTATCGCGCAGGGTATCTTCATTGAGGCTTTTATGACAGCCGAACTGGTGTTTACTATCCTGATGCTGGCAAAAGAAAAGCACAAGGCTACATTCATCGCGCCCGTTGGAATCGGTCTGGCGTTGTTCGTCGCCGAGCTTGTTGGCGTGTACTACACCGGCGGTAGCTTGAACCCGGCCCGTAGCATCGGACCTTGCATTGTCGCCAACGTCTGGGACAAGCACCACTGGATTTACTGGGTCGGACCCTTCCTTGGAGTTGTACTCGCCATTGGCTTCTACAAGTTCATCAAGATTCTTGAGTATGAGATGGCCAACCCTGGCCAGGACGGCGATGACGAGAATGACCCGACCAAGAACCCGAACCACGAGATCCGCGAGAAGCAGCGTGAGACGACATCGCGTGTTCTCGCTTCGCTGGGCTTCGATAACCTGGGCGTGAACCAATACCCTGATCCTGAGATGGGTGGCATGGACCGCGCCTCACAAATGGGTGGATACAATCCTTCGATAGCGCCAGGGTCCGTTATGGGAGACGACGACAGAGGACACGGCAGTTATCGGGCTCCTCCGGCGCTGTCGACTGTTGCTTCCATGAGTGAGATGGGTGCAGCAAACTCACGATCGAACGAGAGATACATGCCGGCAAGGCCGTCCCCGAGGTTATCCGAACATTCATCTTAGCGAGCTTGTCTGGGAGGCGGCCCGTCGGGACAGCAATGATTTTTGAGAGAATGGGTGGTAGTTGTATGGATACTTTTTGGCGGGGCGAGGGAGGGGTTTTCTTTTGTTTCGTGGGGCGAAAACGTGGAGCAAGACCATCTCATGACAGTCACGTCTGCTTCTGATAATGTTTACGGGGACGTTTGATGATACTTTAGATGAATTTCATGGCAATTTTCTACCTAATGCATGCAACGTACCATGTCACTTGGCTGCGACTAAGCTTCCTTGATCTTACAACCCCACTGTGCGTTGTTCATCTCGCCTTTGGATACCTTGACGTGTTTTGACTTTTGCGATAAATATGGCGAGTAGCTGGACCATAACGGCGAGCGTCTGGCTTAGAGTGCACGGTGGATCGCGATGAAACGCCGCATGAATAGCAAGTGCCCTCTTGCACGAAGATGTACTTGCGACTGGTAGAATAGTCGGTACAGAAGCGATGAGGCTGTAACCTGACAAAAGCTGAGCTCTGATTCGTGATAGGAGTCAGGCGGTGGATTGCCTATAGACGGCAGCCAAGCCGGCATGTACTGCATGTAGGTGGACGAACAAGGGAAAAGCTTAACCGGCAAAGGCGATCCGGCAAGCCGTGCATCTCCGACTCATGTCCAACACGCGACCGAGAGCACTGATTATCACGACAACAGCCCTACGAGTCCAGACCTTGGCTGGGCCGGTGAGCGTCCAGGGAGCAGACAGTGCGGATCGGCACGTCGGACTCTTGTTCGTACGGCAGGCGGGCAGAGAGGAAACGGTAAGGCGGTCGTCGGCGAACCCCCCGGATAACGGAAGGGCTTTCGCAGCACAGGTTGATGGTAATTTCAGGAGGCTTTGGTGTTGTTCAAAGCGTAGGGGCATCGGCGTTGCAGTGCGCCGTGCCTGTCGCCTTTTAGGGTCCCGGCCCAATGCGGCAAGGACTCGTCTAAAAATACGTGCCACCGTCCTAAACTCTATCACCCTCAACCGCGCCGCTAGCTACTCTAACCCTTCCAACCTCTGTCATACATACGACACCGCGGGCCGTGGCACCGTCGCATCTCTATCAGCATTCGATGTGGGGCCGGCGTGCCAGATTCCATACCACCTCTCTCTCCGTCTCTTGTAGCTTACCACCCTGACGGTCTTCAACTATGCTGATCGCTAGGTCCACTTGGCTCGACCGAATACGATGCTGAACCATGATCTGCGCAACGATGCTGTAGCTGTGCTCTCGTAAGTGTCGGCCTTTCTTGGGCCGGAAACATGGCCGTGAGGCACTATATGAGGCCTAAAGCCCCCAGGTGATGGTAGGTCAAGCGCGGCTTCCTTTGTCTTCATCTTCTCTAGTCATTCGCTCTCTCTCTCTTCAACAATGAAGTCCTCTACCGCTGCCCTCGTGCTGGGCGTCCTCTCCCCCCTCGCCCTCGCCGCTCCTTTGGACGTCAAGCTCTCTACCGCTTCCGATTGGACGGCTGAGGAGTGGGATGCCATTGTTGTCGGAGCTGGCCCTGCCGGTATCATCGTAGCCGACAGGCTGAGCGAGGCGGGCAAGAAGACCCTTCTCCTGGAAGGTGGTGGAAAGTCTTATGGTGTCACCGGTGGCACGGAAAAGCCTGAGTGGTTGGAGGGCACCGACCTCAGCCGTGTTGACGTCCCCGGTCTTTGTAAGTAAGCCCACACAGCATTGATTATACTTTTTGCTCATGCCGTGGCATAGACAACACCATCTTCGCTGACCGTGGTAACCTCATCTGTGGCAACATTACCACTTTTGGAGGCTGCACCATTGGTGGCTCGAGTGCCATCAACGCTGGTCTCTACTTCGAGCCCCCTGCGGCCGACTATGACTGGTACTTCCCGGAAGGCTGGAAGAGCAAGGATGTCGATGCCGCTACTGCTAGGCTGTACGCTAGGCAGCCCCAGCGGGTTGTGACATCGAAGAACCAGAAGATGTACAACCAGCAGGGTTATGAGGCCGCCAAGGACTGGATTGTGAACAGTGCTGGTTACAAGGAGGTCGATATCAACGGCGCAGCTGACCTCAAGGCCGAGGTCTTCGGACACCCCGCATTCGACTACAACGATGGCCAGCGTGGTGGCCCTACTACCACCTACCTCCAGACCGCGCTCGGCCGTTCCAACTTCCACCTCGAGAGTGGTGTGAAGGTCCAGCGCGTTGTCCGCGATGGCAAGAAGGCTACCGGTGTTGTGGCCAATGTTGATGGTGCTGAGACCACTATCAAGCTTGCTGACAACGGCCGTGTTGTGCTCAGTGGAGGTGCCATCTACAGCCCTCAGATCCTCATGTACTCTGCCATTGGCGACCCGGAGGTTCTTTCCCGCCTTGCAGCTGGCGGTATCCTCGGCGACGTTACCCCGTCCGAGTGGATCAACAACACTGCTGTCGGTGATGGTCTTTTCGACAACCCGAACACCTTCATTGAGCTCGAGGACGAAAAGGTTCCCGCCTACACTTACCAGTACGACGAGCCCGTGAAGAGCGATGTCGAGCTCTACCTGAAGGAACGTTCCGGCCCTCTCGCCTTTGCCGGTCAGACTAGCGTCTTCTGGACCTACATGAACCACACCGACGGCACCTCGACCGGTGTCCAGGGCACCATCAACACGTTCGGCTACCAGGACTACACGAACAAGAACACGATCTCGCTGAACGTCTACGGCACGTCGGGCCTGCTGTCCAAGGGCAAGGTGAACATCGACGAGAACTTCCTGCCCGCGCCCTCAGACGACGTATATTACAGTGACGCCGAGAACCGCGACGCCGAGGACATTGCGCAGTTCATCTACAACCTCTTCCAGAAGCTGCCCGCGACGGGCCTCAAGCCGCTGAACCTCCCGGCCAACTCGACCAAGGACGAGATCAAGACGTACATCACCAAGCCCTCGGCCTACGCCGCCGGCATGGTCAATCACTGGAGCAGCTCCTGCCGCTTCGGCTCCTGCGTCGACACCAACGCCCAGGTCATCGGCACCGACAACATCCACGTCGTTGACGGCAGCATCGTCGCCCCTCTCACCGTCAACCCGCAGTTCGGCATCATGGTTGCCGCCGAGAGGGCCAGCGAGCTGATTCTGAAGTTGTAAGAGTAAGGGAGGGGGAATGCCTTTTTTGCTTTTTCGTTTCGTTTCCTTCTCAGTATGTGTTCTTTGCCCGACCCATGATGATGGAAGGGTCAGCCGATATGCGGAGCACACCGGCATGTTTCAACGAAGATAAAATCTGTAGATCGTAATGATAATCATCGACATGTCTCAAGGAAAGCCGGCGCCCGCTGCCACGGTTGCATGCCCATGCATGTCTCTGAACCTCCTCCCATGGAGCAATCCGTGCACACCACCGTCGCCCGCCGCCACCGAGAAATTGCCGCACGGCATGAAAGCACGCGCCGGGAAACGGACTCGGTCGCTGGGGCCCTTGCTTCGGGGCTGGCGGCGCTGCGCTCGTTGTGGGCGTCGTCGCCGTCACCGTCGTTGCGCACTGAGCACGAGATAGTTGTTACTTGGTACGCTTGGATACTACTAAGCCCTCCCTTCCCCCCACGCAAGTTCCAGATCAATATCAATAGCGTTGTGTTGTATATGTATGTATGTATCATGCCACGCCTAGCGTTTGTACAGCACAGAAAACAGGGTATCCCACCCGCCGCCGCAGCAGCAAAAAAGAAAAAGAATAAATGAATAAACAGAAAAAGAAGAACTGAACCCAAAAAAAGAGTCCGCGCCATATGGACATGCGTGCGTCTATGTAGGCAGGCCATGTACCTAGAACCGCAACAGACGCTTAGTGCAGATGGCCCAGCTGGGCGGCCAGGTTCTCCGCCTCGACGAGATCGCGCACCCAGCCCAGCGCGTCGCGTCTCTCGTCCATGACTCTGGCCCACTCGAGCAGCAGGCGATAGACGTAGATGAGCATGTCGTCGTGCCTGAGGACCTTGTCCGCCCATTCGCGCCCGTCGTCCGCAATGCGTTTGGCCAAGTCGTCGCGGCCGCGGCCCACCTGCGCCCCAACGAAAAACTCCAGCACCCCGTACACGTCGACGAACGAGTTGTGCAGCGGCACAAAGTGCGCCCACGGCACCAGCCGGCTGTCATGCCATTCCGAGTAGATGGTTGCCTTCAGCGGCACCGACGTCGACCGTAGGAAGCTGCGGTACCGCCCGCTGAAGCTGTTGCCGTCCACATCCGGCAGGTATTTGGCCTGGTACTGCTGCTGCATGGGCACCGACGCCGCCGGCGCAAAATACGGCTCCGTGTAGTTGCAGTGCACGGATGGGATTGTGGGGAAGCAGATCAGGCTGATGAAGCGTGCATCCGCGAAGCTCGAGAGCCACGGCCCCAGCGTCCCCGTCGCGAGGCGCTGCGCCTGCGGATAGGCCGAGGGCACGGGCAACGCGAAGTTCTGCGGCGCAGTAGCGGCGTCGTCATCGTTGCTGCTGATGCTGTCGGGGGTTTCGGCGGCCGCGACAGTGCTCCCGTTCAACATGCTGAGCAAGCGGTGCCGGTGGAAGCGCCGCCAGTTGCTCTCCCGGTTGCGGCCCCCCGACGCGTCGCCCCGCCAGATCAAGCTGTCAGACTTCTGATCCCAGGGCGGGCCCTGCTCGTCGCCGCCGGAGTAGAACGGATCGTGCGTCCAGTACATGGCGGGGGGAAGCAGGATGTCGTTGTTCATGGGCAGCTTTGAGCCGCTGAACATGGGCAGCAGGCGAGTAGATGTCGAGATCGAGATAGGCTCGACAAAGTTACCGTGCAGCTCGCGCAGCTCGGGCTGGCCGCACGGGTCCCGCGCCCACGTCCAGTTGGAGACGAAGCCCATGTGCGACTGCGGCGAGGCCTCGACAGGCAGCGGCGGCAAGCCGCTGAAGTCGGTGACGGCGGCGGCCTTGCGGCCTGGCGTGTTCGGGGGACAGCCGGCGCGCACAAAGTCCCAGTACGGCTTGCCGGCCTTGAAGCCCGGGTCCATGGGCACGAGGGCGTTTTGCTCCAGCGCCGGCAGGCTCTCGTAGGCTGACTCGACGTCCGTGGCATTGGGGAAGGATCCACGCGTCTGCCGCGCCTTTTCCATGTGCTCGTTGACAACCTCCCAGGGCACCATGACCCTGCTCTCGTCCATGACGTTGATGCCCATGTCCAGGTCCGGCAGCAGGTGTGCTATCTCTTGCGTGAGGCTTCCCCACAGGTCCATCCACACGCGCTCTTTGTCAGTCTTGATTGAGACGGTCCCATCACGCACGCTTATGACCTGCTCCATGGCCTTCATGTGGGCGCGCATGATGGCCGGCGACGCGCCCCAAAAGGGCTCGAGATCATGGTAAATCTGATCGAAGAAATCCTCAACAATGACGGCGCTCCTGTTGCGCGCAAAGTCGAACCACGCGTCAAAGCCTGGCGGCGGATGCCTGCCTCGGCGCTTGCGATAGGCACTGGCAGCTGCGCCGATATGGGACGTCTCCTTGTCCAAAAGCTTCTTCCACTCGGCCTGTCCCTGCGCTATGAGGCTCTTGATGGGATGCGGCGATTGAGGCTTCTGCAACGAATACTCGGAGGGCAGAAGGGCGTCGGGCGATGGTTGGTGCAACAGCAGCCAAGTGGCGCAGGTCAGGATGACGGCGGCGGCGAGGAATCGGAGGTGCGAGAAGCGAGTCGTCATGACTTGGCTCGAGCGCTAGAGTACAGTAGGAATAGGCAGGGCCGTTAGGGCGTGGGGGCGGGCCGGCGTGGGGAGGAACACTAAACTATGAACAGACTTCAGTGATAGTAGAATAGTAGTAGAAAAGAAAGTAGCTTCCTCGGGCGGGCATGTCGACTACATACATTCCTTGCTGTGCCGCGTCCCAAGCAGCTGGGCGCTAGCTTAATCTAGGCCCTCGCATCACACTTCATCACAGGCGCATTCCCGGCATCCTTCGTACCGTACAATCCTACAATCTTGGTCGTAAACGTCGTTATCGTGTCTTCGTCAAGCATCATCTCAAGAGCGTTTTTTAAAAAGGAAACCCCGGAGAAGAAAAGAAAGCAGAAAGTCCTCCTCCTCCTTCTGCCCTGCCCGTTACCCTTGTTTTTTTCCTCCAACTGCCTTCGAGGCTCCGCATCTCGACAAGGAGAAATGGGAAATTTAAGTCCAAAAATGCAGCCCACCAGAACAAAGAAACAAGCCCCTTTTGGTGAATGGAATAAAAAAACAAAACGCAAGGGGGATATCGAATAGCCAGCATTAACCCGAAAGCCAACAGACCCAAAGCCGAAATTCCCTGGCACCCGAAGAGCCTGGAGGGAGTTTTTAATTAGTTCCATTCCGGCTTTGCACGCTGTTCCCTGCCGCGATTGTTAAAGTCCCGGTGGTCACGGTTGAGGTCGCGTTCGCGTTCGCGGCTGAAGAAGTCGCGGCTCCGTTCACCGTTGCGAGTGCTGTTACTGACGCGAGATCTACCGGCGTCCGTGTCCCTTCTAGGGCGAGTGGTGCCAGTGGCGGTTGAGGTTGTAACGCGGCTTCCTTCTGTCAGGTACTTTCTCTCCTTTTGCCGGTTTGAATCTTCGATGATAATCGTCTGGTTGCCATCATCACCAGATCGAAGCTTGATGATTCTGTCGGTCATGCTGTCGCCAAACTCCAGAGCAATGGAATTGTCCGCATCCACATGGATTTTCATGTCACCATTGGTTTTTCGAGTCGTCGTTGTTCGCTGCGAGTCGCTCAAGCGACTGCGGCGATCATCGCTGCTCGTTCGGCTTCGGTCTGCCTCGTTTGGAGCATGGCTCCTCTTCGTAACGAGGTCATCAATGGGATTGGAGCGAGGGCCACTGACGCTCTGCTGGTACTGCTCGACACGACGGACCTTCTTCTCATCTCGCTCTTTTCTCTGTTCATTGAGCTTCAGATCATGCATTGGAGACGTAATGTCTGTGCTCCTTCTTCTACCAGCTCCTTGGTCAGCACGGGACGGTACGATGGCGTTATATGGGTTCCGCCTTATTTCCTTATGGTCCTTGAGTGTGGCACGGCGGCCTAGCCGCGAACTCTCGACGACAACCTCCTTCCTGTCCTTCAAGGCAGGAAGGTAGCGCTGCGGGCGCTCGTGAGCGATGACAGATGAGCGTCGCTTGGATGTGCCGCGGGCCACACCACCTTGTGGGAATGGTTCATCGTCCCCATGTTCGCTATCAGAATACTGCTCATTCAGCCTACTCCTAGTAAGGATGCTGGCGGTAGTCTGAGATTTTCCCCGAAAGCTGGGGCGCTTTTCAGCTGGACGACCAATAGGAGGAAGAGCAGGAGGAGGCATGCGTCTTCTGTTTTCCTCACTGTCCCACTCGTGGGGATTTTCGTCATACAACGGTGCCGGTGTGATGGTGGGGCCATATCGTGGGTCCGGCAGGTTCTGCTTGGGTGCTTGACCGCCAACAAAAGAATGTTGGTCCTGGTGTATGACGGGGCCATAGGGCGAGACTGGCCCGCGAAGGCCGTAGCCGTTTGCCTGGTGGGGGTTCTGCCCCCCGTATGTTGTAAGTTGCATTACCGCGGGGTGGTTGAACATGGCCGGCGGTGGTCCGCCATGCCCGCTGACAGGGCTATAGTAGAAGGAAGGGTCGGATAAAGCGGAGCCGGCGCCGTGGTAGCTGGCCGGTCTCGCGCCGGCAGGGTAGATGCGTGGGCGAGAAGTGTCCGAATGGGCGCCAAGCTGCGAAAAGATAGGCGAAGAAGGATACTGCGGGGAGGGCAGAGCAGAGGAGAAGGTAGGATGGTTGGGGTTGTGGCAACCAGAGGTATCGAGTCGCAGTTGAGAAGGGGCGCATTCCTCGACTATGCTGTCTTGGCGCGGCCTCCTGCTGTGCGATCTTTGCTGGTCCTTTCTCTTCTCCTTCTCCTGCAAGGCGGCGGGCGTGGAGCGTTTCTTGGGGGCGGGCAGGCTTTCAGTCGGGCTTGAGACGGAATCAGTGCCGGTGCTCTTGGTGGCAGCGGTGCGGCTCGAATACCCAGAGTCGCTGGCCAGGTCGGGCTGAGGCTGGTCCAGGTCTGACGAGTGCGAGGAGCGCTTAACGGCGACATTGGACTTGGGCGGGTCGTCAGACTCAGTGTCGGACTGCACCGTGGGCTGGTGGTAGGCAGACATGACTTTCAGAGGAGGCAGTTGGGGCGTGCGGGCGGGAGCATGGTCGAGGTGGAGAGGATGGACAGGGCGGGGCGCAAGTCTGGGGAAAAGCGCGCGCGGGCGTTGCGGCCTGATGAGTTCACCGCGATCGCGTTTCACCCACTGCCCGACCGGTCAGCCCAACCACCAATCCTCGCCACTCACAGGGCTGACGCCTAAAAAACCCACCCGTCCTTGCGGCTCACTGATGACTCCCAGGTCCCTGACCACTCGCCAACCCGCTCAGCTACCCTTCCGACTGAGCAATCATCAATGCCGGGGGAAAAATTTGCTCGGCCAAGTGGTTGGCTCGCTGAGCCCCGTGTAGCGACGGCCCGCTTCCGCCGGCCTCTTCCGTCGAGTAAAATGTACACACCTCTTCCGCATCCTGGCGAACAGCAGAGCGCCACCTGAGACAGTGAGCTGTTGTTGGGCGTGCTCCAATTGAAGAGATGTTTCACCGTCAACGTCGGCTTACCAGCGCTCGTCACAGAGGCATGCCCGGTGCCGGCCTGCACCCGTCCGCCTACGCGGTAGTACAGTAATCCCATAGGTGTCCGTTGGATCACAGATCACGCCTGTTCGGTGAGCGGCCTATCTGGTTTATTACTCGAACCACGAAGACTTACCTCCGCGCCGGGCGAATGAGCTGCACGTGAGCTGCTTGCATTGCCCAATAACGCCGTTAGGCAGCGCGCGCGCATACCACTGTCAGCTGCGGTCGTGCTGACGTCGTGTTGGGTTCTGTATGCTGTGAGACTCTGCGTCAAAGTTAAACCCATTGATGCGCCGACGATCGACGAATGCACGATCTTGGTCGTGAGAAAAACAAACAAACCCCTTCGCCGCGCGCGCTGTGTTCTTGTGCCCAACCAAAGAAAGTGAAGACCGGATTAGCGGAAGACACTCCTCCGTGTTACTATCCGCATAACTCATCACATGCTCTTTTCCCCGACAGATGCCCTCCATGCCATGGCCTTTATCGCCGAGTCGTGGCTCTTCGTGCGAATGAAAGGCCCGACGGTGCCTACGACAATGGTCCGGACAGAAACAGTAGCATGCAAAACACTTTACCAGCTTTCGATCCGGCAAATTGTCGAGGAACGCATCATCGTGCATTTCTGTATGGTCATTCGTGGATTCGTCGATGCACAGGTAGCTTGAGCTTTGGGGAGGATGGCTGTTGTTGTGGGTTGAGACGGAACTCGTCGCTCCGTGGTTATGGCCCGCATGTTTCCTCAGGACATAGATGTGTATTGGCCGCGGAGTGTCATGCCGCCTAGGCGGAGTAAGAAATCCCCTTTGTGCATAACGATAAAAAAGCATCCCTGTAAAACAGCTTGGTTTTAGGCAAGTCATATGAGATCTTTAACACCCTTGGACTTTGCTTCCAAAGATTGGGTTGAGAAAAGGGGGCCGACGAAGTTTTCATATCCAGGCATGGAACAGGTTTTCTTCTCTTGCTGGGGTACTCTTCTCCGATTTGTCGTATCCTAAAATGCTAGTAATCATTCCTGAGATATTTTTATCCATCCACAGCTGGACGGGTCGGACGCGTCCACCCACGCATGCACCTCAATCATGCATCTCAGGGGCCCTCCTCGTCCACGGCTCATCACAAGACTCAATGAAAAAATTCGCGTGTCTTTTACATCCTCTCCACGGGAGTGAGGCCCAAAAGCTCCATACCGTTGCGCAGCACTTGCCTGGCAGAGATGTACAGCGCCATTCTGGCCTTCTTAACGGGCTCCTCGCTGCCGACAACCTGCAGGTGGTCGTAGCTGCTGCTGACAGCGTGCGTCATCTTGAACAGGTAAGTGAGCACCGTCGCGGGCTCATGCTTTCTCATGGTGTCAACGAAGGTGTCGGGCCACTGCGCCAACAACCTGACGAGATCCACAGCATGCTTCTCCGTGAGAAGAGAGAAGTCCGCATCGGCAACATCTGCATCGGAAATGCCCGCCTTGCGAGCAATGCTGCAAAGACGAGCGTGTGCGTACTCGAGGTACGGACCGGTGTCACCCTCGAAAGACGTCATACGAGCCAAATCAAAGTCGTAGTTGTTGATGCGCTTGCCCTTCATGTCCTGAACCATGACGGCAGCGATGCCCAGAGTGTCCGCCGTCTGCTCGGGATTCTCGACCTGCTCATATTTGGCCTGGTTGGTCTTCATCACCTCGTGCATCTTCTCGCCAACGATGTTGAGCACCTCGTCAAGTGCCTTGGCAGTACCCAGCCGAGTCGACATTTTGTTGACCATGCCGAAGTTGATGTGCTGGCAGCGATCAGACAGGTCTTTGCGGCCCATGAGCTCAAGTATTTTGAAGAGTTGCGCGAAGTGCAGGTCTTGCTGCGTAGCGACGACGTAGATCTGCTTGTCGAAGTTGTACGTGTCGAAACGCTCGACGCAGGCGCCGATATCACGGGTAAGGTAAAGGGATGTGCCGTCCTTCTTCTTGACGAGCGCCTTGCCCAGTTTCTTGGAATGCTTGGTGAGATCGACAATGACGGCACCATCGGAATCTCCAGAGACACCAGAATCCGCCAGCTGTTTTGCCGCGGCTTCCATACTCTCGTTCTTCACCTGCGACTCTCCAGAGTAGACGTCGTAGTGGACGTTCAGCCTAGCGTAGGACTTCTCCAGAGCCTCGATACTGCAGTCACGGCACCACTTCCAGAACTCCATGGCTTCCTTGTCGCCGTCCTCCATGCGCTTGAAGTAGTCACGAGCCTGCTGGCTGACGCTCTTGGCAATTTCCTCATCAAGCTGCGCTTGTTGCTTCGAAGCTTCTTCCTCCTTTCCCTCTTTCTTGAGCGTCTGGATCGCCTCTTGCTTGGTCTTAATCTGCTCATCCTCTTCCTTTTGAATCTTGGTCATCTGCTGGTAAACCTCAACAAGATGCTTGATGGGTTCTTGCTTCAGCTTTGCATCATCTCCGTACTTCTTGTAACCGACAGCCAGAATACCATACTGTCTGCCCCAGTCACCAAGGTAGTTCAGACGAACGACGTCCCAGCCGGCACCCTCGTAGAGTTTGCTGATGAAACCACCAATGATGGTGCTTCTCAAGTGTGCGTAGCCAAAGGGTTTGGCGATGTTGGGCGAAGAGAAATCGATGACAAGGCGCTTACGGCCCTTGGAAGGATCAGAGGCATCTTTCTGACCAAAGGCGGGGTTCTTGCCGAAAGAAGACTTGTTCTTGAGAATGGAGGGAAGGATAATGTTGAGGAGAGGCTGCGGCTTGAAGAAAAACGAGATGTAGGTACCAGAGACGGTGGGCTTCTCGACGAGAGGAGAGCCGGGGAACTGTCAATGGCTTATTAGAAATCTTAGACTTAGTACCAAGAACATAGTCAAGCACCTTCTCGCCAATCTCCTTGGCCAGCTCATCCGGCTTCTTGCCCTTGATGCGCAAGGCGGGCACAGGCAGGGTCAGGTCGCCCTTGTCCAACGTCTGGGTCCATTGGAGGACAGGGTAGATGATTTTAGCGTCGACACCGCTGGCCTGAGCAAGCAGCTCGGTGATGTGGGAGCGGTAGATGTCCAGAGGGTTGTGCTTTGGGTACGTGTTGGGCGCCGCAGGGACATCGGTGAGGCCGAAGCCCTTGAGAGTGGCGGCCAACTCGTCGATGGAAGCCATGGCGAATGTTCGGAGGGGCTGAGTTGTGGCGCGCGGGAGTGGGCGAGTGCGCGTGCGACAAAGGAGCGGGCGAGTGAGGGGGAAGGATTGCCTGGGGCAGCGCAAAAGTAAGCGTTGGACCGGCAGCATCAACAGTGGTGGGGTCGCGAAGTAGTCATCATCTCAGGAATTTTTTAGGCGGCGCGACGGGAGGGGCTGCGCCGACTGAGTCACGCCGAGCCTAGCCAACACCAACATGGGCAGTGCAAACGAGGCGTTTTCTGCCTTATTGTATCTGCTGTGTTTGTGCCTAACAATAAGCAATAAAACCATCTTGGGCACCTGCTTGCAGAACAACAATAGCTATCGCGACCTACCAACCAACCAACCATCTTCTTCTCTGTCCTCTCACACACACACACACACACACTCTCTCTCTCTCTCTCTCTCTCTCTCTCTCTCACACACACACACACATCATGGCTTCGACCACCACCACCCAATCATCGACCTGCCGCATCATCAAGGCCCCTCACCCACCCGCCATCGTCGGCAAGGCAGTTTTCCTGGCAGGCAGCATTGAAATGGGAAAGGCTGTCGACTGGCAGGCCGCCCTCACCAATAAGCTGTCCCATCTGCCCATTACCGTCCTCAACCCGCGCCGGGAGGACTGGGGCGGCGACTGGGTCCAAGACATGGCCAACGAAAAGTTTCGCGAGCAAGTACAATGGGAGCTCGACTGCCAGGATACAGCCGACATCATTGCCATGTTCTTCCATCCGGACACCAAGGCGCCCATCAGTCTCCTGGAACTCGGTCTCTACGCTGCAAGCAAGAAGATGGTCGTGTGCTGTCCGCCGGGCTTCTACCGCCGGGGAAACGTGCAGATGGTGTGCCACAAGTTTGACATCGAGCTGGTCGACACGCTGGACCAGCTGGCAGAAGGGGTTATCAGGAAGTTGGCCGTGTAGTTTAATAGCAAAAAACCCATGCGCGAATCTGTTTCTTGCGACAAGTGAAGTGTGCATCAACAGGGTCCAGCGTTGCACGGGCGACGGGCGGGTGTTTGCACGCACGTCACCTTCCCCAGCCATCCCCAGCCACCCCGACAGGCACCACTGCCTGTCTCTCTCTCCACTTCTAAGCGCCATAACTACAAACCACACAGACACCGCACACACACCCTTCTGCACACGTCTACAACTCATCGTCCATCTTGCCACAAACCCCCCCATTTGACACCGTGCACTGAGCGGCCATTGCGACGACTCGGTCATGGCGCCGCTTCCACGCACCGCCCCCACGCTGGGTTCGTTCGCCGAGCTACACCGTCGCTCGACTAGCTCGGCGCCCCAGTTCGGCTCGGGTGCTAAACCCGCTTCGGAATTCAACAACAAAGGCTTTCTCGCGCTCTTCGCCCTCATCGGCGCTGGCATGGTCTTGGGCTCCATCTGGTTCTTCTTCTGGGCCAAGAACGGTGGCTTCAGATGGCGCGGAAAAGATGACTGGGATGACTACAAGAGCACCGTCCTGAGACGCAAGGGTCCTGATGGCCGAACCCTCAGTAATGCTACGAAGAGTACCAAGCTCGGCGGCGGAAGCGTCGTTCATGGAGGCACTTACGGCGCTCCGACATCCGTCGGCTACAGCGACACGACTTCCTCGGTCGACGAGAAAGACCAAGTACGTGCTGGCGAAGGCATCCGCGGCGGAGGAGGCAGACGCCACAAGCGCCGCAAGGGAAACGATCCTGAGCTTGCAGAGTACCGCCACGAGAAGGCCGCTCGCGTGGGAGGTATCAATCGCGCAAGCGATGGCGCCTACTTCGATTACTCCAACACTGAACCTTCTGAGATCTCTGAGCGGCCACTTGTAGCGGAAAGCCCTAACAATAAGAAGAAGGCCAAGAAGGAGGCTGAGCAGCGTGAGAAGGAACGCAAGCATGCCGCCAAGGAGGCCGCCAAAAGAGAAAAGGAAGAGGCTGCCAAAGAGAAGAAGCGGGAAAAGGCTCTGGCGAAGGAGAAGAAGAAGGACAAGGGCAGGAAAGAACGGTCTCGTTCCCCCGTCAAGGCAGAGCCTGAGAGGGTTCAGACGCCTCCCCGCCGTTCTGCTCCCAGCAATGCCTACTCCTTCACCCAAGGCGATGACCGGACCGAGACTGCCACGAGCTATACCGGCGGCTACACGGCCACCGAAATATACTCGGACGCCTACACCAATCCTTCGAACCAGGACTCTTACTACTCCTCATACCGCCCCCACGCTTCCACGAACCTGCCTCGCCCTCCGCCTGCTGCCCGCTCGTATGAGTCGCCGCGTCATTCGACCCGTGACTCGCCCCGGCATTCGAACCGTGACTCGCCGCGTCACTCGAACCGCGACTCCCCCGGCCGCTCTCGTCAATCCAGCCCCCGCAAGCACCACCGCTCGTCTCACTCCCACAGCCGTCACCAGAGCAGGTCCAGGCCCAACTCTCACAGTGACCTGTCTAGCGACACTGGAACCAAGGCCTACCCATGCCACATCCCCGGACTGAGTGCGCCGACGGTTGTGCCCGAGGAAAGCATCAGCCAGGTGGGAATGAACAGGCCGCGCAGAGGCCGCGATGTGATGGATGGGTACAGAAGGAGCCGTGCGAGGGGAAGGAGGGACAGCCTGAGCGACTCTGACAATGACTACTGAGGCAGGCGTTGTAAGTGTAATGAAATCATCAGCCTTGAAGGACGGATGGAGTTTTATTTGGGAGTTTTTTTTGTGTATTGTGGCGGCACAGCGGGACATGGCACCACGGTTAAGGATTTGGGACGGGGGCGTACTTGGACAAACTGAAGACGAGTTAATGAAATCAAAGTAGTTAGTAGGCACCGGGCAGCGCGGCAAGTACCTAGTGTCTCACACCGACCGTCATCGGGCTCTGGCCTCGCGCCGAAGCGATCGGCTCCCGCAGCACCAAGATCGCCAGCAGATCTGCCGATGGCCCTGGCATACCAGTCGGCCTGACTCGCCAAACGGACGCCATCTGACGGCCGCTGCCGGGTCATGCGCGCCTAGCGTCTGCTCACACCGCCGCAAGCGCCCCTAGTTATTGCAAATCAAACCTTTCTTCCACCATCTGCTCTCTTCCAGGCAGATGAGCCTCCGTTGTCGCTTGCTAGTCCTGCGCCTAGGCTGCGCTACACAAGGCTCACATGATGAATCATCCCCACCAGGCTGAGTCTTAGTATATTGTATCATGCGGCTCTGACTGGACCGCATGCGAAGATCACAGGTACTCCGGCAACTTAGCTCCATGATATATACGCCTGGTGGGGCGTCGCGTGTGCGCGTCGAACTGTGTGTCCTGGTGGGTCCTTCGCGCGTGTACTTAACTTGCAGCAGTCCTCTGTTTGCTCCTCGTGTACACTTTTGCTCGTGCTGCTGCTCTCGTTTTCCTCGGTCGTTTTCCCCAGTCAGCCCGGCAAGGCTGAGCGCGGCTTTCCCTTATACGGCAGAGGAAAGACCCCCCAGTCCCTACCACAGGCCACCACCTCAACACCATTACCCATCTGTACACCCCGTGTCCCTTGTATGCAACACAGGACACAAGGGCCTACACTAGGGAACATGCCGTTGCGGGGTCATCATCGTCGGACACAATCTTGGCCACCGCTTACAGCCCGTCATCTTCTCTCTGTAGCACCGATTCATTTCCACCTCAATCCAAACTCGAAGCGGCCTGCAGCAGCCACGCCTGATCCACTGCTGGATATTGACGAGGATCCCTTTGCCCATTTTCTTAGCCCGTTGACTGACGAAGACAACCCCTTGGACACTTTGTCGTTCAGCGCTGGAATTGTATTATCTGAGCCCGGTTCCATGAAGGAGAAACTGAGGAAGAAATTGGCCCGGAGGTGGGCAAAACATGTGGCGAAATGCCCAGTCAAGAGGAATGCGGAAACAGGCCATGCCTTCGTTGGGACAAAGACCACAGGTGATGTGCCCCAAGGCACAGACGCCACTGTCGACGAGGGCTACGTCAGCGGAGACGCAGAAGCCGCAAGGGAAAGGACAGGCATACAAGAGCCACTACCATATCACACCGTGGTGCGAGAACCGAGGCCCTCGTTGAGAGAACCAACCAAAGGACGGGCACAGGAACTCGTTGGTGGAGGAAAGAGGAAGAGGAGAAAGTACAGACATTCCTGGAGAGCACCAGACGGAGATCTTTTTACTGTGGTGGAGGAAGCAGAAGGGGGAGACTCTCATATTGAGCAACAATACTCTGGGTGAACCACGCATACTCCCTAGGTTAGTATCAGCCCAAACAGGATGGTGGAGGCTTCGCTGACCTGAAGGCTGCCAGCTATTGAGGTTCTATCTCTATCGCTGGGATTCGCACACGCAAATTTGGGTACAAGCTGCCACCTCATCCTAAAAAGCAAGCGATCGGCAGACTTGGCACGACCGGAACTTTCTGAGATCCATTGAGAGTCAAAGCAACGTGTTGTTCCTTTTTGCTCGGTGCCTCGGAACCGCCCCGGGGACCAGGATAGGCTTACGATCATCTGTGGTACCAAGTTGAGTCCGGAATCTAGATTTCAGGGCTGTACTGGACCAATGTAGGCGCCATTGCTTTGCGGTCATGACCGGGTTTTGGGGAGAGGCCCTGCGCGGAGAGACCAGGACTGGGGTCCGCGGGGTCTCCCGGACAGGCAGGCGCTGAACATGGAAGCAAAAAGAAAAGGATTCCGCCTATATTTAGGTCCGCTTTGCACTAGATGCACGGGGGAGCGCGGGAAGGCGAAGGTTGAGGGGGGGTTTTTTCCTGGTTGTGGTGGTGCGTCGCAACCGGCTTGGAAGGATGCTTTTGGGCAGTGGCAAGCTGGAGTGCAAGGGAGCCGCTCAATGAGGCGTCGGGCTGGCTGGCGAGAGTTGCTTATTCTACAGAGCTTAGGATGGTATTACAGATCGCGTGTAAGGCTATACCTGTTCAACAATAAGTGAGTGGCATATCGGGCCTAGGCTGCAGGATGCGGAATCGAGTTCTGGGAACCCGGCGGCCGGTGCTGCATCGGTAGGCGGTCCCGCGGACCCGTCACCCTTGGTCATCAATAGCGGCACGGCGGCGGCGGCGGTTCGTAAGACGGCGCGGGCAGTGGGGCTGACGAGGCGCGGCCTGATGGAGGTTGTTTTGTTGCCACGGAGCAGGGCAGCCCATGGCAGCGGTGCCTGGGATGAAACAGTTTCAATTGAGCTGATGGTGAGATGTGACGGGGATGCCAGGAACAGATTGCGCGCGCCGGAAGCGGAGAGGTGCATGGCTCCGTTTCCAGCGCGACGGGCATTGCGTGGGCGCTGTGTGATCCCGCGCGCCTGGGCTTCCGAACCACCATCTCGCATGCCGCTGCAAGATCGCCCTGGGTTTGACCCGCTCCCACGGCAGAGGGACGAATCGAGCGTTGCACGCCCACGCCACGCCGCCTCGTGGGCTCTCTGGGCGCTGCCGCAAAGCGTGAATCACATCTACCAGAGAGCAGAACAGTGCCATCTAGTTGCGCAAGGGCGGCGACGACGAAGAGGTATAAGACGGCCGGCGACTGCGCGTCCTGGGCCCGCAATCTATCTCCCCATCTCTTCTCAGCCCGCGCGGCCGGTTCCGATTCCCGAGCCCATGCTAGCCTGGGCCTTTGCATTTTTCTTTGCCCCGGCTGAAAGCTCCCCACGATCCCGCTCCACAGGCATACCCCGGCGCTCCGAGCAAAAGGAACCGATCGCCAGCCATCGCCAATCTGGCCGTGCAACGTGCCACGTCCTTGTGAAGAGAGACGTCATTTGCGACGCCCGTCGCACAGCCCGAAGAACAAAGGTGAGCTCTTGACAATCTCGCTTGCACGGGTCGCCGTTTCAAGCTGGCCCCGCCGTTGACGCAGCGCTCGTGGTCGCCGCTGCAAGGCTCACGTTCCAACTGCGATCCCGCGCCGCCATGTCATCCGATACGCGACCTGAGATTAAGGCAGTCCGTCTTTTTCTTTCCCTTCCAAGCCCGTCTTCCGCCGTGGCTGACTTTTGGGCGCGGAACCATCCTTCGGTGGCATTGCTCCGCTGGGACGCTTCGCGGCTGAGATGCCTCTGCATCGGAAGCTGCCCGACAATTCTCTTTGGGAACCCATCTTTTTCTTTTGCGCCGAGCCCCCCCCCAATCATTTCCCTTCAGACAGCAACATGCAGTCGTCATTTGTCGCCTGCCCATTCAGATTGCTAAATTTTTTCCAGGCGTGCTTTGCAGTCAGATGCCCAGAGGTAGAGGGCGAAGAAGAAATACCAACGACAACAGTGCCTCGAGAGTTGCGGCTAGATCGTCATCCCGCCAGGGCACTTCGTCCTTAAATACGGCCGGTGGCCACTTGAGACGTTCCAGCCGCATTGCTGAACACTCCTCCACGGGACACGATACATCCAACACCGACGGGACGATGGCTTATGTTGCACGCCGAACTTCAACTAACGAGAATATCGGAACCCGGCCGGTAGAACAGATATCAAGGAGAATTATACTCGAAGGCGAGCATGGCACACCGGCCGGAATGCGCATCTTGAATACTCGGATCCGGAGCCGTGTCGACGGAGAAGACAACTCCGGTTACACTATGGACATCATCACTCACCCACCCACAAACGTGCGCCTCGGACAGCCGTTGCGGACCTCGGTTACGATCAAACTGCGTAGCTCCTCAAACCCTCAAGATGGCGACCTTGGAGAAGCAGGTCGGTTGTTGGCGGTCGCAACACTCGTTGCGCGTGGATCAGAGGGGTCCGACGTACCTGTGGGCCCCGGCATCTTGACTGGTCCGCGTTTATTCGACTCGATTCATCCGCCAGAGGTGGAAAGTGACGAAGTTGTCGGCTATGCGTCATTCCCTGATCTTTCGATAAGCCAGGAGGGAAGATATAGGATCAGGATTGCTCTGATCAGGGTTACGAGCGGTACTGGAGAGACCACACAAGCCGTGGACACTCGCTCTTTCATTGTTGGAAGAAACTAAATCGCCACATCAGGTATGCAAGTCACCACATCTCCCTTTGCCCTGCTGGACTAACCTTACGTAGAATGGGAGGCTTCACCCGTCTTATTCTTACCTTCGCTGTATATGGCCATCATCGAGGACATTTCCTAATTGTTTCGGCCGTGTGTTGGTTACTGTCATCAGTTGTTAGCTCTAGCCTGTACGGTGGTTCCTGGGTGGTGTTGTATTCCAGTATATGGGTGGTAGGACGTTTGCGATCAAGGGTTAGGGATAGAGCAGAGATACGGGAGTCATATGATGTAATGAGTTGGAGATTGTAGGTAGACTCTGTATGCGAGTTTTAAGAATGAATATTGTCATGTTATTGAAAGCGAGAAGAGTGGCCAATTCTTTGCTTATCAGTACGGGCTGACGAGTTTTGATGTCTGACGGCGAGGTAGAGTAGGTGAGGTGCTAGGTCGGCGTGGTCGGTCGTCACATCACCTCATATCTTATCACCGGGCACGTGATTGGTACCTGATCTTGACGACCGGGAACCCCTCAGATCTTCAAATCTTTTACCTGCGCGAGCAATACGTGGTAGGCATCTGTGCTACCACGACGTCAACCCCCCCCCTGTTGAGTGCGTTTATCATTTCGAGATTCTGCGCTATCCCTGGTCAACATTGCTTCATCTTCAGCCGTTTGACACAACCTCGCCTCTTCGCATCAGTAACACAAGACTTTTCCGAACATCAAGACAACTTCGACCACGGCATCAAATGTGTGTATGTACAGTGTGTGTTATTATAGCAACATGCATGGTATGTCGAGAAAACGCCATGGATCGTGCACCCCGTTGAGTCATCCGAATGTCAGAAAACCCAGGATACAACCAACTTCTTAACATCTTCCTTTCTTACTTCCATTATTCCTTAAAACCCAGTCTCAGCCTGCAGCGACTTGTTTTGTTACGAGAACGCTCAAAAATGGAACACTTGGTTCTTCTAGACGGGACCACTCTTGAAGGAGGCGGACAGCTTCTCCGCATGGCTCTCGGGCTTGCCGCCTTAACGACCAGGCCAATACGCATCACCGATATTAGAGGCAAACGACGGGGCGGTAGTGGCTTGAAACTGCAACATCTTGCAGCCGTTCATTGGTTCGAGAATGCTGCTTATGCTCAAACCTTGGGAGCAGAGAAGGGCAGTCGGAACCTGGACTTCTTTCCCGACACAGGTCCAGATAGTAGAGCCAAAGCACACATGGCAGAGGAAGTGGATATCGGAAGCCCTGGCAGCATCGGACTAGTCTTCCAGGCGATTCTTCCTTTCATCGTTTTCTTGGGACATACGAAAAGCACAGAGCCTTTTCGGGTCTGCATCAGAGGCGGTACCAATGTATCTCTGTCGCCCTCTCTCGAATACATCCAACAGGTACTCTTGCCTACTCTGTTGAGGATTGGTTTACCACCGATCACCGTTCAACTTGGAGATCGTTGCTGGGCTGGACCAAGTCAAGAGAGGGGTAGCGTCATTTTCGAAATCACCCCTCTCCCATTAGGAATGAGCCTACCTGCTTTCACATTCAGGGACCGTGGGGATATCGAGAGCATCAAAGCGACAATTCTCGCGCCATCTTCTTGCTATTTCCAAGCAGAAAGAGAAATCCACGAGGCCATCCAGACCTGGTTCCCAGCCCTTGCAAAAGAATCACTGTCAATTGAACTTTCCGACAGTGGCAAAGCAAGCCACCTTTATCTACTCCTTGTAGCAACCTCCACAAAAGGATACAAAATAGCGCGTGATTGGCTTTACAACAAGAAGGTCGTTTCTCTTCCTCGGGCTATAACCCTGCTCATACGCCAGGTCAGCTCCGAACTGGCCGCCGAAATCAATCATGGCGGCTGTGTGGACGAATATATGCGTGATCAACTGGTGATTTTCCAGGCACTTTCCAGTGGATATAGTTCCGTCGATGGTGGCAAAGACAATTCTGGGAAAAACGTGGTTCCAAGCTTACACACACAAACCGCCAAATGGGTAGCGCAACGGTTACTCGGTGTCCATTTCGATGAAGAGGGTGGATGCCACGGAGTGGGTTTAGCCGCTGGAGAGCAATTTTCTAAAAGAGAAAATTCCAGAGGAGATACCCAAAAATGAAAGCAAATCGCTGATGAAACCGGATTTCACGAGATCAGAATACTCTTTACAATCTCACGTTCTTCTAAGTTTCCCTACCTGTACAGGCTTGACAGAAATTGTTACTAGAGCATCCGCGATGGGTACTGCGAAATCCCTAAATGTACCCAAACCTTTTCAGGCATGACTGGTTTTAGCTTGGAATCCTTTATAGCTTACACTTCGAGGATCATCTATACAGCTTTACACCTGGAAAGCTGGTATGTGTATATTTTGTCGACCAACAGCTTAATAGCAATATCCAGTTAAGTTGCTACCACTCCAACTAATATCTCATTACTAACTAGCAGTGTCTGGTTTAGGGTACTCTCAGCACCCTCGATTTCCAAGAGCCCATAATGCGATGCACATCCGACTTTTTTGTTTACAAACAGTACCTGAAGTGCAGGTTCTGCAAATCTGTCGTGTCATTGAAGCCTTCTGCCATCCCTTCAACATGTGCGCCATTAACTGCTCTTTCGGCTGCTTCTACCTTACGGTTTCTTCTGTAGTTCATCCACCACATATGTTGCCTCATGACTATTGTGCCAACTACGATTCCAGCGTAGCAAATGCAGAGTCCAAGAATGGCGGAGGTGTATCTTGGAGCCTCGCGTGCGAAGAATATTTGTGCGCCAATTACATTACCTGCGGCGTATAACAGGAACCATAAACCGTTGGTGAGTGACCTCTTACTATGGCCTCCTATATTCGAGGTCATAAGGTTCCAAGAAAGTATCACAGGGGCACCTATCAGGTATTGAAGCCACGTACAGGCTAATGATTGTTAGCTGAGATGGCAGCAGACGCATCAACTGGACAAACTTACCTACCAACGACCAACGATGATCAAGACTAGTCAACCGGATACCAAGCAACCCACCAAGAGAAGGAAAGCAAGCGATGACCATTATAACACATCGTGCATCCTTGAAATAGCCAGCAGCAAGTCCGCAAAGCGGTACTATAACAAACTCGATGGCTCCGGTCGGTAGTTGGAGTAAAGTGGCGTAGATTCCGGAAAATCCAAATCCTTTCAGCAAGGAAGACGAAAAGTTGGACACTCCACCGTTGATGATGCCACAAGCCAGTCCTACAAGGACCAAACACCACACTTTAACATCCCAGATGACCTCTATTGCCTGTCGGGGTTTGAAGTGCTTGTTTTTTACACCAATCATGTTCTCAGCTATGCGATGAACAGCAACAACCTTCTCCTTATGGTTCAGGAACCGAGCTTCACTTGGTGAGTCGGGCATAAACCAAAGCTATACTAAGCAATTAGAATGGGCCGAGACCAAAGTATCAGAGATATGCATGTACTTACAAAGACAAAGGCCCACACAAAATTCATCAGTCCAATAACGAGAAAGATCAGTTGCCAACTTTTCAAGGTGCTGTCCATGGCATGGCCCAGTCCATACCCAAGTAAGGCGCCAACCATCGTCGCCATGCCGTTAAATGCCAAAAATAGGCACATTCGGAAGGGCTGTTCGCTTCGTGTATAAAACATCGAGGTTATGTTCATGATGCTCGGTGAGATGCCTGCTTCGAACATCCCGAGGACAAATCGCAAGACTAGCATACCAGCATAACCCCTAGCCGCGACATGACATACTAAGATGATTGCCCAGAAGAGAATCATAATACCGGTATGTTTGGCAACAGGAAACCTCTGGATCAGAATATTTGCGGGGATAGCCCAAAAGAGGTACCCGAAGTTAAAGATTGCTGCTGCCCATGAGTACCGCTGACTTTAAAATAATCAGAAACCAAAATTTTGAAAAGCGCCATATGCCAGTAGAGCCACCACTTACCCGTCAAGTCCAAGGTCATCTTTGAGAGAATACGCCGAGGCATAATTCAATGACAGTTTATCCAGGAACTGCAGAGTGTATGTGATACATATCTAGTCGTTTGGGTCAGTGCTTGTACGCGGTATTGACAGTCAAAACAAGAATATTCATACCATGGGCAATATGACCCTGTCAATCTTCCCCAGAACTTTCTTCCTCTCAGCGTCTAACTCCTCCCGCGAGTACTGCTGCACTTCCAAATACAACTCGGCTCCAATATCGTGAGGTCGTGCAGCAGTGTCATCTTGCAGAAATCCTTCTGCTACATCCAAGCTTTGTGTTGCTACGGGCAGTTCTCCTTCTTTCTCCATCATTTTTTCGGGGAAACAAAGCTCCAAGCAGATGGAGATATCCGAAGAGAAAATTTGTAGTAACCAAACGGAAAACAATTTGAGCCCAACGTCTTGTATGAGCCCTAGTAATATATTGGAACGTATTCTTCAGGCAGATAGGTATCAAGCCGAATTCGATGTTGGAATATAGCCCTAGCTCTAGTGATATTTGTCTCTCCCAAGAGACATCCATCAGCTTAAGCGGCACGGTGAGGTGGATAATGGAAAGATATCCCAGGAAACGTAGCTGATGAAGGCTTGCAACAGATCAAGGTGACACGGCTTCTTGTTATCATGCCGAGACCCACAGATTGCACCACATGGGCTAGATAAGCGCACACCTCGAGCAATTAGGCTATTCACTTCCAGTAACGAACACTTCGTTAGTAGGTTGCAACATGCACATACAAAAGCCGAATGACAGATCTTCATGTTGTTCATCTTCTTAGAATGGACAAGTCATCCATGCTGCCGCCTACATGCGTGCCAAAAAAAATCAAAGGCCCCCATAAAGAAGTTAACTGCGCCGAGCGGGAATTGAACCCACGCCTCTTGCTTGGAAGGCAAGAATTCTACCACTGAACTATCGGCGCATTGATAATACTAATTTGAACAACATCGACTATATAGAAAGAATAAAATAGCGTAGTTGTAGTTCAAAATAAGTAAACCAGGGATCGAAGACAAGCGAACTCTGGAGTCGTCGTGGTCAGACCAACTGCCGAGCCGCCGCCTGCGCCGCCCTCTCCACCTTCACCTCTCTCGCAAGCTCCATCAGAGGTCCTATCCATCACTTTTGATTTCGTTGTGTTGGTCAATTGGCCGCAGCGACAATGGCAGGCAATTTCTTCAACAATCTGTTGGGCTCGAAATCTTCTTCGACGCCAGTGCCAGCTGCAGATGATGCAGGTACGCTCAACAACTGCTCTCACCGACCGCAATTGATTCTGACCCAATGCGCAACAGACTTTGCCGACTTTGCAGGAGCTCCGGACCCCAGCCCTGCTTCTATTTCGCCCATAACAGCATCCAGTGCTGTTCCTCAAGCAGCAATTCCAACTGGTGCTGCCCGTCCCTACACCAAATGGTACCGCGTCTGGGAACGAACTACACTAGCCGACTTCTACCAGGAGGCCTTCATCTTGCCCCTCATCATCTTGATCGTCGTTCTCCATGCCTTTGGCAAGCGGGCGAACAGGCGCAAGGCTACATCTTGGGTTAAGGCCCACACACCGGCTCTGCAGCAAGAATTTGCCCATGTCGGCTTTGGTGGACCAAAACTGGCCAGCGTTGAAGACGTACAATCGACTGGTCTGGCCAAGTTGAATGCCAATGAGCTTGTCGACCCTGAGACGTTACTGAAAGAGGTGGCCGCGAACGAGTTCCAGTCTTATGCGACCGGCCGTCAGAATGTGGCATTTTTGGACGTCAAGATCTCGCTCCTTAAGCGGTACAATCCTCTGATCCGCTACGGTGAGGCCGCTATGAGCTTCTTTCTCGAGAGCGTACCTGCCTCCACTGAGCGTGTCGAGGCAACTGCATACTCGTTCGACGGGAAAGAAATCGAACTTGTTCCCGGAGCTTCAAAGACGCCAAACTCTACTTACGATGGATTTGTCTGGGCTATTGTGCATAAGGATATGATGAAGCGCTTGAGGGATGAGAGATATGATTTGTCTCTCACCACCACCAAGGATCATCCGAAACTGCCTATTTGGTACACCATCATGAGTGAGAGCGCCGAAATCTCCGAGGCCCTTTTGACGCCTGAGCTTCTCAAAGCTGTTGATCAGGCGGGTGATGCGCTCGAGGCGCTTGTCGTCTCTGACCAGCCAATGGATCAGCCGAAGAAGTGAGTATACTGACGCCTTAATTTTATTATATGTTGGTTGCTAATGATGCACAGGCTCGATGAGACGGTTTCTAGGAAGCGTGTCACACTTTCGCTGACTCTGCCTTCCAATGACAACTACGCCAACACTCTGCCACTGTTCCAGTACTTCCTCAGGATGCCTGACCACCTGGTCAATGTTGCTCACTTCCGCCCTGAAGCTATGCGTCGTGTGAAACAGACTCGTGATGACGAGATTCGTAAAATCAAAAAGCTTGATGAGGAGGGAAGGGCCGAGGAGAGGAAACTCGAGGCGGACAAGGCAAAGAAGTTGGAGCGGGAGCGGAAGCTTAAGAATTTGAGCGCTGATGAGCAAAGAAAGTATCTTGAGAAGGAAAGGGAGAAGGACCTTCGCAGGAGCCAAAGGAGAAAGGTCATGAAGGCTTAATGAAGGCCTCAATTGGTAAAGGAGTGTATCCCAACGCTTGATGTATTGTATGAGTATAATGCTATATGGGGTAGGTAGAGTATATAAGTAAGGTTAATAGGGCCTTAATTATAACTAGGACTATACTCTCTTTACCTTCGTAATAATAAATTATGAGTAAATAGTATATTATATACTTTGCTATTTATTAACTGCTAATGCTTAGAGGTTATACGACTATTTACTAAAATATATATATATATATATATTTCGAGTATTTTCTAAGATAAATATATCAAAAAAGTCTCTCTAAGATATATATATATATATATATATATATTTTAAAAAAAAAATTATATGTTACATTATATCATAAAAAGCTATATCTTAGAAATTAAATATATATATCTTAAAGATTATCTTTTAAAAATATATTTTATTTATTTTTTTATAAATATATTCTTCTTGTCATTTAGGAGTATATTTACCTTCTTATTTAAAAATACATTCTCTTTTAATATATATATATATATATATATTATATTTTCTTAATAAAGCAAAGCTAAGTATATTTAAGTTAAAATAAAATCTTAAAATAATATAAAATATACTAAAAAAAAAGAATATACTCTTTAAATAAAATAGAAATATATTCTTAAAAGGTAGAATATATTTTTAGAAAATAAGAGAATATACTATCTTTAAAAAATTATTCTAAAAAAAATAAATATATATTTATATATATATTCTTAAAAAAGAATTTTTTTAAGGCTATTTACTAAGATATATAATTTTTATCGTATATTTTCTAGGATATATATACTGTTTCTAAAATATAAAAAATAAAATTAAAGTCTCTAGAAACATATATCTTAAAAATAGTATATATAACCTGAAATTAAATTAGAAAAAATATATATCTAGTTTTTCTTTAAGAATATATTCTTCTTTTTTTTTTAAGAGTATGTTTCGGCTATTTACTAAGATATATAAGTTTTTTTGTTTAATTTCTAAGATATATATAGTATTTCTAAGATATGTATATATAAATATTATAATATATTATAAAAATATGTATCTTGAAAATAAAATTAGAAATTATATATATCTTAGAAATTTTTTTAAAAAAAATATGTATATTCTTTTTCCTTAAGAATATAATTCGATTTTCTAAAAAATGATTTTTTCTAGTAATATATTTTTTAAAAGAGTATTTATTACTAAACAATTTATTCTTAAAAAAAAAAATAGGAATATATTCTTCAAATAATATTCTTAAAAATATATTTTTTAAAAAGCGAGATAAATTCTTAAGAGAAGATTTATTTTTAAAAAAAATATATTCTTTAAAAAAGCAAATTATATTCTCTAAAAAAAAAGCGAAATATATTCTTTCTTAAAAAAAATATTATTAAAAAAAAAAAAAAAGCGAAATACACTCTTAGAAAAAAGCGAAATATGTTTATAAAAAAAATAAAGATATTCCTAAAAAAAATAATTTCTAAGATATATAATTTTTTTCATAAAATTTCGAAGATATATATAATATTTCTAAGACATATATATTTTCAAAATTTATTAATAAGATATATATATTTTTTAACGGCTATTTACTAAGATACACATTTTTTTCGCAAAATTTCCGAGATATATATAGGATTTCTAAGACAAACAAATACATATATCTCAGAGTTTTGCGCTATATATATAGTATTTTATCACCAAAAATATGTATCTTAGAAATATATTAAAGAAAAACATGTGTATTTTAGAAATTAAATTCGAAAATATGTATATCTCAGAAATATGCATTAAAGAATTGTGTATCTTAGAAATTTTTCTTAGAAATTTTTTTCTTTAAAAAATCAAATATACTCTTAAAAAATATTCTTAAGAAGCGAATAAACTTCTAAAATAACTAAAAAAAAACTAATAAGTATTTATAGAAAATCGAGAATATTTCTAAAAAAAAAATTCTTAAAAAAACGAATATATTCTAAATAAAAGTATGTATATCGTGTTCTATTTAGTTGTTTCTTAAAAATAAATTTCAAATTTGTTTTAGAATTTATTAAGAGTATATTTCGACTTTTTTTTTAAAAAGAATATATTTGATAAATTTTTTTAGAATTTATTAAGAGTATATTTCGATTTTTTTTAAGAATATATTTCCGCTTTTGTAAGAGTATATTTGCTTTTTTAAGAATATATTCGATATTTTTAAGAGTATATTTGCTTTTTTAGGAATGTATATTTTTTTTAAGAATATATTCAATTTTTTTTTAGAATACATTCGGTTTATTAAGAAAATATTTATTATTTGTAGCAATTTATTTTTTTAAAAAAAATATTACTGAGATACGCAATGTTTTTTCGAACTAATTTCTGATATATATATATTTCTCGAATATATTTCTGAGATAGACATATTTTCTTGAATATAATTCTAAGATATACGCTTTTTTCGCCAAATTTCTGAGATATACATATTTTTCGGTTTTTTCTAAGATACATATGTTTTTGTAATATACTGTACTGTATTTATTTGTAAGCAAAATATATAAAAAAGTATGTATCTTAGAGGGAGTTTTTCGATATGTGTATCTCAGAAATATTACGTATATCTTAGAAACTATACGATAAAAATATACATCTTAGTAAATAGCCGATTTTTTTAATTTTATTCCTGAGATATACGTTTTTATAATGTATTATAATATATCGAAATATATAGAAATAATAAACATATATATATCTTGGAGAAATTTTTTCGATAAATATATCTTAGAAATTATGCGAAAGGATTATAATTCTTAGTAAATAGCCCTTTTTTATAATAAATTACTATATAAATTATGTAAGATTCTAAGATATATATATATATATATTTATCTTAGAAATAATATGTGTATCTTAAAAAATACTCGAAAATATATATATATCTTAGTAAATAGCTAAAATAGATTCTTCTTTTAAGAATATATTTCGCTTTCTTTTAGAAATCTATTCTTCTTTCTTAAAAATATATTCTACTTTTTTTTTTAAAAAAAAATAATACTAGATATATATATAAAGACGAAATAAATTTTTAGAAAAAGAGGAATGTATTTTAAGAAAAAAAAAAGAACGTATATTCTTTAGAAAAGAAAAATTTAACCTTAGAAAAAAGATAAATAAATCTTTTTTAAAAAAAAGTAAAATATATTTTAAAAACGGTAAAAAAGATATTTTTAGAAAAAGAAGAATATATATATATATTTAAAAAAAAGAAATATGTCTTTTTTTTTGAAAAGGAATTATTATCTAAAACATATATATAATTATAGATTTTAATTCTAAGATATATATTTCTTTTATAAAAAACCAATATATATTTAGCGAGAAATTATAAAGTCTATATATATATCTTAGAATTTTTTTTATAGTATATATAGTAATTTATTTTCAAATATATATATATATATATATATCTTAGAAATAAAAAATTAAAATATATATCTTAGAGAAAAAAAAATTAAAATATATATCTTAGAGAAAAAAAATTAAATTTTTATAAGAGTATACTTTACTTCTTTTTAAGAATATATATCGTTTTTATTTAGCAATATATTTTAATTTTTTTTAAAGTACTTATTTTACTTTTTTTTTAAGAGTATATTCCTTAAAAGAACTATATTTTTTAAAAAAAGTAAAATATATTTCTAAAAAAAACTTTCTAAAATATATAGAAAAACTTAAATATAAGTATTTATCTTAGAGAGAATTTTAAGATTTATTTATATTAGAAATAGTATATATATCTTAGAAAATATTAGAAAAAAAAAGTATAAATTTTAGTAAATAGCTAATAATTTAAATTGTTTATAGTCTTTTAAAAAATATTATTTTTTCTTCTAAAATATATTCTTCTTTTTAGTATATCATATATTTAAAAGAGGATATATTTTTTTTTAAAGAAGTATTTATATTTTATAAATATATCTAATAATAGCATTTTAAAGATATATTATTATTCTTTTTATAATAAATTACTATATTTATAGTAAATACTTAAGAATATATAAGATTTTAGTAAATAGCTAAAATTTTATATTAAAGTTTTTTCTTTCTTTTTTTCTTCTAATTTTTTTTTAAATATAATTTACTTTTAAAAAATATGTTAGTATTATTTAATATACTACTAAGTAGATTAGTAATTCTCTTTTTTACTATAAAAAATTAAAAAGAATTTATTTAAAATTATAAAAAATAAAAAAGAATCTATTTAAAATTATAAAAAATAAAAAAAATCTATTTAAAATTATAAAAAATAAAAAAGAATCTATTTAAAATTATAAAAAATATATATTAGTAAATTATAAAAATAATAATAATAACTATTCTAGAAATTTAGAGACTAATAATATTCTAAATAATTATTTAATTATTTTTTTAGAATTAATTATATAACGCTTTTTAATCTTAAGTATTTTAAAATAGCTAAATAAAAATTATTTAAAGCTTAAAAAAAAGCTAATTTTTTTTAAAGTATTTTTACTAGTAATAATACTATTATTTAAATTTAAATAGAAATTAATTATATATAATTTCTTAATTTAGTGTTTATACTTTTAAAGTTAATATAGGCTATAAGTAGCTATTTATATAGTATTAACTTTAATTCTATTAGTATATTTTTTATAAAGTTCTTTTTTTATTTAATTTAATACTATTTATTAGTTTTTAATCTTTTCTTTTTTTTTTAAAAAAAAAAGAAATATATATATATAGTAAAAATTAAATCTAGTCTAAAGTAAAGCTAAAAAAAATAAGAAAATAATATAATATATAGATTTTATTTTATTTTTAACTTTACTTTTTTCTTTAAGTCTTTTTTTAATTTATTTATAAAGTATAAAATAAATTTATAAATACTATTACTATATATATATATATAATTATTATCTATTATAATTTAGTAGATTTTTATTTATATATATTAAATTAAATAAAATAAAACTTACTAAATTTTTTATTTTTTATTTTAGATATTTTTAATTTAGCTTTATTCTATTCTAGTTTAAAACTATATTATTTATATTTAAATTTATATTAGTTACTGGATGTAGCCGGGTATTTATTATACGGTGCACTTTGAACCCGGGCGGGTAGGCTAGTGGGCTTGGCAGGAGATTGCCGGGCCGGGGCCATCACATCACGGCATCGGCATCGCACAGTTCGCACCCGCGTCCTCCGCCCACGCTCTTGCGCAGCGCCCCCCCGGCCTGCAACGTCTTACGCATACAATCTCCGCTCTTGCCCCCACGCGGCGCTGGACCTCCACTTGTTCAGCTTCGACACCATTTCTCTTCCTTTCTGCATCCCCATCCCCACGTTCGTTCTTGTTCGCCTTCCTCCGGCCGTAGTGGCTCAACATGCTCACCTTTCGGAGAGCACTTATTGTTGCCGTTTCTCTACTGACCCTCTTCCTCCTACTGCGCTCGTCGCATACGTCGCCTCCAGCGCAGGTCATTCAATCGCCGAAATCTGTCCAGTCCGAAGAAACCACTGCCGAGCAGGAATCGGACAGCAAAGTTCCGGCCAAAGAGTCTGCCATCTTAGACTCCGAGAAGCCTGCTACGCTGCCGACACCCAAGAAACAGAAGCCCCAAATCGCGCTGGAAGATCTTCACGCCAAGCCCCTCCGTGAGCAGCTTGAATATCAGTTCCCCTACGACCCGCAGGCGAAATTCCCCGCCTATATTTGGCAAACCTGGAAATACACCCCTGCTTCTGGGGAGTTCGACGACATTTTTCGTGAGCCCGAGGCCAGCTGGACCATCTTGCATCCTACCTTTGTTCATGAAGTCATCACCGATTCTGTTGCCGTACACCTGATCCGCCACCTATACGCATCTGTCCCTGAAGTGCTTGAGGCTTATAATGCCCTCCCATTGCCCGTATTGAAAGCGGACTTCTTCAGATATCTTATCTTGCTGGCCAGAGGTGGGATATACTCGGACATTGACACTGCGGCACTCAAGCCGGCAACTGAATGGGTGCCCGCTGATGTACCGCGGTCATCATACGGCTTGGTTGTTGGGATAGAAGCAGATCCGGATAGGGAGGATTGGGCGGATTGGTATTCACGACGAATCCAATTCTGCCAATGGACCATCCAGGCGAAGCCCGGTCACCCAGTGTTGCGCGAGGTTGTTGCCAACATCACCGAAGAGACATTGCGACGGAAGAACGAAGGTCACCTAATCAAAGATGTGAATGGCATTGTTGAGTTCACCGGTCCGGCTCTATGGACAGACACCGTCTTTAATTTCTTCAACGACCCAGAGTATTTCGACATGAGCACAAGCAAGGGCAACATCACCTGGGAACAATTCACTGGCATCGCAGCCGCCAAAAAGGTCGGCGACGTAATTGTGCTCCCCATAACAAGCTTCAGCCCGGGCGTGCGTCAAATGGGAGCAGGCGATGATGATGATCCGATGGCTTTTGTAAAGCATAATTTTGAAGGTAAGTTGCGATTGATTGAACATACGGGGGGAATGTCTACTAATGCGTGTGCTGCTTAAAGGGACCTGGAAGCCTGAGTCGGAGCGTCATATTGGAGAATGATCTCTCTGATATGCTTACGACCGCCACGAATTTCTTCGCATTCGCATCCTTGCTAGGTGCGTCGACACCAAGATCACACCGCAGTGGCATTCGTCACTGCATGCAAGCGAGCTGTTGTGTCCTGGAAAACACAACAGCGGCAAAAAGAAAGAAAAAGGCGTTTGTCGAAAAAGGCAAACAAATGACTCCCGGAATATCAAGCGGTACCTATGAAACCGAACCGAACCTCCAACGAAGAAGTTCGGCACATTGGTTACTTTGAATCCGGAGTCAGAGAAAGGTCAATGCCTCCCATATCGATTAGATGCATCGACGCCGGCTCAAGTGCTGAGTCAGTCGCTGTCAAAGAGCAGTCCCTGTATGCTCACGTTATATTTGTGTTCATCAGCACACTAGTGATCCTGTGTTGCACAAAACTACTGCTGCTGTCGTAGTACTGTATTATCAATATTTTGAAAAAAGAAAGAACGAAAAAGCAAACGTCAATCTATTGCCCCTACTTCTCCCCTAGATGTATGAGGACATAACCCAGCCTTCTCTCCGTTCGGTACTGAAATAATCTCGATCGTGTATACGGCAAATGTTTCTGGCAACCTCCATTAATGCCAAATAGAACCGATCCAAAAGTCGTTCAGAATACAACTAGCGCCAAACACCCATTTTCATATCTCGACCGCAGCGTATAGCGCCATAGCCGAGTCCCAACCAGAGCCGTGGTTGCTCAAAAAGATGCCTTCTAAGGGAACGACATGATTAAATTCCTAGGTCGAAGGTTGCTGTTGTCTGGACGGCAAAAGGTTGAAGAATCGTGCAATCCCGTTAATCAATGACGTTTGTCGAACGCACCCCAAAGAGCGCCCCAGATAACATAGAGAGTGTCTCCAAAGGTAGGTCTTTTTTCCTTTCCCTTCTTGCAGTTGCGATGGTTGTGCCGTGGCTCTCCATGATTACTATGATGCGAGCGGTGGGAATGATGTGAGCGCTGAGAATTGTAGGACTCACAACGGTGGTTCGGCGGAGCGCTGTAGAGAGTGGGGTCGCCGGCTGGCTGGTAGGGCTGAAGTTGGTTGATCGGTGGGGATGCGGAGTAGGCTTGTGGAGGTGGGGCGAAAGCTTGTGGCTGGTACTGCTGATGCTGGGTCCCGTTGGTGGCCATGGTGTTGGTGGTGAGAGGGGAAAGCTGGAGGGGGGGGGGCGTCAGCTTCTTTATACCATAGCCATGAGAGACCAGCAGGCAGCATGCGGTGTAAGCAGTGTAGTGTAAAGTGGACCATTTACAAGACTATGTGCCCGAGTCAGCCCTGAAGGGTAACGTACCCATTGTAATATCACGAGGCATCGATGGGCTTTCCTTTGGAGGCAGTGCCAAGTCAGCACCTGCAACCTGCCCCTTGGACCCTTGCGCAAATGACGTTTGCAACCCGAGGAAGGCAGTGGTGGCGGGTGGTGTTAAGCTCCAAGGGTGGGTGGATGCTGCCCAGGATCCCATTGATGTGCCTCAGCGCTCAGCCTCAGCCTCGTCACCAGCCAAGCCACACACTAGCTGGGTACTTCCCGCCGCCGGCTTGTGAGTATAAATTAGCCCTCACCCGCCCTCTACCTACTCTACGCCCGCAACAGCAACCAATGTCATATCATCACTACCCACCTCAGGGCGGCTACCCAACCCAAGGTTACCCTCCGCCGCACCAATATGGCGCTCCGCCCCAAGGCTATCATCATGCGCCCCAGTATGGCGGCCCGCAGCAAGGCTATCCACCGCCGCAACAGCAGCATGCGCCTCCACCTGGACATTATCCGCCTGCACATGGACAGCATCCGCCGCCACTGCAGGGCTACGCTGCTCCGCCGCCTCCACAGTACGGTGTGCAGTACGGCGCCCCCATTCCACCTTCGCCCCCATCTTTAGGTTATGCCATGGGCCAGTTGCCGTATGTTGACACGACAGCGGAGGCCGAAGGATTGCGCAAGGCAATGAAAGGATTTGGCACAGACGAAAAAGCTGTCATCCGCTTCTTGTCTAAACTAGACCCTGTTCAAATCGCTTCGGTCCGTCAGTCGTACAATCAACGGTTTATGCGAGACCTCATCCGTGACCTCGAAAAAGAGACCAGTGGGGACTTCAGGAATGCGCTCACTGCCCTAGCCTGCGGACCTCTTCAGCATGATTGCCGCGTCCTTTATGCTGCCATGAAGGGCGCAGGCACTAAAGAGTCGGACTTGAACGACGTCCTATGCTCCCGTTCTAACGCCGACATCCATGCCATCAGGACTGAATATCAAAACATGTTTGGGCGCGACCTGGAGGCAGATTTGAAAGCAGATCTTTCTGTCGGCACCGAAACACTCTTTCTCATGCTTATCTCCGGTCGCCGGCACGAAGATTCAGCGCCAATAATCCCGCAGCAGATCGAACAAGCCACGACAGAACTACAAAATGCGCTTGGTACCGGTCCTATTGGAATGAACAAAAATGCAGTTCATGTGTGCCAGGTTATAACGTCGCACTCGGACGCAGAGCTCCGTGCCATTGCCCAAACCTTTCAACAACGCTACCATACGCCACTGCTGAAGGCGATTGATTCGCGAATGTCGGGGCACATGAAAGAAGCCCTGCATCTCATGCTTGCGAGGGCACTTGACCGGCCGAGAAGCGACGCCGAGATGCTGGAAGATGCAATGAAAGGGTTTGGGACGCACGATCGGCATCTCATTGACAGAGTGGTGAGGGCACACTGGGACAGGCGGTACATGGGCGCGGTGAAACAGGCATACTCAAGCTTGTATGGCAAGGAGCTAAGGAGGAGGATAGAAGGAGAAACTCGGGGAGACTACGAACGGCTATTGGTTGCGATGGTTGAATAGGGATAAGTTGGTAGTTATTAGGTTGATAATTGATACCCCCAGTCGCGACAGCATGCGGCCCCTGCCACCTAAAGATCTCGCACTTGCACCCTGTCAGCGCGCACCCGTTTGATCGCCAGTATTGCGACCCCACAACAGGCGCCTGCAGAGAGGGCGGCCACGTCAAGAAAAGGCGACGAAGCAAAACTAGGCCGGGCGAGACGACGTAGGTGGCGGCGTCTGTGCACGACGGACACATAGGTTACTGTATAGTTCTCGTACATCCCTCTCCGGCACCCTCCTCTCGCGTTGCCCCCACCCATTGCCCCAGATGGACGACAGCACCGGCCACGCCCGCGGCTCGCAGCCACCGCTGCGACCCGCTATGCTGCGTCCGCCCACGATTCGCCTGCGACGACTGCCTTCGAGCCCGTCCGTCAGGCTGCAGGCCATCCAGCCGACCATTGCCGAGGAGCAGCAGCAGCAGCAGCAGCAGCAGCAGCAGCAGCAGCAGCAGAACAGGGACTGGCAGGCCAACCGTCGCCGCAGCAGCTCAGAGCCGCAGCGTCCATCTCGCCCGCTGGCAGATCTGACCCAGCATGCCTCCTACATGCCACCGGTGCCCGAGAACAACAACACTACGACCACCGAAGCAATCAATTTCGAGCCCGCGCCCCTTCCGGTTCCGGGTAGGTTTCGCCGCGCCAGCACAGCCGCGCAATCGGTTTTAGGCTTGCAACGCCGCGCCGACCGCCCGACCACCGCGCAAACGGTTCCAGAGAACGAGTACGACTCGCGCATCGTCGACCTTCTAGACGTGCTTGGTGCGTGCCTCTTTCTGCGTGGTTCGCATGATGCCGACGAACTGACGTGCGTTTGATAGACCCCGAAATCTCGACTCTATCTTCCTTGACCAACGTGCAGAATTCCCTTTTCATTCCTGACTTGGGCAGGCTGCTTAACCGCCAGCCAACTTATGCCTTGTCGCGGTACCAGCCAAATGCAGATGACCGGAAAAAAGCTGCTAGCGCAACAGCCGTGGGTGAGACTAAAGATGAACCTTTCATTACTACAGCCACAGCCACAGCCACAGCTCCACAAGACACATCAGGTCAGCAAGAGGAAGACCTCAGACCTGCAGGAGAGCGGGCTTTTAGCATTTCTTCAGATCTGAGCGAGTCTCGTCATGCTGTCCTTCCCCACGGTGTTTCGTTGGAAGGCTGGAGTGAAGCAGACAAAGCAGAGCTCGACGACCACGTCCGGCATATGCTCCACTCACGTAGGTCAAAGTTTAAGCGCGGCCTCAAGGGGTTCGGAAAATACGTCAGCAGGCCTTTAGGTTTCTTCGTCACTCTGTACGCCACCCTTATCACCTTGTTCGGCCTGGCATGGGTACTCTTCCTAATCGGATGGATAAATGTCGGTGGCCGCCAATACTACATTATCAACGTCATCGATAATGTCCTGGTCGCCCTGTTTGCAATCATGGGCGATGGCCTGGCACCATTCCGCGCTGTCGACACATACCACATGATCTTCATCGCCCACTACCACCATCTTACCTGGCGACTGAGGAAGGAGCGTGAGCTTCCCAAGCTTCAGAACAAAAATGACCTTCCCACTCAGCCGGCAACTCAAGAAGACGTTGAATCTGCAAGAATTGAGAAAGAAGAATTAAGTGTACTCAACCCGAAACAACAAGCCCGCTTGGTTCATCACCAGACAAAATTCGCAAAATCACACACTTTCTACAAACCCCACGAAACAGAGACGCACTTTGCCTTTCCGCTTAGGCTTCTTGTTGCGATTGTCGTCCTCCTGGATTTTCACTCTATATTCCAGATAGCTCTTGGAGCCTGCACTTGGGGCATCGACTACAAGGTTCGACCGCAAGCATTGACTGCCGTCATCCTTTGTTGCTCTATCACTGTCAACATTACCGCCGGAGTTATCATTTCCATCGGAGACAGGATAACCCGCAAAAAGGATGTGATTGAGAGAATGTCCAGACAGGAGCTTACGGAAGAGGCCATGCGCAAGATAGAAAAGAGGCACGAAAAACACGAGGAACAATATGGCAAAGCTGCAGAGGATGGAGGTGCTACTTCTCAACCAAGAAAGTCCGAAGCCGAAGGAGAACCCCGAGCCGAAGGAGAGCAAGCCGATGTTATTAAAGCCGATAATGCCCATTGAGCCTGAGCAGCTGCACACTGGATTTTTACTACAGCGCGGTACGCTATCACAGGGCTGCTATGTTGCAGTGTCCAAAATAGATGCGTTAGTGCCGTCGCGTTCGCGCTCTGCGAGACTGTTCTGAGCTATGCCTATCTGTTACCGAAGATGCGTTTCTGAGAGCATTGCAATCCACTCATATCCGAGCGGGAACTAGTCCCTACTCACGAGACATTGAGAACTCAAAATACGATTGCTATGGGATAGCGTTCTCACATATAACGTTATTCGTGGTCTGTTTTTCTTTTATTTCTATAATTTCGAAACAAGTAGACCCATACCCGCAAGGAGTCTCGTTGGAGGCAAGCTTCGCTTGTTTGTCAACTTTGGACACAAATCCTATGTGTCTTCATGCAAGGATTTAACGTTGTGTTCGGCAAGATCCAACACATGAACTGGGTAGACTTGGGGAAACTGGTGACGAGATCAGCCACATCTCTATACACCTGATGCCGGCACACCACTCAATTTTCTGGTGAGCGAGACGTTATCTCGCCTAGTCTAGAGCCTCATCTTGATACATATCTTATGGCTTATTATTTAATTTATAATGCAGGAATTAATCTACATTTGTTTGTGCCATTACCCCTTTCGGCACTGGCATCTTCAGAATCGAATTATGGAAGCACAAATACATACAAAACCTCGATCTGTTTAGCGTGAGTAAATAGGATACCCTCCATGGCAAACTCAACTAAAACTTATGAGGCGAAAGCTGGTGGATTTGGTTATATGCTTATTTGATACCTAGTAAAATTCCGTAACAACTAACGTCTGTCACCATCAACAGAGATTCACGACCTAGAGAAGGATACAAGCAGTCTCCATAACTCGAATGCTCCTTTTCAAGTTACATTTCTGAGTCCTAAATGTAAGTAAGAAGATCTCTAGGCATATGCGTACCTAAAAACATCGTATGGATTTCGGTTCCACTCCGTACACGCATCGTTATCTAATTAGGCGGTAAATCTCGCTTGATGGTGACGGACGTTATACGCAATGTAGTCTTTACCTACTTTCCTCTTTACGCAACATGCTAATTTATTCTGTTATCTTGACGTCGCTTACCTCCATCCGAAGCTTACCTATTGTTCAGCGAAGCGGGCATTTTTAAGTAACGGAGCCGTTAGTTAATGCCCATCCAGCAATCATCGATATTGTTATTGACTTGCTCAGTCAAGTTAATTAGAAGAAGGCAAGTTCTGACCTGCTATTAGTCAGGAAACCCATAAGGCAGTGGAGGCTGAAAGGTTATAGATTGCCATTGGTTGGTGCCCTGGGAGACAATGCTTCAACGCGAAACTGCCTGTGTCTTAAGTCCAGCATCCTTTGAAACAGGACAAACGGAGACACCCCCAAAGTCCCCCACCTGGCGAAGGTTTGAGCTCTGCTGTACACTAATCTATGAGTGATTTTTGGACATCGCTTTCACAGCCACCCTACGCCTACGCCGCCATCGTGCAGTAGGCAGAAGTTACCGCCGTAACAAGATTGAACAAGGGACCACAACCATTGAGCTGGCATACCGGCCTAGCGCGGCTGTGTCAAACATGTTCCGATGATGTCTCGATCCCTGGGAGAATCTCCGGATTGGGTAATTTGCGGCACAGCTGGGCGCTTAAACAAAGCCAGCACATGCTTAGGGATATACCACGGCTGTGTCGTCTCCACTTTATTAAATCCTGCGCTGAAGCAGTCGCAGTAGGCGTGTAAAGCGCATTTGTCGGGCACCCGGTTTTTGTCGCTGCGCCTTGCAAGGAGTGTGTTCTAAATGCGGATATATCATATCTTAAAAGCTACGGAGGAAGGCACCATATTCTGTGGTGATTCCTTTTCTTCGTTAACACATTTTGCTATTCTCCCGACCTCATTATTATTTGTCAACCCATATGCCGTCTACGAACGAGACAAAGCTCGCTCTCCAGAACATTCTGGAACCAATCAATCCCGCAAGGGGCCATGTCACCTGTGCCGGATATGCGCCATCGAAGCGTCGTAGGTGCGAGAATCCAATTGCCGCTGCAAATATGCGGTCTTATAACGCACTCCTCCACGAGTTGGCCGCAACCGATCTGAAAGACTATGAAACTAGGATTCAGTATCTTCCAGAAATGGCGAGGCTTGGTTTATGTCGGCGATTTCATCAAGGACAGTATTCTAGTGTCGCCGCCAGCTGGAATTCGCGGATTGAACGGTACCTGTTGGACTTGGAGCAACAAGCCAGTCAAACATCCGTGTCTATATCTACGCATGCTTCAAGAAGATCAAGGGACTCACTTTATAATTCGGAGGTGACGACGACGACGATGGCTACAACAAATCCAACTGGCTTGGTTATACGGCGCTCCCCGGTTTCCTTGTCTTCTATTCTAGGAGAAACCTCAGCGCCAGCTCCAACTCTAATATCCACTGAAGTTCCTGCGCAAATATTGCCTCCGAGCCCTAGCCAACCAAACCTCGGAAGACCGTTTATCTCTCCCGTGTTACCCACTAGGTCGAATACTCCTCCACCAAATCCATTGGCTCATGGCTGCACTGCCCGTCATGTCCAACGAAAAAGTACCTCCGACGACTGTCCTGTCTGTCAACAGTCGCTCTCATCAACTACTTTGGCGGACTTGGTGTGGTGTAAGGCACAGTGTGGAACGAACATTCATCGCGAGTGCTGGGAGATGTGGAGGAGGACTTCTCCAAGGAACACACGGTGCATATATTGGTAAGTAACAACGAAATTTCCCAATTAGTCATTAACCTTAGGCGGCTGATGATTGTGTGCTTAGTCGTACAACTTGGTCTGCTGCTTGCATACACGATACCACCGTCACCCCGTACCATGATTTTCTACCTCAATTCTCAGGTGACGGTTCCATGTTCCGTACACTATTCAACCCCCTTCGACATGCCTGGTCTCTCTTCGACGTTACTGACACTGAGGCAACTGGACTCAGAGAGTTATTCAATCCAAGGCGACACATTCGTCCGATTCGGTACGAGAGACAAAAGGACATCTGGGCATCTTTGACCTTAGACACCTCACTGGACTTGCAAAACTTCTTTAACCCCCGACGCCATCGCGTTATTTTCTGTATCTGGGAAATTGAAGAGGGCGGTGATGTAGGCCTCTATACTTTGTTCAACCATCGTCGGCATCGTACCCAATTCTGTCTTTGGGATAGCACGGAGCAAGACGATGGATTTACCATCTTATTCGACGAGCGACGGCACAAACGAGCACCCCGTATTGATAAGAGCAAACTCACGGCAATGGAACAGGAAGGGGATGACTTTATGCTCCGGTGGTTGTTCGAGGTGCCAGTAGCCTCGTGTCCATCCGTAAAGATGACCTCTGAGACATGGTCCGAACAAATGAACAACGTGTTGAGTCGTTGGGAACGTATACCAAACAATTTCACGCCGGGCAACACAGCTGATAAGGAGGACTGCGAGACAGAAAAAAATAACTGTCTCGCGTCCCTACGTCTAGTAGGCTCGTTGCGGCAAATTTGGAGATCTGTAGTCATGGATTGGTAGTGACGATGATGGTCAATTGAGCAATTGGCAGTTGGCTAGTAGGCCTGACGGCGCGGTAATTAGGACTGATATTTTATCTGTTTCCAAACACTTAACGAATCTCAATTGAATAACGCCTATCTGATAAAATCTATTTCTTAACGCATAGTGACAGAAACCGTTTTGCTCTAAGCAGACAGTATTGAAAAATATAAATATCGAGATATACCAATGAATAGATGGCAAGATTACCACTGAACAATCGACTTACCAACAACACCTATATGTAGTAGAGAACGGTATTGATAACAACAGGAGGACTGCATCCCTTTGCATCTACTTGATCTTTCAAAGACACTCCTAATCGAGCATTGGTTTACAATCTATACAGCAAAGGCAACCAGAAACGTGCTAGGCGTACACACCAAAGAATGACAAATAAGCATCTAAACACATCAAGCATCTAAACAACCAACGATTCTCTTAAAAGGGCAATGAATTAAGAAGTGAAAATCAGCACAATGTGAAGTAAATGGGATAAAGAGACTGAAGGACTGCGCTGCAGCTTTAGTGTGCCGATAACGCCTTAGCCAAAACAGAAGGTTGACGACTCAGGCGAATTGGGCATAAACCCTTTAGCTGTATCCGCTTGCCATGCTGGCAAGATAAAACTTATAGCGACCAAGAAACGACAACGCGATTACCGACTCCCTCAAAGGAATGCGCTTGCAATGCGGCAAAGGAAGCCAAACACAAAGAGAAAAATAATAATACAGAACGGACCATGTTACACAAGTCAACACCTGACTATTTCGACCGCTGCAGCTTTTGCCATGTTTTTCTCTTCTTGCAGACAGCTCTCATGTCGCTCCACCACGGGCGATTGCTGTCGGTGACGCCCAGCCAAGCTGAATATGGGCCTTTGTGCCTAAGTGCTCAACCGTGCAGGTTGCTTTCAGGTCGATTTTGTTGCTGTGATGTAGGTATGTATTATTGCTTTCAGTGCCCGAGATGAGTATCATCCACTATAACCGAGAGAGAATCCGGGAGACGACGAGTTCAACGAATGCCGATCTTCTTGACCATTGGTAGAATGAGGCATATATTAAGAGGGATCGTTGAATGTTGAGATCTACTATGGGTATCGGTATCTTGGCGGCATTTTCAGAGTTGCTTGGTGATAAAGAAGCAGATGGCTCTGACGAACGCAACGATAGGATATGGTAGGATGTGTGGGTTTGGGCCGAGAGCAAGGGCAAAAACTCTGACCGTGAGTTTGGCTGAGTTGGTTGTCTTAGGGGGAACGAGGACAGAAAGGCGACGAAAGGAGCCATGTCAGACGCAGTCCCTCATCGGTAACAAAATTATGATGACACAAGAGAGTGCTTGGTGGCAAAGGTGTCGGCGTCGCAAGGGGGCTGTAGGGATATAACATTGGCGAAGATGCTGACGACACTTTCTTTGTTAGCAGACGCCAAAGCTAAGCCCGAATGAACAGTTGATAACGATATGAAACCAAGGCATTAGCAAAGGAGAGATCGAGCAGGGCTAACCACTCCCGCCATGCTCTTCCGTTTCGACTGCCATCTCTTCCACTGGTCCATCAACGGCAGCTGGCAATGGTGCTGCAGCCAGCGGCGGCTGTGTTGGGCCCGACCCTGTCACTGGAGAAGGCGTCGACACCGGCTGTGACGCCGACAAGGAGTTACGCGGCGCCTTTTTCTTGCTTTTAGGCTTCTCCGAAGCCTCATCTGTGAACGTCTTCCACTTGCGCCAGCCATCGTAGTCGATGAGAGCTTGCATGCAGCCCCATTCCTTGACTTTACGTTCGAGCCAGACGAAGTTGACAGGCTGAAGGATTGGTCAGAATTATTTGTTCATCGAGACATGTGAGGAAAAGTTACGTAAGGACGGGTCTGTATCATGATAGCTTACCTTGGTCAAGAAATCGTTACAACCGGCAGCAAGCGCTTCGTGCCTGTCACTCTGCAGTGAACTTGCTGTCAAAGCGACAATGATGACAGGGCTTTTGAAGGGAAGTTCAGTTGCCAACTTGTCCTCTTCCGTTACCTCTGTCACATCGCCATTTGGCCCTCCATTAGGCCTATCTTGTTTTTCCTCATCCCTAAAAACACCTATGTTATTCACTCGCTCCAACCGCCTGATTTCCTTGGTTGCTTCCAGGCCACTCATGATGGGAAGCTGGATATCCATAAGAACCAGATGGAAACCACCTTTGCGCCATTTCGTTACGGCATCCCGTCCGTTCATGGCAGTTTGCCAGCGAACCTTTAACCGCTTCATAAAAGCCTCCAATAGTTTCAGGTTGATGATATTGTCTTCGACAATAAGAACATTGATTGGAGGAACAGAGCCATCAAGAAGACCAGATGGTAGTTTAGCGCCGTCCTTAGTCTCCGGCTTAGGTTTTGACTTCTTCGGCTTGCGAGGAGCAGGAGAAGCTACACGCGGCGTCGGTGGCGTCGAAGACTGCTTGGTCGGAGGTTGGTCGGCGATTGGAGGTGTAGGCATAGGTGGGGCGCTGGGAGCGACATGCTTGGTTTCCGACGGATTTGATTCAATATGAGGGCGACGGTCTGACCGAGCAGGCAGATGTGTGGAGCTCGCGAGAGCCGAAGGCCCTGGATGTGTTATCTGCGTCGGGGAGGACGTGGGATGACGCCGGATGCCTGGCCGATGGGCATGAGCTCGACGCGTGTTACCGGGAGAGGGAAGCGGTGGTACCTGACCAGAAGCCAGTACGGCCATGGCTCCCCGTTCATGCGCGGCATGCGATTGGCGGCTGTCGTGCGAAAGCGATGTCAAGGGCGCTGGAGAGGGCACTCCTATGGCTGGCATGGGCGGGAAATAGTCTGTGCCATTCTCCAAAGGCCGAGTATCGTGGTAGTAAGGAACGTAAGCCCCATGGCCCAGATTACCTCCCGGTGAGGGTTTTGGTGTTCGCCGTTGAGGAACGTCAATGATGAGAGCCTCATCTACATTCTGACCACCAGGGAAATATGAATCTAAAGTCCTGCACATCTCCTCCTCGGGTCCCAGTGTTCTCTCAGATTCTCTTTGTGCCTTGTCGCGCGGGACGATGCGGAGTGTGACGTCGGGAGCATCGAAGCTTTTGCCGAGCGAGTTTGCGTACTTCCTCAGGATCATGTCGCGCACATCGTCAACCAAGTCATCTTCCCGTATTTGGACCAACGTCGCCGAGGCCCCAGGTCGCTTGACCCAGATCTTGCGGTGTAGCATGTTGGCGCTGAGGGTGGACGGGCCGCCGGAGAAGTAGTCTTCCGGGCTATCGGCGCTCGAAGGACGAAGCTTCAAAGGGTCTAGCAGGGTATTTATGGCTCGGGCATTAGAGTTGGAGAGCAGCGACTGACGTCGGACGGCGAGCGGGCGAAGTTTGGGAGAAAGAACGTCGGGCGAGGGCAGCGGAAGGGCCTTGTCGGCTGACTCGATGCGGAGGGCGTCGTTGGCGGGAGGGTCGGTGGGGTTGGGGGAGGGCTCCTGGAACTCGAGAAGGGGTGGTGGCTGGGTGGTGGCGGTGGTGGTGGTGGTGGTGGTGGTAGTGGTTGTGGAGGATGTGGTGGTGTCCTGGTGTTGTCGTCGCAGACGATCTTCGGGCCGGTCGGCGATCGACTCAGGCAAGTGGTGATGATCAACCAGCGTCGATGCCCTCTTGTGCTCGCCCGACGACGGCGAGCGCAGTGGCAGCGATACCTGCGAAAGTTCACGCGAACACGCCCTCTTGTCCGAGGATCTGTGGCGCGGATGGTGCAGGGGTGAGGCGGCTTGTGAGGCGGTGCCCGTTGACGACGTGACTGAGGCCGTCGAGTCACGCCGGCCCAGGAGTTTCGTTTTGGCGTTCTCCAGCCGCAGTTTGAAAGGCATCCTCGCGATCACAGTCTCGCAGTCGCAGTCGCAGGCGCGGGCGCGGGCTGGGAGTGGGCGTGGGCGTGGGCGTGGGCGTGGGCGTGGATTTGGGTGTGGGGGGCAAGTGCAGGGAGCAACAACTAGCAATAGCGCACCGACATGGCGTGCATGGTAGGTATCGAAACAAATGAAAGGAGCGACAGTCGAATAAGGAGCGGCCGGCTATCTCACGGTGCCAATGGTGTTGAGGGACAGAGGGACGTGGTCAAGGTATGCAGCGTCGCCACTCCAGGCCGTTTGACAACGCACGGAATCCTCTCGCGAATCCTCACCACATTCGCACGAATCCCCGCGAGCGTGTCATTGGCCAATGTTTCATATGGACGCCAGAGAAAACGGCACCCCTATCCGTATCCGTAATCCGCCACAATAAACGGGCAGTATGTAAACGCCGTCGTCATCCTGAGTCATGCCATAAGATCCGAGCCCGGGCGCCGTCATCCCATGTGACTCATGCTCGCCTTCTACCTATATCTCCAACCTCACTCTTGCTCTTCCTTCCACCTGCGCGGCTCCGTCTAGTCCACGCCTCTCTCCATATGCCCAAGAAGCACCGGCAAAACTTCAACAAGCTCTCGAGCAACTACGTACATCCTTCACTGTCTTCCTCCAGGCCCTCCAGCTCCTCTGGCACCAGCCCCTCTTCGCCCCGCACCGTCAATGAGCGCCTGAACCAGCTGCGTCGGGAGCAAACTCCCAAGACCGCAGTCGACCGCCGCAATGACATCGCCGAATCCCTCGCCCAGTCGGCCATTCACCCAGACGTGAGGCGGATCCTGAACCTCCCTGAGACAGCTCCTCCAAGACCAAATGGCCCCACAAGACTGGCGAATGGCAGGCGAGTGCCAGGCCCCGCCGCACCGCGAAGCTGGCTTGAAACGAGCAAACACGCGCCCGACGACGTGAGGAGGCAAGCTAGCCTGCGGCCTCTTGGGAGGTACCGACCGTTCGAGCCGACCTTCCCAGAGCGCATGCCGCAACCGGGTAGTCTTGTGGAGCAAACGTTGAAGACCCTGGCCGCAAACTGGGAATACCTGTTGGAGTACGAACAGTACAACCTTTGCGCACTGCCAGTGCAACTCAAGGGCATGCTCATCAGCTATTTGACCATGTACGGACCGGAAGGGGGTATCACGCCGCACACTCTGAAAACACTGTTTCTAAAAGAGAACGAGCTTGAGGGTGGAACTGGTAGCGAGGAGCTGACGCATCTGGACCTTTCGAGCCTAATGAGTCAGGGGCTTACTGTTGCTGACTTGACAAAATACATGACTCACTCTCCGGCGCCGAAGGCAGAAGATCTGGCGGCGGACATGGGCCAATTGGCGATATCGTCAGACGAAGTTGCGGATTCCTGGGAAGACGCCGCGGGAACAGAGACCAAAGTTCTCCCGTTGCCAAAGGCTGTAATCAACGTCCGTTTCCCAAACCTGACGCATCTTTCACTCTCTCACCCCTCCTGCGCGTCATGGGCACACTTACTCAGTCTATCCAAACATCTATCTACGCTCAATCACCTGTCTCTTGCCTTTTGGCCCACCCCGACTCTTACGCCAAACGCCAATACTGCTTCCTTGAGCAACGCCCATGGTCGGCCTGTCAACCTCTCCGGTACGCCTTTCTATGCGGCGCTCGACGCAGATTGGGCCGAAGCTGCCAACATACTACGACGTATTGCGAACAATACATACTGTCTGCGGCGGCTTGACCTCACGGGCTGCGACTGGATCTCTGCCTTAGTCTACGGCGTGCCCGATCGCGGCGAGTGGGTTCGTGATGCAAGTAATGGTACACGTTGGACTACGGCTGGCCCATCAAATCGTAACAGGGATGACGATTCTTGGGAGATTAGACAGGCAGCACCGGGCCCGGACTGGAATGGATCATGGCGTCAGCTCACGCACGTCAGCATCGGGCAAGGCTGGATCCCGCGGAATGTAAATGCAATTCGCGCACTACCAGCCGGGCTTATGGGATGTGAGTTGCTGGGGTACCTGAGAAGCGATGAAGGCCGGGAGAGATTAAAACGAGAAGGGTTCTTGGGTGCAGGCATGGAGACGGAGGCACATGTGAGAAGGTGGATGGAGAGAGAGAAAGAGGGACGTCGGGTCGAGGTGGTGGTGAGGCGACTGAGGGCGGGGGCGAAGGGAAAGTATGTAAACTTTGATCACGGATGGACGCCAGGGCTGCAGCTGAGCCTAGCGGGTGGAGATGAGTAGGTCACATACAGTAGAGTACGAGTACATACCTAAGATCACCGGCGCTAAGCTGCAAAATCCGGGGCTTGGTCGCTTCTCCGCAACCGACATGGCCCCGCTTACCGCCGGCTTGCACGGAGAACCCCACATCAACAACACTCGCTCTCACCCGCTCTCGCCCTCCTCATTACACGCCCCGCAATGCCACCCAAGATACCACCGCGCCTCCTCCACCGCTCTGTCCGCATCTGCGCCCTCCGGACCTATGGCCTCCGTTCCAACATTGCAACATGCTCGCGCGCGACACCCGTACTAGTGTGCAGGAGCAGCGGCAACACCAGAACCATAGCGACACATTCACACTCACACCATGCGGCTCAGCTTTCGGTGCTGCAGACCAACGTGGACAGACAGAGCGATACATACGCCCAGAATGTGAAGGACTTTGAGCAAGCGGCACAAAGGATCAGAGAGTTACACGAGCATACTGCGAGAGGTGGTTCGGAAAAGGCAAGGGCAAAGCATGTGGAGAGGGGGAAGATGCTCGTTAGGGAGTATGCCGTCCTTCTCCCCTCCTGATCCTCGCCGTTGTTGCAAAAGCTTTTGCGTGCTGCTTCCGGGTAGCTGGGTGGTGGACATCGGGCTGACGGTAAACCGGATAACAGTCGTATAACCGCTCTCGTAGACCCAGGAACAAGTTTTTTGGAATTTTCAGCGATGGCTGGTTATGAGGTATATCCTGGCGAAGACGTCCCGGCTGGCGGGATCGTGACCGGTATTGGAACGGTCGAGGGCGTGCGATGCGTCATCGTCGCCAATGACAGCACGTACGTTGGGCCCATTCATCTAGCTACGGTTTTGCTATTACTGACGGTATCTGGTTGTTTGCAGCGTCAAAGGCGGTACATACTATCCGGTCACGGTAAAGAAGCATTTGAGGGCTCAAGCTATTGCACAAGAGAACAGTAAATCTGGTATCTATGGCAAACTGAACAGATAGATACTGACAGACACGACAGGGCTGCCTTGTATCTACCTAGTGGATTCTGGCGGCGCCAATCTTCCGCACCAGGCGGACGTCTTCCCCGATCGCGAGCATTTTGGGCGCATCTTTTACAACCAAGCAAAGAGTAATACCACTACCTCCTACACCAATCCCATCCCTTGCGACTTCCATAGCCATGGTACATACTGACCTTCCTTTTTTCGCAAGTGTCATCTCGGGGAATACCTCAACTATCTGTAGTAATGGGGCCCTGCACTGCCGGTGGCGCTTACGTCCCTAGCATGTCGGACGAATCCATCATCGTTGAGCAGCAAGGCCACATTTTTCTGGCTGGGCCCCCATTGGTTAAAGCAGCAACTGGAGAAGTCGTAAGTGCGGAGGAACTTGGAGGTGGAAAGTTGCATAGCGAGGTCTCCGGCGTCACAGACTATCTTGCTGTCGACGACGCGCATGCGCTTGTGCTAGCAAGGCGCTGTGTCAAGAACCTTAACTGGCCTTCTGCTGCTAAAGTCAGTGCAAGAGCCACAGCAGCAACTTCCTCGGGCGCGGGAGCATTGGCCTGGGAAGAACCGTTGTATCCTGCCAGTGATTTTCCAGGTATCGTTGGAACAAATTTGCGGCGACAATTTGACGTAAAAGAAATCATCAGCCGCATTGTCGATGGCTCCCGGTTCTCAGAATTCAAGCCGCTCTTCGGGTCCACATTGGTGACGGGCTTTGCACACATCTACGGCCAGCCCGTTGGTATCTTGGCCAACAACGGTATTCTATTCAGCGAGGCAGCCCTTAAAGGTGCACATTTCATACAGCTATGTGCGAAGCGACGAGTTCCGCTTGTATTTTTGCAGAACATCAGCGGCTTCATGGTCGGCAAGGATGCAGAAGCGGGCGGCATTGCGAAGAACGGTGCCAAGCTGGTTACCGCCGTGAGCTGTGCAGATGTGCCTAAGTTCACCGTGGTCGTGGGGGCGAGTGCAGGCGCAGGTAATTACGGGATGTGGTAAGTGGTGCCCGCTCCCACTCTTCCCTCCCAAGGGCCTATGAGCTAACCTCACGAACTTGCGCTTCAGCGGCCGCGCCTACTCACCCAGGTTTCTTTGGACCTGGCCTAACGCGAGGACATCCGTTATGGGACCGGAGCAGCTCTCCTCGGTCATGGAAGCAGTTGGAAAAGCAGCCGACCCGTCGCTCAAGTCGCGTATTGAGCGAGAGAGCAAGGCTACGTTTGGCTCTGCCCGCCTCTGGGACGACGGCATCATCCCGCCCGAGCATACAAGACAGGTGCTTGGTTTGGCGCTGCAGGTTGCTGCAGCCGAGGAGGTTGCACGAAAGGAGAGCGCGGAGGGTGCTACTCGTTGGGGCGTCTTCAGGATGTGAAGGTTGTTTGTAGGAGTGGAGAGACAATGCAAGTGTTGCTGTGCACTATTCACGAGCGCACGATCTAAAAAAGGCATCGGTCGAATGACGGTCACCATATCAGCCCAAGACGACGAACAGCCTACCCCCGTGCGTTTCGCCACTCGCACCATACGGCCGGTGCTCATCCGTCCCGCCCCCCGAAACCATGTACCCTGTTTGCCGTGGATCCGAGAACGGTCAAATCCAGCGTCCAGCCCCGCTGCTGTAACGACGGCTCGGCGCCCAGCGACGCACGCACGCGCGGTTGCACAACCTCAACAAACGGCAGCGTGCAGCCAAGCGTCGGAAAGCGTACGTGTGCGGCGCAGCGTGGGTTTCCGCAGGAGGATGTTGAGCCGTGCGAGGTGGTACCCAGGTTCCAGTCTGCGTGCGCGTCAGTGATGAGGAAGCGGGAGTGCCACTGCCAACGCCCACGCGACGCGAGGCCACGTGACGGCCCCCGATCATGACCTACCCGATGGCGACACAGGCGACCGAAGAGGATTCCATGCACATTATCTTTCAGCCGTGAGCTGCTCGTTCTATGTCGTACGTCTATGTCCAGATTCTCAAAGCAGTCTCGCATTCCAAGCCAAAGATCCGTTGCGGGGTCCCAGTCCCAGCCCAGCCCGTCCTGGTCCAAGTCAAGGCATGCCACATATCGACAAATGACAAAGACATATGCACAATCTGCACATACCTGCACATACCTGCACTATAATATCGTGCATCTGTGTTCGCGTCGGTTGCGCCGCCTCGTGCTGCTGCCTCCACTGCTTCCGCCCGGCCTTCGTGCCGACTCGCCATGGCTGCTGCCGCCGTGCCGCCGCTTCCCGGCGTCGCGGCCATATGCGTCGCCGTGTGAGCCTGATTTTTCCATGTCCCTCCGGATAATCTGCCTGCAGAGATCCACGAAGACTTCGTCGACGTTTGCGCGCCGCCGCGCCGAGGTCTCGTAGTAGGGGCAGTTTCCCCACGCTTGTGATACCGCGAACGCGCGCGCCCGCGTCACCGCTCGGTCTTCTTCCAGGTCCGATTTGTTGCCTACGAGGACAATGGGCACTTTGTGGTCGTCTTTTATCCGTATGATCTGATCGCGGAGCTCAGCGAGTTCGTGTAGCGAGGTCATGGACGTAATGCTGAAGACGAGCAGGAAGCCCTGGCCGGTTTTCATGTAAAGCTCTCTTGATTCGGTTAGCAGAGGCTCGTGAGTCGTGGCATACAAGAGTGCGGGTGTACCTCATGGCAGCTGTCGGCACGTTAGCAAGACATTGTCGCGCACCCACAGGATGGAATGTGGCTTACTAAACTGCTCGGTGCCTGCTGTGTCGAGAATCTCGAGCACGACCGATCGTCCCTATTGCGCATCGCGTCAGACCACCGAGTCTCGTTCGGGAGCGGGCGTGCGGGCGACTGACATCTACGTCGATGGCCTTGCGGTACGAGTCCTCAATCGTGGGGTCGTAGGACTCGATCCAGACATTCTGAACAAATTGCGCTGTTCCGCTGCGTCAGCCGAGAGGGAAGAGAAAAAGATAGTCTTGGCCGTACCTGTGAGACAGCTCTTCCCGACTCCACCTGTCCAGCGCGAAACAGATTAGCACCAGGCGCAAGACGGGATCAGCGCAAGGGTCCGGACTTCGTACCAGAACCCAGGACGACAATGTGGTACTCTCGTTGTGACATGCCTCTGGTTGTGCGGAACGGCGAGGTGGCAGGGGCAGCGGGGAGGATGCGCGCGCAAAAGCAGCCCGCGCGGCGCTGTTGGCGCGAGACGAAGAAGGAGGAGGTCGGGTTCGAAGGCGTCGCAGGAATATCGAGGATGAGGTCGGGCGTCAAGCGGGCGGGTCTAGCTCTCTAGATCTGCGGGCTGGACGAGAAGCGGTGCGCGTCGCGTACCGTGGGAGAGATTCGGCCAGGGATCGCTAGGGCGGGCTTGCAACACGGGCGTGAGAGAGGATGATGATGATGTCTGGAGGGAGGCCTTGGGCGCCGGCACGTAAGGGAAAGGGGAGCGCGCGCGGAGAGGGCCAGGATGAATGATTAATACCGGTGCGCGCTCAGAGTTCAGCAGTTGACATAATTTCGCAGGGAATCGTGAGGCTGCCAGCAGATCCACCGCCATCAGAAAGGGCGCCTCAGGGAGCAGCTCCCGCTCCCGCCCCCCTCCAAACCCCCGCTCCTGGATCGGCTAGGGACCAGTGTCCGTTGCTCTGGGACGTGCGACCTCTCCTGCGCTGCGTGGACGAACGGAACGACATCATTGCAATATCCCTCACGTGCCCCTCGGAGCTTGCCGATCCCACTGCGCGACACATCGTCCGTCTCTGCGCTCTGAGCTCCGACGCCTCGAGGAACCATGCTGCTCCCCACCATCACCACCAAGCTGCTGCTGGCCGCCTGGCTGCCTCAAGTCGCCCTTGCCGTCTTCGCCGACGACGCCTACCACGTCGACTACCACTACGCTCTGCTGGGCGCTCCCCAGCAGCACGCTACCTTCTTCCACCAGCCCCACGCCGCCTCCAAAGCTTCCCTCCTCTACACCCTCTCCGACAAGTACGTCCTTGGCGCCATCAACCCCAAGGATGGCTCGCTTATCTGGAGGCAGCGCTTGTCCTCCAATTCGTCTGCCTCGTTCCTGAGGGCCGGTGAGGGACAGGACATCGTCATCAGCGCCGTCGACGACCAGGTCGCTGCATGGGACGCCACGGACGGTAGGTTGGTCTGGGACAGCTCCTTCCGGAATGCCCATGTGAGGGACCTGGAGGTCATTGAGCTGGAAGATGCTTCGACGAGCGCTGGCGCAAAAGACGCCCTTGTCATGTTCGGCGGCAGCAACCCGGCCGTGATGCGTCTGAATGGCCAGAGTGGCGCCATGAAATGGGCCTTTGAGGACACCAGGTAGCCTTCCATCGGCCTGTAGACATGCTCTCGCTGACAATGCCCGCAGTGGCGATGTACCCTTCCAAGTATCCACCTCTGCCACCGCTATTCACGCGATCTCTTTGTCATCCGCCATGCTCGGAGGGCTGAAAATCAAGGTCGTGTCGGTCGATCCCTTGACCGGTCACAAGATTGACCAATACACGCTCACCTCTGAGAGCGACATCTCTTCTCCGGACGACATTCTGTTTGTGGGTGCGAACTCCGCCTCACCAATACTCGCATGGACCGACAAATCCCACAAGACACTGAAGCTCAACCTCATTGGTACTAAGGGTATCTCGAGCCTCAATATTGAGAACCACACCGGTGAGGAGATTGAGAAGGTTGTGCTCCATGCGCCGCACCGCACCATCTCGGTTCCGCATTTCCTCGTCCACTACCAAACGTCGAAGAGCCATTGGGCCGATGTGTACCACGCCGACCTCAAGACCGGTTCGTTTTCGAAAGCTTACAGCTTACCTAAGTTGAGCGGAAAGGGTGCCTTCTCAACTAGCACCACTGATGCCAACGTCTACTTCACCCGGGTCTCTTCCGACGAAGTTACTGTCGTCTCTTCGGCATCTGACGATGTTCTTGGCCACTGGCCAGTCAAAAAAGACACTCCAGACCATGCTGAGGCGGTCAAATCTCCGCTGCATGCTGTTTCCGAGGTTGTCGTCAAGTCTGGCGGCGCGTCTGCTGTGAGATCCGCCGTTTTTGTTTCCGCTGGTAACTGGAACATGTTGCGCAATGGCGATTCTACTTGGTCCCGACCGGAATCGCTGGCGGGTACGGTTGATGCCGTGTTTGTGGATCTCCCGGATCAAGAATCTCTTGTTCAAGAGTTGGAAATTGAGACTCACCAGAATGCTTTGGCTGCGTACATTCACAGAGTTAAGAGACACGTAAAGGATCTCGAGCACCTGCCGCAGTTCCTGCAGAATCTTCCTAAACGCTTTATGCCGGCCGCGGAAACTCAGGACAAGCCCCAAACGGATACTTTCGGTTTCAACAAGCCCGTGGTTGTCGCGACCGAAACTGGGCGTTTTATTGCCTTACGTTCTGGCAAAATCATTTGGAACAGTGACATTCTCAATCTCCCTATGGGAAAGAAGATCGACAAAATAGAGCTTAGAGTCACATCTACAGGACTTATTGAAGCCGATATTCCGGAGCTGAGCAAGCTTGTGCTTCTCGACGTTTCTACAGGTCTCGCCTTACCTGCCACTCCTAACGAAGCGAAACATCCTTTGGACACAGAAAAGGCCTCCCCCGCGTTCTCTTACCGGGTTGTCGATGGCGATCTCAAGGGCTACTGGTCCGGCTCTGATCTTGCTTGGCAATTTGTGCCCACGGCTGGAGAACGTATTATCAATGTGACACCTCGTCCCGCATTGGATCCTGTTGCCTCTATTGGTAAAGTTCTCGGAGATCGCCGTGTCTTGTACAAGTACTTGAACCCGAACCTGGTTCTTGTTACCGCTGTGACCGATGCCACTGGTATACTATCTGTCTACTTGTTGGACTCTGTATCTGGCGTCCTGCTTTATGAGGCTTCACATGAAGGCGTTGATATGATGCAGCCAATTCCTTCTGCGTTGTCCGAAAACTGGATCACCTATTCTTTCACCCTTAGCTCGAACGGCGAGGCACCATCCAGGGGCCACCAATTAGTCGTTGCAGAGTTCTTTGAGTCGACCTTGCCAAACGACCGTGGTCCCTTCGGTGCCTCTTCGAACTACTCGAGCATTCAACCCACAGGCGCTGTCGGTGAAGCCGCTAAGCCTCACGTCTTATCTCAAACCTATCATATACCCGAAGCAATCTCTCATATGGCTATAACTCAGACAGCACAGGGCATTACTTCGAAATGGTTGCTTGTCACGCTTGCGGAATCAAACTCCATCGTCGGCATACCACGCAATTTCATTGACCCACGCCGGCCAGTTGGCAGAGATCCAACCGCTGATGAGGCCATTGAGGGTTTGCTGAGGTACACTCCTGTCATTGAATTCGATCCCAGACAGTATCTCAACCACAAGCGTGAGGTTTACGGCGTTGAAAAAGTTTTGACAAGTCCCGCCTTGATGGAGAGCACGAGCTTGGTGTTCGCCTACGGATTGGATGTCTTCGGCACCAGGGTTACCCCCAGTTTCTCTTTTGACGTGTTGGGCAAAGACTTCAACAGGTTCCAGTTGGTCACCACCGTTGCTGCCCTGGCAGTCACTGTTTTCTTCGTAGCACCATTGGTGAGTTCTGCACCATTCATGAAAGAGTAGAACACTTGCTGACAGACGTTTCAACCAGGTCCGGAGAAAACAGATCAACGCCCGCTGGCAGATATCATAGACATTGGCCGGACCCCTACAAGATTAAAGAATTTTTTATGATAGATGTAATTAGGTTATTTACAGCTTACTCTTCCCCTACCCTTGTGGCCCATGGGAGCTGGCTCGGGGAAGGGCACGAGATTACGTATTGTAGCTGATGTCTATTAACAGTTGAGCCTTGTCTATCGTGTTCCACATTATCATGCACGGTCAGACACGAGCCGTGAATATTCTGTTTAGTGCTTCGCGCCTGGAGACAATGGCTTTGGAGACGAACATCAGTGCCGTCACTTGCTAACGTCGTGCCTCGGACCGAGCAGGGACATCAACGTCAAACTACTATTCGATATTTGAATTCGTCATGAATGGCCTAATAACCATTTCGGTACCCGATGGGAGCGCCTAAGAGACTGATTGCAGCTGCATCTGTACGCCGTAGAACGAAACCCAGGAGTTAGCCATTACAAGAGGTGATGTCATTAATGCCTATTGCCTTTATAAGCGGACAACTACTTAACTCCGGTCCTCCGTGGCGCCTCTCCGTAATGTACGGGTCGTCGACGACTCAAATATGCGCGTTCCTTTCACATAAACCTTGCAACCTGCATCTACCCCTGACAATTATCCTATCAATCTTCCTCTCACGGTTTAATTTAGATCCAACGGTACCATCACTGCATTTGTTATAATGGCGGACCAACGAAAATACACCAACAAATTGCAGGACAAGCATGTCCTGATCATCGGCGGCTCGGCCGGCATAGGGTTTGGCGTCGCCGAAGCATCTCTCGAAAGTGGAGCGCACGTCACCATTTCTTCCTCGAACCCTTCACGCCTTTCCTCTGCGGTTAACAAGCTGAAGGCTGCTTATCCCTCCGCTGCCGACCGCATCTCGTCCCACGCCTGCGATATTGGCAACGAGGATACAATTGAGAAGAACGTTGCTGGTCTCTTTGAAACTGTCGGAAGTATTGATCACGTCGTATATTCGGCCGGCGATGCCTTGGCCACGACCCCTCTTCGCGAGACCTCCTTTGCACAGATGAAGCAAACCGGCTTGGTACGCTTTTTCGGTCCACTCATTGCAGCCAAGGAGGCAGCCAAATATCTGGTTTCTGGCCCGGCGTCCAGCTTTACCATAACCAGCGGCTCGGTTGCCGAGCGTCCGCTCCCGGACTGGGCTGTCGTTGGCAGCTTTGCGGGGGGTCTTGCCTCAATGGCACGTGGATTGGCGCTGGATCTTAAGCCGATTCGCGTAAACTTGATTAACCCGGGTGTTGTGGACACGGAGCTCTGGCGTATGCCGGAGGAGCAGAAGCGAGCTATCTTTAAGGGATATGAAGAGAAGATGCCTACGGGTAGGGTTGGACGTGTCGAAGACGTGGCAGAGGCATATCTGTATTGCATGAAGGATCAGAACCTGACAGGCAGTGTCATTTCGACGAATGGTGGAAGCCTGCTAGTGGGTTGAGTCTTGTTTCTATTGCAATAACGTATAGGACAAAAAAGGACTGGATCATTTTTTTAAGTTTGGACATATCAAATAAATATAGCTCAGCAATTCACTGCAACAAACTGCTGAAATTTGAAGCCAATTCACCATTCGTCCATTTGTGTTCAGCGTTTGTTTGCTTGTGTGTTAAAAGGCATTTGTTGCCCCTAGCGAACATACAAAAACAAAAACAAAAACAAAAACAAAAGTTTGCATCAGCCGCGAATCGAACGCGGGGCCCATCGATGGCAACGATGGATTTTACCACTAAACCACTGATGCTAATTAGATTAGCTAATTGTAATGAAGTTTATGATCAAGCTTTGGTATATATATAGAATAACAAAAATCACATTCAAATGCTTTGGCCGTACCTTTTTGACGCCCAGATCAAGGTCCAAGCGTAGCTCATTCATTTCCCATAAAACAAGGAATCACCATAACTTGAAGTCATACATAGCTAGACTAATTGTCGTGTTCTGCATAGCTTCTTTCGTTCATCATCACGTTCCATATTTCATCAATTCCATCCATCGGCTGTTGCAGATCAACCTTCCCATATGATGCTCTCCACTTTATGCAGTCATAGAACCGCAGGATAGAGTTGCTCTCATTTACATAGTAGGGACTCCGAATAAAACCCTAACTGTATTGACGTAGGTATCCACAATGTTTGGTTGCGAGTCCTTGTCATAGCTGTTAGTGCTTACATTCAGAGTTTGAGATCGATGCTTGGATTTATAGACGCATCATAGTGCTCTTTGCGTTCTGATGGATGAGTTATGCTTTTGTCAACCTGCAGGAATATTTTAAAGAAATCCAATGAGAGAAACTTCACTTCCTATACTCAAGCACGGCAGAGCTGAACGCCGCCTGGCTCTAGCTTATTAAAGTCCATTTTCCCTATCCTCGCCTACATCTGGGCACGTATGGGTCAATCGAATTGATGTCATAGAGAGAGCCTTCGTGTATTACATGTACAACTGTAGAACCAGTCAGTGTAGTTCGTACTTTGACACTAGGACGTTTCGCATTGACTAACACTAAGTTACGTCTCTTTGATTTCCTTGAAATTCGTGTTCACTCTGAAACAGATCATGTTCCAATACAAACCCCTCAACCGGTTATCTGGTGCTGATAGTCATGTCCAATTGAGATAAAGTTGTTCCTAACATGCTGGAGAACAGATCCTTTGAACCTGATGAAAGTGGCGTAAATTCTGATGTCAAGCTATGTCATTTCCTTGCCCATGGCCATAGTATACGGTCCACTGTTGTTTTTACGAGCTCCTTGAGCTTGTCCAGAGCTCGAGTTATTGAGATTGACCGGAGTGAAACAGGATCCGTAAAAACCGGTTGATGTCGCGCTGCATTTCATTCTATGAATACCGGAACATATGTGCTAAGGATAGAGAGCGGTTGCGGCGAGATCCGGGCAATTGATTGTATTGGAGAGACATTGAAAAGCTAACGGAGGAACTCGGGACTCTCTCAAAGATGATGTAGCTTGCTATTTGGGATGTTTACACTTTGTCCCGCAGGCATGAGATGGAGTCGGGACTCTTGTATCTTTATCTGCCCTGAAGCATACCTCGTGTTGATAGTCGCTGCTGAAGGGCTTATTCACCGCAGTATCCGGATATTCTCAGTGGTCTTTTAGAATCATTTAATCCGTACCACCCTTGTCGTTGCTCCTTGGGACAGCCTAGCAACTAAGATGTCGAAAATTCCGACCAGACTCTTGAGATGTCGCATGAAATTTTGTGCAGCGAGAGAAGAGAGGCATGCGCTTAACTACTCACCCATATAGCAAAATGATAACTATGGCTGCGATGTCGTAGTGGAAACAACTGCCTGCAGTTTCGCAGAATAAAGGAAGTTCTTGCCCAACTGAGTCTCCGAGGCATCAATACTCTAAAGGCACACAGATAGAAACTGATAGCTAAGAAAGTCTCCGCAAGGTTCTTCCACAAGATGACAGTATGACTACCAGAGCCATAACGGAACTTCACTTGCATCTCATAAAAACCAAAAGTCTTCTTTCACCTGCAACCAACCACAGCAGGCTAATATCACCGAACCATACCTAACAGGTTAAGCCCCACCCTCTTGCTCCTTCAGTAGCCCACTCCCGCACCAACAGGACAATCATCGATATTGTCCTGCCACCGCAGCTTCGCGTAATCAGGCAAGACCATATTGCTCGTGTAGCTCTCTGGCAAATAAGCCGCCGTGTCTGCCGTGCTGAAAGCTCCTCCGGCCTCGTTCAATGCATTTACAATATAGTCTTCGATAAAATCCACATAGACAACATCGATAGCATCTGGATCGCTGCCGTCAACCGGAAAAGATGCGTTGGCCTGGATATCAATAGGTAGGTCGTATGAGGGGATGGAGGAATGCGGGGTGTCATCGCCATCAGTGCCGAAATCATCCTTGGTGGTGTAACCAGGGGCGTTAGCTTCTTGTCGGCGAAGCAACTGGCCGCCGGTGTATGATCGTGAACTCAAATGGTTGTGTGTGATAGGTGGATCGATGCAGCTGTCCTGGTCGAGTAGAGCCATGGGGCTGAAACTGAAGTCCTGAGTTGCAAGATTACGCTTCTTCTGGTAAGGGCCGCCGTTCATGATACTGAGAACTTGCTAGTTTTGCTGTCAGTATTTGACCTTAGTAAGTATTTGTGAAGACTTACTGATGCGTACTCCCAAGGTACAGTTGGGATGTATCTGAAGGTATTTGTGAAAGGGCTAACAATGAAGGAATCATCGTAAGTGAAGGGCCCTTGGACCAAGTCGAACCGTACACTTCCAGTATTGGTAAAGATAATCCTGGGAGTATCAACGCGAGACTCATTGTAAACCACTGTCGACAGGGCCTCAGGTAACAAGGTGAAGATGTTACCATCATCACCGAAAGGTTTACAAGAAATGCACCACGTTTGAGGTGCACAGCCGAGGACAGAGGTTATGTTTAGCTGTTTACGAGTATCAGTGATGTTCGCAGTGACGGCCTTTCCGTTTTGGTTGTCAAAGGGCTTGTTTTGACTTCCTTCGGCGTGGTAGGCAAACGTCCATCTGTTCCAGTCCAGGTAACGGCGGGAGTAACGCAATGTCGATGATGTTGTTGAGACAGGGGTATCAGTGGCAACCGCACTAGATCCAGTTGCAACAGCTGCACGTGTAGGTGCTGGAAGATTCTGGGGCTGTTTAGCTTTGTAGGTCCCATTGGCAGCAAGACCAGTTATCGAGAGCCAGCCGAGTGTTTCACAGTACCGCCCTGACTCAAGACCTGTAGCTTTGTCGTCGTAAACCACAAAGTCTCGAATGTGGGTATGGCCGCCGAACAGTTGGATCGGAGTGGAAGGGTTAGCTTTCCGAATAGCATTGAAAACAGTACCCATGGTACTACTGCTAACGGTCGGCCGTACAGCGTTGTGTCCGATGAGTATAAACATATCAACGGGCTTTTCGAAGTTTATAGCATTTAAGAACCAGGCCTGGTTGACCATCTCTGCAGCTGGGATGACTTTGGAAACATTTGAGTTACCAATGAAGTCAAAGAGAACACCGAAAGCCATAATGCGGAGGCCTACTCGATTGATGATAGTTAGCCTTTGCACAACTCTTTGGTCTTGGAGCCGATGAGGATACAGCCAGAAATGGTTACCAATACTGACTATAGCTCGAGTAGTACTCAATCGGTTTTCTTCATATCTTACCTTGCTCAGTGGTGAAGTAACGATACTGATGACCAATATACTCAAATTTTCCAGTGGAAGGGTTGATTATCTGGACATTGGACGTCAAGTATCGATCTCCATAGACCTTGGCGAATTGATTGAAGTGCTCGTAGGCAATCTCCGTTACATATAATTCATGGTTGCCAATGGCGAGCAAATCATAGTCGATATTTTCGAAGATTGGATTTGAGAGGAGGCCATTGGGGCTCGTAGCATCCGAGACGCCGTTGCCATCATGCAGGTCCTAGATTTTGTCAGGGAGAGATGGGAGATGGAATGGTTGGAGCACGGCTTACACCGGTATCAATAAGCAAAAGATCAATGCCCGTTTGCTTCGCCTTCTTCTTCATGGCTGCCGCAAAAGAAACATAATCTCCCCAATCCGCCCCGTAATTCTGCTCTTTGATATGGCCCTCAAGCCAGCCATGCGTGTCGGTGGTATGCAAGAAATTGATCTGACCCCACTCCAACGGAGCCTTGGGCCCGGCGGTGGCATTGCTAGCCTCAGGTTGCATGCGGCGCACATGACGGGTCTGGACGACATCGTTCTGAGGCCCGTAGCAGCCGTCATCGTCGCAGGATAGCACTGGCAGGGCTGCGCCCAGGGCGATGAGAAGAGCAGAGAGGCGCATCGTGGCTCATTCTTTATTCACTCAGCGACAACGGGCGCGCCGCGATTATCTTATATAAGATGACTGCGGAGCCATCATGCCGATCGGGAGCAAGGGCAAATGCATCCCGTCAACGATGGACCACGGAATGCACGATAATCTACCCACGTGCATCGACGGGACGTTGTACGTCCTTCCGCATCTGGCGTAGCGAGCGCCATTGCTACAGGGTATAAGGCCGTGCCCTGAGCGACCGGCCGTGTCCGTATGCGGCGGGAGGCTTTGATAGGTATGCTGATGCCTGGGATTTTCGTTCCTCCGAGAGATGAAATCGACGACGGAGGGAGAGGAGAGGAGAGGAGAGAAGGGGAAAGTTTCTCGGCAACTGACCGCTATCCCGAGGCCTAACTTCCACACCAAGTATGGAATCACTCAGATCTACGGTGAGAACCAATCATCGCCCTGATAAGCTCTATCTAGCTATTTGGAAGCAGAACCCTACACATTCCACCAAAGAAATGCCCTAATTTTGCAGTCACAAAACGGCCACGACTTAATTTGCCTAGGCCCCGGCCCCATACCTAAATTTGGCGCAGAACAACAACCAATGCTGCCCTGCAAAAGCTCTTACCATCAAGCACGTCTGGCCACTGAAACTGCTCAACATGTTGCCTTACAGGATTAGAAAGGGGTTAAAAACGTCTTTTCTCACGAGATCAACGAGCAACCACACGTGATGTCTGCCGGAGTACGAGCAGCTATGACCGCATCGGCTGACGCTCCATCTTATCGTTACACGAGAATACTTATACAGGCTTCTAGTCGCTGTGAAAGGTGTTTGGCTTTCACCTATTTTACGTTTGACTTCTTGTTGCGCTGTCAGCGGTTCATCTCTTCATCTTTCACACTCTCGTCTACCCCCTGTTCCTATCTCCAGCTACTTCAGCAACAATGACTTCAAGCCTACCACCACTGAGTGAACTGGTGGGATTATTTCCAGAAGACACCCGCGGCCCAGCATACAATCTTGCCTACGTCTACGCCGGAGTAGCGCTGCTCGCATTTGCCCAAGAGAAAAAGACATCGTACCTGTGGCAAGAAATCGCCAACGCGCACGCCACCGACGAGAGCGCCCAAGCGACCGTGGCGCGACGACTGCGAGAAGGGCTGCTGAAAGCTAGTCCGCTGGTCGGCTTCCCACGCGTAAGCCCTCCTCAGCTCCGATTCCTCCGCGTCTCCACGCCATTTCCGCTCCTGCTCACGCCTCATAGAGTATCAACGGCCTTTCTGCTCTTCTGGAATCTACGCGGCGCACTTCCCCCACGCTGGCTGCTAGCCTGGAGCAGGATGCCTCGCTCCGCTCGCCTGTGCCCAAGGCCGAGCGCCAGCAGCGCGGCAAAGCCTTCTTCAGCAGGATCTATGCGCAGCATACCGACCGCGTGCTCCATGCCATGAACGCTTCATCGGGTGGCGACCTGGGTGAGTTTGCCATCACGTGTATCTACGGCGACCTCATGGCCGAGGAGAGTATCTTAGATGCAAAAGAGACGGGCCTGCTTGAGTTTGTGGCGTGCTTTGCGTGTCAGGCGGAGAGGCAAGCTAAGGGGTGAGTGCTTTTGTGTTCCCTTTGATTCCGTTGTTTTTGGAAGGGTTGAAGTACTGAACTGATAATGGCAGGCATATGTATGGAGCAAGGAATTTGGGCGCTTCGGGAAAAGAAATTACGGGTACGGTTGACTTGGTGATCCGTGTTGCAAAAGCGCTTGGAGTCGATTTTGATATTGCGGGCATGGAGTTCGTAGAAAAGGCGAAAGGGTGGTAGGCCTTTAGAGCTAGAGTGTTCCTTCCTTAGTAGACAATAGTTGTGGTACTACACCCAGCAATACATTAGATAGATAGACTAGACTAGACCGCCTTCTCCATAAATAAACACAGACAGTCATGCCCACAAGGCCGACTCTTATCTATCCAATATAACCTTATCACAAACGAACGCACGAAGTTACAGAAAATCTGGGCATGCTTAGGGAATCTGAACTGCGTATTAAAAATAACATTACCATTAACAATACCTCTGTGGCTATCAAAAGCCGGCCGCCTCTTTTTTCAAGTCATCTACTGCCTTGCCCATAGGAAAATCGCTCTCCAAACTGTCATGCGTCGTACAAGGCCCATATCTCAATGGCACCCACCAATCCAGCACGCTCTCCCCCAAGACGCTCTTCAGATTGCCAAACCAGCCCACGTCCCACGGGTTGTCACCGGGATGCGTGAACAGAATGGCGTAAGTCGCGCCTGGAGCGCCGGGGTAGCTGGTCGTGCGGAAAGGGTATTCATTCGTGTCGCCGCGGTACCAGACTGGCGTCACTAGCACGGAGAGATGATAGGTGTTGTTGCCTTTGTTGATGGCCTCGATGCTGGTGAGGTTGGAGAGCGCCATGTGCAGGGTATTGCCAAAGATGCCGGTGCTGAACAGCGTGAAGAGGCCGCTGAAGCCAAGAAGGACGGCTAATTGAGCATTTGTGCCGTAGTCCTAAGCGCCAGTGTAAGTATGGTGTACAATCTTGCGGTAGAAAAAAGCCGGCTTTCAATTGACTTACATTATGCCTATCTTTTGCCAAAACGGCCGCATCCGTGACCAGGACAAACACGGCCAGAAAAGCAGCGTAGAAAGTGAATTGAATGAAGAACTTCATCGTTGTCTCCGACACAACGCCTCCGACCCATGGACAGAAATGATCTAGCCTTCTCACACATCTACCCACATCGCTGCTATGATGGGCACGATCTGGCTTCCAGCACGCGCACTTTTCACACCAGATCGGCATGCCTTCATAGTCGCAGACGAAAACCTCCTTGGGTCGGAAGGCCTCCAGATTACGTATCTTCTCGGCATGCTGCTCAAGCCCCCAGCCCAGGTCCGGATCGTTGGCAGTGACATCGCTGCCGCCATCCAAATGGCCGCCCTCTTCCGCCTCGCGCTCATGCTTCCCCCTCAGCTTGCGTCGTATCCGGCCTCTACTCTTGCGCCTGCGCTCGTCGGCCTTGGTCCGGCCCAGCGGAAGGTAGGCGGGATTGGTCCAGACGGTCTGCAGCAGGCGGAGGTAACAGAGGGCGGCCATGAAGAGAGAGACCGAGTAAAGCACAATGACAGCAATGGCGGCGGCGCGCTGGTGGTAGCGCTGCAGCAGCCGGTAGACAGCGACTTGCACGATGGTTACGTAGGAGGCCCAGCCCACGATGGCCGTTATTATCAGCGGTACGATTATGGCCGAGTAGCGCGCGATGGCCTGGGGATTGGGGCCCGGGACATGGGCGGCAGAGGAGGCCATGGTGGTAAGGGAGGCCTGGAAGAGGGGTCAGTAGGGATGGAACATGGGAGGAGGAGAGAGGATGGAGGCAGAAGTCGCGCGGAGGAGCGCGGAATGCGCCTCGAGCGCTGGCAGCGGCCTGACTGACTAGTCGTGCAGAGACTCACCTGGTGGAGGTAAAACAGACCGCCAGACAACAAGCTGGCGCGGCGCGTGAGAGAGGAAGCGGGACGGATCTAGCGAGGCGGGCCTAAACGCATGACGATGGATGATAGTATGTAGTTACTGTACGAGTAATTACCGTGGATGAGGCATGGCGGCCCCATCTCTCTCGTCGAGTCGAGTCGACCAGCCCAGCCTCCTGCCCCCAGACGTGCAAACGACAGTTGCAGCCACGCGCTGAAGAGCGGGAAGCATCCGCGCGCCCGCGCCCTCGGACTCGGCGCTAATCGTCAGTCGATCCCATTCCACTTCAATTATTACTACACCCACACGCCCCGCCATCACAATGCCTTCCTCTTGCAAAGACATCCGTGAGTTTGTCTGTCACTGTCGCTACCGCTACCCCCGCAGCTAACTCGCCTACCCCCGCACAGGCGCCGCACTGGCTGCTTGTCTGCAGAACAGCGACTGCATCATGATTGAGCGCAACAAGCCCGCCGACTGCCTGCGCCCGCCGCTCGTCGACACCCTCCCCACCCGCTGCCAGCAGCTCAAGAAGGGCTACGGCGACTGCAAGCGCGGCATGGTCGACATGCGCAAGCGTTTCCGCGGCAACAAGCCCGTCTCCGTCAGCTCCGAGATCGAGGGCGGCGCCGACGACCCCGGAAAACAGCTGTACGCCGGCAGGCCCTTCTCGGATGTCGTCAAGGCCACAAGTGGCAACGAGGACAAGAAGGACGACGAGTAGGGCGGATTGAGGGAGATTGGTGGCGGTGGAGGCGGCGCTGAGTGAGAGCGTGTGTATGCATTAGCAGCATTGGGAAGGCGTTCAGGCATATCCACGACTTGGGGAGTATTCAAAAGGGGGCGTTTGATGCTGGACTGCACAAATTACCGCACTTTGGCTGAGTCAGGCAACGTTTGCCTCTGGAAGTTGCCTGCACGCAGAGGGAGGCTGTGTATACATCCCATCTCAGCTCGATGACTTTGGATGTCTGTAAGATCAACTAGCGTGGAGGAAAGAGCTATGTGAGATTCGTGATTTGGCGGGGCGAGGATCGAGAATGACGCTGTGCCGCCTGGCGGTGGGGTGGCCGCAGGTGATGCGGCTCTTTTGGGGCTGTGCATTGAGCCTCGTTCCTGGACCTGCATCTCGGGATTTCCACACTTTGACCATCCAAACCGCTTCTCACATTGCCCTTATGCAAAGCAGCCCTTCGCTTCGGCCGAGCACAGCCCACTGCAACCCCAGGCATTTCCCAGGTGCCTGGGAAAAGATGCCAGGCCAAACCTCGATTCCACACGAGCTCACACCAAGGAAAGGAAGACAATACTGATGCAATTAAGGGATCTAGTAACAAGAGGAGAAAGGGAAATCATGGCCACCTCTAGAGATCTAGGCGCATCAAACGCAACAAACCTCCCTACTTATAGTGTTCGCCAGGATAGTAGCGTAGCTGCTTTATAGTAAGCTCTGTTCCACCCGATGAGTCCACATCCTATAATTGCTGTGAATATTGATAGAAAGCGATGATAGTAGCCAAACAAAAGAAGTGGAAATGAACGAAAACCAAAACCAACACCCGCAAATAGCCATTCCCATCTTTATCGTTCAGTTAATCCCATGGCGCCGATGCAATGCAGGAGTAATTCCAACGGAGAAGCAGGAAAAGTGCAACCAATGCTGATTGACTAGAAAGAATCCGCGCTTCAAGTAGGTACCTAGCCAGGATTAGTATTGCGTCTATCGTGGCAACGATGGTTAGTGTTACCTGAAAAGGCTAACGACCAGTAAGTATCCGTCTTTATGCCTAGAAGGTCTCGACGTTGCAGTTGTAGCAGCGCTTGTGGTTGCACATGGCGCAACCAGCGTACAGAGACACTGCATTTGGTCCGTTCGAGCAACTACAGCAGTACCAGTAGGATTCTCCGTCTTGAGGTGCCGGGACCGTCTCGCAGTTTGCGTGTGGTCGAGAAGGGTCGAGCGTGATTCCCATAATCTCGCCACCTAGGATCCGAGGACGAGCTACGGGAGAGCTCGGTGCGCTATCCGATTCTATGGATGCGATATTTAGCGCAGCGACGGTGTCGGCTCGAGGGGATTTTGAAAGCGCTTGAGGTTTCTCAGCATTGTCTTCCGGCAAATACGTTGGGGTGCAATGCGAAGGTCCGAAGTGATGGCCACATTGAATACACGCCGCGTAGAGTACGCAATTCCATGGACCGTGACCGCAATTGCAACAGTAGAAGGCATTGGGCAAGGGCGTTGATATCGTACCGGGTACGCCTTTCATGGCAGAAGATCTGGAGGTCGTTGTCATTTGCTGGGAGTTGACGAAAGGCATCTTGGAAGAAGGATGATAGTATTGAAAAGCAAGAGTTTTGAAAGAAGCCAGAATTGTCTCGTATCTGAGTGCAGTCGAAGATGTGATACCGTGAAGGAATCGGAAAGATGTGATATCGAGAGAATAGCGAAAGAGAGAGACGGAAGATTTACTTATACTGAGTCTTATAGCCACAATCAGTCCAAACGCAGGAGGACGCCCACTATGCTCAGCATACAGCCTGCAAGGCGTTGTAGAGGGCGAACTCGCCCTAGCGGATTGATGCCTGGGAAGGACACGAAATGACTAAGTTAATACCTGAGTCCATCATGGACAGCTTTCGGTAAGCCCGAACCAGTCGCCGCAAAGAAAATAGGAGGGCGCAGCATGATTACAGTAGCATCGTACGTGGCTGTAACGTCATTGACAGCGGTGGACTGGAGAGTCAAAGTCCTTCGCAGCATCTTGCCATATCTTCTTACGGTGGACTTTTGCTGTCCCTGTACCGCTGCTGCCTTCGGAGGCAAAAAGGGAGGTATGGTGCATCGGTGAGCCGGTATGCCTCCTGGGCCACCGAACTGTCCCGCATCGGGATGGCTGTGTTGAGAGTCACTCGCGGCCGGGACGGACCATTGACCGACGTTTAGGAAGTATGACGGCCGTAGCTTGCTCGGCGCCACCGAGGAGTGGAAGGGTCTCTTTGTAAGTGACCAGGAATGAAAACAAGCCCAAACCCCACACTGGGGCTAATGCCCGTCATCTTTGGTTGGTGGTAGTAGCAGTGGGCCCGAGCTGAGCGTGGAGGCGCCGAACAATCACTAACATTGCTCGCTGCGGTGAAGTCAAATACCTTTTTCTGCTTGGGGCTTAAGAACAGGCAGCAGTGAGGCTGCAACATGAAACGCCTCGTAGCATTGAGCCTAGCACCCGGCAACAGTGAAGGCAAATGTGGGGTTGAGCCTCACAGTAATCCTTGGTTGACTCAAACGGAAAGTTTTACCGAAATCGATACTCATAAGCGGAACCGAACCAGACCGATGAACAACATACATCAAACCACAACAGGGATTAAATGAGGAAACGGTTTATGAGGAGCCAGCAAGTGGCGGCGAGAAAAAGGGAAATGCACAGCCGCAATAAGCAAAAGGTGTGGATAGAGCAATAGGAGAAAGAAAGATGATGAGGCCGCAAGGCGGACTGCGGAGTTGGTATGTATCTGCAAAAGAACTGACCGGGTGGCCAGCAGGATGGATAAGCTTCTGTCTCGATCGGAATTAGCCTGCGTTATGCAAGTCAGCCCCAATAAGGGAACACAGAACAATAGAAGGACTGTTAGACTAGCTCTTGACTCCGGTACAGCACAGCCCGCTGCTAGACTCGCGGATTCCGACTTCTTACGGAAAAGAGACGGTGGGCAGAAACGGCCTTGAACGGAGCCTTGTGACTCTTGGCTTGGCGTTGTGGGGGACCGGCAAGGTTTCGTGTCTCGTGTCCTCGGCTTCAGGCAGACATATGCGGCTAGTGGTGAACTGACACAGTTGCCGATGCGGAGTAGGACGGGGGCAAGCATTATCGACTTCGTGGCAAATTCGTAGGGAGTGCGGCTCTTGAAGTTGCAGCTAGGCAACATTGCACCTGTGCGTGGCCAGTGGGCCCGGATGTCGTCAAACGATGGGTACGTTTGGTTTGCCAGGCCGGGGGGGAAAAGGGCGGTGAAAGCGCTCGTCTTATGAACACCAGGCCGGCCTCCTCTTGATTTTCTTCGACTCTAACTCATCAATGAGTGTCTCAAGCAATTTAGCGTCGACAGAACTGGGCCAATGGACGAGGCACGGCGTGAGATCAGTCGGCAAGGCTGAGGCCCGAGATGGTTGACCGGTCGGCCGGCCAGCGAGGTCGAGACATTGCTGACACTAACAGCCCAGCAGACAGAAGGATTATCTGCACAAAGTCCGCCGGACACCGAGGAGAATGAAGCGTTCCGTAAAAGAATGTGATCTCTTCCCTAGGAGTGGTGTTGATGTGGTGTTGAGTCTGAGGTGCGGGGTGTTTCGCCGTTGGGCTCAAGCGAAATCACATGCCAGGAATGGAAATGACGTTTTGGCCATCTCAATTCCAACCGCCCCCGACGACCTAGGCTGCCGCTTGGACTCTTCCGGAGATTATTGTCGCTCCATCGACCACCGAGTAACTAACTACGAAGTACTTCCTAGGGCGAACGGCGGTCTCCCGACGCCCGGCTCCGCATCTTTCTCTACCACCTGTGCGACACACCCGCAGGAGGCCTGTCTACCATGTTGCACATCCCCTTTGTGGGGAGGCTCCGGCCGTGGGAGTACTTCTACCTCGTCTCCTCCTTTCTGTTGATCGCCCTCGAAAGCTTCGTTCGCATCGTCACGCTCGCTTTGCCGGGTCCTATCATCCACTTATTCTACCGCGCATCGCGCCGATCGTTCAACTATCTCTCTTCGCCGCAAGGGAAGCAGTCGCGAAACAAGAAGAAAGGCCTCGTCACCTCGATCGCACAAGCCTCGGACTTTGTCGAGCTGGCAGAGCTCTTCGGATACTATGCGGAAGAACATATTGTGCAGACGGGAGATGGATACCTCCTTGGTCTTCACAGACTTGGCTGGAGAAGGGGAGAAGAAGACAAGAGGGTGAACAGCGGCCCGAACAGCATCAAGAAACGAGTCGTCTATCTGCACCATGGTCTGATGATGAACAGCGATGTCTGGGTGTGCCTGACGGAGAAGGAGCGCTCTCTGCCTTTCCTCCTGGTAGAGCGTGGGTACGATGTCTGGCTGGGCAACAACCGGGGTAACAAGTACTCCAAAAAGTCGACAAGATATGCCCCAACGGATCCGGACTTCTGGAATTTCTCCATCGACCAGTTCGCGTTTCATGATATCCCGGACAGCATCGATTACGTCCTCTCTACTACCGGCCAACCGTCTCTATCGTACATTGGATTTTCCCAAGGAACTGCCCAAGCCTTCGCCGCTCTATCGATTCACCCGACTCTGAATGACAAAGTGGAGGTGTTCATCGCGCTAGCCCCAGCAATGTCTCCCAAAGGAATGAACAGCGGTGTTGTTGACACTTTCGTGAAAACATCACCTGACGTTCTTTTCTTGGCCTTCGGAAGGCGCGCCATTCTGAGTAGCGCAACCATGTGGCAGGCTCTGCTTTATCCACCAATCTTCGTTCGATTTATTGACATCTCGCTGTCTTTCCTCTTTGGATGGAAGGCCAAGAACATTGCTACTCATCAGAAAATGGCCGCGTACCCCCACCTGTACTCATTTAGTAGTACCAAGAGCGTGGTCCATTGGTTCCAGATCATCCGGAATGGCAAGTTTCAAATGTACGATGACGAAGTCCAGTCGCCTTTCAGCATTTCGACCGACTCGAAATATTACAAAGTCGCCAAGTTCCCGACACGCAATATCAAAACGCCAATCGTGCTGGTGTACGGCGGCAGCGATAGCTTGGTAGATATCAACGTTATGTTGAAGGAATTGCCAAAGCATACAACCGCCAAAGAGATACCGCACTATGAACATCTGGACTTTCTATGGGCCTCTGACGTTGACAAGCTGGTCTTCCCTCATGTCTTTGAAGCACTAGAAAAACACGCTGCCCATGGGAGCAGCCAGAAAATTGGTCTATATCAGACTCCCGATGTTGCGACTGGGGCCTTCAAGGATCTGCCGTCGCCATCGTCGGATGATAGCCCTGGCAGCAGCCGTTCTGCGCTGAAGATTTCCGAAAACGTTCCCGCCGAGACCAAAACGCGAATTCAGATTGAACAGGGTCAAGCTGAAAGTTACGCCGACACTGCCAAGCGTTCGCCCAAACTTTCTTCCCCCAAATCTCCTGAGCCCAAGTTCCTCGGTTCACCTGCTCCGATTCGCACGCCAAAGTCACGCATCCCCTCTGCCACTGCCTGGGCGGAGCGGCCACAATCCTCGCACGAGTCGCAGTCTCATGCCTCCCACAAGAGCACTACTACATCTCGGCCTGAAGGCTGGTGGAGCTCGGACGAAGTTGCTGGCACAGACTCGAGTCCGATTGGAAAACGGAGTCCGAGAAGCCCCAGCGTCAGCAGCCAGCAGAGTAAAGATAGCAAGTCCGAGGCCAAATTTGGAACAAAGGGGATCACCATCGGTGCTGGGAGGGTAGTGAGTGGACTGGTTGGAGGAGAAGCATTCGGGAGCGGAAGTGGCACCGCGGGAAAGGGAGGTAAGGAGAACAAGAAGAAGAAGAATGGGAAGAAATAAGCGTTAAGGTGACAAAGTAAGGTAGGTGAAGAGTTTTGATTTATTACACATACACAAGAGAATAGTCAGCTCAGGTGTTTGATCACCTTGTATTATTTGGCGCTATTCCTATATTTTTAATTTTGTTTCAGTAAGCATTCGACATGTTTCTTGACAATCTATTATTATTCTTGCGTTCTTTTCTCTCTCCGCACTTAAACCGGAGTACAACCCAATCCCCATTTAGTGTTGACTGTTTGCAACGTTTCTTCATAACGAAAGGTATGTGAACAGCTACGCAAAACCTAGCTACACCGATAAACATCGGTTTAGCGGTCGAGAGTTGCCGACCAGCTTAAACCTTGTAACCAATCTTGACTTTATTGGTTAGTGCAAAGAATGGCCCCCACGACACGCGTGGCAGACGTACGCAGTAGGCAACTCCATCGTTCTGGCTTTGTCCCGATATGTTGATGGCCCCCAACAACAACTGTTCCTAGCTCATGGGAGCTCCATTCATGGAGACAAGGCATGCTGCACTGTGCATAAAGCCACGATTCGCACATTCCTCAAGACCAAATAATTAGTACCTCACCATCCACCGTTTCGTGCGCACCTCGAAGCAATTCCTACAAGCGCTACCTATCGATATGTCGCAACGACCCAGTGGACTCATCGCCAACAAAGGCATTGAGCTGCTGACTTTCGAAACGCCGAACGGACACAAGGCATCGATAATGCTGGAAGAGCTGAAGGAGAAGTACGGGCTGGAGTACACGTTCCAGAGCATCAACATCTTGCAGGGTATCCAGAAAGAGCCGTGGTTCACCAAGCTGGGGCCGAATGGCCGTGTCCCGCTCATCGTGGACCACGACAACGAAGGCTTCGCGGTACAGGAGGGCGCGAGCATCTTGAGCTACCTGACACGGCATTACGACCCCGAGAAGGAGTTTACGTTTGAGGATGCCAATGATCTGTCAAGAATGGAGCAGTGGGTTGCGTGGCAGGTAGGCTTCTGCCAAATAATTCATCAATAAGAGTCCAAGAGGGATGTCGACTTACAAGTACCAGCACGGTGGCATCGGACCTACGCAAGGTCAAGCCCATCACTACTACCGCTTTGCCAAAGAGTACGTCCCTTACGCCATGCAGCGTTACGTCGGGGAGACTGAGCGGCTGTATGGCGTCCTGGATTCGCAACTCAAGGACCGTGACTTCATCGTCGGGCCCGAACGCGGCAAATACAGTATTGCGGACATTGCCAACTTCAGCTGGGTCAACGTATCGTATCTCGCGGGCGTGGACGTGAAGCAGTTTCCGAATGTGGAGCGGTGGTGGAAGTGCGTGAACGAGCGGCCGGCAGTACAGAGGGGCACGGCGGTGCCCCACCCGAGCGAGTATGTGAACAAGAGGTATCTGGAGAGATTGGAGGAGGACCCGGAGTTCAAGAAGCAGGAGGACCAACTGAAGGAGGCGTGCAGGAAGGCGAAAGAGCAATATGGATACAAATATAGCTCACCATAAGCGCTGGAGTTTTAGATGTATAGAACAAGTATAGCTATTCAAGAGGATCTCCCGGTTTCCCCGGCGCCCGGCTTTCTGGCACAAAGCGCTTTGACGACCTAGCTAAGAATAGTAGCTTCCTCGCGCGCTTCATCGGATATCGGAATCGGCGGCAGAGCAGCCTACAGTGCGAACGACCAATGGACCAGAGGTTGGTGTGGGGAGAACCGTTTCTGGTGCAAACTCGCGGCTGAAACACAGCGCGACGTGAAACGCGGATGCGCAGCCGGGTCATGGCTGAGACGCAGCCGCCAGCGCGGAAGGCTGTCAACCAATGGCGCGACGGGCGGCAGGGATTTCTCGGGCGGGACGAGTGGAGACAAGGGTCCACGACTGGTTCTGGCGTCACTCCCAGCGATAACGACACACGATGGTGGTGGATGGAATGTGAGGGCGCCGAGGCATGGCATGCGTGCATACGTTGCCTCGCGCCTTCCACGCCATGGGGTACAAGATAAAGCCGGTCGCCGCTGCGGTTACCTTTTTCCTCCAGATTCATTCATCCATCGTCCTTCCTTCAACCACGCCGGAGATCTGTGATCCCGACGCTTTGTCTGCTTTGTATCGGTTGTTCTAATACTTCTTTGTCTCTTGCTTCTAATTCAGCGCTTGTCCCCAGACAAAGGCCTTGTTTAGAGAGACTGTCTCAGCAAGGATAAAAAGCCGCCTGACTCCGCCGTTTGCACTGCAGTAAAGTAAGCTCCATTCCTCGACAACAGCCACCCGCAAGAATCGTGAGAAGTACAGGATACTCTCCGCCACCCCCTTGCGTCATCTCTCCCAACCCCCATTCCACAGAATACTGACATGGCCAGTCTGTTCACACTCTTTAAAATCGGAAAAACCGCACACAAATCCTACAAGCGTTATCAACAGCGCAAGCAACCCAACCAGCCTTTTCCTCAGACCCTACGCTCTACTCCTTGTCACGCAAACTCCATCCAAACCCCCCAGCGATCCGGTACCATGGAGAAGCTTCAGCAACACTCGCACAGCGGTGGCGCTTATGCCGCCCTCGCCCGCATCTCTTGGCGCTTCCTCCAATTCGTCATGGCCCTTACGGTCATTGGACTTTATGGTGTCGACTTGCAAAATGCCAGCAAAGCGCACATCCATGCCGATGGCAAGTGGGTCTATGCCGTGGTCCTAGGCGGCATCTCATGCCTAATTACAATCGTGTATCTCATCCCTCAGATACCGTCATTGAAACTGGCGCTTTTCGTTGATTGGGTCGCCTTCATCTTGTGGCTGGCCCTCTTCGGCCTGTTTGGCAAGATGTACATCGGCGAGAAAGTTGAGGGCGACTCCGGGATCCAGCGCATGAAGAACGCCGTATGGGTCGACTTGGTTAATATGGTCCTCTGGTTCATTTCGGCTACGTATGCCTCGCTGTGGACTTTCTATAACCGCAGGGGGGTGGACGTCAGTCGCTCTGAAGTCTAAAAACCTTAACCTAAGCATCGGCTGCAGGCAACTGATAAAAGGATGAGGGCCAATGAGGGGCGACTTCGGACTGGCTTTCACTGAGGGAGCTAGTCGCTGCACTTGATTTTGTCTATGTACTTAATAGCGTTTTCCTTTTTCCTCCTGTATGCTCACGACACACGATACGATACCATGCTGCAAAGAGAGGACTTTGTTCTCTTTTCTTTTAGCGACCATAGCGAAGCATAGCGACTGAATTGACTTTTTCTTTTGAATCTTTTGAATATTTGCTCGTGATAGACTGATCTCAGGACATGTGCCTGGGTCTAGCCCTTTCTCCACTAGTGCGGCTAACCGCATCGGTGGGCAGCCTCCCCGCAATCTGCTCACCGCCCGGCTCGGACCCTGGCCAGGCACCGAGGGGCACCCTGGGCCTGGCACACAAGATGGCAGGTGCACAGGTGTTCTTTTCTGAGGACACGAACGCCCACTTCGTTTTCCTCTCTGTCCTCCTCTCTCTCACACTCTCTCGCACTCTCTTCCTCCCCCCTTGAAGCACCATCACTCTGTCCACCATGGCCCAGGCAGCGACCATCATTCCCCCCTTGAACCAGCGGCCCGTCAAGGGTACCATCTGTCTCTTCGACGTTGACGGCACGCTCACGCCAGCAAGACGGGTAAGCACACCCCTCCCCTGGCGCGCCGACAGGCTCGACCAGCTTTGACAGCGGCAACCGCATGCAACCCGCGTCACGTCTTGAGCGCGCCTTGGAACCCCACAGAAACGAGCCCCACGCTGACGGTCCAACGTACAGGATGCCTCGCCGGAGATGCTGCAGCTGCTGTCGGAGCTGCGCCACAAGGTCGCGATCGGTTTCGTAGGCGGCTCGGACCTGGTCAAGCAGCAAGAGCAGCTGGGCACGACGGCCATCAACGTTAGCACGCTGTTCGACTTCTGCTTCGCCGAGAACGGCCTGACGGCGATCCGCATGGGTGTGCCGCTCGCGTCGCACAGCTTCATCAAGTGGATTGGCGAGGACAAGTACAAGGAGCTGGCCAACTTCTGTCTGCACTACATTGCGGACCTGGACCTCCCGGTCAAGCGCGGTACCTTCATCGAGTTCCGCAACGGCATGGTCAACATCTCGCCCATTGGCCGTAACGCGTCGGTCGAGGAGCGCAACGAGTTTGAGCGCTTTGACAAGGTGCACAAGATCCGCGAGACGTTTGTCGGAAAGCTGAGGGAGCGCTTCTCGGACTTGGGCCTTACGTTCAGCATCGGTGGCCAGATCTCCTTCGATGTCTTCCCCAAGGGCTGGGACAAGACGTACTGCCTGCAGCACATTGAGAACGAGAAGAACCTCCCCGACGGCGTCGAGTACACCACCATCCACTTCTTCGGCGACAAGACGTACCAGGGCGGCAACGACTACGAGATCTACGAGGACCCCAGGACTATTGGCCACAGCGTCAAGAACCCGGAGGAGACAATGGTGGAGCTGAAGAAGCTGTTCTTCTAGATGCGGACGGTTGTCAGTGGAAGGGGATAAGGACAGGGAGGTTGGGACAAAGGGCGTTGCTGGCGCGGAGGCCGCGACCACGAGTGACGAAAACATCGGGTTTCCGGATTAAGTAAAGACTTGGGCATAATATCGGCGTACGCGGGAATCGAGACCGTGTTGTAGGAAGACCTCAATGGATCAAGGATGAGCGAGTATTTGAAATATGTGTGCAATGGTTCTGCGTGGCATGTATGCTTGATCAGCACGGCTCGGTGCGGTGTGTGTGTGTGTGTGTGTCCTGATGGCCAGACAGGGACAAACTTAATTGAAGAAGTACATAATTTCTCAATGCGGTTCAGGCCAGAGGCTCGTCATGGCAGGGATATTGATATTGATGATAGTGGAGTGAGTAACCCAGCGTACAGTCAAACACTAACGATGAGCATGCCGCTGTGTGACAAGCTGAGGGATCGTGAACAGAGCTGAATACAACCAAAGCTAGTCAATCTTCCGACTGTTAATGCTTATCGGCGCTGACTGTTTTACGACGATTCCTCTCCATAACGGCAGAGGTATGCGAAAGGCTGTGCAAGCTCTAGCTGCATACACGCACAAATGCTTTACCACGGGGCGGAATATATGATCAGCTCAATGTTGGAGCCGGGTTTGACTGACTGTATGGTCGACGTAGAGAGAAAGACGGAGGAGGGATAAAGGCACACAGTGCACAGCGTTCGAAGTTGTTTGTTTGGCGATTGGTTTTTATTTCGATAAACTGAACTAGCAAAACGAACGCACTGAATCAGGCCTTACTGGGCATCGCCCTCCACCCGCCATACGCAAAACCTTTTGGAAAGAAGCAAATGAGAAGCAGAGAAAGCAGTCAGAGAGAAAGCAAAAAGAACATTGAACATGGAGCAAAGAGGTCAACTGTCAATCGCCAAACCGTAATCACCCAAGCTCAAGGCCACCGCCATGACGACCGTCAAATGCGTGCCCCAGTCAAAATCAATCAAGAAGGCTAGGAATAAGGTCAGGTGGGCCAGGGCGGAAGGTATCCCTGTACTTCCGACGACCTCCTGCACCATCAACAGGGCCGACCATTGTGTTCTTGGAAAATCCATATTGACGAACAGGTGAAGGAGTGCCGGTGCTACCAACCGTTGCGTATGCCGTGCGGCTACGCTCTTCCACCAAACGCTGTTGCTTTTCGTAGTTATCATTGGCTTGGCGCACAGCTTCACGATCATGCTGCTTAGAACCCCCGTTGGCGAAATTATTCCATTTCACCGAATCGGATCCAGAACTGCTAGACCCAGGCCGTTGACGCTCAGGTGACGGGTTGAGGTTGGTCTGGTTGAGGTTGGCTCCGGGGCGAATTAGAGAGCCTGTAGTCTTGGGACACAAGGTGCAGTGGCAGCTCTCGTCGCTGCATATTCCGGCGCATTTGTGACCGCATCTGAGGACCTTGGGGCAAGAGAGAGCACAAGTAATGCTACTGTGAGGGTATGGGTGGCACCTGACAGGACATGGATGGCCGCAGGGGAGACGTTCGTGGCACTTGATCTCACAACCGCCACTGACGAGCGCGAAATCATCGGGAGCCTCGATATAAGTCATCCTGCCATGTGTATGGCACTTCAGTGGTAGATGGAAGCCTATGCGCATTGTAGGGCCTTCCTTTGGCAGGTGGCCTCCCTTCCCGGCCAAGAGGGTGATGACTTCGGCCCAGGTCTTGCTCTCACATGCAAGCTGTTCGCCGTTGCCAAAGAGGTAAAATCCGCGTTTGGCCCGTGAAAGTGCAACACAGACACGATTGTCGACGCCCAGGAAGCCAATGTGGCCGAACTGGTTGCTTCGAACAAGTGACAAGAGGATGATTTCGTTTTCCTCGCCTTGATAGGAGTCTACCGTTACGACATTGAAACGTGAACGCGAGGAGCCGAGCGTGGGATGATCGAGCAATTTCCGTAGAATCAATTTGCGTTGGCCATTGTAGAAGGTTAGGACGGTGATACTATCCACTGGATGGCCGTTGAGGTACAGATGGTTGAAGAATTCGGCAATCATTTCAGCCTCCATAGCGTTACAAGAGGACATCTGATTGTCCTTGGATTCCGGCCATGAATGGGTAAAGAAGAATGAGTCGCATCCCACGCCTGTAACCGATGGTAGTTTCCTTTCCTTGACGGACGAGTGATCAGAGATGAGGTCGCCGTAAATAGGTCTAAGAAGACGTCTAATCTCAGGAATCATACGTCTTTGGCGACGTAGAGTATCGAACTCAACGTTGTTCTTGATAAGACGCTCGAAAAGCGACACATTAAGATTGTAAGGGGCGTCTTCGTAATCCTTGACTTGGCAACGAGGTCGGAGTTGTTGATGATCACCTACTAGAATAAGGTGTTCCAGCGAGGGGACACATGTCGCAATAACGAGAGCTTCCAACGTCTCAGCAGCCTCTTCAATAAGAACAATCTTCGGCTTGAGGCTTGAGATAAGAGCACGGTACTTGCTGAAGCCCGTCGTTGTCATCCCGATAATCTTCTGGGTTTTCAGAAGAAGGTGGTCCTCTTCCCAACGGCCAGCTAGCCTCTTTTCAGCAGTATCTTGGTACTTCCGGACTTCCAACCGAAAAGATTTCAGAATTTCCTCTTTGAAACGTTTGAGAAAGAAGTTGTACACTGCCCCGCGAAGCTTTGGGTTGATGTCCCAGAGGTTCTGCTTCTCGGACAGCAGCGCCTGGATCTCGGTCTCTGTGATGGACGGGGCGCCTCTGGAAGCAACTTTTCCAACATATCTGCATCCAAGATGGAAATGATTGCCCTTGAGCCTCTCGATTTCGTCTTCCTCTCTGATAGCATTTTCGGCCTCAATTTCTTTCAACTGTTCAAACTCGAGATCGGCTTCTTCGTACTCAAAGAAGTTGTCTTCAGGCGTGCCGTGGTCCACCTTGACCCACGAGTTCTTCCCGAGCCATTCCACCATAGGCTCGTTGCTTGTTTGCTCCGGGTTTTGCTGCACCCAATCAGTGTCACCCTTCTCAAGTGACTCGTATTGTTCGATTGTCAGTAGTCTCTTGTCAAGAAGCATCTTATGATCGAGAAACTCCTTGTCCGCTGACATCGGTTCGAGTATGGCACGCATAGTCTTCTCCAGGTCCCGCATGCGTTTCAAGGATGGTCCCTTCAGCCCAAAGGCAACAGCAGGAACGGACTGAGAACTCTTAAGTTCAAACAATGTTCGCTTCTTGATGATGCCCTGGTCTTTGGAACGTCCACCAAGCCGGGCGAATTCAGACTCATATTCAGCTACGTGGCGGAGGAGTTGATCCAATGCGTGGTTGGTTTGACAAGCTACTATGATTGGAGGATCTCCCATTGTCATGTTGCCAAGAATCGTCCTCAAAGCGACAACAGAAACGTGAGTTTTACCTGTACCGGGAGGACCTTGAATAATAGCCAACTGCTTTGTGAGGATCCTCCGCAAAGCATACTGTTGTGTCTTATCTAGTTCCGTCGGAGGATCTTCAGGCCAGGCCTGTAGGATATCCACGTTCTTGAAGCTTTCAGAAGGTAGAGATGCTGAGCCCTTGTCGGTATTCGGGCTGGGTTGTGCGGCAAATGCTGAACTCATGTCGATGCGTGGGTTCATTTGCATGTACTGAGGAGAGTCGACTTGTCGCTGAAGACTGATGAGATGCTTAGACAACAGCAACGGAGAGTGTTCCCTCATTGTCTTCTGGAGAGCTCGCAGTGTGTATCGACTGGCCTCAAAGAAGCTGGCCCTATCTTCAACCATGATCCATGACTGAGCAGGGTCAATCGCAAATTCTTCCGGGCGCGCGAAGAATAGATCGATTTCGGGTGGCGACTGGTCCACGCCATCGCTTAAAGGCCTAGCTGCCACAACTGCCATGGTGCATTGGGTTCTGAATTGATCTTCCTCTGTGGTCAGGGCAACCAGAGATCCAGTAATCAGACGTTTCGACTGCTCCCAGTGCACGCGTTTGCCTGAGCGAGCCAAGGAAAAAGAAACCCGGACAGCAACTCCACGTGGAGAGAATGTTAGCTTCTTGATGTGCACATTCTCGTATATTCCAACAGTCGTGCCGTATTCGTCTTCTCTTCCCCACGGTTTGTTGCGGACTCTTCCCACAGTCTCCCGAAGTGAGCGCAACACATCTTCTCTAAGTAACTCGTAATGAGCTTCAAGGTAATCTTCCTTTGAAGACCAAGGTCCATCGATGTTGTTCACCGGAACCGACACAGTGCATTCCTCGGGAGCTCCTCGAGTGAAAAGCTCCATATTGGTGTCGAGGATCTCTTCGGACGTAGGGATTTCTGCCTTTGACATCCAAGTGTTAGGTTGAGCTTGATGGCGGGCATCATCCATATATTGGCGGATAGCGCTGGGGGCCGTCAGGCGCGAGGGCTGTGGAGAAGGTGAGCTTCGGTTCAGGGTCATATCCGTAGCTGCATCATGTCATCAGTAAAGCATGTCGGACTGTAGGTGAGGGAAGCGTGGTGACATGTAACGGGAGCGTCGCGCAGTGCTTACCTCCATCATCCCAATCAGGAATGAGAAGCCCTTGGGCTTGCTGGGCCATATTGCAATGGTTGGACTGTGTATGGCTGAGATGTGGAGAGTTGAGACGGGAGCAATGGTTGATTTTGGGCTTAGGTGTCATGTTGATTGAGCTAGAGATTTGTGTTTGAAAGCGGAATTACCATTGGGGCGTCAGTTATCAGCAACGCAATTGCCTGATGTGTTGTTAGCGAAGTGATGAAGTGAAGGTGAGGTTGGTGAGTCGTGCCTCAAAACAAATGCAGAGTCGGTGACTCGACGCGGGTCAGAGTATCAACAGCAGAGCAGAGCATTGGGTATAGTGCAGATGCATAATAGCAATGGTAAAGAGTACACTGTGACTTACGCCGTACAAAAGTTCTGTTCAACTCTATGTTGAGTTGAGTCCGGTCGAAAGTAGATGGTGGTGCTGTTGCTTGGCGACGGGAGGTGTTGAAGAGACGGGAGCTTTTAGAACCTGAGACGAACTTAAAATGGCAGGCACCGCGCAAGCATCGCAAGACAAGAGGCCCGCGACTGCCTTAAACTAATATGGATGACCTAGGTCGTTTGATGGCAGGCAAACTGGAAATGTAGCTTGACAGTCGGGGGAAACAAAGCAATTGTGATATAGGTAGGCACGTCTCAATTCCGAAGCTGTGAAAGAGATTCAAAAGACAAGAAGTAAAGAGGACATGGCGCTGGGCAGAAAGTACCTAAGGTCCGAATGGAGGGCACTTTCCAAAAGAGACAGTAGCACACCTGGGACCTGCACACATTTCTGGAAAGACCAAGCCTAACGTTTTGTTTATATTGTCTCGCCCATCAGGCTGCTGTACTAATGCTGTTCGGTGCATACCTACCTACTGTACAAAGCATGCGTGCATATGTCGCCCTCAGCTGGGTCAGACGGCTAGCTGCAGACACAAGACGTGCGCGATGTCTGATTGTCATTGTCTCCGTTGCTAGTTAGTTGGTATTTGCCAAATCTGCGTTTCTAAGCGGTGTGAGGCATGAGACACGGCGTCGCAGACGTGTGAGCGTGCGGGATTGAAGCAGAGCTGCAGTCGGCCGCGCGGGGCTTGGCAAGCACGGCGGCCTGGCGGCCCGACAAGCCAAGCGGAGCCTCTTGCTCACCGCCTTCGCCATCCCCGACCTCATCCACCGATAGCTACGAAGGGCAGGGGTGGGCCATTCTTCTTTTGACCAAGCTCCGCTGCTATTAGCGTACTCTAATACTCTTATATTGCTGGACCGAGGCTCTCTGAACCATAAACGCGCGTGCATATCCGGACACGCTGATATCCGTTCAAACAAACGACAATCCCCGCATCGCGCAACCCGCAATCAGAGCACATCTTAAAGCGCGTTTGATGCGCGTTCGCGCAACATGGTGAGCTTCGAGGATGACGATGAAAATGGCTCCGGTATGCCCAAATATACTGTATCTGTATTCTTGGACTGATTTTTTCGCTTCTTATAAGATGCTGGCTCTGAGAACGACGTCGACGAGACGATGGAGGACATAGACGATGCCGATGCTGATGCGGATGCCGACGCGGATGCAGATGCGGATGCGGATGCGGATGCGGATGCCGACGCCGATGCCGACGATGCGGAGGAAGAGGGGGATTTGGATGCCGAAGGAGACAATGATGATGATGAGGGAGAAAACGAAGAGGACGACGAGGAGCAGGATGATACACCAGACTCTCCTTCACGCGCCCAGTCATCCGGGAGGCCGCCAACTTCGTCTACACTGCAGAATGGTACAGCTGCCACTCAAGCTCTCTCAGATGCATCGCGCGCACATCCAACTATTCGTCTGGCTTCAGCCTCTCCTCACCGGTCAACTACCCCTTCAGGAGGTTCTCTTCCCCTCCGCCCCCAGGTAAGGCCCGAGGCCCTTACGGCTCCCGTGTACGACATCGTGCCCACGATTGCGGCGCCTCACAGTACTTCTATCAATGCGATCACTGCTACGCCAGACATGAAATGGGTCTTCAGCGGAGGCGCAGACGGATACATCAGAAAGTTCAATTGGGTGGACACTGCAAACGGAAAGCTCATGCTCACTGTTGCGCAAAGGCATCCGTTCGTGGACAGTGTTACAAAAGCTGGCGTTCTGCTCAGCTACTGGGAGAATGAAGAGAGTTCAGGTATATAAGTTGATAAAGACTCAGGGTTTTCTGAATGCTGACCAACGTACAGACAGGACTCCTCCTTCTACAAACGATGATACCCTAGCTCTGTCCCCCGTCTACTCACTGGCCGTGCATCACCAAGGCCTTTGGTTGTTATCTGGGACAGAGTCTGGATCCATAAATCTCCAGTCTGTTCGCCACCAAGAAGGGCACCGGATCACTTCTCTTCGCAAACATACTTCCGCAGTATCGGTATTAAGCCTGGCACAGGACGAGAAATCCGTTTTATCTGGTAGCTGGGACAAGACGATCAATGACTGGGACCTAAATAACGGTCAAGTAAGGCGCCGCTTCGAGACTGCTGCGGGGCAGATCTCTGCCATCGAGCCCCGTCCTCTGTCTTCGCTTCCAGTGCCTGAGGAGTCAGGGATTCCGCAGTCTTCAAATGGGACCTTCAGCTCAAATAATGATGCAAGACCTCTTCCGAACGGCATCCTACCAAACGGTGTACCCCCCGCGGGACAGGATGAAGATGCGCCCGGTGCCGAGAACGACTCACTGTTTGGGGACAATGATCACGACTCGTTGTTCGGAGGCAATGGTGACGCAGCAGCCACTGCTCCGTCAGGCGGTGATTTTGGTGACGACGAGGACGATGAATTCTCAAGGGCAATTGCAAACGAGATGAACAGGCAGGCTGAAGAGCAAGATGCAGAAGGAGATATTGACATGACGGACTCGGGCGGCCCAGTCCAGCCACTCGAGCAAGCGGGAGACAACGACGTCGGTATGCAGCCGGCGAGCAATGGCGCCTACTCAGGATCCGGCACACTCGATGGAAATGTTGAGCCTCAGCCCGCCGCCCTCACTAACGGGTTGCCACATTCAGAAGAAGGCTCATCATCAGGAGCTGCTTCTAAAGAACCCCCTTCAAAAGATGATGCCCCACCTTCTTCGGATACCACTTTCTTGGACGCCTGCCATGATGGTACACTGCGTGTCTGGGACCGCAGACAACAAAACCCCATAGCACGCATTGTCCCTCCGCGAGGAATTCCGCCATGGTGTATGAATGCATGTTGGTCACCAGACGGAAATTTCATCTATGCTGGACGGCGAAACGGTACAGTCGACGAGTATAGTTTGCACAAGGGCCTCCGCGAGCCTTCACGAACTTTCAAATTTCCTTCTGTCAGCGGTGCAGTGAGCGCAGTTCGAGCCATGCCTAACGGCAAACACCTTGTCTGGTATGTCATTTTCCCACTGGCTGGCTCTTTGGTTCTTCTAACAATTTTAATCAGTGCTTCCTATGATATCCTGCGGCTTTACGACCTCAAGGAACAAGAAGGCCCAAGGCACTCGGCTGTCCCTTATCTTATTGTTCCCGGTCATAGAACAGGCGTGATTTCGCAGCTGTACATCGATCCGACATGCACGTTCATGATATCAACCGGAGGCAACCGTGGCTGGGAGGGTGGCTCAACAGAGGTGTTACTCGGGTACGAAATCGGTATCACTAAATAAGTGCGATGTTCTGTTATTTGGTAGACAGGCGCATGTCGGTTCGCTGGCTTGCTACGTTGGCTGTTGCGCCGGCATTGGACGATACGAGGGACGCGGCATATACCCAGGCGTTGTTCACGGGAGGCGTTGAATCTAAAAATTGGGGTGTATGCAGACATTTTGTGGCACATGTTGTAGGTATATCTACCTACCTAGTTGCTTTTACAGTAAAATCCTATTCTCCATCGGATGTCTTCTTCTTCTTCCTCTTCTTCCGCTCTACACTCGAAAAAGTGATTACCTTTCCCCGCCAGTTGTCACACACACACGGTCCACCACAAGCATTCCACCCACTTATTCCACATGGCATGTCAATGACGTCCACGTTGCCCCTGTCGTTTGCGGCCGCCGAAATTCAGCCGCCGTGGCATCATGGCGCGCCGAAGTCGACCGATCCCCCGCCCTCCCCCACCATGAGTCAAAATCTCAGCAACGACACACCCCCGTGTTTTGCTGCATCCCCGCCATTGATCTCTCCTTCACTGGCGCAACCATGACCACGACCGTCGTATGCGGCGCGCAATGGGGCGACGAGGGCAAAGGCAAGCTCGTCGACATCCTTTGCTCCGACGCTGAGTTGTGCTGCCGCGCTCAGGGCGGCAACAACGCCGGTCACACCATCGTCGCCAACGGCATCACCTACGACTTCCACATCCTTCCCTCCGGTCTCGTCAACCCCAAGTGCACCAACCTCGTTGGCTCCGGCTGCGTCGTTCACGTCCCCTCGTTCTTCAAGGAGCTCGAAGCTCTCGAGAAGCACGGGCTCGACACCAAGGACCGCATCTTCATCTCGGACCGCGCGCATGTCGTCTTCGACCTCCACCAGCTCGTCGATGGCCTTGAGGAAGTTGAGCTGGGCTCCGGCCTCATCGGCACCACCAAGAAGGGCATTGGCCCAACTTACAGCACCAAGATGTCCCGTAGCGGTGTGCGCGTATGCGACATTTTCGACCAAGAGAAACTGGAGTTGAAGATGCGCAGGCTAGCGGCAGGCTTCCAGAAGCGCTACGGTGACCTGCTGAAGTATGATGTGGATGACGAGATCAGACGCTACAAGGTTCGCTGGGTCGGATGACATTGGACAGGGGAGAGATGCTGACGGTTTAAAAACAGGAGTACAGCGAGCGCCTGAGGCCTTTCGTCATCGACCAGGTTCCGCTGCTCAAGTCGGCCAAGCAGGGCAAGAGGAACATCCTTGTCGAGGGCGCCAACGCGCTCATGCTCGATATCGATGCCGGCTCCTACCCCTTCGTTACGTCCTCCAACACCGGTCTCGGTAAGCCCTTCCCCTACCCTTCCAGATGCAGCGATTGTCAACGGCATCGATAGTACTGTATGCGCAGCTGCAGGGCTAATATGCGCAGGCGGCGTTCTGACCGGCCTTCCTCTGGGCTGGCGGGCGATACACGAGGTGGTCGGCGTGGTGAAGGCGTACACGACGCGTGTGGGCAGCGGGCCCTTCCCGACGGAACAGCTGAACGCAGAGGGCGAGAAGCTCCAGGTCGTTGGACGCGAGTTTGGCGTGACGACGGGACGCAAGCGGCGCTGCGGCTGGCTCGACCTTGTCGTCGTGCGCTACAGCCACGATGTCAACGACTACACCGCCATGAACCTGACCAAGCTCGATATTCTTGACGACTTTGAGACAATCAAGGTCGCGACGGCGTACCGCTACAAGGGCGAGACGCTTGAGTCGTTCCCGGCAAACCTCGACATCCTTGACCACGTCGAGGTTGTCTACAAGGAGTTCCCGGGCTGGAAGACCAGCACTACCGGCGCCAAGACCTTTGAGCAGCTCCCCGAGAACGCGCGCAAGTACATTGAGTTTATCGAGGAGTTCACGGGCATCAAGGTCAAGTACATTGGCACTGGCCCTGCCAGGGAGGCCATGATCATCAGGTAAGCAAGCGAGTGAGGGTTGTGGTGTAAAGAGCATGGGTTTCTGTATAGACGGAGGGAGTGTATTTTTGCATCAAGGCAGAGGACTAGTCAGGCCAGGGCCGGCATTTGCATCGGGCGGGGTTTCTCTCCTGATATAGAACCGAATAGAGTGTTAGTTGTAGATGGATAGGTGGATGGATGTGACTGGCTGACCGGCCCGACCATTTCTCCCGGCGCGTGGTGGTGCAATGGCGGGAGTTGCGAGACGCTCCGCAACTCACCTCTCGTGCCTCTTCTGCTTTTGGAATGTCATGATGCCTTTGATGAAGTGACGAATCTCTTAACTCTTCTCACCGCCCTCGAACAGCTGCGCGACGCCCTTCCATTTCCACCGCCCCTCTTGCCGTTTCAGGAGCATTGGAGCTTCTTCCGCGACACCGACCACCACCATCTTTCTGAGCCCAATCCTCGCATTCACATCTCTCCACAAATCTCATCCCCAAAGCCGCTTTCGACCTTCTCTCAACACTCACATCCCAACCATCTCCGCAAGCACAATGGCCACCGGTATGTCCGTTCCTTCCGCTGTCATCCGAAGTCTCAAGACCCTGACCTCGAAGCTGCGCAGAGACGACCAAAGTCGTGCCGCTCACCTGCCACGGGCACTCGCGCCCCATCACGCACATCTCCTTCTCATCCGTCGTCGATGATGACCAGTTCTACCTGATCAGCGCGTGCAAGGACAACAACCCGATGCTGCGGGACGGCGTGACGGGCGACTGGATTGGCACCTTCATCGGGCACAAGGGCGCCGTATGGCAGGCGCGGCTGTCGTCGGACGCGACGCTGGCGGCGACGGGGTCGGCCGACTTCAGCGCAAAGGTGTGGGACACGCACACGGGCGAGGCGCTGCACACGCTGCAGCACAACCACATTGTGCGCGCCGTGGCGTTCCCGGCCCAGGCCCGCCCCCAGATCCTCGCCACCGGCGGCGCCGAGAAGAAACTCCGCATCTTCGACCTCTCGCGCAGTAGCGGCAGCGGCAGCAACAGCTCGGCCTCTTCGCCCACGGGCACTGGCGCGGGCGCTGACGCTGCTGCGGCGGCCCCGAGCTACGAGATCGGCCCCGGTGTTCATGAGGGCACGATCCGCTCGATCGTCTGGGCCAATGACTTGAACGTGCTCATCACCGCGTCCGAGGATAAGAAGATCCGGTGGTGGGACTTGCGCACGCGCAGCACGATTGGCGAATACGCCGTCAACGGCACAGTGGGCAGCTGCGAGCTCGAGAACCTGGGAGTGGACGGCAGCCAAGGCGGCGGCGTGCTGAGCGTTGCGGCTGGCAAAAGCGCCTACTTCTTCGATGGGCGCCAGCCCGCAACTCTGATCAAGCAGGTCGAGACGCCGTACGAGCTCGCCAGCGTCGCGCTGCACGCCGGACAGGGCAAGTTTGTCACTGGCAGCTCCGGTGACACGTGGGTGCGCGTGTGGGACTTCAACGAAGGCAACGAGCTTGGTGAGTCGGAATTTACTGCTTTCCCAACCAACTGACACTTACTGACATCCCCGCGCAGAGATGGGCAAGGGTCACCACGGCCCCATCTGGACGACCAGCTTCTCCCCCGACGGCAAGCTCTACGCGACCGGCAGCGAAGACGGCACCATCAAGTTGTGGAAGTTCACCACGGGCCCGTACGGCCTCTGGAGGTAAAGAGGGGGGAAAGAACCAAGAAGGAAAAAGAGGAAGACCACCCCTGGATGGACATGCATGCATATATAGAGCGCTTAGGCAGCACGCACAAGCACACACAATTGATACCCCTCCCATTTCGCGGCTTATGTGGAAAAAATATCTCGAAGCTCTTTTGTTAACTGACTGACTGACTGCCTTGTCACTCATGCACACACCATCAATACAGGAAGTCTAAACCAAGGCAAGTTGTCCGACAAATTTACAGACACGCCTAGACAGTAGCCTCTGTCACCGACCTGCCAGGCAAAACAAACAGACACGTAGGCAAAGGCAAATGCAGTTGAGTGATTTTGCCGCGAGAAAAGAGAAGACGCACCGCGCCACATACATAGTTCGAAGCACGAGAGCTCTCAGGTATCATCAAAGCGAGATAAAAAGGTGTGAGGTGGGGGGGAAGAAATGGCCGGAGAGATCCAAGTGACGAAGAAGAAGAACAACAAGAAAAAAGGAAGCGTGAAGAAAAGCAAGAAGATGATGATGTCCGCCACGCCATGCTGTCGCTGCCACCGTCGCCGCCCCACGTCATCACTGAGATACCGGTCCCCTTTTTTTGTTTTCTTTTCCTTCCTCCAAGCTGCTCCTCGTCCTCCTACTACTCCTTCGCCCCTCCTACATTACATCTCTCCATATCACTAACCGGCCAGCCAACCAGTCACCCCCTAATCATGCTGTCCCTCATTAAGCAACAACTCGACCACGATCTGGCAGCGCTCGTATCTCGGATGCTGCAGCGCGAGCTTGACAGTGCGGCCACCGACGCCCGACGCACCCATGCCCATAACGCCACCATGGGGCGCGCCGACGTAGCCGCCCTGGCCGCCGTGCGCGTAGCCCGCCCACTGGCCGCCCAGCCCCAGCCCGTCGTCCAGGCACTTGACGTCGCGGCCGGGGATGACCTGGCGCAGGCGCCCGTTCTGCGCGTTGCGGATCTCGACGAAGTCTGGGTCGAAGAGCAGCACGTACGGCCCGTACAGCGCGGCCGCCTTGGCTTTGCCCACGAATTCCATGATCACGCTGCGCGATACCTCGCCGTGCTTGTTGACGTAGACGGCGCATTCTTCGTAGCAGAGCAGGAACTCGGCGTCGCTTAGGCGGAACATGCCTAGTGGGTCGAGCCCTTGCAGCCGGCTGGCTATCGTGGCTACGTGCTGCTGCTTCAGGTCTGGCACACTCCACGGCTGCTTCTTGTCGAGCGTCAAGACTTCGAAGCCCTTGGATGTGCTGATGGCCAATGAGCTATGGAATAAGTTCAGGCCATAGCACTCAGTTGGGATGTAGAAGTCGTCGTATTCGCGGAAGAATTCGGTGCGCCCGCTACGGAAGAAGCCACGCTTCTTTTCTGCCTTTTGGAAAACGGGCTCAAGGACCTGAAAAAAGACCTTGTTAGCAAAATGGCAGGTTTGTGCAATGGATAGAGTTGACGACTATTGACGTACCTTGAAAGTCGAGCTCAGACCCTCCCTCTTCTTGTAGAAGACCAGCGTCCGATCCTTCATCTTGCCTGTAGCAAAGAAACCCACATCTCTTGCACCAGACAACTTTTGTGGTGCCTTTCTTGCAGAATCGTTAGCTGGCGGGACTCCACCGACCGGGCAAACCATGTCAAGATGGTAGGCAATGAGAGCCTTGTCAGATATAAGCAGAAACATGCTAAACTCCTCCAAAACGGCGATCTGCGTCACTTTTACGACGGGAATAGCCTGATCAACGAAGTTAGCACAAATCCCCTGTACGGGGGAGGAATCAATACATACCCTCAACCAACCCCTTGGGTTGTCCGTCTCAGAGATGTACACGCCAAAATCCGTACCCACGGCCACCATTGGCTTGCCATAAGGCTGCATGAAAGTTGTTGCGCAGTTGACCTTGGCTCTGCAAATAGGTCCCGGGCGGCCAGTGTTCGCATAGCGAGTTTCGACCTCATCGATAGCCCGATCGAGAGGAGTGCCCTCGATCGTGATACTTTGCGAGCCCACCGCCGCGCCCTCGTAGGAAAAGGCGGAGTCAGCCATGACACTCAACCTGAAAGGTTCAGCATTCTGCGCGTACAAAGACGCGGCATGCTTGGTTTTGGCCTCGAGGATCTTTTGACACCATTCCTGACGGTTCTGCGCGCTCGGGGCGAAGAGCGTGTATACCTCTTTACCAAGGTGCTTGATGCGGAAGGGGTACATAATTTTTTCATCTTTGGCTTCCAGAACAGTCGAAGTGATCATAGTGGCAGCTGAAGACCCGGTATTCGTGTGAGACAGAGGCACAGCAGCCGGACTGGCAGCATTTGAGCCAGAGCGCAGTCGAGAATCTGGGGTTCCAGCGCTCCTAGTTACACCGGCTGCAGTAACGCCCTTCACGGATGACCTGACCACAGGATCATCATTGCTGCTCTCCAAAACGAGCAAATCCATGGGGATAGGCTACGACTTCATTAGTTTTTAAGCTCATAAACCATAGCTTGATGACTTACAAGTCTCGACACATCGTATCTTTCCTGCTTAGGACCCCCTTCGTGCTCTCTGTGGTGGACCGTCTTTGCCAGCACCAGGTAATGGTCGAAAAGCAGGGCATGCGTCTCCAGCCAGGTGTAGCGAGTGCCGCCCATCCGCTGGAGATCGCCCTTGAAGATGAGCTCGCGTCCCAAGTGGTTCAGGTTCAGCTCCACGCGCTGCATGCCCGGGCGTAGGATGAGCTTGGACTGAAGATCGGTCAAGTCTACCTTTCGGGACATCTCGGCGACGCGCGCATCACATTCCAACGTAACGGCCTTGATTTCGTCGATGGCCACCTGTAGATTTTTCTTTTCCGGATCGTCGATTATGCTCCTCTTGTGCGCTGTCTGGAGCAGAAGGCCAATATGTTGCAATCTGGTGATGGGATTTTTGAGGTAGTGATCCCATGCAAGTTTGTTGGACGCCTTGTTCGAGCGAACCTGCTCCAAGAAGCTGCTGAAGAGAATGTTGCGCTCGGATTCTTGTCTGATCAAGAACGACGCATAAGGGAAAGATCCGGCGTATTCGATATAAGCATGACGTGCTTTTCTGATCCACTCGCGGAAAATGTCACTGAATCCCTTGACAACTGGTGCGTGCTCCATCTCCCTGTACTTGAGTTGTGGAAGCAGATGGTCTTGGTCTGCCTGTATTACTCCATCTATCTTTCCGAAAACGTCTCGCAGGAAAGCTTTGAGCTTTTTCGGAGAAATGATGGGGGGCTGCTGCCTTGACAGCGCGTCACGGTACAACACGCGAAGAATGTTGAGTTGCTCCATGTAGTTGTCCTCGGTCTGGACGATCTCGTGCAAGATGTTTTGTCGTTCCACTTCTTTTTTGTTCATGCTGCCAACAAATTCTGCTGTTAAGCCGTGGAAAGTAGCCCAGTCGACATTGGATTTGACAGAAGGCGTGGCGTGAAGATCAATCTTCTTCACCGTCCTCTGACAGTGGTATGAATAACAACGTCCAGTGCTTTGGTCGTCATGCAATCTCGGTGCGTAACAACCGGCTTGAGTCAACTGATAAAGCACACCAGAAGTTGTCGCGGGCGTGAACTTCAACCATTCCTCGACGTGTTCAAGCGTTCCTACTTTGAACATCTCAGCCACCACCTGGGTGCTCAATGCTTCGGCATCCGCGGTGTTCATGTTGGGGACCTTGTGTATAAACAAGGCCACCAGCCCATCGAAGATGGAATGCTCTCTCAAATCGGTCTCTCCCTCAGTCATCATGCGCAACCACTCGATGATAGAGCTCAGAGCCCATGGTTCTATGCATTTCGCGAAGTCCTTCTTATCCAACTTGGCCGGGTTGAAACGTTTTCCAGCTGGAAGAGACGGCAGATCCAAAGCAATAGTGCTAGCACTTGCCGGTGTCGACGTCTCCACAGCGATATCCTTCTCATATAATGCAGACGTCCTGGCTTGAGCGTTACGCAACCGGCGTTCTTCTGCGTCCGTCTTTGATCTGATAGGTGGCACTGCTTGTGGGGTCTCTCTTTGGTTGATCAAAGATGTGGATCGTGGGACATGACCGCCGACCGGGGTGACCATAGCATCTGGACCTTGCGGGTACGTCACACGGTTCGCTTGATAGTTCCATGGTGGCTGTGTCTGTGCGAACCTCTCTCCGCCAGGAGTAGGCGGCAGGGGACGAGAATGCGCAGCGGACATCCCAGGATGGTAGAACATGTCGGGTGGCTCACCAGGAGCCGGAGCATTGGGTTCCATCAGGCTGGATTCATCGCCCTCATCATAGCTCAAGCGACGCCTCTGGGTCGTCGGTTCAGCAAACCCTCCAGTTCCGAATGTGTCCACTCTTGCGGTGCTGGAGAACGGTGGGAATGGATGAATAGGATCGTAAGCATCCGTTTCACTGGTATCGCCTGACTTGCGCAAGGATCCCGAGGAAGATATGGTGTGGGACTGGCTTTCTGACCTGTTGAGGCTTGTGTGACCACTCGCAAGCTCTGCCGGATCACCGCCGTAGGAAAAGCTTGGCTCATAGCCCATGCCGTACGCACTGAGGTCAATGCCAGCAAGTGAGTCGTCCTTGTCGTCATCATCTTCCATCTCTAACGGCTCTTGATGCTCCGGGGGTTGCGGAGTTGGGCGAATAGTGCTATAGCTGCTGAAAAGGCCGGATCCACCGTTTGCTCTGCGCTCTTCCTCGTCCGCCATCTGCATAGCCGCCAATCCGGCCGCAGCTTCAACATCGCTCTCATCGCTGTAGTCATAACCGCCTACTCTTCGTGGCGGAGACAAACTGCCATTTGTCGCAGCTACTTCGCCTCCTGCCAAAGAAGCGTAGAATGGCGGTTCGTTGCCGTTGGCAGAAGTCTGGTTGTCATACGAGTTTTCAACATCTATCCGTGGATTTTGTTGATGTCTGGGGGAGCCAGCATGCATGACTGCATTTTCGATTTCATCGTATAGTTCGTCCGTGGCTCCCGAGTCTTCAAACGGGGTGCCATTGCCGTTGGGTCTTCCAAAATATTCTTCTTCGGCCTCGGGTGGCGGAGGCGGAAGCGGACGCGACGACGTGGTATCAGACCGTCTCGGAGCATGTTGCGGAGGAGGTGGTCCGGGGGTAGGAGGAAGTGGATTAGGTGAGACCATAGGTGAGGCATATTGCATCTCGTCTGGGTAGTATTCTTGTACACGATTTTCTGGGGGCGATGGCAAAGGATTATTGTATCGGGAATTCATGTCTCCTCCAACCGGCCACTGGGTGTATCTGCTGTTGATCGAAGAATGCCGGGACATCTCAGCTTGCCAGTCCGCGGGCAGCGCCATGCCAGCGCTGTGGGGTGGCATAGGAAGAGGCGATTGTGATGGAGGTGCATGCCCAGGACGCGCCGGCAGAGGGGCTGAACCAGTGGGTGGAGGATAAACCGGAGAACTTATGCTGGCCCTATGCCCATACCCAGACTGTGCACGGGACGGGGAATATTGCCCTTGCTGGGGAACCGATGGAGACGGAAAAGATACTTGCTGCGGGGTTGCAGGAAACGGCGAGGTGGGCGTAAAGTTAGCCGCCTGGTACCCATAACGCCGCGTGTCGCTGCGCACAAGGCCGCCGCCGTTATCGGAGTATGCAGCTGGATTGTATGGTTGATGGGAGGAGGTGGGGGTGTATTGCGTGCGGTTCAAGCCGCCATACGACTGAGGGTTGGGGATCTGGACGGGCGCGGCGTAGGCTCTTGGGTCGTAGGTGGGCTGCGAGGGAGAAGCGGGCGTTTGGTATTGCGCGGCGTAGTCGGGCGCGGAGGGCATTTCCAGAGGCGGGTTTTCCTCAGCCATGAACAACTCGTCCTGCTGGCGCACAGCAAGGCTGCCCCGCCTGCCCGGCCCTCCTCCCTGGGCATATGTGCCGTTGCCTCTCATGAGGCCCGCTTCGTCTCCGGCGTCGAAGCTGGGGTGGCGGTAGTGCTGGTGGGAGCTCGAGGGCCGGTAGTACTGGCCGTTCTGGTAGTATGACATGGTGTCGGATATGCGATTATATTACAGTATGTCTGGTCGTGAAGTCATTCAGCACGCCTTGGTGATCGTCGGGCGGGTCGTCGAAAGATGATGGGCAAGGCCGTCCACATGGGCGCTCCGGTCGTCGCGCCGCGAGAGCCGGACGGTGGGCAGCGATGCGGGTGAAAGGGGGCAATGGCGTCAAGGGAGGGCGCTGCCAGAGCTACCTGTCGTTGCGATTGTGTGGGGTGTTGCGCGGTCGCAGGCGCGGCGGAGGAACGCTGGCGGCGCAGGCTGGCGACGACGGGCGATCGGGGAGATTGCGGTGCCAAATGAGGCCCGAGAGCACGACCGTATAGCAAGCTCGTCTTGGTGGGCAAGAGGAGTCGGGGTTGCAGGCTGACGAAGGAGGGTCTGGAATTGCCCGCTGGACAGCTGCTTGCTCGGCGTTGACCCGCTGGACCAATCACGTCGGCGGGCACGAGCTGGGCATACGAATGATGCTCACGGACTCCACGCGCTCTCAACTTTCAGCCGCTGCGATCACCGGAGCCAAGAGCTGCTTCGTCGTTTCAGCACTCTCGGCACTGCCTGAACCTCTCTTTCTTCCGTCGGCCTCTTGCTCTCTCTCAGCCGTGTCCCCGCCGCAAACGCGAGCCGCAGCACGTCGTCGTGTATCACTTGCTTACCCTCTTCTTCAAGCACACACCACCACCCACGCCGCGCGCCAAGGAAAACCCAATTCCGCTAATAAGATTTCCGACGTCTCAGCTTCCTGACCGCCAAGATATCCGGCTCTATACGTATATTGACTTCAAATCTCTGCCTGCCGCTGCACCACCCTGCCACCCGGGCCCTCGCTAGCACCCATACCGAGAGAACCAAGAGCCCGTTGCAACAAGGCAAATGCCATCTTCACCGTCGAATTGGCGGGTCAAGGCTTTGAAACCGGAGATTTAGACTGATCAGACGACATCCTGCAGGGGCGAAGATACTGCTAGATGCTGATCAATACATACGTTGGTTCAAGTCAGCGAGTCGGACATTTTTCATTAAACGCAACCACGTCAGCGAGGCGGTGCTGTCGAAAATAGAGCTCAGGACTGTATTCCGTAACGACCCCATCACAGCCCAACGCCGCCCGCAGTCGCACAAGCCCGACAGATCCAACGCCTGGGCCCAAACATCCGCCCCGGGCCCGAGCACCTGGACCCTGACGGTTCCCGGCAACCGTTCAGCGGGCACGGCCTGTCTCGGCTCCGCGCCGCCCTAACGTCAAAATTCTCCAAAAGCAAAAAAATTCTCTGCAGCCCCAACTTTCTGCTCCTGCCACCATCCCCCACCGCAGCAAAAAAAGGGTCTTGCCGCGACTCGAACGCGGGGCCTCTCGCAAACAACTCAGGGTGAACCCTAAGCGAGAATCATACCACTAGACCACAAGACCGAAGTGTGACTCCTAGAAGGAGTTGAGGTTAGTTTTGGCTGTTGCCAATATATACTGATAATATCCGAACTCTAAAAGAACCTCCATGATCAGTCGAGGGAAAGCTGTAGGTATCATGGCACGTTAACCGTCTTATCATCTTGTCTTGCCTCTTTGCACTGAAACAACCGGAGATTCACGCCACATGAAGCAGAAATTCGGACGTGACCGCCTTCCCCCCTTGTTGACTCAATGAAACACCAAAATGATCGCCTTGTGATAGGAGCTTGTCCCGCTGCTAATCAACAGCCTTATAGCAAACCATTTGTGTGATGATCACAATGATGCCAATACTTTAGTGAGTTACCGAGCACTTAATGAGGGTGTTAACATGCTTTACTGAATTTGCTAAGACAGCGGGAACAGAGCAATGATGGGAAATAAGCCGAGATGGCGATGAGCACCGCGATTAACCTTTCAGCCCACCAACGCCATATATCTTGGCGAGGCCGAAGACCAAAGTCCCGCTGAAGGCGCTTTTAATGCCAGAAACAGACTCAACGCCACGATACTTTATCACGTCAACACTGTATGGTTATAAGCCCGGATTGAGCATTAGCACATAAAGTTTGTCGATTTCATAGGTATGGTATTCATCCTTACATGGGCTGAAAAGCCGCAGTCTTACTAACCTTTAGATTACTCAATATTGAATCGACTGCGAGTATATAACCCGTCTAGTACGGAAAAGACAAGTTCTCTTAACGTTTTAATCTAGTGCGAGATAGAGTAGGTACGCCGCTGTGCCTTTTTCGCGTTCGGCCTTGAAGCGCCCTTGTATCTAGAATTTCCTGCTATCCCCGTTAATCCAAGTAAAAGAGCGTTTTTCTTTCCTAGATATTAACTTCACCGGCCCGAGGCTTAAATCCCATAGTGCCATATGGCTCCGCAGCCACGAATAGGTACTAGAAGTTCTTATCCAGATGATCCTCGATCTTCTACTTACAAGTTATTTAAAAACTACACCTGTCATCGGCGCCCGGTTTCTCTTTGTGTCAATTAGTATCTTGACTGACTTCTCTCGCGTAAGTCTATGTTTAAATACCGATGAAGGCGAGCTCACCGGTATGGCTTCGCTCATACCTTATACCTTAGCTGTTCGAACTGATAAAGCCCAGTCAAGGTAGCAAGATTTCCGGTCTATGTAGATTGAAGAGGTGCTGTTCCATCATGAGAGTAGCGTCAAAGGCTGATCGTCATTGCTGCAAACGGGACCCAAAACAGCATCTCGACAGAAAATGGATGAGACATGTAACCAATACAAACCTACCCTTGCCTTTTGGATACCTTTGTTCAGTGCTTCAGAGTATCCGAAACTTAACATTGCTGGGAATGTTTGGCAGAGAAAGAGAACCGAAGGAAACGACGGGTCGAGAGCGACAGATCAAATACTGGCAGTGTAGCACAAAGGAGCCATTTCCCAGACTATAACATGGCGTAAAAGTCTACATTGGGGTCAAATTGGAAAGAAAGAGTATGTTTTGCTAGTCGTGCATTGGGGAACATGTAGGGCAAAGACACGAGTGCCCGCCCCCTCCGCGTCTGGGCAACAACGCGCATTTGCTCTTGCCCCGCATCCGACTCCGGACACCACGGTCCACACCGGATTTCCGCTTCAGCTTCACCACCACAATCACAACTAGCACATGCGAACACGACTTGTTTGACGATCGGTCCACGATGAAATGGCGCAGGCGCCGTTTCTTTTGTTCGTCCAATGGACGACAGCTACGTCGCCCATCACTCTCCCACGCGCCAATGCATGCAGCCTCGCAAGGCTAGCCTTCCGGTGTAACGCTTTGGGCTAGCCTAGTCTCGCCTTTTTCTGGGGCCATCGGTGGCTCCGGTATGAGGCTCTGCCGCTTCATGAGATCGATCGGAACGTGCCGGATGGCAAATCGGGCTCTCATTCGCATGATCTCTCGTCTTTGACTGCCTACTGGAATGCAGTTTACCGCCACCCTGCTGATACAAGGCAGAACGCTGTGAAGATGCGTTGTACTTCCTTCCGAAACGTGCTGTCTGATCATTAATTGTCGTCCTTGAGAGGAGCAGGGCGCATCAGTTGCCCAATAATTTAGGCGGCGCAGCATCTGGCGGGCCTGATGTCCCAGTCGCGAGATTTTTGGACGCCAGTTTTCTGGTACCTCAGCTCATATGTACCCACGCGTACAAATGGCGATGCTGCTTGCTCTGGTGTGTCCCACTGTGGAGCCGTTTCTAAACTGGTAAGCCGACCTGTATTTAAGACTAGCACCGCCACGGCGGATTACTGGACGTCCGAAACAGGGACCCGCGGAAAGCTTCCTTGCTAACTATAACGAATACAGCAGTAATCGATGAGGCTGCATTCGAGTGGAGCCTAAAAAGGGCGTGGCGGAGGTACAGGCCGATGCAGGTACGGCCGTCCTGAGGCTTCGCATGTCAGCCATGTTCAATCCTTACCACGTCGCACAAGATCCGTCGGTGCATATGCCTTCTTTCGTAAAATGACAAAGAGGTCTACATGTGTATTTCAGTTGACACGATGCAGGACCAAAGACTAGCAGACGGAATCGGACAAGATAAAGCTTACAGCTTCAGTGACTGCGTTTGTCTCGGATTTGCTTTGATGGACTTTGCGATGGAGTCTGATTCAGCACCTACGGTTGCCCTGGACTTGGGACTGTTGATATTTTCATACCATGACAAGGCAATTTTGCCTGGCGATTCATTTGCCTACAAGGTAAGGTTGACTTCAGATCACTTTGGGACGTGGCTGGCAAGTTTATGACAGGCTATTTTTGATTCCTCAGACACTTTTGCGCAGGGCGCTCTGTCTTTGGGCTCAGTATAAAAGACCATTTGGTTCCGAGCCTTTTGGGTCAGACAAAACATCAGAAACTTGTCCGGCAACGACCTCATTTAATCACTGTTTTCATTCTGCTGTCCTCAATTCTTTTTTATCTCCTTACTCTGATCAAAAAACCGCTTTACCGATATCCCATCAATATCATAGCCAACCTACAAAGCGTTGATTCTGAAACTGCAAAAGAATTCTGTCTGGATACCTTTTGCTACCTTGAACATTTGCTGCTTTTTCCGGAGACTCGCAGATAGCCATCTTTCAGTCATCGCTTCCACATTTATACCCTGGGAACAGACCACTATCTATCTTCAACACTTCTATTTCAGGAAACAATGGCTATACAGATGCCCACACCATTTTCCTCCACTACCTCGGCAGACGTTTGGGTCTGCTGCCAGTGCCAAGGAGAGAACTTGGTCCAGAATGCACCTCAACGATGCCCTCTCTGTCAACACTACAGGTGTGGTTATTGCGTTGGCTCAGCCCACTGTTCTTGGAGCTCGACATTTCAGTGCTTAAAAGGGACTGCCGAAGGGTGCCCGGCTACCCTTATACCGTCCGATCCCACATGTGGTGAATCCGGCCGCTTGACCGAGTTCAGTGGTCTCGATTCATATGAATACTCCTCGCCCACCGCCGAAATATCGATAATCGCCATTCCTCTACCAAAGACCTCCCCTGAAATTGCTCCTCTGGTAGCAGGCTTCGGCGATACGTGGTATTGTTGCGGATGCGGGACTCTCAACCACAACGGCGTTGCGCTTGATCGATGTCCTGTCTGCGCTCACTACAAATGCTCTCTATGTTCCCATGCCTAAAAATAATTTCAGTGAGAAAGCAGTAACGGTAGACTGTTTCTCTCCTCCTCTCCTCCTTTTATCAATCAATCCTTTCCATTGCCCATCTTTCTTTCTCTGTTGATCCTGTTGTATGCTCTTGTTCGATTTTTTTTGTTCGTTATCTATTTCCTCAAGTCCCTGCACCCGCTTTCAACACCCATGATAGTTCTTTTCTTACATCTTGGTTACCATCGCATAGTGACTTCTGTATCGGCATTGTCTTTCCATTGTTTCAGATCTCATGCGTTCTGCTCTTTTGTGCTTTGCTTTTGAATTCCCGCGTTTAAAAATCAACCACCATCTACTACACTAAAAGGAAAAGACCGGAAGGCATATAATTGGCTAGATCGCTCCTTTATGTACTTTGCATTTAAGCATCGCAATAATAGAGCACCGTTAGCATCCGTTGGAGTCTGCTCCAGCCACAACTATCGGCGGCTGCGATACCGGTTCACAATGACCCGAATCCAAAAGCCCGAGTTCCGTCACGATTCAAGAGTATCTCAAGATCAACAGGGAAACGAGGCCCCAAATTGGTTGGCTCAACGCCTGGACCATTCGACCCCGTGGGGAAGCCGCAAGAAAAGCGGGTCTGGTAGCACCGCCAACCCCGCACGGCGCCAGTCTAGACTTTCGCGTATCCTGATGACGTTCTGCTTCTCTATCGCACGTTCAACTCGTCGCCCACAAATTCATCGCCGCAGCCACCGAGTAATGCTTGCGGGATCTGCGGGATCGCCGTGCGGCGGATCTCAAGTAGTGTTGGAGGCGTGGACACGAGATCTGATACCTCTACAGGCGAAGCATCGCTTGGAAAAGCTTGGATACGCTTGCTGTCATCCCGCTTCCATGGGCCGCTTATTGGCTGAGGACCATAGTACCGATCCCTGCATTGCCCTACCACTACCGACGACGTCCCCAGAGCTTGCAACCGTGTTGATGTTCACGCGCGCTAAACGAGTGGAGGCAAGGGCGGGATAGGCCGCGGTGGTTGCAGTCTGCCAGCGTTGACGTCGAACGGCAGCTGGCTGAAGCATATAACTTCCGGTCCCGCGGGGTATATGTACCTAGGACTGCGTCAAAAGCAAAAAGCAAAAACCCAAACCCTTGTGGAAAATCCGTCCATCTACCATCATGGTCAATTTCGACTTCGGCCTCCAAGGCGAACAGGAACCGTCGCTGGCGGATGTCCATGCTCAGCAAGACCGCAGGCCCTCTGCCACTGAAGCCATCGCTGCGGATCGCCGGCGGAAGAGCGTCAGTGATAGGGCGGTGACTGGTGCTTCTCAAATCACGACGAGGCAGTCAATCGTTCCCGTGACTTTGGTCACTACTCTGTTCTTCTTATGGGTTAGTACTACAACACAATTGATGATACCCAAACCTAACTTGGCATCAGGGATTTGCGTATGGTTTGCTGTAAGACCACTGGAACATGGGTTGTGTTGATAAAGATCTAACGAGCTGCAAGAGATGTCTTGAACTCTAGATTCCAGGTCGCTCTAAATATTACACAGGGCCAATCCTCTGGTTTGCAAGGAGCATATTTCGGGTATGTATCAAGAGAGTTCAATCATTTCACCCACAAGCCGTCACTGACGTACAAAGTGCTTACTTCGTCGGCCCCCTGACCTACTCTGGTTGGTTTGTTCGTCGCTTTGGATACCGATATACCTTCATGCTGGGCCTCAGCATTTACTGTGTCGGCGCACTGATGTTCTGGCCCTCAGCCGTCAAGCGCTCTTTTGGCGGGTTCTGCGGCTCCATGTTCATCGTCGGCTCCGGTCTGTCCACTCTCGAGACATCAGCAAACCCATACATCGCCGTGTGCGGCCCGCCTCGTTGGTCCGAGTTCCGTCTCGAGCTATCCCAGTCCTTCCAAGCCGTAGGTTCCGTCATCGCGCCCGTGCTAGCCTCCCAGGTCATCTTCAAGAATGTGGGCTCGGACGGCAAGTCGCTGGAATCCGTGCAATGGGTATATTTAGGCATCGCGGGATTCGTGGCATTGCTAGCCGTGGTCTTCTACTTCGCTCCCATCCCTGAGATTACGGACGCAGATATGGCGGACCAGGCTGAGATGACGACGTCCAGCACCGGTTTCGAGGACAAGCCGCTCCGCAAGCAGTACACGTTGTTCTGGGGCGTGGCGGCGCAGTTCTCGTATGTCGGCGCCCAGGTCGGCATCGCGGGCTACTTCATCAACTACTACACGCACGCGCGCCCGGACGAGCCTACCATCAAAGCTCAACACCAGGGCGCCAATTTCTACGCCATTGCGCAGGCGCTGTTTGCCGTGGGCCGGTTTGCGGCCGCTGGGCTCATGATGGTCACGAAGCCACGTTTGATCTTGCTCGCGTTTCAGACGCTCATCATGGTGTTCATCTCGCTGGCTATTGGCATAGACACCGGCCATGGCACCGAGGCGAATTGGGGCGGCCTGTCCATGCTCATGATAGTGCTGTTCTTCGAGTCGTGCATCTTCCCGACCATCTTCACCTTGTCGCTGCGCGGGCTGGGCAGGTAAGCAACCCCACCGCGCGCGTGCGTTCAGAAACACTCATCGCTGACTCCATTCGCGCAGACACACCAAGCGCGGCGCCTCGTATCTCGTGGCCTCGGTCTGCGGCGGCGCCGTCGTGCCCGCCATCCTGGGCAATGTCGCCGACAAGATCGGCACGCGCAAGGCCATGGTTGTGCCGTTGGCCTTCTTCATCATCGCGTGGAGCTTCCCGATCTATTTGAATTTGTTCAAGGCCAAGGAACTCGACGCGTACAGGGAGTCTAAGGTCGGCTTGTCTGAGGGTGAGGTCGATCCTGATTCGAGGGTTGCACGGGAGAAGGGCGATGTTGAGGCTCATCAGGTTGAGATTGTTAGGACGACGTCGGGGAAGAGTAAGTGAGTGAGTGGTATGGTTCGAGTTCTGTGGGAAAGTTTGGTTTTTAGTACGTGTTTGAGCGTGCGTTTTATGTGTTTGTACGACTAGGCGTAATCGCAGATCTAATGAGAGTGAGTTCTTATTAAAGACTTTATTCGCTGTGCTAGGATGCCTCTTGATGTGCAGGCACTTTTTTTTAAATCTAGCTTATAAGTTTGTTTGGTGAGATACTCAGTAAGAACGGAAGTTAAAAGTCGAGTGGTATACTGGCCACCGTAAAGGTACCTATGATTAACTACTTCAGGTGTTACGCACCTGGAGTTCGAGTGTTGTCATGACGCTGGAGAAACTGACGTAGTAGCCAGTTTAGAGGGCCTTCGGGCCTGACTTTTTGTTTGCTAGGGAACCATCTGTTAGTATTTTAGTTTTGCTTTAGCTGTTCACTCAGTTGTTAACAACCGACACAACCCACTATGCCAGTACCCAATCCTCATTCTTACACTTCGCGTCCATCTGCTGCATAAAAGCCTCCATCCGGTCCATTATCCAACCCGACCGGACCCTCACCGGCGCCGCAGCGTCGGTCTGATGCCCCAGCTTCACCCCAAACGAGACTTTGCAGCTCTGGCCGGCAAACGAAAACCGCAGGCACTGCTCTACGCGCTCGCACACAGCGCGACACTTCTCGAATGAATCGAGCGGGACACCGCCGCTAGACACACCAACACCAGCCTCAGAGAGGTTATCCCAATCGTCGCGTTCCAGCACGAGCTGCGGCAGGATAAACTCCCTAAAGACGTCGCCATGCCTCAAGAGGCTCCCGTTATGCTGCCGCAAAACCATTAGCACACAATCCCATCAGTGAGAAGCGCAATCTCGAACGCACCTCCCTGCCCCAGCGCTCCTCAAACGCAAACAGCTCGCCCAGCTCCTCCGGCGCGATATGGTGGTACGTCATAGCATAATAGCACCACAGCACGCGGCCGTACTTCACAATCCCCCATTCCTCGTCGCGCGGCGCCTCGCTCTCGAAATTCGGCCACGCCTGCAGCAGCGACGTGCCCGTATCGGCCAGGGCGTGGGTCAGATCCGCGTCGCCAGCCCAATGCCTCCTGACATAGTCCTCGTAGCCCGCCCTATCGCGCGCCACAACATCCACCAAGGCCTCGAGCGCCGGACGCGAGACGATGAAGCCCGCGCCCCCGTACGCGAACAGCGTGTCTCTGTTGTGCATCTGACGGCCGATGTAGAGCGGCAAGCGGGGGTCGAAAAGCTCGAGGTACGCCAGCAGCGTGCGCAGCGCGACAAACGTGTCCGCCTCGACGAACAGAAACCAGCGGGCGGCGGGCGGGCTCGCGCGCAGCGCCACCGCCGCCATGGGCAAGAACTTCCAGCGGTCCAGCCGCCACGCGGGGTTGGCCTGGCGTCCGCGGTGCGAGTTCCCCACCGCGGCCCACTGCGCGAGCTCGTGGGGCGAGAAGGCCGCCGCGACGCTGCCGGCCGCGTGCAGCTGCGTGTAGAAGGCAAATTCTGCGGGGTAGGCGGCTTGCGTGGCGGGCGAGACGGCGTCGTTGGCCAGCACGTCGCTGACGCTGTGCCCCGCGATGGTTTCGGCCAGGTCCGAGTACAGCCCGTATGAGCTTGGGGCGAGGCAGTGCAGCGTTGTGCTGGGCCGAGAGCACGGCGCATGGGTCCAGTGCCGGTGCCTGTGCTGGTGCTGGTGCTGCTACTGCGGGCGCTGAGGTGAGGGTGTAGTGCATGAGGAAGAGGAAGGCTATTGCTGCAAAGGCGCAGGCTGCATAGCGCAGTTGGACAAGCAGCGGCGTGCTGTACATGCTAGAGACGGGGCTATAGGGGAATAGCAGGAGCCATTTGGCATTGGTGGGTTTCCTGGAATAGCCATTGAAATATCTGATACAGCTTCCTGGCGTCTAGGCTTGTGGTTTAGGGCGACTTCCCATTCGTCGATCAGAGCGGGTGGCTTACTCCTAAAAGACCCCTGAGAATCATTGGAAGATGGGCCAAAAAGAGGGCCGACGCGGAGATGCCATGCCATTGTCATTAGAGTCTGTCAAAATATCAGTAATATATTAGACTATACAGGCTCGGGCAGTGAGTCAACAACAATCCCCGCCTTCCCACCCCGCAATCACTGCAACTCCACACAACCCGCCCACGGCCCCTTCCGTCCCGACGTCCCCAACTCAGACGGCGACAGCCCGCCCCTCAGTTCCGCCCGCGCCTCACTCTGCAGCTCCTGCACCGAGCGCACCAGAAACCCGCCCTCGTACCCACGCACCGCGCCGCCCGCGTAACCATACGGAAACGCGGCAGCAGCGGCAGCAGCGGCAGCGGCAGCGGCGGCAGAATGGTCGATCGGCCCAGGGCCCTGCTGCATCCCTAGCCCCAGCGCAGCTTCGGCGTGCGCGCCCCCGCCGTCCCCGCAGTTGCTGTTCAGCTCTTGCTGTTGCTGCTGCCGCCGCCTGCTTTGCTGCCATAGCCAGATCCCTGCGCCCAGCGCGACGCCGATGCCGATGCCGGCTTTGGCGCCTGCGCTGAGCAGCGCGCTGCCAGTTGCTGTTGCCGCGGCAGCAGCAGCAGCACCGTCCGTAGCACTCGCAGAAGCGGGTTCCGAAATGCTGGTCAAGACGCCCGTTGCAGTGGCGGCAGGGGTGCCAGTGGACGTCAAGGCAGCCCCAGAGGAGGCATGAGCAGAGCTGTACGCAGCCAGCGACTGCGCAGCGGCGCTATTGAGGGCGGAGCGGGACTCCTTTGCTTTGGCGACGGCGGCGGCGGGGTCAAGGCCCTGCTGCGGGTTGGCGAAGCGGCTTCAGCAGATGTTGATCTGGCGGCGGCCGTTGGTGCACGTCTGGGACGGGGCGTCGCAGCACCAGGAGTAGGTGACGCCGTCGGCGGTGCTGGAGCAGCCGAGCTGGGCGTCCGACGGGCTGGGCGTCGTGTCGCTGTCGTCGGTGGAGGCGATGGGGGCCCCGGTGCAGAGGACGTTCCAGGTCCAGCAGATGCTGCGTAGCGGCCGTTAGTGCGCGTGTTTAGGTGAGTGTGTATGTGTGGCAGCACGGAGACGCACGAGTCGGGCGCGTCGCAGCTGAAGACGACGCGTCGGCTGGGGAGGTAGGCGCATAGGCTGCCGGTGTTGGTGATGTTGTTTGCGGAGATTGTTGTGCCGTCATAGGAGCACGTGTTTGGCTTGTTGGTGTAGAAAAAAATGGGATCATCGTCCTCGGCCAGCGAGGAGGTGATGAAGCAGAGAAAAAAGGTCAGGGCCGTTGCCATCAACCGCATCGTGAAGGAAAACGCCGCGCCACCAGAGCTAAGCTCTGCTCGAGCTGCTGCTGGGCCATCTTAAAGCACGCTGCTGCGCTGCTGTGCCGCATGGCTAATTGTGGAGCTCCGCGCTTATGGTGTTGGCGCTGTGGAGTGCCGTTCCGTGATAGGCGCCTGCAAGGGGCGCTGGGTGGTTATACGTGGGATCTTTCGACCTGAAGATAGACTTTGGCGTGAGAAAATGGGAAATCGGATCAGCTGGTAAGTTTGCATGGTCATTCGCTTGTTTTTCCAGAATTTTCCGGCTTTGTTTACAGTAGCTTTGTTGTTGCAGTGCGTGATGTGGGTTTCCCCGATATTTAGACACAGGCTTCTTTATAAGCTCCCGAAAGCACGAGACAGCTCGCTTCTGTATACAAGTCGGGAAACGGCGTTCGGGCACCGGATGCATCATCCGTACGGAGTATTGGATGTGACAAACAGACGGAATAGAGCAGTTGAATTGCGCCTGCGAAAGCATGATCGATATTCGGTAGCAGTATAGACCCTGATCTCCCCCGCTCTTTCCTCCTCTTTCTCGTCCCCCAACTTGAAGCACTGCAAACATTCACCTCACGTTCGTCTATTTTTCCGGCCGTCCCTGCTCCTATTTTCTCGGTCCTCTGCAGATGCGGCTGAGCTGCTGAAATCGACCAGGGAGGATCCCTGTAGTGCAACTCGAGCGAAATGACAGAGCTAACAAAAGAAAGCATAGTCATGCACCTAACCTGATCATGTTTCTATCGGTGTCAGCCTTAGGATTAGGGTCTACATGGTGTAACGCACCAAAAAGGTGCGGATTAACTCGATAAGTCTGCCATTGACCATGCGCTAACGGCTGAAAGAATGCTGATCCTGCAGACGCACGACTCGGGCTCTGCACCACCCCTGCCGCATCTCCGTACAACCCGTGTCATCCTAAAAATTTTTGGGGGCCGGCAATTGGCGTCTTCCTTCAAGATGATGTCGGTCCCGCCATCCGCCAGCCACTTTCTTACTCCGTTCCACCATGCCGTCATTGTCGCCGATGCTGTTGACGGCAGCGCTGCTATCCGTCTCCTTCCTCGTTGGCACCTCACTGGCCGACGTAGACCCCATCTTCTTCTACAGCAACAACTATGACGTGTGTTCCTTCAATAGAGTGACGATCACCGATACCAATAACAGCCCCAGCAACAACTACTCGCTTTGCGCCTACCAACCCGACAAGAAAATCATCTTCAACTGCCCGGGTGACCCGTATGTACCCTCCATTAGTACGCAACCTCGCTCGGCTGGGACTAACACTATCCCTGCAGCATCTGCTGGACAACAGGTCAGACATGCAACACCAAGTCAGTGAAGTGCACCACCAACATCAATGGTCAGGAATACAACTGGTGCTGCGATGAGGCGCAGCAGTGCACCAAAACGACGGGCCAGAAAAACATCTGCTGGAGCGGCTTCCAGAATCCCGACAAAGGCCTCTCGGGCAGCGAACGGGCTTCGCGCGCAGAGGCATCGCATGTGGCAATGAATAGCGCGGCGAGCGAGAGTCTCTCAGCGTATTCACGCACGGCTTCGCCATCTTCATCCGCCACTACCTCCGCCTCTGCCGCTGCTTCCGCTTCCGCTTCGACAACCGCATCCGCCTCCACGTCCGCCGCAGCGAGCAGCAGCAACACCAGCTCCTCCACCGGCGGCAGCTCCGGCCTCAGCACGTCGGCCAAAGCCGGCATCGGCGTAGGCGTCAGCCTTGGCGTTCTCGGCTTCGCCGCCCTGGGCGGCGGGATTTTTCTCTGGCGGCGGAGCCGGAACCGGAACCGGAACCGGCGGCAAAGCGGGCCCGACGAAAGCGAGGAGAGCAAAAGCGAGCAGCAGGCAGCTGCTGCGGCGGCTGCGGCTCCTGCCGGCAGTGATGCTGATCCGAGCTATTACGCTCCGCCGCCCGGCTATCATAAGCCGGATGCACCGCTCTCGCCTATGAGCCCCATGACCGAGTTGCAGGGGCAGCAGAGGATAGAGCTGTCGGGTGAGGAGAGGGTGGAGCTGCACGGGGAGTCGAGGGCCGAGCTTCCGGGCGGTGGGGTGACGAAGTAGGGGGGTGGGGGGAGCTGCTTGGCGCGAATTTAAAACAGAAGAGGATGGATGGGCTTGGGTGGGTGAAATGTGTGTGTTTCTGCTGGGTCTAACAATAAACATGCTCGCGCTGCAGCGAGCTTATAATGATACCCAGAGCCGGTCGGGATGAGGTGATGCATGCGAACGATTGGTATGTTTTCGAGTCTTTGGCAGGAACAGGGTAGTTTGCTTGTGCAGTGGATATCTTTGTATTAATAAAGGATGTAGTATATTCGACGTGCCAAGGTCTTAAAATAGGCTAAAGCGGAACAGTAGACCAAACATCTGGTTCCGTATCATGGCCCCCACAGAGAGAGGCAGCCGTTTATATATATATATATGGCATCATCCTGCCTTCTGCACTCCCACAAGCCACACCGTCGACCAAGAATCAACAATCCTATGAAAAGTTCAAAGAAGCCGATTGGGCCTCGCCTCTCCCTCATCACTCCAACTTATCCACCGCACTCACCACCCAGGGCCCAAAACGCGATGCGTATACCCGGAGGGTGGTGCTGATGACGCACAGCAGCGCACACCCATGCGTATCGACAGCAATCGTAAAGGATGAAGACTGGCATTATTATGCCATCTTGGGTGGTTGTAGTTGCGTGCTTGGACGGTTTGATATGTCAGACACCGGGTTCGTGGCCGCGTTGCATAGGAGCTTGTAGGATACGATATCCCTCTTTACCTTCGTACTAGCATCGTCGAGGATGTCGCTATAGCGCTTATATAGGCGCTTATATATAGTTATTTTCTTAGCGAGGTAAGTTGGTGAATTATGATGTGAGCTGCCGGTGCCGGACCGGCCGTTTCCAATTCCTGTGATTATAGTCCAGTGTAGTGTCATCTTCCTGTGCGGATTGGTGTGGGAGAGTGTGGGTTAGGAGAGACGGGAGGCTTTTAAAGAGATCTGAATGGATGAGCTGGACGTAGACGTTGTAGCAGAACCCGGCTGTTATGGATATATCTATAAGGTAAATTTAAATCCGCACCACGATTCTCTAGCCTCTATCCTAATGAAAACAATAAACAATGATAAAGCCTTCTTACGCCGTTCCCTTCTCATTAAATCCTTTTAATGCCAAACACCGTACCCGTCGCCAGTGAAGCGAAACCCCTCCTAAGTTTCGATCGTCACTGAATAACCGTGTCCGAATGTGACCACTTTCGGGTTCATACTCTGCCGTTTATACAATTGCAGTACTGCCTCAATCCTATACCGCAATTAATTGGAAGAAATACGCGTTGCGTTGTTGAAGAAGTCATACTACACTTACCAAAAAAGCAGCATCAGCGCAGACGACCCCACCACACCTCCTTCCCTCGCCAGGCTTTATAAACACCCCCAACTCCCGTTTCCCTTTCTCACTACAAGCAGCATGCACTATTTAATCCTCCGAAACAACTTCAAAACATTCCAAACCCAATCACGGCGGGTCATGTCACGTCACCACCACAACGCCCACCACCTCCAAGCCATCTCCACTACACTCCACCACACCGCACAACCACTCACAACAAACTTTTCAAAAGCCACTAACGAAGCGCATCACGGCACACAAACGCGGCCCACCAGCGCCTCAAAGGGCTGATGGCATGCGTCACTGTCTCAAGCACCTAGGGAGCGCGGCGTCAAAGCGGGAAGTTATTGTGAGCGGGCGCGGGCGCTGGATCAGGAGGGACGAGGAACGCAGCACCCTCAAGAGGACGTCTGTACGCGATAGCACATGGGAACCATGCGCACCAGTGGTCTGCTGTGGTGGTGGCCGGGGCGTGGGGGTTGAGGATGTGGTGTTGCTGCTTGGTTTTTATGTAAATCAACACACAGTTAAAGTGCTGCGAACATGCGTAGCGTTCTTGGGGGGGGGTTTCGATCTGGGCTAATGCGTTCTGCTAGCGTATTGCAGGGCCCAGCTGAATAGCATATATAATATAAGCATAGATTGCTGCTTCGTGATACGTTAACCTGTTATTCATCTCCTTGCCACCCACTCAAGCATACGTCACGCCATGACATACGAACCCACCCTCCCCCTCCACTCCCAGCCAAGAACGCCCACCAACTCACCCCTAACCCACCAACCCACCAACCCACCACCTCACCCCCAAACCAACTCACACACTCCGCGACGTCCCCGTCTCAATCAGCTTCGACCTGGGCCTAACCCGCCACCAGCCAGCATCCCCCGGCAGCTCCGACCTCCCGCGCTCCCGCTCAGCCTCCAAACTCACCGCCTGCAGTTCCTCGCGCGGCGAGCTCTGCAGCTCCTGCACTGGACAAGCAGCCGCCGCGTCGTCCTTTGTCGCCTCCTGCTGCTGCAGCTGCAGCTGGTGCAGCTGGGGGCTGTACGCGTAGGGATACGGCGCCGCGGCGTCGGCGGCTGCTGTTGGCGGCGGCGGTGGTGGTGGTGGTTGTGCGCCTTGTTGTTGCTGCGTGCCGCCTTCGGCCCCCGACCGTCCTCCCCCTCGCCGTCGCAGCAGGAGGTACGCGCTTGTGGCCAGCGCGGCGAGGCCCATGACGCCGACGCTGACGGCGACCCCGACGCCAGCTTTCGCGCCTGTGCTGAGTCCGGATGACGACGAAGAAGAAGAGGAGGAGGAGGAGGAGCCGCTGCCGCTGCTCGCTGTCGCGGACGCAGAGCCCCAGCCCGCGTACGCGTTGCCAGTCGACGACGACGTAGCAGTAGTTTTAGGAGGCGGGGGCGCGGTGGCCAAGTACGCCGAGATAGACGCGTTAGCCTTGCTATTGAAAGCGACGCTGGAACTTTGCGCCTTCGCTATCGCCTCGTTTTCGGTCAGGTTGTACTGCGGGTTCTTGAAGCGGCTCCAGCAGAGGTTGATCTGGTCTGGGACGCGCGGGCAGTCTTCGCTGCTGTCGCAGCACCAGGAGTAGGCGTTGTCGGTGCTGGTGCTGCACGTCATGGTCATATTGGTGGGGCAGGGGTATTCGGACTTGGCCCAGCAGACGCTGGGCGCGGGCGGTGCGTGTTAGCGTCGTGGTGTTGCCGTACTGGGGAGTGATAGGAGGAGGGGAAGGAAGTGGGTGGACTCACTTGTCCCCAGCCGGACAGCTGTACATACGATGCCGACCTGGCACCCAAGCGCACATGCTGCCATTGCCCTCGAGGCCCGGGTCGTCCAGCTGATCATCATACTGGACGCAGGCATTCGTGCTTGTGTAGAAGAAGAAGTGAGAATTGTCATCGCTATCACCATCCGCCAGCGCCAAAGAACTCGTCAGTAGCAACAACAGCAGCGGCAACGAGGCCAACAGCTTCGGCAGTATCCGCATGGCGATGGTAGCGTGAGCGTAGCGTAAGCGCAGAGCGAATAAACAGGTCGTGAGCCTTAGCAGAGTCCGAGGTGAGTGACACCCAGGCAGACAAGCAAGCAAAGTAGCAAAGCAGAAGAGCAGCGCAGAGCATAACCACTCCCACACATCCCACAAACAGCGGCACCCCCCCTCTTAAACAGCACCATGGCCCACCCCACCCCAACCGCAGCCCCGCGCGCACCCGGCTGAGTAATAGTGGATCTCGGCATGCACAACCACATGTCCTCGCGAGCGAGAGTGGAGCCGCCAGATGCAGCGCGATGGGAACGGCGGCTGACGTGCAGGAGATCTGCGCATGCGTGTGGGTTGTGTTTGGGGGAGGCGGCTGCGGATGCGTGTACCTATGCGTGTGGTGGTGGGGTTGATTGGTTGCTTGGGCGTGGGTGTAGCTACCTAGGGAGGGAGGAGGTTTGGGCTGGTTGGTGATTGCGTCTGCGAACCTACCTACTTAGGTGTGAAACCACCTGAGTACCCATGGCGATGCGTGCCGAGTCGTCAGTGTTGGCTGGTTAGATTGGAGAGGTAGGTAAGGTAGGTAGAGACGCATGGAAGGAAGGCACCACCAGCACACACCCTCCCCTCAAGCCAACTCCCCCCAAGCTAACCTAAGTAGGTACTAAAACAGCCATCACACTACACCACTGCATCAGCAGTCATAACCACCAACCACCATCCTACCCCTGAGAGCGCCACTGCCTGGCTGGCTGGCTGGATGGGTAAGGAAGACATCTACGCGTACCGTACGTAGCACCGAGAGAGCAAGAAAAGAAAACAAAAACAAAAGCCTGCCGCATACACACACACAGAGAGAGAGAGAGAGAGAGAGAGAGAGTTTAGCTAATGCACTAGACAGTAGTCGACAAGCTCAGCGCTTGCCGCCCCTGCCTTTGCCCCTGCCTCCTCGGGCACTTCCACCTCCACCTCCACCACCACCGTTCTCCCTCCCCACCGCCTTCGCCCGACTCGTTGCCGTCGGCCGCTCGAATGACCTGCATGCGCGCTTCGGCCGGGGCGCCTGCTCTTCGGGCTCGGGCTCGGGCTCGGGCTCGGGTACCGGTACCGATTCCGATTCCGGTTCCGGTTCCGCGTCGCCATCGCCATCGCCATCAGCAGCAGCAGGCGTAGCAGCTTTACGCTTGCGCTTGCGGGTGCGCGGCGGCGACGGGTCGGGCGGGGCATCTGCATCTCTGCCACCCGGAACTTCCTCCTCTACAGGCCCCCCATCGACACTCTCGTTCTCCTTCCCAGCCTCTCCCCTCCGTCCCCTCACCCACGCCTCAATCTCGCCTTCTGCGTCCTCGTCGTCCTCTGCAGCCGCAAACATCTCGTCCGCGAGCTCGCCCGCGATGGCATCTGCGTCGTCTGCTCCTGCTTCTCCCTCTTCGTCTTCGTCGGCGGCGGGGGCGCCGCCGAGCATCCGCAGCGCGTACCGCAGCAGCGTGGCCTGGTCTAGGCCTGCGGGAATGGTGCCGCCGGCTGCGGCGAGGTTCTCCGAGAGGGCGCGCGTTAGTGCGGCGGGGTCAATGCCGGATGGGCCGAGGAGGTCGTTCAGGTCTGTGGCTTCGGGGTTTGCTTCATCCCCGTCTTCCTCTTCCCAGTCGTCTTCTTCGTCGGCGTCGTCTGCTGCGTTGTCCGGTATTGCCGTGGGTTTGTCGGCTGTGGTTTCGGGGCTAGGTTTGGGTTTTGGCGTAGGCGACGCAAACCGCGTCCGCCAGTCCTTCAGCAGCGCAAACGTGTCCTTGGACTCAGCGGCGAAGGGCCTGCCACGCGATACGCGGTCGGCGAGGTCCTGGCGCCTGGCGCGCGAGAGCCAGACCACGGTCGGGGTGGGAGATAGCTTTGCGCCATCCGCATCCTCCTCACTATCTTGCGCAGACGCAGCCCTGCGCTTCTTCTTCGGCGGGGACCCAGGCGCGCGCGTCCTCCTGCGCTTTTTGGAGAGGGGTTGTTGGTGGTGGGGCTCGGCGTCGTGGTAGCCGTCCGAGTTGTACTCGATGTCGATCCAGTAGGCGAAGACGTCGGAGTCGTAGCCGTCGTCGCCGGGCGTGAAGGAGGGCGGAGGAGAGGCGACGGCGTGCTCGGCGAGGGCGTCCTGGCGAGGGATGATAGGTTAGTGGGGAGGGTAGAGAGGGCGGGGGTGTGCTGGGGTGCTGACTGCGGCTGTGTCGTCTTCCGGGATGTAGAGCCAGGCGTCGTCGTCGTCAAAGTCGAAGTCGTCGTAGAGAGCGGCGTCCGGGTCGTCGCCGTAGTCGGACATGGCAGTAGGAGAGAGAAGTGAAGCGAGGTGCGAGAATGCGACAGGTGATGTCGCGAGATTATTGTTGATTGCTGGATGGCGTCAGTGGCCGGGTGAGAAAGTTGTTTTGGCGAGTCAGACAAGCCGCAATCGAGTCCCTCTCTCGGCTCCCCCCGGCGCCCGTCCTTACCCCGCCTCTACCCGCAGTCCGGGGTAATGACACTACATCCACATCTACTACCCCTCCCCCTCCTCGCAGTTACATAGATAGACCTCCCTCACCATGTCACTAACTGCACTGCGGCCCCTCTCCTCCATCCTCATCGCCAACCGCGGCGAAATCGCCCTCCGCGTCGGCCGCACCGCCGCCGCCAGCGGCATCCGCGTCACAACCCTGTACACAGACCCCGACGCGCAGTCCCAGCACGCCCTCAGCACGCCCTTTGCCGTGAACCTCGGCGCGCCGCCCGCCTACCTCGACGGCGCGCGCATCATCGCCGTCGCCAAGCAAGAGGCCTGCGCAGCCATCCACCCGGGCTACGGCTTCCTGAGCGAGAACGCCGCCTTTGCGCGCGCCGTCACCGACGCCGGCCTCGTCTTTATCGGACCCCCGTGGAAGGCCATCGAGGCCATGGGCAGCAAGAGCCGCTCCAAGGAGATCATGAGCGCCGCCGGCGTGCCCTGCGTCCCCGGCTACCACGGCGCAGAGCAGAGCGAGGCGCGCCTGGCCGCCGAGGCCGACAAGATCGGCTACCCCGTCCTGCTCAAGGCTGTCAAGGGCGGCGGCGGGAAGGGCATGCGCATTGTGCGTGCGCCGGGCGAGTTTGCGCAGGCGCTGCAGAGCGCCAAGAGCGAAGCGCGCAGCAGCTTCGGCGACGACGCCATGCTGGTCGAGCGGTACATCGGCCGCCCGCGCCACGTCGAGGTGCAGGTCTTTGCCGACAAGCACGGCAACTGCGTCGCCCTGGGCGAGCGCGACTGCAGCGTGCAGCGCCGGCACCAGAAGATCCTCGAGGAGTCGCCCGCGCCGCACCTCTCGCCCGAAGTGCGCGAGGACCTGTGGGACAAGGCGCGGCGGGCGGCGCTGGCCGTCGGGTACGAGGGCGCGGGCACGGTCGAGTTCATCCTCGACACGGAGAGCGGCGACTTCTTCTTCATGGAGATGAACACGCGGCTGCAAGTCGAGCACCCCGTCACCGAAGCCGTGACGGGCCAGGACCTTGTGCAGTGGCAGCTGCTGGTCGCGGCGGGCGAGCCACTCCCACTCTCCCAAGCTGACATCGCCGCGCGCATTGCCTCGCGAGGCCACGCCGTCGAGGCCCGCATCTACGCCGAAGACCCCGCCCGCGGCTTCGTGCCCGACTCCGGGCGCCTGCTGCACCTGCGCCTCCCGCTGCTGAGCCCCGACGTGCGCATCGACGCGGGCTTCGTCGCCGGCGACACCGTGTCCAGCCACTACGACCCCATGATCGCGAAGCTGATTGTGCGCGGCGAGACGCGCGCCGCCGCGCTGCAGAAGATGCGCGCCGCGCTCGAGGAGTACGAGATTGCCGGCCCGGCGACCAACATCGAGTTCCTGAAGCGCGTCGTCAGCAGCCCGCCGTTCGTGGCCGGCGATCTCGACACCGGCTTCATCGAGCGCCACCGGGCCGAGCTGTTTGCGCACGCGGCGGCGCCAGCAGAGGTGCTCGCGCAGGCGGCGCTGGGCGTGCTACTACAGGAAGAGGCGGCTGGGTCTTCCAGTCCTTTCGGACCAGCGCCCCTCAGCGCGCCCCTCGGCTTCACGGGCTCAAGCTACTCCTCCCGCGCCATACGGCTGCTGCAGCCCGACCCCGCAGGCGTGGCCCCGCCCACCGCAAGCACAGTCACGCTCCAGCGCACCGCGCCGCACACGTACACCATCGTCGTCTCGACCGCCTCGGACGCCTCAACCGGCTCCCCCCAGACCTTTGCGCCCGTCACCGCGACCCTCAACCCCGACACGCACGTCCTCACGTCCTTCTACCCGCACACGCGCCTCGCAACCACACTGGTAACACACCCAGACGCGAGCGCCGACGACGGCGCAGCCACCGAGCAAGCGGCCCCGCAGCCGCTGACGCTGTTCCAGCGCGGCGCCAAATTCGGCCTGCAGGTCGCGGCGCCGGGGTGGGCGGAGCGGGCGCTGCGCTCGGCGGATGCGGCGACAAGCAGCGTGCGCGCGCCCATGCCGTGTCGGGTGCTGAGTGTGAGGGTCAAGGCGGGGGAGAGGGTGGAGCCCGAACAGGTGCTTGTTGTTGTGGAGAGTATGAAGATGGAGATGGTGGTGAGGGCGGGGGCGGGGGGAGGGGTTGTGAGGAGGGTGGTCCATGGGGAGGGGGTGAGTGCTTTGTTCTTTCTGTTCATTATTCTTTCCTTATTCCTTCTTCTCCCTTCTCCCTTCTCCCTTCCCCCTTCTCCCTTCCCTCCCATCTTCTTCCTTATGTTTGCGTAACCGTGAGTGCAAGAGTAAGAGAGTGCTAACGCCATTTCCTCGCACACAGGACATCGTGGCTGCAGGCACCGCGCTCGTCGAGTTCGAGGACGAAGAGGACGGCGCAGCTGCAGACGCGCCGTCCAAGTCGAGCCTGCCGCCGCCGCCGGAACCGCAGGCGCAGTCGCAGCCGCGGCCGCGGGCGTAGCGCGTAGTGCGGAAGGCGGGGATCGAGCAACGGCGCGCTGGGAGGAGGAGAGCCGGTGGTGGTGATGATTGAGGTGGGCAAGGGGCGCGGTACATACATATCATGCAGTTCCGATGGCGTTACGGAAGGAAGGATGGATCAATGGTGTCGGCGTAATGCGGGGGCGTTAACGGCGCAGTCAGTCAGTCAGTCACTCTATCAGTCAGTCAGCCAAGTAACCATACACGCATACATACATGCTTCTGGGCTCGTAGATCGTAGCCACATACCCAGGCCAGCAAACCTGCTCCAACGCCGGTCGTCAAAGCACGTACGTACCTACGCACGCACATACACACATGCATATACACAAGCATATGCATGCGCGATTGTCTGCATCTGCGGACATGGCGTGTGGGAGACCGCTACTAGGCGCCTGCTTGGTTTACCTGGGAACTTGGGCTTTTGGAGGAAGGAGGGGGAGGCGCTTGGGCGGCTGTTATTGCTACCTAGGGAGGTAGGTGTTTGTGTGTGCCGGACGGCGGGTACGGTGGCTACGGAATGGCTAGCTGGCTATGCAGACGAGATGCGCGCTGCTTCTTCTTCTTCTTCTTCTTCTTCTTCTTCTTCTTCTTCTTCTTCTTTGTTTTCTTTTCTTTCAGTGATTTGGTCCGAGACGCTGCTACTTGCCGCAGCAAGATTTGTCCTGTTGCTCAAGTTCAACGACACGTAGAGGGCCGACCTGTGGTAAGTGGGGTTGGCGTGTCGGCTTGGTGGAATATGTGCTGATGATGTGGTTGGTTGTTGTTTGTGCGTGGTTGGATAGCAGGGGTTTTGTGCGGCAGTGCTGCCTGCTTGGTTGGGGGCGTTGGCATTGAGGGGAGGCAGCGTCTGGGTACGCCTACCTACCTATCTACCTAAGCAGACGACCTAGGTCCCAGCCTTTATGCAAGAGTTGGCAACAAGACATTCGGTGCCGCCGCCGCTGCTGCGTTTCTCCTGTCTGGCTCTTGCGGGGCTAGGCCGTTTCGCTCCCATCTCTCGGACGAGAGTGGCATGGCTGCCTCCCTCTGCGCTAACTATAGATGTTAACGCGATGCAAAATAGCTGCCGATGAGATGGAGTGAGTCGGTTGTTTTGTCTCTACACGGTACCACCTTCAGTGCCGTACAGCAGCGTATCAGACAGATCAGCTTACCTATGATATCGTTAGATACTAGACCGGTCAGTACGACACATGTATACTATTAGGAACCACAGCGCCCAGTGCAAGAGCCACGCTATGACAGCTACTGAAAGCAACCATGCCGATTTATGCTCGGCAGGTGCTGGTCCTAGGTCGTTTTGGTCGCTTTATAGTCAAACGACGCCTTACTGTACGTAACCGAAGGTTGACAAAAGGGTATTATTAACGGGGGCAGCAGTCAAAACTCCCTACCTGCGCAAACCTCACTCCCTCGCCGATCCCGACTCTATATGTGGCTGTGCCGATGCCGGCCCATCGCCAGGGAGTTCTGAATGCGGCTCCGGCAGCTCGGCCTGTAGCTCAAGAGGGCGCGACGAGTTGTGCAGCTCGAACAGCTGCGTGCTGTGCAGCTCCTGCTCCTGCAGACCCTGCAGCTCGACCCGCGGCGAGCTTTGCAGTTCCTGCACTTGGGGACCGCCTTTTTCCTGCTCGTCTGAGGCGTCTGATCCTCCTCCTCCTCCTGCTGCTGCTGCTCCTGATTCTGATCCTGCTCCGTCCCGTTTGATGCCCCGTCGTCGTAGCAGCCATGCACTAGTTGCTAGTGCGCCGAGGCCTATGACGCCTACGCCCACTGCGACGCCTGATCCGGCTTTGGCGCCTGTGCTGAGTGCGGGCGAGCCGTGTGTTTGGTCTGGTGGGGATGTGATTGTGGCGCTGGTGGTGCTGGAAGCAGTTGTGAAAGATGCGGTCTTCATATAGGCCGCTATGGAGGAGCTGGCGGCGCTGTTGACTGCCGCGTTGGAGTGCTGCGCGTTGACGATGGCCTCGTTTTAAGTGAAGTTCTGTTGGGGGTTCATGAAGCGGCTCCAGCAGATATTGATCTGGCCTGTAAGACGCGGGCAGTTTTCGTTGATGCCGCAGCACCAGGAGTAGGTGCCGAAGATTTCTGTGCTGCAACTCACGCTCGTGTTGCTGCAGGGTTGCTCCGATTCGGTCCAACATACGCTGGAGCGGGTAAGGTGAGCGTGTTAGCGAGTGGCGTGTTGTTGGTAGTAATAATATTTCGTTGATGGGCTTTGTTTACTAGGGGATGATAGAGGAATATGGGAGTGGGAAGAGGAGAGAGTACCTAGATGGAGGGGGGTACTCACTTGTCTCCTGCCTGACAGCTGTATATGCGATGGTAGCTGGGCCGCCAAGCACATAAACTGCCGTTGCCATCTATGCCAGGGTCGTCCAACTGGTCGCCGTGCTGAATGCATGTGTTGTTGCTTGTATAGAAGAAGATGGGTTTGTCGGCATCGCTGTCTGCTAGCGCGGAGGTGTGGCTGATGGAGAATGGAAGTAACAGCGACAACGACAAAACCGCCAACGACAGTGGCAGTGTCGGCAGCGTATACATAACGGCGATCGCGTAGTTTCCGGTTGAGTGAGCAGGAATGGAATGAGCAGAAAGAACTTAAGAAGCGGCACTACGCGAACAATCGCGCAAGCAAGCAAACTGAAGTGCAAAGCAGAATATCACCACATTTACACCGTCAGTTCTAGTGAGAGCGCGATCTTCCTTTTAAAAAGACTCGCACAGCCAACCATACCCATCCCAATCGACCCCGCGCGCACCCGGCTGAGTAATTGTGGATCTCTATATGCAGCGCAGCGAGAGTGGAGCCACAGACCTAGCCGACGACGCAAGCTCGCAGCGCAGATTTCTGCATTACGATGAGAATGGACGTTGACTTGCAGATGATCTGCGGGGAAGGAGATCCTGGAGAGGAGGTGCTGGACGTTGTGGTTGTGTGTGGGGGTTTGTACGTACATAGGTGGTCGACTGGTAGCTTTGCTATAGCTTTGACCTTCCTGATCATCTCATATAGCTGCGTAAGTAGGTCTGCACTACTCACCTATAGCGAATTTAAAGAAGTATGCAGCCACCAACACCACCAACAAAAAGAAACACCAGTCCCTTATCCCATCCGCGTTCTTGCAGACGCGAACACTAGCCGAACAAAGCACTAGCATGCAGTCACAAGCCCATCCATCAGCACGCAGCGCACGCAATGAACGAACAATAGTCCGTAGACCCTGCTGCCCTCACACAAGCACCCTGGCGGCACGCGAGCAAGGCAACCACGGTACCGGCTCGGCACCCAGGCCGCGGCAGACGATGCCGCGTCCGTGCTCCCGGTGTTGTCGTAAGACACGCGCAGCGCAGCGCATACAAACAGGTAGCGAAGCTTACACCCTAGTTCTGCGCACGTGGACTGCGGCTTTGGGGCAGAGATGCTGGATCGAAGACGCGTGGGACGGCGGGCTGGTGTCGTATTTGTGGAGAAGCGAGAGGCGGAGGGAGGATAAATTAGAGAGGTAGAGCCGAGCGTGAGAAGATGGGACGGGACTGCACCAACGACAACCGACGCCGGCGCTCTAGACATGGATACGGATATTGCGGCCGCAAGAGCGGCGGTGCATGCACTGCTTCCTCAACCGGACCCGGACGATGGCAACGCCGGCATTGAAATGACACCCATGGCCAGGCCCGCGGATCCGTTGCATGAGGCGCCTAATACGCAGGCCCAGAACCCTGAGCACACAGGAGAAGAAAGACCAGCGGTGGCCACGGTCGAGCGCTCGTGTCAGGCGCGTACGGAGAATAAACAGAAGAAAAAGAAGTGGTATAGGCAGCTATGGTGCCTCCACTTCGCCAACGATGACGACAGCGGGGACAACACCACCTCCACCACCAACAGCAACAACAGTGACGCAGACGCAGCCGCCTACGCCAAAGCAACCCCCCTCCTGCACGACTTCCGCAAGCTCCTACTGCAGGACCCCGCAGCCGCACGGGCGTGGATAACGCAGCAGCGGGCACTCGTGAACACAGCACGGCAAACCGGCGTCGCGCGGCGAGACGGGACGGGAGAGCGGGAGCTGCGGGCGCTGTGGGGTGCGGAGTGGGAGCGCGACGTGTCGCCAGGACGGGAGATGCAGGAGACGGCGGCGCAAGAAGAAGCGGAGGCGACGACGGCCACGAGTACGGGGCGGAAGGGGCGACGCCGGCAGCCGAGCGAGGCGTGGTGGCTGCCGGGGTGGGAGGAGCAGTTCGGTGGCGTGGGGTACCGCGACGTGATTGCTGGAGAGGTGGAGGCGATAGAGGCGAAGTTACGGGAGTTGGTGGGGAGGCTTTGGGGCGGGTTTGGGGCGGAAAGAGAGGAGGTCGTGTGGATGGAGTTGGTGTGGACGCTTTGTGGCTTTGTTGCGCAGGGTTTGGCGGAGGCGGAGGAGCGGAAGAAGAAGATGCACGTGTTTGGCTCTACGTGGTGGGTTGGGGTGGGGAGACGTTTGGGGTTGTTGTAGGACAATGGCTTTGTGTAAAGTCGTGATGGAACGATACTAGGAGAAGGTGGTATTGGATAGAGAAAGAGTAGAGAAGCGTGGTTGTCGACCTACTATGATGATTGTAAGGATACAATGCAGTGATGCCATCCTACTTACGATAATTGTAAGAATACAACGCAGTGACGGTCTCAGTTAATAAGGAAGTGTCTAGCTCGTCTGCTTCCCATCATAGCACACGATCAGGATAACTCACTTAGAGACTTCACTGATACCGCAAACATGACAGACAACGCAAACTCCACAGTCCGTCAGGACGATGAGAATGCAGATGTTGCTCTTGAGAACGCTCCAAGCGTTGCTCCGAACATGCCGGCCGCTCCTCCACAGCAGCAGCATGGCATGCAACTCCGCACTCCGCTAGAGCGGCAGCAGAGAATGGTGCTTCAAGCCGTTATCGATCCGAACAGGGAGCCGGCCGTCATCTCTAGGAGGCTGGCCTTAGGTCCAGTTGGCGCTTTTGTGCCATTCAACAAGAACGACGAGGCTACAGAGAATCTGCTCCGGAAGGACATCACCAGGGGGTACCGTCACTACAGCCAGTTCGAGACTGAATACCGCTACCTTGGCGTAAGGTACCACCGTTTGCGCATAGAAATCCGTGAGATGGAGGTCTTTGATATCCGTTACAGGGAGCAAATGCATCAGTGGTTCAGACCCGCGAACGCTGACGCCCTCGCCGGCCGGTCTCTGTTGACTACCGAGCCGCTCCATCTGTTAGCCAGCGTCAGGAATGCGACTGATCAGTGCGATTACAGGCGTGCTTGGTTCCTGAGGAACCGGGCCTATTGCAGCCTGTTCGAGATAGCAAAGTTTTTGCGTTACATCCATACTGTTCTCACGCTGATGAGAACCCGATGGCAGCCTCGCATGTTTGCGACAGGCCGTCTTCAACAAGAAATCTCCCCTGAGGAGGAGGAGGATTTTCTCGACAGATTTTTTGCTTGGTTGTCAACGTTGACGGAGGCGCGTAAGCAGATGGACCTCGGACGCACACTAGATGCTATCATGCTCGACTTTTTGGAGGGATATCCTCTCCGTGTGCGTGATGCTCCTGCGGATGTTGATGATGCGGACAACGACGCAAATGATGAGATTGACGAAGAAGTGGAATGATTGTTCTCTCTCAATGATTGTTCTTCCTTTTTCTCTCTGTTGCTCACTTTTCCTTTGTTCTGGGAGCATTCCTTTGTTTCAGTGATGATTGACTTTCTTTGTTTCCTTTGTCTAGTAGCGGACTTTCCTTAGTCAGTACTCTTGTAACCCGGGCGGCAATATGAGCGTTTTTGTATTTTTATTCTTGGATCGACGAGTTAGTTTAACAGTGATGGACGGTCGAGAGATTTCGAGGACAGGTGACAGAGGCGATCGGTATCACAGGTAAATCCGGGCCGGGCGACATGAATCATGCGCGACGCAGCATGCCTCACCTTACGTATACCAGCCCGTCTCGCCTTCAATCCCGCAACTCCTGCAGCCTCTCTCCCTCAAGATCAGAGCCCGAGACAAGTCTTGTCTTTTGCCCCCAAGTTCCTCGAACCCTTCGCGCCCCTGCTGCACCATGGATCGCGCGCTCGACGACGTCATATCCGATCGCCAGGTAGGTTCAATCCCGCGAGCCCTCCATCCATCCGTCGCTGACGCCCCAGGTGCAGAGAGGTGGATTTCGCGGACGCAGAGGCCGTCGCGACAATGAGTACCCGCGTGACGGTGTAAGAAAGGTGCCGCCCCGCTGCCTTCCATTGACCGAGCGCAGCGCTGACAGCCCAGGTTTTACCACCTCCTCCTCCCTCCTAAACCCATGGCGTATCCAAGCCGCACCGAACCGGCACATTGCCTTGCATTGTCCTTCTCCTACGGAGCCGATGTTCGACGACGACACTTGTTTCAAACAGCCATGGTACCTAGTATAGACCCACGCTAATCTAGATGCTCCTCGGCGATAATAGTCGAGCCAGAGAGACGAGTCCAGAAACCTTGACCGGTATGGATACCTTTACGCGAGGAAGACGTGGATACTGAGAAGTACAGCGACTGGGTCCACGACCGATTCGAAGACGACGACTGTGCGTTTCCCCTCCTGGCTTTTTGGCGGCTTTTTCACTGACCTTTGCAGCAGCCCGTCGCCCAACCCGCAACTTTCGCTCCGACCGCGGCGACCGCAGCGACCGTCGCAGCCCGGAAACAAGAGAGTATGGCACCCGTCGGCACCCAATCGACATCACTTCCTCACCATCCCACAGCAGTCAGAACGGCCACAAGATCCGCGTCGACAACTTACACTACGACCTGACTGAAGACGACATCACCGTACGTCCTCTCTGCTCTCGCTCCACCAGATACCCTGTCTGACGTTGTGCAGGAGCTTTTTGAGCGCATTGGTCCCGTCGAGAGCGCGCACATCCTCTACGACCGCAGCGACCGCAGCAAAGGCACTGCCTTTGTCACTTACCGCAGCATCGCTGACGCCCGCTACGCCATCCGCGAGTTTGACGGCGCCAATGCACACGGCCAGCCCATCCGCCTCGAGCTCGTCACTACACAATCTCGCCCTGCTGCACGCAACCCCTTCGATTCGGTGCAGCGTCCGTCGCGTAGCCTTTTCGATCGTATCGAGGGCAGCAGAGATCGCAGTCTGAGCCCTGGGAGAGAGGGTCGTCGTAGCAATGTCAACAGGCCCGCTCCCGCGAACATTGATCGCTATGTACCGGGCGAGGACGGTGGACGGAGGCGCTCGCCGCCCCGTCGCGGCCGTGACGGCGGACGCAGGCCCGGCGAGAGGCGGGGAGGCCGTGGTGGCGGCCGTGGCGGTCGCGCTGAGGACTCAGGAAGGCAAGTGGTTCAGGGCAGACCTAGGAAGACGGCGGAAGAACTAGATGCCGAGATGGAAGATTACTTCGGACAGAACAGAGACGAGAGCGGCATGGCCGCTGGAGCTCCGGCGTCGGGCATGGTTGGAGGTGGACAGACTGGTGGCGCTGCGGCCAACCCTGGCGACAACGCGCCTGGCGCCTTGAACACGGCCGACAACGACATTGACATGGTTGTCGAATGAGGCGATGAGATTGCACTTGCACGACAACGCCCACGGAGGAACGATGGTATCTCACAACAGCTGTAAGATGCGCGTATGAAAAGTTGCAAGAGCTATGCCTATGACTTTTCCATGGCGTCACGGGGCCTGGCAACTGTAGACTTGAGCAAATTGAACAGGAGAAAGAAAGCATGACACAACCCGCTACCGCCGTCACTTTGCTACGTTATTACGAAAAGTCCTTTGTGTGTGTTTTCATGTGTGAGTGTGTAGGTGGCATCGCGAGCTTCTGCGGTGCTATGCTGACTGCGCGAGTGTGTGGTTAGTTTTTACCTGTCGTGGCAGCCTAGGCTACTGGTGCGTACGACTGCGACTGTGAGCGAAGATAGTCGAGGTGTTCAAGGGACGTGGGCAAAATAAAGCAACAATGTGTTCACAGGACGAGCGAGGATGCTACAATAGGACATGAGAGAAGCGGAGACACGTATAATGGGAACAAAGCCATTTGATACAGCAATGATATATCGCCATTTTCTCTAGTGCAAGGGGTCTTTACACTGAAACGTCTCAAACACCACATCATCCGCTACGATAGCGGCAGCCCGTCTTCTCGGGTCTGATTCAGGTGATTGGAGGAGCATTGTTAACAGACATTGATTATGGTGGGTAGCACGCTCATGACAGAGGAGCGGTAGGCGTGCGTACGTACATTACAAGCTAAATCGTTGATGTGGGCATTCCTCCCACACAAAGGGGTTCACTCTTTTTTTTTTAAAAAAAAAATATGATACTACTATAGATCGGCAGTCGGTAAACACCCACGGAAACAAAACGGCGCGAGGGTGTAATTGTACTTGTGAAGATATGAATATGGTTATACAAGGATTAAAGGGGTTTGTAAAGGAATAAGTTGAGAAGATGTAGGGTACGGATGTGTTCGAAAGGGCATAAAGATAGGAATTTATAAGAACGCGAGTGACCTTTAAAATACGAGAGTGCGAAGGCGATAGGGGAAAAGAAGAGGACAGGTGTTTATCCATATGTGTAAATCACGGGGATGAGCAAAACTTTCGTTATCATTGATAAATTATAAGGAGGGCGGAGAAGCCTTACAGTTGAATAGCATCAGACGGGAGAAAACAGTGAATTTCTTTTGACGTTTCCGTGAAAGATAAGTCGTGTTGAGGCTACAAGAACTGTCTGTATGGTTTGCCCACTTCCGACGCCAGGGGTTAAGTATACCGGCAGGAACATCGACAGATATCAGGAGAGAGCCGGACAACAAGCGTCGAATCCAAATACGCTTTCCCTCAATGCGATCATATCAGACAATTAAATAAGAATAGAATAGAATACCTGCATCCCCGGGCATGGTATTTGATATCAGCTGCACTCAGCTGCACAAACAACACCTCAAACAAAGCGCAACAGCAGCAGCAGCCAGCGCGACGACAACTGCAAGCACCATTCGTACACAGAGAAGAAGAAAAGAAAAAGACGACCAAGAAACACAAACTCAGGACGCAAAACACCCGAATGCCCCCAAAAACCAAACCAAACCAAACAAAGCACCCGCAAAAGTCGTCGTCGTTGTTCGTATCTTCTCCTGCCTGCATGTCTGCCTGTTTGCCTGCTTGCTTGCCAGCTTTGTGTTCATCACCCACCATCGCGTTCTCGCTTTCCGTGCTCGCGCTAGATGGCGATGATGATGATGACTACTCTCTGTACCCACGCCGTGACTATGCTAAAAGGGTATAAAGCACACTTTCTTTCTCCCCCCTCTGCGTCACATACATGTTGGAAGAAGGATGAGAAGCTGCGTACCCGCTATGGGCCTGCTCGCTTGCTCGCTCCTGCTTCGTCTCTCTCTCGTACACTGGCCCCTTTTCCCTGCAGGGCCAAGGATCCGCTCCTCTCCTTTCCTCTCCTCTCCCCCCGGTCTTCTTTTCTCTCCCCCCTTGTCGTACTCTTCCGTCTCCCCCTTCCTTCATTCCTTCCCTCCCCCTCCACAGCATCTGTCCCGTGATGGTAGTTGTTGGCTTCGTATGTCTTTATCGTCGCTTCGTCTCATCTATCTGTCGTGTAAGTTACCTCATCGACAAGCCCCCTCGCAAAAGGGGCGCCGTCGCCGTCGTCATGCTCGCCTGCTCTGTCTGCCTGCTTCTTCCACGGCTCGGTTCTAGTGCTTAGATGCGCATGTGAAAGCGATCACTCAGGCCCGGCGCGCGTCTGCGGCCTCGTGCCTCCGGCGCTGCCCGTGCCTCCGCCCCGCTTCATGAGACCTGCGAAGAAACTGGCCAGACGCTCGTTCTCTGTCTTGCCGTCGTCAACGGGGCTCGTGACGCCGGACCCTGGGTCGCCGTTCTCGGCGGCGTCGCGGCTGGCTTCACGGTCCTGTGGGGGAAAGGTTAGCATTGATGTTTGGCAAAGGGTTGGGTGCTAAATTTCGAGCCTTACCTTCAGCCTCTTCAGCATGTCGTCGGCATCGACTTGGATACCGCCCATGTTGAACTGCACAGGTCCGATATGCTCTTCGACGACGCCGCTGCCGGCACCTGTGCCAGCCGTGTCCGTATGAGACAGGTAGGCCGCGCCTCCTCCTGCGCCTGAGCCAGAGCCCATCTTCTTCGCCTCCTTTGACGATGCCGCCTTCGCTTTCTCGTCTTCCGTGCGCAACTTGTCGAGGACCTCCAATTGCGATTGCAGGAACATTTGATTGTCTTGGCTCTCGATCTCGATGCCCGGATGCGAGGTTGGTAGCGTGCCCGTGGTGAGCAAAGAGTCGCGTGCCGGGTCGCGAATGGTCTCTTCGTAGACGGCGACGGCGGTACCTTCTTCCTCTTCCTGTGGCGGAGGTGGCGGCCTGATTGCAGTCACGGCTCCGTTTTCGCCATTGAAGTCGCCGTTCGTTGCGGGCTCCTCCTGTTCCTGGGATGCGGGTGGCGCCTGGATGTCGACAGACCACGCTTGGCTAACCCCTTCGGCATCGAAACCTTCGCGCAACACACGAATCTTGCCCCAAGAGTCCCAGTTGGGTGGCACGAGGACGCGGTCGCGATCAATGACGTTGTGCTTGAGCTGCTTCTTCTGCAGCAGGCTTTGGATACTGAGACTTGAATGGACGAGCGTCTGCAGGGCACCAGGGGCGCTGGGCATTGTGTAGACCAAACTGGCGCCGTGCTTGAGTAGGATAGTACGCAGGTACTGCAACACGAAATCGAATTCCTCCTCTTTCCAGCCCCTTTCACGTTCGTGTGCTTCGATCTTGTCGGCGTTTTGACACACAACGCATAACGGAAGACCCAGGGGTTCGTCCCATTCGCCAGGACCTACAGGGATGCTGACATCGCCATCCGTTGCCGTTCCAGGGGAGCCATCGAGATTGTTTTTACGACCGCGTTCGCGCCATGAGATTATGTTCTCTTCCATGACGTCCTTGCACTCGTCGTCGAGCGAAACCATGAGCGAGCGCAGAACGCGAATCCATTCGCGCAATTGGCGCACCCAGGACCATGGTTGCGACCAATCGAGCAGAATTACAATGAGCATGTTCGGGAGGGTCTGCGGGGTCAGAAGCGGCTTGATGAGCGGTGTAAAGGAGGGAGAGGGGTCGGTAAGGAGATAGAGTGAGAGACGGGCGAGAATATCTGCGGGCAGATTAGCCAGAATGGCCACAACAGGCAGCGTTCCATAGCTCCTGAGAGTGACACACCTTCGTGGTCGGCGTCCAGGACGTCCTGATACGTGTAACCTAGCGCAAACTGATTCGCAACAGGTGGTTTCCTGCCGCGATCCGGAGGTCTCCTCCGACCATTCTCGTCCATGGTCAGCGACTCCAAAAACTCCTTTTGCGTGTCGGGCGTGCCTCCTGCAAGCACACAAGAAATCAGCGATGAGCCAAAGCTCACACGGACGCGCAGTGTGGATTACCCAGGACTAGCAAGCTCTTCTCCGGTAACCGCTTCCCGCTCGACACGCCATCCAGCATCGACGACCATATGTTCTTCTGCTTGCCATCGCTGCTGTGCGGGCGGCCTGCCGAGTCGCTTCCGGTGGATCGGTGGGTGTAGCCGGAGAATCGATGCGACGTAGGCGAGGTCATGATTGGGGATGGGGCCAAGGTCGGGGCCTTGGGGGCAGGGAATCAATTCGAAAGGGTGGTTGTCTAGAGGGGCGCGCCAATCTAAGACTTCATGGTGGGAGCTGGGAGAATGGTGGGGCGTGGCAGTAGGCGGTGTTGTTTTGCGTTGGCCGTGGTCTCTGCTCTCCTGGGCTGCAAACACGCCGGTCTTGGCACTGCACTGGAGCCGGGGGGTCTTGCAAGCTACGGTACCCCGGAGTGGGAAGCATAAGATGGCGCATGAGCATGTGAATTCTAACTGCGTATGTACGAGTTATGATTGCGGCTGAATCCCGCTCGCCTTTCCAGTGCTTTCTGCCCCCCGTGACCCTGCCCTGCTTCGCCCCAAAACCCCCGCGCTTCCCCGACGCACAAAGCTTCCATCCTGTCATCATCGACCGATCGCCGCCCTTGACCTCGCTTCAACCTTCAACCCTCTCTCTCTCTCTCTCTCCTCCCTTCGATGACGAACTACAACACCATGGCCGCAAACGCAAAGTTCCAGCCTGTGCCCCAGCGCGACTCGCTCGACGATGAGCAGCCCTTCTCCCAGGCCCCGCCCGCCTACGACGCCGAGGCTTCGACCAACGCTGCCCTTATGAGTGGCGTTGCGCGCGGCGAAGACGACAACCTGCCCGATGACTTCAAGGTCAGTCCGCGAGAAGCGTACGCGCCGAGCGGCTTCACGAAACTAACACTGCGCAGTTCGGTGGCGTCGTCGCCGAGGCCACTCTCGACATTCGCATGGCCTTCGTGCGCAAAGTCTACGCTATTCTTACCGTCCAGCTCCTCGCCACTGCCATCATCTCCTCCATCTCCTTCTTCAGTTCTGGCTTCCGCACCTGGATCCAGACCAACTCGTGGATGATGTGGGTGTCGCTCTTCGGCGCTATCGGCTTTATGTTGGCCACCTACTGGAAGCGCAAGAGTTATCCCACCAACTTGCTCTTCCTTGGTGGCTTTACTGCCCTCGAGGCCTATTCCATCGCCGTCGTCACCAGTTTCTATGAGTCGAGCATCGTCCTGGAAGCCACCATTTTCACTCTGGCCATTTTTGTCGCACTTACCGTGTTCGCGTGTCAAAGCAAGTACGACTTCACCAGCTGGATGCCGTACCTGTTTGGTGGCTTGTGGGTGCTCATCATCTTTGGCTTCATGGCGGCTTTCTTCCCCTACGACAGCAAAGTCGATCTTGGTTATGGCATTGTTGCCGCACTGATCTTCAGCGGTTACATTCTGGTAGACACGCAGCTTATCATGCGCCACTACCACGTCGAGGAGGAAATTGCCGCTGCCATTTCGCTCTACCTGGACATCATTAACCTGTTCCTCGCCATCCTGAGGATTCTCAACAGCCAGCAGAACAACTAAATGGAAGCAAGTGGTTGTATTAGCCACGGGGTTGAAAGTATTCACCGAGCGTATCCTGAACCCGTGGAGGATATCGCGTTGTAATGATTAAAGCCGGCGTTTCGAGTGGGAGTTTTGATTCGTAGTACCTATGAGCAGTGCAGCCTTACTGCTTTTAGTTTAGATTTTGAACTGCTTCGTATGCAGCGTTTTGACCATGACAGCCCCCGAGTGTTGCTGCAGACGTGCTGTACAAATACACCGATTTACCGGTATTGCACACGCTGTCCGCCCCTCTTTTCCAGCTTCTGCTGCCTCTTGCTTCCCGTCCCTTGACCCTGCGCGTCGGCATCAGCGCCGCCGGATCCACCACCGAAGCTCTGCTTGACCCCCATGAACGTCGTATAGGCAAGGTAAACGGAGTATAGCGGGACGACAGTCTACGCATTCGTTAGTCGCAAAACGCCTACCCCGCCAAACATGACCAGGAACTCACGTAAAACCACCAGGCCCAATCGCCAAAGAGACCAACGAGCACAACGCAGATGTAAGTCCAGTACAGGACGTCCCACATCCACTCGGTCAAGCCCTTGGCCTCGAGGTCCTCACCCGGCTTCTTCAGCTCACCCGTCTGGCGATCATGGGTGGGCCGCGCGATGCGCTCGAACCAGAATTGGATCAGCAGCGCGGGCAATGAGAGAAGGAAGTAGGCGACCAATGAACGCGTGGTGAAGGTACGGCGGCGGAAGAGAAAGCGTAGGGCGAGCGAGAGGGCGTGGACGACGAGGGTGACCAGTAATGTCTGGTTCAGCCTTGCGGTGTTGCGCGCGGCTTGGGTCTTGGCTGCTTTCTGGGACGTGTCAGCGGCAGGGCGGGATGGCTAGAAACGAGGGCGCGTACGTTCGCCATGGTGTAGGGTGGGTGAGGCACACAATGCAGAGGAAAGCGTGGCTCTCGATGAAGTGATCTGTCTCTGTCGCTTGCCGCAAGCGCCACAGGATCGACGCAGCAACAACATCTACATGCAGCGGCATCATACCGGCCATCCTCTCTCCCCACGACCAACCCCCGAGGTCCGACCAGACAATTGCTCCTCTCTCGCAGCGCAACCCCTCTCGCCGGCGTCGATGAGCGCGCCATTCTGATTCCTGCGCACCGCCGAGTGCAGCCCGTGCCCGCCGTCGCCTTTGTCACTTTGTCGTGCCTGCCGAAAGCAACGCAGCTCTTTCATGGCTTGACGGCGCTTCTGCCTGCCACCTCGAGAAGCTTCGCCCAGCACCTTTTCGCCGCCTGACGCGTCCTATCTTCCTCGCTCCCCGCTCCTCGCCCGCGCTCGCCCGGCCCTACCTAGCTACCGCCCTAACGCCCGCGCACGACAACAACCCTCGTCGCCCCGACGACAACGGCGCAAATCCCTGCGACAACAAGCATGCCCATCGCCATGACGTCCACGAGCCCCCACGTCACAACCCAACTGCGCCAGCTCATCTATTACCATTTGGATAACGACTTGCTGCCAAACGCCCTTTTCCTCGCCGAGCGTTTACATGGCTGCGACCCGCGCGGTCCGGACGCTGCGCACCTGCTGGCGCTGTGCCACTTCCGCCTCGGCCGCCTGAAGGCTGCCTACGATTATTCGCGCGAGAAGGGTTTGCGCGGCCAACACTTGGGATGCGCCTACGTCTTCGCGCAAGCGTGTTTGGGGCTTGAACGGTACGGGGAAGGAATCATGAGCTTGGATCGCGCAAGAGGCTTGTGGGGCGGACGGAATCACTGGAGTGAGTATCTTCGGGGGAAGCACCGCGATTTACTGACAGCTAACTCCCCTCGAACCAGATAAGCATTCAGAAACGTCCAGGCGCAATCTTCCCGATGCCGCAGCGGTGAACTGCCTCTTAGGCAAGCTCTGGCGCGCATACGGAGATACTACCAAGGCAATCGGTTGTTATATCGAGGCGCTGAAACTGAACCCATTCATGTGGGACGCATTTCTCGACCTTTGTGATACCGGTATGTGAAAGCCCACTCCATGAAGTGAAATGAGGATCTGCTGACGATTGTGCAGGTGCTGTGGTGAAGACTTCCAACATTTTCAAGATGACCCCGGAGATGTCGGCAATGATGTCGACTTCAATTTCTTCAAATAATACCGGTGCTCCCCCGGATTCACCGCCCGCTGGAAATCCGTCTGTACAAACGGCGCAAAACGGGCTCTTCACCCCAGATCCGTTCAACTCCGTGTCCCGGCCTGGAGAGCCTGGATTAAAACTTGGAGGCGGAAATCTCTTTTCAAGACTCAACGGAGGCCACAATGCCAACGCCTCTTCCTCGATTGATACGGAGACTCCGGTGCCAAATGGAGGCTCACATGATGAAGATGTCATGATGGGCGAAGCTGGCGGTGTTAGCAGAGCTCCAAGCGCAGAACCGCCGCATGCGCCTCCACGAAAAGCTCGACAGGTGCCTTCAGTTGCGGATTCTGGAGTCGATGTGCCCCGGATGAAAGCGATAACGGCTAGAGGTCGCGGAAAATCCGGATCGGAAGCTAGAGATGAGGTGGATCCGATCAAGGCCCCAACCGGCGCTCAGAAGCGCACGATCTCGGGCAACATGCCGCAATCGGCTGTTTCAAGTAATCCGGCTTCTCAACCACGACGTAGCCACAGGCTTATGCAGTCCGTGCAAGACCATATACGGCCGTCAAAAAGCTCGACTCTGCCCTCGGAGAGAAGAGAGGCAGAGGCGAGGGAAAGGCAGACGAGAGAATTGAGGAGAGCAAGGCTGCCAACCACGTCTAAAGGGACGAGGTCCGGCACGGCATCCGGAGTCGGCAGAGTGATTAGTGGAAATCGAAAGGCAGTGGACATTTCTGATCGCGAGCAGGAAAAGACCAGACCCCCGAGCGTAATGGGTGGCAGCACGGCGACCACACAGAAACCGGCATCTCTAGCGTCAGCAGCGGCCGCTGAGGCAGCACGCGAGCGCGAAGCCTTGCAGTGGCTATTGGACCTGTTCGGAAAACTTGGCAGTGGCTACTATTATCTGAGCCGCTATTCTCTGATCCCGGCTCTCCAGACCTTCACATCTCTTCCTGCGCAGCACAGAGATACACCATGGGTTCTTGCGCAGATTGGGCGTGCTCACTACGAAAAAGCCGCCTACGCTGAATCCTGTGATATCTTCAGCAAAATAAAATTGCTTGCACCATCACGGATGGAAGACATGGAGGTATACAGCACTGTTCTCTGGCATTTAAAGCGCGACACCGACCTTGCGCACTTAGCGCACGAACTCATAGAAGCAGACCGTCTTTGTCCCCAAGCCTGGTGTGCCATCGGCAACAGCTTTAGCTTGCAGCGAGATCATGATCAGGCTATTCGTTGCTTCAAACGCGCAACGCAATTGAACCCCGATTTTGCTTACGCATACACACTCCAGGGACACGAGCATATTGCGAATGAAGAATTTGACAAGGCACTCTTGGCCTACAGGCACGCTGTTGCAGCTGATTCCAGACATTACAATGGCTGGTACGGCCTTGGACGCGTCTACGAGAGGCTGGGCAAGTACGACATTGCTGAGAAGCACTACAAAGCCGCAGCGCAAATCAACCCGACGAACGCCGTTCTCATTGTATGCGTGGGCGTGGTTCTCGAAAAGAGCCGCAAGGCAGCAGCTGCATTACGACAGTACGGCATTGCATGCGAACTGGACCCGCGCAGTGCGTTGGCGAGGTTCAAGAAGGCGAGAGCACTCATGAATCTAAGGCGGCCGAGAGAAGCTCTGACCGAATTGGAAATTTTGAAAGACTTGGCGCCAGACGAGGCAAACGTGCATTTTATGCTGGGCCGCTTATACAAGATGATGAGGGACAAGACGAGCGCGATCAGGCATTTCACTATCGCGCTCAATTTGGATCCGAAGGTATGTTTTCGGGACCTCCACATATACGAATTCTCGTGATTGCTAACAGGTAATTCCTAAGGCCGCTCAATACATCAAAGAAGCAATGGAGACATTGGAAGATGAAGATGAGCTCTCCGAAGATGACTGATCTTTCTATTCTGGAGTTGAGCCCGACTACCCTATCGGCAACCAGAAGCCCTTCGACTACTGTTGAAACGACTCGCCATCGGTCCTGTATTGTTCTCGATTCGAAACGGCCAAGCTCTAGAACTGAAAAACATGGCCTCTGCTCATAACGACGCAAAAACACTTGAATTTGGCGTCTTGTTTGGCCGACTTCTGGGTTTCTTACTGTTGTCCTAAGGACGTTGATCATCACGGCATCCGGCGTTTTTGTCATTTCCGTCTCTCTTCAATTGACGATACCACGGCACATACACCACTCAGAACTGGGACACTACGGCACTTCCAGCATCGCAAGGCGTCTTCCGATGATACCGCACCACCCCGGCCCTATGCAATGAATTATTCACGACCCTGTTGAGACGGGCGTCTGTCTTTGTTATAATTCGCGGTGCGGCCGCACTGCTCCGGCTTCTAGCCTTGTCTCTGCCTTTACCCTATCTCCTTCAGCGAGCATTGCGGCGTTCCTCGTTTACTTTTTTTTTTTTTTTTTTCTTTTCCTTTGGGGGGTTTTCTCGTGGTCGCGGCGGCATCGGTGGGCGTTGGGGGATGGCAAGGATTTTGAGAAGCCGTTTTCCCGGCTTGTACAGTGGAGTGTAGTCTTGGGAAGGGTTGAGCGAAGCTCTTGACTTGGGGGAAAGCAGGTTGAATGCGAGAGAAAACCTTGGGTCCTATTTTGATATTGTATGTATTTCTTGTGAAGTTTCAGGGTCGCTCACCGCCTTTGCGGCTCAACCAACAACCAACAACCAACAACCAACAACCAGGGCCTCGCGTGCCTCGGTCAAAACGCCGATCCCCGACGTAACCCAGCCGGCGCGTGCGCAGGCGTCTGGACCTTGCTCGGCGCTCTCAACACCACCACCTGCCCGCCCACCCACACCTTCTCCCGCTCCCCAGCCCACCGTCCCGCGTGCACTCTGCATAGCACACGACCACCAACCGAAAAACTGCCTGCAAACGCCGCAGGTCCCCCGCTCAAACAGTCGCCTGCACTACCTCGATCCAGGCTTTTTCTCTCTTGCGTCCACCGGGACTTTTTCTGCTCGTGTCCCTACGCGGCCGCCGCACCTCTCCAACCGCAAACCGCTCGCCGCACCTCTCTCCTACGGCATCCAACCCCTAATTCCCGCCAGCGCCTGGCACCGCACGTCGCCGCCCCCTCTCGCCAGTGTCCACCAGACAATGGGCATCCTCACACGGGCGCTCCTCACCATCGTCCTCGCGCCGATCCCGCTGCACGCTCTCTCGCTGCTGACGCCGCGGCGCAGTCAGGCAAACAAAATGCTCGGCTTCATCGCGCGCGCGATCGCGTCCTTCACGTCGCTGATTGCGTGCGCTTGCTACGGCCTGTTTGCGTCGATCGGGCTGCGCTTGGTTGGCTATGGCGGCTTGAGCCAGTGGACTGTTGCGCGCAGCTTCAAGTGGGTCATGTGGGCGACTACGGGCGTTACGTTCCAGGTTGTCGAGGGCGAGAAATACCTCTTGGAGAGGCCGGCGGTGTTTATTGGGAATCATCAGACGTGAGTGGACTTTTCTTTGCTTTGTTTGGTTTAGGGGTTTGGAGGGAAAGGATAAACAAAGGAGGTGGTGTAGACGTAGGTAAGAGCTGGGGATATGGCTGGCATGACCTTGCTAGGAGAGGGCAGCAATGCTTGTGGGTTCTGGAAGACGACGCTGTGTCCGGCCTGTTTTTTTCTACGCAGAAAGCTCACTAACACGCACACAAACAGCGAACTCGACGTCCTGATGCTCGGCTGCATCTTCCCCAAATACTGCAGCGTCACGGCCAAAAAGAGCCTGAAATACGTCCCCTTCCTCGGCTGGTTTAGTACGGCACCCCCTGGCACCAACGCAGCACACAGCCCCACTGACCCCCTCGCGCAGTGGCTCTATCCAAGTCCGTCTTCATCGACCGCGCCAACCGCGCCACCGCGCGCGCTGCCTTTGACGGCGCTGCCTCGTACATGACTCACAACAAGCAGAGCGTGTACATCTTCCCCGAGGGCACGCGCTCCTACACCGAGCAACCGGAGCTGCTGCCCTTCAAGAAGGGCGCCTTCCACCTCGCGGTCCAGGCGCAGGTCCCCATCGTGCCCATTGTCGTTGCGAACTACAGCAACGTGCTGAACATCAAGCGCAAGATCTTCCGCAGCGGCACCGTGCCCGTCAAGGGTGAGTTTGGGATCTTCTTTGCGCTTCCTTGGCCTGTCTTGTGTTGGTGCGTATTTGCTAATCTAGCACGTGTAGTTCTTCCTCCGATCAAGACCGAGGGCCTCACGGCCGCGGACGTCGACCGCCTCACCACCGAGACCCGCGAGGCCATGCTCAAGACGTTGCAGGGCCTGGCGCAGAGCGAGGGCCGCGCGATCGCCATGCAGTCCTCCTCGACCGAGTCGCACCCTGCCGTCAAGAAGGAGCTGTAAGCGCGGCGGGGGCACACACGGGGACCGCCGTGGTCCTTGGGCTTGCCAGACGCCAGAGCTAGGGGACGCAGGGAGGACTTGAACTTGGTTGCACGGGAAAAGACAGAAGAAAGGAGTGGCGAACACGGGCAGCTAGAGGCAGGAATTTGTCAAAGGGGGGTTGGACAAGCGAATGCAGGCGCGGAGAAGCGAGACGGGAGCGAGGATCCGGATGCTGGACACGACGCTAGGTGCGGTACGGAGTGCGGAGCGGAAAGTGCCATGTCAGCAGCTGCGCACGCCACGCCCGCGCCGCACCGCGCTGCTAGGTGCTTGTATCTTAGGTAGGTAGGTACCTACCTACCTACGCATGGCCTGCCGCGGCGATGGCAGGCAGGCACGGCGGCTTCGCGGCTGCTACGCTACGCTACATACATCCATTCATGGCTCATAGGGTAGGCTCTCAGCGCTCGCGCTGAGGCAAGGGGGCTTCCACCGCACCAGCACTGGCGTTGCCATGCCGGCAGTGCGTGCGAGGAGAGTGGTGCATATTTAGATTACTAGGCAGCTTTATACGGTATTGGACTCGCCACGGGTTCCGTGGCGGATTGCTATTGCTTTCTTTACCCCCTCTCTATCGTCTATAATGGTATCCTAGGTACTGTGCAAATCTCACGCTACTAGCTTGGTATACACTATACAAAGCAGCATACACACACACGCCCGTCCAGTCCAAACACCCAAACACCCACAGCAACACCGACACCGGCCTTACCTAACAACCTGTAGCCGCACGGCCACCGGCCCGGACCCGGCTCCGGCGCGCGGGCCCCTCCGCGAGCCAACGAGAGCGAGGAAAAAAAAAAAAGGGCCGCACATACGAGCAGCCCCCTACCCAGCGACGCACAGTAACAAACAAAAAACGGACCCAAAAGGTTTAGGGTCAAAAGACAAAAAGGGTCTTGCCGCGACTCGAACGCGGGGCCTCTCGCAAACAACTCAGGGTGCGCCCTAAGCGAGAATCATACCACTAGACCACAAGACCGGGTGATTGTTGGAGTGCAAGTCGTTGGGGGCGCTTATGTGCTGCGTGTTTTGGGGGGGTATGGTTTGTGGGAGCTGTGGTTTGTGTGTGTTTGTGTGTATGGGGGGAGGGGCGAGAGAGGGGGTGTGGGGGAAGAGAGGAGGATAGGGAGGGGGAAGTAAGGGATAGAGTGGGGGGTTTTATGTTTCTTCGTGTTTTCTTGCTGAGTTTTCTGTTTCCTTTTCTCTTTTTAAATTCTTTTTGGAGTGGGGCCAGCGAGAGAGAGAGTGTGTGTGTACTCATGACACCGCACGCAACTCACTGCACGAAGAAGCCGCCGTCAACGCCAACGACCTTGTTCGTGACATAGCCGGTCTTGACCATCCAGATGACTGTCTCGGCGATCTCTTCGGGGTAGCCGAGACGCCCGAGGGGGATTTCTGTGGTGCGTTGTGGGGTTAGGGACTCTGGTGGTGCATGGCGAGGGAAGGGAAGAAGGAGAGAAGGAAGAGATGGAATGGGCAGGGGTGCGGGGTGTGCTGGCTTCGAGGGGAGAGCGTGAGGAAAGAACACGTACTTTTGGCTAGCTCATCGTTGCTGCCGGGCAGCATGGCTGTGTTCTGGATCAGGGCGGGGGCGACGCCGTTGATCGTGATGCCGGATTTGCTGTGGATGTTGGCGAGCCAGTGGACGAGGCCGTGGAGGGCGGACTTGGAGGAGCTGGTGCGAGGTTAGCGGATGCGGCGTTGAAGATGAGTGGTGAGTGGTTGGTTGTATTGAGTATGGGAGGGAAAAAGCGACAGGCATCAAACTTAAGTAGCAACGAAGGGCAACGAGAGCAGGAAGATGATCATGACAGGGAGTAAGCAGTTAAGAAGATGCCGGCGCAACGATGGAAGACAAGCAAGCAGCCACTCACGCGTAGTGTGGCCCGATGACGCCGCCGTTGAAGCCCGCAACGCTGGAGCAGAAGATGACACGGCCCCAGCCTGCCGTCTCCATGGCAGGCATGCACAGCTGCGTTAGGAGAAAGGCGGACCCGCAATTAGCGCGCCAGGTGGTCTCGAACTCTTCGATGGAGATATCGCTGATTGAATGGACCGTCTTACCCAGCGAGAGGCCGGCGTTGTTGAAAAGGATGGTGGGCGCGCCGAGATTGGCAGTCACGGAGGCGTGAAGACGGCGGACCTGTGGAGGTGTCAGGCGAGTGATTTCGATGTAGGAGAGCCATGATAGAGTCCTGGATGTAGTCGAGAGGCGGGGTGATTCGAGGCGATATATGGAGGACGGCAAAGTTCCGGGTAGGCCTCCGAAGGGAACAAGACGTGGCAAGAAAAGCCCATTTCATACTTCATCGTAATTGTTTACATCGGCCTGGAAGGCCTGGGCCTTGACTCCTTTGGCCTTCAATTCTTCAACAAGCGCTGCGGCCTTGTCCGCGTTGGAGTTGTAGTGTGCGGCTATCGAGCAACCCATCGACGCGAGCGCCAAACATGTCGCTTTCCCAATGCCGCCGCTCGCACCAGTCACGAGAGCAAGGTGGTCAGTTAGGTCTGTAGTGAGGACGGACATGATGGCAACTGAAGATGTTGTTGTTGTTGTTGTCGTTGTCGTTGTGGTTGCTGCTGTCGGCTGGGATGGTGGGATTGAATGTGGAGATGCGACTCGGTACGTCATGAGGTGGAGTCTTCCCCGCTGAGTTCGACACCGTTTAATCAATCTTTCTCACTCACCACTCTGCTCATCCTCCACAGCTGTCGTCGGAAAGTGCGCTGGACGTCGACCGAGCCAAGTTAAGTGCTTCATTCAAACCGTGTCATTGTAGGAAAGACGGAATCCGCCGCGACACTACTTAACACGGTTACATCGACTATACAACCGTATATCGACCATGATCAGCCCGACCGGGCTTATATCAAACTGTGCACGAGTAGTATAAAAGATACAGCTGCCGAGCTTCCTGGCTTTCCGCTGGCGGGTCCGTTCCGCGTCATCGGACGTGACTCAGAACATCTCGCATCAATCTTACTTAACAAACACGCCTCTTACGTCCTTTCATCAGTATTCACGTTTACTCCCACTGCGATTTCGAGAACTAAGCCTAGTCAAGAGCAGCCAGAAGAAGGGAAGGTTCGCAACGCCGCAAAATGACCGAGGCCGACGCACAAAACCCCAGCCCGGAGGAACCGAAGCCCCAACACATTCGCGTCCGCGCTTCAGATGCGACAGCGTTTGTCCAAGCCATTCTCAAAGGCAATGGTGTGCCCGAAGACAACGCTGTGGTAGTGGCCAAATGTCTTGTGGCTGCCGATCTACGAGGCGTCGACACGCACGGAATCAACCGCATCCCGAGTTACATGGCACGCATCCGACAGGGTGTACTTGACGCCACTGCCTCCCCTACCCTCAATCAGGTTACACCTGTTGTGGCTCAGGTCGATGGCCACAATGGCTTCGGCTTCCTTGCAGCACACACGGGAATGGCCTCCGCGATACGAATGGCGCAAGACTATGGCATTGGAATGGTGAGCATCAAGCATTCGAACCACTTCGGCATGTCGGCATGGGTGGTGCAGCAAGCGCTGGATGCAGGTCTGATGAGTCTCGTTTTCACGAACTCGTCCCCCGCATTGCCTGTTTGGGGAGGCCGCGAGAAGCTCATGGGTGTCTCGCCTATCGCTTGCGGCGCACCTGCAGGCACCTCGAAGCCATTTATCCTTGACATGGCGCCTTCCGTCGCGGCGCGTGGCAAGATTTACAAAGCTCTCCGACGAGGCGAGAAGATTCCGCGCGACTGGGCACTTGACGCGGAAGGCTCCCCGACAGACGACCCAGCTGCGGCGCTGCAGGGCGTCATGCTACCCATGGGCGGACCAAAGGGCTCTGCGCTGTCCATTATGATGGATGTCTTTTCCGGCGTCTTATCCGGTTCTGCGTTCGCAGGGCATGTCACGAATCCGTATGACCCCTCTCGCCCAGCAGACGTGGGGCACTTCCTAGTCGCCATTAAGCCGGATCTATTCATGAGTCTTGAAGAGTTCAAGGCACGCATGGATTATCTTCATCAGCGAGTCGTCGGCTCGGAGAAGATGACGGGAGTCGACAGGGTCTATTTCCCAGGCGAGATTGAACAGCTTACTCAAGACGAGCGTGAGCGTGTCGGCATACCCTATGTGGAAGCGGAAATTGCGGCACTGAACAAGGAAGCGCAGACTGTTGGAGCGGAGAATATCAATGTCTTGGATTGAGCCTGATTATCCCCGAGACACCGCGCGGCACAGAATGTCACTAGCCATCCGTCCGTCGGCTCGACTCGAGGTATAGGTAGCCGTTGGGATCCTCAACAACGGTCAGGCGCCGTTCCACTCCTGCGACAACGTTGGCGAAGGGTCTATGTTGTATGGATAAGCCTCCTTTGTATTGGTCTTTTGTCTCCCAAGCCTTGGCCGCCTAAAGAATTAGGAAACAGACGCCGAGAATCTATTTCGGGTTGCGTCAACTTTTTACGATGAAATCTCAACCCGCCGAAACCAAAAGCCGGGATGCGGGGGCAGTATCTTGCGGCGAGGTGGGTCACCGATGATGCTGCCGACGGGAGAATGGCCATGAAAGGTAAGCTGGGGAAAGCGATTTCGGTAAATCCACCATACAGAAGCAAGCGGGCACGAAGAAGCCTCTGCATGCTCCGAAAGTAAGCCGCGCCAAGTCGCGCTCTGGCTGTACCCCACGTCTTGTCGTTTTCTTGTCAGTCCCCGCGGGTGGGATACCCCGTGGGGGCCTTACTGCCAAGTGTGTAGCAAATGCGGGGGATTTGTGCGAAGATCGCCTCAAGCCACACGACGCATGCAACCGCAAAGAGCAGTGCATTTCGTCCAACTCGCGTATACTGGACGTAAGAGTACAAGACGTTGAGGCACGGTGCGAGGAGGGCCACCCTCAGTGTGCCGTGCCAACTTGGCAGGCTGGCCTGTCGCCCACCCCGCTTGCCCTCCGCCAATGTCACATCGTCTGGCCGGATGGGTTACACGGCAATGGCTCGGATGACATACCTAAATCCCTGGAGATGCGCAGAATTGGTTGGACGGTCGGTGGCCCCACAGATGCCCTAGATCTTTTGCGGGGAGCAGCTGGGGGAAGAGAGCGCGTGAACCCAGCCTTTTTCCGCTTGGGGCGGAAAATGGGTCACGCTGCATACATGATAGGGTGTGTTACATTTTCTACTTAAGAGGCCCCAGCGACAGCTGTGTTTTGTTGCACTCTATTGCTGGTCGCGGTGTTGTTCTTTTGTCTTGCTTCTGGGTAAGTCGGTCAGCGCGGTTCTTTCGACACTCGTCTTTTTCCGCGAGCAGTTCACCATGCCTTCACCCAACAATATCTTCAAGAGTAACCTCCAGGGAACGCCCAAAGAGGTACTCAATTGGCGGCTCTGGTATGGCGTCTTCGGTAAGCCTACGTCATTCGCGTGAGCACTGCATGTTTACTCGAAGGCTTACACCTCAACACAGTGTTCGGCCTCATGGGCGCTGCCCGTGGTGTCGATGAAGGCCTCATCGGCACCACAGCCTCCCAAATATCCTTCATCGATAAGTTCGGGCTGGAGGATCCTTCCCTGAGCAAAAAGGAGCAAGCCGACTTGCTATCTAATATAACATCGATGGTACAAATGGGCTCTATCCTCGGCGCCCTAATTGCCTTCTTCATTGTGGATCGCATCGGCCGTCTTTGGGCTACAAGAGAATTGTGCCTAGTGTGGGTTGCAGGTATAGCCATTTTCATGGGCGCTGCTCCGTATGGTAGCATCGGCATGGTCTACGCAGGTCGCTTTATTGCGGGAGTTGGTATCGGCCAAACAACAGTTGTCGCGCCGACGTATCTCGCTGAAATATCCCCAAAGGCGATTCGTGGATTGTGTGTCTGTATGTTTGCCGGGTCGGTGTATCTGGGAATCATGCTGTGAGTCTCCCCTAAACAGTGTCCCGCATACAGTTACTAACATATTTTCCAAGTGGTTACTTTGCTTCCTGGGGCTCCTCTATCCACATCTCCGACAACGATCAGGCACAATGGGTCGTGCCCACCAGTCTGCATCTCATGTTCGCTGGAATCATCTTCTTCCTCAGCTTCCTCTCCATTGAGTCCCCTCGCTGGCTGATCAAGGTTCACCGGCACGAAGACGCAGCCACCAACCTGAGCAAGTTGCGCAAGCTTCCAGTCGAACACCCGTTCGTGCAAAGCGAGATAATCGATATCAACGACCAGCTCTCGCGCGAAGCCGAAGCCACTATGGGCACGACATGGTTCGGGCCGGTGCGCGAATTGGTCATGCTGCCGGCGAACCGGTACCGGTTGATGTTGTCGGTGATGTCGCAACTGCTGGCGCAGTGGTCGGGAGCCAACAGCATCACGATCTACGCGCCAGAGTACTTCCGCATGATGGGGACGACGGGGCAACAAGAGAAGCTATTTGCGACAGCCATCTTCGGCGTCGTCAAGTTTGTCAGCGCCATCATCTGCGCGCTCTTCCTGATTGACCTGGTCGGGCGCAAGCGCGCGCTCAGCGGCGGCATCATCCTCCAGTTCCTGAGCATGCTGTACATGGCCATCTTTCTAGCCATCGACAACCGCGTCACGGACGAGGAGAACCCGCCGCCCCAGTCGCCGAGCCAGCATCGTGCTGCCACGGGCGCCATCGTCATGATATACTTTTCGGGCTTTGGCTGGGCCCTCGGCTGGAACAGCATCCAATACCTCATCAACTCGGAGATCTATCCGCTGCGGCTGCGTGCCATTGGCGGCAGCATCGCCATGACGGTGCACTTTGTCAACCAGTACGGCAACTCCAAGGCCGTGCCCGAGATGTTCATCAGCTTGACTAACGCTGGCACGATGTTTTTCTTCTCGGCGGTTACGCTTCTCGGCCTGCTGTGGGTGTGGCTCTTCTTGCCTGAGACTAGCGGCCGCAGCTTGGAGAGTATGGATAGGCTGTTCGAGCTGCCGTGGTATTTGATTGGCCGGAAGGGAAAGCAGTTGACGGATGACGAGGGCGCTTTGGCTGATGTGTACGCCAAGGAGAAGAAGGAGGTGCAATATTTGGAGACGGTGGAGGAGAAGAGGGAGAATGCCTAAAATAAGTCTCGCGCTTGGGGAAGGATCAGGTGGCGGGTTTTCTTCACAAATAAATTGAGTTTTGCTATGAATTAAAGCCAAATTGATGGCATTTTCATGCTTTACTTCTGCACTGGTCTTTGCATGAAGCATGAGAGCTAACGGCGCCGAGAATCGTTTGCATTGAGCTAATCTTGGTTGGGTTAAGTCAAATTGACTTGCATACTGCTAGGAGTAAGATTCAAACGTCGGAAGATGAGAGATCTTCGCAATGAAGTTTGTTTTGCCTACCGAGAACTTGGGTATGGAACCATCCATACCTATAGCAAAGTAAACTATCATCTGCATAAACATAACATCAGAGCTCGATGAAATGATCTTATGGCAACATAGGGAGATGTTGATACTATTATAATTTGTTGTCTCCGGAAACATCAAGAGGTGTTTATCCGGATTAGCGGCCAGTAAGGGCATTTTCCTTGCCCCCGAAGGCTAATGGGAGATTACCTATCCTTTTAATCCGATTTCTCAAGAACCGATTAATCCGGTTGATTATAAGCCTGTCCAATCCAAAGATACCTTGAAGAGTATATCAAATAGCTTAGCTCATGATTTTCATGGTTAAGGAAGTTATTTAAAACGGTTGTAAACAAGAATAAAGGATTCTCAGTCTATTCCTTCCCGGAAACCGGTGGAGATCTAAATAACCGACCCTTTTTACAAACATGGAAAAATGAGCCTTAGGAAGCGTGTTTGAGTTACTAGCAAGATAATTTAACTAATTTTCATCACTTCAAAAGATCTAGTGCAAATCGAATGCACGGCTAGCTGGCTTCACTTGTTCTATTTTAAGTAATTATAATGATTTATCCCATAGTTTTATTCTTACGATAATCAACTAATGCATAAAATAAACGAGCTTCGATAAGTTTGGCTGATTCTACGCAGGATATAAATCTTAATATTTCAAATGCATTGAAGAAACCTAACAGTGTCTTAGGTATCGCTGTTTAAAGCATTGATGGCTTGTTTATATACTTAAATAATGGTAGTCGCTTTTCAAGGCGCTGTCACTGTTATGTACATATATTGAAAACGAAGTCGTGGATTTATTCCTAATGGTTATATATTAGAATCCTAATAGATGTTCTTCATATCTTTTTGAAGGAGAAAGCAGCGAACTACTAGTATAGAAGTATCGAATAAGTATCTTTTCCACATGACCTTGTTGGTAGATACCAACAAACACTTTATACTTATGCGGGGATTGCATATATCTTAACAGAAAAGACTTCTATTAGCAGCACAAAATTGGTATAAATTTATCTACATTTTGTTTCTATAAGTCCAACCAGGATTTCTGACTCAAAAGCAATGTTCACTAAGTTAATTATGCAGTGGCGTGGCGACAGAAAAGGAAAAAGCCACCACCAAAACCTTACCATTAAGGAAATTTTTGTTGGGCCTACAACGAAATTCCCGTTTATCCCAGGCAATAAATATAAATTGCCATAAATTGGCACTGCAAGGCTTCGAAACCATCCACCGCCTGTCACTGCAGGGCCTCCGTCAGCAAGCCCCATGCCACGCAACTCCTATTCTTCAGACGCAGGCAGTGCCCTATAAGTGGAGAACACGCTCTGCAGCACACGCGGCATGGGCGTCGATGACACGGTCATTTCAAACAACGACACGCGGACAGCTGCCGAAGGCATGCAGCACGATAACGGCCGTGACACCGAAACGGCAAAGGCGGGCCTGAACTCAGGCTGCCATTAAGAGTACCACCACCACGAACCCTCCGCCCAAATGCCCCTGAAGATGTCCAACTGTCTGTGCATACCCGTGCCACCCCCATTCCCCGCCGCTCTGGCTCGCCAAGCTCCCGTGGCGCCTGTCTTAGCTGTCAGACATGCATGCTTTCCTCCGCCACAGGGTACGGGCCGCTTCGGCCGAGCGGACTTGCTATACGTCTGTCTCGTAAGGGATGCCTAAAATATGCGGAAGACTGGTGGAATGATATTTGGGCCTACCCGGCAATCGTGAGATCAGCATACGGAGCTCTGTTGACAGCCAAACGGTGAGAATAAGTCGGTTGAGGTTGGCTTTGTGTCATTTGTCCATGGAAGATCCGTGCAGAAACCATGCAGGGAAAATATTGGGAATACCTTCGGCAAATTCCATGGGTTTTTCGGGACTAAATGAAGAACAGATGTGTCGGCATATGCCAAACGTGTCAAGGGCCAACCATGTAGTGAAGTATAGATCCAGGTCATGAGGCATACGATCCTGGCTCATGAGACCAGCAAAGCCGGATTCCTTCTCTGGAATAAGGTCGTTGTGTATTCAGACAGTGCAGATCACCGGCGCATGTCAGATAACTCTGCCTTAAAATAGATCGATAATAAATAAGAGGATACTAATAGCGAAGGACGAATACTGTCGTTAATAGCCAGAAGAAGACTCGACGGAAAAGCTATGCCTAGATAGGTTAGGCAATTACACAGATGTCGCATCGGGTCTTCTGGCTAAGGCGGGCTGTCTTTCAACCGACATCCTATAACTCCATTAGGCACAAACGTATAAACAACTATAAAACCCGAAAAGACTGACTGAGACTTGGCGGGCAATGAAATAGTTGGTGAAAAGTACCCTTTTGCTTCGTCTAAGCAATTGCATGCGGCGGCTTGGCTAAAGACGCAGCTAGGCTGACGTGCGTTCGACTACAGATCGTCGGCAGTAAAACGATATCCGCTGCATTTACGCAAGTCAGTAAAGCAAGGTCTTGAATGGCAGCCTACACCTACGTTGCGGTCACAATAGCTCGTGTTTTTCTCCAACGCTGATTAGCCGAAGACCAGAAAGTGGAGACAGCGGAGCACTTTGTTCTCCGGAGGAAGAGTATGATGTTTCGGAGGATTGATGTGCCAAGGCTTAGGTCTCCGTGGTTGCTGTTGTCGCTCTTCCCGTTGCTGTCGCTCTCCCTGTTGCTGTTGCTCTTCCTGTTGCTGTTGCTCTCCCGGTTGCTGCTGCTCTTCGGGTTGCCGCTGCTCTTCGGGTTGCTGTTGCTCTTCCGGCTGCTGCTGCTGCTCTTCCTGTTGCTGTTGATATTCCTGTTTCTGTTGATCTTCCTGTTGATCTTCCTGTTGCTCTTCCTGTTGCTGTTCCTTTGATCTTCGTTGCTCTTCTGGTTTATGCAGAGTCTGCGAAAGTAGATCAGAGGGATCGATCGAGTCTGTAGCTTGTCATCAGGATATTGATTGCAAGGGAATAATGAAATAATTCTGGTTACCAAGTCTAGCAAGCTCGATTTCCCAATTATTCGCTGAACTGTCACTAGTATCCCCCGCATTTGAGCTTGAATACTCGCTGCTCGCTCGAGGCCGCACTTCTTCACCGCCCGGGTCCATGTCTCCGATATTGGCAAAGTAAGTTACGCCGATTTGATAGCGCCTGACGTGAGGAGCAAGGCTGCAGTGGCACTGTCAGGCCAAAAAAGGTGTTGCAGCAAAGGAAAAGGTGTGATAACAAGCGATGGTGGATTCTCTTTGCGTGCTTAGTGGGAAGCTTTTAGTGCAATTAAGCAAGCGTTAGATCGCTTGGGTTTTAACCACCAAGGTTAAAATGCCGTTAACATGAGCCTTCTCAAGAACCGAGGATGCAGTATCTGCTGTACCGTTGTAGGATGGAAACGTATAGGTGTCCCCAATGTTATCTTTGAGGCCTCTGGACTGTCCGCTTCGATATGATGACACGTTTTCTTTGTGACTTCGCATAGTTCCAGCACTCGTAAACCATGGTATGAAGCGTTTCTCGGTTGATACTAACCAAGTTCTGTCCTTGTAAGTACAGACAGAAAGCCCGGAAGCATTCAGAGTGGTCTTAGATATCGTTTTTTCTGTACTTTCTCAAGAAAATTTTCGTCCATTACTGTAACTGTAATACCGGTGAGGGCCCCAACAATGTTTCTTTCAGCAGGGTGCATCCAGTATGGTGTCGTACCGCATATCAAGGTCCCCGGTCGGATAAAGTGCGTCTTGGCGACGGTTCTACCCAAGCGTACTAGGCTCCGACAAATTCACCCACTCTTCTGTAAGGCAAAGCCAGCATGGTGCAATGGTCTGTGACAAGGCTGTGTGGTGCGAGAAAGTGCAGAATGGCGTGTTTGACGTATTGCTACCAGCGAAGTGGCCCCATTCGCCTAGGCAGAATAAGTCTGCCACAACCATGGAAATCGAACAGTCGTTACGGGTTGAACCGCAGATGTCCCGCAGCATCAAGCTGGGTGTATGACGAATCGACAATAGACAGCTGCTTGTCGGCTGCTTGGCAGACAATAGACCTGCTTGGCATACAGCAAACCTACTTGGCAGAAAGCAGGTCTGCAAATCATGAGAAAATGTGCTGCTAATAAAAATCAGTGTGGTTTGATCCTAGAGTATTAAAGAGTACTTCCAGAAGGGTTTGTTTGGGAGTAAGCGTTGTCAACCATATTGGAAGATATGTGACATTAATGGAGCCTCACAGTTTAATGTCATCGGTACAGCTTTCCACATAGAACTCGGCAACAACTGCCTACTCTATTTCAGGCACATCCTCTTGAAGGTCAAGTGCGCCTACGTGTAAGCGTACCACATTCTTGTAACTAGACCCTAGCTTCAAGATTAGCATAACGAGACAGCCTATTGCCTTGCATAGCAATCTTTATAAAAAGGTTAACATTCTTTTTTTATAGTAATCACACAAACCAAGCATGTCGTAAACAAACTTTCTAGCCCTAGGCCACTGAAGAAATATCGCTCGAGACTGGGATATTGGATCCCAAGTATGAAATAGAGACAGATATAAAGTGCAAAAGCGTGCCTGCCTATAGCACAAAGATCTGATCAATAAAACTATTTTTATTGCTTACCCAGATAAAGTATACTGCTAAATTTGAGCAGTTCTGGAACGCTGAACGGGTCAGCAGTGAAGACCAAACAAAATGGTATCGCACTCCGGAAATGCAAGCCAGCCTTGCAACAAACCCGCAAGGTCCTAGCAGGCAACTAGAAACTTCTACAGATTTGACGAGCGTAATAGTTCGACTTGCATGAAGGTTGTTGAAACACTGTATGTTCGAGGCTCGCACGAGCAAATGACTGACCAGGGCGAGTGGAAATAAGGTTTATAGTCTTGATAGCTGGGTGCATCAACGGGCATATGCGCGGTGAGCTTATCAGCTGTTCTCAGGGCGCTCTTACCGCCGTTGCATGGCCATCGTTTCACATGCGAGTTAAATTGCCATTGAGGTTTTTCGTCTTGGCGCAAGCTGGAAGGCCTGAGTTGGCTGTCATAGTCAGCAAGCAGCAAGGGCGTATCCTTGATCTGTGAAAATTCGTTGGTCTGTACGGCTATTTGTCACATCGCTCGGTCGCATTTATGGAGTCCCCGGATATTTGCTAGCTTGCTGCTAAGTAAATTACGCGGAGGGGTCGCAAGCACGAACTAGTATGTCCCTTAGCAGCCAGGTTTTGAGAATCCGGCGTTGGGATGAGCCGTAGGCCATTAGTCATGAGCGCGGAATAACCGTCGACCAAGATGCACGAGGAAATACTTGAAGGCAACGTAGTTCCTCATGCTCGCACGAGTATGGTGAGGATGCCTCGGTAAGACGGCAGCGCGTGCGCCATATGAGGGCATGAGCATAAACTCCTGGAATCAATGTCAGTGCTGTACTCTAGCTGCCGAGCACGAAACTCGAAATGAATCGGAGATATGCCATCCTGTTGTGGGGCGGTAGAGGAGAGCGTCATTCTCAGACCGAGAACCGTGACTTCGAGACCCTTCTCTGGCGGAAGCTTTACTTGGCAAGATTGTTAGGGACGACGCCATAAAGTACTCGAGGCACCGAGGCATTGACTAAAGGTCAATTCCTGCGGAAATACCCAGGTGACAGGTGAATAGACCACTTTTCGGACCCACTATGATCTTTCGGGTAGATCGGATTCACTCATCCATCGTAAAACAGTTAGATCGCTGGCGATCATCGATCCTCAGGGCGTAGCCGACACGCGGGAAAGGAACGAAGCGTGCGAAGATACCCTGGGCGGAGGCCTAATCTTTGGTCAAGCGCAGCGGCGGAAGTCGAGCTGAGTGGCTTGAATGGGGGTTTGCTATGACAGCCGGCGCTAGCTGGTCGCATGACTCGCATCGGCTAAGGTACGTAGAGAGGGGATAGGTAGAAAAGTTGAAGCAATTTGATGCGGGCAAGTCGCCTAGTGGAAAGATGGCCGTTGCTCTGGTGGGCACCCGGCATGGCAACACGGGAGGCCTTCCTGCAGAAGAGGGGCACTCTGTCGCGGCGTATGTATGTGCTTAGGCTGATCGCTCGCCAAACAAACGAAACGGGCCAACAAACATAGCGATGCTGTGACAGAGATAGATCCGGAATCCGAGAGCGGGCATCAGCACGGCTATAATCCTCAAACCCGGCGCCTGGGACATTGACGCAGGTAGATGTAACACTGCAAAAACCTTGTATATATCCTGGCAGCGCTTAAGTCGTTCGCGTCTACTGTAGCGGGAAGCTGCACGATCGTGTAGCATTTGTGTTCCTGTCCCAGCATCGAGGTTCGGGGCATCAGCGGACTTTCGCCTTGCAAAGTGCCAGGTTGCTGGCAGCGGCTTGAAGGGTTTCAAACACTTGGAGGGTTTTTGCGCAGGATGACGCTCCACGGACCGTTTACAAAGGCACTGGAGAAGCTTAGCAGACACGCGTGCCACGAAATACCACTGGTGGCTGCCTTTTGTACACAGGTACCAGCATGCGAACTCCCTGCAAATGCTTGAGAAATGGCACTACCCCCGTGGAACATAACCAATCGGACGGCTCAAGTACAGCATTTTCGACCATGTACTCCGAAGGAATAACGGATAGGAGATGCACAGAGTGGATGGATGCTCGCGTGTACCCTGCACATGTGGCCCAGTGTTGATACTCGTGCACTTTTGCCGTTGCGATGGTCGGTCCTAGGCCGCTGTGCCCGGTTCCGAAGCTCGAGACCCGACACCTGGTTCCATGTGCGCATACAGATCCGTCCAGATGCTGCGCGTGGGATGCTGGTCGCAGGGCTCTCAAAACACGCATGCAATGGGCGCCGCCCACTGTCGATCGAGCACCAGCGGCCGGACAAGGGGCATCCTGGATGGACAAGCCGCTGCACGACGGCAGACGACGTTTGTGATGGATCAGAAAAGCTCCTGACAAGGCAATGGATGAGCGAGGCGCGAGAGTACAAGCGAGGCTGCGCGGCTGCCATGCGAACGCGTCAGTATTTGGATCTTGGTGTGGCGGCCGGCTGCACATGCAGCGGTATGACCCGCTGGATCTGCCATTTGCAAGAATCAAACCGGGCTGGCGATTAGGTGGATTGTGGAACGGTGATCTCCCATAAAAGTGGCGTCAGCTCTAGATCGAGAGGGCGGGACTGTGACGAGCGCCACAGTAGGACCAGCGAGGCTCGTCCAATGCCGGGAGTCGTATTCATGCAGGCGGCAGGAAAAGGCCGTCCTTCCGGCGGACTGGTATCATTCGGCAACGGCGGGGTGCAGGTACTGAGGTCAGTAGCGGAGGACGTCGAGGACCCGGGGTATATTAATCTGCAGGACCCATCCTCGCGCCATTATCGCGGGTAGCCGCCCGTCATGCGGCGCGCTCGATTCGTCGGGAGAGCATGCAGTCGGTTTATTCGGAACGGGCGTCCCGAGGCAGCATCCGAGGTCGGTATCGGCAGAGGTCGAGGGCAGAGGGGACGGGAGCGTGGGGACTGGGGAGTCGTTGTCGACGTTGGCAGCGATCGGCTATTCTCTGGTCCAGGAGCACCCCTGCGCCAATCCCGTCAAGCAACTGTCAGCGCAAAGGGTGGAGAGATGTCATACATGGCATGCCTGAGGCCACCGTGAACGCCGTGCGACGCTGCCACGCTCGCAAGTCGCAAGGTACCTTTTTTCCCTCCGCAACGTCACCGGCGGCGAGACGGAGACGACGACGACGACGACGACATGGAACGGCCGACTTCAGGGGCTCAACGTCGAGTCGAGTCCCCACGCTGTCGAGCGATGGAAGCATGGCCCAAACAACGGTTGCTTTTCCGCCTCGTGCCTGTGCGTTTGCCCGTGAGCTTGACAGGTCGCCATGTTAATTTCGAGGCCGGCCGTGGCGGCGGACGGGCCACCCACGACAGGTAGGCGCAACCTTAACGCTTGTCAGAGAGTCTAGAGAGGGAAAATGGCACGTCCCCACCACGCAGATGAAGATGGACCTGCGGGCCGTTGCAGTGGTGCTGGGCGGGGGGGCGCGCGCGCACCCTGAGTCTCGAGTCCTCCCAGCTACCAATCCTGGCCCGCGCCTACATAATCTCAGTCCCCGGCCCTTTGCGCGGGAACCGACAGCAGAATCCGCCGCTCTGGCTGCATGGCTACACGCAGCAGCTGTGAGTGTACGAGAAGATAATTATCAACTCATCATATAGACCCGTGGCTTGGCCGACACAAGCGACCCAGCCCGCTGCCTTCAGCTTCAAATCTTCGCCCGAAAGATCGACTCATCCGCGCCGCCGTCCCAACTTTCTGCGTCTTTTCCCCCTCTACTAGTTGGTACGTGCATCACTTCGTTGCCCTTGGGTCGGCAGGGCCAAGAGTCTGTCATCATCCATCCCGCGGTACCCCAATCATCCACCCCACCTCGAATCCTTTCTTTGCTGTATCGACACGTCAATGAGCCGCCAGATCTGGCACCCACCGTGACTCGCTTTCGCACAGGTGCTAACCCCCCGCGACTATATAGAGGCCTCTTTGCCCCGTCAAATCCACGATGGAATACCTTACGCTCCAAGACGTGCCCCGGTACCATCGCACAAGCATGTCTTACCCTGCTCCTGCTTTCCTCGGGGCAGGCACGAGCAGACTGGCACATATGTCTGAAGTAAGCTCCAAAGGCTCTTTTGCCACCACTCATCGTTCTTCTATTCCAATAAACACCATTGTTTCCTCTGCCACTACCTCCTCACTATCTTCCGAGTCTTCCTCCGCACTTTCATCTCCTGAATGGGAGGCTGCAAAGCCATACGAGCGACATGACTCTGTGATGGAGGCGCTAGAGGCATCCAAACCGGCTCACAGAGCCGAGTGGGTCGAGCAACACACGCTGCCGCCTCTTTCTGCTCCACCGGGAGCTCAGAGCTCCAGGTCCTCCTGCAAATGCTCCTGCAGTACAATGCCATCCCACCATGAATATTTGGAGTCAAGTTACCAATACCAACGTCACCAGGCCGGATACCCCAGAAACAACTTTTCCGACAAGGAGAAGAGTATTGTGTCTCTACCCCCAGTCCACGAAGTAAGTGAACTCTGTGATAACGACGGGTGCTATGGCTAATCGGGTTGCTAGCTTATGGACGAGGTGGACAGAAGGCGATCCTCTAAGTCCTGTGTACAAGCAGGTTCGCTGGCTCATTTCGCCTCTTCAAACAGACTGGAATCTACCAGTTTTCCCGGTTCACACAACCCATTCGAGGACGACTATGAGGCTAGGCAAAATAGCAGTAAACGTCATCGCGAGTCGTTGCAACCAAGCAGCTACACCTACACCTCGCTGCCAGATCGTAGCCTAGACCGCCCCCAGTACCCTCAATCTGGCTCTTCCTTTGATGCCGCGGAATACCATCATGGCTTTGATTCCAACCACTCTTCTACATACAACTCACCAAGGACCATTCCGGCGAACAACTCTCCTCTGAATGGACCTTTCCAGTCATTACAACCACGATCTCCGCCCAGCTCGATACCATCGTTTTCCCACAGGGCCCCAGCACACGCTAGCGAGACTGTGTACCAAAATTCGGCGCAATTTGAACCTAGCACCAACATGGTAGTTCACCGCACATCGTATCCTACTGAGAAACAGGGCTACGGCACGTATGAACCGGTGTCGCCTACAGCGAAAGGTGCATTGTGCATACGCAACCAGAACAGCTATCGCTATGCAGGCCCCGATCCCGGCTACAATGGACCCAGGCAGCACTACCCCTACCCTGGAGAAAATTCCTACCCCTTGGGAAATTGTGACGGAACCGTTCAGCACCGAAAAAGGAGAGGAAATCTCCCGAAGGAAGCCACCCAAGTTCTCAAGAATTGGTTCACGGAGCACAGCGATTCTCCCTACCCCACAGAAGACGAAAAGGTGTATTTTGTCAAGGTGACTGGCCTACATATGAACCAGATCTCCAACTGGTTCATTAATGCCAGGCGGCGTGCACCCGAGAAGTTGGCAAAAGAAGAACTTCGCAAGGCCCAAACTGAGGGCCGACTACCTCCGCAAAATCGCCCCCAGTCGTATCGACGTATGCAGAAGCGCATGAGTCGCGATAACATGTCTCCCCGGCCCCAGAATCCTGAACAAAAGGCGCTAGAGAGCTGCTAGACTCACTGGCCCGTTCTTCCGGGACGCCATGCCAACACCGGCAAACGCTTTCTCATTATGAAATAACGACTCCCCATTTCTTTGTGGTAAAAAAAAAAACACGGTCCCCTTTCGCTGCCTACGGTACTTCAGCAAAGCAATGTCTGCCGCATTTTCGCGTCTCACTTGTTATCGAGCCAGGACGTCCGTCCGCATCCCAAGGCCGTCTATTAGACCGTCTTTCCTTTGTTTGAGCTTGGAGTTCTGCAACCGCAAAGAAGGTCATGGTAACATTCCGAAGGCGAACCGGATACGTTCAGGAAAAGGGTTCTGGCTCTAGTATTTCTATTGGCTATTTTCTCACTCCCGCTTGTTGATGTTAAGGCTACGTGGAAAAAAGATCAAACGGCCAACACAAAAGCACATCATGTTTTTTTTTTTTTTTTTTTTTGAATGCCCTATCACTAGTTAGGCGTGGCTTATTGTATGGGGATACGGTAAAGTCCTATTCAGAAGCGACTCAGCGAGAGGGTGACCTTCTGATTGCTGTTACTCCCACTTATGTCATTGTGCCGGCGACCTGTATTCGATTAGCAGCTAATGAAATCATTATTGATTTTGGCCACGCATTGGAATCCGGGCATGAGAGTTTTGTACATGAACCGTTACTGCTGTTGCGATGATAAGCATGAGTGGTCTTATAGCCATGTGCTCGATTAGGACGCGCTTCCCCATATCGATTTGGTTCTAAAGGAAGCCAAGCTAATTTCGTTTTAGATCAAAAGTTTCAACTATCCTATCTGGGCGTGGACAAGGTGTTTGTTGTCATGCTCCCCGAACGCTAAGTATGACCCTAAGCAAGGTTCCCCTCCCACGCCGCGGTCCTAGAGCCGCTCGCTCATGCGAATTCATTGGAGTCTCGACAGGTTCCATACACTGATGATTCACAGCACACCTTGTCCAAAGCCCTGTCGCCAGTCCATATATGCACCTCCATCATCATAGTGCCAACGCAATGTTGTAGCGATAATGGCAGCAGTCTCATACATGACATCACCAATATCGAAGATGATTCAAGAGGGGGGAGGGCATCATACTTGTACAAGTACGATCATGCGATCGTAGACGTTCATTGGTGGCGTCCAAGATTTTAGCACACCCGTGTATGGAGCCACGATCTTCGCTACCAAGAGAAAAGTTGAGGCCAGTTCTCGGAGTCCCCCAACACCGCGAGGGCCCTGGGCTTGGTAACGGTGTGTCCCAACCACTGACAATTTGTTCTACGGAAGAACCCAGGAATTATCGCATGCAGATTATGCGGCAGTCGTCATTCTTGCAGTTTTTCCAGCAGTCATTCAATGAAATTAATATTTCCGTTCACTTTATTGTTGGCAAACGACGCTGACAGCACGGTATGCGAACTCCTACGAAGTACACCCACACAACGGTGTTAATCTTCCGACAAGTTCCGTTCGCAAAAATGATTCCGATGCAGGACATTCATTGAAGTTATTGCGCGTGATGCCTTCCATGAGTGACGCTAGGCTAAAAAGAAGGAGAAATGAGGTGATGAGTATCCCACACAACGTTCTCCGCGCATTCGTCGCGTTCTTCCCACACAATCAACTAACAACAAGGTCATCAAACCGGAGATATTTTTGCGAAGCCTCACTGTTATGGTATTTGGGGCTCAGCCACCAACGCTTGGTCACGCGGACCATTTCCCAATTCAACATTTCTAGCCCACAGCCTTAGAGGGTTGGGTTTGCAACATCATACCCACTTGTGCGACGATCTTTTGCTGGATACATCGAATATTGCGAACAACAGACTATAGCGGTTTTGTTTGTCGTCGGATTAGCCTGAGACTAACTGAACACGCCGGCGTCTTTTCGACGACAGGTGTCAACGAACCGTGTCAAGGCAGACAAATGGCTTGCGGCAAGGACGTGTGGAAATTTCTGGAACGTGGGCTCTAGTCAATAGACCATTCCGGGACGGAGCAGCGCTGATGGGGGCAATGTGCAGGGGGGGAGGGAGGTGTGCTCGACTTCTGGTTGCCTTGTGAGCCAATAAGGTGCTTAAAATGATCATCGGAGTTTACCACGGTCACTGAGATTTGTGGTACACTATACACCAGCATCAACAGTATCTGTCCTTTCGTATGAAAAGAAGCATCTCTGGAACACTTATTGATTCGTCGATAGGGCAAAACGTATGATGCATACCGTCCTTTTGACCTCTTTGTGGCTAGAGCAACCCGGGTTTCGCTAATATGGCAAACACTTCGGGGACGTCTCCGTATACTACGTCAACTCTTCCAGCAAGACAGGCTCCCTGTTAACCGATAAGCATAGTGTCGCTATGGTGGTATGAATTGATCGCTTTCCATTCACAACCTCATTGACTGACGGCTTCCCTTTTCCGCAGCGACCCGTACACACGGCCATCTACTAGGGTTTGCTCATAAGGCTTGGAATGTCACTTCCCACCAAGGCCTAAGGAAGCTAAAAGGGTCAATATCGGTTTGAGTTGACATTTTGCGTTTTGCGGTAATTCATGAGACAGGAATCGGACAGCTCATCAGAGATGATGTGTCTCAGATGAACCATCTCTTTCGGAATATTCTCCAGCTAGGGCAAAGAGCTAATTCTTCACCGCACGCAGTCGCGTTATTCTATCGTTAGGAGAAGCTTCCGGTTCATCCGACCTCCGTCATCTCTGACTTGCGGGCGTTGATCGAGATGTCAACACGTCTTCCAATGCAACGCGACCTTCTTCTTTTCAGAAACAGTCTTTTCTGCATCTCGATCTTCCCAAAAAGCGCTCTTTCGGCAGAACTTTAGGCCTAGTCCTAGCCCTACAGGTTCCAGACCAGGGACGTTCGTGTGCTATCTTTGATACAGGCCGGAAGGTTGTTTGTTGAAAGAAGCTCGAATTTGCGGGTCGTTGATGAGTGGTCTTGGTAAAAGTCCATGGCTACTCTCCTTGCTCTTGTATCACTTAGAGTAGGGATAGGAAACCAAAGCCGATCAGCCTGTTTCATCCGAAGGGTGCGTCTTTTCTTTGGCGTCCAAGCGTGGGCGTTTCGTTCCATGAACTTGTGGCCCACGGACTGCTTTCACCACGTCGTTGTAAAGGAAACATGAGATGTTTCCAATTCAAATTTTCTGAGCTAGTTGAGCTTCCCGAAATATTTCGACATCGCTCCAAGGGAATCATTGCTTGCTGTTCATTGAATCAGTGATCTTGCGCGAATTTTTTTCACGGAAGACCTCGAAATCGCCGTTTCCAAGACGGCTCTGGACCGCTTCAACTAGCGCATTGAAGCTTGCAACCTTTGAAACGCGTATGGACACCAAAGCGCTTACAGCACCTCTTGTTTCTGTACTGCATTTAACACACGAATAAGCGTTGTTTCCTTTTATGGATTGTTCACTCCATCACATCAGCGTATCAGAAAGAGTTGTACTCAACGGAATAAATCCATGACTTCGCTCCTTCCAATACCTTGCCTCATCAAGCAGGTAACTGCCGAAGTATTTACGAAAGCATGAATGGGTTTCAATCAAGCAAAAGTCTTTCCGCTGGCTGTGGCCGGCTGTCACCCATCTCTTACCCGGAAGCTTCTCAATAGCATCTACTCATAGCAAATTTGCAGATGGCTTCTCGTTCAGCAACCGCTCATTTCCTTGCTCTTATGATTGGTAGACTGCCTTTAATCGCGTTCCGATTTGATGGCGAGGGATCCTTTTCCTCGGCCACTACGTTCCTCCAAGCCACCTGCAACCGAAACATGCAGTCGCGGGCAGGCTATGTCGTAGGCTGCTCCTTAATCTACCAGAATGATTGACAGGGACCGAATTCGGGATGCAAGGTAGATGGTCAGTCGGGCACGATGGTGCCCAGGCGAGGGAGCAGCTTGACAGACCAGTTAAGCAGAGGGACAAACTGCATCGCACGTCATCACACAGGGCGACAGCAAACCAGGTCGCGCACAACAGCTTCCAGCACGTTCCATGTGCAGGAGGCTGAGGGAATGGAGTTGTCCACGTCTCGAGGCTTACCCCGATGGACCCTGGACGGGACGCGGGCCGCGCCTTCGAAGCCAGAACCCAAAAGGCAAGGGAAAGTTGGGCATTTTGCGGGCGCTGCGAGAGGGGCCAGACAGGATTAAAAGATGCATTCAGTTGGTACAGTAAATACGAAAGTGCCAGCCCCCACTGGCCTTGATTCTGCCTGCTTTCGCACCGGTGACGTAGTGCGCGTCAGCCATGTCAGGCGCGGACCCCAAAGCTCCCCCACCAACCACCAACCACCTGGCTATCTGTCGCTGCTTGCTTAAGTCCTTCGTCGCTCACTTGCTCTCTTGAAGGAGTTTCTCCCTCACTCCTTCCTCTCGACCCCTCCTCCCCCAACCACTGCCTCCCGTCGCCTGCAGCACCGCCCGCGCCCTGCTCGCGTCACCAGGCGCATCGCTTCCGCACTGCCGATCCCCCTCCTCGCCAACCTCACCTACCAGCATGAGCTCCCGACGGGCCTATCCCACGGCCGAGCTCTACGACGAGCGATCGCGCGAATATTACGGCAACGGCAATCGCAGCTACAGAGAATACGACGAACTCGACGCTGAGCTCACCCGCGGTGGTCGCGGTGCACCTTCCGAGTACAGCCGTCCAGGTCGCCAGCCCGATTTTCTCCGCGATGACTATGGCCGCACATCTGCAGGTCCTCTTGTGGTCGCCGAGCGACGCGAAGAAGATTACGGTCGCCCGGTCCCCAAGCCACGGAGCGTCGTCGATAAAGATGACGTGATGAGCAGAAGGTCGGAGAGGCTACCTCCAAGGGATCTCGACCGCGAGGAATTTGTATATCGCCGTAGCGAGCGCGACGACCGTGGCCCACCGCCAAGGCCCCGTGACCTTGAGCGCGACGAAGTCAGAAGCAGGCGTGATGAGCGCGATGACCGTTCCAGGAGGCCCCGCGATATCGAGCGCGATGAGCTCGATATCTCTATCCGACACCGTGAGCAGTCACGCCCCAGGCCTCGTGAAATCGAACGAGAGGAAGTGATTCTTCGGCGCGATGAGCGCGAAGAGCGACCTAGACCACGCCCACGTGACATAGAGCGTGACGAGCTCATCATCAGACGCGAAGAACGGGACGAGCCACCGCCAAGGAGACCTCGCGAGATTGAGCGCGATGAAATTATCTTCCGTCGCGGTGAGGGGACGCGTCCGCCTCCCCGTGAACCGCGTGAGGTTGAGCGCGAAGAACTCAGGATCAGGCGGTCCGAGTCCCGTCCTCCTCGCTCTCGTGACGAGAGAGAGGAAATTCTTTTCCGGCGAACTGAGCAAGAGGAACCACCTAGACCAAAGACGGTACCTCCGCGGGGCGACCTCGTTGCCAGAGAGAGGGAAGAGTTTGTCATTCGCAGGAAGCAGCCTCCCTCACCACCACGCGAGGAGAAGCAGGAAATAATCATCAGACGCACCGAAAGGACGCCTAGTCCTAGTCCACCACCGTCTCCTCCGCCACCAGCAGTAGAGCCCATTGTACGACCACCAATCGTACAAGAGATCATCACACACCATCGCCACATTGACCATGGTATGTTGTTTGCTAACCACTTTTTCAAGCCGCGCTAACGATCGATTTACAGGAGTTGAACGGGCGAAGCCACCTACTCCTCCGCCCCCACCGCCTTCTCCTCCCAAAGATGAGTCACTTGAAATCGCTATTCGCAGCCGACGGTAAGAAGCCCTGTATCCACTTATCTGGCTCCGCTAACAGTACACAGTGGTGGCGGCTCAGGGAAATTCTACGATGAAGACATCATCTTCGAGCGCGAGTCTCGCGAGCGTAAAGACAATGAGCACGACGTCGTGCCGAGGAGGCGACGCTCGGAGTCTGCACCACGACGCCGGGCAACGCGTGACGACGACTTCGACATCGAGGCTGAGGCCGAATACTATAATCGCAAAGCTCAGGAGCGTGCCCAAATTGGCGAGGCTTTCAACGGCGCCACCAAGGACTGGGCCATTGTTGACGTGCCACCGGGTACTAACCGTGTCCGTATGGATGGCGTGGGTGGCGGCAGCCAGGAAATCACCTGGCAGCGGTACAATGGCGTGCGGAGATCCAAGTTCCTCACAGAAGATAGGGAATATCCAGGAGACTTCGGTGCTCCCGCGAGAGGCGAGATCGAGCCGCCACCAAAGCCCAAGCCAAAGACACAAGACATGTGGACTGAAATCACCAAGGACCTCGTTATCAAAGAGGCCATCGAAGAGATGGGATATGGCTTTGAGGAAACTGACTATTTCTTCTATGTCATGGAATATCTACGCTACGTAAGTTTCAAAACATCCATGTTTTTAGTTATCGTGTTCTCCCGGCCTATTTACAAGGTACTAACATAGCGTAGGAGGATGTCTGCCAACTAGTCGAGATCTCTGATGACATCAGACGTGAGCGGCGAAGGCGTATCCGAGAAATAGAGTTCGAGCGCTCTGAACTGGATCGCAAACCGAGGCCAGGGAAGTACGACTACTACGAGCGCGAGATTTTCTACGAGCACGACGATCGACGCGGCCGCTACAGATAAGCGTCACTGGTCTATTGTCCTTCTGTCAAGACGCCATTAGGTTATGCTGCTTGCCATGGACCTCGATCTGGTCTTGCCGCGGCGAGTTTTCTGGCCTCTTATAGCTCTTACCCACACGCGAAGGCTGAAATGTCTCCTTGAGGGCTGAGCATTACGACTTTTACCCTTTATCAAACATGATGATTATTGTTGCCCAGTCGAACTGCGAACGAAAAAAAAAGTTTGCGACAAGACAACATTTACAATCATGAAATGACGACTTAACGAAACTATGAAAGCATACGAGATTTGCAACGAGCAGCGAGCGACTAGATTTGACGTTCGAGGGAGCGAAGGGGGTAAAGCGAAATGAGCAGTCTGCACCAGGGATCACTAAAAGCGTGAATGGTGCCACAAGCGGCTTTGTTTGCACATAAATATGCAACAATCCAAGCTGTACCACCACAAGTCGGGAATTTGACCTGGTCTTTTTCTCTCGGGGCTTTTGATCCCAATTTTCTTTAGGTTTTGCTTCTTCTTCAGCTTACTTTTAGGACTTCCTTTACTTTTTTTCTCTTTCATTTCTTTTTTCGTCACTCAACCCTGCTGATTTTTTCTTCTCTTTCTCTGCTTTTTGCGGAATCGGGGGCCGATGCTAGGTGCTGCGTGGCGCTTATACCAGAGGAATGAATGCCTTGAAGCCTTGCAAACGTGCATATGCGTCATATCACGCTCGGTCATGTGTGTGCTGATTGCCTGTCTGTCTGCGTTCTTTTGCTGCATGTTCTTTATACTGCCGATCTCTTCGGCATGATTTGGTGATGTAGGAGGAGTCACACTTTCTTTCTAGCTGCAGTACGTAGGGGCATCAGCCTCCGCCTCCGATAATATAGGTAAGCTGCTGGGTATATTCAACGGAGGAGCGGAAAGCCGCAGTAAATGCCAGACACGGCCCACGAGTTTCAGCTAGCTGGCATCGCATCACTCAGCCCGCGATAACGAAGGATGTCTCATGCCATCGAGATACGAAGGTGGCAAGTATTAACATGTATGCTATTTCAAAATACAGCTTTCTCTAGCACCTTTCTTGGAGACCAAATCGACTACACGTATCCATGGCGCATGGACACATCCACCTCGTGGGTAAGCTCGACAGAAGTTAACACGAAGCCAAGGCGCCCCACGACGCAGTCAGACCTGCCCACCTGCCGTATCGGCTTCGATCGGCAAGCAGATCAGTAAGGAAAGAATACCCAGGAGCCGCGACAGGCAGCCCAAACGGCCAACCAACCAGCCCACCCCCACCAGATCCTTCCTCACACCAAGCCCTAAACCATGCGCCCACCACCACCACCTCCCTACCTAACCAGCATCCCGAGCACTAACAGTATATACCTAGGTACTTGTCCCGGATCCGTTGCCCCGGCTACAACGCCACCAGCCCACGTTGTCTCAGCAGTGCGGCTTGCCAACGCTCATGTCTCAAACAGACATACGTCGATGACGTCTGCGTTGCTTGGACTTGGGGGTTTTGTCCGCCCGAGGTGACGCTTACACATTTACTTAGTTGTCCACTTACTCATCTGCTCACTCACTTATCTGCTCACTTATACCTACACATGCTCACTCACTCACGCAAGTTCGCACACTCACACATTCGCACGCTCACACTACCGCCTCGCGCACCGCACACGGCACACGAGCTGACCGGGCCCGCAGAACAGGAACGAGGCCCGCCAGGCCGCCGGCGTCGGCGCCGTGCTGCTGCTTATCTACAGCTGCGGCGCTGTGCCGTGCCGTGCCGTGCCGTGGCATGCAGCAGCGGCGTGGCGTGGCATGGCGTGGTCATAGTCGTGAGCTGGAAGTAGATAGGTAGATTAGGCACGGCACCAGTCGTGTGTACGTACAGTGTGTATTTATGGTACTTGCTACATGCTACATACGTAAGTGCGGCGCGGCGTGTTGGTGCTGGTTGCGGGAGCTGAGGCTGGGGCTGCGGCTGGGTCTGGGGGACAGAGGCTGGGTCTAAGTTGGCTTGTGGGAGATTAATTGCTGGTGAGGCAGTTGGGGTGATGTTTGCGCGTAGAGCGTAGAGCGCGGTGAGGCGATGTACTTACTATGTCCTGTGTCGATAGGGGAATTAGATAGCGATGCCGCCGGCTAGTTTTGGATGGTGTTTCTGCAACCTAGCACGCTAAGGTGCAGGTGTTGTTCGCAGGACTTAGCTTGGAGATATGTCATCTCAGGATAAGGGTTGGAGTTTTCTGAATTCATGGGTTATCTAGTTTGTATGCGGAAACAAGTCTTAGCAAAAGGCAGCATCCAAGGTAACGGGAATGGTATTGTCAAACTAGCTTCCTCTACTCGCTAGCACTATTCGCATAGAGCCCTTCTACAACAATGCCGCTCAGAACCCGAGTGTCCACGAATGCTCGATCAGCCGAAGACTCATGCCGCTGTGCAGTGAGAGTTTTCCGTAATTTCATCCAGTAATAGGCCGTTGTCGGTCCTCGCGTTTAAAGGTAGGTTTCGTAAACACCAAACCCCTTCAAAAATCGAACCTAAATCTCCTCCATTATTTCTCCGATCCTTTCAGTTCGTCTCGCATCTCTTGGATCACGCTCTTGATCCTTTCTTCCTTGCCTACTTGTCCTGCTCTTTCCAGGGCCTTGTCGAAATCGAGAACCTCCTTGGCTACGTCTCTGAAGTCCTCACCCAATGCCAACAGAGTGCCTGCACCGACTAAAGCCCTATACAGCGCCTCAGGCTCGTTGACCGTGTTTACGATCTTTGTTAAGTCGGACAGGAGTGTCAATGCCCGGTCCGCGTTTTCGGTTGGAGCAGGAAGAGAGACGGCGAAATTGATGTAAAGCGTCGTAATGGCTACAATGAGATTGCGGTTGGAAAGATGAGAGCTGATGAAGGGTTGGATGAGGGGATGCAGCTGATCAAAGGTGCCATCCATCACAAGACGGCCCTCTTCATGTTTGAAGAGATTGACGAACACACGGACGCCCATGAGGACGTTGTTGGGTGGAGAATCAGGGGCGAAAACACCGGCATTGGCCAGCATGCCTACAATGGTGTCATCTCCAGACGAGGTGTGGATGACAGTCGTTCCCGATGCAGCGGCCAGGAGACGGAGAAGGTCAAGACCGGGCAGGCGCTTGTCCGATGGCCATGTGGTAGCAATCTTAATGATCAGGTCGATGCCGGCATTCGAGGCCGACTTGCCCTTAGCCTGCTCAAGCTGTCTGCAAGTGGCGGAGAGAACCTCGAGATCTGAAGGGTTGAGGGAGAGATCCTTGGCTCCTTGATCAAGCAGCTGTTGGTTCAGCTCCCTAACCTTTCTTTCCATAACCTTTAGGTTACCGGTTTCAATGGTAAGGTACTGCGTCTGAGGTAGGACCTTGGGTCTCGATTGCGCAGGCATGCTCTGTGGCGCGGCGGATCCCACCTCACCAGGCCTATACCTCGCCTCCGTTCCCCAAGGATCTGTTCCTGGGGCTTGCGTCTGAGACCCTGAAGTCTGACCAATAGTCGCGCCCTGCGTGTTGCTGACAATGAAATTGGTAACCTGATCCAGATACGAGATTGGGAGTTCGTTGTCCTCGATGAATTTACGGGCCGTCTCATACGGATTCGAAGACAAGTTGTAGGGCAGTTTGAGAGGCGGTTTCCCGTCCTCAATATCGACATCAAAGACGTAATCGTAGTCCTTCCCGTTGTACGTTATCTTCCTCCCGCTGCTGCCAACGGCATCGACAACAGTACCGACGTTGACCCATTGCGAAGCAGCTGAGGACCATTGATACGCCGCAACATTGCCGTTAAGTTCTCTGATCATCTGCACCTGCCCTTCCTTGGTGCCAGACTTTTGCTGAATAAACTCAGGTCCTGGCAGGTTTTCTTTGTTGATATTTCCGAGTTGTTGTTGCGGAATTGATGAGCCCTTAACGGATTCTTCAAACTCCTTCATCATGCCGGCATCAGTCTGGCGCTCTGGTGACCTGCTGAAGACACGAGCAACGCGATCACTGGCGCCTGTGACAATATCCCCATTCTCGCGGCACACTGCTACCGACCACACGGAGATTGCGGGATGAGTGATCGTCTGCACACATTGATCGCCCTTCCATATCCGTACTGTCCTGTCTTCCGAAGAGCTCACCAGCTCTCCGCTAGGAAGCGTGGCAAGAGAATAGATGAAATTTTCGTGGCCATGAAGCTGCCCCACTTCCTGGCCCTCAATCGTCCACAATCGTATGATCGCGTCGTTGCCAGCGGATGCGAATTGTGCTCCCGAAGGGTGGCTTGTGGGAAGCTTGCATAAAGCTCGAACAACGTCGGAACCACCGGTGATTGTCCTAAGGAGCTTCCCTGCAGGATTGAAGATTCGGATCTGCTTATCGGCGCAACCTGATGTAAGAGGCGGTCGTTAGTCACAATGCGGTGTTACAAGTATCGTATCGGGCCACCGGCGCCCCTTGTGTGTCGCCATACCTGTGATAATTGTTTCCCTGTCATAGGCAAGAACCGCCCAGACGCTGCCTTGGTGTCCGCGTAAGACTACGGAGGATTCCCAGTTGCCGACTTGCCATATTCTAGCTTCTTGGTCCCAGCCACCACTGACAATGGTGCGGCCATCTTCACCGACATCGAGCACACAAACGTTGCCTTGGTGTCCCAGCAGTAGCGCCTCTGCGTTGTCCTGTGGTGCTTTGCCGGGTTGCCGAACTTCGATGATGGTGTCCTTGCCGCCTGATACAATGAGGCCATCGGGGTACTGCGAGGAGGGAGGGACGTAGGCGAGTGAGTTGATGAAAGCAGTGCCGTGGGAAGCTAGGGTAGCGTCGAAGCTGGGGGGGCTGGTGGAGAGGAGCTTCCACACGCGGACGGTAGCATCGCGCGATGCCGAGAGAACGGTCCTTGGGTCCGGGAAGACGACGCTGCGGACCTGGAGGGTGGCGTCAGCTCAAGGATGCGGGCGTCTGGGCGCGGAGAGGAAGCTCACATCGTCTTCGTGGCCCTGCAGCGAAGCAGACAGTTTGAAGTCGCCCATAGAGACGGCGGGCCAATTAGGTGGGGCTGGCTTGGGAGGGGATGGAGCGGACAAGGCCGAGAAAGGAGGCTGCCGCAGGGCAGAAGCAACAAGCGATGTCTCAGAGGAAGGGGAGTGGTAGGAGGTACGGTTGCAGGTCGGAAGCGTTTAGTTGCTGGAGACTGACGTACCGCGTTTGGCCCGTTCACGTGTCGCGGCTAACCCCGCGATCGATCTTTTTTTCTGCCTCAGGTTGCAACTTTGCCACGATCCCCGCACGTGCAGCGTCCGCCATCCGCAGTGCTTGGTGCCGCTCTCCTTGCTTCCCGCGCGCCGTGGCCAGACCCGCTCCGTCACGCTTCCGTCTCGCCAGGCCCCGTCTCAGCCCTTTGCGCCCTTCTTCAGGTCGATTCGCCACAGCCTTGCGGCACCTGACAGCTGTCCCCATGGGGGGCACACGCGCGCCCACCGCCACGGCCCAGCCCTCGTACAGCACTTGCCTATGTACGCCATGTCGTCTGACCCAGCATCTCGTGTGTTGGGCTCATGTTACCAGCGTTTGGCATCCTAGGGGTTGGTGATGGGGCTGAATCCGCGCCTACAAAAACCTCCCTCCCATGGCCATGGCACTTTCCGGGATATCCCTCTCAGCTGCTGGGCCCTTTTTGAAAAGCCTATATCTCTGTGTCACTCCAATCTCCTGCGCCGCCAAGGCTGCCACCGCCCAAACTTCGAGTCTTCTGCACTCCTTTTGCCCCAAGCCACCACTGGTCTAGAGTACGCAGGTCGAGGCGGCGCGCACATAGCCTCGAACTACTGCGTCCCTGTCGATCCGTCGGACCCAGTTGTGGTTTTTGTGCCGTGTACGCAGTGACGCATCAGGGTCCCGGATTATTGATTTATATCTCAAGCGTCGGCCGAGAAATAATTCAGCATTGCCTCCCCCTAATCCCTTTTTTATAAGGCCAGCTACCTTCCAACAAATCTTCCATTTCGTCCCTCATTCCAACACTACCTACCTACCCACTGCCAACATGGATGCCCCCAATGTTGAACTCCTGGCCGCATTCGCATCGTATGTACAGGAATATCCTTGAGAATATAATTCCCCCCCCCCTGACTATCAAGCAGACTCTATACAACCGGCAAATACTCTGATCTCACAATCAAATCAAATAGCAGAACATTTGCAGTCCATAAAGTAGTCATCTGTTCGAGATCCGAGTTCTTTGACGGCGCATGTAGCCATCCTTTCCGAGAAGCGGCAACAGGCATCATCGATCTCTCAGAAGACGACGACGAAACTGTTGAGCACATGATTCATTGTGAGTATAGTACAGTAAGCTGGAACTGACACAAGATGGAACTGACCTTTGAACAGATTTTTACTATTTGGATTACCTTTCAAAGCCCAAAAGTCGCCGCACATCTCGACCTTCGTCTCCAGTCGTAACAAGAAGCCATTCGAGGCGGGTGGCGCAGCGTCCCATGAAGTTCAACTTAGCCCTGGTCGAGGATCCTCTGCTAGCGCAAGCTCAAACCGCGACAACTACCGAAACCCTGGCTCAATCACCGATGACGCCACCTACCTCAGCGTACGATCGGTCTCTGGATTACTTCAAGACCGTTGAATCGGAATTCCCACCGCGCGATCACTTTAGAGGTGACGTTGGTGATGATGACGACAGCTCATCTTCTAGTGAGAGTGAACACGAGGAAAGCGATTGCGACGCTACCCAACCGCTCCTTGTAATTCATGCCAAGGTGTACGCAATCGCAGAAAAGTAAGCCGACTCCATCATCATGATAACATTTTCTTTTTCTACGTCAAGTTCCAAAGCTTTTCGAATAATTTTCTTTTCGCATGCACTGTTTACCCTTGTTTACTCCAATTATGCAATACACTACTCTTACCCTGCCATTCACATTGCACCACAAGAACCCTGCGCGTTGCCCCCGCAATCAGAATGCTTCCTCTACTTCTACTGCATCGCACTACTGCAAGACGAGGCGTCTAACATGTCATTTGCATACAGATACGGCATCACCGGATTGAAAGCGCTAGCTAAGAGAAAATATGCCACCCAATTGGAAGAACACTGGAGCAGCCCGGAATTTGCGGATTCGATTCAGGAAGTTTACGAGGCCACTGTAGACAGCGACAGAGGCTTGCGCGACCTTGTCATTCACGCCTTCCGCGAGCATCCGCAGCTAGCTCGCAGTAAGGATGTCGAATTCATCGTCAGAGACACGCCTGGTATTGCTTGGGAGTTGTTTAGGCTCGGCTGGGGCATGCCTGTTTATTGAGCGTTCGCATGGAGGTTTTGTGGCATATCAAAGTGGCGTTTAACACCCACGAAGATGGTTGTTCCGCGCCTCTCCGGATTGGACTGCAGCATGCAAAAGAAGAAGAGCAAGAAACATGCTGCTCACACAGCGTTTCCAAAATCGGGACCAATGGGCACGCGGGCATGCATGCAAGGCGTTTTGCTGTTTTCCTCATGTACGAAGTACACCAGCGCAAATGATACCAACCTGTCTACGTTCTCCTCACTTACTCCGCCCTCACACCCATGATCCTGAGTGGCAAGCCAGCGGCGCCACGCGAGACGCGCAGCTCGCCAATCGTTAAGCTTCCCCACGGATCCACGATTGAACGTCACACGCCACGTTACGCGACAGCAGACATGCATGTTCCACCTCGAGCGTTTTGTCGCCGAACGCCTTATGGCTAAAAGCCCCCACCAACCGGGGCGCCCTCTGCGCGTCACGCGTCGCGTCCGGCTTGACGCTTCGCTGGTTGCCGTACGGCGGCAGCCGCCGAGGAGGGCTTGCGCGACTGGCGTAACGGGCTGGCACGCGTGGCCTGCTGCGCGTTCTTGTCTGTTGCTTGCCTTGTTTTGCAACGAACTCACTCGTTGGGCGTTCCTGCCAAGTGGGGAAAGGCTTGTCGGTGGAGATGCATGTCTGCTGCAGTGGGTTGGCGGTCCTGCGATCCCCATGCAGAGCCTCGACTGCCCCGTGCTCAGCTGTCGAGCAATTTCCATCCTCGACTTGCACTTTGCACGGTCTTGGATGGGCTACGGATTGGGAAAACACTTGCGCGGCGTGCGTATGTGCTGTTTGACGCGCAGGGCAAAACACACGGCTGCCGTACACTGGGAGACGCATGGCTGGAAGACTTTGGCTGCTGTGGAGCAGAGGCTGGCATTTTGTCAGCCCATACTGATCTGAAGTTATTGCTCGGGGATGCTTTGTGGGAAGGGAGATAATGGGGCTCTGTCAGAATGAGCATGATGGATTGTCGATCAGCAAGAGGTATGTACGCATGTGTTTCAGGATAGCGGACGTACTTCCGCCCTTTTGATTGCTTTTTACTTTCCTTTTCTTTTGTGGACGCAAGACGCCAGTACCGTCACCGCTAGAAACTGCCGTACCAGTAGACTTTTTTTGATCACCTGTCACATCTCATATATTCATTCAAAAAGTTAGTCCCCTTAGGATTTTTGGTGTTCAGAAATGAGGCTAACTATTGCTCTTACAGCATGCCCCCGCAGCCGCTGTTAAAGTTTGTTTTCCTCCAGAGTTATATTACTTCTGTGTCACAGGAGCCCTGTAATGGGAAATTGAAAGCGTCTTCGGAAGCAGAAGGCCAATCAGAGAGCGTTCCAGGTGTTGCCAACCCCTGTAACGGTTATCTGCATATCTTTACGCTAATCATCAGATTTGTGCGTGTGGGATATAGAACCAGTTAACATTGCCCCGTCTTACGCAGATCTTTGTTGCTTCCACTACACGTATTGCAGATTCGCAGCGCTTGCGAGTGGATGAGCGGCCTGGAAGTATGTTTTTTCCCCTGCGTTGCGCGCATACGTGCAGCTTAGCCATGCAACCCGCCAACTTGTACAAAACATACATACTTGCCGCATACGTCGTACGCCCGCAGGCCACGAAAACGCTCGCCGCGGATGCGGCTCAGATTCCCCAGCGCAGCGCGAGTACATTAGCACATGCAAACAGGCGCGCCATTTGCTGCAGCGGGCTCACAAACACGCCCCAGGCGACGAGAAGCAGCAGCAGCACCCGCGCACCCGGTCCACTCTGGGCTCAACCAGCGCCTCGCCTTCCCCGCAACACAAGGAATGGCACGGCCCGCAACGCGACGCGACGGCAGCGTGCGCCAGACCGCTCCCTGTGTGCGTGACTGCTTGCGTCCTGGATCAGGAAAAAGTGTCATTGGCAACTTGCAGCATGTCTGCGCCAAAGAGGGCTGCCAAGCCTCCGTGATGTATTTACATGCGCGTTGCGGGGAGGCTCGGCCGAGGCTGGCAAGGGCCGGCCGAGGTGGAGTGAGTGTCGTCGCTGTTACGCGTTTGGGACGAGATGCAGTGTTCAGAAAATTGGGATCCGTCTGCTTTTTTGTTGGGATCATATGATGGAAATGGAATTTGGTAGAGGCAAGGCAAGCTGCTTGAAGTGATGTTGCCGTCGTGCACGAGCGTTGGGTGATGTTGATGTAGTTCCGGGTAGCACCACGGTGTTTTCCGTTGTGGTGCCCCAGGGTCCTCAAGTGGGAACCCTTGCTTGCGAGCGTACCTGATTTGATGGGAGATTTCGGGCTGCCTTGCAGATTACGTGCTTCACTAGGCTCGGAGAATCCCACAACTGCTCAGTATAGTGTCAGTAACGCAAGATTAACTTTCCGAGCGGATAAGAAGCTTGAAATTCGACCGGATTTTGCCATCAGCCCTTTATTTACGTAAAGGCATATCTAGCTCTTTGCAAACATCCCTGTATTTGCATAATAGGTGCGTAATGTAGATTGAAGACGTTCATTTGACAAGACCAGCTGTTGGTAGGCTAAAGACGAGGATAGGCAACAGACAATATTATCCATGGTAACTTATAAGTGCTATCCTCAAATCCATACTTTCCTTATTAGTGTTTCCGTTATAGCTAGGCTCCAAGCTCCTGGTTATAGGGAGGTTCAGTCAAGACTGATTATAGCGTTTAAGCTGGTTAACAGCCTCTGGGCGCTAAAAGGTATTCTTAAGTATATCCGGCTAGGTCTATGTGACCATTTGCGCACCTTGACTGTTAAAGAGAGAATAAGGTTATAAATAGTTAAACCTATAAGGAGATCGGGCTGCAAAGGGAATGTATATAGTCCATTAAAGATATATTACGCATGTCTATAGTGTCGTTAATATGGTTGCCGCAGTCCTGACCAGAATTTATTACAAGACTAGCTTATATGTACCTAATCGCCTCCGACATACTCAAAATCTAATAGCATTCTATATTCATTTCATTAAGTCTACAGGTGAAGAGGAAGCTTAGTATAATTAATAAAGGGTTAGTGCCTGCAAAATATTTATATGTTAGATAAGTATCTTGTTAAGCAGGAACGTGTGGAACAGAGATGTATCCTATAGTTATGGCGTGAAAAGACGGCACAGAAGGACTACCTACCTGCAAATATGCAGAGTATAAATTTATCTCTTGTAGGTGATTGTGTCATCTTGGACAGTCAACGGCGCTTTATCGGGCTAGCGTGTGCCTTCGCAAGGATTGCCAAATTGGGTATACACGCACGGATACATGAATGAACAATCTAAACCGCAAAAGTAAATAGAAACATTTTTATGGGGAAGTTAATCGCAAAGTCTCCTCAAATTAGAGTTCGTAGCGAAAGAAACGGAGATAGCAATGTTTCTAGGTAGTACATCCGTCATTGGCGCGGTTGTAGCACCAACTCTTCTCCAATCACGTATGCAGCTCTAGGGGGCAAAAACTTGCTTGAAAACGGGGAGTGCCATATATTAGATGCCAAATTCCCACACTCTTGGACAGATTCCTCATAATAACTCTGATTCTTCAATTACCTGAGCATTGCATCATGTCTTCCAAAACATTGACTGAACTAGCAGAGTCCCTGCTGGCCAAAGCAAAGGAACTCGAATCGCACGAGTCAACCGGAAGATTCCCAGCAAACGGAAGACATGCTTTGACAAACCTCACTGCAGAGGGGGCGGAATGTCGCTTTGATCTTCTCGACAACCTTCAAGAGTTGCAACGAACTGTTCTCGGCCCCCATGAATATTTTGTCGAGCTCGCATTTTCTGTAAGTATCTTTCAAAAGATGGAAGTTATACTGTAGCTGAATGTCAATAGAGCAACACACTGCTAGGTCTGCAATCCCTCTACCGTTATAATCTTCCAGTTCTTGTGCCCGAAGAAGGCACAATTTCCTTCACGGAACTCGCAAAAGCCGCCGGTCAAGACGAAAACATCATTCGGCGCCTTTTGCGCTTCGTAATGCTCCACGGCGTCTTCAGTGAGCCGATAGAGGGCTACGTTAAGCACACCGAGATGTCACTGTTCCTCCACAAAACCCCTGACGTTCTGGGCATGCTAGGCTTCTTCGACAGCCAAGCAATCCCGGCACTGCGGACGTTGGATGCACTCGAGAAATGGTCTGGCTCCCATGAGCCCACTCACTCGGGCTATAACTTGGCGTATCAAACCTCTGAGTCAAAATTCGTGCACATGGCGAAAAATCCAGAGATCGTCAAGGCTGCCAGTGGTACTTTTCGCTCAACACGCCGCGCCCAAGGCCCGGGCTTCGAGACTCGGAGCTCACTCCTATCCGAGATCGACCAGCCCAACAGTGTGTTTGTAGACATCGGGGGAAACAGGGGCTACATTAGCCGATCGCTAGCGGAGCTGACGACGCACCTCCGGTTCATTGTACAGGATCTACCTGGTACCTTGAAAGATGCAGAGAAAGATATACCTGAGACACTTCGTGGCCGCATCGAGTTCATGGCGCACAGCTTCTTCGAATTGCAGCCTGTCAAAAACGCCGATGTTTATTTCTTCCGTCTAATCATGCACGACTGGCCAGACAAATCATGCGTCCAGATCTTGCGCAATTTGGTCCCGGCATTGAAGAATGGCGCGAGAGTCGTTTTTGTGGAGCATATATTGCCGGAGCGTGGAAGCAATTCGTGTAGGCAAAAGATAACGAGGTAAGAAGATACGCTTTGTCCTCGTTACTCATATATGCAAGCTAACACTATATGTTTACCGAAGGAACACGGACCTGGTCATGCTGGCGAATTTCAACTCCCGTGAGCGCACAGAGAAAGAATGGCAGGCTTTATTTGCGGAAGCGGATACAAGATTTGGAAATTTCAAAACAGAGTCCTGGCCTGGGACATTCTCCCTCATCCAGGTTACATGGGAAGGTTGAACCGATGATGTTTATCATTGGTCAGAATGTAGTCAGGAAACTGATTATCACTGTACCGTCTTGTCTTCTTGTAAGGGTGCAGTTTTCAATATTCAAATAACTTCTCCCCTCTACACATAAATTGCAAGCAGCCACAGCGATGCGAGGCCTTTGTCACAGGAAACCTATTTGTAATATATTAAGACAATATATAGCCTCATCGTGTATCCTGACTCCCTGTTGGCAGTTACTATATAGTAAGAATCAGTAAGTCTTTCCAGCAACCTATGACCAGGCCCGGTATACTACGCGACGACATTGATACCATGGCTGCACATCATTAACAAAGAGTGTCAAGACCATACTAATATAGAAGTAGCTTTAACAAAATAGCAAAATAGCTTGGTTTATTGCATCCCGACATTATATACTACTTTTCTTCAGTGGATGACTTTACCGCATCTATTTTGTAACAATGCCGTCCAGACGCCCACTTTAAGGTTTCACTTCGTACCCACCAAAAGGCATTCGACACTAGACTCTTCGCAAACTGCTGCCGAATTCACTCGGCTGTCTAAAATCTCTTTCCCGCTTAGCTTCGCTTTACCAGTTTAGTAACATGTGACGTTGGGCCACTCCCTTCCGAAGCAGACCATACACATTTATCTGTCCGATCTTTTCTGAACGCAGAAACAAGCATCACATGGCTACGTTCATTTAACGAACTACCACAATCTCTCTTTGTATGGGCTATTTATTTGGTAATATTGATATAGCCCATGGGATCATGTATCAAGACACTGGTTAAATATAAATCTTTACGACTCTGTTAAACACTGAGACTCTTATCCTTCTTAAGTGAAGGCTATCGTCTTCTTTCTAGGATGTTCTTTATCATCAACTTGGAAGTTCGTAACCTAGCAGCCACTGGTAAAAGGATGTAGCATTAAATCCGGTCGATAGTCAAACGTTGCCTCACGAACGTGAGTAATGCCACTTTCTCCCCCTTTTAATTTCCGTACTCTTTGGACAATCGTCCCTGCGCCAGATATGCTGAGTGTCCTGCGTGCCGTCCTTTCGAGAGCTGTGCCACTTTTGTTGCTTGCGAATGTGCCATAGCTGGTGCTCCTATTGTGCTATACAAATCCTAAAGCTCCTAGACCTGTTGAGGCCAGAACACTTACAGGATTCCACTCCATGATACACAGTGCCAGGACGATATTGACCTGGCCGATGGGCACTAACATCCAGCGACAGGCCGCTATCCCGTCCCGCGAAACGCAACTCCTTCCTTAATCATGCTTGCGCAGTCACTCACCCTGTAGCAACAATACCGTACCCCGCTCAAATAAGCCTGAAGTTCTGGATCACTGCGGCAGACACTATCAACGGTTTGTGGCAGATAACTCTCTTAGTAACGCACCTCTCAGAAACGGCCTATAGGCACTTCGGGACCTACGAATGACGGGTTTAATAGAACTTTAAGTTCGCTGAGTTCTTATGGCGGAATAAAAGCCAGTGCTTTGATGCCATCGTTCCCGGTCGAGCCAGAAAATGAAACAGTAGTAGGGAAATAGCAGCCGGAAACATGGGTAAAACATGGGGAGATTAAACAGCCTACTACCGATAGTAACATGGAATGGGTGTTGTATTAGATTTCAGAAACCGTACTTGTTATTACTGTTTTCACGTGATGGAGTTCACCGCCAGTTACAAGGAGTGATAGTGAACTACACTTTTGCTGGTAAACTTCATATGATGAGGCATCAACTCAGGTCGTATTTTTATAGACCGTCGTTACAAATGGATGCATCTAGCTGAACCCTTTGGTCAACTTCTCATCATAGAAAACTTTTGACTGGTGTTGCGGGTTCCCAATCGAAGACAGGGCCTGGATGTTCCATTCTCTTCAGCAATATATTTATAATAACTGTGGATATATACTGTCGAGCCGCTTGCCGGGAGGAAGGTTGCTTTCATTGCAGTTAGGGGCGGTGGCCTTAGATCATCACTATTGGTCAACACCAGGCGGCTTCGGAGTACGACGTGCATGTAGCCTGCTTACTCACTTTCCACTTGCCCGTCTTGCTCTTGGCGTATCCCTTGCATTCGTTTCCAATCCGTAAGAGATTCGGTCCTCTGATCGTAAGGAGAGGCGAGAGCTGCTATATTTGGGTGTAGATGATGGGAGGTATTGTACGACACTCTCATTCCGAAAGCGCCTGGTCAGCGTTGGTTTCTTAATTGGGCTGAAGTCTAGCTTAGCAAAAAGTCCCTTTCCAGTTTCTGCCCAGAACACTTCCGACGGTGATGCAATGAAAGGAATTCTGAACACAAATAACAGTGCCCACATGAAGTGGATACTATATACCGTCTCTAGACTTATAGGCTATTCGTTATACACCCTTCCGATCGTTATAAAGAGCATTTAACAAAACCTATATCGCGAAATATTCAATTAAAAAGGGAAAAGCCAGATATGAGAGAACAGAAGTACTCGAAACTCCAATTCATCCCATATTCGTACGTAACACAACACAACGTAACACACCTAAGCATTGTGTGTGCAAAGCCCAAACGCGGTATCGTTTTTAGACTCGAAATGTTACTCACAATCTTGTCTCGGGTCCATACGTTCTATAGTCTGTCAGCAGTGGTAGTGCTGACGTTCTACTGGCGAAGAGAAGACACGATTATAGTGTATTCATGATAATGGCAGTATTGGTAACACGTAGATGGAAGACTCCAGGACATCATGCTTGACGGCATTAGGTTTATCTCTCCATAAGACACTGGGTGGCAAAAAGATAAACAATGCAAGGTGTCGCTTCTCCCAAAATCGCTATGGTCTGTTTGTCTAGAGGCTTCAGAAGAAGAGTTTTTAAGGGAGTAATGAAAAGAATTTGGAAAATTGGCTTCCAGTTTGTGTAGGTAGGGAGATATTAGCATGCACCGTCGTTGCGGTGTATCGAAGATGGGTGGAAAGAACATCAACTAGCTAGAAGGCAACCCTGTGAAACGCAAAATAATGACGTAGGTCATGTTTGGCAGATATTTATTAAAAGGGTACCACTGAAGATAACTTATTGGCAATTGTTCTTCCATCACCAACTCACCTCAAAATCTGGTGAATCCCTGGCCGGAACACACACAAACTGACACTGCGGTTCCGGAAATCATCACATACAACCTCACCAATACGCCCAAAGCTTGCATACAGCAATTGAGCACCGGAGACGGATCTTAAGTCCGAAGAACAGTACCTACATAGGTATCCGAAGCACAGCCATTCTCCAGCACAGCCATGTATCAACACCCGCCACACCGGAGAAGCAGTGGCGCCGCCGTCAGAGCATCAACGCCGGGGCGCCACAGGCCAATCGGGGCGCGGAGCGCGGAGAGGTGGAGCAGCAAAAAACGCGCTACGGGGAGTAGGGCCAAGGCCTAGGCAGAGTAGCGTCGGAGGCAGCAGTGGCACGACCGCCGTTAAGCAACCGCGATCTCGGCGGCAGCAGGAGCAGGAGACGGACTCCAGCGCCGACGACGGGAGCGAGCGAGCCTCGTCCCATGGTCACTAGGCAGCAGGGTACGTACTAGTACTGTAGCCGACGTTGGACAACAACGACGACGAGAACGGCGACGAGGACGGAGACGGCGGCGCGCAGCAGCTGACGGCATTGACGGCATGCGGCAGGGCTGGGCAGAGTGAGGCAGTGAGACGAGCTCGAGAGAGCAGCTACCTAGTTGCGTGTGCGGTGCGGAGGCGGAGCGGCTCGCCTGGCAAGCAAGGCAAGCCAAAATAAGCTTTTGGCACGAGTGTCGGAGTGACAAAGACGCGGCCGCGGAGGCGGGCTCCAGCGCCGCCGTTGTTGAGCACACCCTGCGACCATCCACGGACCGCACGCGCCACGTGGGGATGGATGGACCCAAGCATCCAGAAGAGACCGCGACCATGGCGCCAGTCTAGTCTGTCTCGCAGGCTCGGAATTGCGTGTTTGGCGCCGTCTCAGGGGCGCCTTATATATATATATAAACATACAAACATATAAGTAACGATTCGAGGAGACGGAACCTGCTTTGCTGAGTGCTGTTGTTTGCCCTTTCTCCTCCTATATCCGAACTTACTCCAACCATCTGGACCCCGCCGCCGTCGCCGCTGTTGCCGCTCATTCCGGCTCCCCGAAACTGTGTGCGGATATCGAAAGACGGCCATCCTCGTCATAGCCAGGAGACGCGCGAGCGGTCATGGACCGCGTTGCCTGACGACAATCCCTTATAATGTCTGGTCCAGACGCCTGCGTCCGAGACACGCAGAACAGCCCTCCTGCTAGCCGACAGTCCTCCCCCGAGATACTTGCCATAAACGCGCCTTCAGCCGTGAGGCAAACGCGCGAGAAATTACAGGGCCCGGGCACGCCACGCCAGGAGACACCCCCTATGGGAGAGGTGCCTGCGCACGACGAACTCTCCGCCTCCTCCTCCGCCTTGAGCCAGATGTGGTGCCGTCGGCTGAAGTGTCTCTTGAATCGAGCCAAGGAGGAGCTGAACCAGGAGTCAAACAGGCAACTGAGAGAAGGAGAGACAGAAGAAGACAGGTTCAAGGTCGTGGTGGAGACGCTGCACAACATCGAGAAGATCTCGGGCTTGTTTGTTACCCAGCTGGGCATTGCAGACCCTCTCGATGAAAGCCGGCAGCTGGCTGGCGAGTCTGCATCTAATGCTACGGAAAAGCCGGAGGAGGATCGCCCTGGTTTGCCCTTTGAGAGATTTATGGCCAGGAATCCGACCAACGACACGAGCCCTGAAGACGGGCATCTCTAACACCACGGGGAGCTGGTGGAAAAGGAGGTGAGCGGGTGCAAACGAAGCATCGTCATAAAACACATGACGGGTTTGACGAAGGCCGAAGCAGAAAGGAATCATAAGATTTGTTTGCCTGTCTCTGAGTCGAGGCTAAGGAAACGAGTATCGAGTCTGCTATTTCAGGGCAACTCACCGAGCCGTCGAAAAGCTATGACCTCTCGAGCGTAATGGGCAATGAATTGGAGGCGTTGTTCGGCAGATGGGGAAATCGCTCAGGTTGGCACTTGAGGCCGTGGCGCGCGCGATACACAAAAGGAGTTGAGGGGTGAAAAGGACGTACAACTTGCTTTCGAATAGTATACCCTACACTGTAATGATATTTCAGTCCCGCGGTTCTGAACTGGTTTCGATATGGATCTCTTTTTTATATCTTTTTAATATTGCGGTGATTTCGGGTATTCGATCACTTCCGCATTATCCCATGACTGCGCCAACCAATGCAACCGTAAGACTCCGTATATACAGCGAATATGATACAGGGCAACCACCCAGACACACTCTCTTAGAAACCCGGGGGGTTGACACGTTGCGACACCCTCGTCCACTTGGGAACCTCTGCAAAGCTCGACGTTAGCAATCGATTCGCCCACGGCCACGAATACCCCGCCGGCCAAAAACCGCGCGGAGAAGGCGAAACCTACTGTGAATGCCCTTCCTGTACTTCTTCTCGTACCGGTCGTACACGGTGTACTTGTCGCGAGGCACCATCTCAGACTCGGTGGGCATCTCAGCCTTCCAGTGGTCGAGCTTGTGGGTCGTTACGCCCTCCTTCGCGAGGGCCTTGTCCAGGGTAGCAACGACGTTGTCGATGCGCTGGAGGCGGGAGCGCTGGCGCAGCTTCTGGTGGCGAGACAAGCGCCATGGGATTTTCCTAGCGGAGCGTCAGACGCGGCCCCGACGAAGACGACGGACGGGCAAGCGAAGCGGCGCGCGCAACGGCAGCAGCTCACCAGAGAAGACCGCCAGAGAGCGGGTTTGTGGGACGGAACGCGCCAAACATGGTCGGAGGGCTTGCGGGTGCGGGGGCGTGGTGCAATGGGGCCGGCCGCGATGATGTCTGGCTGCTGTGCAAGCGCTGCTGGGTGTTTCTGAAACCCGCGCTCACCGCCTTGGGCAGATCTCCCGGCGTGGTTGACGCCCTGCCGCCGCGGAGCTCCATTCATTCCACTACCCGTCTGTCTGTCGGTCTTGTCGCATACGGTCTTGTCGCATACATACCGTAGCGCGCGTCTTGGTCCCTACCCCCCACTGGCTTCGATATGTCGTACTACTTTGCGATTGTGGGCACGCGGGACAACCCCCTCTTCGAGCATGAGTTCGGCACCTCCAAGGCCGGCGGTGACGGCATGGCGCGGTTCAGGGACGACGCCCGGCATATGAACCAGTTCATTGTGCACAGCAGCCTGGACATAGTGGAGGAGGTGCAGTGGGGGACGGGCCAGATGTACGGCGTAGCAGTCATAATCCGTGTTCATAATGCTTTGAGGCTAACGTTCCCCCGCCCAGGTACCTCAAGCACATTGACCGCTTCCACAACAATTTCATCTCCTGCTTCCTCACCGCCGGCAACATCAAGTTCCTCCTCCTGACGTCCCCCCACCCGGATCACTCGCGCATGTCCACCGCGTCCATGTCCTCGCTCCGCAACTCGGCCTATCCCTCGGCTAGCACGTATAACCCCAACGCGCCGGCGGCCGAGGAGGCCATCAAGAACTTCTTCATGGACGTGTACGATAGCTGGCTCAAGACCATCATGAACCCGTTCTACAGCCTGAACCAGCCCGTCAAGAGCCCCGTCTTCAGGGCCAGGGTGGCCGCAGCGGCGAAGAAGTACTTGTGAGAGGCGACGGAGACTGCATGGCTTGATGGGAGCCAGATATGGGTTAGTTATGAGAGGGGTTCGAGGATGTGCTGTAAGCAAATACCATCTTGCGGAAGCACGGAACTTGCATGGCCATGCCGGCAGCGAGCACAGCTGTGACGGAGCAATGAGCTGTCGCACCAAACAGCTATTATATCCAAATTATAGCAGCGAGCAGCTGCTGTACCCAGCAATCAGGAAGCCGTGGGGTGTTCTTTATGCACGCTCGGCAAGACTGGACATGAACCACATACCCAACAGGAGCAAGACGTACAGTATACGGAGACGAGAGTAGCAGCAGCAGCAGCAACAGCACGACGAAGCATGCGTAATAGAGGCAAGCAATGCGGAAATGACCACACAAATCCACCCAGTTCATTCAATGGGAATTCCACTGAATACACCCATCAAAGGCATGACCTCTCGCCAATGTGATGTGAGTTTCATCAATGCAACAGCTTCCTCACAGCGCGTCACATCAGACAGCTCCTCGCGACATATAAAGCCAATACATCAACCAACACACGATTCTTCATTTCGATTTTCTCCTCTTCAGCCGGGAGCTCATCCGCCGGTCCCGCCCCGGAGTCTGTCTGTAGATACACGCAAAAGCCGACCCCTTACGCCAGAAATATATTGACACCCGTCCATCCATCCATCCACCCATCAGCATTCGTCCCGAAAGAAGCGTCGGCCCAATGCCCACGACTACCAAGCAGCCGTCTAGTCGTGGCCGCGCTGGCGGTGCAGACGCAGCGTCTTGTCCTGGAGGGCAGGCCTGATGAACGAGTAGACGCCGAAGACGAGCCCGCAGCTAATAACCACGACTACAAGCAGAATCAGAATCAGCATCAGCATCCGCATCCGCATCGGCGTCCGCAGCAGCAAACCCAGCACTCAAATCCCCAAAAAAACAAACCCCCAGCAACAACCACCAAGAAAGAAGATAGGTAAAGCAGAACAGGGTAAGAAGCAAGGTGAAGCAGGTCAAAACAAAGCAAATCCAAGCTTACCCAACGGGTAAATCTCCACCGGAATGGCCTTGAGCCCGCTGCGCAGGCGCTGCGAAACAGTGTGCCCGCTCTGCTCCTCCTTGGGCAGCGGGCGCATCGTCCGCGGCGAAGCGTGGAGAGCGCGAGCGCGCGCGCCGGCGACGAGGCGAGAGGTGCTTGGCGCGGCGGCGGGGCGCGCGCGCATGACGGAGCTGACGGCGCGCGAGGAGAACATGGTGGTTGGCTGCTTGGTGGAGCTGGAGCTGGAGCTGGAGCTGTAGCTGTGGCTGGGGGTGTTGTTGGAGCGGGTGGGTGTGCGTGGATGTGGATGTTGATGGAGAGCAAGTGGGAAGGACGTATGAGGTTGGGTGTAAGGTAGTTACGTGTGTGTGGAGTGAGTGAGTGAGTAGGTAAGAGAGGGAGGGATTGAAGCGAGGAGCAGGTGCGTGGGTGCGCGGATGGCCGGACCTGTTGCCGTGTGTGGGGGTAAGGGCGCGGCGATGGACACTGGAAGAGGGAATCCGATGCGGCGCAACAGCAGCGATGACGAGCAGACTGGCTGGCTGGGAGAGGACCAAGGGAGCTTGCTTGCTTGCTTGATTGATTGATTACCTAGTTAGTTACTGGTTACGGGGAGCTTGCTGCTTGCCAGCTTGCCATCTTGCTTGCTGCTGACGTCTTGGCTCGTGAGCGAGACTGAGGAGCTGGCCCGGAGTGCAGAGTGCGGAGAAAGACACCCACCCCCCAACCAGCCAACCAGCCAACCACCAAACGCGCATTATCCCAGCCAAGCACGCACAAGCAAGGGCAACAGCACCCGGCCCCCTCTTTCCTCTCCCCTCCTCCCTCTCATCTCACAAACCCCAAACACCAACCCCCAAAACCGCCAACCCAACAACAACAGCGCAGGCACGCAAAGATCACCTACCTAGCGAGGGTCGGTGAAGGAATGGGTGATGCGACAATCACACCACCCGCGGAGCCGCAGTTGCCCGTTTGGGGCGCCGGTTGCGTGATTGGCTGGCTGGCCCGTTTTGGGGGCGCGGGTGGGTGCGCGCGGGTAGGGCCAAGGGGCCAAGTGCAGGGGCGTGCGTGCGGACTGCGGGTGCGGGGGTTGGCGTGGGTGGGCTGGGCTGCACGTGAGGGGTTGGTTGATGTAATCCGTACACACAGTAAATTACGCATTGTATGGTTGGTTGGTATTGGTGTAGTTGTGTCGTGCGTGGGAGTGTGTGATGGAGATGGGAGGGGGAAGGGAATGCGTCTGGGGGTTGGGGGAGTTGGGCTGGTGGGTTTGTTGTTGTTGTTTCGTTGCTGTTGGAGCGTTTTTGGGCTGCGGATGGTGCCGGTCGGTGCGGGGAGAAACGTGCGCCAGGGCAAGACGGCATCGATTCCTGACCACGAGCACCGGCTCCATGGCGCCTCGAATAGAACGCGGAGAAGAAGGAGAAGGAGAAGGAGAAGAAGAAGAAGAAGGAGAAGGAGAAGAAGAAGAAGAACGAAGCCGCCGCGTGCAGGCAACTCGAATCGCGACTAACTCTCTGCGGCCTACCACGTAGTTACTCTTACATACACCCAGCCCAGCCCCACGCACCCTCACGCATCGCTCATAAACGCCTGCAAAAACGCGCTCCTCGCAATCCAGCTCCTCAGCTTCTTACCAAACACCCACAACGGCAGCGTCAGCGCACAAACGGCCAAAAACAGGGCCCCCAAGACCACGAAGACGCGCAGCGCGCCCTCGCGCGCTAACCACGCATTGATGAAAAACGTCACGCCAGCGGTAAGGAAGTTGCGGGCGTTGATAGCGACAAACGCCTCTTCCGCCAGCCTAGGATGCGAGTCCACGACGTAGCCGAACACGCACACGCCCGCGAACCCCAGCGCCATGTTCGCCAGGCCGTACGCGATGACGGGGCCGGTCCAGTGCGTCTCGAAGTGCACCGCGGCGCCGAAGCCGAAGAAGCCCGCCGCACCCAGCGGGACGACGAGGGTCATGAGGGCGAGGCGGAACTCGGGCTCGTAGATGCCGTGGTTGCGGCGCGCGAGGAACAGGCAGAGCCGGTCGTTGAGCGGGCCGGCGACGATTTCCGCGGCGATAGTGAGGATGAAGGGGGATAGACCTGTGAGGCCCGCTTGCGAGACGCTGAAGTTGTACGGTGGTGCGGTGAAGAGCACCCCGTTCACCACCGAGAAGACGACGATCCAGGTTAGCGTCGTGCCGTAGATGAGGAAGGCCCACAGGATGGACGGGTAGAAGACGATCATGACGAAGGGCCGCGCCATGATTTTCCAGAGCGGCGCCGACGAGTAGCGCTGTCCGGTGAAGGGACGCAGCGTGCGCCAGTAGGGCGTCTTTGGCTCCGGGGGGAGGGGGAGGGCGGTGGGCGGCTTTTCGTCGTGCTCGATACGCTCGACATGCTCAGCAGTGCGGCGTTTCTCGGTGGCGGCGGCGGCTTCTTCATCACTTCCGCCTGCACTGCTGGCGGTCGACGGGTTCCGCGCCAGCGTCGGCGGCGGCGCCCGGACATACGACGTCTCAGGGACGAAGAAGAAGATGGCGATCAGCGAGGCGCCGAACATGATGGCGCAGACGCCAAAGGTCCAGTGGTAGCCCAGGTCTTCGATCAGGTAGCCGCTGATGAAGGAGGCGCCTGTGATGCCGCAGAGCAGGAACAGCGTCCACACGGCGATACGGGTTGCGCGCTGGTGCACGAAATAGATGTCGGCGATGGTGGACTGCACCAGCACCTCGTAGGGCGCCATACCTAGCCACGCATCAGCAAGGCCAGCACACACACACCACACCACACCTACGGCTGGGCACGGCTCTCAAGCGGGCGGGCGCTCACTCACCAACACCGCCAAGGATCCTACTCCCAAGAAACGAGCCATAGCTATCTGCCAGCGCGCCCCACACATTCACAGCAAAGAGCAAGCAGATAGCGACGAGGTAGACAGGCCGCTTGCCATACATCTTGGCGAGCGGATTAGTGAGGAAGACGCACGCGCCCAGCGTCAGCACCATCCACGCCGTGCTGTGCGACAGCGTGTCGACAGAGATGCCCATATCGGCGGCGATGGGCACGAAGCCGGGGCCGAGCATCGGGCCGTAGGCCCCTGCCACCGCGGCCGAGAAGCCCACGATGAGGAGGACGAGGTCTTTTTTCCAGAGGGGCCACTGCGTGCGTGCGTTGGGTTAGCGGTGGTGTTGTGCGGAGAGGGAGGAGAAGGGGCAGGTCATGTGGCCGTACATACGTTCAAGGGGTCGTTGGCCGAGTCCGACGGCTGCGGCACGAGCAGCACGTGCGCGTACTTCCCGGTGCCGTGCTTGAGGCGCGAGGTCGGGACGTCGTGGAGTTCGGGGGGCAGGTCCGCTTGGTCGGACATGCATGCTGGCAGCGGAGGCGATCAGTGCGTGGTCGACGAGGTTGACAACAACAACATCGAGAAAACAGAAGAAGAAAGGAAGAAAAAGAAGAGGAAGAGGAGGACGCGGCCATCTTTGCTTCCACGCCCCCGCCCAAACCGACGTACATACCCGTGCCCGGCACCACCTCCAGCCGCTTGCAGTCCAGAATCCCAAACGGCATCTTCACGCCGTGGTGCGTAGTCTGTACAGACGTCGAAGGCGTAGATGTCGAAGACGTCAAAGAAGCAGAGGAAGAAGCAAAAGAAGCAGAGGCAAGAAGGCGGCGTCTATATCTATATCGACCAGAAGACAACCACCCAATCCAGACAGACAGACAGACAAACAACACGCACGACCGACACGCAGCAGCTATATCTATATCTATATCTACCTCCCCTCTGCCTCGTCCCCATGTCCCCATGTCACACCCACCCACACGCACACGCACACACGTCGGCAGTTGCGCGCCCAGCGCAGCCGTCCCAGCGGCATAACGCACGCACGCACGCACGCACGCACGCAAGCTCGGCTCGCTCGCTCGGCGCCCGCAGTGGGGAATGCGGGGTGCGGGGTGCGGGGCGTGGCCGGGGTGTGTGTGATCGGCGCGCTGGGGCGGCGTCACTGTACGTCGGGGCTGTACTCTACGTCGGGGCCGTGGCCGTTTTCCCGGCTGTACAGAGTACACCTCGTGTGCGTGTGTGTGGGCGTGGCGACTGCGGCTGGGAAGCGTGTGCGGGCTTGGTGGCGAGGTGGGGGGTTACTAGGTAGGTGGGTGGGATGGGGGGATGCAACAGCCGATATGTGCAGTTGCTAAGGTAGGTATTGAGTTTTCCTGCTTACGGACACAGGGAGAGTATCGCGAGCAGCTGCGTGCTATACCTAGCTGCCTGCCATGACAGCGGCCCCTGAAAACAGCATACAGTACCTACCTAACGCACTAAAGGACCGACCTCTTCACCTCCACCTCATCCTCGCGCCTTAACTGCTCAACCGTCTCCCCATAAACAGCATACGCATGGGCCTCGGCATCATGGCCCAGCAGCCACTCCTCGCGAGGCAGCTTGACAGCATCCGGATCCCGCCTCACTTGCTCCACATCCGCCTTGTGCCACCGATCGCGCGTGGACTCGCCCGTCTTCTGCGCCCTGCGCACGCGCTCGTACCGGATGCGCTCGTAGGCGCGCAGCGCCTCTGGGACCCCGTTTCTAGCCCTAGTCCCCTCCGCTGCACCGGTCCCTGCGGTCCCTGCGGTCCCGGCAAGCTCAAGACACACGGCCAGCGTGGCGCCGTCTTCCATCGCCTGGCTCGCGCCCTGGATCGACGTGGGCAGGAACGGGTGCGCCGCGTCGCCGAGCAGCGCGATGCGGCGGCCGGGCGAGACCCACGTTGGAAGCGGGTCGCGGTAGACGAGCTTCCAGTCGACGAGGCGGGCGGGCGGCGTTAGCCGCACGATGGCCCGCACCACCGGGTCCCAGTTTGCGAGCACGGCGAGGGCTTCGTCGATGCTGCCGGGCGCGGACCAGCTTTCTTTGACGTCGGTGGTGTCCTGGGGAGTGTTAGGTGTTGGGTGTTGGGTGTTGGTTGGGTGCAGTGGTGAGGGAGGGAGGGAGGGACGTACCTTGTGCGTGCACACCCAGCTAAAGTCCTTCCCGCCCTTGAGCGACGCGGCGATAAAATGCACGTCGGGCCCGATCCAGGCCTCATGCCTATCGCCATCGACGACCAAATGCCTCGTCAGGGGCTCCTTCGCCAGCTCCTCGGCCGAGAACCACGCGCGCCAAATCGCGTAGCCGGACGACTTGGGGCGGTCCTCGTAGCCCAGCACGGCGGTCCGCGCCGTCGAGCGCACGCCATCAGCCGCGAGCACGACATCAGCGGTGACTTTCTCTCCGCTGCCAGCAAGGACGACGCCCGCGCCGTCCGCGCTCTCGAAATAGCGTTCGACGCGGCAGCCGAGCCGGACGTCGACGCCCACACGCCGCGCGTGCCGCCACAGCACCTCGTGGATCTCGGCGCGGTGCCCGTTGAACTTCTCGCCGTCGCCCTTTGCAAACGCCGCGTCGCTGTCGGCCCACTCCTGGTGCACAAGCAGCTCGCCGTCGGCGCTGCGCACCGCCATGCCGCTGCTGCGGTGGCAGAGCGGCGCGAGTTCGCGGGCGACGCGCCCGCCGTCCCAGCGCTGGATTATGCGGCCGGCGTTGTGGCCCAGGCTGATGATGTCGCCGAGGGGCTTGAGTGCGGGTGCCGCTTCGAGGAGAATGACGCGCTGCGCGTGCCGCGTGCATTCGATTGCGGCGGTGAGGCCGGCGAAGCCGGCGCCTATTATTAGGACGGTGATGGGGGGTTGGGGCATTGTAAGGTGGGTTTGTGAGCTGTGGGATGGTGTGGTTTGGTTTGGTTTGCGGTGTTGCTCCTGCTGCTGTTGTCGTCCCTTTTGATGCCCGCACTGCCGAAGCAAAAGTGCCGGCATAACGTGGCTGCGGGCAAGCACCACCGGCAGATGGGCTTATTCGCGAGATGCTGAGAGGGGAGGGGGCGTCGGCAGTTGAGAGACGTCGGCACTTTGCAAGCAGCTGTGACGCGTCCTAGACCCTGCGATTTTGGCCCCGATACGGGCCTGGGTGCGCGGTCCCGCTTCAGTGTAGGCAGGCACCTCGGCAAGCCCGTTTGGAGTTCATCGGTCTGGGGTTTGGTGGAGGTGGAGACGCTGCCCCGCACGGAGGGTAGATGCGCGGGTGGGGTATGCATGTCCGCTGCGGGCTGGGGTTGTGCTATCGGCCATGCGGTGCGCGAGCAGCTTCCCCGAAGGTAGGTGGTTGGCAAGCTAGGTAGGTCTCTCTCTCTCTCTCTTTCTCTCAGTCTTTCTTGCTCTTCTCTTCCTTTTCTGTTTTCATTTCCTTTCTTCCCTCCCTCCCTCCCACCACCACCAGCATGGCCTTAACCACGCTTCTCCCTTCCATCACGCCCTTCACCCTCTCCCTCATCATCCTAACCCCCCTCCTGCTCCTCCTCCTCCACGACCTCAAAACATGGTACCTTCTCCCCCGGGGCCCCACGCCCCTCCCCTTCATCGGGAACAAGCACCAGCTGTCGCCCACGCGCCCCTGGGCCCAACTCGCCGCCTGGGCGCGCCGCTACGGCCCCATCTACACAATCTGGACAGGCCGGCACCCGACGCTGGTGATCAACGACCCGGTCCTCGCGTCCGACCTGCTCGAGCGGCGCAGCGCGACATTCTCCTCCCGCCCCCGCATGGTCGCCATGGGCGAGCTGCTCTGGGCCAACGCGAGCATTCTCGTCCAGCCATACGGGCCCGCCTGGGCCCTGCGCAGAAAGCTGCTGCACCGCGCGCTCGCGCCCCCGGCGCTCGAGTCCTACAAGCCCGTGCAAGAGGCCGAGGCGGCGCGCCTGTGTCGCGCGCTGCTAGACGTCGAGTCCCCACGTGGTTTTGAGCGCCCGCTCGAGCGCTTCACGGCGAGCGTCGTGTTCGCGGCTGCGTATGGTCGGCGCATCGACAGCTTGGAGGCCAAGGTCCTGCGCGACCGCTTCGCGTTCATGCGCTATGCGAGCGGGCTGAACGTGCCGGGCAAGTACGCGGTGGAGGCGTTTCCCTGGCTGAAATACGTGCCGGCCTTTCTCGCGCCCTGGAAAGCCGACATTCAGGCTCACGGCGCCGCCGAAGCAGCCGCCAACCTCGCGCTGCTGGGCGCCGTGGAGGCGGATCTGCGCGCGTATGGCGCCGACGCCGTCGCGCCCTGCCTCGCGAAACAACTCCTGCTCGCCCATGCCGAGAGCCCGATACCGCTCTCCCGCCGCGACATCGCCTTCCTGCCCGCCTCGCTCTTCGGCGCCGGCTCCGACACGACCGCTAGCACGCTGTGCAGCGCGCTCCTCGCGCTAGTTACCCACCCAGCCGCCCAACGCACCTTACACACCGAACTAGCAGCCACGGTCCCCCTCTCCGACACCAGCGGCCGCCTCCCGCGCTTCGCAGACCTGCCCCGTCTCCCGTACCTCCGCGCAGCAGTGCACGAGACGCTGCGCTGGCGGCCCGTGGCCGCGCTGGGCGGGACGCCGCATGCAGCCTCTGCCGGGGAGTGGGTTGGGGCGTGGTATGTGCCGCGGGGGACGACGGTACTGGTGAATTCGTGGGGCGTCAATTTGAACGAGGCGTACTATCCGGACGCGCATGTTTTCCGGCCGGAGCGGTTCCTGGCCGAGACGTTGGAGGCGATGGCGACGAGGGCGGCGGGCCAGATGGACGGCCGAGAGGGCGGAGAGGGCGGAGCGGGCGGAGCGGACGGAGTGGATGCAAAGAGCAAAGCAAGAGAAGGCGAGGAGAAGCTCGGCCGCCCCCACCCCACAACCCTGCGCAGCGGCGGCGCCTCCGCAGGCCACGGCCACTCGTCCTTCGGCTGGGGCCGGCGCGTCTGCCCCGGTGCAGGCTTGGCGCTGAACTCGCTGGCGATTGCGCTGGCGTGCTTGGTGTGGGGGTTTGAGGTCTTGCCTGCTGAGGGGCGCGAGGGGCGCGTAGCGTTAGAGGGCGAAGGCCCCGAGAAGGGCTATGATATCTTTGACTATACGGAGGGGTTTAACATCCGGCCCCGCGAGCTCGAGTGTCGACTCAGGGTTAGGAGTGTGAGGCATAGGGAGGTGATTGAGCGGGAGATGGGGCGCGCGATGGAGGTGTTGGGGGGGTTGGGCGCGTTTGAGTAGGTTACTGTAGGTTAGGTTGGGGTAGAGTCGGTGATGTGATGGATTTTGATATGCAGTGCACACACAGTACGGATCGAATGCCAGCAGTCAGTGATGCGTCATGGTATTTCTGAACAAACAAATCGCTAGAACCTCTATCCGGAGCCGTTGTCGCCCGGCCGTCATACAAAATCAGAAGCGTGCAAGAAGCCGCCCGACTCGCGCCTAGTAGCCCGTAGCGCCGGGGGCCTTCTCGTCCTTGCGCAGGCTGAGCAGAATCTCACGGAAGCGGGCCTTTTCAGTGCCGGAACCACCGCCGCGGGCGCCCTTGCCACTGAGGTCGACGAGCTTAGCGATGCGGTCCCAGCTGGTGCCGCCGGCCGAGGTGTCCTCGCGGTTGGCGAGGAACTCCTCCTCGTCCTTGCGCGTCTGCGCTATGCCCTTCTCCTTCTTGTTGTTGTAGTTCTCGTAGAAGTCGTCGATGGCCTCGTGCGCCGCCTTGACCGTCGCCGCCTTCTTCTCCTCCGACACCTGGTCCCGGTGCTGCAGCGCCATGTCGCGCCGCTCGCGCCACTCCCGGATCACCTCCGGCTCGGGCTCGTCCGCCGGCGCCGCGTACGTCGCCTGCGGCGCGCCGGGCAGGTACGGTGCGCTGCTGCCGGTTATCGTGCCGCCGGGGGCCATGTGCTGCGCGGGCGTCAGTGGATGCTCGTGAGAGCTAAGTTCGTAGGACTGACCTCGTTGGTGGTGTCGATGGCCGGGAAGGAGCTCTCGAAGCCGGAGATCTCGCCGCTGTCGACGGCGGGGAAGTCGCTGGCGTCGCCGCCGCCGCCCAGGAGGTCGTCGTCGCCGGCATCTTCGACCGTGGCGCCCGGCGTCGCGAATTGCTCGGCGTCGTCGCCCAGCAGCGCGCGCTCGCGGCTCAGGAAGTCGTCGCCGGCAGAGTCGCCGACGAGGTCGAAGTTGGCGTCGCCGCGGGCCTCGGTCTGGCCTGTTGAGGGGGACGTGTCAGTGCATTCATTCAATTGCTTGCTGGGGGTTAAGGGTGAGCTCGGGGAGCATTACCGGCGTCGATCTCATCCAGCGAGGGGAATCTGTCGGCCATGGTGGAGCGAGATTATGGGGGATTGTAGGAGAAAGGGAGGAGAGGTGGTGATGGCGGTAGGTAGTGAGAGAGTGGAAGTTTGAACAATTGACGGAGTTTGGGGCAGCTGGTGCAGCAGCTAGGAGAGTGCACGTACGTAGCCCGACACCGATGGTTGTTTGCCTGAAAGATGCCTGATAGATGCCTGAGATTCCAAGGCTTGGCAGCGTCGGCGCCGGAACAACCTTCCCAACTACTTAATGTATGGGAGCTTCCCTTCCACTCTCCGCCTTCACCTACTTCTTCGCCCCGCGCACGCTTTTCCCCCTTCAACGAGCATTGCGCAAGCTGTAGACTTCTCGAGTGATTCCGTGCGTGACAGAGCTTTTGAGCACAGCTCCCTGGCTATCCCGCCATGGCCTACACCGATGACGCCGTCAAGGCCAAGCTCTCGGCCCTCAATGAGACGCAGGAGGGCATCGTCACCGTCGCCCAGTGGATCATGTTCCATAGGTACTACTCTAAGCCCGAACAAATGCTGGCCATCTGGAAACTTACCGTGGCATTGGCAGGCGTCATGCCGAACGGACCAGCCAGCTTTGGCTGCAGCGCTTGAAGGACTCGACTCCCAACAAGCGCCTGAGCTTGATCTATCTGGCCAACGGTACGCCCGTCAATTGCCTGCCCTATCCGCGAAGCAATACTGATGCTGTAGCAGAGGTCGTCCAGCAGTCCAAAGCTCGAAGAAAGACCGAGTTCGTCGTCGCATACTCTACTGTCAGTCCCACCAGCCCCGACCCTCTCCACCTCGATAGACCTAACGCTTCACAGATCATCGTCGAAGCAACCTCCCTAGCGTACAAGGGCGCGACCCACGATGTCCAGCAAAAAATCCGGCGCGTTATTGAAGTCTGGCGACAGCGCGGCATCTTCGAAGTCCCCATACAGGACCAGGTGGAGAAGAGCTTGGATGGTACGGGAGCTTCCTGCCACCCTCCCATCGCAATCTCAAGCTAACATATGGCATAGAGCTCGACAAGAATGGCAGCGCGGGCAAGAAGCCGCGCCTGGGTGGCTCGCTCTTCAGCTCCGGCCCAGCTACGCCTCTCGAACTTCAGCCTCTCGTCCCTCTCGCGACTGCTCTCTCAAAAGCCGATTCAACAACCAAGCCGACCATGGCATCCGCCTATGCTGAGTACGACAAGCTGATCGACCCGGGCATGCCGACCCCGACCCCACCCGTCCACGCCGCACGCCTGTCCGCGGTTCTGAAGTCGCTCGCGTCCGCCGAGGGTGCTGTCGCGGAATCCATCAAGGCGAGGAAAGAATTGATCCAGGGTCTGGAGAAGATGCTCGACGCCAACAAGGTGGCGCTGGCAAACGACCAGAACGCGCACACCGAGCTCGACACCCGCCGCCAGGGCATCGAAGCCAAGAAGCGCGAGGTCGAGGACAACATCATGCGCGGCCTATCGGCGGAGCCCCCGCCCGCGGGCGCGCAGCCCAACCCCCCAGCGACCAATGATCCGCGCCTCTCAGCGGACCCGCGCCGCGCCGGCCGCACCATGAGCGCCGACGGCGAGCCCGCCGCGCCCGACGTCGAGGCCCTGACGCCCCCGCCCGTCGAGTCGCTCACGCCCGTCGGCTCGCCGCGCCCCGTTGCGGCGACGACGACGACCGGCGCCGACACGATGACGGAGCAGCCACCCAGCCACACGGAGCCCCTCCCCGCAAACGTGTTCGACCTCGCGCGCATGGTGCCGCAGGCGCGCAGCCACGAGAACGACGACATCTCGGGCGCGTTTGAAGGCCAGCAGCACGGCCAGGGCGCAGCTAAGCGCCGGAAGGTCGACGGTGAGTTTACGGATTTCACCGACGGCGACCAGTTCGAGGGCATTGATGCCGATGTGGCGGCCATGTTGGGACGTGAGTAGGCGTGGTATCATCCATCGCTGGCGGGCAGACTCGATACGTTGACTTGTGTTTTTTTTAGTGATTGTGGAGCGGCGTTGATGGAGTCACGTCGTTGGTATGCGTTGGTCGGGATGGGTTGGGCATTATTTTGCTCGTATGTGTGCACGCGCGCACGCGCTCGGGTGGCCCAATATCTTAGGTGGGAATGATGTGGACTGGCTGGCAGACAGGCAGGCAGGCAAGCAGGCGGGCGAGCGAGCTCGCCATTACATTACAGGAGAGATTGGAGGGAGGGCGGAGCAATCAGACTGCCCAGGGGTCTACATACGCCACCATCCATCGTACGTATGGTATCCGAAGGACGACGACTGTTAGAGATGGAGAAAACAGCCTCTCGTGCCCTGAATGGCTTGTCTTGGTGCGCGAGTGGTGGAGGGGGGAGGAGGGAGGGGGCGGTGGGGGAGGCGATTGTACACCTATATCTACATACATACCACGGCAGACATGGATATGCACGCACGCACGCATGCACGACGGGGTTGAGGTTAGTGGTAGCAGCAGCAGCAGTAGTAGGGAGACGTGATGGGGAAAGTTACCTTCTAAGTTGTTTGTAGGTTATAAAGTGGAATACTCTTATCAACCTGTGTGCCTTACATGCTAGGGTGTATATGCATTGAGTGGGTCTTTCGGTCAGCTTTATCCACACTAATGTATATATTCTAGTTCATCAAAGCCGCCTCGCGCCGCGCCGCATGCGCCATATCTAAGAACGAGGTTCTGCGGTACTGGGAGATTAAGGAAGCAGGGAGGATGACGCCGCTAGTCCGCCAAGAAGATTGCAGCATAGAGGACAAGTTGTGTCGGTATATACATACAGTACTATGAGGACTGCGCAATATTAAAATGCAGGATTAAGCAATAGCGACGAAGAAGAACAGAGTAGGGTGATAAGCGTCGGCACTGTTGTCTAATAATGGGTTTCAACACTGTCTTGAGTTATTGTATATTGTAAATATTGCTTTTTTATAGCATAAGTGCTTTCGTGCCCTTCGATACTGGAGACGTGATGGAACGGAAAGTTAAGGTATGGGTTGGTTGGTTGGTTGGTTGGTTGTAGGCCAGCTAGCAAGTGGAATACTCACTCTTATCTACGCAAGTGCCTTACATGCTGGGCATGATTAGGTCTTTCGGTCAGCTTTGTCTACCCCATCTCTACACATAGCTCCTTGTGACCGTGCCGTAGAATAGGGGATGACACGCCTGCCGCAACGTGTAGGAGCGAGAATGACGCTGTTATGTTTTTAGACACGAGATGAGATAGGGTGAGGTGAGGTGAGTGCATATACATATATATCCATCCAACTAGGTATTTGATAGACGCCGCCAAACGAGCACAGGGATCCGCTTCGTGGCGTTTTGTCCTTTTAAGCGTGTAGGGCGCGCTGCTGCTTGTGTCTACTTAACGCAGAACGATGTGGTATCTGTGATTGATTGAGTGATTTGCTGATTGAGTGGGTGGTTGGTTTTGTTTGTTGAATACGTATGCCGTGGCTAAGTGAGTGAGCACGTTGACGGGTATGTTATACATTGTACGCGGACGGTAGTCTGTTTGCCTTGTCTTGGTTTGGTTTGGGCTGGGCTGGAGGCGTGTGCTGTGCTGATGCTGATTCTGATGCTGATGCTGGTGCTGATGCTGCTGCCGCACGTGGTGCTTCCTTCGTACATCCCAGCCCAGCTGACAGAAGCATGTGTAGGTGGCTTTTACTTGGCCGTGAAGTCCAGGCGAGGATGTTGTTCTGGAGGGGAGGAGGAACCTTGCCGGGGACGCGATCGAACAATGTTATATGGGGAAGCAGTTGAGCGTAGCGTGTAAGCGTGTTGGGTTTTGTGTTTAGGTTGGAGAGGGAACGAAGACATGCATGGCAGACAGTTCAAGCTTTCTCTCCATAGACACAAGGGACGTCGAGGCAAGTTCGACAAGATGTTCTTTCTTTACATTACCCAGCTTCTCTAGAGCCAGGCCGAACCTGCAACAGCCGCATCGTCAAAGGCCGTTCCTACGTCGTATATAGTACACTGAACAACAATAACACAGGCGGCGCATCACGCGTCGACCTTCTTGGGTATCTTAACCAGCCCCCTCTTCCGGTCGTTATGCGGGTTGCCGTACCTCCAGCCGACACCGCCAGGGCTCTTGCCATCCGTGCCGACCTGGTCGACGCTAAACTCCTCGAACTTGAAGTCCCACCGACGCGCCCTGACCGTGCTGACCCTGGCCGCCTTCTCGGCGCGCTTGCGCTCCGCGCGCTGCAGGGCCTCGGCGCGCTTCTGGTCGCGCTGGCGCTGCTTGTTCACTCGCTCCTCGAAGCTCAATCCCGCAATCATGTCGCGTTCCGCCTCGACCAGGTCGGGGTGCGGAATCCGCTTGTCGGCGGGCAGAAGGTCACGGGCAAAGACCTTGGCCGCGTCTTCGCGCGTAAAGTGCCGCGACTCAGACGTGGGGTAGAAGATTTGCTGCCGGGTAGCAGGGTGGACGGGGAGATCTTGGATGGGTTCGTGATCAAGTTGCCTACCAGACTCTTGCAGCTCCGTCCTGGGCAGCATGGCAAGAACGGCCTTCGAGTAGGGGGTCGCAAGTCCCTTGCCCTGGATATCGTTAGGTCTTTTTCCATTATAAGAACTTTTTGATAAAATGGTAGATGTAGATGTTGATCAGAGAGGCTCGCAAAGCAAATTTTGTAACCATGGGTTTGTATGGGTGTCTTAAAGACTAATCGAATTTTTTGTGTATCATCATAACATGAGGCGAGGAAGACATAAATGGAAGATAGACTTACTTCTTGAACCCACTGCTTCTCAATGGTCTTTAACCTGACGACAGCAGCCACCCTCTCCATCGTAACCATGTACTTTGAGCTGACAATCTGGATAGGTTGCTTTTCCACGGCGATCTCCTCGTAGATCCTCTCTCGCAGTGCCTCGCTCAAGACGTTTTGACTCTTGAAGTTCTGGTTGAGTGGGAAAGGCATGAGGTCCTGTCCCTTTGCAGGTGGCAGCGTATCCATATCGAAATCGGCTTGCGTAGCTTCTTCCTTAGCACTTTCACCCTCCTCTGGCTCCTCGGCCTCTACCGTTCTCGGCTTTTCCCTATCCACTAACCGCTGCAATTGACCGTATCTGTCATATGCGCCAAGGTAGTTGGAGGAACCCGGAAGAGGTTGTCGGAGCTTTGAACCAGGGCCGTTGAGCCACTCGTACATCTGTCTCCGCAGAACGGTCTGTTCCTGGCGACATGATTGTGCAAAACTACGAGCCTGTTGCGAGCTGCATTGCGATCCGATGCGCGAGATGCAATGCGAGAAAGCGGAAGGTGCGGAGGCAGGCAGCCGCGAGGGCATCGTATTAGGTGTGAGGAATTACAATGATAGAAGCTCAATTGTATCACGAAATGAAGAAAATAAAGGGGAATGGAAATGGCAGAGGAGAGCGGAGGGTGGGTGCGGCAGGTGATGGATGAGATAGAAGGTGTGGTGTTCGCCGAGATTTTCTTCAACTTCTCGGATGCGAGCTCTCGGTCACGTGGCCCCATTCGGGCGCTCTCATCCAAATTCACCGGCCGGAACCAAATGCCTCAACACCGACAAGAGCGATCTGCGCCGAGGTTTCAACGGTGCCTCGCGTGCCTCGATCGGCAGGGACGTCTTCCAGTGGCATGTTAGCCTACGCCATGATGCATGTCAGCCGACGATCTGCAGCGCATCATGGACCTTCAGGCACGGCGAGCGTCCAGTGGTAAAGACAGACATCATATTTGAAGGCGGCGCGCTCGGAGTTTATAATGCATCTAGCTACTGCGAAACAAATAAATCACGCCAAGCCGTCGAAGCGAAGGACCATGCAATGACACGTCAAGGAAAAGGCAAAGAAAAGCATTCTCCCAGCCGTGAAAAAACACCAGACATGCTCCTTCAATAAAAGCGCCCCTGATGTCCGAATGTGCGATCCAGTGCCAGAGAAGTCTCCGTCCGAAGGAACCACTCCCCAAGCCCTTGCAAAAGTAGGTAAATCTCTTGTAGAAGAAGTCGCTGAGAGAAAAAGAACAAGGAAAAAAACCATACCATGGCCATGAAACTAGTTCCAGCAAAAATTATGCATCGCTCCACAGGCCCTGCTTTTCCCGCCTAGCACGCACTAGGCCGGCTTTCTGAATCCTCGCTCGGATCGTCGGATGAGATCTAAGCCACATGTAGAAAAAGCGGGAGTCCCTCAGAACACCCGCAACTATGCAACATCGCTGTAGGTTGTAGGCAATGATGAAAAATGCAACAAAGCAAAACGCACGAGGGGGAATCATCGCTGTATGCTCAAAACGAATCCACCTCCGAAGGGACCTGATGACCGAGCTGGGCCATAGAGGAGTATGTCGCGCCGTGACCATGAAACCCATTCTCCCGTGTGAAACTTGTGGGAAAAAAAAAAAAACGAATACAGATGATCAAACACCACGCAATGAGTCGGAAATGACTGGACATGTGTAGTGGAAAGAACTGAAGGAAAACAAACCGGTACGCCGCCCGAATTCCACAAGAAACTCCTCTTGAACCGCGTTAGCATAAGCATGCAGCAACAACCTCAGATCACGGTCGCCTTAGCGACCCATCATGTAGTCAGAGTAAGCGGCGTTCATGCCACCTCCAAACCCGCTTGCAGCGCCGCCTGTGCCCATGCCTCCGGCGAGAGGCTGCGCCCTCATCGGCGGAACACCAAACGGGCCGTTGGAGAACATGCCAAAGCTGGAGCTGCCGTTCATGTTGACTGGCGAAGTCAATCCAGGCGGAGTGAGGCCGGGAGGCGGTCCTGTGGCCGTAGAAAAAGCAGGAGACATTCCAAGGCCGCTGCCCATACCCGGCATGGCAGATTGGGGCGTCATGGGCGTAGCTGGCATCGTGTTCTGTTGACCGGTCCGGACTCCCAACGGGTTCTTGGAGAAGCTTAGTCTGATACCGCCCTTCACACTGTTATGCAGAGGGTGACCATAGAGGTCGTTCAACGCCTTCGTTGCGAACGAAACATCTTCGAATTCGACAAAACACATCGGACCGTTTTGCTTCGTCCGAAAGCACAGCCTTTTGTATCCACGCTGCTTGGAAAACATGGCTTTGAGTTCATCTTCAGACGTATCAATTGGCAGATTGCCAACGTAGAGGGTGTTGCAGGGCGGGTTTTGGTCTGCTGGGTTCACGGGTGGATAGTTGTGTCTCTGATAATGCTGAGGGGTCATCTGGTAGTTGGTGTTGGGACCCATGCTCATCGACGAGGTAATGCTATGAGGCGACATTGCCGTGATGGCGGGGCCAGGTGATTGCACGGGAGCAAGCGATCGAGGAGACGTGAAAGCGGACATCGGCGGCGACGTCAGGCCGGTCGAGGGGCTCGTCGTATTGAGGGAGAGGCTGCCAAAACGCGTGACGGGTATCTGCGGGTTGGTCGTTCGACGGGCCATGTTCACCGGCGCATTCTGGCCGTTCCTAGCGTACGCAACCGGGTCCTTGATCAATTCACTGGTCTCATCGTCGCCGGCATCCTCGTTGATCAGTTGCTTGCTTGACCGCTCTTTGAAGGCTGTGCCCATGGGGGATTTGGGGCCAAAGACGCCACCGTCCGGCACCGGAAACTCCCCTTTGCCGAGGGTTGAGGCTCCGTTGGGTGGAGACATCTTGTCCATAGACTGAAACGTGCCGTTGAAGCGAGAGGATTGGCGACCGTTGGAGGACACGCCCGAGGAAGTCGAAGACGTCTGTCGGGTTGCTGTGCCGTCTACGGTATTGCGCCGGGCTCCGATGGCGCCAGCGACAGGGTTGCAGGGCATTAGTTCCACGATCATCTTGGCATCATTTGCAGCGTTAGCCTTGCCGTTTAGCATATCCCTCGCTTCCTGAGCGCCCGCCACGGATTTGAATCGTGCAATTGCCGAGACAAAGCCCTCGTCTTCGGAAAAGGGCCCCTTGATGATTTCAGTGTTGATGAGGTCCTTTGCGAAAAGGAGCATACTGCGGAGAGATTCGTCGTTTGTGTTGCGTGGCAGCCTACGCATGATGATGGTCGGGATGTACCTCGGTTCTGGGTTGCTGATGGTTGGTTCCAGCTCGCTGAAAGACAGCAAGGAAGAATTGCTCGTTTCCATGGCCTTTCGCTCGCCAATCGGAGACAAAATGTAGCTGTGTGACAGAGACGCACCGGTCGAGAAGACGTCTGCCGTCATCGCTTGCGAGTAGGGGAGTTTTGGTGGAGAGGAGGACGTCGAGCTGAAAGAGCCGTGCAGGAATGGGCTGTTTGAGAGATTGGAAGGACTCGTGCTGCTCGAACTGGGGCCTGCGGTCATGTCGCTCTTTGTGCTCCGTTGGCTGCGAGGCGCGACGCGGAAACAAAGACGGAGCTCGCGCCTAGTGTCGAGGTGCGGCAACAAAGCGAGGAGGGGGACGGGGGCTTCACGGCGTGGCGATGGCTGTCAAGGCTGGCGGAGAATGTAACGGCGGATCGAGATCGGCGCAGACGATGGAGGCAAGGCGGACGGGGCAGCGTTGGACATGCAAGACACGAAGGGGCTCTGATGACGTCGCGAGGGCCGATGTCGCGTTGGTGGTGGTGGTGGTGATGGTGGAAGGCGGCGATGGCGACGACGATGGGGCGAAGCGAAGCGACCCCTCGCAGCGATTGTCGAGGGAAGGTGGTGGGTGGTGGGTGGTGGTGGTGGTTGCGGGTGCGGGTGCGGGTGCGCGGGTGCGGAGGGGAGAGAGGGAGCGAGGTGCGGATGCGCGAGAGATAGCTGGGCCAGGCCGTCCGGGGGTGGGAGGGGGCAGCTTAGGTTCCGTAGTGATAGCTGGAGCCAGACGGTGCCCAATGAGACGCAGCGCCGGCGGAAGCGTAGGCAGCGATGGATAGGGAAGGAACGGGGAATGTGGGGGGGAGAGAGGGGGGATGCTGGCAGTTGAAGAGCTGGACGCGGGCCCATGATGGCTTCCCGCGCCGTCCGGTCCCAAGCAACAATAATAACACGCCGCCGCCCACCTCCACGCGGATCCGTGGATAGTGCAAAGCCTAGGCGTGGGGACCGCCGGGCGAGCTGGGCGCCGCGACCTCAGGCTTCCCCAGTGCCACGGCCGGCCGGTTACAAGGCAACGTCGCAAGGCAGAGACGAGACACCACATCAACGGCGTGAGACTCCAGCACCACCCTGGCGCCTGCAGACGGGACGCAACGCGGCATTTTCCTTCGTTCCCAGGAACCCATACGTTTGCGGCCTTAGCCCGTCCCGTACCTTGATGCTGGCCTCCGCCGCCCTCTCTCACTCGTCCATTCGGCTTCGGCCTTGACTCACTCGCCCGCCGTACCCGTCCGCCGCCCCGACTTCGCCGGCTGCTGAAGATGGCTCGCGATAGAGTTGGCTGGCGCCAGCCCGCGAAATCATCTCCATCATCGCCGCCCGTCACCCGTCGCCCATGGCCCATGGCCCATGTCGCCCATCAAGTCAAAAAAAAAGGAACGAGGCTCAACCGCCCGCCCCGCTCATCTCATCTCTCTCTCTCCCCCCACACGTGAGCGCTGAACTTTCGCCAGCTGCCAGTCTGACCCGATGGCCATCTCACCTACCAGGTCACTAGACACCCCTACAACGCAAAATACCTGGAGTTGATTGGGCTGCAGAATCGCGCCGCTCGACAGGGCAGATCGCAGGCAGGTGGTTGCCTTCTTCGCACAGAGCGGGGCCTGCTCATGGTCCTAGAGGTCAGAATCCACGTGCGGGAAAAGAATTGCACTCGATATGCGCGTCGTGCTTTTTGCCTGCCGGCGGTAAGTACCAACTTATTTTTTTTTTTTTTTTTTTTTTTTTTTTTTTTTTTCCTGCTATGAGCGCGCGCGGAGTTGAATCTTCCCGGCTTTCGACGCTCTCACGGCCGTCTCTGAGCGGGCTTTGTGCAGTATCGCGCTGCAACGTGGAGCCATCCAGGAAGAGGGTTCTTGTGCTCCCACACCTTGCGTACTCCCTTCGACCGCTACGTAGCGACGGCGGCCGCGCCCAACCACGCCCCGAAAGGTCCCAAGAGCCCAAGCGACGTCCTTGTACGACCACAACGGTGCGCCCTCCGGCATCTTCCTATGCTAACGGTCCGTGGGTACGTTTCAGCCTTCCAACGAGGAAAGGTGGTACGCTGGCAGTTTCACAGGCTCGAGACCGGCTATTGACCGGTTGCAGCCGTGTATCTCAAACCCGCAAAAGGTCTGAAGTGCTGTGCACAGCATGTCCCCACCCACCGCCCAGTCAGATCGCGATCATGCGGCAAACCTCGCCCCAGTGGCACGAATGTGGCACTGCTCGTTCAGATAAGGAACGTACCGACGCCCGTGAGGGTCAAATGATTTCTGAAGGTGCTATCTGCCTGCGCCAGATTCCTTTTCGGTGCCTTCAATACCTGAAAGCAGCGCGGCGGGCGCTAAGGCAATCACCGGTGAGGCCTATTTCCCCCCGCCATCCCTTGATAGTGAGGGCAAAGGCGCGATCTGGATACCCGGCCCAGCGCCTCCCAGACATCTCGGCCCAAAGCCAGATCAGTCTGCCCTTCCCGCACCGCTCTCTTTTCTTCTTCTACAGTATTTGAATTCCCTCACATTCTTCAGCCATCACGCTGTATAACAGCCACAGTTGTGCCGTCTGGGTTCCACGGTGCTGACAGGATTACCTTGGCCATAATCACGAGGTGAAGGAGCTTTCTCCGCGCATTTGAGTGACTGGAACCATTCCTGGGGTCAGCTGTCGACACGACAGGATCTTTCTCCGATAGCTCATCATGACTCTTCGACCAAGGCAGAAAGTTATGAGCATCGACGGGCTTTTACCACAAAATCCCAACAAGGTAGCACGCATTCGCTTCCAGGCCCCGCGCTGTGCGATTCTAGGAAGCGATGCCGACCCTTGAAACGAACCTCTCGCGCACCGCATAGAAGAAAGTCCCTAATTCCCCGCGCAATCAGCCTGCGGACTTGACCTGCTCCTACACTCTTCGTTTATCCGCTCTACTCGAGTAAACTCCAATCCAGGCCGGGGCTGGACAAGACCTTGTTCGGCATCAGATCGCTGACGAGTCGCGGGGACCGAAATAGCACCCAAGCCGACCGGCGCGCAATAGCCATCCGCTCATCCCCGTCTTCTGCCGGTGCACCCCACGCTGGCAAGATCCGCTGCAAGGAGCAAAAGCCGGCTATCGTCGCTCGAGCTACAGCGGACGTGGGGCCAGCACTAGCCCACTCAGACCATGTCTCCTGCATCTGATAATGCAGCGCTGGACGCTGTGGGCAAATGTCGTGCTGTACATCCCTGGAATGGGCAGGTAGGTGGACAGGCAGGTAGGTACACCGAGGCCAGCTTGTTGGCCAGATGGCCGAGAGATTATTTCCAAGCGATCTGCGAACCGGTCGCGGTTCACATGTCAGGACGGTCGAGGGCGCGGCATGCGGCTCTGTGGACTGCTCGCGCCCCCCTCCTCCTCTTCCGCCACCCGTTGCTGCTGTCAGGCCGGGTAGCTGCCTCTCCCATGTGAAAAGGCTCGAAGCATAACGTCATGAACCGCTGCCCGGGTGCCTTATCGCTGACGCTGGCCCCAACGGAGTCAGATTTAGGTTCAGCTGTGCAGGCATAAAGCAAGCACAATATCACGGCAGCGAGTGACGGGCTTGACCCTGGGCGTATCGCGCAGGGAAGGGGATCCGATTACTGCTTAAGAGTATGGAGGTCTAGCCAGTTGCTGCTGCTGCAATTGCCGAGGGAGCAAACTCGTGCCGAGCACGCCAATGACAGGGTAGATAGGAGCGAGGAAGGCGCTGCACTCGACGTGCAATCCGCGCGCCCTGTCTAACGAGTAGGCGTCGCACTCTTGTCCGCCCTCCCCTTCGCAAAAGCAACACGCACAGAGACTGGCGGGTTTTTTTGCGGGACCGGTATTGCTGCTGCTGTTGTTGCTGGCAGCACGCCCCTCCAGTTCCATTCCGACGCACCTGTCCCTACACCCTGCAATCTCCACCGCCCATGCCCCCTCAACCTTGACCGGTAATGGCAGTCAGCCAGATAGGTAAGCGACCGGACGTCGCGCCCACCACCGCATTACCCGAGCGGGCCGACGCGGATCAACGGGCTGCACAGCCAGTCCGAGTCGGGCCTCAAGACGCACCGAGTCATTTGGCGGCGAGGGCACACGGGCGCGCGTCCGTGCATGTATACCGTTTATTAGCCAACCGTGGCGGGCGGGCGCAAAGAGAAGGCAAAAAAAGGGCAATATTGGGCAGTAGTGTGCCAGAGGTGGCACACGAGTCGAGTCGAGTCGAGGCGCGGGAGAGTGGACGCGGCGCGGCGCACCCCCACGTGCGCGCCCGGCCGCCGTGGTTGAGCCAAACACTCCTGCTCGAAGGAGCAGCGCCCGCAGTGCCCGACGGCAATGATCCTCGCTGCCGGAGGCACGGATCGCCGCGCGCTCGAGCCAGTCGCCGCGCTGTGTTGGGCGGACGTGGGCTCCGTACGGGAGGGCGAGCGCGGGTGCGCGGCCTGGCGGGCTCGGCGTGCGAATTGAGGCAGCGAGGCGAGGCGAGGCGAGTCACGTCGCGTCTTGTCGCTGCTGGGCAGCAGCATGCTGCTGCGAGTCTGAGTACGAGCAGTTAGGTAGGGCGGCGCCGGCGAGTCGTGCGCTGCTCGACTCGACCCGACGCGCGGGCACGACCTCCGCGCCTTTGAGAGTAGCAGTTGGGCCGCTGCGCCGTCTGTTTCTCACTCACTCCCAATCCCTTTCTCTCTCTCTCTCTCTCTCTCTCCTCTTCTTTCTCTCGGTGAAGCCAGGGCGTTGGGCTCCTGCTGCACAGCGCGGGTAGGGAGGAACCCAGCCAAGTGGGGCGCAATAAAGGGTGTCTGGGGTATTGGAAAACGCAGGTAAGCTAAGCAAAAGCGGCCCATAAATACCGCTGCGAGCCGCGCGTGCTCTTGCGCAGAGAGAGAAAGCGAGTGAGTGTGGGTGCGTGTGATCCGGGCCTCGCAGCGAAAGAGGGAGAAGCTTCCGCGCGGGTCTATTGTTTCGTGGTCTCGCTGGGCCCGCGTGGCTCTTGCTTGCTTCGCCGATGATGGCTTGATTACTGTACGCGATTTCCATGGGCCGAGAGGGGGGAGTGCGATCGTCAGGTACGCGATGGGAGGGGTTTGGCCGCGTGCGCGCGTGATGCGTGCCCTGCTGCGATTGATTGATGAGATGGCAATACTCGTATTTGATGATGGGCTGAGCGGCAGCGCACGCGGGGGTTGGGAAATGTGTGCAGGGGTTCTGTGGCGCTTGGTTCTGCGGTTTGCGGTGGCAGTGGATTCGTAAGGTAGGTAGGTTTGGGCAATATTTGATAGTCTACGTGGTATATGTACAAATTTATGGGCACAGCCAGCGCGGTCGTGAGTCTGAGCAAGCTGGAGGTTTGGAGCCGCCGGCGCAGCATATTGTATCTCGCCCGGACGACGGAGGCGCTATTTGCATATCCCCGTGTGGATGGAAAGTGAAGACCAAGGCCCCGGGGACCTCTTCATCGTCACCACTGGACTCGGCGAGCTCACTCCTTCTCCGCACAGCGAGCGACAAGGAGTACCAGCACGCCCGCTAGCGTCGCGTCGCCCACACCTCTCAGCACACGCGCCCATACATGTGTCTCAAGCGACACTCTGTACACTCTATAGGAGTAAGTCGGGTGGGTTTTAAACGTGCGCCGCGCAATCGCCCTGCTAGCTGCGCGGCTTTTGTCGTCTGCGCGCGCGCTGGGGCTCTAGGTAGTTGGGTAGATACAAACGGACCGCCGCGGAGCTCAAAAGGCAAGCAAGCAAGCAAGCAAGAGCGGGGCCCTCGGATCGCTTAAACCTCGCCGCGCCCGTTCCTCCAGACAACGCGCATCACGACCATCATCACATCCTCCCACCCACCCACGCCTCCCGTACCACGCTCCACGCCCGCCCGCACCTCAGCCACGTCCCCAACAATGGGTTTCGAATCGAAGAAATTCCGCTCCGCCGCCGCGCAAAACACGCTGCCAGCGCGCTACCGCGCCGCTTTGCAAAAACATCCCTTCCTGCTGTTCGGGCTCCCCTTCATCGCCACCATGGTCGCGGGCAGCTTCTTCTTGACCCCGGCCACTGCGCTGCGCTATGAGCGCCATGATCGCAAAGTAAGGCAGTTGAATAAGGAGGAGGAGTTGGGGATTGGGAAGGAGAGACGGAAGGTCGATATGCGCGAGGAGTATTATGTGAGTGCTGTTTGTTTGCTTGTTGGTTGGTTTGGGGGTTTGCTTTTGGTTTTGGGTGTGGGTTTTTGGGGGTTAGGTTTTGGTTTTGGGGAAATGTGTGGTTTGGGTCGTATGCTAATGGTCTTGACAGAGGCTCGCCGCCAAGGATTTGGATGATTGGGAGCAGAAGCGCGTGAAGCGGTTGCCGGGCGAGCATGATGGTGTTTTGTGAGGCGCTGGAGGTTAGGGGTGGTGCTTGTGTTGGCGTTGGGATGGTGAGGGTTTTGCTGCTGTTGAGGGTGGGTTGCATGGGCTTGTTCATGGCGTTTTGGGATTTCCCTCTGGTCCTCGGCTGCAACGGAAAAGTCTTTCTATCTTGCTCCTATGGAGTGCTTGGTTTTTCTATTCTATTCTAAATAATTGGTGGCAGCTTTATGCTGCGCGGGCCCTGGAACATCTCTTCTCTACTTCGGTCTTCCATTAATGCTACGATGTGGACCATACTTGGTCGTCATCATGCATGGGTCGATCTCGAACTTATATGAGCATTTACACGCTCTCTTGAAGCTTTCCAGCCTGTCAATGTACACCCGTTTCTACAATGCGTATCCTCTGGACTGCGCGAACGTTTTTACATCACTTTGGACGCTGTGTGACGGGTACGTCAACAGGGAGGATTTCCGTCTTCAATTCTCTGGTTCCCTTAGTCTTGGGCTCCGGTGCTGGCCAATTGTTAGCACCATCTCTCACGTCGACTCCTAATACCTACCCTTGACGTTCTCTTGGACGTAGAATTTCCTAAGCAGCATAATGGCCTCTTCTCTAAAGATGCCGCCGTACACGGGATAGGGCTTGTCTACGCTCGGGCTCGTGTGGATGTTGAGCACGCCGCCAGTGCCGCCAAAGCGATCATTCCAGCAGCCGAAATAGACGGCTCTGATGCCAAACTGGCGCAGAGCCGAGGCGCACATGACGCACGGCTCGACAGTCACGTAGAGGTCCGTCTCGTGCAGGATGCTTGCGGGGTGGGCGGCGAGGATCTGCGAGATGGCGACGAACTCTGCGTGGCGCGTCCCGTTGAGGGAGCGGTTCGTGTCGTTCATGCCTCGGCCGATGATGGTGCCGTTGTGCACGAAGACGCAGCCGACGGGCGTCTCGTCCGTCGCCAGCGCGAGCTCCGCCATCGCGAGCGCCTCGCGCATGAATCGCTCGTGGTTGGGTGCGGCGGCCATGGTGGTGGTGACGGTGCGGCGGGTGTTGGCTGGCCGTGGCCGTGCATCTCGGAGGACGCAAAGTCGGCGGGGGTGTGCGAACCGCGCCGGGTCGGAGCGCTGCGCGGGGAGTGTCAATGGGCGTGAGGTAGAAGCGACGGCGGCCGTTTAAGTCTGCTTCTTGTCGTATGGTGTATAATCATTTAGTATAGTCGGACAATTGCTCGTACGTGGCTTACGAGCGGAGAGTGTCAACAGCTACTTGCCTACTTTGGGGTGTGCGGGTCAAGTTGCCGCTTTCGTTGAGCGAATCCTCGGGCTCTTTCCGCGCCCGCTCCCCACAACAGCTCAACTGTCCTCCGAGCGTCGGCTGCAGCTCGCCTGATACTTTTATACCCCGAACCACCGCGCGCCATTCCGCCGTCTTTTGCTCTCCCCACCTCCAATCGCCTCTTGGGAGACTGTCTCGCCGCTAGTATTTCTACCTCCGGCTTTTCGACGTCTGCGCAAATGTCTGCCCACACGGTCAAGCCAACCGGCCCCTTCGCGCCCCAGTATGTGCACGGCGTGTACATTCCCTCGGCCCTGTTGATTGTGGGCACTCTCATTGTCAAGAAGGAATGGGTACCAATCGCCGTTGCGCTGGCGGCTCTTCTGGGCGGCTGGAAGGTGTACAGCAACCGTAAGTTTTGTGTCTGAGTGGTTTGAGAGAGCACCAGTGCTAACGCCAGACTTGCATTGCAGAAGCCCGCAAGGTTCTTGACCCCGTCAAGTTCCAAGAATTCCCTCTGAAGGAGAAGACGATCCTCTCGCACAACACGGCCATGTAAGATTTCCCAGCCAGCGTCACAGAAAAAGAATGTTCGCATGGCTAACCCCAACCTGCAGCTACCGCTTCGCGCTCCCCCGCCCCAACGACATCCTCGGCCTCCCCATTGGCCAGCACATCTCTCTCGCCGCGACGCTCGAAGGCCAGCCCAAGGAAGTGGTGCGCTCGTACACGCCCATTTCCGGCGATGAGACTCCCGGCTACGTCGACCTGCTCATCAAGTCGTACCCCACGGGCAACATCAGCAAGCACGTCGCGGGACTGCAGATCGGACAGACTATCAAGGTCAAGGGCCCCAAGGGCGCCATGGTCTACACTCCCAACATGGTTCGTCACTTCGGTATGATCGCCGGCGGCACTGGTATTACGCCCATGCTGCAGATCGTCAAGGCCATTGCCAAGGGCAGGCAGCAGGGCGACAAGACGGAGGTCGACCTCATCTTTGCGAACGTCAACCCCGACGACATCCTGCTCAAGGAGGACCTTGAAGCCATGGCTGCCAGCGACCCGCGTATCCGCGTCCACTACGTCCTGAACAACCCGCCCGAGGGCTGGACCGGTGGCGTTGGTTTCGTCACTGCCGACATGATCAAGGTGCGTTGTTGATCTAATTCGCGAAACTAAGAACCAGTGACTAACACTGTCTTTAGGCCAAGCTCCCCGCCCCCGCCAAGGACGTCAAGCTCCTCCTCTGCGGTCCCCCGCCCATGGTCAGCGCCATGAAGAAGGCCTGCGAGTCGCTCGGCTACGACAAGGCGCGCCCCGTTAGCAAGCTTGACGACCAGGTCTTCTGCTTCTAAGCGCGGCGTGTATGGCGCTTCGCAAGCCGCCGAGAGTTGGTATGGCTGACATGAGGGACACGAAATGATTGCATGACTATGGATGGATGCGGGTGAGCACGGTGGAAAAAGGAAGAAAAGAGAAAAAAGAGAAAAGATGAGCCGATGAGTGAACATGTCCAGAGATGAGGAAGCAGACTGGGCATTTATCTGCTGTGCACATGGGACCTACCTACGCAGACTGAGATATATATGGAACGGTGCGTGCAACTACAGGGATAGATACCTAGACGCATTTGCAGCGTGGAGGTAGAAGAAGAAGGCGGGCAGAAGGGTGATGACCGCATTATATTATTCTCAACAACTTGGGCAGACGGCAGTCGTATGTTCGGTATCTACCTACTACAAACAGTCTCATGAACAAACAAGGACGATGAAGCAGTGGATACAGACAAAGTGACGTCAGCAGCATGAGAGACTGAGAGATAGGTGCCCATGCTTCGCTACTAGGTAAGAGCATACACTACCGGCGCAGCAGAACAGAGTAGAGCTAGTGTATTCTCGACATGCAACCAATGCCTACATTGTGTGTAGGTATTCGATATACCCGACCCGCTCTGCGCCTAGATTCCTTGATTTACTCCACCCTCCACGCACCATAAGCCCGCGGGAGCGACAGATATGTACCCATCATCAACACCGGTTGGCGTGACAATGTGGTCACACTTGCATGCATGTGTAGGTAGTTGTGTTGTTGTGTTGTTGTGTTGTTGTGTTGTTGTATTATACACTGCATAAGCTAAGCCATGCTAAGCTATGCTATGCTATGATAAACTAAGCATGCGTTGGCGGGGTTGTGGTAGATTTGTTTTGGTGTATGTGTAGAGGTGGGACAGATATATATATATATATGTATATATATAGTAGATAATATATATGAGATAATATATGAAAATAGCCTAGTTATTCTAATCTCGTGTATACATGGATAGGTATACTAAATACCTAAGTATATCTACTCTCACACGCTGACACTGCGGGAGGTATACACCACACGCACGAAGCAACGGACTACCGACCTAATGCAAGACAAAGATCGATGCAGCAGCTTGACCAAAGAAGGCGAAGACCTAAAGAGCAGTTACAAAAGACAGCACCACGTGCTCGTACGCACCGCACGCACGCAAGGACGGAAAGAAAGGCGAAGAGATATGGCTGAGAAGCAGAAGAAGGAGAAGAAGCAGAATGCGTAGAGGAAGCAAGACAAGACAGGAAGAACCTTAGGAATGGCGAAGGAGAGGCTGGGGATTGCAAGGGTAGGAAGATATACCGCCACCATCACGAAGCGCGCAAGAACTAGGAGTAAGGAAAGGGAAAAGGAAAGAGATTGTGACTAAGTGTATAGTGTATGTGTGTGTGAGTGAGAGAGACCGCACGTGCACACACAACTACCTAAGCTTTATCAACATCGCAGCAGCAACAGCAATAGGGAAGGAACGGCGACAAACCAACCCCAGCCCAAGTCAAGCCAAACTCAGCCAAGCTAAGTCAAGTCAGACATGCACACAGCACAACACATAGGTAGGTAGGTAGTAACAATCAACAGCCTCGAAAAAGCCCAGTTTCGACTCAACTCACCTCGACTTAACACAACACGACCAAAAACCAAAACCAACAACAACAAGAAGAAGAAGAAGAAGAAAAAAAAAAAAAAAAAAAAAACTTTCTTTGCATAGCAAGCCTGCTAAACCGCACGGCACTCAAAAACAGCAGGCAGGTACAGTAGCGTACGGTCCTCAAAAGGCGTACATATTATATATGTACGGCAAAGGGCATTCCCCTAAAAAAAAAAGTAAAAAAGTAAAAACACTAAACCCCACCAAACAGACAACTAACCAACCAAACAGTGCTGCACGAAACCAAACCGCACCGCACCAAACCGACCAAACCGCACCAAACCGCACCAAACCGCACCAAACCAAACCGCACCAAAAGCCAAGACAATCCAAGACAAGACAAGCCCACCCGACCGAACAGAACAGAACAGGGAAGAACAGAAAAGCGAATCTATAGGTAGTAAGAAGCAAGAAAGTAGGTAAGCACGCACGTATACGTCAGCCAGCAAAGCCCAAGCAAAGAAGCCGCCCTGCGCAATCAAACAAACAAAACACCACCACCACCACCACAACAACAACAACAACAACAAAAAGAACAAGGACAAAGCTTTGCACCACCCGCCATCGCTGTAGATGCTGTAGACGCTGTAGACGCTCAGAAGAGATAAAAAAACGCGGGTAGATAGGTAGGTCCAGAAAGCGTGCCAATCCAACCAACCCGCCCAAACCACGCAAGCAAAGCAAGCAAGCAAGCAAGCTGAAGAAGCAAAGACAAGATACCTAGGCAAAGCAGATGCAGGCGAGAAAGCGAGAAAGCTGTTGGAAGTCGGAAGCGCACAACGCAGGACGCAGGACGCAGGACGCAGGACGCACAACGCACAACGCACAACGCACAACGCAGGATGGAGAACGCGGCGTGGAAACGCCAGGCGAGAGTAAAGAACGCATAGAGAGAGAGAAAGAGAGAGAAAGAGAGAGAAAGAGAGAGAAAGAGAGAGAGAGAGAGAGGGCGGGCCAGAGCGCGAGTTGCATACCATACCTACCTAGGTAGCAAGCAGGCAAACAAGCAACCCCAGTGCGCCACATCACCATCACCTTCACCATCACATCAAACCGAACAACACCAACACCACCACCATCGCCGCCACCACCGCAGCTGTCTGTAGCCAAGAGTCCCGGCCCCAGCCAGTGCCAATGTTAATGCCAATGCCAGTACATTACCAGCGCCAGCACCACCACACCCCCCTGGCCCCCACTCCACTCCACTCCGCAGCACAGCGCGGCACGTTACCGCACGGCACAGCACAGCACCCACCAGCGGCAGCCAAACCGACCGCCCGCCCGCTCAAACCCCTCCTCCCCTTAGCACAAGAGCAAGCAAGTGGGGATCGACAGGGGCCCCTGCGAACCATGGAAGGCTACCCGCAACCCGTAATGCAACGCGCCACGCCTTGCCTTCCGGCAGGCCAGCACCGCCGCCCACCGCCCGCCGTCCGCTGCATCGGGTTCGCCGGCGACCCGTCCGGCTGGCCGCCCCGTTCATCCCGTCCCGTCCTCGTCCCGTCCCTCGTCCCATCCCAGCGTCGTTCCTTTCGTCGATCTTAATGCTCGCCTTTTATGGGCTTCCGCGTCCTGCCCTGGCCTGGACTGGTCATGCTTCTTCGTTGCTGTTTCGAGAAACGGCTGAGACGGGATGGGAGATGTGAGGGCGTGCGGCTCTTCTGCTGTGCATGCATTGTGTGCTTGTGTGTTTGCGTGTATGTGTGGGTGTGTGCGTGTGAGACCGGAGATTTCGTCCCCCTTCCCCCCTCCTCTATCTCTCTAATCACCCCTCTCCCTTACCCCTACTCTTACCGCTCTCTTCCCTCCCCCCTTCTTTCCGCCGTCGTCGGCGCGCCCGAGGCATTTGTGCGTGCTGTGGTGCGTGTGCGTGTATGTGCAGAGCCAGTGGTGGGCGTGGTGGAGCGACGGTGGCGCGGCCGCCCGCCCGCTCGCGCGGCGCTGGGTGCGGGCCCGATCCCGTGTGTCCTTGTTCGGCTGGGATAAAAAAATACCCCCCGGGGGGCGTGCGTGCAGTGCGTGCGTTCGTGCGTTCGTGCGTTGCATTTTCAAAAAGTGCCGTGCAGTGCACACACCTGCGCGCGCGCTTGTGCGTGTGTTGGATGGATGTGGTAGGTAGCCAAGAGTGGGAATTGGTTGCGGCGTGGCCACGGATCCGGGTCGTTCGTTCGTCCTCGTTCGTCTCACTCTCCCCTACCCCACTGCCGCGCTACCGCTGCCGTGTCGCCGTCGCCGTCGCCATCGCCGGAATCCCGTCACGGCTGCCGCGCCAGCCGGACGCGTTGTTGTCCTTCTCAGTACATCCGTATTCGTTTGCCGCAGCCGACTGGGGCGCTGTTATTGCTGTTGTTGCTACTGGCGGCGCCTTCGAGCTGCTTCCGCTTCGTTGTCGGGCTCGCGTCGGCGAGGTGCAGGTCGATGTCTACGACGAAGGAACCGTCGCCTTGGGTCGATCGCGCGCTGTCGGTCCGCTCGTGGTGGTGATGTCGTAGCGTCGTCGATCGTTGGGACTGTTGTCGTTGGTGTTGGTATTGATGTTGATGTTGATGTTGATTGTGATGCTGTTGACCTTGGTAGTGGTTGTGGTGATGGTGGTTGTGATGGCTGCTGGGCTGGTGTCGGTGGTGGTTGTGGTCTTGTTGGCGTTGAGCGACCGCGGCCACCAGCAGCTGTTGCTCTTCGTATTGACCCGACTGTCGCCTGCAAATATGGCACGCGGGCGTATGGATCGTGTCGGGCTCGGATTGTTGCTCGCCTTCGGCCAGCGGCAGCTGCACCCTGTCGGGCTGGTCCGGAAAGCTCGCAGGCCCGGCTAGTCAAAAGTCCTGGATGCCCGTCTCGCCGCGGAGCTCGAGGCGGCCCTGGGCGCCATTGAGGCCTTGGGGCACGTCGTCCTGGAACCAGCTGGGCTCCTCGGCGTCAAAGTAGTCGTCTTGGGCCTCCTGGTCCTCGAGCGCGTGGTCGTCCCACTCCTCGCTCTCGTCGACTTCCTCGTAGCGAAAGTCGCGGTCCTCGCCGCGCAAGAAGCGCTGGCCCATGTCCTCGCGCCAGCGCGCCAGCCCTTCCTCCTTTGTCGCGGGGATCTCATCCTTGTCCTCGGTGGCCACGATCTCGCCGTTCGGCCCGCGCGTATACGAGACGTCGTCGGTGCCTTCGTGCTGCAAGGCATACAGCTTGGCCTCGGACCGAAGCAGGTCCGCCTCGAGGACCCCTGAGTAGCCCTTTGCTCGGCCCTCGGCCTCGCGCTCCGCGGGAGTCTGAAAGCGGCGCACCAGGCGGTCGTACAGCAGCGGGAAGGCCAGCTCCAGGCCCGAGGAAAAGTACTCGGGATGGGTGTCCAGGTAACGCTTCCGGCGGTTCTTGATGCGGAGACGGCGACGGCGCTCCTGGTCCGTCTCGGGATGGAGCGGGCGATGGAGGGCGTTGGTGTGTTGTTGGTGGTGGTGCTGGCCGGGGGTGGGCGGGCCTCCTCCTTGTTCGAGGTGCATGCGGCGTTGGTGGGCGGCTTGGGCGGCGGGGGTGGCTTGGGAAGGCGTTTGTTGTTGCAGTTGATCGGGCGAGGCGGGCGTCATGGCGGGCAAGTGTGGGCGTGGTGGTGGTGCAGGCGGGTGGGTGATGATGTACGGCATGTTTGGTGTTTTTGAGTGCGTGCGAGGGATGATCGCGCTGAGGGAACAGGGCAGCTACTTTTGCTCTGCGTTGGAGCGTTCCAAATGGCCCGTCGCCGGCCTGAATGACGTTCTCGGCCCTGTCTGTTTTTTGTACTGATGAAACCCTTCGCGACTGACCAACGGCTCCACATGCCCTTGCGAATGATGAAGACTACGACGACTCCCCCTCCGACGATTCCTCCTCGGACTCCTCCTCCGACCCCTCCGACGACTCCTCCTCCTCCCCCGCCCAAGTCCCAGTCCCACCGCTGTTCCTTTGTCGTCATGTTCTACCGCATCCTCTGCTGCACCACATAGCTATCCCCTGCCTGCAAGGTGGCCTCTTAGTCATCTCACATCAATCGCTTTCTCCATTGATTGCCCACACACACACACACATCTTTCCCTTCCCTTATTTCCCTCCCAATCCCCATCCGGCGCTGGTTCGCCCCCCCTTCCTTCCATCGACGACGACAATGCCCCCGAAGCAAAAGGCCGCCGCCGCGAAGAAGGCTCAGCCTCCTCCTACTCCTTCCGCTCCTGCTGCTGCTCCTGCTGCTCCTGCCTCCAATGGCAACACCGCCGCCCACGTGATTGCCATTGTGCGGGCCACCGCCCTCATGGCTTTGGCCGCCGCCGCCTCGACCGTCTCGCAGCTCACTCTCTCGCCCGTCTATGGCGGCATTCCCGCCTCGATATGGCACAAGAAGGTCGTCATCTTCATCGTCATGGCCGCCGTCATCAACAAGGACCCCATCCGCCGCTACATGCCCGGCACCAAGGCTCTGATCCCGCTGCTAGCCTTTTACGCGCCGCCAATTCAAAGCACCTTGTTCCAATATAGCGACAAGCTGGGCCCCGATTACGGTCCCGTCGTCACCGAGGCATTGACCGTATACCCCTTCCTCTTCCTGTCCCTCATTGCCGCCATTGGCCTCGTCGAGACGCTAAACTTCAGCCCCGCGCTCCGCAGGGGTGTTCCGGGCATGGCGGCGTACGCGACGTTTGCCGCGTTTGAGAAGCTCACCGAGGAGCACCTCCCCGCGCTCATGGGCAGCAACGACTTCTTCACGCGCTCCGGCCTGTCCCTGGTCGTGGCCGCGGGGTCGGCCATAGTGTCGCCGTCGTGGCTGCTCGCGCTCGCACTGCCCGCCGCCTTCCACACGCTGCGCCTGAACCCACACTCGCCCTTCGACGCGACAACGGAGGTGCTGAAGCAGAAGCTGCAGGCGCAGCAGTACACGCTGCTGGACCGGGTCGAGTCGCTGAGCGGGTACGTGTCTGTGCTGGAGAGCGGAGAGAACCAATTCCGGCTGCTGCGATGCGACCACAGCCTGCTGGGCGGCGAGTGGCTGGTGACGCCGGAGCGGCAGCGCATGGGGCAGACGCAGCGCGAGACGATCTACACGGTGTTTACGATGCTGGAGGCGGTGCGGCTGGTGCAGACGGCGGCGAGCGAGACGCCCGACGCGCAGAAGAGCGCGCTCAACATCGGTCTCGGCATCGGGACGTGTCCGACGGCGCTGATCGCCCACGGCATCAACACGACGATAGTCGAGCTGGACCCGGCCGTCCACGCCATGGCGACCAAGCACTTTGCCCTGCCGCAGAACCACACGGCCGTGCTCTCGGACGCGGTGCCCTTTGTTGCGGACGCGGCCGCCAGCCAGCCCGCCTCGTACGACTACATTGTGCACGACGTATTCACGGGGGGCGCGGAGCCAGCCGCGCTGTTCACGCTCGACTTCCTCAACGGCCTAAAGACGCTGCTACGGCCCGACGGCGTCATCGCGCTCAACTACGCCGGCGACCTGCGCCTGCCCACAACGCGCATGGTGCTGAACACGATCCACGCGGTATTCCCCTCCTGCCGCATCTTCCGGGACCAGCTACCAGACAAAACCTCGACGACGCCCGCCGACTCCGACGACCCCAATGCCGAGCCCGCAATGGACTTCCTGAACATGGTGCTGTTCTGCCGGCCCGTGGCGGAGCCCATCGAATTCCGCAAGCCCGGCCGCGCCGACTGGCTCGGCAGTATTGTGCGCAAGCGCACGCTGCTGCCCGGCAAGGAGCTCGAGGTGGCGTTTTCGCCTGACGAGGGCGCGCAGCTGCTGACGGGTGAGACGGTCGAGGTGCTTGAAAAAGGCCATAAGGCTAGTGCGGTTAGCCATTGGCGGATTATGCGCACGGTGCTGCCGGATGCTGTGTGGCAGCTTTGGTAGGTGGGGGAGATGTAGACGGAGACGCGGCTGGTGCGGCTGGGTTGGCTGGCTGGCTGGGCTGGGCTAGGTTGCGCGGTGCGCGGTAGATTTTTTCCTCTCCTTTTTCTGTTCGCTCTTGGGGAGGGGTGCTCGGAGGGTTGCGTTTCTCTGCGTTTGCGTGCGTGCGTGATAAACCTGCCTGTCTGCCTGTCTGCCTGTCTGCCTGTCTGTCCACCTGTATAAAACCACCTCCTGCTAGGTACTGTACCATGACCTATCTATCTATCTAGACCTGTAGTTGTAGCCGTAGTAGCAGCTATAACTGTAGCCGTAAATGCAGGAGTAACTGTACTCCAATGCATGCATGCATCCGTCCATGGATCCGTCCATCCGTCCACGTAGATAGACACCTAGATAGGCTACGATGACGTTTGGTGCGTGCTGTGCTGACTTTTACGTATGTAGGTTTGCATGCATATGCATAAAGACAGATAGGTATACACGACACGGCAGAAGCAAACACTCGCTCAAACACTCGCCCGCGTGCTCGTGCTGTTGGTGCTGGATATACTGCTAGCTACCAACACGGAACGAAAGCAAAGCAGCAGTACCTATGCACCTATGCACCTATGCGCGCTGTGCTGTGCTGTGCTGTGCTGCGCTGTGCTGTGCTGTGGTTGTGATGGGTTGGGTTGGGTTGTGGTTGTGGTTGTGGTGGCGTTGTTATGAGGACTAGCTACCTACCTAGGTAGGTATAAGAGGCAGTTTTTACAAGAGCAGAGCAGCATGCACGCACACACGCACACGCGCACTGCACAAGTCCATCGCGTCGTGGTGTCGCGTCGCATGCTTTCCTGTCTGTCTGTCTGTCTGTCCGTCTGTCCGTCTGTCTATAGGTATGTCTACTCTACTACCCAACACACCACAATACACCATCCTACCCGCCTGCTTACCTACTTACCTTCTTACCTCCCACCCCCACCAACACCCACACCCGCAAACCAAACCGCCAGCACCAACGCCAGCAGCGCCATGCGTCCCTGCCACGTCAACACCGCAGCCGCCAGCACACCGACAACGAGCTCGCGGGAGCGGGCCGCGCGCCGCCGAGACCGCCATGAGGGGTCGAGTGGGAAGGGCGCGTCGCGTGCCGAGGGCGTGTTTAGTGGTGGTGATGATGGTGATGCTGTGTCTGCTTCGCCCTCTCTACCCGTCTCTGCTCTGCGCTCGCCCTCGAGCGCCTTCCACGCCACCTCCACCGCCAGCGCCACGGGCTGGTGATCCGAGCTCGGCAGCAGGGGAAGCGCGTCGTAGCGTTGCGGCGAGAGTCCGCTCGCAGGCAGGAAGAGGATGCGGTCGCACCAGCTGGGCCAGCGATGGGGCGCCCACGCTCGCGGGGGGTGGAAGGCGTACTTGTACGTAGGCGGGAAATCAATGTTCGCCTCTTCGAAGCCGTGCAAGGCGCGGCCGGCGCGGCGCTCGCGCTGCAGCTGGTCCGTCGCCAGGAGGGCAGCGTACGGGTCGCCGGGGCGCGGGAACCGGGTCAGCGTGTCGATGGGTTGCGGTGGTGTGTCGCTGGTGCGGTAGTTGAGGTCGCCGAAGAAGAAAACGTGCGCGTTGGGCGTGTAGAGGCCTTGTTGCGGCGTGGGAGATTGGGGCAGGAGCGCCTGCCCTGCGCCGTCGTCCCGCTGCTCCCGCTCCTGGTCCTGGTCCTGCTCGCTATCTGCTGCAGCGGCAGCCGGGATCGCGCCTTTTCCGCCGCCCTCTGGTTCGAAGACCAGCCGCCGCACGATGTTGGCCCAGTCGTCGTTGCGCCGTGCCACGCCGTACTCCATGGGTGCCAGGTGCGCGGCGACAAACGTGAGCTCGAGCACCTCGTCCGCGGCGGCCGGGTTCTGCTGCTGTTGTTGCGGCGAGGCGAGGCCGATGCGCACGGCCACGGCGCCCTTGTTGCCCATTTCCCAGAAGCCGAGGCCCACGCCGGCCGTCTCGATCGAGACGATGCGGTCAGCGACGTGCGGCTTGGCGAAGAGCATAATGGCCGTCATTCCCAGGCTCTTGTGCAGGACATGGCGGTAGACATCAGGGGCGGCAAAGCGCAGGGCGGCAACGAAGCGGTCAAAGTAAGGAGCCAGAAGGGACCCGGCCAGGAATGCAGGGGCGATGCCGGCCAGCTCCTGCAGCGATACGACGATGACGTCGGGCAGAGGGTCGGCGGACGAGGCTCCGGGGCCATCATGGCGGAGTGGCAAGGCGTCGAACAGGTGGCGGGCGAGGCGGTGGGGGTCGATCAGGTTGCGGGCGCAGTTGAAGGACAACAGGTAGAGCTGGAGGGAGGACTGGACGGGTGAAGTCATGGCCGGGCGTTGGCAAAATGGAGGGGGTGGAGCGGAAACGGTGGATTTGGCGGAGATCGGTAGATGCGCACGGGGCGGGCTGCAGGGGCTGCGTTGCGGGCTGCGGGCTGCGGGCTGCGGGCTGCGGGCTGCAGGACTGGGGTAAGAGGTCGATGCGGTGACGGGAGCGGCTTACGAGAGGCACATTCTAACGCGTCGGCTCCGGCACACACGCGTTCAACGGATCAAAAATAAAAGGGAAAGCAAAGTGTTGAGAACATAGGTAAAGTCGACATGTTTGACTTTTGTGCTTTTACTGGGGAATTACGGGACCGGGAAGGCAGAGACGCTGATCAGGGTTTCCGTCAACGTCATCGGCTGAGTGAGCTGGAGCTAGCATAGCTGTGAGGTCAAGCCCCCAGCACACAACGCACAGCTATCGTGCACAAGTAGAAATTCTTCCCTTCCCCTACCTCCCCCTGCTCCCAATTCCTCCCAATTCTCCTGCCTCACTCTACTCCACTTCCACACCCTCCTCAACCACAATGCTGCGACCGCAATTCCTTCGCAACGCCCTGCGGCAAGCTTCTCCCCTGGCTTCCCGCGCCGCCGTGCGTCCCCTCTCCGTGACGGCGAGGCTGGACAAGGCCAAGGACCCCAACGAGGCCGCGACGACAGCCGGCGAGCCCGGCGAGTCGGGCGACCAGGAGGGCAAGTTTGCGCGTACTGACCGCAGCGTGCAAATCGAGTACCCCGACGAGGACCACCTGCCGTCGAGCAGGCCGGTCCAGGGCCGCGCCGGCTGGCACTTCAGGCGCACGCTGGCGAGCTTCTCGCTCGAAGGCCGCACCGGCGTCGTCACGGGCGGTGCTCGCGGCCTGGGCCTTGTCATGGCGCAGGCCCTGGTCAACAGCGGCGCTGATGTCGCCCTCGTCGACCTCAACAGTACGTGACACGCAATTCCATTATATTTTCATCCTGTCTAGGTACCTGCTGACAACTCGGCTCGTTGAACAGAGGAGGAGGCTCAGCGGTCCGCCGATGGCCTCATGGAGACGTTCAGGAAGGAGAACCACCACACGGACAGGTACGTGCAACAACAACAACACCAATGGCTCGCGGCCGGGCCCTGGCACCCTCTGGAGAGCAGAATGCCGGACCGCGTGGCCTGCCCCTCTTGGTGGTACCGTGGCTTTCCGGGCCCAGCCAGCCAGCTCCGCGCAACACGCGCTGATGACACACGCACAGGGTGCCCGAGGTGACAGCGCACTACTGCGACGTCGCCAGCCCGGACTCCGTCAACCAGTGCATCGCCGAGATCTTGGTACGTCTGCACCGTCTGCACCCCCACATGCGCGCTACGTCACGCGAGGCCGCCACGGCGCGGGCTGCCCCTCCCCCACACAATAATCCCTACCTAGCTAGCCTATACGGCAATCAGCACCAGCACCAGCAGCTAACGCACCCACCCCCACACAGGCCAAGCACGGCAAGATCGACAACCTCGTCACCAGCGCCGGCTTCACAGAGAACTTCGACGCCATCTCGTACCCGCACGACCGGATGCAAAAGCTGTGGGGCGTCAACGTCGACGGCACGTACCTGTGGGCCGTGGGCGTGGCCAAGCACCTCATGGAGCGCAAGTCGCCCGGCAGCATCGTCATGATCGGCAGCATGAGCGGCGCCATCGTCAACGTCCCCCAACCGCAGGCGCCCTACAACGCCGCCAAGGCCGCTGTTCGGCACCTTGCGTCCAGCTTGGCGGTCGAGTGGGCGCACGCAAACATTCGCGTTAACAGCATTAGCCCCGGGTATATGCTTACGGCGCTGTGAGTTTCCCCTTGTCCATTAATACCACTGCTGTAGCTGCTGTATCAAGACAAACGAACGACACTGCTAACGTTCCTCCTCCCACACAGCACGAAGAAGATTCTCGACGACAACCCCGACCTCCGCAACAAGTGGACCTCGCTCATCCCGCAGGGCAAGATGGGCCAGCCCGAGGATCTCATGGGCGCCGTCACGTTCCTCTCCAGCGACGCTAGCAACTACGTCACGGGCGCCGAGCTGCGCGTCGATGGCGGCTACACTGTCACTTAGGCGCGAGTGTACGAGCCGTATGGCGAGTGTGCGAGCCTGTGAGCCTGTGGGCCTGTGGGCCTGTGAGCCGTCGGGCGAGCTACTGAGTGCGAGCCTTGAGGCAAGCCACTGAGCATAACGCCACCAAAACCAAAAGTTGTGTGCACAAACAAAGCGTGAGCGTGAGCGAGAGCAAAAGAACGAGGGAAAGAGGCGGCAGTTGGGTATAGATGGGGCGTTCAAAGGTCTCTACGCCACGCTATGTGTTTCTCTTTTTCTCTATAATGAGGTTAGTGATGTTGACGTTCTTGGTCTAGCGTATTAGTAGGTATGATTGAATTGAATTGATTGATTGAATTGGATTGGATTGATTGAATTGGATTGGATTGATTGAATTGGGGTTTTTATTTTTTTGAGACTGTGTTTTGTTTGGGTGTTGTTTGGGTGGGGGTTGGTTGTGGTTGTGTGATTTTGGGGTGTTGTGTGCTTGTGCGCCCTCCACTGGGTTGTGCGTGCTCTGGACGTGAAAAGGAAGGAGGAGACAGTCCTGTCCGTCTGTCCATCTGACCGTTCTCGTTCCTCTTCGTTCTTCCTCAGTCATCGCTGCCGCAACCGCTTCCAAACACCACCACACCAGCAGCTTCCTCCCTCGCCCTCACTCTCAACTCGCAACACCTCCTCACTACTCACTACGCATCACTCCTCCCACCACAGCGTCGGCCCCAGCCCCGCCTGCTGCATCGATGCCTGCACACAGCACACATTAGCCTCACTCTCTTCCCAAAAACCAACCCCTCTCCCACTCCCCAAGCCCCCAAAAAAGGACACAAAGCACAAAAACGAAACCACAAGAACTTACAACGACACAATACGGCGACCTCCTCTCCTCGCTTCCCTCGCCACCTTCCCCATTCTCCCCACCAGAACCGTTCGCACCAGCGATAAGCGGTGCCTGCGGTGACAGATCGGTCCATACCTCGGCCTCGACGCGCAGGCGCACCCGCTCTTCCATGTCGAAGAAGAGCTCGTCGCCTGTTTCGGTGGTCCATACCCAGACGGATTCGGCGTTGTTGCTGTGGGGGTGGTGTCAGCTTGGGAAGGGGGGGAGCGGGGGCTAAGGATGGGGGTATGTAGGTGGGGGTTTTAAGGCCGAGCTTACAATTTCACGCCCTCAAACAGGTTGACGGGTCCGGGGACGAAGATGTCGTCGAAGAAGTCGAGTTGGACTGGCCCGCTCGGTGCGACATTAGCGAGTGGTATGAACAAGGAAAAGGAGGAAGGGTGTTTTAGGCAAGGGTGTTTTTTAGGGGAGGAAAGGAAACGAAAACGAACCATTGATGCCCTGTGGATTCGAGCCGCTGATCTTGCCTTCGATGATTTCGCCTTTGAAGGGGCGGAAGACGACGAGGCGGAACTCGACTGTGCGGTGCGTGGGTGTGTTAGCTTGGTTTTGTTTGGGTTGGGAGTAGGGTATAGAGGGAGCAAGACCATACCGTTCACATTCACGATGCCAGTGCCATGGCCTATAAGCCCTTCCGAGGACTTGAGGATATCACGCAGGCAGATGCAGAGGCCGACTTCTTGGATGACCTAACGTTGCATTCCATCCGGCGTAAGCATACCTCTGACTCTGATTCTGGCTCTGACTCTAAAACTCTGGAGGAAAAAAAAAAAAAAAAAAACACACCTTGTTCGCGTACTTGACATGGATCGCGTCCTTGATGGCCTGGATGCTCGATTTCTCAAACTCCTCGGGCTTGATCTGAATGAGGTCCGAGATGGTGGTCTGGCGTTTGCATTAGCGTCCGAACCAAAAAAAACCTACGTTACTTCTTTCCGCCAAAACACAGACAGGAAGCGGTAGCAATAGCTAAAGCAATAGCAAACGACCCGAACGAAGACGCAGAAGCTGGAGCAGAAGCAAAAACACGACGACGACGAGAAAAAGAAAAGAAAGAACGACGAGACCAACGCCGCGCGCGCGCGCGAGCGAGCGAGAGAGCGAGAGAGCTTAGGTACTTACGGTCAAAAACATAGCAGCGACAGTCGTCGTATGCACGACGCAGGAGCCGGTGCTTTTTTGCTTCTACTTTTTTTTCTTTTTGTGTTGTTCTACTAAGGCCAAGGATAGAGCAAACGGGTGAGAGGGAGACGCGGCTTAACTAGGAGTAGGGTGCTGAGAACACCATCGCTGATGGCTGGCAAATGACGAACCGTGGATGCGATGCGCGCGTTGGGCTGGGGAAATTCATGGCCCTCGGCCCACGAAGGCTAGGCTATTTGCCGGCAGTATAAGCTTCACCGCCTAGGTGGGTGTGGCTTGGCGGGCTTGGCGCAGTGCTGTTAGGTAAGCAGTATGTGCTGGGGTGCTCGCCGCCTTGAGTGCGTCTTGGCGCGTTGGTGAGTAAGCGAGTCTTGAGTTGAGTCTTGATTGCACTCCATAGAAATGCACATCGCTCACAAGTCACAACACTCAAGTCAATTTTCTTCATAACAGCAAGAGCTTAACGCATTCAGGCTTTGATTGACAGACAGAGACAATAGATGCTATGCAGTCTCGTACCATGCTCTATCGCGCACGCTATGCCACGCTATACCATGCCATACCATGCATTACACCAAACAACCCCAGCCTAACATCAGGCATACAGCCTTCTTCTCCTCCTCCTCCTCCTCCTCCTCCGCCTCGCCTCCGTAGCGTAAAGAACAAAAAACAAAAAACGTTAAAGAAGAGTCGTGACGTCGTGAACGGATGTGGCTCAAAAACGACAACGTGAACGATATCGAAGACCACCGAAGATCGTCGATGAAGAAATGGACTCGGCGTAAAAAAAGAAGGCCAGTGAGAAACTCTCTCAAGTTATCAGCGCTTACACCATCGTCAACAGCGCGCCAACAGCTCCCGCAACACCCAACACCAGCCCCGCGCTCCCCAGACGCGGCGCCGCAGCCGAGCTGCCATCACCGCTGCTGCTACCGCTGCTGCTCGAGTCGGCGCTCAGCTGCGTGACAGGCAAGTCCTTGCGGCCCGTAGCATCGGTGACGCCGTTCAAGGCATCGACGGCCTTGATAGCCGTGGTATCGGAGGAGTTTGCGACGTTGAAGAAGTCGACCAGGACGCCCCAGGGGGCCTTGCCATACGTGACGGCGCAGGTGGCAGCGGAGGCGCCGACGCTGCCGTCGCCGGACACGGCGTTGGTCTGCTCGAGGCGGGCGGTGTCGGGGGTCTCGATGCCAAAGGAGCCGGCCGAGTACAGGAAGTGGTTCATGAGGAAGAGCTGGTTGCTCTTGGCGGCGGCGGCGGCGTCGCCCTTGAGCGCCGTCGGCCGGTCCGGCGTGCAGCTGAAATTGGCCGGCGACGTGTTGTCGTAGCTGTTCTCGTACAGGAAGTTGAACTCGTCCATCAGGTAGGTAGCGTTGGCGGAGGCGGCCTCGTCGGCGTCCAGGCTGGCCACAAATGTCACCAGGCGCGTCTTGGCGTCGATGAGGCTCTGCAGGGTAGGCCAGGAGGTGGGGGCGGTGGAGGCGCTCTTAGGCGTGTAAGCGTAGTCAGCGATGGCAGCGTCGTCGAACTCGGCCTTGAGCTGCGCGGCCGTCGCGTCGTCCGAGTTGACGAGCACGAGCGTGACGACGTCGTTGGCGTTGGCGTCGAGCCACGTCTTGATGTCGGCCAGCCACTCGCTCAGCTTGCCCATGTCCAGCAGGTTGCACGACGAGTGGCACAGGTGCCATTCTGACGCGCCGCTGTCGCCCGTCACCTGGTGCACCTGGGCGCTCAGCAGCCGCACCCCCGCGTCCAGCTGCGTCGTGCTGTTGTAGAACTGGTTGCCCGACGTCGAAAACGACGTGCTGCTGTCGCGCACAAAGGCGCTGTCGTGCGCGCCCAGGTGCGTAATGTTGCCGTACGACCGCGAGCACAGCGAGGGTGAGTTGTTGCACGCCGTCGTCGTCGATTGGGCCGTGCTCGTGGCCGAGAGGAGGAATGTTGCCAACCCGGCGGCCCGGGCGAGGGGTTTGAAGATCATGGTTTCACGAACTTGCAAATATAGTGTAGTAGATAGGTAGATAAGAGGAGCAAACGATTCTCTTTCTTATAGCGAGCGTAAACAGGCAGAGGAAACCTGGAGGACGGGATAGAGATAAGAGTATGAAAAAAGGAGAAAACAAGCAAATCCTTTCCCTTTTTCAAAGCAGGAAGAAAAAAGGCACAGCAGCGAGGCAGCGCAGACTTATAAATATCGCGCCCTCACCCAGCTCGTAAGGTGCACCGCCTCGCCCGCTACGAGGTCCTGACGCGGCTAGTTTCAGTCATCAACGGATCCGTGCGGGCGGCCAATAAAGGGCGACGCGCGGTGGAGGCTCAGACACGGGGCGCCCATGGCCTGTTGCAATCTTGCGACGAGATGAGTGCGCGAAGGGGAGGTCTTGGGGTCTTGGGGTCTTGGGATTCTTGGCCTTGCGCGGGGTCATGTCCATCCATCATCTGCGTAGGGCAGACGCATCGCCCGCCGATCCCGCGCCCGCCCCGTCCGTCCGCCCTGGAACCTGTTACTTTTTGTTCCATCCATACCTAGCGTCATTGTTAGGCAGCCCAGGCCCCTCTCTCCCCCCCTTCACCGTAAGTATATACTGCTGCTGCTGCTGCTGCTCGTGCTTTCCTCAGCTCTCCACTCGTCGCACCACACGCTCCGTAACGCGCGCCCGGAAACCTAATCCTAAATATAACCCAATCTCCACCCATCTCCACAACCATGTCGACCACGACCGCCGAGGACAACAACACCACCACCACCGCAACCGGCACCCTGACCCTGCGCGCCCCCTCCTCCGCCCACGACCCCTCCGCCCCGCCGCCCGCGCCCGCCTGGCTCGCCGGCACCTGGCACGTCACGCACAGCACGCTGCCCATGTGGCGCAGCAAGCGCAACGTGCGCATCACGTACACGCCATTACCCGAGACCTCGCCCCCGCAGCTGGACGACCTCGTCGAGTACCAGCCGCAGCACAGCGCGCACGTGAAGACGGTGCGCGGCGTCGACAAGCCGGCTGCTGACGGCGCGGGCTGGGCCTGGGACTGGCGTGGTAGGGGCTGGCTTGTTGTTGCTACGAGTCGCTGGGAGGTGCTGGGGTTCGGGGACGAGGCTGTTGATAGTGCTGGTGTTGCTGATGCTGCTGTTGATGGGAATAGCTGGGCGGTCACGTATTTTGCGAAAACGCTGTTTACGCCCGCCGGTATCGACGTCTATAGTCGGAGGCCGGGAGGCGTGCGGCCGGACACACTGCACCAGATTAAGACGCAGTTGGCGGGGTTTGAGGACGAGGGGATGCAGAGGCTGGCGCGCGAACTGTTTGAGGTGCAGGGAGATGAGCGAACGAGTGCGTGAGGGGGTGAGTAGTGGGGGTGGTGCTGCTGCTGCTGCACTTTGTATCTTCTCCCATACCCACCCAGTTCCGTTCACGCTCTTGGCCTCATCTGGCATAGAAGCTGAAGAGATAATAGAGACGACAGAGACGTCAGACAGGCGTACAGAAAGATGTAACGAAACAATGCACAGCGAGCCTTTTAATTCCCAAAGTCATCTTCCTCTCTCTCTCTCTCTCTCTCTCTCTAGCAACCAACAGAAGAATATAAAAAAAAAAAAAAGCCTATTCAATTGTCTCCTCACTCCATAGAATAACCCTTTTTCGCATCAACCAAGCCCCCGCCCCCATCTTCCCGCCTCACAAGCTCACACAGCACCCACACCCATCTCCACACCCACACACCACACGCACGCACGCCCACCTACCCCGCGACGCCGCTGCCGCACCAACGCGACACGCAGCGTCTGGGCGCCGCTACCTAGGTACCGCAGTGTACCGCAGTGCAGTGTAGTTTAATTTGACGGGATCGGATCGGATTGGATTGGGGCAGTGCTGTGTGCCTTGCTCTCTTTCGCTCACTCTCATCTCTCTTGCGCAAATACGCCATCTACTAGGCACCTACCTAGCCACGCCATAGCTCCCCCACCTAGTAGTACCCTCCAAAGACGCAATTTCCTGCGCTGTGCCAAGCGAGGCAGTGCAGTGCTCGCTGTGCTGTGCTCGCTATCGGATTTAGAGTTGACGAAAGAAGGGGAGGGTTTGGGTTTGGGTTTGGTTTTTGCTAGGCTGGGTGCTAGATGCTGCGCCTGACGCTGGGCGCTTGGCGGGCTTGGCGGGGGGTAGGGTAGGGGTGAGGTGGCGGAAGAGGGAGGGGAGGGGGAGGGAGGTAGCTGGGTGGTTCTATGGTATAGATTAGTGAGAGTGGGGGTGCTTGAAGTATGAGAAGGTTAAATGGACAGGGTGGGATAAGAAATTAGCTAAGAGGAACGTAAAGTTGATGAATGAAAAAGGAAAAAGAAAAGCTATTAGAGACTATTCAACCCGGGGAATGACTTACTTGTGTTCTGTTCTGTTCTGTTCTGTTTGAGTTTATGAATCTCCGAAAAGCATTACCGCAAATCGGAAGGTGTAGTAGTCTCTGGTTGTATGTAGTCTCTGGTTTATTCTTGTTTCAATGATAGTTTAGTTTAGCATGCGGAAGCTTACGCTCCACGAAGTAGTTGTTGAATAAGGACTTTTATGTCCTGGCGTATCTGCAAGCAAGATAAACTTGCTTCTGTGACACGGGCTGAGTCGTAGATATATCCACACGAGTGGAACATGCGGAAGAATTAAGTCTTGTACCTAAAGAGAGGTTAGTTAGGGATTCGAACTCGAGAGCTGCGTGGTGCGTGCTTAGGTTAGTGAATAGTCTCTGATAGCTTGAGCAACGTAGAGGGACGAGTACGCCATCTAGCTTTTTGATAGTGGGGGATCTGGCTGAATGGTTGATGTATTGGAGGGAGGCGGGGAGCCGGTGTTAGTGTTAGCTCTATAAGTATTGTCTATTGGTTGTGCTGCGTGCAGTTGTGTATAGTCATTTGTAGGGAAAAGTGTTGTAGGGAAGTGTGCATGTATAGGCATGCTAGGCGTGCTGGCTTGGCATGTCCGTACATCCGCACCGCAACCTCAAGAGCTTATTCGCATCTATCCTTCTATCACTGCATCCGCGCCAGTCAATCATGCACTGCCAACACAAGCACTCTCAATTCTAGGTATCTCTTTTCCAGCCCTCACTTCTCACTTCTCCCACTCTCTCCCACCACTCCAAACCACCAAAACAAGAAGAATAAGTAAACAACCAACCAACCAACCAAACAGGCACTCAAGCGCTGCTGCACACAAGAACGGAACCAGACCAAACTAAGAAGCCAAGAAACTCAAAAAACAGGAAAAACCGCAGGGATATAATACAAGCAGCCACCCACACCCGCCCACCTCTCCACTCCCTCTCGTCCACTGGTAGGGGAGCAGAGGAGGTGCAGCCAAACATCACTCCAATCCAACTTGAAACTAAACATATCGGAAGCCTTAGAAGCAAACAGGCAGAAAGAAGCAGATAACGAAAAGGCTAGAAGAGAACAAAAAGGGGGGGGGGGGGGGGGGGGGGGGGAAGAAGAAGAAGAAGAAGACGAAGCCAACAAAAAGCAACAAGACAGCCACCACCTCGCTCTTCCTCCACCCCCAACCAAACCTCAAGCCCGCACGCATGCACGCACGCACACATGCAGCATCATCGCACAGGAGCATATGTATGCGCATGCACGCGCGCAGGCAAGAGTCCCGTCCGAGCACTGCGCGAGTCAAAGCCAGCTCACTGCTTAGGAAAGTACACGCAGCCCGCCCGCCAAATCCAACACCCGCCGAGCCACCCGCGCAGCTAACCAAGCAATCAGGCGAGCGAACAAACTAGCAGCCAACCGCACCGCTCCGCACCGCTCCGCACGCAGCCGACACAACAAACCGCGGACACGGCCGCACCACACCACCGCACGAAACGAAACCAGCCGTGCCGTGCGAGCGGCGCGGCACGGCACGCTTCGCTCCCCATCTCATCGCACCTCACCTCGACGGGTCAACGTAAAACTGTCTCTCCCTCTCTTGCTCGCGTTCCCTTTCACGATCCCTCTCCCCAAGCACATCCGCCAACGGGCCCCCCTGCACCGGCAACACCGGGGGCGCCTCAATGCGCAGCCTCTCCTTCCGCTCCTTCCGCTCCCCCTCACTGCTCTCATCAGAATCGTACTCGTCGTCCCTGTCCCTATGCCGGCGGTGATGGCGCCGCTCCCGGTCGCGCTCGTCGTGCCGATCACGTTCGCGGTCGCGGTCGCGGTGCTCCCGGTCATGGTGCCGAGATTCGCGGCGGTACTCGTCTTCTTTGTCACGCGTTAGCGCGGTGAGAACTTGGTCAAGGACGGGGGTGATGAGGGCGGAGAGGGTGCGGGGAGGGCGAGAGGAGCGCTCGGCGTCGCCATCGGACGGCGGCGCTGCGGCGTGCGGTGAAGAGGAAGAAGTGTGCTCGCCGCGGTCGTCGCCGCCATGCCGCCCATGGTCGTGTGAGGAAGAGTGCCGCCGCCGATGCCTGCGCTTGTGCTTATGATGGTCGCCGTGTGTGCGCGCGTCGTCTTTGCTCCTGCTCCTACTCCTACTTCTGTGTCGCTCGCGCTCGCCATTGTCATTGTCCGACAACGACGACGATGACGACGAAGTCAGGGCAGCGGGCTTCCGCGGCACTTCCGCATCCGACGAGGCATGCACGTCTGGAGGAGCTGGAAGAGATTTATATTTACCTCTGCCGTCGCGGATCTCGCGTGTGCGATCCGCCAACTTCTGAATGTCCTCCTTGGTGAGGACCCGCAGCACAATCACGCAGTCCATCCGCTCCTCAAACCGCTCCTTCGCTTCCTCCAGCGCTTCCGGGTTGACGAGGCGTCGGTCGATCTTGGTCCAACGTGCGTCCGGCGGGATATCTTTGCCCTTCTTGGCATCCTTCATAGGCGCGACACCCTCGCGAATTGGGTTCGGGTCTTCGGGAAATTTCTCAGTCGGCTTACGTAGGATCCCCTTTGGTGGTGGCGTCGACTCTTTGTCAGACTTGGGTAGGGTGACGATGCGCACGCGGCCCTTGTCGTCTCTCTCCTCCGGCGCTGACATGGACCCCGGCTCGTCGACCAGGGACTCGCCGAAGACGCTGTTGTGGCGCTCGCTATATCTGTCGTACTTTTGGTCGCTTGGGCCATCATCTCTAGTGCGTCCCGTCTCTTCCCGACCCCGTCGTTCGTGGCGCTCTCGCCTACGACGTTCTTTTTCGCGTTCGGAGTCACTCGCCGTCCGGTCAACGCTGCCGCTTGAACGCTCAAGCTCTTGTTGGATCCGACGTCGATAGTCCTCGTCAGGGTCCAGGGTCTCGGTAGGCTTGTCGCGAGGCTCACGCCTCTCGCGCTCCCGCACGTCTTCGTAGTGCCTCTCCCGAGGAGCCTCATCGCTGTCATCGGAACGCTTCTTTCTCGGCTCGCGGCGTCTTTCTTCGTCAGAGTCTTGTTTGTGGTCGCGAGCATGGCGTGGAGCACCATATGCTGCGCTGACTGCGGCAACGGCTGCAGGAGCAATGCCTGCAAGGAGGTCTCGGTCCCGGTCACGGCGGTCGTCGCGATCCCTGTCGTGATCCCTGCGCCGCTCCCGCTCTCTGTCACTTTCGTAATCACGTTCACGAGGTCTATCCCGTTCGTAGTCTCTGTAGTCACGATACTCCCTTCTGCCCTCGTCGCGTGGCGGGGCGGGAATATAATCATTGACATTTGGAACTTGCACGGACGGATCAACTTGGTATAGCGCTGGCGGAGGTGGTCGGCGGTCCAGCGACTCCTCTCGAGGGTATGGATCGACATTGCTGGGCGGTCGAATACCGAAGCCTCGGGCTTCGACATCGGGATCCTCAAACCGCCTGGATGACCGCCGGGGATCAGAGCGATCGTCATAATCATCTCGGTACGCATAGCGATCTTCGCGTCGGTCGTCTTGATGCACAAGAGGCTGTCTCACCGACGATGTACGTTCCGGCACACGGTAGGTATCATCGCGGTGGTAGGAGTCGGCGGTGCTGGGCCTGTCTCTGGACCTGTCTCGGGGTGTGGGGCGTCCATAATCACGCACACTCCCGGACCTGCCCACAGGTGCCTCGTTGATTCTGTCAAAGCCCCGAGTCGTGACCGGCGGGCCGAGCTCTCGAGCAGACGATCGCGGGCCATAAGCCTCCACCATGCTGAGTGGACGCCGGCTGCCGCCATCAACGCTGCCCCGACGATCCCGGCGCCAGCTTGGCTCGGTATCTCTATACATGCCCGCAGCGTTCGTGTACGAATAGCCTTCATCGTTCAGGTCCTGGCGTTTACTACTCGGGTGGTAATTCCCGGAATGCCTGTAGCTGCCGCTTTCACGTTTATGGGCAGTGTCGAGCTCCCGTGGGTCTACCCGAACAGCTTTGCCATCGTCTATGCTATAGACCTTTCTGTGTCCGTGGGAGTGACCTTGCTTCGACGATGAGGACCGTTGTACCGAGGTAGCGGGCGTGACGTAAGTGTTTGCACGACTGTCGTACGAGCGCGATGGTGGGCTGGTCTGTCTGTCATGGGAATGGACTACGGTGTTATGCGTCGTTGTCCGCAGAGGCATGCCGCCAGACACGACCGTGGCTGGGCGCTGGCGTTCCTCGATGGTGGAATGGCGGGGTCGTCCAGAGTAAGCATCATAGCCCGCAACACTGCTTCTCGTGGCGGCGCTGGGTTGGGTGGAATAGTTGGTGGTCGACGAGGGCACAATGCGCTCCCCGCTCGACCTCGGCGATCTGTAGGTGGTGTTGTAGTAGGCATCGTAGCCGAAGGTGCCGGTCGAGGCGCGCTCGGGCACAGCCAGGCGCCTGCTGCCTGGCGACGGCGGCCTATGGTAGTGTCTCGAGTCCATGGGTTGACGGCGCGGCGAGACTGGGGTAGGTGACTGCGGGACGGGTTGGACGTGGTGGTCGTGGGACTGCGGGTGGACGGGCGGGAGGGAAAGGCGTCTGGCGTAGTAGGCAGCGGGGCGTTGTGGTGGACGGGATTTGGCCTGGGGCGCGGGCGCGGGCGCAGGCGCTCGCGAGGGAAGTAAGACGCTACTCATGGGGGCCGGAGTCAGCGTGACAGAGCCGCGAAGGAAGCAGACTTGGGGCCGGGCACTCACCGGTTTTATTCAGAGCAATATGTAGGAAATTGTGTTGTAGACGTGATGATCAAGCGACCCCGGCCGCGATGTCATGGAAATGGGGCCTCGCGGTGGCCACGACTGCAGATACTCGGCACAGGCTGATCGCTGCAAAGACCCGTCGCAGGGATGGAGGGCTGGCGCGTGCTGCCCGCGACAAATGCGGAGGCGGATGTGCGTGTGAGCTGGCGGTGAGTTGGGCGCGATGATCGCTTCGTGGTCGCGCTCTTCTTCTCTCCGCCGTATGCTTTTCTCTCGTCTCTTCGTGTGCGCGGCGGGAGACCTGCTGCTTCATGCCTGACGCACCCCGGCTACATACCAATGACATTTTGCGCCACTGACGCGACCCACTCTGCCATTCGCCCATGGCAGCTTCGCTCCTGACGCCAGCTGTCCCAATAGTCCCCAATGCCCGTTCGTTTCAATGCTGCCATGTCTCTCTTCCACCGGCTGCGTCCGCCCGCCCGCGAGCTAAAACATGACCCTGTGTCTTCTATTCCTACGCTGCTGCCCGAGCATTCGAGTGCCCGATGTCTTCGGCTTACCTGAAGACCGTTGACTTGCCCCACTGCGCACGTGTGGCGTCGCGGAGGCTGCCTTTGCCGGATCAGCACGGAGCCTTTCTTCTCCATCATCCCGTCCAGCCTAACCGTCGCCTATTAGCTCAAGTCAGCCCTATCCGGCCGCGACAATTTCCCTGGGCCTGGATTAATCCCTCAAAGCACCGGCGCGAATAAGAGCTGCGACATTAGCGAAGAGACTGATGGCCCGATGGTTTCGAATGTTCGATCAGGCCCAGTTTGATCATCGTCGATTTCCGTTTGCTCATCTTGAGGCTTGCGGCTCCACTCGAACGGCCGCGACTCCTCGAGTCGCCAGCTCAAAATGCACCATCCGATTAAAGCAGCCATTGTCTTTCGCAACACGAGTACACGTACGCAAATAGACAGGTAAGGGAGAACACGCAGAGGCAAAAGCGGGCACCGACGACTATATTGCCGCATGAGGTTTAGCATTACCATGGATTACAGCGTATGGTCACGCGGCTATTCCTTTTCAGCCTCCGGTGAAGTCTCAACGTGCCCTGCCGGTGCCGGCGTCCTTCCTTCTGGCCCGGTTCCAGATCGTTTCGACAAAACTGGGGCCCGGACAGATCGCCGGATCAAAAGTGTGGGGGCAATTGCTGAGACGTTGCGTTCGTAATTTGTGGGGGGCCAAGAGGTGTCCTTTTGTGAGTCCTCGTAGACAGACGTGTGCACTGCCTCCTGTCTCTTGAGCAGTTTCTCCTCAGGAAGCAGTCAGCTTCATACCACATACTCGTACCACCTTCGATTACGCCTCTGACGCCGGAGCCGGAGCCGCAGACGCCGATCCCCGAGCAAAGGAGATAGTGGAGGAGAAGTCGAACCATCTCTGACCTGCCCGGCATATATCATTTTTTCAAAAAATCTCACATGCCAGATCCCGCAGAGCAGCTGCAGCAGGCGTCGCAGAAAATATGCTCGCCACGCAGCTGCAATTGGCGAATGGCTGCCTCATGAGGGCGATGACCCACTCAGTATGCAACTGGTGGGAATGGTGAAGAAAAGAGCATGAGGAACGCAGTACACGTGGTTAACATCGACAGAAAAAGCAGTTCGCATCTATCGCCACCACAGGCTGCAGACGCTTTATGTACGGCCGGGCAAGGGTCCAAGAACAGGCTGCAAGCAATTCTAACCGCTGGGTTTATTTTTAATAAATGCAGGGCGGTCGTTGTAGCTCAACAAACACGCACGCAGAACCCGCTCGCTAGCCCGAAGCAGCCGACATTCTCTCCCCAACTGACCACCGCAGTCATCTCACGACCACCAGCATTCCGACGAAGCCTCTACTCGAATGTTTTGACGTCAAATCAAGAATGGGCGTCAGGTGCGCATGCAGCACGCTGAGTCGCGCAAGCGGGCCAATACCCAGCCCGCGCTAATCCCGACCACTCACAATGGGCAACGTCAAAGGATTGACGATGATCACCTTGGACAACGACTGCCATGATGATGCCCCCCGGGATTCGGGAGCACGGCGTCGGCTATTGGAAAAGACGACTGTGGCGATCACGACTGACGCCTGATGCGTGCACGCGCTGTCCTCGCCGCAAAAAAGGCCCATCACTGCCTTTGTCGAACGTCTTGCATACCGTGGCTGTTCATCTGCCGCCTCGTTCTGACAATCGCCACAGCGACGGTCTGATGCGTCGAGCCATTCGTTCTTTACGCGCCTATGACTCCATCATCACGGCCATAAAGTCCCTTCGGCATCACTGCTCTCGCCCCAATTTCGTGACGCCTCCTTCTACCTACCTCCACTGCTACCATCCCCGCATCGATACCAAGTTTCGCACCACAACGATGCCATCTCTCCATCTCTCTTCCTCCGCCAGATCGGCATCCTGCCGCTCCACCCCCACCATCACGCTCCACCAGAACGTCGCCCGCAAAGCCAAGTCTTTGACCGCTCATCTGTCCTCCACCTCGACCAGCACCACTACCGCCAGCACGGCATCTCGCAGCTCCTCCACCTCACCCTCCTCAGCCCCCAGGAGGACTCCAACCACAGCCATCGTCGTACCTGCCTGCTCCTCCAGCATGCCATCCTCGCTCCGTCCCCGCTATCAAGACCGCGCCTACTCCCGCTAGCCAATTAGCCAGCCGCACAGCATCAGCGGGATTGCGGAGCCGCTGTTGCCGGGGATGTGGAGCCGAGAATGGTGGTGACGCCAGAGATGGGGATGTGGTGTGGGGAGTCAGTGACTGATATGCGGAGTGATGTACACTGGCACATCAAACAGCCTGCCCATCACGGCCGTGCGCGGAGCCACGCCATCCCAGGCCACCCACCGGCGCCTGTCAGGCCTCCGCCGTCGCCGCCGCCGCCGCCGCCACCCCCGCGGATGGGTGATCTCCACACGCACGCACCCCGCATGTCTTGACTCGTTGCGTGGATGGCCAGCGTGTGGAGGGTGCGTATTGGTGTTGCGGAGATCAGACAGAGTTAAATGTGATCGGTGATGGTTGTGGTGGTTGTGGGGAAGGGTATGGCGGCCTGGGTCGCCTTGCCTTGCTTTGCCAGCCCTCTCTGCCTGCCGTCTCGTACGGTAGGCTGTGAGGTGGCTAGCAGTCTGGCGGTCTGCCAACCCGCCACCCCAACTGCCTGCTACCTCCACCACCCACCAGCACATCAGTACTTCCGACCATCGCTCTACTCTGGCGGCCTACTACCATGCGTGGCAGCCAGAGTGGCGGGTGGAGAGACTGGAACGCCCGCCACCAATGGTCACGCCACGGTGTACGCGGCCACCAGCCACTCAACAGGTACCAGCGTCCCGTTGGGGTACGCGAGCATTGTCGCCGCTGTCGCTTCAGATGGTATGGGAACGGGGCAGTGCTTGGTATCTGCCTCGCTGTAGACTTTGGCCGGGTCTGGTCTGTCCAGGAGGAAGACAGTGGTGCTGAGACGAGCCACGAGTTCTGTCTGGGCTGGGAGCCTGAAACGGGAGTAGCATTGGGGTTGGGGTTCTCTGTTTGGAGGTGTGGAGTAAAATAGGACTGTACTTTAAAGGTGAGGCTTCGAATAAGTTGCCTACCCGCGTAATAACATATATAAATGCACCTAATGTGTCTAAGCTCTCTTATACCCCGATAACTATACATTTCCGTACACTTATGTGATACTTTTTCTTCTTATATATCTAAACCTTCGTGATTTTTATCTTTACTTCATATTAATTTTTCATATACAAAGAACCAGCACACACACATATATATTAAATATATTTATACTTGTAAGGCTACACACCACCTAAGAGGTACTCTATAGGTACAATACATTTTGTACAAAATATAGTTGAGGCGTAAGCAAATTATCCGGGATCAGATGGTAAAATGGTCACGAGTCATACAAGAAGACATAATCTGTCGCATGACTCGTGCATTTCCCGTGCTCACCGGGTAACGGATGTGCGGCGCGGCTGTGGCGTTCCAGAACTAGGCAACAGCAACAACACCTTCACGTGCCCTGGTTCAAAGAAAGTCTCTAGCTGATGCCTGCAATACTGTTTCTCGAAATACTATGCACCTCCTCTGACCTCGTCGTTCTAGGACACATACGACCTTCTCTGAGAACGATTCTAGAACGACACATTCGAGTAGCGTCGGTGGCCTTAAGGGAGACGCCAAAACTCATCAATTCTCTCGACTGCATTCCTTTTCCGGCATCCGGAAATCCCCGCTAGTTCTGCAGTCCCCGGTTATAGCCTAGTATTATGGCTTCCTATCTCCCTCGTCGGTTGACCAAACTATATTCCGACACCAAGCAGGACATGGTGGCGGAGCAAGCCAAGCTTGAAAATGTCCCCCAGTTGAACGCTCTTCAGCGCAAATTTCGCATCCAAAAAGATCGTCTGGTAACTTGGGGCCTTGAATGGAGCGACAACAGTACTACTGCGCCTGAGGGTAGCATCGACGAATCCATAGCCCGAGCGGGGATGACCGAAACAGTGACAAGCGTCTTGAAGACCATACAAGACATACTGGACGAAGCAGATCACATCAGTCGCTCTGCAGAACATGAGGGCAGTGACAAAAGAGTAGAAAGGAGTCCGGGTAAATCATCTGGTAGTCGCTTTTGGACCCCAGCTGATAGAACACGTTATGTGGAACTGGCCGAACAGCTTGCTACTTCTATCGACACTCTCCATGGCATCTCACGATCCAGACGGGCTATAGATCGGGGAAATTACCAACTTGAGACAGAAGAAAAACTAATCGATCTTGATTCCTCTCCCCCAATAACAACTCAAAAATCTTTCGACGACGTCGATGCATACAACGATTCGATGCTCACACTTATCAGCCCGCCGAACCAAAGAGTGGTTGCAGGCTCAGAGGCGCCAGAGAAACTGGACCCAACCCGTCTGGTATTACCAGAAGAGGAACTTCCGCCATATGAGATTGTTGGAGCCCCGTCATGCACACGCTTAGTCGGTCATTTAAAGCAGTTGGATTCATCTTCCAACCAAGACCTGTTGAGCGACAGTTCCCCAACACCAGTACTCGTTGAATATGTGGGATATGATCCCACGTTTCGCCTTGCAGGGGTTTCACCTCCCCAGGAGCGTCTAGAGCAACTTCTAGAAGTTCTCTCTTTGGGAGTCGGTCGGTTCGGAGATGGCCCAGATGCCCCGGGATTTGGCACGTTGAAGTGCTTGGGATACTTCGAGGATCCAAAGCAACCTCGGTATGGCTTCGTCTTCGAGTTACCCAGCTTCGTAAGCTCTGGAATGATGAGATCACTGAGGGCGCCTGAAATCCAAGCACTGCGTCCTGTCACTCTCTTGAGTATCCTACAGGTTGGCTCAAAGTCGCATGGCGCGCAAAATACTCCAGGTGTAACTTACACACCACCGCTGGAACAACGATTTCGGATAGCACTCAACTTGGTCCTGTCATTTAGTAAACTTCACTCCAGCGGGTTTGAACACAAAGATGTCAACAGCAGCAATATTCTGTTCTTTTACAAGAATGGAAGGGTCCATCACCTCAACCACCGGAAGCCAGAGTACGAGCTTCGATCGCCATATCTTTGCTCCTTTGACGTCTTCTCTGACTACAATGTGGAAACGAGTACCGTCGAGAACGCACACATGAACATCTACAGACATCCGCACGATCCTCGAACCGGGTACTCAGAGCACAGAGACTACACACCCTATTTCGACATGTACAGTCTCGGCCTAATTCTTCTTGAAGTCGGCATGTGGCTTCCGCTTGCGGACCTGTTCAAGTCCAAATATACCCTGGCGGATTTCAAAATTCGTCTAGAGGACATTTGGATCCGAAAACTCTCTGGAAAATGTGGTACAGCATACATGCAAGCAGTAAGAGATTGCATCTCTGCTGCAGATAAGTGCCTTTCACTGGCTGAGATCAAAACAACCTACGACCGCATCCTTCGGCGGTTACATAGGTGCTGCCTCTTGGATGAGACAGACCCTTATGAACCCAACAGCAGATCATATTACTCGCCTCCAGACTTTGCAAGGGTTCCTAAACACCAGGAACGGATGTCTGGGCAGTTTACAAATCCATCCATGCCGCTCCTGAAAGGTTCATATCCTTACGAGATTTGGCCCGAACACCATCAGGATTCACGCAGAGAGCCTGGTCTCCCTCATTACCATGGCGTAGAGGTAAGGAGCACATCAGAGAGCTGGCTCATGGACCCTATCAATGCCCACTACGGGGGCTATAAGGATACATGGAACCCGGATGATATCTCCAAAACGAACGAAGGACAACACGGCTTGACCAAAGGGACTTCACCATCTATCTACAAGGAAAATCTGGCCACTGCTGCCAGCACCATCCAACGGGCTTGGCGCACGCATCGAATCAAAGTTTCCTTCCGTGAATACAGACGAAAGGTAATTATTGTTCAGAAGCATTGGCGGCAGCGGAAAGAGCAACGAGCTTTGGCACAGTTAGGGACACCACGACCAAGCCTGCAACGCTTGGGCGAGGATTCTTATCCCACGCCAGAATCGAACGTTGCCACAAATGACACGCACATCAATGCCTTCGTTAGAATGAAGCAGCACTGCCAAAGACCCAAGCGTAAGCTCCTTGTCCAGCCCCTTTGGCAACCCACACCAGAAATTGCCATGGAATGGGACCGCACATTGCTACCTCGCCTTATGCGGATCTGTGAGCGTGCTCTCAAGGATTCGACTGAGAGTTCGAGTATCGACCTTTTCGGTGTCGGATCGTCTCCATCAGAGGCGAAAGCAACAATCGTCGTCACCTGCACAAACACCACCAAAGTCAAATGCGTTCTCGCTCGAAAATTCAGCTACGATCGCGCTGTCTACGACCTCAAGGTTCACAAAGGCAAGGTCAAGCGGTCCAAATTGACTAGGCCGAGCAGAAGGCGGAGACCACCTCACAGATCCATGATGGAATACACGGAGGATGAAAGCAACGTCCCAGCCTTCAACAAGCATTTTCAACAAAGGCCAGTATGCGGAGCAAGTATCGGAGCTTATAACGGGGAACATTTACCGCCGGTATCCTATGGCGGTGTCATCTTGGTCGACGGAGAGCCCTTTGGTATGAGCGTTCATCATATGCTGGACGCCCCAAGCGAGGACGAAAGCGATTACGAAGACGACATCTCAGACATTGGGTAAGTATCTGCCATAAGGATGGCCGCTCTCTGTTCAACCACTTTTTCGTCAATGACCATGGTCAATCGCTACGCCTTTCGGTAGCGATAAGCATTTCATGCCTCCATCCAACTCTTAAAAAACCTTGAATTATTAGGCATCTTGCCAATCGACACAGAACTCTATTGCTAATCACCGAAACCAGATCCGAGGAAGTAGTCCGCTCAAGCTCTCATGTCAGCAGCTATCCGTGGACATCTGAGATAGGGACACAGCTATCACCCCAGGATAGTGTTCCTATGGCCTTCGAGATCTCTGATGATGAAGATTTCGAAGACGAAGCCAGCGACTTTCAAGATGATTCCACTTCGGAGTCCTCAGACAACGAAAGCGAAACGACAGCATCGGAAGCTGGCGACGTCCCAGGCATTGACGTTGGCGACGGTGACGAGATTACAATCACGCAGCCCGCCATTGACGACGTTGACGATGACTTCTTCCCTTGCGAGGAAGATCGTGAAGAAGACCATCTTGATTCGCATGAGCTGGGCCATGTGTATGCCTCTTCAGGAATCCGAAGATGGAACAGAGAAGGCGTGCTGCATGAGATCGACTGGAGTTTGCTGAAGTTGAATGACGAGAGACTACAACCGTACAATTTGGTACAAGGGGGAAAGCGTTACTTCAAGGATGGGGCCCTGTGTCCGAAACTAGTGGACCCAGTGAACAGGTTGTACTACGGTCCAGAAGACGATGAATATCCCAGTCGAGTGAGTCCCTTTAGCTCTCGGGAGTAAAGTCTCATCAAACTGACAAGCGCAGGTTGCAAAAGCTGAAGACCTCGCCAGTCTGCGAGTGCACTGCTTTGGACGGACTAGCGGCCTCAAAGGTGGTGTCATCAGCAACACGATGACGGCCGTTAAGGTACATGGCCGTAAGTCCTACGCACGAAGCTGGCTTGTAACTGGCGGCCTAGGCGTGGGCGGCGACTCAGGCGCCTGGGTCATCGATAACGAGCAAGGCCGCGTCTGCGGCCACATTCTGGCCTGGTGCAACCGCAACCATGTGGCATACATCTGCCCGATGGAGGTCCTGCTCGAAGACATAAGGCGTACTCTGGGCGCTTGCAAAGTCGTGCTGCCGGGCTCAGAGGAAGCAGAAGAGGAAGAGACGGATACGGAGGAAAATGGGAAGGAGAGTTTTGACCTGTCTGAGATTAAGTCGTTGAGTATCGATGAGGTGCAGGTGGCCCGCGATGTTAGGACGGCACTGAAGAGCATGGATGGCCCAGCGAGGATCGATCTGTACGGACGAAGGAATCGGCAGATGGCCTGAAAAGTTTGCTTGTGGAATTTGCTCGGATGGAGGGCCCAAAATCGGGGTTTCTTTGCTCTTTGAATGTCGACTTCTTTGTCTTTACAACCCGATCTCTCTTTATGAGCACGTATTATGAGGAAGTTCAGTGGACGCTTCATGATTGGCGGTACCTTTCATATCCCATATCGTCGAAAATTAAGTTGACATGAAGAAAAAGGCATCTCATGCTGGTCCAAGACAATTGCAGCACGGACAGCGACTCCTGGTGAGACTTTGCTGCTCATATGTAGTCGGCACAGACTCTTCACGCTCATACGATAAGATAATTTTCACATGCTGACGGGAGCAAAAGCTGGGGTGCATGCCAAGCTGTGCGATGACGTGTGGCGGGCGTTGACGTAGGGAGCCTGGGCCATTCCATTCCCCCGGACTCCGCAGCCATAATGCGGAGGTCACCATGTCTTCTTGATGTCGTTTGCCATCATCGCTGTTACCATTCGAAGCTGAACAGGACTCAGGTCGGACAACTCTAGTTTACATCTAAAGTTGATCACTACATTGATCTACTCGTATACCTTGCCCCGGTGCTGCCACAACCATGGCGCACGTCTACAATAGCCAGTTGGTATAGACGCTATGCCCGAAGCCGTCAGGACTTAGATAGCTAACCACAATCGCAGGATGCCTTCACTCTTTATCATCAGGTGCAAGAGGAGAAGAAACCCCATTCTTCCATCGGCCCCGCTCTGCCAGCACTCGGTCACGCCACGTCCGGGGCGATCGGGTCAGCACTCGCGCACTTAGCGATCTATCCGCTGGATCTGATCATCACGCGGCTGCAGGTGCAGTCACAGTTCAAGAGCTCGGCTGAAGACGGCGACGACGACGAATATGCGGATGTTGTGGACGCGATCAAAAAGATCTACGCACGCGAAGGCGGCTTGACCGCATTCTACAGTGGCGTGGGCCATGACACAGCCAAGAGCATCGCGGACAACTTTTTGTTCTTTTTAGCGTACAATTTTGTGCGCGAGGCGCGGCAGCGCGCGCGCAGCGACGGCAAGGCGTTGCCCGTGCTGGAAGAAATCGCGGTCGGCATGCTTGCTGGTGCGTTTTCCAAATTTTGGACCACGCCCGTGCAGAACATTGTCACGCGCAAGCAGACGGCGTCGATGGTGGCTGCGCGCTCCAAGACGAGCAGCGTCAGTCCCCAGCTCAGCACCAAGGATATTGCGCTGCAGATTAAAGACGAGAAGGGCCTGCAAGGCTTCTGGACGGGCTACTCGGCCCAGTTGATATTGACTATCAACCCGGCGCTGACGTTCCTGCTGCATGAGACGCTGCTGCGCACACTGGTCCCCAAATCCAGACGCGCGGATCCGGGCCCAAGGCTCACGTTTCTGGTTGCCGCGTTGAGCAAGGCGATAGCGTCTACAATCACGTATCCCGTCTCTCTGGCGAAGACGCGCGCACAGGTGTCGTCGCAGTCACCTGCCTCAACCGCAGATGCAGAGCCTTTGCAGGAGAAGGCGTCCGATGCAGAGGCAGTCAAAAAAGCGAGAAAAGCAAGCCGCGCCACAATATTCGGCTCTATTCTCGAGCTAGCGCGCAGAGAAGGCGTGGCAGGCTTGTACCAGGGCCTTGGAGGAGAAGTGTTGAAGGGCTTCTTCACGCACGGGCTAACCATGCTGCTGAAGGAGCGGATACACGGGGTGGTGATTCAATTGTATTTTTTGGTACTCAAGGCGCTGAAGAAGTATCCAAGCCCACACGAGCTGGCCGCACAGACGGTGCCGGAAGGTTTCAAGGAAGGGTTCGAGAACGTTTCAACGCAGGTGCAGGATGGGTTCAAGGCGGCGGCGGGCCAGGCACAACAGGGCCTTCAGGCGGGAATGGAATCGGGTAGGGAAATTGTGTCAGAGGCGCAAGAAGGATTCAAGGCTGGGGTGGAGTCGTCGCGAGAAGTGGCGTCGGGCGCAGCATCACACGCGCACAAGGCGATGGAGAAGGGACGCGCCCAAGTGGGGGACGCGTACGGGAAGGGCAAGGAATGGTTGAGGGACAACGGCGACGGGCAGAAGGATTGATGCCTGAGCGCGACACGCGCCTGATGTAGCCGGGAGTCCCATGGCGGCGTGGTTGTGCGTGTAGCGGGCGTAGCGAGAAGTAGGCGATGCGGTGAGGGCGCGCGGGAACGGGAAAAGGAAACGAGCGTCGACGGACGCGGGCAACGTACGGGAGGCGGACGGGAGGGGGGGTCTTTTGGAGTCGCGGGCGCGCTCACAACAATGGATTGAGGCCGTCTTTGATGGATTGTGCTTGCAGTCTTTTGCCTAATGGCGACGACGACGCTGCATGCAGACTGACCTGCTACCCTTGTCAAGCGGCTTCGCGCTCTGTTCACGAGGCAACCAAAGCGCCTAGGCGTCGATTGCACCGCACCGCACCCTCTCAAGACAACAGTCTGCAACGACCACCAACTCACCCAACGCCCGACTTACCACCCCCCGGAGAGCCCGCGCGCCGCAAGAAATGGACGCCGGGCGAGCGCGACAGTAACCACGACCACGACACGACCCAGACAGCCGCTCGATTATCGCTCCGCCGCCGCTCACCACTCTCCCCCAGACTTCACACCGCCGACACCCACTCCGTTGAGTCCCGCGCCGCAACACCGCACCAAACCACCCACGACCCCCCGCCGCTGCCGACAGCGACGACTACTTGACGACTCTTTACTGCCGCCACGACTATCGTAACGACCTCCCCCCCCCCCCGCCACGGACCACCCCACACTCAGGATAAGGAGCCCCCAGCAGGCCCCATAGTCGAGCACCGGCCATGCCATCAGCCGCCGAACCCCCCTCGTCCCCCACCGCGGGCGGCTCTCTCGAGGAAGACCTCGCCTACTACAAAGCCCAGTATGAGCAGCTCGAAGTCGAGCTGCAGGAGTTCCAGGCCTCCAGCCGCGAGCTCGAGGCCGAGCTCGAGCGGGACATCGAAGCGTCCGAGAAGCGCGAACGAGGCTTGAAGGAGAAGGTCGAAGGCTTGGGCTTTGAGGTCGAGGAGTGGAAGGTGAGTCGAAGGACCCCCTGAATGGCAGCGCATTCGTCGGCTTGACGGCGAGTGCCCCCCTGGAGGGTTTTGGATGCGGCATGCAGGCGCCTAGTCGTCAGGACGGGGGCTGACCGGTCTGCCTCAGGCCAAATACAAGCAATCCAAAACCGAAGCCAACGGCGCTCAAAACGCGCTTCAGCGGGAGATCACGACTCTCCGCGACCAGAACCGGACACTACAGCTCACACTGCGGGACATTGAAGTCGCAAACGACGAGCACGAGCGTCAAGCTCGCTATCACACCTCATCATTGGAAGACCTCGAGCAAAAGTACAACGTCACGATAGAGCGTGGCGTCATGCTCGAGGAAGAAATCAAGGCGGGTGAGCAGGAGCGTGAGGATCTCCGGATAGAGAACCAGCGCCTGCGTGATGAGCTGTCTGACATCTCCATCGAAACCGACATCATCAAGGAGAAGCTTCGTCTTGCTGAGGACACCGTCACTCGTTTCCGTGACCAGAAAGCTCGTGCGTTCACATCGGGCGAAAGGCCGCGCTCACCCGTTTCAGAGACGTCAACGTCCGCCACCACCGTTTCATCGCCCACCATGTCGACACCGCCCCCCATCAAGGAAAAGCGGACCAGCGTGCCTACCCCGCCTTCGCCGCCGCCTTCCGAGTATCCCGAGCACACCAAGGAAAGAATCACTCCGATTCAACGCAAGCGCTCGGTTGCCGTCCATGATAACACGACGCCTCGTGCAGTCAACTACCCCAGCGGTGCTAGACACTCACGCGCTCCGTCGATCCCGTGGAGCTCGTCGACCGCCAGCGGCCGCCAGACACCCGCGAATCGCACCACCAGGAAGGGCTTGCACTCTAACCGCTCCAGCGCCGATGGCTTGCCACGCTCGAGCTCGTTGTACCAGATCCGGGGCCTCATTGGCAAGATGCAGAAACTCGAAGCACGCGTGCACAGTGCGCGGAGCAAGCTTCCCGGCCCGACGACCACGCCGCCGCGGGCGAGTCCCCGCAACAACAGCGCTAATGGTCAGCACCCACTTCCCATCGGCCACACTCTCCGCAAGCGCACCAGCAACAGCACGACCAGCTCTGTCAGTAACAGTGGCCAAGAGACCGCCCCGCCCGTTAGCAAGCTCTCGTTCGGAACTCCCACCAACACCAAGAGCGCCAACGGCACCAGCCTCGGGCCGTTTATCGCCAGCAGCACCGTTAGCGGCAGCAGCCGGCCGAGCAGCAGGAACAGCGGCAGTGATCGATCGGCCGTTGGACGGCCGACTAGCCGCACCAGCCACACCTCGAGCAACATCACAGGCGGCCGTACGACACCGATCGGCCACTACTCGACATCCTCGACAACAGAGGCCCGGAGACCGCGTTCAAGCGTCAGCAGGGCTGCGCGTGATCCTTGGGGTGACCGGTATGGTGGCCGCGCTACGCTGTCAGTGAACCACAACCACAGCCAATCGGTTTCAGACCAGCGGTATGGACGGGCACGTGCGCTCAGTCGGCGTGAGCTTGATGACGACGACGACGATGACGATGAGGATGACCGCCGCCGCCGCCCTAGCCGCACCAACCGCCTTGTGACGCCGGTCAAGCGGGCCGACTTCAGCAAGAGCGTTGGGGCCGCCTCGACCGGCATCCCGAAATTCTCACCTGGCTCCGGCATCCCAGCTCCTAGCGGCTTACCTGCTCCTCGCGGCTTACCTGTGCCCAGCTCCTTGCCGCGGACAAGCATTGGCAGGAGGAAGACCGTGACGGAGAGAGACTCGCCATCAGAGCCGCCGCGCACGCGTACCATCGGAAGACAGAGAGGATACAGCGAAGTGGGCGAGACGTGGTAGATTGGTTGGCCCGGAAGGATGATGCGTGATAGCGTTCATGCATTTGCTGCATGCATCATCTGGCAGGGCCTCAACAGGGGACGGGGCATGGAGAGGCAGACGATGAGATATGAGAGGATGATGATGTACGGAGGACCAGAGATGGAGAAATTGAGAGACGGAAGCAGATGAGAGACACGAAACACCAGCGATGATGGACCAAAACATCGCACATCAGGACCGATAACAGCCGACCGACCGAACGACCAACCGACCGCAAGGAGGACACCATGAAGGAGGAATCACATTTTCAGAGAATTCCCCCAGGTTGTCCTGCTTTGCTCGCACTTTCCTTGCCGAACAGCCACACCATAGAGCTCTATACAGCTCGCACAAATTTTCCTTGGGCTTTTTTATGTTTGTCTCTTTTGTTGTTTCCTTATTTTTTACAAAATGGGGACATGAACGCACACACCACACACAACACACTCTTTGAACAGTTTCATGATACCCCCTCACAACCACACACACTTTACGCACGATGCAAGCAAGCAAGCGATTCTCTCGTTACTTTTTTTCATATTTTTCTCCTGTTATTTCGATTTTCCCTTACAAACAAAGAAACCACTGGGCAGTCGCCCACACTCTCTTCTCTCTCCTACACGTATACTGCGTGCAAGGCGCTCTCGCCCGCGCAACCGGTCGCTCGCTACCATGGCTCCTTTGTCATACTATATCTCCTTTTTCCTACATTTTATCGGCACGGCTACACCACCAAAAACCATCGGTCCAACCACGGAAAAACGAAACAAAACAGCGGCAAAGGAAAGACGAAGGAAGCTAGCAGCAAAAGCTCTCGCGGTCGAAAAGTGGCGGCGGCGGCGCGCTGATCCTGGCTTTCGATGCCTTTCTCTCTCCCTGCGCTCCCGGTCTCTCGGTCCTCTCTCCTCTCTCTCGTCCTCGGTCACCTTCTTCCTCCTCGGAGTATCCCACTCGACTCAACCTCTTCCTTTTTTGGCCTTCCGTCTTCCTTTGCGGAACCCCAACCTTTTTATTGTATTTTGCTTTTTCTTTCAACGGCGTTTTTTCAGTCTAGTGTGTGCGAGTATTTCTAACAGTTTGGCACTGCAATTGAGAATTATTTTTACTGATTCTTTGTTCTTTTGCTTTTTTTTTTTTTTTTTTTTTTTTTTTCCTACTGCGGGAACAACATCGGGTCGGGCGCTCGGCGCTGGGGTTATGTGCCCTGACATGGGTTCCTTAGTGAGGGGCTTGCTTGGGTGGCCGTTTTTGCGTGCCGCGGCGTACGCCTTGCCTTGCCTGGTCTGGTCTGTTCTTCTGTTGCTGTTTGTTTGTTTGTTCGTTTGCGTTGTTTGCTTTTTTTTTCTTTCGTGCCATGCTGGGCGCGGTTTGCTTGCTATCGGTCTCGCTCGTTTGGAGATTGATAGCGGGTGGGTCGGGCTCGGTGGGCTCTTCTTCTAGTTGTTAGTTGTTTGTTTTGGGCGTTTTTCTGCGTTTTCAAAGGGTCCGTTGCTCTTGCTGCTGCTGTTGTTGCCGTCGTCGTCTCTGTGGAGAAAGAAGGGACTCGCTGTTGATGGAAATTGAACTGGACTGGATGCGATGGCATGGGATGGGATGGATCGGCAATGAAAGAATGCATATAGTTAGTAGTGAGTGTTAAAAGTGCTGAAGATTGAGCTTGAGCTTGAGCGATTGTGGATGTGGATATGGATGTGAATTGTGGTTGTGCTTATATGTATGTATGTATGTACGCGGGGTACGCGGAGTGTTTGCTGGGGCTTGCTGTAGCTGTAGATGCCTGGGTTTGGACTGGCTGGGCTGGCTGGTCTGGTCTGGTCTGGTCTGGTCTGGCTGGCTGGTCTGGCAGGGCAGGGCAGGGCAATGGCGCAATGCAAATACGAGGGTCTTTGGTTATGTCTGTGTGCGTGCGTGCGTGCGTGTTGTGTGTAGACGAGGGGGTGTGCTGCTTATGTGCTGCTTATGTTGTGATGGTTGTTGGCATGCGGGCTTGATGCTTGACGTGGTTTTTGTGTGGGGGTGGGGAAGGTGAGGTGTGTTGTGTTGTGCGGGGTGCGGGGTGTGGGATGTGGGATGTAGGATGTGTGTGTTGGGCGCTTTGTTGTGTGTTGTGTGTGCGTGAGGTGTGTATGTGAGGTGTACGTGAAGTGAGGTGTAGTGTTGTGAGGGTAAAATGCGCTGGGGAAGCGGAGGGGTTATAGTTGTTGATGGTTGGGGTGGGTGGGTAAATAAGTAGGTGGATCGAGTTGGAGATGTATAGATGTGGAAGTGGATGTATATGTAGATATAGATGTAGATGTAGATAGACGTGGATATAGATAGACGTAAACAGAAATATAGGTATTATAGACAAGTCTACACACTCTCAGAAACGAAACAACAAAAGCAGAATAAAACAAACTTATACAATTGATCTGACTTGGTTACTCGATATAGTATGCTAAACTTCACCTCCATCTCTACTACACCCGCACCACATACCTACCCAGCTCCTCCCTTCCCTCCTTACCACCCACACCTTTCCAGCCCATCCTCTAAATATAAACACAACAAGCATCCTACGACACACCCCACAGCCACCGTTATTTTTAATCTCCCAGCCACCAGCAGCACCACATGCAACGCGCGACAAAATTAGAACGAGATGAAGTGCGCTTGCCAACTCATCAGCGGCGAGGGCGTGCGCGCGCGCGGGGTGGCTGTGGGGGCGTGCGCGGGGGACGGGCTGGCCGAGTGTGCGCGCCGGGGGCCGCGCGCGACGGGATGCGGAATAGGGCATGCTGTAGCGCTGCGCGCTGCGCGCTGCACGCGAGAGAGGGGAAAGGGGGTGCGCGTGTGGATAGGGGTGAGGGGTGAGGGGATGGGGATGCGGGTGGGTGGGTTGGTGGGTGTGCATTGCGGGGAGGGACGGATGGTGATGGTGATGGGTATGCATGGATGGTTTCACCAAGGTAGGTAGGACAGACACAGTAGATATAGTAGGTAAGCAGACCGTCTTGACTCTCAATTGCGGCGCCAAAAGCGGTAGTAGTCCTACCTAGGTATGAACGCCCCTCTATCCAACCCCAAATCCAATACCGTCACGCCATCGCCCCCTTCCCCGCCAGCCCTACGCCCTACGCCTTACGCCCTAGCCCTAGCTCTACGCCACGTATGAAGGCACAGTCACGCCCTGCATGCCTCGTGCGCGCGTGCGCGCGTGCGTGCGTGCGTGCGGCAGCGCAGCGGACACGCGTGGGCGCGGGTGCGGTAGGGCGTAGGGCGTAGGGCGTAGGGCGTGTGTACACGTAGGTATGTGTGTATTTTAGGAACGAACGTACGTAGGGCTGCGTTAGGGCTGGGGATGCGTGCTGCTTTACTGTTAGGTAGTGTGATGAGAATGAGGGTGGGTTGAGTTAGGGTGGTTGAGTGATGGGGTTGGGTTGGGCAAGACGACATCCGCCGTGCTTGTACGAGTATGTTGGTTTGTAAGATGAGTTTGCTTGATGACGGCTGAGTTGCGGCTGTTGTTCGTTCTGGTTGGGTTGCTGTGTGTTTGGTCTGGGGCGCCAGCGTGATGAGGTGTCGACTGTCTTTTCCTCTCTCTTTGCTTCGATATAATACTCCAGGTTGACGTTTTCCTTGTCTTCAGTCTCGTGTTCTTAGATTCAGCTCCAGCCCAACTCCAGGCATTTTCACAGCTGTCTCTTCTTCCACCTTGACTACCGCCTCACCTCGAGCAGCACCCTAATAACGTAACTATGCGCGCGACCTTCCGCCGTGTCTCTCTCGATAGGTAGGATGTCGCTGTTCCAGCTGGAATATACCTCTTTAGAAATACTCTCCCCGATGCGGGTTCTCTCCTGCGTTCGGCGGCTCTACGTGCTCCGCGATCAATCTAGATACCCGTTCACATATACGACGACACTGGTCTCGATGCCTCGGCAGTGAAGACCTGACGGTGCGAACGGGCAACGTACGCCACACTATTTCACTATTTCCGCGTTGACACGCCGTGCCTGTGATAGTGTCGCGTAGACTGTATACGTACCTCATCCCCAGCAGGTCATCAGGCACTATCTCACCGGCATGGTAACCGATGCTCCTATGACTTTTACTGTTTTCTCGTTTCCTTCTCTTGGCCATCTTTGAAGCCTCTTGCTTCTTTGACGCGGGGTATATGGGTTGTTGTTTGTTCTACTACTTCTTATATACCTACCGCCGAAGGGTCACGGTCGAGATCTATCGAGATCAGATCCGGCTAATAGTGATCATTGTTAACGAGCAGCTCTTCAGTGGTACCGGTCTTGGACGCATTTATGGAGCTTTCGATCTTGTCCATCGATGGTGGTATTCTCTTGTCGAGCTCAACTATTCGTTGACTTGCTTTTGGACTACTTCGAAGTGCCTTCGGTGATGGACTTTGCCTCGAAGATGGTGCGCAGAGATAGATAGCATAAACGAGGTGTAACAATTAGAGCAGTGGAAACTTCCGTCACCGTCAAGCGGGATTTACCGCATTACGAGATAATGACGCTTGTACGGAGTGGAAGAAGAATCCAGTTAAGGTGTTTGTCGTATGTGTGTGCTCCAAAACCTTTTCACTCATGTCCAAGATATAGGCTTGTAGCCAGACAAGGAGTATCGTTCCTTGTCTCGCTGGAAGGTGAATCTCGGTTGACGGTGACGGACTTTAATTGAGCTGTCAAGTAGCAGAATCCTACCAAGACCCGTCTTTATCTTCGGAGGCGGCAGCGCGAGGGTACAAGAGCGTTGGAGGAGCGGGCGCGAGCACCGTGATGGGCGTCCTGTGCGATTGGGGAGGTGCGAGGTAGATATAAAGCAGCACCTAGAAAATAGGCTTTGGGGTTGATGGTCTGTGTGCAGTGAGGCGCGACAGAATGGCCTGATTTGCAAGGACGGGCGGTGCGGGCAGCGGGCGGGTAGGGCGATCGCGCGAGGACCCTGCGTGCGGTGGACTGCGGGAGGCGCACACGCGGGGTGCTGGCCTTGATTGCTTGTTTTTTTCGCCCTGGTTGCTGGAGCTGGGGAGCTGGTGGTGTGGGTTGCAACGGAGGTGCTGCTTTCTTGGACCGGGGGGCTGGGGAGCGGGACCCGCGCAGAGACGAGATTGTCCTCCCAAACTCCACCTCGCCGAGCTCCATGCCGACGACAGCCGACTCCGGTTCGGCACATATCGCACGGTGCCTCGACCTCGACGTCACTCGACCCCAACGACGCCGCCGCTGTGGCTTGGTGCAACCTCAGCTCCCTCTGCGTTGGTGGTGGATGTTGTCACCATTGTTGCTATCCACATACACTCATACACATACACATGCACATACAGCATACACAATTAGATGGGTATTGTTGGTGGCTTTCCGTGGAACGGGCGGAAGTGCTGAGGTGAGCCGGTGAGCTGAGTTGAGCTGACTGATTGGGGCATAATCCATTGTTGGAAGCGCGTCGGGTCACAGTAACTCCTAGCGTCAGCCTCACCGCTGCTCGATTCACTCAATCAAGTCGTCATGTTCTTCACGATGGGAGACAAGCGAGGGTGCGGCTGCAACTGGGTACTGCCACGAGGTTGCCGTCGCGCACCTGCGTGACGGATGCCGGAGTCCGAGGCGGAGATCCGATCGGGACGGGTCTCACTTCACTACCGCCTACCAACAGCACCGAGCAGGGGGAGGCGGAAGCCACGCGATATTGGTGGATTGGATGGAAGGAAGAGGGAGTAGGGAGCAAGATCAGGGTCTAGGTACAAGCTACAGACCCAGGATGATGGGACAAAAAGAAGTTGGGGAAAGCTTTTAGCGGGCAAAAGGCTTGGAGGCGGTCAAGGGCGGCGCAGGAGCAAACTCGGGGTATTTGTAGGCCTCGGACGGGCGATCGGTGGGCAAGTGGGCAGCGTGCTGTCCCAACGTTGATGTGCCAGGGCGTGCGTTAAGGTTTCTCCGCAAAAAAGAATCTGTCGGCGGTCGGATGTGCCATCCAGGGCCTCAACAAAACACCCGGCCCAACTACTCGCGTGCGGCCGGGGCGATGGGCAAGACTAAAACTAAGGGTACCTTGTGAGAGAGTTTCGGGGTGGCAGAGTAAGGTTTGGATGGTGGATGGATGGGAGAGAGGCACCGAGGACATGTACACGCGACCAGACAGAGATTGATGATTATTTCTCTCTTCCTACCGCGATGATTGCTTGTCGGGCAAATCGCGCTGGGCACGACTGGGGGCGGCCGAGGCACGCCTTGCCCAATTGCGATAGCTAGGCGACCCTCTGACGCGCTGCCGCGCCCGTCTTCAGCTCAACAGCTCCGACAGCTTTGGGGATGCGCCCGGCCGCCGCTCCAAAATATATAGACGCCCCGTGCTCCCTCTCCGCTTGCGTCTTACTGTGTGCACTTGCTGCTGCTCCTGCTGCTCCTCTCTCCTCCCTTACTACTTTCTTCTCTAATACCCCTGCTCCCTCGCGACCGGCCTCGAGAGAGAGCTTCTCAATCGGCGACTATACCCCCGCGTGCTTACTAGACTTTCCCCTCCGTCTCCGGCCGGCGCGCGCCAGCCCCGGCTCCCCGACACTTTTTGACGACGCTACGACTTCCCTCTTCGCCCCTCCCGTCATCTTCTTTCCATCGCAGTCATGGCAGACACAAACGGCGTCACCAATGGCTCTCCCAGCTCCTATGCCGCCAAGCACAACCTGGCACCGCACTTCATAGGCGGTAGCCATCTGGCCGCCGCCGCGCCGGGCAAGGTCAAGGACTTTGTGGCGGCCAACGATGGCCACACGGTCATCTCCAATGTAAGCCTGAGCCCGCTCGAGTCTTTGCGCGATTGAGCGGCTGCGCTGACCTCTCCACAGGTTCTTATTGCCAACAACGGTATCGCCGCGGTCAAGGAGATCAGATCGGTGCGGAAGTGGGCATATGAGACGTTCGGCGATGAGCGCGCAATCCAGTTCACGGTCATGGCTACGCCTGAGGATCTGCAGGCCAACGCAGACTACATCAGGATGGCCGACCAATATGTTGAGGTATGCTTGAAGCGCCACTCCCGAGACTGCGCGAGAACACTTTGATATTAACCCAGCCGAAGGTTCCCGGCGGCACGAACAACAACAACTACGCAAACGTCGAGCTCATCGTCGATGTCGCCGAGCGCATGGGCGTCCACGCAGTATGGGCCGGCTGGGGTCATGCCTCGGAAAACCCCAAGCTCCCCGAGTCCCTCGCCGCCTCACCGAACAAGATCGTCTTCATTGGTCCTCCCGGCTCCGCGATGCGGTCGCTCGGTGACAAGATCTCCTCCACGATTGTCGCACAACACGCGGGAGTTCCCTGCATCCCGTGGTCGGGTACGGGCGTGGATGCGGTCGAGATTGACGAACACAACATCGTGACTGTCGAGGAGCAGGTCTACGAGCAGGGTTGCGTGCACTCCGTCGAGGAGGGTCTGGCGGCGGCCAAGAAGATTGGCTTCCCCGTCATGGTCAAGGCCTCGGAGGGTGGTGGTGGCAAGGGTATCCGTAAGGTCGAGGATGAGGAGACCTTCGAGCAGCTCTACCGCGCTGCTGCGAGCGAGATCCCCGGCTCGCCCATCTTCATCATGAAGCTTGCCGGCAACGCGCGGCATCTGGAGGTTCAGCTGCTCGCTGACCAGTACGGCAACAACATCTCGCTCTTCGGCAGAGATTGTTCCGTGCAGCGTAGGCATCAGAAGATTATCGAGGAGGCTCCGGTGACGGTTGCCAGCTCCGAATGCTTCCAGAAGATGGAGAAGGCCGCCGTCTCCCTGGGCAAGCTCGTTGGTTACGTCTCTGCCGGTACAGTGGAATACCTGTACTCGCACGAGACCGACGAGTTCTTCTTCCTCGAGCTCAACCCCCGTCTTCAGGTCGAGCATCCCACCACTGAAATGGTTTCCGGTGTCAACCTGCCCGCTGCCCAGCTTCAGATTGCTATGGGTATTCCTCTCCACCGTATCCGCGACATCCGTCTGCTGTACGGTGCTGACCCCCACACCTCGACCGAGATCGACTTTGACTTCTCCACTGAGGATGCTCTGGTCAACCAGAGGAGGCCTAAGCCCAAGGGCCACACCACCGCCTGCCGTATCACCTCTGAGGACCCTGGCGAGGGCTTCAAGCCGTCCAGCGGTACCATGCACGAGCTGAACTTCAGGAGTAGCTCCAACGTCTGGGGTTACTTCTCCGTCGGTACTGCCGGTGGTATCCACAGCTTCTCTGACTCGCAGTTTGGTCACATTTTCGCCTACGGTGAGAACCGTACGGCGTCGCGGAAGCACATGGTTGTCGCGCTGAAGGAACTGAGCATCCGTGGTGACTTCAGGACGACCGTCGAATACCTCATTAAGCTGCTCGAGACCCCGGCTTTCGAGGATAACACCATCACCACTGGCTGGCTCGATGAGCTGATCTCCAAGAAGCTCACTGCCGAGAGGCCCGACCCGATGGTTGCCGTCATCTGCGGTGCCGTCACCAAGGCTCACATCGCTAGCGACCTTGCCATCAACGAGTACAAGACTGGCTTGGAGAAGGGTCAGGTGCCTTCCAAGGACGTGCTCAAGACCGTCTTCCCGGTCGACTTCATCTACGAGGGCTTCCGTTACAAGTTCACTGCTTCCAGGTCCAGCGCCGACGCCTACACTTTGTTCATCAACGGTTCAAGGTGCCAGGTCGGCGTTCGCGCTCTGGCCGATGGTGGTCTCCTCGTCCTGCTTAGCGGCAAGTCGCACAATGTTTACTGGAAGGAGGAGGTCGGTGCTACTCGTCTCAGCGTTGACAGCAAGACTTGCTTGCTCGAGCAGGAGAACGACCCCACGCAGCTGCGCACTCCTTCGCCCGGTAAGCTTGTCAAGTTCACTGTTGAGAATGGCGAGCACATCAGGAAGGGCCAGGCTTTCGCCGAGGTCGAGGTCATGAAGATGTACATGCCTCTGATTGCGCAGGAGGACGGTGTTGTCAATCTTATCAAGCAGCCTGGCGTCACTCTCGAGGCTGGTGACATCCTCGGTATTCTCGCCCTGGATGACCCTACCAAGGTCAAGTCCGCTCAGCTTTTCCTTGGCCAGCTGCCTGAGTTTGGTCCTCCCCAGATCATGGGTAGCAAGCCTCCTCAGCGCTTCACGTTCCTCTCTGGCGTCCTCCAGAACATACTTAAGGGCTTCGACAACCAGGTCATCATGGCCGCCACCCTAAAGGAGCTCATGGGAGTTCTTCGTGACCCCGAGCTTCCCTACGGCGAGTGGAACGCGCAGGCCTCTGCTCTGCACGCCCGTATGCCTCAGAAGCTTGACACCCAGCTGTCGCAGATCGTTGAGCGCGCGCACAGCCGCAACCTGGAGTTCCCTGCCAAGCAGCTCATCAAGGCTTTCAACCGCTTCCTTGAGGAGAACGTTGAGCCGGGTGATGCTACTCTCCTCAGGTCTGCTCTGGCTCCCTTGACGGATGTCATGAACCAGTATATTGAGGGCCTCAAGGTCCACGAGTACAACGTCATGATAAACCTTCTCGACCAGTACTCCGACGTCGAGACGCTCTTCTCCTCCCGCCAATCGCGTGATGAGGAGGTCGTGCTCAAGCTCAGAGAGGAGCACAAGGATGACATCGTCAGCGTCGTCTACACCGTCCTCTCCCACACTAGGGTCCAGTCCAAGAACAACCTCATTCTGGCTATTCTTGACTCTTACAAGCCCAACAAGCCCGGTGTTGGTAACGTTGCCAAGTACTTCAAGAGGACCCTGCAGCGTCTGACTGAGCTGGAGTCCAGGCCTACGGCCAAGGTTTCCATCAAGGCTCGTGAAGTCCTGATCCAGTGCGCCATGCCCTCGCTCGAGGAGCGTACGTCGCAGATGGAGCACATCCTGCGCTCTGCCGTTGTCGAGTCCAAGTACGGCGAGAGCGGTTGGGACCACCGTGAGCCCGACTTCGACACCATCAAGGAGGTTGTCGACTCCAAGTACACCGTCTTCGATGTGCTGCCGCAGTTCTTTGCCCACCCCGACCACTACGTCGCTCTGGCTGCCCTTGAGGTCTACACCCGCCGCGCCTACCGTGCCTACCAACTGAAGCAGATTGACTACCACATCGAGGACGAGGGTCCTTTTGTCCTCTCTTGGGACTTTGCCCTCCGCAAGGTTGGCGAGTCTGAGTTCGGCCTTCCTATCGAGTCGTCGCACCCCTCGACGCCCTCGACTCCCACGATGGAGAAGCCATCGCCTTTCGGCAAGCGCATTCATTCCATTAGTGACATGAGCTACCTCTCCAAGCGTACCGAGGGCGAGCCCACTCGCAAGGGTGCGGTCGTGCCGGTTCAGTTCATCGAGGATGCCGAGGAGTACCTCATGCGCGCTCTCGAGGCCTTCCCTGCGGTTGGCACCCTCAAGAAGCGCACTTCCAGCGGCGGTAACGGCCTCATTGCCGATCTCTCCAGAAGGCGGGCTCCTGTTCCCCAGCTTGAGAGCGAGGACGAGCTGACTGCCGTCTGCAACGTTGCTGTCCGCGACGCTGAGAGCTTTGACGATGCCGAGATCCTGTCTCGCATTACGCCCATTGTCAACGACTACAAGGAGGAGCTCTTTGCCAGGCGTCTGCGCCGCATTACTTTCATCTGCGGTCACAAGGACGGTACCTACCCCGGCTACTACACCTTCCGTGGACCCAACTACGAGGAGGACAGCTCTATCCGTCACATTGAGCCCGCTCTTGCCTTCCAGCTTGAGCTTGGTCGTCTGAACAAGTTCCACATCAAACCCGTCTTCACCGAGAACCGCAACATCCACATCTACGAGGCTGTTGGCAAGGGCGCTGAGAACGACAAGAGGTACTTCACCAGGGCCGTCGTTCGTCCCGGCCGTCTGCGGGAGGGCATTGCTACCGCCGACTACCTTATGTCGGAGGCTGATAGGCTCATGACGGATATTCTCGATGCCCTCGAGATTATTGGCAACAACAACTCCGACATGAACCACATCTTCATCAACTTCTCCAACGTCTTCTCTCTGCCGCCGCAGGAGGTCCAGGAGGCCCTTGCTGGCTTCCTGGAAAGGTTCGGTCGTCGTGCCTGGAGACTCCGTGTCACTGGTGCTGAGATCCGCATCATCTGCACAGACGAGTTCGGCATGCCTTACCCTCTGCGCGTGGTCATCACCAACACTGCCGGCTACGTCATCGACGTTGAGCTGTACGTTGAAAAGAAGTCGGAGAAGGGTGGTCAGTGGCTCTTCCACAGCGTTGGCGGCACCACTAAGATTGGCGCCATGCACCTTCGCCCCGTCTCGACTCCCTACCCTGTCAAGGGTGCCCTTCAGCCCAAGCGTTACAAGGCTCACATCATGGGCACGCAGTACGTGTACGACTTCCCTGAGCTGTTCAGGCAGGCTGTCGAGAACAGCTGGCACGCCATCTGCGCCAAGCACCCTGCTCTGAAGGACAAGCAGCCGGTCAAGGGCGAATGCATCGAGTACAACGAGCTTGTGCTGGATGACAGCGACACCCTGGTCGAGGTCAACCGCGAGCCTGGCGCCAACACGATCGGTATGGTCGGTTGGATTGTCACTGCCAAGTCGCCCGAGTACCCTAAGGGCCGCCGCTTCATCATCATCGCCAACGACATCACCTTCAAGATCGGTTCGTTCGGCCCTGCCGAGGACAAGTTCTTCCACAAGTGCTCGGAGCTCGCCCGCAAGCTTGGCATTCCGCGTATCTACCTGTCTGCCAACTCCGGTGCCCGCATCGGTATGGCTGAGGAGCTGATCCCCCACTTCTCCGTTGCGTGGAATGATGTCGAGAACCCCGAGAAAGGCTTCAAGTACCTTTACCTCACTGAGGAGAAGAAGAAGCGCTTCGCTGAGGGTGACAGGAAGGATGTCATCACTGAGGAGATTGAGGATGAGGGTGAGGTCAGGCACAAGATCACTACCATCATCGGTGCCGAGGACGGTCTTGGTGTCGAGTGTCTGCGCGGCTCTGGTCTCATCGCCGGTGAGACCTCTCGCGCGTACGAGGACATCTTCACCATCACCCTGGTCACTTGCCGTTCCGTCGGTATCGGTGCCTACCTTGTCCGCCTGGGCCAGCGTGCAATCCAGATCGAGGGCCAGCCCATCATCCTTACTGGTGCCCCCGCCATCAACAAGCTGCTCGGTCGCGAGGTCTACACCTCCAACTTGCAGCTCGGCGGTACCCAGATCATGTACAAGAACGGTGTCTCCCACATGACCGCCTCCGACGACTTCGAGGGTGTCAGCAAGATTGTCAGCTGGTTGTCGTTCATCCCTGACAAGAAGGGCCAGCCCGTCCCCATCTCCCCTGCAGCCGAGTCCTGGGACCGCGACATCACCTACTACCCGCCCCAGAAGCAGCCTTACGACGTCAGATGGCTCATTGCCGGTAAGGACGAAGAGGAGGGCTTCCTCTCTGGTCTCTTCGACCGCAACTCCTTCGAGGAGGCGCTTGGCGGTTGGGCTAGGACTGTTGTCGTCGGCCGTGCCCGCCTTGGCGGTGTCCCGGTCGGTGTCATCGGTGTCGAGACGCGCTCTGTTGAGAACGTCACTCCCGCCGACCCTGCCAACCCCGACTCGATGGAGCAGGTGTCCTCCGAGGCTGGTGGTGTCTGGTACCCCAACTCGGCGTTCAAGACTGCGCAGGCGATCCGCGACTTCAACAACGGCGAGCAGCTGCCTCTTATCATCCTTGCCAACTGGCGTGGTTTCTCCGGTGGCCAGCGCGACATGTACAACGAGGTGCTCAAGTACGGTTCGTACATTGTCGACGCGCTCGTCAAGTACGAGCAGCCCGTCTTCGTGTACATCCCTCCCTTCGGCGAGCTGCGTGGTGGTTCGTGGGTCGTCGTGGACCCGACCATCAACCCCGCCTACATGGAGATGTACGCGGACGAGGACGCGCGCGGTGGTGTGCTCGAGCCCGAGGGTATTGTGGGCATCAAGTTCCGCCGCGAACGCCAGCTCGAGACGATGGCGCGCCTGGATGCGACGTACGGCGACCTGAAGCGTCGTCTGAGCGACCAGAGCCTGAGCAAGGAAGAGTTGCAAGAAGTCAAGGAGCAGATGACTGCTCGCGAGCAGCTGCTGCTGCCCGTGTACGGGCAAATCAGCCTGCAGTTCGCGGACCTGCACGACCGCGCGGGCCGCATGGCCGCCAAGGGCACGATCCGCCAGCCGCTGCGCTGGACCAACGCGCGCCGCTTCCTGTACTGGCGCCTGCGCCGCCGCCTCAACGAGGAGTACATTGTCAAGCGGATGGCGCTTGCGACGGCCGGCGGAATTGCGGTCAAGGACACCGCCGCGCGCGCCGCGGCGCTGGCCGACTTGCGCGCTTGGTCGGGCTTCGAGGAGGAGGCGTTCGAGTCGGATGATATGAGCGTCGCGACGTGGTATGAGGAGAACAGGAAGGAGGTTGCTGCTAAGGTGGATGAGCTGCGCGCTAAGAACACAGTCAATGAGGTTGTGGCGCTGTTGGCTAGGGATCGGGAGGCGGGCTTGAAGGGTGTGAGGGAGGCGTTGGAGTTGCTGCCGACGGCGGAGAAGGAGGAGTTGTTGAGGGGGTTGACGGGTGCGTAGATGTTTGTTGATGAGGTGGGGTGAATAAAATGGGTGGCTTGGCTTGGCTTGGCTGGCTATGGAAATATGGATGGGTTGGGGATGGGGTTCGGGCTGGGAAATATATACATGGGATGGCTGGGTGGGCGTGAGCGGTTTTTGGCTTTTGGCTTTTCTTTGCCTTTTTCGTGTGTGTATGGCTTTTTTAAGGAGATGAGATGAGTTAATATGCATATGTATGTATTTATGGATGGCTTTGGTTGCTACTGCTGCGTTGTTGTGTTTTGAGGTGTTGGCATGATTTGATTTGATACTTTGGCTTGGTTCTGGCTCCTATTGTGTCTGTGTATGTGGATGGTTTACTTGGTGTTGGTTGTGTGGCGTGTATTGATGCGTGTCGGATAGCTAGCTAGCTACTTGCATGTATACCTATGCACGGAATTAGTGTTGTATCGTAAATAAGTAGGTAGGGTAGTTGGATGCGTGTGTATGCTTGTTCTGAAGTGGTTGGGTTGGTAGGTTGGATATATAGGCACTTAGTTTTGAGTGAGTTTGAGTAGTTCGGTGGTTGGTTTAGCTGCGGTGGCTTTGTGGGTGGTTGGTGTTAGTGTTTTAGGATATGGGAGTGGTTTGGGTGGTGGGGTAACGGTAAACGTGAAGCGGTATCTCTGGATATTATGTGCGGTTTTGGGGTGCGGGTGTTGATGTTTTTGGGTTTGTGGGGATGGTTCGGATGGTGTTGGGATTTAAGACGTTTATAGCTATAGTAGGTAGAAATTCAATAGGTCGTGGTTTGTTCGACTGTGCTCGAGCGAAATAAATGGCAGATCTTAGGGTCATTTGAATTTCCATCGTGAAGGTGACGGGCAGTCACCACAACAAAGTACATAATAAAATCATTAGTATATAAGGCCAGGATGCTGTTCATTCTGCAAGCAGCCGTTGAGAGTATATCCTCTCGTTCTTACTGGTTTACTGGTCTGAGCCGATAGGGTGATGACCCTTGAGCGTGTTACACCCCAACTGTCTGCTTACTTTTTTTGGAAATTCGAGTGTCTGTTCGATTCCTGGTCGCGTCAATTCTTTTTTGGTCACTTTTTTGCAAACCTAATATCTTTATCTACCATACCTACTGTCTCACGTCAATATCCGCTTCGGATAAAGGAAGGCACGGTCTTTCCATGCACGACCGTTCGCTCTTGCCATTATTCCCTCCAAAGAGTTTGAAATTTCCCTGCGCCATGTTTTCTTCTTCCAAATTCACCAACATACGATCATAGCAGCACCAAACCATTTCAACCGTTTACCATTTCTCGTCGCGCTTCACGCACGTTGTATCACTCACTGCGCTTCTGGACCACCCTTTTGAAGTATACCAACAGCTATTTCGTCAACGACACTCGTATACCAATACACATTCTTTGACAAGCCATCGTGGTGAGTACGCACATCGTCACGGAGCTTTGGACCGAATGCTGATTGATCGTCGTCTTAGCTATACATACGTTATGGGTGCGAAGCCTTCCAAGCGTTCACTTGGGAGAAAAAACAACGTTGATTTTTCCCTGGAAGGGTTGGGATGGTGCGAGTTGACTGTGATACCTGGCCCTGCGAGTAAGGTCTCTGGACATTCACTTCGCGATAAACCGTCACTTTCCAAGCATCCAAGGCTCCCATCTTCTTACGACGAAATATCTTCTTGCGAATGTAGTTCCGTGGACTCGCTTTCTTCCGATGAATGGTCTCTTCTTGGAGAGCTAGATACGCCCGAAGATACTTCTTCCTCGGGATCATCTTCTTCCTCAGGGTCATCAGAAGAAAGCCTTCTCGCTCAAGCACGGCGCATAATCGGCCGACGACGGCGCCTCAGCTTACCCAATTCATTTGGAAACGCGATACCAGCAACGATCTACAATCACTCCGGCACCAACGCCCAGACCACCGTCAATGGCCCATTCATGAGCGGCGCACTTCCTGCTGCAACCAGTTCGCGTCGGCTGCTGAAACATAGACGCAGCTACAATCATCCACCCTATTTAGATGAGGAGTCCGCTCGGCTAGTACCTGATTGGCGGAAAGCTGAGCAGGAGGAGGAGATGTGGAAAGAGGAAGCGGAAGAGGAAGAGGAAGAGGAAGCGGAGGAGGAAGTGGAGGAGGAAGCGGAGGAGGAAGCGGAAGGGGTTGGGGTGGATGCTTGGTTATCAGGTTGTGAAGAGGAAGAGATGTTGAAACCTTTGGTCAGTGCTAATTAATAAGAGTAGAGCCCACTTCCGTACCCTTCACAGTATGATCACAGCAAGCAGCCGAACTTGGGAGACAAAGAGAATTAGAGACCTTGGGCTTGTGGAGTACAATGAATTGAAGCACAAGATACGATTGCTACAACAGGCGCAGCAACCTCTACAGCTCAAAGGAAGCCAGTAATTTGCGAGTTCAATGGGATTGGAGTGGGAGCGAGAGCGCGTTGTACTGGTTTTTGAAGTGGACATTAAAGTAGAAGGTTGTACACCGGACTGTGCTCTGTAGTAAAAGAAAAGTACAATCAAACTCATCAGTTTCGTAACAAGACATCTCAGCGCAGCTCCGGACGACTGGCAGCCTGAACGAACATGTTGGTAACGTGTGCAGCGCATTTGACGTTCAAAGTTACTGAACCAAAGACGCTTCCACGTTCGGCTAGCGCAGGATTCAAACAAACATCGGACGACTGGAAAGCTGAATGTGTTGTCAATGTGTGCGTTGTTACGCTCTAGGCCGCATGCTGTGCTCTCACGTTCGAAGTTGCTTGAAAAAGGGGTCTCTATATTCGGCTAGCGCGGGATTGGAATCAACATTGGACGTCTAGGAGAGCTGAATGTGTTGGCAATGTGTGTTCATTGGAGAGCCATTGTACGGTACTAGAATGCTGAACCAGGCGGGGAAAGTACGTCACAGTAATGTTTGAGTACACTGGTGATGGAAAATGATGGCATGTTACTTGAAAATATTAATACGGCTACGCATCTGCGCTTCCGTGAGATGCTGGAAAGCCTATCGAGAGTATACAACTTAGTTGCACGTCGTTCCTACGGACTACGACTTTCCGAATGTCCGCCCAAATGACTTTCCAGCTTGAATCGCTTCCATTTCACGCCCGGCACCCCATTGGGCATCTTGTTATCGTCCTCCTTCAGCAAAGGACGGTCCCAAAGCTCATTAACCCGTTGCACCATTGCGCTCAAACTGTGCGGATTGTTCAATCTAGCCCGGCGGTTGCTCAAGATTTTGCTCCTCCTGTTGTTACTGAACAGAATCATGAACCGGGTCTTAAGCTCCTTGCGCACCGTCGGAGCCGACACATACACGCCGCGGTCGCGCAGCTGCTTTACGAGACGTAGTCCGCGCGCCCAGGTGTGCCCGATGGGCATTTTGGGATTGCGCTTGGCTGGGTGGTAGAGGCCGTACCGGAATCCCCATGCTATGAAAGCGGCCAGTTGGATGGGACTGAAGATGCGGCGGAGCGGATGGGCGGGGTGGGTCGGCGGAATGGCACCTGTTGGTACCCAGACAGGGGGGCTGTTGTTGCTGGGTCCTTTGGGCTCCAGCATCATAGACCGGGGGTTCCCTATGAGCGAGGAGATCCGCGCGTGCGGAGTCTTGTCTTTGGGCGAGTACCACATTGCGAGCCAAAGCGCGAGCTTCACCACGTCGTTGAAGCGGCCCACCATGCCGTATCGGCGGAAGACTTCGGTCCAACGCTGCGGATCAATGTGTCCACCGGATTCCATGGTGGCAAGATACACGTTCGCTACAAGCGTCGTGTCGTCGTGCTGCATATCCATCCAGCGATGATGCGTGGTTGGAGCCTTTCCCTTGCGCCGCGTCCGCAGCCAATACTTTTGTAAAGCACTCTGAGAGGCCTCCGAAAGTGGAATGTGATGGCTGCGCATGTCTTCGAGCACCTTGTTTAGCCTAGAGATGTCTCCAATCAAGGCCGTTGTCCGCAACAAGATGTTCCATTGTTCAGAGTCAGGATTGGAATGGAAGATTGTCAGAAACGCAAGTGTTCTGTGCGCTGCGGGCCAGTCGCCATGAGTGACGAATGAGGTGAGTAATTCCTTTTGCAGTTTCAGATCCTCGAAGGTGTCAGGGTGCTGATCGCTTGCAAGCAATCCCTGAAGGAGATCCATGCGATTTGTTTCAGCGAATCTTTGGATAGCCCTAGCGAAGACAGAAGTGCTGATTGAAATACCAGACTGCTTCAACCTGTTGATGCTATCCAAAAGACCATGACAGTCCTCGGTTCGAGAAGCCATTTCTCGCAGTGCTAGAGGGCCGATGGTGTCGATTCCAAACATGCTCAAGCCACTGATAATGACATCGATGGAAAAAGCCTTGGTTGCAAAAATTCGTGCACAGAAATGGTCATCCATTTGTTTGGGCTGGATAGCATGAGACTTTCCCATGATCCTGTACATGGTTTCTCGCGAGAATGGGTTGCCGTTCGCATCCTGTGGTTCGGCCGGAGATGATTTCTGCGCACCTCGTACATGGTCGGTCTTGCTAAGTTCCAGCAGCGAAAGAGCGTTTCCGTATTTCTCAAAATGTGTTCTCATCGGTTTGCTATGAGCAGCCGATGACGGAAAATCTCCAAGCTTGACCAAAAACGAGTGCCATCGTAAGGCAGCCTTGTACAACCCCTTTTCGCAGAGGGAGGTTATGAGCGCATCGTAAATATCTCGCTGTCCACCGCGAACGTATATCCACTCAAAAGCATCCAGCGAAGATTTACTGTTCGTAGACCTGGGCGCAATTCTCCGAAACGCTCCTGGAAGGGGAGGGAACACGGACAACAATCGGTCATGCCACCGATAGATCTGGGCATGCTTGCGGTTGACAAAGCATTGACTGATTACAGTTTCATACAACGCTGGGTAGGCCTGCCCGGTCCGATTGACGACGCTTTCCGCATACGACACCACCTCTTTTACAATGTCGTTCTCGGCAAGAAACATTTTCCACAATGCCTCAGCATGTATCCCAGCAGTAGGCAAATCGACGCCCTTGCCCTTCATCTCCTTCCAGGTATCCTTCACCCCTTCACTCCCGTACACTCTCTCACGGAATTGTAATCGAGACACCCAGGTGGCCATATTATCCAATTCCGGCTCTGATTGTGGGGAAGCTCGCATCTCCCGTGCCTGGTTTGGCCCTCCTTCATTGTGAACGTATCGTGGAAGCGCTTCGGAAGGTTGGGATTCCTCGGTGGCCCGCTCCTGAATTTCCGCCTCCTCATGGCGCCATTTCGCGCCCGTAAAATTGGTTCTCCTCCATTCCCTTTGGCTCCATTGGCATGGAGATCTTGCTAAACCCACAAAGGGATATTGTTCGTCCGTTATGAGGCTTCGGAGGACTCGCAGCGCCGAGGGCCTGGCGAGGAGCCTGTCCAACGCAGTGCGCATAACCCAGGGAAATTGCGCCTCAAGTCTCTTCCCGCCGACATGGCATTGGACCGCTCGAAGACCGCCGCGCGAAACGTTGTCAATTGACGCTGGGAGAACGTGGGGAAAAAAAGTTGATGATGGTCGCCGACGAATGAGCGCCAAGCCGTTAGGGTTCTGATCATTGAGCCGCTGACATAATCGACAGCTCAGCTTGGCGCGCGACTTCGCGGTCTGTCGACGCAGCCGACCTCACCCCAATCAAGCTCACACCCAATTGCATCACCGCTACACATCTCCACTCCGTAAACACAATCAAAATGGCCGGGTGAGTCGTGTCTGCCCGCTCGCGATGTCCATGTCCGCGCCTCCCGGCCGCAGTAGTTCCGGCGCGGACTAGAGCAGAGCTTGTCCTTATGCTACACAGCTCGCTGACTCCCCGCACAGCTGGGTTTTCCGCGAGAACAGGGTCACCGACTGGCAGCGCCTCCACCAGAAGCACGATGGTCTTCGCCAGTGGCAGAAGGTTGGTTGTCCATGAGTCCCTGAACACCCGGCGCACCCCTTCGTTAGCGACAACCGAACAATCCGGCATGGCTGCTTCCTCAGTGCTACACGATGGATATACACCAATAAAAAAAGGCGCAATGAACCTGGCTGACTGGAGAATTCCAGGGCCCCCGCGCTAGGGCGATCCTCCTTCCCTACAACATCATGCTGTGGGGTGGCTTCGCTGCCTCCATGTACATGATGTGCCGCCAAGTTCTCGTACGTAGATACTTTCCAAAATACGTCTTCTAATCAGCCTCTAACAAAGTCATACAGGGCAAGAAGACCTGGTACTAAGCGCTCACTTCACCAAGCAGCCATGGGTGGTAGGCGGTCAGAGTGAGTTTCGCTCCTGTACAGTTTAGAAGAGCAAATACCTGCAGCCACTGCGAGTCCTTGTTTGTGAATCATTCTCCTGGATTTGCAATGTGCCTATGTCGACACTATTTTGATTCGCGAAGTCCTCCCACCTTTGTCCTTCAAACCATCTCTGCGAATGTGGTCATTGATTACATGCTGAAATAATTGATTTTCGGTTTTTAAATGCTCCGATCGTCCCGTGGGATAAGTTCGCTTTAAGGACAATAGAGTGATCTTCGTTAGTCCGATCACTGGCACAAGAATCCCTCGGAATAATCAATCAACGCTGCTCATGTTCATTGAATGTGCCAAAACACCAAAAACAACTAAAACATGTTTCGCGTTATGAGTGCCGTCCATTTGCTGATACAGCGCTCAACAACCGTAATCCTCCATGGATCATTATTGACTGAACCAGACCACAGGGATAATTATAGCCTTCAAATCTGCGCTTTGTCCAACAATGTCCTCGTACCATTGGTGGCGGTATTACTCTTCAATGTGTCTACCATCGGTATCTGTAAGGCTCAATCTTGCACTCCGGTTTGTCATCGATTGACCCGAGACCACCATATCCTTGCTTATGGTTGCGGTAAGGCTCACAAGCAATCGCTGTGTGGTTCAGGGCTTTCATTATCGGAGATGAAGACATAGAGGCAAAGACACCCTCGTTGAAAAGGATCTGGAGACGTGCGTGTACGATCGGTTTGGCGGTAGGGAGATTCAGAGAAGCGTTTCAGTCTGCTGAACCGGAACAACTGGCTCGCAGTGATCAAGGTGCTCTAATCCAAGGGTCAGTGGCCACATTCCCCATACTCATACTTACGCATCTCAATGTGTACATGCGGAGGGAGAGTTGAAAATGCTCGAGATCTCGGCAAGCAGGTACCTCTCGCACCCTTGTCGTCTAAGTGGTCAGCCCTCTCCCCCTGGCGAGGTTCAACAAATGGCTGTCTACACCGGATGACCATTCTCCCGGTAGCCCGATTACCCGGTTAGCTTGCACTCCTGTCATTCTGACACCTTGGGTGTGTTCCCTTTAACCTGGTATTTACCAGATTATCTGTTGCTTCCAGCAACCAAGACAATAACTTTTATGGGAGTAGAAAAGCTCTATACGTATGAGTTGAATCACTCACTGAGTGCTCCGTCAGGGGAGCCGTGAGGGACAATTTTCATCGTTGAGCAAACAATGCGTGTCTTGAATACAAAGCAGCCGGTTGATACGGGTAAATGCGCCACCGGAAGGTATTTCCTCGAGAATCTGAAGCAGCAAGAGTCCACGGGTACTTCAGCCTGAGAAGAGGAATTCCACGAATACGATCCTGTTGGTTCAAATACCGAGGTTTCCAATACGTAGTGACTCCCGGCATAAGAAGCAAGCAGATCGTGAGTTGGTTCTTCATTTTGCTCCTCTCGTCCTCTCCTTCCGTCCTCTTGTCCAGACCATTGCACAGTACGTAACTGTGGGGGCGATACTCCGTACCCTTTCATCGGATTCCATGTCCCGACATCGAAGAGACTTCAAACAGCCATTGCTCGCAGCTAGATTTGCAGGAGATGGGAGGACAACGATGATACAAAGACGGGAACACACCTCGCACGCCGGACCGTAGTCCAGATCGAATCGATTATGTTAGATCACCGGATGTGGTGCTTCAGTCTCCAGCTCGAGGAGAAACATTTCCATGACAACAGGAACGACAATGACAGGGTCGCATCGGAGCGTTACTGGCTTCCACACGATGGCCCGCGCACACGGATGCCTCGCCGCGTTTGGAGAAGACCGGGGTCGGGCGGCGTTGTTGGCTTGGCGACCGGGCTGGGCTTCCTTGGTGGCTTCGTCGAAATCCGCGAAGCGGGCCATGACTCGGCACGGCGCCTTCCTTCGTGAAAGCAAGATTTTTTCTGGTCTCGGTGAGCATCCTGTCGTGGGTTTGCGGGCCTCCGCATTGCTGATAATTCGCGCACTCGACGTCACTGGGATGGCAGAGTCACGAGTGTGGGCATCCCCAAGTCGTTGGTCGGGTTTTTCCCCAGAGAGCCGACTGCGGAGAACGGCCGTCTGGGGAAGTCACGTGTATGAAGATTTGCACAGCAGATTCGTCACGTGATGGATGTTTTTGCCGTAAAGGCACCATTTTCGCGCCAGGAACCAGCGCGACAGCGATGCGCGCGATGGTTTTTAAAGTGCACGGGAGAGGCGCGCGCTGAGCGTCATGTGCAACTCGAAAAAGCACCAAAAAGCGCCGGTTGCAGCTGCGACAAGCGTGCAAGCTTCTGGAAGCGCCGCAGCCAAGATCCTGGCTGCGGGAAGGGCTGCATGGCTGCATGGCAAGTACGGGAAGCTTTGAGGATCGCGAACGGCTAAGGCTCAAGGCTGAATTAAGCAGAGGTTATTGGCAGAGTGGTGGTGGTTGTTGTTGGCCGGGTAAGGTGGTGAAGTGCAGCGGCGGGCCATGATCTGCCAGCGAAATGGAAATCGCGGAGAGACGAAGCGGGGAGATGCGGGTGGTCGGGGCACCCACACCTCGCTTGCTTCGTCGTGCCACGGGGAAAACGCGAGTCCTCCAAGCTCCACTCTTCGCACCATCCCTGCTCGACGTAAGTGGCTCCACCCCTTCCATTATCCGCCGTGCCCCAGCTTACCAGGGAGTGGAGCCTGGAGAGAAGGCCTGACCGTCACCCGCACCGTCTCGTGTCCATGCTTACACGCGGGCCAGACGACACTGTCGGCGGCTCTTCACGCCATCACCATTCAACCTTTATCCAGGAAGCGAAAATGTGGGCCCCCGCAGCCGTAGGAGTAGGAAGGGACAGCAGACACGCTGAAGTTTTCGACACCACCGTAATCAATGCTTGAAGATGCGGCTCCCGTCCAGACCTCGGGGCCGCCTCTCGGCTTTCCTTCCGCATTCCGACTTCAGCCTGGAATTCAGCCTGAAAAGGTCGTCAAAAGCTTTTGCCCAACGCCTCCCCTGATGCTGACTGGGCGCACGCCGCATGCAAGCGATCGGTTGAGGACGACGGGTGACCGTTTTTTTCAGCAGCAAAAGCGCCTGCCGAGTTACCGTGGTTGAGGCGCCACCACGCGCGGTGGCGACGCGGGAGCAGGGTACAAGCTAAACCACTGAAACAATGCGCGCAGAGCAAAGCACGCTACTAGACGTTGGCGCCGCAGTTGGGCTCCAAAGAACGCATTCGGCATCCACTGTGCCAGTGCAAGCTGGGGGATACGGAGAAAGCCTCAAACTTGCCAGGTTCTCCGGGGCTAATCCCCAGCAAAGCTCCCCAAGGCCGGGGCTCCCTCTGAAAATCGGCCCGGGACTACGTATGTCGGGGCACTCTTCGGGGTGTGGGTGCTCCAACCCTCCCCAAGGCGGGGCTCTCGCATGCTTGGGGTGTCACACTGGATCCCACTGCCTACCATTGAAAAAGGACCGGACCATATAAATACCCTTGGGCGTCGTTCCTTTCTTTTTACCCCTCCAGTGCGCTGCAACACCCACCTAGTACCCTGAGCGGTTCTTCATATTCTTAATTTTCTTTTCCAACCGCTCCCACCATGTCCGACGGGTTGGGTGACAAGATCAACGGCGCGGGACCCGATTCCTCGCACGTCGAGAAACATGCCTTCAACAACAAGGCAGAAATTCAGGAAGCTGTCCGCAATGGCAGTCTCAGTGCGCCTGTCGTTGCGAACGAGAAGGCTGCTATTGAGATGGCGAAGCATGGTAGCTGGGAGGTCGACGCTCTGATTGCTCAACTGGAGGAGGAGCACAAGGTGGAAGGCTACAAGAAGGGAATTTTCGACATCGAGTTCAGCAACCCGAAACATTTCACTTGGCTTCTGGTCACTTTCGCCTCCATGGGCGGTCTGCTCTCCGGTCTCGATCAATCACTTATCTCTGGCGCCAATCTCTTCCTGCCTAAGGACCTTGGTCTTACCGACCAGCAAAACTCTCTCGTCAACTCTGGAATGCCTCTTGGCGCAGTCCTCGGTGCTATTCTACTTTCTCCTTGCAACGAATGGTTCGGTCGTCGTTGGTCTATCATCATCTCTTGCGTCTTCTACACCATCGGTGGTGCTCTCTGTGCTGGCTCGATCAACTATGGTATGATCATTACTGCTCGTATCATCCTTGGTGTCGGGGTTGGAATCGAGGGCGGAACAGTGCCTGTATACGTCGCGGAAACAGTCGAAAGAAGACTGCGTGGTAACATGGTTTCTTTGTATCAGTTCAATATTGCCCTTGGGGAGGTATTTGGCTATGTCGTTGCGGCCATCTTCCTCAAAGTGCCCGGAAACTGGCGCTACATTTTGGGCTCCTCTCTGGTTTTCTCTACCATTATGTTGATTGGGTAGGTCCGCATGTCCTCCAATTGCTGATATTTGCTAACCGAAGCCAGTATGCTCTACCTGCCCGAGTCTCCTCGTTTCTTGATGCACGCCGGCAAGACGCTCGAAGCATACAAGGTCTGGAAGCGCATCCGTGGTATCGAAACCGCAGACGCTCGCGAGGAATTCTTCGTCATGAAGGCTTCGCTCGAGCAGGAGGAAGCTGAGATTGCTGCTGGCGGTAGCAACAAGAGATTCCCCTGGATGGATTTCTTCACGTAAGTGCCTATCAGTGCAGACATTCATGCAATTGCTCACAACCAACAAGTATTCCCCGTTGCCGTCGTGCCATCGTATACGCCAACATTATGATCTTCCTTGGCCAGTTTACCGGCATCAACGCGATCATGTGAGTTTAATACTCTGGCTATTAATGCCTCGAGACTAATCAACTTTCAGGTACTACATGTCCGTCCTGATGAACGACATCGGATTCGACAAGATCCAGGCCAACTACATGTCTCTGGTTGGCGGCGGTGCTCTCCTTCTGGGCACCATTCCTGCTGTGTTGTACATGGAAACCTGCGGTCGTCGCTTCTGGGCCATTGCCATGCTTCCCGGCTTCTTCATCGGCCTGATCCTCGTCGGTGTGAGCTATGAGCTCCAGGGTGCCGGTCAGCAGGGTCTTTACCTTGCTGGTATCATTCTGTACCAAGGCTTCTTCGGTTCCTACGCGACCCTGACGTGGGTCGTGCCGGCCGAGGTCTACCCGACCTACCTCCGATCCTACGGCATGACGACTTCGGACGGCTGGCTGTTCCTGTCCTCGTTCATCGTCACGTACAACTTCGACCGCATGATGAAGGCCATGACCCGCATTGGACTGACTCTCGGTTTCTACGGCGGCATCGCCGTTCTCGGCTGGTTCTACCAGATCCTGTTCATGCCCGAGACCAAGGACAAGACGCTCGAGGAGATTGACCTCATCTTCCAGCGGCCGACCGGCGAGATTGTCGCCGAGAACTGGGCTCAATGCAAGGAGACGACAGCGGATATCCTGTGCGGCCGCTGGAAGAAGGTCTTTACCTTTGAGAAGCCCAAGCAGAACATGGGCGATGACCTGTAGATGCTCTTGGGTGGTTGTTTGTTTGCTTTTAACGATATGATATCCGGTTTGTTTTGACGGTTTTCTCTAATATGGATATGTGGGGGTACGTGGTGGCAGCTCTGCGTGCAGCTTTGAGATTGCTGCTGCTGGCGTGTCGTCGATATATAGCTTTCAGGTTTAACGATTGAATATGAGATAATAATATCCACTCTTTTGCCTAACTGTGACTGATATTTACGTCTTTCTAGAGGTATCTTTGCTGCTCTAGGATAAGCGCTACGCAAGGCAATAATCCAAGCATGGATGTTGTAACGTCCACCACCGCGAACCGAGATCCACCATATAGCGAGACAGGGGACGATACAAGCAGTCTCTACAGAGTACTTCTTGCCTAGCTCCTAGCCCGAGTCCCGGATATGGATGAAAAGGTCTTAGAGCACACAGTGGCTCAACGTATCCTAACCGGGACTCTTCTTCTCCTCCGTACAGAGCCTCTAAACACCTTAACAGGGTCTCTTCTTTACTCCGTACACGTATCACCATCTCGCAAGACAGTGAATCTCGCTTCACGATGACGGACGTTACTCGCGTCCGCTAGATTGCGAAACTTACAAGTTTACTGTGGGGTTTAATCTTGTACCGAGCAAAAGTCGATTATACGGGACTTGTCTTGGTATAGGGGGTTATTCTACGGCGCAGAGTAATTGCTTCAGCTGCGTACAAAGATTGAAAGCGGCAGGCGAAAGCCGTGATTAGTTCCACTGGAGACGTCCGGAAGGCGGACAAGCGAAGTGGGTGTACAAAAACGGATTGAAAGTGAAATTCGCGATGAGTGGAGCGTCCTGAATTAGTATTGTGGGACGCAACTAAAGTGTTCGGTGACATTGCTCTTTTGTTTCTGGGGTGGTATGAATGATCGTCGAATTGACGAACCATCTCCACACGGAGCGGATCTCAACGGGAATCATAGGCGAAAGATTGGGAGAACCCCTGTAGATATCAAATATTGATATGGGTGGTCGACGGAGAAAGCTAAGATAAGACGAACGCTTAGATACCTGCCCACTGCCCATGGCTGCTGTATACGGGGTCGGAGGCACGCAGAGCATAGTTGGGCTTCTAGAGGGCGAGTCTAGACGCTCTACAGGGCTGGGCAGTCCGGAATAGGCAGGATAGTCTCGCTTGGGCGGGATGGGAATTGGAAAGCAATTTCGCACAAGCACGGAGAGGGCGATCGGAGCGAGCGAGAGGCCTATTTCAGCGAGTAATTTTAAGGAGAGGTGGTTATATGGCTATATACGTCTCCGCAGCCTGCCCTGTTCGTTCGTCACCCAGGCCTCCAGCATCGTCGGGTGCCGGATTGGGTAAAGGGGTTAAGGGGTAGTGTCGTCATCATCATTGGTTGTCGTTGTTGTTGTCGGCGGCCAGCAGCTTTTCTACGGCCGAGACCTTGTCCTCGAAAGATTGCTTCTTGTCGGTGCGGGTGCCGATGCGGATGTCAGTTTGGATACGCACGACGCCGTTGGAGTGGATGAGGGAGTGGCATTGGCCGATGACGCGCATGACGTCGTCCCACGGGCCCTCCTGCGAGTTGCGAGAGGGATCAGTGAGTGAGGGCCAGAGGAAGAACTAGTTAACGTTTGTTTACCAAGGTCGAGCCGGCCGAGTGCATTGAGTACTTTAGGCCGCAGTCGCGGAGGAAGCGTTGGACGTGGGCAACCTCGTGTGAGACGGAGGCGGAGGCGGTTCCAATTGGGACTAGACAAAAGTCGGCGACGCAGGCCGGGGGGGTGTCGATGGTCATGGTGGTGGTACAGTAATGAGGCTCATCACCCGCAAAAACAAACAAAGAAGTGGACACGAGGGGGCTGATCAGGCGGGTACGTAGGGCTGGAAGCTGGGATTGTTGGGTCCCACGGGTCCTAGCGCGGGGCAGAGAGCGCCATATGTTACACACGTCAAGTAAGAGCCAGCGCGCCCGCCAGCCTCGTCCTTTTCTCATCACCCGACCGGCAAGTCTGTCACTGCTCACATTCCATCGTTGGCTTAAGGTTGCGCCTTCCCGCTACCGCGCAGCTGCTAGAAGTATTGCAATCAGCGAACCGCCCGCCAGCCTACGCAATGAACATCTCTCCCCCACACCATCACTACCGCTTTCCAACAAACTTCCGTCGACGCAAGCCATGGTGATCACAGCATACATCCAACGGCATCCGCCTTGCATGTCGACCATTATCTACCCGCATTCCTTGACTCCCACCGAGATCGAGCTGGAGTTCCGCAACGAGGTGTGTCCGATGCGCCGCCGCCCCTCGCCATCCATGATGCTGACCTGGCCCAGGGCAATGCAAACGTCGTCTTCCGCATCTCGCCCTCGACCCCCAACGACAGCCCCCACGCCCAGCAGCGCCGCCTCGAGAAGATCCTCTCGCCCAAGACGGTCAAGGAACTCGGCCTGTATCCTGACGGCGAGGATCGCCCCATTACACTGGACGCCTTGCTCGAGCCCGACTGGCGCCACAGCAACCAGCCCGAGCAGCAGCGCGCCTACAACCGCGAGACGGCCGAGAAGCTGGCCAAATATCTGGCTCGCTATGCCGAAAACGGCCACAACGACCCCGGCAAAACTGGTTCCTTGGCGGCCATGGAAGCTGTGGGTCTCCTTACCTTCCCTCACCGGCCGACCCTGCTTCGCCTCAAAAAGGACGTGCCGTTTTACGAGGACAGCAGCACCACGTACAACTACTACATGAACACCATTCGAGACTACATCCCGGCCAGGCACCTCGTGCACCAGCACCTCATCCGCCTGAGCCCGGGCCTCATTGAGAAATGCAACGCCGAAATCAAGATCCAAGAAAAGCAAGGCAAGCGCGCCTCCAGCCGCCTGAACACGTACATCCACCCGGTAGATGCCTCCGCCATGATCATCCGCGACATGACGAGCTACGACGCGTCGCAGAGCGTGACGATTGAATTCAAGCCAAAATGGCTCTGGCAGTCGCCCACGGCTCCCAAGGGCGCGAGGCGCTGCCGTACTTGCGCGATCCGGGCGCAACGGAACAGCCTCAAAGCCACCAAAAGCCAAGGCAACGATGCGAAGGGGACAGAAAAAGGAAAGGAAACGCACGGGCAGACCCGCACGGATCGTCGCGCTCTCTGTCCTTTGGCCCTCGCGACTGGCAACAAGGACCTTGTTAGACAGGTAATCGAGAGGCTGGTGGACGACAAGGATAATTACATTGGCCAGGTGCCACAATGGTTGGCTCGCAAGCCTTCGCTGGCCGTTCCGCGAACCATCACCAAGAAACCCTCATTCTCCGAGATCGTCGCCAGGGGTCTCCCCGGCACCCGCGAAGCCCTGGTCGAGCGGCTATTGAAACATTTTACTGCAGGCGGTGAGGGTCACCGCGTGCTCGAAGGCCTGCAAAACCTGCAACGCGCATTCGACCCGCAGGGCATCCTCGAGCACGAGCCGACGGAGGAATTTCTCCTCGCCATGACGCTCCGCGACTGCAGCCTCTACGTGCAGGTGCACTGGTCCGAGGATGGGACCATCGAGTCGCGCCTGGGCGATCTGGACCCAAAGGTCGCAAAGGGAGGGAAGCTCGAGCAGTGGCGCGAGACGGAGCGCACGCTGATCAAGGAGAACTGGTACTGCGGCGAGGACAAGACGTGTCTTCTGAGCAGGCACAGACAAGCTCCGCCCACCAGTGCGTCTCAGCGTCGCTGACTCTGAGTGGTGTAGTTCTTCGGACCCCGACGTTGGGGGTTTTGCGACTGCTGGGTTCGAGCGGCAGCTGGCGACGATCGCGCCGCTGAAGCTGCATAAAACGAATGCCGCATTTCCAGGGCCAGACCTCGAGACCGGCCACGAGAAGGCCTTGCCTCGCTTCGAAGGCACCACTGTCAATGAGCTCGAGAAGGCGTACCTGCAGCTGAGGGACACGCAGATGCAGCAGGCGCTTCAGATCACGAGGGACTTGGCCCCGGAGCTTTTTGACGTAAGCTTCTTCTCGTTGCCCTTTGAGCCTCAAAAAGGCCCCATGCACTCAGCCTCAAGAATCCATGCACATAGCCTGCAGAACCCCACCTGCTTATCGCGAGCCAAGCCCCTTTCCGCCCCATAACTCTTGCGCCATCATCCTTGGCGGCGATAGTGGAGGGGCAGGTGGGCCAAGCGGAGGAGAAGAGAGGAGCGAGATGGGGGCCACAGCAGCCCCCAACCCAACCCAACACGGCGCAGCACAGACCCATACATAGGCAGCCACGAACTCTGCTGCTGCTGCTGCTGCTAACGCTGACGTGAGGGCACACAGCCCGCGCATCCCTCGCAGCACGGCTCCCTCGAGGTCATCCACGCGCTGCGCCACGTGCCCCAACAGCGCATGCAGCCGCTTTTTCGCTTCCTGCTGCGCGAGACCCCCTGGCTGGACGAAGCAAACAGCATCCTCATCCCCGACGGGCGCCCCTCGGTCAGCGAGTACGCCGTCAGGGAAGGGGAGGGCCGGGCCGGCCCTCGCAGACCGACGAAAAGCGATCCTTGGAGCATCCCGGGCGAGTCGTTTGTGCAGTTGTTGGAAAGGGCGTCGCGGGGTCGTCCTGGTGAGCGGTCGGTTGAGAGAGAGAGGTGGAGGTGGAGGGGCAGGCATGTCTCGTCGTTGGTGCCGGGGTGGAAGTTGAGGCCGCGGGAGAGGCCGCGGCAGGGGCTCGTGACGGGGTTTGCGCCGGAGGAGGGGAGTGATGCGGATGGGGATGGGGATGAGGATGAGGATGATGGGAATGATGGTATGGGTATGGGTTTGGGTATGGCTACGGGTTCGGGGTCGGGTTTGGATGCGGGTGCGGGTTCTGAGGGCCTGCCTGAGGGTCTAAGGAAAGAGTTTGCGCGCTATCGCTTTTGATTTGATTTTCTGGCTGGCTGGCTGGGTGGGTGGTTGGTAGGTTGGTTGGTTGGTTGGGCGGGCGGGCAGGAGATAGTCTTGATTGAGTGATGCATGCATAGACGATAGTGGAATGAAGACACGTTCGCAAACAAAACAAAATAAATCAAAATTCCATGAGCACACCACAATTGCAGGGAGATGGACATACCGTCATCTCCACGGTGAGCACTCCTGCCCAGAAGCAGGAAACAAGCCACCTCTCTCTGGGGTAAGGGCTTTGTGCTGCGTACAGGTGAGGGCTTGTGTGCTTGGGCTGGGGTGGGTTGTATGGGGTTGTGGTGGGTTACTCATATGTATATGTAATATATATATATATATATATAGATAGATAGATAGCTCGCTCTCATCACACACCCAAGAGGACGAACCACCTACTCGAGACCGAGGAAATCACTTCTGGCAAGACATGACATGGCTGTGCCGGTCTGGTTTGGTCTGCTCTGTTTTGAGTGCAATGACTAGGTGTCTTACTTCTCGAACCGATGAGTTTGATGGGAGTGATGGTTGGTAAGATTTGCGGTGGTGATGTGCATCGTTGTTGCCTGGAGATGGGGGACGCTGGTGGGGGGTGCTGATGCCGGTGGTTGTGTTGTTGTAAGGGTAAAGGGAAAGGTGGGAGAGGGGAGGGTGGAGGGAAGGTTGAGTGTGAAGGGGTGGGTGTATGTGTCAGCCGGCAGAATAAGTTGTTCCCCAGCTGGCGAGGAACTCATGCTTTGCGGCAGTAACTTTGGCAGTGCACGAGGTGCTTGAAAGAGAGCACCAGTGAGCGAGTGAGTGGGCTTAAATATGAGTATGTTAGACAGTGAGTAAGGTAGGTGGGGATGTGATAGTCAGTAAGTTAGATGCGGTCGATATATGTACATCAACGAATAGCTTCTTCTGGTAGGTAAGTTAGCTTACTTCTCGGGCTTTCGTGTATAAGTATATACCTCAGTCTCAGAGCATTCTATCTGCGTACACCAGCCTTGCTAGAGCATACATATATAAAATGCATGCCATCGCCTTCGAGCCGTCAGTGCAATCTCTAAGCTCCAGCCAACGAACATCCTTCACGTCTGTGAGATGCTCATAGGCAATCAAAATCGTATACAGATCAGGGGTGTGTGGGAAAGAAATATTCTTGCAGTTTGTGCTAAAGTGCTTCACTGAAAGGTGACGCGGTCGGCGGTGTAGTGGTGGTGATAAAAGCGGTGATGATGATGCGCACAACAAGCGCGCGATGCTGTATATCATCGATGTAGGTTGGTGGTGGTGGTGGTGGTCTGCAGCTCGGTGAGGCCTGCGCGGGAGCGTAGGGAAAGTGGCTTGCGTGGGCGGTGGTGAAGTCCCGCCAAACGGGAGTGAACTGACCCCACTTTTCCATTGCTGGAACATCCCACGGAAGCGCTGGTGTTCCGTGGAGAGGAGCGTGTGATGACGAAGAAGAAGAAGAGGAGAAGGGAGCTGCTCAGGTCGCCTTATATGCAGGATACGGGCAGTGCGTGCACGGCTTGAGGGGCTGGTGAAAGTGATGGGTTGGTTTGGCCTTGTCGACGTTGGCGTATAGCTACGTTGGTGTGAAAGGCCTCTCAAAGGAGATATAGGTAGTTTCGCACAGCGTGAACACACTGTCTGCGCACGCCACCCACAGCCCGCTGGATCGTGACAGCGCACTTTCACAGCTTTCGTGAAAGGATACATGCAACACAGGTGCCGCCGCCGACATCGGCATCAATACGACATTGACAAGAAGCCCTCTTGTATAAGTACCCCCGCTCGTCAGGTCAGCAACCGCCTCGACAGCTCAATCCTACAAAAACCCAACAACCGGCTCCGATCGCAAAGCAAGCTGTCTTTCATGAGCTGGCCCGGCTTCCCACCACACAGTCCCCAAGCAACACCGAACAGAAACGTACCCTCTCTTGCAGCCGCGGCATGAAGACAATGATGACAATGACGACGATGAAGCGCGCCACCCCCCTCCCTAAAGACCGCCATCGCCAGCCTGTAGCGCTGCTACTCTGCACCAGGCACGACCGACTGCCCCTGTTGAGAAAGCACATGAGACATGCCAATAATGTTGAGCAGTGAGAGATCTGTGCGAGGTATGTTTGAGCCCACTCCCCGATTAGAGTATATTTTTGACAAGTAGGATGCTGAAGTGTTGAATGTCGTTGTCGTCGTTATGGGGTTTGCGAAGACGTAAGTGCTTATAAATGGAGTTCCACATGTGTGAGCGAGACGGGGTCGGCGTGCATTTGTTCGTGCATCCCTTCGCATGTCGCCGGCCACTGTCTTACAGGCTGCCAAGACGCCTTTCCTGGTTATATAGCGTCTTTCACCGGGAACCGAGATCCACAGCTTAGCAAGATAGGAGACGATATAAGCAGTCTCTACAGAGTATACCTTGCCTAGCTCCTAGCCCGAGTCCCGGATATGGATGAAATGGTTTTAGAGCACATATAGATTTTATGTATCATAACTGATTCTCTTCTTCTACTCCATACAAATATTACAAGTAAGCGTAGGCTCTAACGGCGCTAGCAGGGGAGGGGGGTCGCGAATTCACAACCTGTAATGGGGATACGGATCTGTCTGCCTGCTCGAACGCCCACTATGCGGATCGGTGCAGACGGAACAGAACAGTAAAAGATACAACAAGCTCGCGAACTGTTATACCCGCGCTTAGCACGCCATCACAGAGCGCCGAAGCACTTGCCAACGCCGCAAGCATGGCAGGCAGCAGAGGCTGGAGCTGCGCTTTGTAGGGACGAGGATGATGCCAAACGTACGATCATGACGCATTAGGTACCTTTTACGTTTCTGCGGAACTGGAGCCAGAGCCGGAGCTTTCCACCCACCACCCCTTATAGCGTCCATTACCACCAAGAGCAGAGTAGAGCCTCCCATCAACTGTCCCACCCGCCATAAAAACGCCTTAAAGCAACCAAACAAGCCCAACCCAACACCCCCAACTCTTCCCCCGCCCCTCAATCTTCCAACCCACCAACCACCCTCAGCACCCCACATCAAGCTCCCCGCCCCTCCCCCTCATCCCCACCCCACCCCCTCCGACTCCACGCCGGCGCCTCATCCCTCCCCGCATCCTCCTCTCTATCCCCCTCCTCCTTGCTCGCATGCACAGTGCCAGCATCGTGCTCAGCAGGCGCATACACGGTGACGAGCTCGAGCGGCACGTCCCCCGTGTTCACGAACTGGTGCCGCGTGCCCGCCGGCACGACCACGACGTCCTGCGCGCGGATGGGCTGCTCTTTGCCGGCGACGGTGGCGCGCCCGGTGCCGGAGGTGAAGAGGAGGGTTTGGTCGACTGTGTGTGTCTGTGTCGTCGTGGTGGGGGTGTTAGCAAGGGGGCTTGTGTGGTGTGGGGCGCGTGTGCTGGGTTTTGTGTAGGTGTGCGGTAAGTCGGAGTACGTCCCAGGTCCTTTGGCCCGGCGCGGTGGTGGCGGCGGGGTGTATGCCGGCCGCGAGGGGCGGGGCATCGCAACCACAACCCTCCGCACCCCAACAAACAAGTACAAACAAACATACCTCATCGCCAATATCGCCTCCCACCGGCACCTCCATAGCCACAAGCTGGGAATACAAGCCCGTATGCAACACCTTCCTAAAGCAGCCCCACCCGCGCTGCTCCTTCAACAAGCTCGGGAAGTACTTCATTTCGTGGCGTGGCGGCCCCTCACCTTCACCCCCACCACTAGCAGCAGCGACATCCTCGCCACTAACAGCACCACCCTCACCCTCACCCTCGCCCTCGCCACCAGCGCTCCGGTTTGGCGACGCGCCCCCCGCAACCTCACGCACAGGGCTCGCGCCACGACTAACGACAGGCGTGCCAATCGGGGACGCAGCGCGCGACGTCTGCCGGCTAGACAGCGGGCTCAAGCTCGTGGTGCTGGCGGTGTTGATCCACGAGGCGCGCTTGGGCAGGTGCGGGCGCGCGCCCGTGCGGTACGCCGTGTAGGTCGCTGTCTTGAGCATGTGCGGGTTGTGGTCGACGTGGTGGGCGTCCGCAGGTGGGGTAGAGGTGTGGTTGTTGTTGTTGTTGTTGTTGTTGTTGGGGCTGTTTGAGGGCAGCGTGTACGTGTGCGAGCTCTGGATGATGGGCGAGAAGGACGACATTGTTGCGTGCTGCGTCGGTTTTAGCTAGGTAGGTATGTAGCTAAGGTAGCTAGGTGGGTAGGTACCGCTGCGCGGGGGTACGCGGGCTGCGATGCTGGGGATGGATGACGTCAGTGCTTGCTTAGCTGCGATCGCCAGGTACGCGAGATGCTTAGGTAGGTACCTAGATAGCTGAGGGGCCGGGGCCGGATCTGGACAAGTATGTATAGGCGGGTGCCGATAACGAGATGGGGAGCCGACGAGTAGCAGAGGGCGGAAGTATCGAGAGAGAGAGAGAGAGAGAGAGAGAGAGAGAGAGAGAGAGGGAGGGAGAGAGAAAAGAAGGACGAGAGAAGACACTCGGAAAAAAGGACAATAATATACATTCGACTAGAAAATTTTGCCCGTTGCCCAGACATCATCCCCAAGGGCCATAGCCGCCAAATAGCACAGAAAAAGCAGAGATTCTCAACCCTAGCGCATGCCACGGTGCCAGTCAGGCTGTCAGCCTTTTCCCCAATGCCCGCGTCACCTCCTTTCCCCAGTCCCACAAAAACGAAAACCGAGCCGCTCCAGAAAGATGCTACTACAAGCAGGAACATTTGCTCCCCCAAATGCCGAGCACCGGCTGGGCGTGGTAGCCGCGAGAGGAAATGGCCCGTCGCCAATACCAAGCAAATTTGGCCCGCTCGCCCAGCCTCGCAACCCGGCTCGGCCCGTAACAAGCGATCGTCACGCCAGCAAACTTCCCTTGAGCCGAAGGGCTGAAGGTCGCGAGAGCATCGTCTCACCGATCTTGCGTTTTGGTGCGTTCTAGAGCGGCCTCTGCGGCCGTCTTGTCGCCCTTTCTAACCTTGGTCCCTTCTTGATCTACCGCATCCTCGCCCTGCGCCTCGGCCTCTTCCAGCTCCAGTTCGATCTCCTCGCTTTCCGTAGGCTCGGGTGCAAACGTCTTGCGGGGGCTAGCGGTGCTCTCGCCCCCGGACATTTGCCATTCCATAAGCTTGGCGAATGCTCCGTCGGGCCTGCTCGAAAGCTCCTTGTACGTGCCTTCTTCGGCCACCCGGCCGTCAGCGCCGATGCAGATGATACGATCGGAGCGCTTGATCGTCGACAGACGGTGGGCGATGCTGATGGTAGTGTTGTTCTCGCGAAGCAATGAACCCAATGCCTGGTTGACAAGTGTTTCGGACTCTGCATCCAAAGCGCTGGTAGCTTCGTCCAAGATGAGAATGTCCGGTTTCTTGAGCAATGCCCGCGCAATTGCAATACGCTGCTTTTGGCCGCCAGAAAGCTGTGTGCCGCGGGCACCGACATGAGTTTCGAGACCATCGGGCTGTTCATGCGTTAGTGTTGGTCATTGTTGGGCCTTCGATAAAACTTACGAAATCACTGATGAACTGGCAGTTGGCCTTCCTTGCCGCGGCGATAATCTCAGCGCGTGTAGCTTGGGGCTTGCCATACGCAATATTCTCTGCAATTGTACCGGAAAACAGCACGGGCTCTTGGCCAACGAAGCCGATTTTGCGTCTCAGCTGCTTCGCATTCATGTTGATCGTGTCCCGTCCGTTGATGGTGATTGTGCCCTCGTTTGGCGTGTAGAACCTGAGCAGCAGGCTGGCTACAGTGGACTTGCCTGCTCCGCTGGGTGCCACGATAGCCACATTCGTTCCTTCAGGAATATCAAACGACAGGTCTTTGAAAATGGAGACTGCAGGCCGTGTGGGGTAGCTGAAGGTAACTTTATCGAACTTGATGCGTCCACGAGCTGATATGACGGGCTCGCCAACAGTCGGCGATATCGTCGGGTGTCGGTCTTGCAGCTCGAAAAGTCGACTGGCTGCGCCGACGCCCTTCATCAACTCAGAGTAAAACCCAGACAAGCCAAACATACTGGACCCAGCATAAGCGGTGTACATCAGGAAGGATGACAGTTCGCCGATACTGATAGTCCCAGACTTGACCATGCCGCCACCAACGTAGAGGACCGCCAGTACAGTCATGTTACCCATCAGGCCGGTACTGCCAAAGAAGGTGGCTGCCACCAAAGCTTCCCTTTTGCCCAACTCGAAAATCCTTTTAACTTGACGGTTGTAGCGCCCGACCTCCTGGATCTCGCCCGCAAACGCTTGCGAGGTCCGAACATTACCGAGACGCTCCTCCGCAATCTTGGTCAAAGTACCAAGGTTTCTTTGGATCTTGCGACTGATGTTGCGCATGTAGCGACCGAAGAGGAAAGCCGCGACGGCCACCGGCGGGAACATGATACCGAGAACTGCAGTGAGTTTCAAGGACACGTAACCCATCATACCGAGGCCAGCAACGCCGCTCACAAATGACCTTAGACCGTCCGAAAGATTCTGCGTGATACTCTTACCCACAATGATGGTGTCCGATCCCAAACGCGAGATCAGATCACCAACCCTGTTGGCATCGAAGAATTCCGCATTCTGAATGAAGGTATTCCTGTACAACTGGGAGCGAAGACGAGCAACAATTCTCTCACCGACAATACGAAGGATAATGATACGTCCGTAGTTGGCACCTGCTCCGACGAAAAGAATGCCTCCCAAAGCCAAGTAGAACGTAGTCACATCCATGCCGAAGAGTGTGTCTTTTTTGTCCGCCTGAGTTGCAATGTCCAGGATCTTGCCAATTGAAAAGGGAATAGACATGGAGACAGCGGAGGAGATCAGGAGGAAAACGAATGCCCACGACAGTGTCTTAGCTTCCGGTCGAGCAATCTTGATAAGTCTTACGATCTCTTTCCAGCCGCCCGGTTTACCCTGGTTGGATCCCTCCTTGCTGAGCTTCGCGCTGAGGTCCACCTTGGCGGCCTGGCTTGCCCTCTCAGACTTTGCGAAGCCTTGGTCTTCTTCTCCATGCTCCTCCTTGTCTATGACCCCTTTGCTCTTCATTTCGTCCCGGTATGATTGCCGCTGAGCTTCCCGGAGAAGCCGCGACGCGGAGAACAGCCTGGCCGGGGCCGGCGATATGCTCAAAGCTACATGGTGAGGTTTGGAGAACTGGAAAGGCGATAACCGGAGTGGCGATGTCGATGGTGCGATGGATGCCTGACGGAGGTATGTAGAAGGCGCGGAAGAGAAAGTCCTGTACAGCGGATGAAACGGACTGCACTGGCGAGCGATTGGCGCACCGGCGCAAACAGAGGACAAGAGAGCGCTCGCCCCCGAAGCGCACCAGGCGCGCTGGGCAACGAGCGGCGAAGTGCCCATGGTTCGGCGAGAGCGTCGGAGGAAGTACGGCGATAGCACTCCTTACCGGCGGATGGGGTGAATGTTGCGAAGGGATGGCACGCTCGTGGACATGGTGTGGGGGGTCTATAGTGCTAGGGTTGGCGGATCGTGGCAGGTAGAAATAGGACGGGCGCGGATGCTATGAGTAAAAGATGTCGATGATGAATGATGCCGGGTGCGCACAGGCCCCGCGCGATCTGGAAGCTTTGCGATGACAGGACCGCGCGCGACGTCGAACGAGGGCCGCCTCTGAGCGTGCGATGATGACGGGCGCGCATCTTCATGGTCGCGGGCGCATCAAGTGACGGCAGAATGGCAGGATCGTCTCATGCATAGGCAAATCATGTATGACGCGGTGCGGCCACGACATGTTTGATAGGGCAGGGGCCGAGCTCAAGCAGACCAGAACATTCCCCGCCGCCGTCTTTTGACTCTGCTCTCTTCTTACCTCGTCTCGTTGAGAACCCTACTATCTACATCGCCGAAAACAGCCGTCAACATGCCTATCGACTACAGCAAATGGGTAAGTCCGCCCACGCCGTTCCCCCGCCGTCCTCTCCATCTGACCCATGCCTCCAGGACAACCTCGAGCTCAGCGACGACTCGGACGTCGAGGTCCACCCCAATGTCGATAAGCGCTCCTTCATCCGCGCGAAGCAGAACCAGATCCACATGGAACGCGCCCAGCGGAAGCACCAGATTACAACGCTGAAGTACGAGCGCATCATCAACGATGGCCTTATGAAGCGCATTGATGACCTTCTTACCGCCCTCAAGTCGCATAAGGACTCTTCTACCTCTGACAATGCCGACCAGCTTGTTTTCCAGTCGATGATGGAGTCTGGAGGAGATCCCTCCGAAGACCAACCACCGCCGCCGCCCGAGGGCGTCCACACTCACGTCAAGGACAAGCCTACATTCTCGCGCATGATGGCAGCGCTGGTCGATTCTGTCAAGAAGACCGTCGACGAGAAGAAGGCGGACAATCGGTACGATACGTGGATTGCGGAAATTGCCGCAGAGAAGAAGAAGGTTTCGGACTTGCAGGGCGAGCTTCTGAAGAAGCTGGACGAGCTGGAGAAGGAGGAGAAGAAGCACATCACCAGCGAGGACATCCACACGGGCTTTGACTACTCGAACGTCAAGAAAGCTGCCGACCAGCCCGCGGCCTCATCTTCGAAGTCTGCCGAGTCTGTCGAACTCCTGAACCCTGGAAGACCGAACCCACCGGGCCGCGCTGATACTGGCCAATCCTCCGGTGCTGAAGGTGATATCGAGGAGGGAGCGAATGCGGATGACGAAGACAATATCCAGGCAAGCAAGCACGGCAAGCAGTTTGCTCAGATCCCTGTCGGCGACTACCGCACTTGCCTGCAGTTTATCTCTGAGCACCCCCAGATCCTGACTGAGAAGGAAACGGATGGATTATTGGTGGAGGCTTTTGACGCCGAACTGGAGCAAAACAGCAAATACGCGAACCAGTGCGTGCACCAGGCTTTGCTCTTGCAATACTGCAGACAGCTGGGCCGCGATGGAGTGGGTCTGTTCTTCAAACGGTGAGTATCACTGTGCTTTGTTTGATCGCAGGCTAATCGCACGTAGCATCACCACAAAGGATCACCAGGCCCAGAAGCTCTTCACGGATGACGTCAAATCGACCTACGCACGCATCCGCACGCGCGCTGCTGAGATTAGAGAGGAACGGAAGAATAACCCGGAGTCTGCTGAAGGCGTTGAGCAGATCCAGTTGCACGCTGTTGATCCGAACACTACCATTAACATCTCGGTTCCGGCGGTCGTTGACGAGTCGGTCCCCGAGACGAACACGGACGAGAACAAGCAGGCTCGCGCAATTTTCGAGTCCTTCCCTCCGGGGTTGCAGCGGGCTCTCGAGAGCGGCAGCCTCGACGAGGTCAACAAGGTCCTTGCGAAGATGAGCGTGGACGAGGCGGAGCTGGTGGTAGAGCAACTGGGCAACGGCGGAATGCTGAGTTTGGAGGAGGGCGTCATCGATGCGACGACCGAGGAGGGTCAGGCAAAGATGAAGGAGATTGAAGCGTCGGGGCGCATGCCAGGAGACGTAGACACGTCCAACCTCGCAGCTGACCCTGAGTAGTGTGAATGTTTTGTAGCACGATTAATCGATGTCGGTGGTCTTGGCTTTGTTTCAATCGCATGGATCATGTGCATGTGTTCTCAAACAGGGGTCCCGCTCTGGGGCTGAAAACGACCCTCGCAGATCGGCCTAGTCGTGGCCGGTTTGCGTTGATGAAGTGCACGCGCAACGAGTGTCGCCAGGCGGCAAAGAAGATGATAGGCAACGAGATTGACGGGGCCCGACGAGACATGGAGCTGAGCAGAATTTTGCGCAGTCGAGCCCCCCGCCGCCGTCCCACGCTCACGCGGGGGGTGGACACGACTAACTTGACGGGGCCTCGGAGTGGGTCGCGGCGACGGGAGGGACGGACGGCGTCACCAAGAACCCTAGGTGCCAGCCCTACATACCAACCCGTACCTTAACTTGAGCACTTCGTCTGGCCCACCATCTACTATGAAACGTCGGTAAAGCAGGTCCACGGCGCAACGAAAACCCTCGCTCCCTCAGCTAAATGAGCCCCTCCATCCACCATCGCCATGTTCAACATCTCCAACTTGGTGCAGAAGGCCCAGCAGTTCATTGATCCAAACCTCTCCCTTGCCGCTTCCTCCTCCGACCGACGACCCTCCAAAGCCTCTCTCTTCCGCCTCCAGTTTCGCCTGCCCGAGTCGCAGAACCCGCTCCAGGAGATCACCGCCGAGCTCACGCTTTCGGCACACCACACAACGCGGGGGTCGGCGGCGCAAGATGGGAGCGAGTCCGGCAAGCCGCAGGGGAACCACTATGTCGGCAAGCTACATCTCAGTGAGCAGTACCTGTGCTTCAGCACCCAGGGCTCCAGCTTCCTGACGAGCGCCAGCCTAAGCTCGAGCTCGGTGTTCACGGGGCAGACCCACGGCGCGGGCCCGGCGGGGAATGGCTTCACGTTGCCGCTGTGCGCGATCCGCCGCGTGGAGCGCCTGCACAGCCAGAGCTACATGTTTGCGCTGGCGATCACGACAATCAATGGCATGATAGACGGCAATGCGAAGGCGAAGCAAGCGGCGGGCACGCTGGTGCCGCAGAAGTTTGTCATACAATTGGCCGGGAGCCGGCAACAATGCGAGCGGTTTTGCGACGGATTAAAGAGGGGCCTACGGGACGGTGTCAAGGACGTGGAAAACCTGAGGACGGTGGTTAGGGGCTGCTACTCGGAGTATCTCCTCTCGGACGAAGCGGGCGGAAAGGGGGAGTCAAAGAAGGCCGATACGAAGAAAACGCCGCCCGATACTGGTCTCGGGACGCAGTTCAAATATCCTGGTAATCCTCGGAAGTTACGCGAACCGACGAAGATCAGATTATGGAGGGAGTACCTACGAGGTATGGTCTATATCCAGTAGCCGTTGGCCGTACTGACTCGTCACGCAGAAAACGGCAGAAACGCTACCCTCATCCGGCAACCCACTTTTCATAAGCTCATTCGAGTCGGTCTTCCAAACCGTCTGCGCGGTGAAGTATGGGAGCTCACCTCCGGGTCATTCTTTCTGCGGCTGGCGAATCCGACCTTGTTCGAAGAAACGCTGGAAAAGAATTCCGGCCGAGAGTCGCTTGCTATAGACGAGATTGAGAAAGATCTCAACCGAAGCTTACCAGAGTATCCTGGCTTCCAAAGCGACGAGGGCATCAGCAGACTCAGGCGCGTCCTGACCGCATATAGCTGGATAAATCCCGAGGTTGGATATTGCCAAGCTATGAATATTGTAGTGGCTGCACTTTTGATGTATGTCCTGCATCAACTCCTGTTGTTGACTGAGCTGATGACAGCAGTTACATGTCTGAACCGCAAGCGTTCTTCATTCTATCCATCCTTTGTGATCGGTTACTCCCGGGATACTATTCGACTACTATGTACGGCACGTTACTCGACCAACGCGTGTTTGAATCGCTCGTAGAGAAGACTATGCCCATTCTGTGGGAACATCTCGTCAAGTCCGACGTGCAACTTTCGGTCGTTTCATTGCCGTGGTTCCTCTCTCTATACGTCAACTCCATGCCACTCATTTTCGCTTTCCGTGTTCTTGATGTCTTCTTCCTGGAAGGCCCCAAGGTTCTCTTCCAGATTGGTCTTGCAATTCTGCGCATCAACGGCGAGGAGTTGCTCGATGCGGCGGATGATGGCACTTTTATTTCAGTTTTGAAGTCCTATTTCGCGAGACTGGACGAATCCGCCCATCCGAAATCGGACAACCCCAAGCTACGTGCGGTTACGAGATTCCAGGAGCTCATGGTCATTGCGTTCAAGGAGTTTGCGGGCATCACACAGAACACGATTTCAGAGCAACGCGCCAAGCACAAAGACGCGGTGCTTACCAACATTGAGAGCTTTGCTAAGCGCACATCCATCCGCAACCTGGGCTCGGATAGCAAGCGGCTGAGCAACAATGATCTGGGCTTCTTGTATGACCGTTTCTACGGCGTATTGTATGAGCGCCAACAGAGAGCTCAGCAGGCGCAGCAGGAGGCTGAGCGCAAAGAGAAAGCTAGTAGGATGAGGGCATCACAGCTCATTTCTGGCTTCGCAGCTGCCAGCGATGTTGAAAAGGGCAGAGTTGCATTGGGACCTAGTCCGACCCAAATGGACTATGACGGTTTCAGAGAGTTCCTTGCCGGTGAGTGGTATGATTCCTTTGGAGTGTGCAGTTCTGACAGATATAGGTATTGCACGATGGGCGGTGACAGACTCACCAAAGTCGCCACAAGACCAGGACAAACAATCGCATTCGTATTTTGGCAGCAGCCGTAGCGCCAAGCCAAGTGGGCCATGGGGATCAAATCCTGAGCCGACCGACCACGAGTTCATGCAGCGACTATTCCGCCAATGGGACAAGGACGACACCGGCACGCTCAACCTTCAGAATGTCGTCTCTGGCTTCGCAATGGTCAAGGGCGCGAAGGACATTATGGCTAACATTGAGTATTTCTTTGATCTGTATGATGACGACGGCGACGGCAAGGTCGATCGCGAGGGTATTCTGCGCATATCAGAAGCGCTGCTGTTTTTGTCGCGCCGCGGCCTGAACAACAACAGCTCGCCTACGACCTCGATAAGCGATCTGCAGTCTGTAGCGATTGACACGGAGTCGCGCAAGGAGAACAGCGACGAGGCCATTCTTAACAGCATATCAGCCTTCATCCGGCGGTGCTTCGAGTACGCGGATCCAGACCACGAGATCAACCGCAGCCAGCAAGAAGCCCGCGTCAAGGAAGCCACCAACAACATCAACGACTTCAGCATCGGCGACGAGGACGACGAAGACAACCTGCTCGACCTGGGCGACGACGACAAGCCCGCCAAGCCCGCCGAAGCGGAGCAAAATCCCTCCTCTCCCGTGGCCGCCGAACCCGCAAAAGAAGAAGTCTCGTCGCCCATGTCACCCAAGCCCGACGCGCTATCAGCGAACCCGGCCCTCGACCCCGCACACCCGCTCTACATCACCTTGCCCACATTCCGAATGGTGATCCTAGCCGACGAAACGCTCGAGCAATTCTTCGACTCAGCTTTCCCGAACTCGTTCCGCCTGTCAGACGTGCCCAACCCCGCCGCAAACCTGACCACATTCAGCAACGCCGGACGGGCCAGCACGAGCACCAGCGCGAGCGGCAGCGGCCTCGTCAGCACCCTCACCACGCCCACCGCCCCCTCGGGCACCGTCTCTCTCCCCAGCACCGGCGGCATCGTGCCCCCGGGCAAGGGCCTGCGCGGCATGCTCGACAACATTGTGTCAGACGGCATGCGCGTCGCCGCAGAGGTGAAAAAGCGCATGGAGGACGCGCAGCGCGAGATGGAGCGGTCGCAGGGCGGCGCGCGCGGCGCCGGCGGTGGCGGCAGCGGTGGCGGCAGCGGCGAAGACGAAGATGCTGATGCTGACGACCATGATAATGATGGCCGCAGCGTCCATGAGCAGGATCGCGACTTGCTCGAGGGCGCCGAGACGGCCGATGTCGAGGAGAAGCGCGAGCAGGAGCAGAACCTTATTGATGCTGAGGGCGGCGATGGGGCGGGTGCGGGTGCGGGCAAGGCTCCTGCGGCCGCGGGAGCGTCGCCCCAGTCGCCTTCGTCGGCGGCGGCGCAGCAGGGCGCTGTGCCCGGCGCGAAGACTGCGGCTTCTGGTTCTGCTGGGAGTGCGAGTGCGGGCGCGGGCAGAGATAGGAGCGTCAGCGAGGCGAGTGGTCGCGTCGTCGAGTTCGATACGTCTGTTTTGGAGGAGTAGGAGTAGGAGTAGGCGTAGGAGGAGGAATTGTAGTGGTAGTTGTTGTCATGGTGGTGAAGCGAAAGGAGCAGGAGCTGCGTGGGGGGGGGCGGGGGGGCGGGGGGGGGGGAGGGGGTAAGGGGGGTAAGGGGGTTGGGTCAGGCCGTCAGTAGTAGGAACAAGAGGGAAACAGGCAGGCACAGGCACAGGCATAGGCATTCGTTTGTTTGTTCCATTGTTCAATTGTTTGTTCTATTGTTCTATTGTTTGTTAGGTCAGGTTGTTTGGTTGGTTGTTTAGGTGGCTGGGCTGGGTTTGCTGGGTGTGGTGCGGTGTGGTGTGCTGTGTTGAGCGAGCATTCTTTTGTAGCAAGAGCGGAGCGAATTTGTGTATGAGTCTGGTTCTGGTTCTGGTCGAGTCTGTGGGTGAGGGGGGTGGGGGGTGGGGATGGGTGGTGAGGGTTGGGGGCTTGTGTATGTAGGTTGGTGGTTAAATGCATGCATCAGGCTTGGAGTAAGATGCTTGTGGGTTGTGGCCGGGTTGTTAACTGACGACGTTCTTTTTGCGTGGTTCGGGAGCTGGGGCGGGGTATACAGTAGATATGTAGATGTGAATGATTCCTTTATCTTCTGGGTATAAATGGTAGGGTGGGGGACTCAAAAGATGAATGAATTGCCGGGTACTTGTTCTAGATATTTATATATCTATTCTATAACCGCAAAAAGCAGTGCCTGAAAGACGTATGTACCACACTAAACATCTATCCCACAAACCCTTCTACATCTAACCCTGCCCACTCCCACTACCACTTAAAGCTCTCCTCAAAATACTCAACCCCTACTCCCACCATCTCCCTCCCCAAAACCCTCACAACAGCCCTCCGCGCCTCATCAGCCATAGCCGCCGGCCCGCACGCCACGACCGCAAGGCCCTGACCAGCCGCCTCCTCCGCCGCCTGTTTCACCACGGCATCGACGTCCGGCCTGCCCGCGTGCACCGCTATTGCTGCCTCGCCTTCTGCAGCCCCCACGCCTACGCCCAGCGCCTCGTCTGCGACGTCGGCAGCGGCGTCGTCTTTCGTCCCGTCCCCTGTCACAAACGCCGTGAGCCGCATCTGTTCGCTCACTAGTAGCCCCCGGCTCCGCAGGTCGATGTCCAGCACCTCGGCCAGGAATGCTCGTTCTCGCACCGCCCATACGACGTGTACGCGGCGTGGAAGCGGGTGCGGGTGCGTATGAGCGTCGTCGTCCTCCTCGAGAAGCAGGGACGCGAGATACGACAAGGGCGTCGCGACGCCGGTGCCGCCGGCCAGGAACAGGACGTGGCGGAAGGTGCGCAGCGGGACAGGAGCGCCGTAGGGGCCTTCGACTAGGACGGGGGGATTGTATTTATACGGGGAGGAGAGGGCGGCGGCGCGGAGGCGGGCTGTGAGGCCTTTGTAAGGGCGGATGAGGAAGACGAGGGAGGGCGGTTCTGCGGGTGTTGCTGTGGCCATGTCTGTGTCGGAATGTTGGTGGGAAGGGTCGGTGGAGTAGGAGAGCGTAAAGGGGTGGTTTTCCCAGATGCGCACACCGTCGAGGAAGGTAAGGTAGTAGTAGGCGCCTGGGATGGGCGCGATGAGGCTGGAAGAGCAGGGGATGCTGATGCGGATGATGTTGGAGCTGCTGTCGTAGGTGGTGCGCGCTCGCGTGCACCAGAACTTGGGGTTGAAGGCGAGGATGCGCGCGCCGCGGAGGAGGCGGTCTGCAAGCCAGATGCACACGCATGGCCAGATGTAGGCATTGTATTCGCCGTCGAAGATGGAGATGTGGCTAGAGTTGTGGTGGTGAGAAGGGGTGTGGTTGGTTTGTGGGAACGGGTGACTTACTACCACATACCCACCAAGACGGCTACGGATATGGTGATGTGAAGGAAGAGGAATAGCTCGTAGAAGCTGCGGCGGAGCCCGTACACAGAAAATACGCAGATCATAACCATAGCGATTGTAGCCTAGCGTGGAGTTAGCAAGCATTATAAAGCAGCGAATAATGTAGAAAGTTAACCAGTTCACCCCACTGCCACCACGGGATTGTCCAGTACATCATAAAATCGTTCCAGCCGCCGTCTGTACTTGAATGTTAAGGCGTGACTTGAAGTACTAAGGCGGCTAACAAACCTCTAAACACCAAAACAGTGTATCCGATCGAATGTGCGATTGCTTCTATTGTGGCTACCCTGGCCACCCACCTGTGAAAGCTGTTCATTGTCCCAAAACCCCAGCCCAAAATGTTCATGAGCAAGTTGTTACGGATTCCAAAGAGCCATACCAGTGGGAAGTTGGCGAACGCTATAACGCCGGTTCTATCTGAAAAGTACCTCCAAAGTTGGGTGGAGACCTCAGGCCAACTGATAATAGTGAGCAATTGGTATTGAATACGGGGAGGGCTGCTCATACTATAAATTTCCCGGGAAAGCATAGTAATCGACCGAGCAAAGGACGATGTTGATGATAATGAATACCACTACGGTTAAAGATTGTATCCGAGGGGGAAGAGTACACCAGCCAATGTTCTGCGAGCAGCGGTAGCCAAAGGTGGCCGGTGTGGTGATGTATCTCTTCAGATATGTCCCTGGGAGGCTGAGGATGCCGGGCTTGACCTTCCTAGGGAAATCCTCAGAGCTCCCGTCTTCGCTGTCCGGGATGAGTTTCCATCCACCTTGCTTCCGAATGCCTTTAAAGAGGGCTGACAACCGAAAAAGCATTCCTATGGCGACCACCGAGGCCCAGAAATAGTACATCGCATGCCTTAGAGCCCGTCAGCGCAATCCCTCACTGTAATGAAACCACGAGTTGCCTCACCCGTATGTGATATGAATATCATGCTCAAATTGCGCGATGCTCTAGACATACATCAGCCTAGTCCAGCACAAGCCGCGCCTGAGCGCATCCACCACTCAGCCTCCCTACCAGCGTATCCAACGCCCGACGCCACAGCACCTGCGACGGCAGCGCGACCTCTTCCAGCTCTAGCGCCTTGCGCGTAACCTCGTCCGGCTGGACGCGTCTCAAGCTCCGCACATCCTCGGGGCCATACTGCGAAACGACATCCTCGAACGCCGGCAAGGAGACATTTGCGCGCTCGAGACACCCAGCCTGATATTCGCGCAACCCTGGCGCCCGGCTCTCCGGTGTGCAGTACTGCTGCAAGCTCAAGTACAACGATGCCGTGCGCAGGCGGCTCGTGCAAGGTCGGACGGGCTTGGGCGCGCCGACTGCTGTGTCCAAGAAGATGAGGTTCTTGAGGCTGTATTGGACCGCGCGGAAGCAGAATTCGTCGCCCACTTGACTGTCGGCGTGCGCTGGGCTGCTCCAGAGGCTGCTGAGCAGTAGCAACAAAGGAAAGTGCATCGAGAGACGAGAGGGCCAATTTATCGGCGGGTGTTTTGGGGTGGAGCTGGAGGGAAAATCTTATCAGATGGCGGGGGTTGCTGCCTGATCTCGTTTCCGGGTTCTTGGCTTGCTCGGCGCTTCGGACTTGAACTGCGTTTGTCATGGCGTGGTTGGTCTGCAACTTCATCTCTTTGCAACTATGCACGCTTTGGCTGCGTCCAAGCATTTCTGTCCTGATACTAAGTTTGCTTTGGTGTGGCGAAGACAGCTTTTTACGTGCTTGTAACTTTACCTTCACAAAAAGCCTGGTCAACTTCACAGCTACCCGGCGAAGGCCCTATTCACACTCCCGTGCGAGGCCTGATTGGGCTGGTTCTGGCCAATTTGTAACTACAGGAACTGCTTCATGCGTAGCCAGGAACGTCCGTTCTATGGAGCGATCATGCTTTCTGATACGGATACCAAGTAAGCTTCTCGTAGAGTTCAGGAGAACCCCCGTCCGGATGGTACCTGACGCTTGCTGTAGGCTTATTTGTCTTTACGACTACCCACTAAAGATCTCTAAGAAAGAAACAAACTGCCTTCTACGTCCATGGATCCAAATTATCGTCAAACGTACCACGAACGTGCAGACCTACCGTTTCCCACGTCTTTATAGACATATGCCAGGACAACAGCCGGCATTTTCACCACGTCCTCCCACTTACTGCGATAATATCTCTGTTCTCATGTTTGGAATCTGGTTCAGCTGGCCGAGAAATATTCCCATTACTCCATGTTTGTCAGACGTTAGGCATATCCCGCCAAGTAGTGGGCATTGTGAGGGGAGAAGGCGCTGAACTTGGGCCACCTCGCGCGAGACAGAGGCGGTCAATTGGAATTAGACAGCCAGAGAGGTAGACCTGGAGCGTGGCCACGGTAGGTTGTTAAATGTATGAGGCTCAGGCGTATCCAGCCCGCAAACATGCGACTTCCCGCCACTGTGCTAGGACTGTCACATTTGACGGTCAAGGTCGCCAAGCTGTCGTTCGCAGACATGTTGTTATTGGCAATCAGCTCTGCTCTTATACCTGTAAGCTCTGAAAACCCCAGACTAAAGAGTCGGTCCCGCTGCTCTGGGCTCATGTTGGTGAACAGCGACCAAAGTGGCTGTTCAGTAGAACATCGACAAGCTAGGATTGCCACGCTGCCGGAGGAGCTTTCCTGCCTTCTTCCGCCTCTTTTCTCTTCTAGGAAAAGGGCCGTGTCTCGACAGGCGCAGGTGAAGTGAAGTGCCTAGTGGCTTGGCAACATGCAGTCACCGTCTGCCGGGCTTATAAGTTCCCCCTCCGCCCCTCCCCCACAAACTTTTCAGACACACAAAATCCCCCAGCCCCGACGCGCCAAATCTCTCACCACAACCCTTTGTTTTTCTTCCTTCGTTCCCCCATCCTCTTCGTCCTTTCCACTCATCGAACTCATAACATCTCACTCAACGAGCATCACAACCTCACGTTTGCGCCCTTCCGCGAGCAGTTGCCAGCGACCCACGCGGCACAGCGACTGCTCGCCGCGCCCCAGACCCAAGCTGCCTTCACCTCACCTCACCCGCTGACCTGCTGCACCACGGTGCACCAGCACCAGCGCGACGTCACGAACTCTGACGTCCAGGCGCCATGACCAGCGCAGGCGCATGGCTGCTTTCACCCAGCAGTGAGCGCACTCGGGCGTCCATGATATCCGAGACATCCGCTTCCTTCTCTGGGTGGTCGTTCTCCGCCACCCGGCTCGCTCACTCTGTCTAGACCTGCTCACCGAAGTCGCGCGGCATCGTGTCCGCATCGGTGCGACTTGAGCAAACCTCCGTCGCCTCTGGCGGCGGAGAGGGCACTAGGGGCCGTTCTGATTACTTTGAACTTTCATCTACTAACGGCTTTGGCTTGTCATTGCTAAACTCTGTGTGTTTGGTCGTGAACTACATATTCAACTGGTCAGCTGTGAACACTCAAACGACTTTCACTAAGATACGGATCATTGTCTCTTGGACTCCTCGCTGCACAAGAGCAACTCTGAGCTGACCTAGCTACGACACGTTCTAAGATCTTCTCTGGACGCTAAACTGAAGAGTCGGGTCAAAGTCTCTACCTTCCCAGTCGGAGAACCTCATAGTAGTTCATTACTCACGCAGTAGTCTTTACGAAGAGCCCGCTCGCGACTTCCATAATCTCTTACGGACGTCGTCGGAGCGCAATCCCGATTTTCGGCGTCAGCGGTCAGCCACCGAGTGCTCTTTCCAATTCTATTCGAAGAGGTTTGGAGGGCAAGCGCAACGGCATGCCTCGGCCTTACCCAACCTACCTTACCTTCGTCTCCTCTACGTTACTGTCTCCTCTACGCTACCGTCTCTTCTGCTTCTCAACTCTCGATCCAGACCTGTAACATGGCAGACGGAATCCCGCCAGACAAGAGCACCACTCCGGAAGACATGGCATCGGATGGGAACGGAACAAACAAGAGCACAGTCACAGACAAGCTGGCAGATGAAAGTACAAACAAGAGCGTTGTTCCAGAACCTACTGCAGCATCCAACGATGGTGAGTACAAGTCTACAACCTGAAACTTCGGCTTCTGACTAGACTTCCCACAGCCCAAGGTCCCTCGAAGCCTTCCGCAGATATGCGTACCATCATGACAATGATTATGAAACTGGAAGACGACCGAGAAGAGACAGACACACGACACTCTCAAGAGCACCTTGCCATGATGACGGCACTCTCAAGCCTCCATCAAAGATTAGATACAATTGAGAGCTACCAACAGAGGAACAATTCTCAGATGACGAACGCCGGTTCTACTGCCGGCCCTGCGTACACCAAAAACCTCCCACTCAACAACCCAGTTGCCGTACTTCAGCCAGTCAACAACGATGCTTCAACATCCTTGGGCCACAACTCAACTACTCCTCGACTCAGCAACTCAAAAGTTGTGCCTGTGACCGCTAGCAACCCTGCCCCGGCATACATTGGTCACAAGGGAACCGCCGCTCATGGACCCCCACCGGCACCCGAAAAGGCTTCGCTGACTCACAGTAACTCTTTCACTGGCGACAACAGAGCCACTGCGGCCATGGCTATTGACTCGATGTTGATGTTGACGGGTGCCAAGACGACTCTGAGTACAGTCAACACGTCAAAGCCCTTAACCCAGAAACGGAAGCTGGCCAATGATGATCAAGAAGAAGACACCGACTGCATTATTTCACTTACACGTTCGGTCACCAGAGGACGCATGATGGTAAGTATATTGTCGTCATTGCCGTGCATGATTGACTTTTGTTTAGGCTGGAGCGAACAGACCTGCACGGAGGCAGAGGACAACGCCAAAATCTGACGGCGAACAAGTCGATGGAGAGCAAGCAATGCAAGAAGACGATGTAGCTAAGGGATTCGAAACAGCAAAGGAATCCAAAATCCGCGCTGTGAGTAGGTAGACATCTCTCTTCTTTAACGTCACTAACCAACCACAGTGGGAAAACTTGGAGCTCTACGAACTTCCGGGGACATGGGAGCTGAACGAATCAGGCACGCTTCCCGGAGTGCAGCCACTTGCTCTACGGAAGTCAAACCTGTTCATTAGCTTCACGGCACTCAAGCGAATCGCCCTGGTCACAGATCGCACGTTGACTTCAAACCAGCAAAGACACATCCAGAAGACGCGCTTCTCTCCTTCTGACATACGGACATCGGGAAGAGAGTCGTGGGCACGTCTTTGGGTCATCGAATCCTGCAGCAAAGAGTGGAACTGTGCCCAGATCATGAAACCTTTGATCGACAAGGCGATCGAGTTAGGAAACGCTTCGAAGGTGGCCGAGAGACTGCGAAAGTTACACTCCCTCCTCGTGTGAGTGGTATGTGCCGTTTCTGAAGCTTGGGAAGAAGAAGACCCGGAGTTCATCTCGAACGAAATTATGCCGGATACCGACATTGGTTTCGTTGCAGCAAATAATCCTGAGACCTTCGACGACTTCTTGAGGATTGACCTTGAAAGTGTAACGAAACTGCTTGTTTGTAGCAAGTGTTACAACGTTGACCTTTGCGACGAACTGCTCCTGGAACCGTGAGCACAAGTCTTCTCTAAGACTGGACCAAGAATCAACTCTCTACTTCATGCACCAAGTATCGCCTTGTTGTCCATCCACGTCAGAAACTGCAAAGTCAAAGCCAACAATTCAGCAATCCTCATCCTACAAGACGAAAACTACTTTACAATCACGACACAGGTCAACTATCCCACCATTTTTTCAGCCGAGACATTGCAGGGTTCTGTTTGCTGTCCGACATTCTCCTCTTTTCAATTGATTCTACCGCTTTAAAGTCACCTTTCGCTTCTTTTGTCACAACTTCCAACACCGTCGGCAATTCTAGGGAGCCGGGTTTCACAAAACTCCACTCACCGTAAAAGGTCAATCGGCATGCACACGGGGGCATACCTTCGTCTGGATCATGCAAGATTAATCAGAGACTACACATGGGTACTTTACTAGCTCACTTTCTTTCTGGTAGCGGCGATCCGTTTCAACTGTTAATAGAGATACTCGAGAGATATAACCTTGGAAGGTGTCGTCTGTCGTTACCAAGCTTTGTAGATCCACAATCAATCAGTTCATGCTTACTTTTCTCGAAGTGTCCTCGCTGTAACACTTGGTAATCATACGCTCGTAAAGCTCGTCTTCTTTGCCTTTGCCGACCGCTGTGGAGGTACCCGGACCTACGACAGATACTCAACGTTCACTGGACACTGTTCTTTCTCAAACATTATGAGACAAACTCCGATGTCAGTATTGAAAGACCTTGATGATAATATGGGTTGCATACACTCAGCTAATTTGTAAGTGTTTTGTGCAGTGGCAAGTCCGCCATGGTCAGCTACACAACGCCTAACCTTCCATCCCTGCTACTTAAAAACCTCTTGCGTAGGAATGCATCTATCAACTCACCGTCCCACACCTAACACCCTGATCTACGAAACAACGTATACACCACCGCCACCAAACCCCAGCACAAAAGAAACCGCACCGACGCTCCCAAACCTCCAACAAAGCAAACCCCCAAGAAGCACGTCCTCCTCTTCTGATCTACCCTTCTTCACCACTACACACATGGCAAATCTCTACGCAAACGGAGTGATTTCAAGCGCGCCGGCGGTGGCATGGCACTACTGAAGTAGGGGCGGAAGAGAAGGATAAACATGTAGCTGTACACATGCGGAGGTAGGAGCTGGAAGGCTGTTGGGGTTGTTTGGAGTGCTTTAGTTTGCTGGTTTATTGTGTTGTGTTGTGTTGATCACGGGCATGTGTGCGGTGGCAGTGCGTGGGTTGTGGGCGGGTTGCGGGGAGCGGGAGCTGGTGCTGGTGCGGGAGCGGGCTCGGCTGGGGCGTTGTTGTTGTTTGCTGCGCTCCATCAAAGCGGGCAAGATCAAGGCTAGGTAGATTCAGCCCGGATGACCCAGCTACATTAACGCTATCCTCATATTACAGAAAGAAAATCTTCAGAGAGTGATCAAGACTCGGTGGTGATTTTGGCTGTTCCTGTCACTTCTCATACTCCTTGTTATGAAGGCTAGTGAAGCCTTGCACCTCTTACTCATTGGCTAAGGCATTTGTGAGCTGTTCTCTACAGTAATTGCTTAAGCCTTGTTTGTGAAGTAGTCGTCGCTGATGTCGATACCAGCATCAAGCCCTTGAACAATGCAAGGCTGCGAGAACTGAGCCAGGATACCTAGATCGATGGCTTTGCTGCGGGCCACATTGTGTCTTGTAGGATAAGGTAAAGCGGGGTTACGACCCTATGGAAGGTCTCGAGTGAAGATATAATAGATAGCACCTCACGACAACCTAGAAATTTTCTTGGAGGTGGCGATTGGACGTCCTTACCATGCTCTTAACGAGCCTTTGTCCGCCCAGTGTCGTAGTTTATCTTAGGCCTGAATTCCTTCACAGCCTCATGCTGAAATCGGCATCACGCGTGGAGCAGGCGATGTCTGGCTATGATGTCGATTGGATTCAAAATCTTCCAAAACAAAATCCTTCCCGTAGTCTTTTCATTTGAGTTTTTCTGGTACCTCCTCTCCTGAAGCTTGCGCTTGCACTTCCGTCCCGTCCACTACAACATCCGTCTGTGGGCCTGTAAAGTGCTTTCGTCCAGTTGTAATCCAAGTGGCAATGGCAATCACACCCACAACTCCGATAGCTGCAGAGGTGTAGTTCATGTTTTCTTCCGTAACAGGTGCCTTCGTTGGGAAGTTAAACGTGATGACCGCGAACACAAGGTAAACGAAGCCGACAGTGTTTAGTAAAAGGCCCCAACGCCCCAGTGACCAAGGACCCTCGAGCGCTTGGTGTTTGTGGCCCAAGGCGCGGGAAAGAAGACGCACGAACAGAGGCAAGGCGTACGACATGTAAAAACCCTCCGTAGCGATGGAGATGACAGTATCGAATCCAGTGACGGTCCCGAAATAGATTGAGTCGAAGGCCGCTTGGACGATTGCAGTAAGCAGGATCGCGTAAACGGGAACATGCAACTTCTTGTTGACCTTGCTCAACGTCCCCGAGAACGGCAGTCCATGGTCTCTTGCAAAAGCGTAGACGGTACGCCCGCCCTCCGCGGTCAAGGATATGGAGGAGAAAAGCGCGATTATGCTCATCAAGCCGACTAGAGCGCAAGAACCACGCACCGAGCCGGTCGAGTTGAAGAAGATGGCGATGATCGGAACTCCGGTGCTCGTCCCGGCGGTTTCTTCCAGACTGCCCATGCAGAAACAGCAAACGATGAGGAAAATGAACCCCGTGAAGAAGCCGAGCCATACGCTCATGATTATGGCGCGGGGAGCCTGCTTCCGTGGTTCATGGATCTCCTCAACCATGTGGGAAGGCGCGTCGTAGCAGCACATGCCGAAGGCGCTTTGCAGAATTCCGAGGATAGCAGCGTAGGGAGCGCTCCAGCCAGTCGTATTTTGAAAATCAGCGAAAACGAAGCTGGCGTCTTGTTTGTGGTCGTTGCAGGCGAGGATGGTGATTAAGATCACGAAGAAGGCAGTGATGTTCCATATCAGTATGCCGCGTGATAGCTTGTCCAGAAGATGCGGGGTAAAGATGTTAATGAGCATTGCGAGACCGCATATAAGGTAAGCAAGGAGGACAGTGTGCCAGCGCTCTATGGTATATTCTGGATAGCTCAGGTTTGCCATTCCAAGCACGAAATTTGCTGCGATGTATTGGCTCACTGCCCCCATAGAAAGGGCTCCGATTAAGAGGAACCAGCCGCAGATATACGAGAGGCCCCGAGCGATTTTCTTTGGGGCCAGAATAACAACCCAGGAGTACTGGCCGCCTGCAACCTGTTCCTGTCAGTATACAAGTCAGTCTTAAAACTCAGGTCCATAAACTAACTGGGTACGCGCTGCAAAGCTCTGCCATAGAATATGCAACAGCAAGAGTGCAGAGACACAGGCCGACCCAACTCCATATCATGACCGGAGGGCCGCCAGATTCTACTCCCACGATCAGAACGCCGCTCAATGCCGTCCAGGATGTGATGATTGAAAAAGAAAATCCAATCATTCCCAGGATCCCGAAGTTGCGCTTGAGCTCTGGGTGAAATGTCAGCCAAAACGAGTCGCTTGGATTGTGATTGAAACCAACCTTGCTGGTATCCGAACTGCTCAAGAGCGACATCTTCTTTGGCATTCTGGTCAAAGACCTTCTGCTCCCCTTCCATCAAGTCGCGGTTTATCGAATCCATGATGTCTTTGGCCGGTTCTCAGGAATTCGAAATAGAGCCGTCGACAAGAAACTTTGACAGAGGGAATGAGACCATCGATAGGATAATATACATGTAGACCATGGATGTTCGGTAGCATTATTGCGTAAAATAGATAGGACGACAGATATGCAGCCAGATCGAGCGCCGTTGGCGCCTGCATGTACAACCTCTATACCTGCTTTGTTAATAGCCCCTGTTTCCATTCGCTAACCATCACCCAGGGCCCAGTCAGGCGTCAGGGATATTGACCACTTCGTGCATGCTGCCGAAAAGCCCGTATCGCCCGCTTGTCGGTCGTGAAGGACAATGAGACGCGTCGACGGGCGTCACTTGAGTCAATTCGCTGGATACAGAGCTTGAGAGGGCCACAGCCTTGTGCGATGCAACGAGACACAGCATTGAGTCCAGGGTGCAAGTGTGGTGATGCGAGGACTCTTATCTAGACGTATCGGTTGCGGTTGAGGAGAGCCGAAAGGGTGGGATGATGCGCCGACGCCGATCACGACCCCCGCCTGCATCTGTTTGCCGCCGGGCCGAACAACAACATCTATTTTTTATTTCACTCCTACCTGTTGAAGAGGACGTCGCCTCCGATGCAACGCCGGTATCAAAGTTGCCAACGACCAAGAAATTTTTCCACGAGCCCCGCTGTCTTTCGACACTGAAGGAAGTTATCATGATATTGCACTAATGTCGACTTTCATGTATTTGTTCAGATGTTGATCTTCTCGTAGCACCATTTTTGGTCCAGTATCGTATGACGGCGGCTCATCGTCATCAGACTGCGACATCAGGTTGCCGTCGGCGTCTGATTCTCTCGAGACATCGCTCATTTCATCATCCGAATCTGGGGTAACGGCTTTCACCTTGCCCATCCGGAGGTGCTTCTTTGACTGGCTAGATGGACCTGCCTGGGCTAACAACCGCTGCAGCTTCTTCTGCCTGGTCTTGACAAGTGGACTCATGCCTTAAAGCTCCTCGGCCTCGGTGGTATCAATCAACGACCGCGATGACGATCAGTGTAGACGTATAGACAACTTCAGCGCTTAGGTCTACCGCCGCCTTTCCCTGTTAGTCTATGGTGGATGCGTGCTCGCTGGACCCTAGGAGGGCTGTTCTTTACAACTTTCTTTTCTGTCTGTTTGCCATGTCTGAAACACGTCCCTGTCGCCAGCCGAGCCACACAAGATCACCATGGCTGCGACTTGTACAAGAGAAACAAGCTGCCAACGGGATGCCGGAGCATATCGAAAGCAATCTCAGGACCACGTTCTACATGAGAAGGGGTCCAAACTCGCGGGTGAAGGGCCTGTTTGGACGCGACCGCGTCTAACGGTCTAGTGTGTATTATATGAAGCCCTGATAGCGAGAGTGTCAGAAGCTTAACCTAAAGTGAGTTGGCCGAACGAGAAAAAGAGAGATAGAGCCACAAAGCTACAGAGAGCAAGACGAGATAGCTGACCAAGCCTACTAGCCACGGAAACTTGTCCAACGGCTGGAATCCCAATCGGGTTAGCGTGACAAACAGGCGCTATAGCAACTGGAATCTTCCTCCTCCTTCCCGCCACAAACAACTGCAAAAATGTCAGAAATCATAGACATGATTGCTCTCGAGCGATACATGCTCCCTCCTATAACCTCTCCCACGCCCAACGTCCCTCCTACCCCGAAACCGGAAGTCACCAGTGGTGTCAGCTCCACCATCCTCACCGAGGAGCCAGCAAACGAGAAAGCGATCAAAAAGCTAAAAACGGAGGACAGGAAAGTCGAGGTGAGCCTCAGGGACCGACTCCTCCGCAAATCGACACCGACTTTAGCGCCTCCGATCACGAACTGGCGGCTGCGGTGCCTCTTCAGCCAGATCGGTCGTGATAACTATTTAGTCTGGGACTGGCTCAGGAGCCCAAGCGTCGAACCGCACCTAAAGGAATTTGCTGAGCTCTTTTCTGCCAGCAAGATGCATAGCCAGGCATTTGATCAAAAGTTGGAGGAATACGTGGCGGAAGGGCAAGAAGACCCTCTTGACCACATGATATGGAGGCGGAGAAGTGTTGCGCACAAGCAGTACAAAGACAACGCCATAAAAGACAGGTTTCTGAGCGGGACAGAAAATGAGTTGCACCAGTTCAGTTGGGAGGACCTCCTCTCGCGCAGCGCCATGCTGTTGGTCCATGACGGCCAACAGGCCATAGACAGCCCTTTCAAGGACCTCGGCACCAGCGGCCGTGAGTGGTCTTTCGAGGTAGCGATCACGGCGCTCATCACCATGCATGAGGAGTTGCAGGCCGTGAACAATGTCATGGCTACCGAAGACCACGCGCTTGGCGACGAAACAATTAAGAACCGTAAACGAGGCGAAGGGAATTACGAAGCCTACTACGTACGCCGTCCGGAGAAGGAGCATGTGTGGTGGAGCGTCAGTGAAGCCAGGTGGAACCACTTGAGCGATGCGATGAAGAAGAAGTGGAGCCACGTTGGATGGATCCTGGAAACGGATGCTGGGGAACAGGCTCCTTCAGCTTGTCAGCAGTGCGAAGACAACAGGTCCCAATGTTGGGTTTACAAGGAGCACGCAAAGGAGTCCATTGGTCAGCCCGGGCATGGCTGCGCTCGCTGCAAGTCAAAACAGTTGGCGTGTTCGCTGAAGGTATTCCTCTTGAAACCCTTTTCATTTTTCTGCTGACTGATGCCATACAGCCTGCAAAGTTTTGCTATCTTCGCAAGACCCGTCGCGCTAGTTGACATCGGTAGCCAACCTAAGAGATGCAAATTTGCCGGAACTGCCTTGAATACGGGAGCCAAACAGCGACCCAACCGCTGAGTATCGTCAGGATACGGTATTTTGAGTCGAATAAGATGCCTTTGAAATGCATCAAGAGCTTGGATAATTAGGGACCCATAGCTGAAGTGGCGGCGTCCGAAGGCATGCAAAGATTTGCTCGGTTTGGTCACGATACCTTGCCGACAAAAGCCTCTTCGTAATATACATCAACCGATGCGGTCGACGCGTTCTGGGGTAACTGTTTTGAGTAAGAGGCATTGGTATAAGGCGTTTGGGTGCTTTTAACAGCGTGGTTTCCCTTTCTGCTACACATATTAGCGAGGCCCCAGTAATTCAAAAGTCCTCTTAGCACTGCTATTGATACCACACTACAAAGGTATATGGTCAGGTTTTTATCTTTCCATTATCACAATACTGGACCGTCAAAGAGTGCTCTTGCACCCTTACTTCTCCGTACCCTCGTACCTACATCAAGCACTGCCTGAGTGCAAAGTAGAATCTGTTCCAAGTGCTGAGTGAGCACTCGGTAGACACAGCAAACTCCTATCAATGAGGGGTTGTGGAATCGGTACAACAGCTGTAAGTCAACAGATTGCAAAGCACTTTGAATAGTGGAAGGGCCACGTTTGCATTTTGTTCAAAGTACGTAACAATGACGGCGGAAAGTTGCATGAATGAATTATCCCAGACGGACGACTGCATAGTATTGAAGGTCTCTTGCATATTGGCCTGATGCACTATGAAGATTCTAGGAATTGGATACGGCCGGCAAGTACCAAGACTCTCTGCTAAAGTTTCTAAAGCTAATGAACCGCGTTCACAGGCTCTTGGACAGTGGTTGCTTCAGCGACTTTAAGATAGGTTGCATGAATGAGACTATCTACAACGTTCACAAGGTTGTCTTGTGTGCGCAAAGCCGGTATTTCATGGACCTTTTTGACCCAGTATCTGAGTCTAAGGTCAGTTTTCAGTGAAAAAATTGTTAAAATGGCTTTTCAGGCTAACGCTTCTTTCTAGAAAGCCAATATTGGGGCCATGGTGGTCAAGCATGACCCAGATGGGACCATGGTATTCAAGCAGGACCCAGATATAGTCAAGGGAGTCATAGATTTTCTATATTGACTTGAGTGCAACACTCCTCCCAACAAAACACCCTGTCAGCTCTTGATCTTTCACGCTGAGTTACATACTGCCGGTATCCACTACGGTATTCCGAACCTCCGGGCCATATCCGCCAAACGATTTGAGATGCTAGCGAGCGATTGCTGGAGCGACGACGAGTTCCCGAAGACGATGAAATATGTTTACCTGTCGAACTACACTCAGAATTTGCGGGATGTGCTCGTCCGCGCTTGCACTAGCAGCAACCACATGGACGTGTTGCTCAAAAAGCCGGGTTTTGCGAAGCTTCTGGACGACGCTGGCCCTTTCAGCAGAGACTTGGTGAAAAGCCTTCAGAAGCACAGGGCGGCTGCTGAGAGGGCAAGCGGCCAACGGACACTTGTTGCTACTGCAAACGCACAATTATCGGACCATGGACAATAGGAGTGACTACAGCTTGGTGATCAATGCCGCTGATACGGGACGGCCGGGCCTTGGCTCTTGGAAGTAGGAAAGGAAGGCGGATAGATTCTAGGACGTAGGTAATAAGCTACGAATGATGCATTCAAAACCCACGACTTAAGGTTTCGTTTGTTGTCTTGGAAACGCTGTGTTAAAGGCCGGGCTGGGGGTCAACCTATTTGGGTTAGTGCTTCTTCACTTCACCTGAACTGTTGACATTCTGTAGACGCTAGCCGGATTAGTCATGCCAACTGCTCATATCTTCGCAGCTCGGAGGTCTTCTTTTCTTTCAACTACCTCTCACCTAACTTTGTCATTCGAACTCCAAAAGTCAAAAATTTCCCAGCTCAGCCCCAATGCCAACCCGCGCGTCCACTCTGTCTACCGCTTGAAAACCAGAGCAAAGTGACGCAATGTCTGAAGGTGTAGATCGCAAGATGCTTGGAGCAGAGTTTGGCCAGTAAGTCTTGCTATGGGGAAAGGAATTTATGTGACCGTGCTGAAATTACCGTCACTTAGCCTGCTTGACAGCGGAATATTCTCAGACTTCGTTATTCGTTGTCACAACAAGGAATACCGCGTCCACAGGAACATCCTCTCCGCACAGAGCAAGTTCTTCGAGAATGTCTGCAAACCTGAGTCAGGTTTCAAGGTAAGTCGCAGTTTAGAAACGTTTATCTCGCCAAAGGATATTTGCTAACAGTTCTCGACTTCTTAGGAATCGCAATCCAGTTCGATTGACCTCAACGATGAAAACCCGGAAATAGTGAAGGCTATGCTCGACTATCTCTACCGCTTCAAATACGACCTTCAGAATGCCTCAAATGACCCCACCATCAACATGTTGTTCCACACTCGTGTCTACGCAGCTGGAGAGTTCTATGGGATCGAGAAGCTCAAGCACGCCGCCATCGCCCATTTCAGAAAACTCGCAAGCCACTTCTGGCAGCATATCACTGCCTTTACAACAGCCATTAAATCTATCTACAACACCACTCATAGTGGCGATAGAGGCCTCCGTGCCATCGTAGTGGAATTCGCCGTGATGTACATGGATGATCTGGCGCTGCACGATGAATTTTTGGACTGCATGAGGGAAGAACCTGACTTTTGGATGGAAGTCACGCTGAAGATTCAGGAAAAGAGAACGGAGGCCCAGGAAATCTTACGCTTCATTGGTAAATTCAACTGCCCTAAGTGCAGTGCCGCTGTTTATCAAGAAATTTCAGCCGGAAAGATCGTTGCGCCCCGTAGTGGAAAGACCCATTGCAGCAAGTGTGGAAAGGAATCTACAGTCAGCGATTGGACGAAGCAGCGGATTAAGTTTTAGGGAGCCTACGGAGAGTACCGGACGTAACCTGGCGTCATCAATGGTAAAAGACGACGAAAAGGTTGGGAAAGTCAAGGCTTTACAAAGGTTTAGCTTGGCAGCTCGGTTTACAAATGCACAGTGGCTTTCATAGTGCCAGTCATTTGAAGCAGTGCATGGATTGATTCGTGGTCCTATCCATTGTCTCGAGGTGACCGTAATTACAGAGTATGTACGTCCAATATTTTAGATGGTCACGCCAAATTCGCGGCGTTAAGACTATGGGAATATCGTGCATGAACGGTGCAGTGCCATTTAGTCCCACCTGATTCATGCTTGGTATTGCTGATCCTATCAAGAGGTTATATCGCCATAAGTATTAGTTTAGACATTGTTCTATATGTCTTTACGTGTAGTTGCTACTCCTCCGGTTAATACAGCCTGCCTTGTGCGCAATACGTTCGACTATAACAGGCTTATAACATCACAAATTACCTTTTAGACGACTAAGAATAGTATGCTCATAAGCTTCATAAGTTTTCCCGTCCTGTCGTTGAGTAACAACGCAGTGTATCGCAACCCACCCCTCGCCGGGTCGCAAATCAGCGTTTGCTACCATCTACGTCTCAATTTCACAATGAATTTCATGTACATATTGGTATTACTATCTCTATGACACTTTAGGTGTTTTGACCGGTTAAAAACTAGATGACAGGTGTTACGATGCGCCATCGCCAGCCACCGCGCCGCCACTGCCGCCATCCTCACCACGCGCTAGCGGCATCTTGCCGCTCCCGCCTTTCGCACGATGGACACCACCTTGGCGCCACTACCGACGCCATCAATCCGTTTGAAGCCCTTGCCGTCCCGAAGTTGTCGATCTGGTCCCGAGACGCCACGGCTCTTCCCGCCATGGCTGTCGCACCTGTTCCCGCGCCCGCGATCCAAAACATGGTCACAACGGGCCGCATGGAGGCTTATGCAGAAGATACTCTACTAGTATAGCATGGCTTAATTTTTTTTTTTTTTTTTTTTTTTTTTTTTTTTTTTTTTACCATAGATAGTCGAAATCCTTGGTATCGAATGCTGCATATAGTTAATGGTGAATCATTATGCCCGAACGATCAAGTTCCCACGGTACCGCAGTTACTTCAACCAAATACAGCTCAGCTACATATACTGTATCCCATTAAGCTTATCAAAATTAGACTATAGGGTTCCACGTCGGTTACTATTTACGTTTTTCTATATGTGGACTGGCCAATATGTAAACAACAGTCATTTGCATTAAATACACTTCACGTCTTGGCACTAGAAAATTTTATATGTCCAAATCTACCCATGTAAAGTTCGAGATGTTATCGAAAACTACATACAGGAATAGTATTAAAACGCTAAGGCCGTTAATTGCAGTTTTTTCATCAAACTCCACCCATTCAGTTCGGGCTAAACACCATAACCTTCACGACTTTGTTGTCGCCACTTGCCAGAAACTATCCTCTAAAATACAGATAACTCTTTCTAATAGAACATGCTCATAACGCAAGAACCAATTACACAAGCCTTACGGTGTAGACAACCGCCTCCATGAATCTGACTCCCAAGTCGTCCCGCAACGATTGCACGGCCTCAAAATCCGACTATTCAACTTCAGCACAACTGTTATAACGTTTCCGCAGTTGCGGCAAAACGTCTGCAACTTGATTCCATCGTCCCGATTCTCTCGTATCCGTCTCGTGTTCATCAGAACCGTGATATCCCGTTTAAAGGCCTCGGTCTGCTCCATTGCATCGACAAGAGTCAGCGGCGACGGCTGCGCCTCTGCTATCACCTTCTCTACCCGCTCCAGCATGGAATCTCGCAGCTCGCGCTCGTCATAGTTTTCAGGCGCGTATATAATGCTTATTGCCTTGGCGAAGGACTCCGTATGCCAGAGGAGTTCGGCGAGGTATATACTGGCTTGTCCAGCGATTCGTTGTAGGCATTTCAGTTTGAGCTTGATCGCGAGGTAGTGCAACAGGACGTGCAGTATTAAGGCGTCGCCGGCCTGGATGCTGCCGAACGAATATGCGTGGTAGTACACGAACTGGACAACTGCCGCGATGACTTCAAAGGGCGAGTCTCCTAGGTCGTGTTCTCCGTCGTGCCCTTGCTGAGATCTGTTAATGTTGTATATCATTAGGATTTTAACGACAGAAGCTTTGTACACGGGAAATACCTTTACTTGTTCCTTAAATTCAGGGCAACGCTCGTATACAATATCTCTATGCACAGCAAAGGACCTCCCGTCGTTGAAGCAAAGTCTCAGGTCTGTATCCATTTTTGCCTTTACTAGCCTAAGAGTAAATCAGTGAGGAACCCATCGAGAGTAAATTTGACTGACCTACTCCTTGAGAGGTGCCCTCCTGCAAGTGCAAGAACAGCAGCGCTCTTCTGCCATCCAAGTGTGTAGTCTTTCAAAGTCGAGTGGAGGATATCTCGTGTAGGAGAGGTCGACTTTAGAGTCGAGCTGAAGAACCTTTATAGCGACGAGCCTCCCCCACGCAAATTCTTGGCCGATGGTTTGTTCGGTGCTTGAGCCGTGGGCGGATGATGCTAGTTGGCTATGAGTTCCGAGTTTCTTCACATTACTCTGTGGTATACATAGCGATTGTACACCCATGGTCAAATCCAGCAAGAAACCTTAAATATTATTCATAATGATGAAGCGAGTCATCGGTGCTCAAACTTGAACCAAGGAAATAACACCCCACCATGCAGGAATGCAGGAAGGTCATGGTGTTGTTAACAGTACGAGAAGGGCTTCTTTGTATAAGTACACACCTCCGCTATTATTCGTATGCCTGTTTCGAGTGTCGACAGTTGAAGTTGGCTTGATTTGGTAGACAGCTTCCTCGAGCTCCTTAGTACGTTTTTTCTCGGCGACTGTCACTTCACTTTTGCCAAGACCTGTCAAAACACAACCAGCATACAGTCCTAACCGCATGATGTCAAATTGGTACGGCTATTTAGCCGACTGAGCAGCCATCTATCTAGCCACCTATGACGCATTCAGCACATCTCAATTGAAGACGCAAAAGAGGGAAACGTGAGAAGGGCCGGAACGTAAAAGAAATAAATAAAAGGGATATCAACTTGGACGGCCCACCTCACCGAGTTATAACCACTCTTTGCTGTCCATCTCTAACCGCCACGTTATGTCGCCACCGGTGTCGGCTCGGGATGAGTGGAGCCTTGGTTCTGCCCTTGTCTCAGTGCGCCGCTCAGTGCCGTCTTTCTCTCTCCAAGATTGTGCAGCCGCTCGCCGATTAGGTAAACCTCATCGCGGACTCTTGCCCTCCAGCGGTCCGTCGTGCGTACGGCTCCAAAGCATGCCCAAACGCCTAGGGCCACCGCCAGCATAAGCGGATACACAGTCCTGTAGACGACGTGATGAACCCAAGGCCCACGGCCGGCAAAGATGGTTGCGTTCGCTATGCGGGCTAGGAGGAGTGGGCCAAGTAGGGTAGTGGCGAAGAAGACGACGGCCGGTACGACGAAGCAGCGTGTTGCAAGGCGCGCATCTGGGCGCGCGTAGCCGTCACGCACCACGGCTCGCAGTGCCCGCGACAACACGTTGCGCGGGTTCCAGAGCAGGACGCTTACTGCCACGCGTGCATAGAGGAAGCCCAGAGTCCAATCTTGAATAAGGTGGATGACGTGCTCCTCTTGAGGCGCGAGGTAGGCGTGCAGAGGGACGAGGATATAGAATTCTAGGAAGGCGGCAAAAAGGATGGGGAGCGCAACGAGGACGGCTGCGTAGACGTAAGTGGTGGCGAGGGCGCGAGTGGCGTAGTTCACCAGCACATGGAGGACCGAGTAGGCAGCCGTAACTGGATGCTGCAGCGAGCGAGCAAAGTATGCGCCAACCTGGCGGAAGTGCAGGATTGTGTAGGCGGTGAAACCGAAAATGTAGATGCCAATGGAAAAGGCGTAGATGTCGTTGACGGTTGTACCATCGGGAAGAAAGCTTGCAATGAGCGAGCGCCCGAATAGGAGTGGGACGACCGTCACACCAACACCCGTAACAGCCGCGAAGAGCCAGATTGCCAAGACAAACAGGCAGATGCGAACGCGAAACCATGGCGGAATGTACACGAAGGAGGTGAGTCCAGAATGTCTACCGTGGACGCCGTCGTCATCAGACTTGCCATCGAGCCGGTTGTTGGAAGTGTCGACGTCGACAAACACGGATTGGCCCCTGGGAATGCGAACTTGATCAGAAGCCGGAGCCCGCACATAGCGTCCATCGAAGAGGAAGTATGCTTCAGTGTTCCGATTTTCAGCGGAGACACGGCGCTCTTCACCAGTGACGGGGGCTTCCGCGTTTCCCTTCTTCCTGGCAAACCAGCCCGCCCACGTCCGTCTGACATGGTGACCTCTCTCGTCTGCGAATTTCTCACCAAATAGGAAGTCGGAGAGTCGCAGCCCTCTCGCACACTTGCGGAACCACCACTGATACATCTCATGGAGAGAATCGCTGGGTTTGAACAACCTTAATACCACTGGAGTCAGGAAGTTGAAGAAGAGCAGCTCGATCGGAAATTCCATAGCGGGCGCGTGAGACTCCCAGTGGACGGGAAGTATGTTGTCGAATCCCAAGTAAAGGCTCCACACAACACCGCCCAGGCAGCAGATGACCAACGCGCCATAGACAAAAGCGCTGAATGCAATCTTGCGGAGCTGGCTGGTAACGCTCCGTTCGAGAACGTCTCGGACAGGATGGAACGTCGGGTCGTCCGGATCACGAATGAAGTAGAGGACGCCGGTTCTCATAATCTTTCGGCACATGGAGACGAAAAGCGCAAAGTGGAACATGTAGCAGGTGCCCACGAACCAATGGACGAAGCCAGCTGTCCATGGCGCTTTATGTGCAAACTCGAATCGTGAAATAAGAGTCGTGTCTTCGAACAAAGGAAGCAAGGCGACATCCAGAAGAATTCCACAGTACAGGGGGAAAGCGAGCATCTCAATGCTAATAATCAGAATGACTTTGAGAACGCCTCCAGCCTGCTGCAACACATCTGAAATGATAACTTCAACTCTACGGCCATTTGGGGAGCTGGTGAAAGGCGTTCCTCTTTTCAGGTAGAGTGCACCGGCAAAGGCGAAGAAGACGTAGCCTGCAAGGATAGCGATGATTCTGTCCGTCGCAGTCCAATATTCGAAAGTCGGGTCGACGGTAGATACGGTGCTGTTTCCGGTGGGCAGAGTGACTGAAAGACCATTTGCTGTCGATATGGTGGGCAAAGCAGCTCGCAGATTGGTGATTGCGGATGCTGCTATGCCGAGCGTAGCCTGAAAAATGCGACCCAAGGTACCGAATACGGAGAAAGACTCCATATGAGACATCTGTTCATAAAGCGCAACAAGGCCAGTCCAGAGATAAGACATCCACTCGCTGCCGTCTCGCTGAAGAGAGCGCAATGCAGCATGAGAGCTGATCGAGAGGTGAAGATAATCCGAATTCATACTGGTGCCTGCGTCGGTAAAAACCCTGGAGATGCGCTGGACAGCGGACTCTGCTACCGTCTGAGTGGATGTTGCCAGCGACTCGAAGGGCTGATGTAACATTGCGATGGGTAGTAGAGTTGTAAGTACCGTTAACGACCAATACAAAATCGCAGCTCCAAGGAAAAGGCTGGAGTCAACAATAAGATCTGCTCCTGCCGATAGAATACGGAGAGGTAACTTGAGGAATAACCAGACCGGGCGGCCTAGAGAAAGCAACACTACTTTACCCCAAAGATAAGGTATCCACACGGCAACGGCAACAGTTGCAGATATCAAGACCGCGCTGAAAATGGCGTTTTGGAAGAGGCCAAGAATTGGACCCTGCATACCAATGAGTTCCATAATTCCTTCCAAGTCTTCGGCGTCCTCGATGGCCTCGGCATCGTTGAGATCAATGCCTGCCTGCGCAGCTGCAGCAGCGACTTCAGGATCCTGAGCAGCGCCCGGTTGGTCAAACTCCTCGTCAAATGCTGCGTCACGACCTACAAACGGAGCTTCTTCTGCCAGGTTCTGTACAACGTGGGCATCATCTCCGCCCAATTGAACATCATCATGTTCCACTGGTAGGATATCACCGTACAGCCAGTTGTAAACACTTTCCCAAAAGCCCACGTCTCTAACGGGCAGGGCGCGCGTTGATTCCGCGTTCGCGGGCGATGCTCCTGCTTGGTTGTCCCTGGCAGGGGCAGGTTCTGGTCCATATGTAGGCGGTGCGTCCGACTCGTCATTCGGAGGCACGACAGTGGTGGTATGGCTGTGGGAAGTTGAGTGATCCTGGTCATCGGCACCACCTTCGTCTTCATTGGCATCGCCATAGAGCTCTTCGCTGGTCGGGTGTGCTTCATCGAATGATGTCGACGGCCTAGACGACCGCGGAGCAGACGAATACACGTAGTCAGCATCTGGAGTAATAGAGTTCGCTGTCAGAGCGGCCACCGCCTCAGAATCGGAAATCTGTTGCCAGCTTTCTTCGCTGTTGTCGCTGTGGCGTTCCCCATCCGGCTCTATGGCGGGTCCTTCGCCGGCATTATCCAGCAACGCTTTCCTTGTTGCCTCTTCCAGGTCCCGCCGTATTTGAGCTGCCAAAAACGACTGCTCACGGCTGGGCATGTTAGGTCTCTGCACTGCTTTCGTTAAACGTCCAGCAGACACCCTCTGCCGCGCGCGTTGATACTCGTTGCCGGCTAGAAGAGAGTCTGGCAGGTCCGAGTCTGTCGAGAGGGATGATTCGTCTGCGTCGAGCGCGCCGGGGATGAAAATTGACGGCGTTCCATATCTCTCCGTCTCTTGTGGCGTCACGATTATTTCCTTGAAATCACTGGCCCATAAGAGCAACTGCTCCCATGTCTCTGTCCTCCGGTCAGATTCAGCTGTCGATCGTACCAATCGACTAATTGTTTCCAACCAAACACACAGTTCTCTCCTAATGATTTTTTGGCCTACAAGATCCATTCGATCGATTATGGAAGCCAGCTTGCGCGGATCCGCATCTCTTAAAGCCTGACGAACATTGGCATCCGGGATTTCGTCGATGTATTTTTGTGCAAATTCGGGCATCTGACGTGGACCTCTCTGTCTGTCATCCTCTTCCGGTGTGTATTCGAAATCGGCAAACATCGGAAACGCCTCCGCAGATCCCTGGGAGTCATCACTTTCGGAGCCGTCAGCTTGCTCACCCCTATCTTGCTGAGCATTGGCATCTTGCGCTGGATCGTTTGGTGCTTCATGCTGAACCTCCTCTTCGACAGCGGGCGGTACGACTGGCCTATTCATTGGTTGCATGGCAGCAACATTAATGACAGGCTGCTGCTGCACGACCCACTCACGAATCAAGAAAATCAATATAAAAGCAATCACAACGAGGACTGTAATGATTTCGCCCTCAACAACGTCCAAGACAAACCGAAGGATACGAGGACTCGATGTAATTTTCTTGAAAAATGACACGTCGGATAAGAGAGATCCATGCGTTTGCGTCGCGCCGGTGGTTGTGGAGTTCTTCGGGTCAATTACATCCACGTTGACCGGATAGAAACCAAAAAGGATCCTCTTGACGATCATGAAGACAGTGGGCTCTCCCGCGCTCATGTTGAGCGTTTGGGAAAACGGAGAGAGGATTGCAGGAAGCGCGGACAAGGCGGTCATGTTCAACGGAAGAGAGGTCCTGTTGGCCGGGTCCGCATTAAGATGAGGCATGATCCTGTGCCTGTGAATATTTGCCACGCGTGCCAGGTCCGTCGCAAATCCACCATCGCCACACCAGAACAAGGCTCTCCAGATTATGCGCATAAACCAAGGTAGCCCCACCAGCCATACCGTGCCCACCAACAAGCCCCGAGCCCAGGTTATGAAGTGGTTGACGACATGGATCAGGGCCCTCCGGAGGAAGACGGACGTCGGAAGGGTGCTCGGCATCTGCGGATGGTATAGTTTGGTGAAGCGGAAGGGCGTCTTGCACAGCTCGCAGTGTTTCTTCTGCGAGTGCGATAACCATTCCATCAGGCATTCCTGATGGACGAACTTGATGCTCCCGCTGCACTTGCACGGGAAGAACAGCGGCTCGTCAAGAGAGCCTTCGCCTCGACATATGCGGCAGGTATCGGGATCCTCTGAGGCCTTGTCGGAGGCGGTCGAGTTGGGGTCGTAAGCCGGGTCGTTCATGAGGTCTGGGACGACGCTGGCGTCGGCCATGATGGCGGAGGGTGGAATGATGGTCCGGAGTCGGCAGATAGCGAAGGAAATGTGGGCGTTAAAGCCGGAGACGCGGGCGTCTAGGGTGTCATTTGGGCGTGGAGATGCAAGCAGTCGAACGGCGCGGGGAGTTTGTTGAAGGGAAAGCACAATGGATCGGAGAATCGGACCCTGGGGGAAAGTGACGACGGCCGGCTACTCCTAGACCCCCGGTCGGCCAGCGGCCACGACAAACCTAACCCGCCGCAGTCACGTGGGCCTGTCGTTTCATCATCGCGTCAAGACCAGACACTGGATGCGCTGCGCTTCCAGGCAGGCACGCGAGGCGATTCGTCCAGCGAGCGATAGGAGTGCGATCGGTTGATCTGCGCGAGCATGCTCCCTCGCTCCCTCGCCCCCTCGGTGTCGATGACGTGAATCTTGGCTAGAAAGCTGCCCTGATACCAGTGTCAGGTTCCTTGTCCGCCAACTCTTCCTGCTCCCATCAAAAAGCATCCGCCGAAGCATCCTTTCTGAGCCTCAACTCTGTCCTCTTTGCGCGTGGCCGAAAGCAGCCCGCCCTCGTCCGCAAGCATTTAGTGAGCTGGACCACTTCAGCACGGACTCGTCGATCCCCAGCACCGCACAGCCATGGCTGTCCAAACCAACGGGCACGCCAGAGTGCCCCAGATCAAAGAGGCCAACGGCACCATCGACCCCGACAAGATGAACGGCCACATCTCGCGGTCGTCCAAGCCCGCTCCTCCGCGCAGGAGCTTCGCCCGCTGGGCCTTCAGCAATGCTGCTCGGTGCGTCCTGCCTCCCCCGCACACGAAGATTCTGAGCTGACTCTGCCCGCGTCAACAGCCTGCTGGTGTGGTATACCATCATTACCATGGTCTTTCGTTGTCCCAAGTCCCTAGACGACCTCACCGACGACTCCCCAAAGCTCTGCTCCCCCTACTTGCAAGTTCAATCGCATGCGAAACCGTACCTGGAACCGTACTACGAAACCTATGTCGCACCATACGCTCAGAAGGCCCAGCCGTACGTAGACCGCTTCAACGAGCAAATCTACGCTCCGTCAGCCCAGTTTGCCAAGCAGACCTACATGAGCTACGGCGCACCCCGCGTCGCACAAGCACAACAATACGTTCTGGCTGAGTGGGAGAGGTCCCTCAAGCCTCAGCTCCAGACGGCACAAAGCCGCGCAAAGGAACAGTATGATGCTACGCTAGCTCCTCACGTCGACAAAGCGTCCGCTGCGGCAGCTCCCTACTACGATCAAGCGTCGTCGTTGGCCGGCAACACTTACAACAGCAAGCTCCTGCCTGCTTACGAGTTTGTTCTTCCTCATGCTCACAACGCGTATGCCCACGGTCGCCACTTTGCCGTCGACATCGGGTATCCCTACGTTCAGTACGGTGCCTCCTCTATCGGTTCTTTCCTACTTCGCCAGGTGTGGCCGCAGATCAGGATTCTGTATGGCGATAATGTTGAGCCGCAATTGATGCGCATTAGCGAGAGGTTGGGACGCTACAAGGATGGCAAGAAGTTGGAAGCCGTCGTCGAGGCCGCTGACAGGTTTGTGATTTCTTCCTGGCTATTGCACGGTATGCTAATATGATTACAGTACTTCTAGCGCTGCGTCTGCGACGTCTAGTGTTTCTTCCCTTGTTTCTTCAATGGCTGCTTCCGTCACGGAGTCTGATGCGAGCCCCACCAGCTCCAGCAGCTCTAGCAAATCCGCCGCCAAATCCTCCGAGGCAGACGTTCGCGAAAAAGTCACCAATGATCTCCGATCGTGGCAGGAGAAGTTCGCCAAGGCTGCTGACAAGGGCTCTGAGGACCTTGAGGAGCGTGTCCAAGAGATCACTAGCCACCAGATTAAGAGCCAGGCCCTCGGAGTTGGCAATGCTCTCATTGTGCGACTCCAGGAAACTTCCGAGCGGAGACTTAGAGACGTCGAATCTAAGATAAACCGGGAAGCCGAGAGCCTTCCGGAAGAGGCAACGGAAGAAGATGTCGAAGCTGCCAATGAGGAAGTTCTCTCGGTCATCCGCGCTGCCGGTAAAGACATTAAAGAGAAGGCTCAGGCTCTCCGAGCTTGGAAGCAAAAGTACGATGAAGAAACTTTCTCTCTCGTCAAGCAAGCTTCCGACTCTACCCTCGAAGTCATCGATAACATCCGTGATTTGGGTCTTCAGGAAATCGGTATGCGCTGGGCCTGGATGGACGGCGTTACTTACAAGGACTGGTCCAAGTACCATGCTTTGAAGAAGACATTCGATGAGTGGCGCAGCGAGGTTCAATCTGTCGCTTTGAAGCATGAGGGTCTCATAGCCGCCAAGGACGAGGGTGCCAAGGTTGAAGACAGCGGTATGGACATTGCCGAAAAGGCAGCCAAGGAGCTCATCAGACTCAAGGACGTTGCTCGCTGGAAGATTGACACTCGTGACAGCTCGGACGACTTCAGCTCCAAGGTTATTCCTGCCGCTGCTGTCAATGCTGTTCAAAAGGCCAAGCAGGCAGCTAACAGTGTCAGCTCTGCTGTAGTTGGTGAGGAAACACCCCAAGGCGCCTTTGAGGCTGTCGCATCCTCCGCTTCTGAAGGCGCTGAGAACTTTGCCTCTGTCGCTTCTGAGCAGGCAGCGGATGCTAGCTCGAAGATCAGCGAGTCTGTCATTGGCACCGAGCCTGCTCTTTCGGAGCGAGCTGCAACCAAGGTTTCAGAAGCTGTCATGGGCACTCAAGATGCTACTGACAGCCTTTCTTCTGTTGCTAGCTCCAGGGCTTCTGCTGCCAGCGCGGCTGCTGGCGAAGGAGCACAGAGCGTTGTTTCCGCTGCCAAGCTCAAGAAGGATCAGGCCAGTGAGGCTATAATTGGCACCCCGGCACCTCCTCACGAGTCTGTTCTGTCTAAAGCTAGCGAGGCGGTTATTGGATCGGAGACGCCTGTCTACGAGTCTTTGGCCTCTCAAGCCAGTGATGCAATTATTGGTACTGAGACGCCTGTCTACGAATCGATGGCTTCCAAGGCCAGTGAGGCCGTCGTTGGCAGCTCTACTCCCGTTCACGAGTCTGTTGCCTCCGATGCGTCTTCTAGCATTGAGTCCGCAGCTTCGGCGGCTTCTGAGGCGGGTAGCGAAGCTACGGAATCAGTCAAGAAGGTCTGGGGAGGAGTGGCTGCCCAGGTCGTTGTTGAGGCTAGGCAAATCATCTTCGACGATATCATTGATGATTCGGACGATGATACTTACTCGGAGAAGCTCCAAAGCATGGTCAGCGACGCTGGAGACCATGCCGCTGACCTCACCAGGGCCATTAGCGAGGCAATTCTTCGGCCTACACCTACTCAGGGTACTGTAGAGTCTGCGACCTCCTTGGCTGCTGAGCAGTACGACCGCGCTCTCAAGGCGGCTTCCAGTGTCCTGTACGGACCGGAGCAGGGCACGGTTGAAAGCTTATCCAGTGTTGCGTCCGACAAATATGCCCAGGCTGTTACTGCGTACGTTGTGCTTCCACTTTTGTTAATTCAGCTGCTAACTAGGATACAGGGCATCTTATGCCATCTACGGCACACCGACGCCCGTACTCAAGTCCATGCAGGCCCAGGCTAGCGCGCAATATGATAGCGCTGTAAACCTTGCAAAGGAACGGTACGAATCTGCCAAGTCTGCCGTTTCTGCTCAGGTATCCGGCACGCCGAAGCCTATGTCTGAGGAGATGCTTTCGTCTGCATCTGCTATCTCCGACGCATACACTTCTTCCCTTGCAGTCGCTGGCGCGAAGTTGTACTCGGTCCTCCACCCCTACACTGAGTCTGTAAAGAGCTTGGCCGCTAGCCCAACACAGAATTCCTGGGAATCCGTTTCTTCCATTGCCTCTTCTAGGCTGAGCGAAGGTCTCAATGCCGCTTCTGCTCAGTGAGTGAACCCTGTCGATCTCAGATTTATATGGCTAACATTACGACAGGTACTCCAGTGCTAAGGTTGCCGTTGGCGTGGAACCTACTCCTGCTTCCCAGCAGTACATGGCTGAGGCGCAAAGGCGGTACTACGAGGGCGTTGGGCTGGCTCATGCCCGCTACTCTGAGTTCCTTGAGGCCGCCTCCAGTGCCGTCTATGGTACTCCTACTCCGGCCTACCAAGGATACTTCACTGCTGCACAGAGCCAGTACACCGCTGCGCTTGATGCTGCTTCCAGCAAATATCAAGAGCTACTCGCCTCTGCTAGCTCCGCGGCTGGCCAGACAAGCAAGTTGCCTGCACAGAGCGTCCTCGATTCCGCATCTTCTCAGTATGATGCGGCCGTTGCCGCTGCTGCTTCGTCTTTGTCCGTCGCCTCTGCTTCTGCAAGCCAAGCCATATATGGCACTCCCAAGCCTGCCTACGAAAGTTACGTTTCGGCTGCGCAGAGCCAGTATTCCGCTGCACTTAGTGCCGCTTCAAGCAACATGGAAGAACTTTTGTCTTCCGCCAGTTCTGCCGCCGGTAAGACTAGCAAGTCGCCTGCGCAGAGCGTCCTAGACTCTGCGTCATCTCAGTATGACGCTGCTGTTTCCGCCGCGTCGGCATCTCTTTCTGCTGCATCTGCCTCTGCTAGCAGCGCCGTCTACGGCACGTCTACCGGTAGCCTCGAATCTGCCGCATCTGCCATTTCCGAGAGGGCTGAATCAGTTGCCTCTGTCGCCAGCTCTGGCATTGCTGGCACCGAAACTGGTTACGTTGAGTCTGTTGCCTCCCAGGCGTCTGCCAACTGGGAATCCCTGATTGCCAAGGCCAGCGAGCAAGTCTACGGCCAGCCCACACCATGGTATGAGTCTGCTTACAGCCAGGCTGGTGATTACAGCGCACAGGCCACTTCTGCAGCTGCCGTTCAGTACGCTGCGATCCAATCTCTCATCTCAGATCTGGTTGTCGGGCAGGAGCCCGTCTTTACTGAGAGTGTGATGCAGCGCCTGAGCAGCGCTTATCACACCGGAGCTCCCGCAATGGTATCCAGCGCTTCGTCGTACGCCAACGAGGCATACGAATCTGCATCTTCGGTTGTGTCGGCCGCATTCACTCCTCCTGCCGCTCTCGAGGACATCCTCAACAACGCTTCTAACCAGATTAATGATGCAGTAGATGCCGTCTCCGTGCAAATCTACGGCACTGAGAAGAACTCGTATGAGAAGGCTTCCGAAGCCGCAGGCTCCGCCTACGCCTCAGCATCCCAGAAGGCTTCCGAAGCCGTCTATGGCACTCAGGCTGGCTACGCAGAGCAAGCACAGAGCTCTCTCGCCGACGTAGCATCATCCGCCCAAAATGCCATCTCGGTTGCCATCTACGGCACGCCAACCGGCTCCGTCGAAGCAGCGACCAGTTCCGCTGGCAACGTATACTCATCCGTATCGGCAGCCGTGTCGAGTGCGGCGGAGCAGAACATGGCATCTGCGGGATCGGCCGCAGACACTGTCGGTTCAGCCGTCAACGACGGTTACGCTGCTGCAGCAAGCAGGGTCAGCAGCGCGCTTTACGGACCGCAGCAGGGTGCGATGGAGAGCGCATCGAGCAGGCTGGCTATAGCTATGGAGAGCGCGCGCGCCAGGCTAAGCTCGCTCGCGGAGAACTCGGGCGAGTATGCGGGCGAGAAGGTCGAAGACGCGAAGAGCAAGGTTGAGGAGATGGCGAGCAGTATCAGCGAGGCTGCTACTGATGCCACGGCAAGGGTGAGGGATGAATTGTGAGTGAGTGACGGAGAGAGACTGGAGAAAAAAAGAAGGTGAAGAAGTTGGGAGTTGAAGTGGAGGATCTAATGGTGTAGCTGGGCCGGCGGGTCAAGAGCCCAGCGCCCAGACGGAGGATCAGAAAAAAGGCATGGCATGGCAGGGCATGACGGAGATTGATTGATTGATTGACCGGCGCGGGACGGACGGATATGATTCAGATGACGAGATCGACGACCACTACCACTCCACCTTCACAACAGCATCACACCCCTTATCTTCTACTACTGGTATCACGACCTTTGCTACTACTAGTATCACGCCCTCACGCACGCCCTCCCCCATCCCCCCTAACACTTGTATTCTCGCGCACACACTATACAGCTACACGCACATTTTCCTGGTTTAGTTAGTTAGCTGATGCTTGTAGCTTGGTTTCTTTATTTGTGTCCTTCTGATTGATTGTTGTTGCTGGTGCTTTCGTGAGGTTTGAGCGCCTGGAGGGAGTTCGTGTGATTTAGCTGTTGTATTGTGTAATGAATTAGTGTTGATGCTGTAGACTTGTGGTGTGCTGCGTGGTGTAGTGGGCGAGTGTTGTGATGCTGCTGAATAAGATAGCTCTGGTCTTTTTGCATCATTGCTATTTTTATCGTTTAACGTCCAGCGGTGATGTACGTTAGTCCATGTCTTTGCAGGGATATTCCTGTTGAGATACACGGCTATTTATGTTGCCTTGCCCTGCGCGCTCGCACCTAAGGCAGAAGTGCAGTTTCAGGAAGCGATCGGCAGCATCCTCCATCGCCCCAGCTGTTGCCTACCACGTGAATCAAAGCACAACAAGAAACAGCATAGATATATATAAACGAAAACCCGCCCCAGCACAACCGCATCCCAATCCACGATCCGTATCCAACTATCACCATCCCCATAATACCACACAACCAACAATGCCTTCACCAGAACCAGAACCAACCTCCCCCGAACCATCCACCGAAGCAATCAAGCCCTTCGACCCTCTCCTGCCCCAGGACCAGGCCCCCGCACCCTACGCCAACGGCCGCTTCGCGCTGTACGTCCTCTTCCCGGCCTCGGACGACGAGCTCCTTGCAATCGCGCGCACTTGCCACGCCGGGCTCCTCGACGACGGCGCCTGGGACAGTGACAACGTCTTGTGTCCGGCGCCGCGGGCGCGCTGGCTCGGCCGCGAGGACTCTGATGGCCCTGAGGACACGGACAACCCAGAAGACATGGACGCCTCCGATGATGCGGACGCCTCCGACGACGCGGACGACCGCATCAACGCCATAGTGCAGTACCACCGGACGACGATCCTGCCCTCCCGCGGCTGGGGCGTCTTTTTCGACCGGGCGAACATGGTCGTAGCGCGGAGCGCGCACTGGCGGCGCGACGGGGTGACCGTCGTCACGCTCGGGACGGCGTGGCTGCTGGAGACGGCGGACGGGGGCGAGTCGTTTCGGCGGGGGTGGGCCGAGTGGACTTTTAAGCCCGAGGCGGTCGGCAGTGTTTGCGTTAACTTGCAGCTCTACAATATGGGCTGGGCGGAGTTTACCACGTGGGAGGATGTGCAGGTCCAGGGGCGCGAGGTCGATAGGAGGGATGGTGAGGTGCTGGCTTGGTTGTTGGAGGGTCGGGGCGGTGATGAGAAGAGAAGATGGGCTGAGAAGTTGGTGAGGGAGTTTGGGGGGAGGGATGAGGCGGTGGATGGGTAGGTGGGGGGTTTATGCCACTGGATTATTTCCTCATCCTACGTGATGATATACCAGTAAATCTATGCGACATACTTTCTACTTGTAGGTAGTTTATATCTTTATACCCTAGCAAATACCTTTATACCCTCGTAGTATACCCTAGTACTTATATATACTAGTACTTCTATTTATCTTTACCTTTATATCTTTTTTATATCTTATTATACCTAGTATCTTTTCACTTTTATATAGTTGTATAGTGCCCTCTATAGGTATCGTAGGTTTCAATCAAGAGTTAGAACCATACTCTACGAAAATATAGATCACTTCAAGGGGTCAGTAAAACGTGCCAGTAAAAGTTTTAACTAGTAGGACTGCAGAATAAGCTTCTACTTATAAAACTTATCTTCCTCTTCTTCTTCCGTATTTAAAACTTATGTTTTGTTGCCAGAAAAGAGCACACACATCTCCGATACAGAGGCGTATACAGAGACACCATTTAGTTTATAGATCACGATGTGACTTCACAACCACTTCTACACGAAATCTTTCAACAAGGTTACCTAATAGCCACGGCCCACGAACCCCCTGTCCCCCACCGTCAAGATGCGTGCACCGTGTCGGCGAGCGCCTACCGAGGCGTAACTCATCACTTCGCGAGTTGCTAAGGCACCAGCTCTACTCAGCCTTCACGCCACAAGGCCAAGCCTTCTACAACAACCACATGTGACATATCTCACTTCCAGTGCCGAGCACAAAGAGCTCACGGTGATAACCACCACCATTTTCTCTCGCACTCGACTACCATCATCTTACTTACTCGCTCCTATAAGCAGCATAGCTTTCCTTTTCTCTTTCTTGACGTTCATGGTAGCGCGATAGTAATAAGGGCAGGCGCGCACGCACGTATACAGTAATATGAAAGTTAGGAAGTAGGAAGGTATAAAGACATTCTTAGTGTATACCTCGCTGTGAGAGTGCACTGAGGGTAGTGGAATGGTATAAATAGGCGTAGGCAAGTCGTGTCAGTGTCGGTATCACGCTGCGTCAGTCAGCCATAGCCACAGCCACAGCCACAGCAAGCCAGCCAGACCAGCTCACACAAAAGCGTAGTCTACCCTATTCACTTAAGGTAGCTTACGTTTCACCCACCACCCCTACCCCCCCACAGTCCGCCTCGTCAGACAGAACCAAATTAGGTGCGTTACAGCTACCACTAGCCACACCCCAATTAACCGCTTACATAGTTCATCTCAACCCCCCTCCCAACCCCACGTATAAACCAGCGACTAGTGCCAAAGCGCATCAGCATCCCCCACCACATTCGCTCACCACCACCACCACCACCACCACTCCCCCCTCCTGCCGTCGCGCATCACCATTTACTACTGATGAAGCACAGTTGTTTATTACACCGAATAACTACGCACTTCGTCTCTCGTCTTTCTATAAAGATGTTTCTCTTGAATACACAAGGCATCCAAGGTGTTGCCCACGTGTGCCTTGGTATAGAACTCACCACCAACCATCAGGCAGGCTTCTGGGGTGAACACCGCGTGGGACAGTGGTTGGTGGTGTTGCGAGGTGTGTATGGTAGGTAGGTAGCTAGCTACTTAGTTCGAGCTGGCAGTGCGTGTTTATATGTATATTTGTTTGGTATTGTGTTGCTCACTTACTCCATCTTGATTCTTACGGCCAACGTCGCACATCGTACACCACCACTCCCCTACACAAACACACAAACGCAAGAACAAGAACAAGAACAAGAACAAGAACAAGAACAAGGACAAGGACAAGGACAAGGACAAGGACAAGACCAAGGCCAAAGACCCTCGATTCTCTACCTACCTACCTACATTTATCCCCACACCCACACCCACCCACCCTACGCGCTACACAACACTAGATATCCTACATACACAACACACACCCAACCCACAAATCCATCAAACCCTTCATCCCACGCAACCTTTCCTTTTCTCCCGCACGCTCAACCAAGCGGCCCCTCTCACCCCCCACCAAAAAACAACGACACAAAACGCCATGCACGCACGCTAAACCCCACCAACAGAACGGGTCGAGAAACGACACCAACGCGCAATTACCACGGACCGTGCTGCAGCCCTGCAACCCTGCAAGCAAACAACCAACCAATCAAAAGGAAAAATGAAAAAACAAATGCCCAGCCAAACTACAACATGCAAGATTGATAGCCGCCGCCCAGATATGCGCCTGTGAAAACCAACCAACCAACCAGCCAGCCAAACAAGCCAACAAACAAGCACACCAACTCTGGGAGCGTGTGTGTGCCGTGTGTATGCTGTCTGCTGTCTGCTGTATGCTCTGTATGTGTCATGTCATGTGGTATGATGACGAAGAAAAAGAACAAGGAGAAGAACTCAGTCGCAGCGGAGCCCGACCTCCCAGGCACCAGTTAGGTAGGTAGGTAGGCACCTAGGCGGCAGTTACCCGTATATACAGTCACAGCCACCGCGCACGCACGCACGCGCTCAAGCGCTCCGAAAGCCTTCTCGCACGACGAGCTCCGCTGCAGTCTCTCCACAAGGCAGATTAGTTTACCACGTTTCCTACAACACGTTAGCAGTCTGCTTTCCCACAGCACAGCACAATCACCCAGCCAAAGACTTACAGCAATGTACTGCCCGCCCTCCTTCTTGCGGTCCCAGAACTCGCGCGCCTCATCCGCGTTCAAGTTCCCCTTGTCCATCGCCACGTCAATCAGCGCGTTCTCCACGCCCTCGCCCATGCCCTTGCTGCTGCCGCACACGAAGATACGCCCGTCTAGCGCGTTGATGACGAACCACACCACATCGGCCTGCACGCGCACCTCGTCTTGCACGTAGCGTACCTCGCCGCCCGTGCGCCGGCTCTGCACCACCTTCTTGATCTCCTTCTCGTGCGCGCCCAGCTCGCCAGAGTAAATCTCGTCGAGCATGCTGTCGCGCACGCCCTGCACCAGCCAGATCTTGTTCGCGCAGTTCGCGTTCTTCAGCCGGTTGAGGATAAAGCCGCGGAACGGCGCCATGCCGACACCCGCGCCAATGAGCATCATCGGCCCGTCACCTCCGAACTCGCGCGACAGCGGGTTGGCCATCAGCCCGCGGAACATGGGCACCGAAATGTCGAGCACCTTGCCCGGGTCGCGGATGCCGCTCTGCTCAGCTTCGATGAAGCTTTGCGCTACCCGCTCCAGGTAACCCGACCCCACGCCCGTGCGGTACTTCTCCGGGACCCGCCAATCGGGGTCCTCGTGCACCGTCACCGCCATCTCGATCAGGCGCCGGCCGCCCGGAAGGCCAGGGCGGGCCGAGGAGATGTGCGGGTCGTTGGAGAGCGAGTAGAAGCGGGGCATCAGCTGCGGCAGGACGGAGAGCAGGCGGTGAAGCGGGGGCTTCGAGGAAGGGAAGGCATGGAGGAGTTGTGCGACGGTGATGTGTGCGCCGGTGCGAAGACTTAAGGCCAATGTAAGCAACTGAACACGGTGACATGATATATTCCAAACTTACTCGCAGAACGCAGCTTGCCCCTGGGCAGAGGTCAGGTAGTCCAGGATCTTCTTCTCGTTCTTGGCGTCGGCGTATTCGGCCATGACGCGAAGAAGTTGCTTCGTGGGCGGGGTGCTTTGCAAGTCCACACACCAAGTGAGCAGCTCGCGACGCGTCGTAGTCAGGCCGCGGGGCTTCTCGTCGCCCCAGATGGTCGGCCAGCGCATCGTCTGCGTCTTGAGGGTGACGGGCTTGTCACGCACAAACTTGGGCACACCCAGCTGGTCGAAGACGTCATCGACCAACTCAGACGCATTGGGCGGGCAGATGCCAATGGCACCGCCAACCTTGAAATCGACACCGCCCTCGTCGGGATAGTCGGTGACATCGAGGTCAAAGTGCAGCGTGCGCTTCATGGCGCCGGGCTTTGTCAGGACGCGCGCGTGGTGAACAGGGGCCGAGAAGACATTGTAGGGCGGGTGCGGCTGGACGAATTGCGGCGGCGCCTTGTAGACAGTTGTGACGTGCTTTGGCGTCTCGGCAGGCACGGGGTCGAAGGCGACGGTGTCTTGGTGCAGCTCCGGGACGCCGTCCAATTCGGTCGTGAGGCTCAAGGGGCCCAGCTTGAGGTCCAGGCTGCGGAAGGCCGCATTGTCCGGCAGGACGACAGGCACAAAGTCCTTGGGCGTCGTGTCGGGCGGCAATGTCTTGACGAAGCAGCATCCTCCACCGCAGCAGTATTTCTCGATGAGGGCGGTGCCCGTTTCACCGTCGCCGAGAAGCTTCCTTATGCCCTCGGCATCCTCAGAGATGAGCGAAGTCGAGGCGCGACGCGGGTTGTCGGCCTTGGCGGTGAAGTCGACCGAGGCGGCAGGCAGGTCCTTGAGCTTGTCCGTCACCTCGTCGACCTGGGGGTCGGAGGGCTCCGTGTTGGGCGTGTCTGGGGTTTCGGCGTCGCTCGAGTTCTCGGACCAGGCGAGAGACTCGTGCGACGAGCGGAAGGAATTGGACGAGGGCGCAGGAGGCTCGATGGCGTAGTTGGGCATCTTCTGGGCGGGCTCGTGAGGGATGGGGTCGTCAGGGTGCGAGGTGGCGGTCGAGGGAATGTGCTGGTGCCGGTGCGGCTGCATTATGACGGTGTTGGTGGCGAGATCGCCGGGTCGGTGAGAGAAAGGAGAAGTAGCAGCTGAGGGATTGAGCCATGGTCAGCGGGGGGGAAAGGACGGCTTTGTATAACGGGGCAAAGGCCGGGGGGGTGCTGAGTTCGGCAGATGCAGCGGCGAGGGGCATGAAGATTGATGGCGGCTCACCACTTATCAGATCGGATTTCGATTTCGTCAGAGACGGCAGACTCGTCCTGGAGGCAAGCGAGCCGAACAACGTCCGCCGCACAATCGGACGGAGCGCGAGGGACGACACGGTGGATAGATCGAGACGGGCGACCGGGAGAGAGTTCAGCGCTTTCGGCGACGACGCTTTTGGTGATGTTGGGAGTTCTGGCTCGGCTGGAGTGCAAGCGAACAATCGACGAAATCCATCCTTGGCCGGGCCGAGTTCCTGTTACGGCATGATCAACCTACGCAGAAACTTCCCCAGCTCCGGAAGGCCTTTGCCAGCTTGCTACGGAATCGTGCGCATTCCGATTTCCGGCGAGCCGCAGTTCCAACATGCCACAAAGCACGCAACTTCTACGTAGTAAGATAAACCCAGGAACAAGTGGTGTGACTCATCATCATCAATCTTCTTCTTTTTCTGCCTTCTCCTGACCATCATCAACACTGTCTTTCCCTCGGCCTAAACTCGTTTCAACAGTAGCCTTGTTCCAGCAGTCAGATCGCCTTTCTCCCCGGCGCGCGATCCACGGTACCGTCCTGTCATGTCCTGCCTAGTTCAGCCCTACAGCACACCATCTAATCTCCCCTTTTTCCCGCTTTTGTCCTCGCATCTGATAATCTCCGACGCCGGACGGCGTCCTGATGCCTGACACGGCAAGCATTCCCACCCCCCCCGCTGAGCCTATCGTGCACCTGCTCCACCCGGGTGACTCGTCTCACACAAACAAACTTTTGCTCTCGAACATTCTTCATTAGGCGAGGCAATCCGTGCAGCCGGGAATCTCACTCGGCAGCATCTCGAGTTTCACCCATATGAAGACACGGACTCGTGGCCCGTACGAGAGTGAAACCGACACACGGCCTGCGTAATCGCTGGCGTTGCGCCCACCCATGCACCATGAGTCGTCATCGCACTAGCCAGGCACCCCTGACGCCCGCTCGCTCCCAACAGGAACCGGCGACGAGTTTGTTGTGGCTTGTCGCGGGCCCGATTGTGCCACCTGCCGCTGCGGTGGATGGCTTTTATCGGAGGATCTAACCGTACCCCATTCCATCTGATAATGTTAATCGACGCCCCTTCCGAGTCTGTCTGCTAGCTCGTCAGGGGTGCGGAGGCACAGAGGCGAGGCATACAAAGCCCGGTCAATGCCAGCTAATGTATAGGCGCGTCAGAATGTCTCTCCCCCATGTCTGGCTTACGCAAGATCATGGCGTGCTGCGGTAAGTTGTACAGTATGTACAGACACACAGCAGCAGTACCTACCTACAGAGGCCCACCGCCAGCCCGCTATTGCACTGGCTCTCGCCGTTCGGAGCCGTATACGACAGTGGGCACTCTCCAGCTCACCAGTCCAGCACACGCTTCCTGCCAGCGTGGTCAGGCACTCCAAGCAGACGACCCAAACATAAGGTAATAGGCACGCATCGCAGTTCCAGAAGGGCAAGTGCACGACGCGCAGCAAACAGCAAACAAGCCGCCCACGCCGCGTGTCCGGCCGTCGCAGCAGATGGCATCGCCAAGCAATATCAAGCATCCGGCAGAAGCAAGCAAAAACGCGGCCCTCGACACGTCAAGCGTTTGATCCCTGAGCACGACCGCCGCCATGTCCCACTTAGTAGATGAGCAGTAGCACACACACGCAGAACCAAGAAAGGGGCGTAGGTAGTTGCCCCGTTCGAGCGTGTTGGGTTGGGTTGGGTTGGCTTGGGCAGAGGCTGAGGGAAAGATTGGCCGCCGGTGTCGGAGCGGGCAGATCGCCCGGCTTCTCCGGCCGTGGACGCGCGCATCCTCGGATCAAAGATTGATAAGTCATGATAACCTAAGTCCCTATTGCCTACGTTTTTGTGACGACGACCTAGAGATGGTCCGTTGTCGTCGGAGAGGAAGAACTCTTCCATGCGGAGCGACGATCCGCATGCATGTTGCTTCTTCTTCGTGCATGGCTCGACGTCACCGTGCTGCCTGCTGGGCTCAAGCGCTTTGCGCTCCTCGGCTTGCTCGTTGCGGCGTGAGGCCGTGAGAGGCTGCTGGGATGGGGTAGACTTGCTCCCCCTCGCCATGCAGACATGGATGCAACGACACCCAGCCCCGCCACCCTGCCACACCAAGCCGCTGACCAACGCGCTCGATTCTACTCGCTGACTGACTGCCTGCCTGCGCTGCCCAGATACGAGCACGCACGACTCCACTTGCGTTCGAGGAAGTCCGTTCGATTCGATTCGCACCGAACCCATACCTACGCGCCGACCCAACCGCAACCCCGCGCGCTGCCTGTCCCCGCCTCGTCACTCGTTCCCATACGAAGAACCACCCCTCCCCGCAGCACGCACGCACGCGCTCCGCACTCCTCTCGTCACCCCAGTCTCGCTCCCCCGTTCCCCGCCGCTCGTCCCCCGTCGCTCGTCCCTCGCTCCACGCACACGCCCGCACGTGTGCGCGCACCGCCAAACGAAGCCGTCCGCGCCGCCAAATGCGTGCGCGCGCAGGCGCCGCTGGCGTCTCTGGCGCGTGGGTGCCGTGGTGCTTGTACGTACGCACGTACAGGCTACGGGCTAGCGATATGTATGTCAGGCCGTATGTAAGTATGTGTAAGTACCTAGGTATGGATCCGCATGTGTGCGTGTGCGTGTGCGTGCTTGTATGGGGTGTGGGGATGCAGATTGCAGACAGCTGTACAGGACGTACGTGGGGTGGAAGCGAGTCAGTCGAGGGCTTAAAAGGCTGGGGAGGGGTGCTTGGGGTGCGCTTGGTCTGGCTTGAGTGTTCTTGTCGTTCTTGTCGTTCTTGTCTTGTCTTGTCTGCTCTTGTCTTGTCTTGTTGCTGCTGCGCTGTGCCGATCTGACCTACACTGGGTCGAGCCGAGCTGCTGAGCTCGATTATATTGCTAGGTGTTTACCTACATGCCCAAAGCACGAAAATCCGCCGCCGCTATGGCGGCCCGCAAACGGAGGAAAGAAGCAGAGGTAGAAGAAGAAAGACTCCGCGACAGAGACGAAGAGCAAGAGAAAGAAGCAGCCTCACCCCTCCGCAAAGGCCTAGCCAGGTGCGCCCGCTCCCCCCACGCGCACAGAGCCCGCACTAACCCTCCCCCAACCACAGCATCTACGCCTCGGCCCAATTCTCCGACATCAGCGTCTCCACCCCCTCAAGCCGCACGCACCGCCTGCACCGCCTGGTCCTAAGCACGCAAAGCGCCTACTTTGCGCGCCTCCTCTCGCCCACCACCACCAACTCCTGCTCCTATACCCCCCCAACACACATCGACCTCGCCCCCCTGCGCACCGACCCCCTCGCCACAGACCACGCCCTGCACTACCTCTACAGCGCGTCATACCCGCCGTCCCCGCTGCCTCAAACCGTCAACCCGCTCGCGCACCACGCGCGCGTCTTCCGCGCTGCGGGGGCGCTGGGCGTGCCGCCGCTGCGGGGGGAGGCGTTAAGGGCGTTTAGGGGCGTGCTGCAACGCGAGCGGTGCGTGGGCTGGTTCAAGGGGGCCGTGGAGGTGCTGTGGGGGCTGCGTGGGGAGGAGGCGGCGGAGGCGGAGGGGGAAGGGGAGATGAGAGAGGCGTTGGTGCGGTTTGCGGCGCTGAGCGTCAGGGAGCTGCTTCGGGAGCCAGGGTTCGCGCAGTTGATGTGCGTGGGCGGAGGCGCGTTCGGGGAGGCGCTGGTTGTGGCGTTGGCGGGGGAGGAGGGTGCAAGTGCGAGGGAGGAGGATGCTGCTGCTGCCGCCGAGCCATCGGTCGACGAAGGCGTGCAGGTCGACGAGGACGAGGACGAGCGCGTCCATGTCCACGTCGACGACGGCATCAAGGTCGACGAGGACGAGGACGAGGACGAGCGCGTCCATGTCCACGTCGACGACGGCATCAAGGTCGACGA